AATCACTAGCCACATGTCCTCAGACAGTACCGGTACAGACAGTTTCTCCCAGTCCTCCTCTTCAGTCCCAGATGGGATGTCCATAAACTGGTTTACCATCTGACACCTTCATACCGGTTGATCTGGTACTGTTCGACTCGTTCTTGTGTAGACTTCATAGGAGGTCATATCTGCTCAGTGAAGGCAGTAGGTGAAGGTTCTCCATATCCCATGAAGTACGGACTGACTCCAGTTGGTATAGGATAGGGTGTAAGTAGTCGTCCTTTCTCAGGCGTTTTGTATCCAGTGGTATCTTCTTTGACATTTTCCAACAAAGGAGTGTCAGCATCCTCATCCTCTGGCTTCCAAACTTGGTTTGGGATAATGACCCATTCGGGGTCTCGGTCTTGCCCAATCATGGCATTCTCTCTATTGAGGGTGATGAGAGTATTCACATGTCGAACTACCTTGTTCTTGGATCGGCAGTTCCTCATAATATGACCAGGTTTGCCACAAGCATAGCATGAGAGTATCTTCTTATCTTTCCTGTCATTGCCCTTAGGTAGACTTGGGCCTTTGGTAACACTGTCCAAGTGCATTGGTTCCAGTCCCATAGTGGTGTAGAAACCAGGGGTCCTGTTGTATCGAGGTGGCAGTTGAGTTTGGCGTCATCCTATGTTGGGATGAAATTGTCATTGTAGAGGCCTGTTGTCTCGGTGCTATTCTGGGTACAGTTCCAAGGATAGCTTATAAAGATTGCTGTCGACTCGAATTGACTCATTGATAAGTTCATCCAGAGTATCCATAGTAGCACCGCTACGCATGAGCTCAAGTTTGACATTGTTCTTGAGTCCTTGTCGATACATCCTTATAAGTGCTTTGTCGTCCCATTCGGTCATAACTGCATATTGCTGGAATTCACTGGTATAGTCTGCAGCAGACTGAGTCTGTCGGAGTCACTGAATCTTCCATTCGGCCATGGTCACTTCATTGGTAATGGCGAAGGTTTGGCGAATCTTTCCCTTGAAGACCGAGTAGTCTTCGAACATGTAGGTGATCTCAGTGTCATCATTGTTGTCGTCCATATATTTGATAAGGTATGGTTTGACTCATTTGGCAGCTTGTCCTCTCATGTATAAGGCAACCAAGGAGGCTTTGTCATCGTTGTTGATGTCGTCATCATTGAACTTGAAGAACAAATCGAATTGAAGAAGCCAATCTTCAAGCTTGTTGCGGTCTCCAAAGTAGAGGTCAGGTTTGACAACCTTGCTCTTTCCTCCTTGGGTCTGGTTCAGGGTATGCATAGAAGTATCGCTCATTTTAAGGGTATTCAAATTGTAAAGGTCCCATGGATAATAGTATGTCCTCTAGGGATCTTGGTTGGTTCTCAGGAATGAATGATATGGTTCCTTGCACAATGGGATTGATATCAAGAGAGTAAGTGGTATTCTTCCGAAAAGGATATCAGATTAAAAACCAAGTATACTAAGAAGTACTTGACTTGAAAGTAGAGATTGAACATGAAGAGCTGTAAGAGCTCATCATCTACTGTTATATACACAAGGTTGCTCTGCTTGATCTCACTACTCTGTGAGATCATCGAGATCACTGAGAGTATCCTGCATATCATGCTCTCGCTGCTCTGCTTGCTCTCTGAGATCATGGAGAGCATAGAGAGCACCATGCATGATCACATGACCCCATTGGTCTGTGTTCCTTAGGTGATGCCGAGTGCTCTGTGGTTGTCTTCGCTTGAGTGAGAGTACACCTGGTCAGGTGGGGCTTTATCAGGGTTAGCTCCTGCTAGGTCATAACAATATTATAGCCCGTAAGGCAAATCAACAGCTTCAAATTGAGTCTAAACCCACCAGGAAGCCTCAGAAGAAGGTTATCAAGCCAACAGTTCAAGCTCAAAAGGATACAGAGGAAAAGAAAACTGTTCCAGAGGTAGTAGTAGTCTCGGGGCCATCAAGCCATCGTGGCAGGCAAATTAAGGTGCCAGAACGCTATCGCATATGATTTGATCACAAAATAGAATTTGCTGAACTCAATAGTCCTCCTCTACTCAAAATCTCATGATATTACAATCTATATTAGGCTCTATAGCCTCAAAAGTAGGTGCTCAAAACCAGTGAGAACCGTGCATTACGCGACGCCGTGCATTACACGATTAGTCATGGTATATGCTAGATGCAAAAAGCGGGCAAAATGCTTGGCGCGTCTCTCCATGAGCTGCAGCTTCCTAAGGGTTCCTTTCGTCAGTTGTATGGGAGAGCCCAATAACGAACTGAGGTATGTAGGAGAACTTCCCAGTGTTGAAGCTCGCAGAATCTACTCACTCAAGCCCTGGCACGCTTAAGCCCACAATATGGGACAAATTGTACATTGTTTATTATTGCAGCTCGACGCCCGCACTACAGCGTATGTCTGTGTACGCACACAGACAGTTGAGTTGCGGATAGACTTAGCCCGTAAAAGGCCCCAGAAGCGAAGTAGGGAGATCTTCGCAGATCTCTGTATGCTCCAGCTTGACTTTCTAAATCTCGCCTCCTGAGACCCTCCTAAGATTGTCCCAATACCCTAGATAGCGATTGAAGGTCGCTCCCGCTGCCTTTTCCCTTGATACTTCACCACCATATTGAGCTCACTCCGGATGTCGAGCGGCCACTCATTGGCGAGAGTGCTAGAAGTTTTCGTTTGCTCGAGATACCACGTGTCAACTACTTCAGAAGCTCCTACATACGCCTTTGATGCTCTTCGGGTCTTTAGTTTTTTTACCCAACTTTGCAATTTGCACTCGCTACAGACCTCTGTCCTCAAAGTCTTGGACAGTAAGCCATCGCGAAATCGATAGAAAGTAAAACCACTATTCTAAGGCGCAAAGTTGAATATCCTATCCAAAAGCTACAAGGTGATGTGTCCAATGACAGATTCCCCTTTTAGGTGTGCTCTACCAGCTGCCCATCCTTCTCATCGAGATTGATAGTCTGATTCCGGCTATTAACCCCAATAGCTCCGCCTGCGTTAGGAAGGGCAATATCCCCCTTACCAGCAAAAGTCGTGTGATCATCCGAAGGAGGGAATCCAGGATTGCCGTTTGGATTGTCTGTTGGGTCCAAACGCCACTTGGAACAACTGTTCGTTAAACTGTTCTATCATTAGCCACTAAACCTAAACCCAACTTAAAGGCAACCAGAATACACAGTAAAACTTACACGCCACCTAAATGACTACCATCGCTCCTCCGACAACCATTCAAAAGATTGCGCCATTGCTTCGCACAGTTGCCGTGCTGACCATCCATGAATAGATAGCAGTTCTTATCAGTAACTTCAACAGATATGTCCCAATAGTACTTGTATTCGGGAACGGTGTCCGGGTAGAAATTGAGGCCCTGAGGAGAGTTAAAGTACGTGAGATAAGGCGCAAGTATTAAATGTCTGTCGCATAAATGATCTATTATCCACAGAGCATCGGATGCAGGGGCCAGGTAACCGGAAGTATAACACTCCAGCTTATAGTTCGCATAATCAGGCTCGTGCGTGGGAGCTGGGGGCTTGCCAGGAAGATTGTTGTCAGGCGGCACGGTTGCTGAAGGAAGAGTGGGTGCCGGAGGTCTCCTGACCGTTCGGGACGGCGCTGGAGGAGTGTCTTCCAGGAGATCTGCTGTGTCCCCGTCTTGAAAGGGACAGGAGAGCTCCGAATCATCCGGGTCATCGGGGTCTTCGTTCTCTTCAGGGTCTTTTGGATCGGGGTTCTCAGGCGACCCAGCCACTGGGGTCTGAATGGGCCCAGGTGGTGCTCGGTTCTGAATTAATATAAGAGGCACGTCTAGGTCCGGTGGAGGGGGTCCGGGAGGGGGGTGAATGGTATGGAACCCGATGGAGGGAATGTGGATTCGTATGCTTGGAATACGAATTCTCCATCTCCCATGCGGCTTGTGAAGCTTCCCACTGGGAAACTTGATCCCCACCGGAAAGTCAGGAAAATCTACGCTTGGGTTCGTGATAGCGGGTGGATGTACCACCGTTGAGAATCCGGTGGTAGTAAAGGTAACTGGCGGGGGCGTATACGTCCTAGTCATCGGGAACGGCGGCAAGACGAATACGCAAGGAAACCAACACTGTATTTCGGGATCGTCATATGCCCATATACTCGAGTCTATGAAAACTCGAGGGCCCTCCTCTCCACCTTCTGGAAGATTGTCATGGTTTGCGCTCGGTTCTTCGCCACCCAGAGGGAAGTCGGGTGGGAGCGTGAAAGTTTGGTTGAATATAAAGCCTTTGGGTATAGTGAGAGGTCTACTAAGAGCCCCTTTGCCGTTGTATGACCAACCGAAGGCGTTCTGGAAGGGTTGATTTGGCGTAAATCCCGCAGGAAGGATGAGGGGTGCTGGCAATGGAACGTGCGCTGGAATTTCGACTGGATTTCCCAAAGTACCACCCCATCCACAACATGTGGAGCTTATAAGGCGCTGTAAGTCGCAAAAACTGCACCGTGAAGGACCAGGGCCCTTAGGCATATTTTGATTGCCATCGAAAGCCATCGCTGACGCCTCGGTCGCGACGTCACTAGAGACTGTCAATGTTGAGCCTTGAGGTACCGTTGTTGCTTTCAATGGGATAATAGTCGCTCGCTCCGGGCTGAGGTAGCTCGAGTTTGCCGCCAACAATTCATCATCGTTCCCTCCTCCGATGCCACTACCACTGCTGCCAAAATCGATGCTCCATATCACTTGGGAGTGGTTAGAAGCGCACTATAGAAGAAGGTGTGACTTACTAGTGCCTCCCAAGCACAGACTGTTAGCATATCGACGCTTTATAGCAAGTGTTTCCTCGTCATCGTATCCTACCCACTGGTTGCCATGATAGACGATCTGTTTCACGGCCGCATCGGACAGTAGTGTAGGGGTCAGTCCTTCTTCCCGAATCAAGTCTTGGATTTCGAGATTGGAGAGCACTCCACGGAAATTGGTGCACTTCCCTGCTTTGCCTGCTGAGCGGAACCCACAGCCAACTCCAGAGCAACCACTATCCGCAAGCGTGAAAGTTCTTCCATAGTAAGCCAACCCAAGGTTAACTTTAGCAGGGTTAATACCTGCAAACCACAGGGGTGTCAAACCAGTGTTGATCTCGGATATGTTGGTCTGTGGTCGTACTTTCTTGCCCAAAGCTGGTATATCCTCGTCCCAGATACCGTGGAGATCATAGGACATGAAACCAAACCAGTCCACGTAAGGTTCCATAGCCTTAGGATCAGACCCAGAGAGATATGTATAGTCCGGCGCCAACACTATAGAGAGGCCATATTTTGTGCCAAAGGCAACCCGAAGTTCTTTCATCAAAAGGACAAGGTTTGCTGCATCAGCGCTTTTCCCTCCTCTTTTAGTTGCTGAAGGATACTCCCAGTCGATATCAGCCCCTTGGAAATCAAATCTTTCCATAAATCGAACTAAGGAAGAAATGAACCTTGCGCGATTTTGTTGGGTTGATACCATATTGCTGAAGGCACTTAGTGTCGATCCGGGGTCGTTGAATGCCCATCCGCCGACTGCAACCCAAGTCTGGAGAGTAGGTGTCTTTAGGGCTACAAATTGCTGCACCAGTGATTCGTCACCAGGATGCGCAAATTTGACCTCAAAAGATGAGGGATCAAAGTACAGGAAGGCAAACAGGAGATGAGTGAGCCCCCTCGTATCGATCTGGTGAGGCAAAACTTGGTTGCATAATCTGTCACGAGAGTTCCTGGAAGCTATTAATATGAGTAGATCTTACACATGAGTCGCATACCAAGACTGATAGTATGCAACCGATCGGCCGCCACTCGATCCTCCGTCGGGGCTGCAGGCGGGGGAGGCCAGTACCTCACAAGACCCGAACCCTTTTTGGCAAGGAGTCTTGCCGAACTGAGGCTCTGGATCTTTGCAGTATGTCTCAGTTGTACCACACCAGCCATAGTAGGAGCAGCATATGTTGAGCCCGCACTTCTTGTTGCCTCCCTCACTATCTCGGCCGCATGTCGCCTTCGCACCGCACTGCGACACGCAGACGTCTGCACCACAATGATCGGCGCCGAAGCCGCATTTCCCGGCCTCAGAGTCGTAAGCATAGCTCCTCACCCTACTGTGCGTGTGAAGGGATCTCACCTTGTTGCAGCAACTGCCATCCACACACGGTATGCCTGAAGAGCACGAAAGGGCGTCTCGTTTTTCAATGAAGCTGTGAGGTCTAGTGGAATTGCTGGAATCTACGCGCGTTGAGTTCGATAAGGAGTTGCTCTTGTTTACTTGGTTCAGGATATACTGTTCAATGACATCTAATCGCGTAGGAAGCATGTCTCCTCCAGAGGGGTCTTGGTGAATAGGAATCGTGGCATTCGCTGGGAGTCCTTCTTCCCTTCTCGTCGCTGGCTGCTTTAGAACGCTGCCTGAGTGGATATCCAGTATGAACCATGCAGAAGCTTCGTCAATAGATCTTTTCACCGGGCGCGTCTCATACCTTCGTCCGGGGATGGTGAATCGGCCTGCTTGATTGTTATTGGCAACATCTTCAAGACCGAAGTCAAAAGCAAATAGGCTATTCTGGAGATAATCCCCATTGCCAATATTTTGTTTGTCGGCGTAATCCCGTAACATTCCCTGCCATGTGTGAGGCTGTAACTATAGAGACTAGAGGACACAGATACGTTACCCCAAACCGGCTCAAGAGGCCCCCTTGCCAGTCCTGCTCGGCACTGACCGAAGAACATCTTGCGCTCTTCCCCGCTTTAGCACCCATTGGCGCACAAAACGTTGCGGCTCCCTGACCCCCTTGGATCCAACTAAGTAATATTTAGCATCTATATAGATCTTACGGTAGGAGACTTACGAGGCCGGAGGAAATTCATCACAGGAGAAAATAACTCCGCTTCTCCTATACATCGGGTTTCCATCCTTGTCTACAGTGTTTTTCGGGCCGCCACGCAGCTCCTTGAAGTTGTTTCCTCCAATTCCTCTAATAATAAAGTCAGAACTTCGATCGGCCCCGGGACTGGGTTTGACAGGGTTGGGGACTTCGCTCGGAGCAAGATGTCCCCAATTTCCACGCACCTGTTGTCCTCTCGTCTTGCAAGAACTGCGGGGAGGAAACCTTCACGTGGGTGATAGTATGTAGCGGGTTGATTTCTTTGAGGGCACCTTCGGTTGGACTGTGTAAGCCAGACGTTGTCGCAACCAGCGTCCTGTCTGCGAGCGACTTTTCGCGGTTCAGTATAGCCCTCACTTTCAAGAGCTGGCTCAAGGTCCACAACGTATTCCTTCAATGCATCCGTTTGTTTTGTGCGAACGTTGGCGCAGATCGCGGGCATGTAGTGGCAGTTCCAATACATGGTAGGCTTTGGATTGAGCACTGCCACGGTGTATGTAACCGCCGCAACATTGGGACTATGCTGATAGACCCAGACTTTCTTTGACAGCGACAGATTAGTACAGTGCGCAAGAAGAGAGGGTGAAGTAGTATTGGAGGTATGTGCCGCCTTCGTCTTCTTCGAAAACAAGAAGCGCGCGGGCGAGTTCTGCACCTTTTTTTTTCTCATACTCAGGTGGTTAACACTGAGAACGTAAATACTTACCTCATCTCCAACGGCTTGGGTGGTTTGGGGTCCCGGAAGCGGGAATCTTTGAGAGAGGACAAGGGGGGATTGGATGCAAAAGGAGACCAGACATAATGAAGAGAAACGCATCGTCTCCCGGTAATCTCTCATAACAAGAGACGGCACTGTACATGTGGAGATGGCCAGAGCCTGGATGGTCCTGGTGATGCACCGGGACTCTTATACCGGATCTCAGCCAGCTGGAAAAATTGGGTCTATACAATGACCAATTTCCTCCCCGCACACACCATCATGTTCCTGTGCTGAGAACTATAGGCAAATGAACTAATGTGAGGCGTAGTCTACTGCGCGTACCGAAGGAGGCTTCCCGACCACGGCTGTGCCGCATCGATGCAGCAGCTACTGCGGCGTAAGACAACGGGTAAATTTGTCGCTTGAGGCACGGAGGGCATGTCTAGAGTCTGGATCACATCTATTTTCTAGCGCCTTCCCGTTCAAGAAGGCGTGCCTGATGGAGCGGTCCGCTCCGTGAGGAGTACTCTCGGGTAACCACACACACACACCTGTTCAACTGAGGCACAGTCGGTCACCGGACCGAGAGATGCGTCCCAAGATGTCGGTGACCCGGAATCATCACTGGAGTGACATTCCGGATCCAAAGAGGTTGAGGTGGACGGGGGGAGAAGGCAGGGAGGGCCTTGGGGGAAGGGATAGGCTTCAAAAGGGCCAGTTGTTCGTACAGTGCACGGCTTTCAGCATTCTCATCGATCTTTCCCCAAGAATTTGATGTGGAAGCCGACCATGGCATTGCAATTGATGGTTCAGCATTTGGGTAGAGTTGGCCTACTCTTACCACTATTCGCGTCCTTAGCGTTTGCCTCCACACCGGGAATTACCTGTCGGTACTTTGGACTTGCGAGGGACGGCGATACTTGCTCAATTCTTTCGCAGAGGTATCGCATTAGCGATCGTGACCTTGTCGACTGGAATGCGGACCGGTTGACATGGGAAAACTGCGATTTGATACCAGGAACAGAGTATTGCGTCGCGTCAGGTACTTTTCTTTTGTTCCCTTTCCAAGGACGCAGTTCTAAGTGTCGCAGACAGGATACCAGTTTCGACGGACGGACTGTGCGGTTACGCGTCTTCGGTGCGAGCGAAATGTGAGACATCGAAATTTGGTGAATGTTGTAGTGCTGCCGGATAGTGAGTGGTGCTCTCAGGCTGCGGCGTCATTGCGCCATCTAATAGATTGAAGTTGCGGAGATTCTATGGACCATTGTGGGATCGGCAATTGTCAATCTGGTGCCTGTGTAGGCGCTGGCAGCTATAGCTATGACGGGCTTTGCGGACCCTTGAACGGGAAGATATGCGGCGGCGCTTGGGGGGTCTGCTGCAGTAGGTCTGGCTTGTAAAGTTCCTCGCCCGACGGACGCAGGCAGGTACACTAATCCGGTCCTTAGCTGCGGCTCCTCGACAGATCATTGTGGCGCCGGCTGTTATTCTGGAAACTGCACCATATCCACAACAGCCCTGAACACAGCTTCATCAACGACCACGGAGGCCACTGCACCGACCTCCAGTCAACCAACGAATAGGTATCCGTCCTCAGTCAAACACTACTTCTGAAGCTAATGCAGGCAGAAGTCCGTCGCCATCGAATACCACAACTGACGGCCAATGTGCCACAAATGGCAAGGCTTGCAATGGTTCATCATTTGGCGATTGTTGCAGTAGCTCGGGATATTGCGGAAATAGCGACGCATACTGTGGATCGGGATGGTGCGATCTAGTATATATGTCTGGTGGATATCATGAGCTAACAGGGTGCCAGCAACCCTAGCTATGGAAAGTGCAACAAACCGACGAATATCTCCCCGGACGGCACATGTGGGGCTATAAGGGAATACTCGTGTACCAACAGCAACTTTGGCACTTGTTGCAGTTCCTCTGGCTACTGCGGAAGTGCAGCTGCCCATTGTGGTCAAGGATGGTATGGAATATTGCTCTAGTTTGGTCTTCAGTTGCAACAAGCTCACTGTAACGGCAGTCAGCCTAAGTATGGGAAGTGCATTACAGGGCAGATCCCTTCAAATAACGGAGAGTGCGGAACGAGTCGTGGCAACTATACCTGCGCAGGTGGTCCCTTTGATGGGACGTGTTGCAGCATTGCCGGATACTGGTAACTCTCTCCTCATGCCAAGTGATCAGAAATCTTTAGCTGCTTACAATTGGTTCTTAGTGGTTCCACTGTTGCGCACTGCGCAGTTGGTTGGTATGTTCCTAACAACTTCGGATGACGTCTCTCTAACCAACAACAGCCAAGGCGATTTTGGAAAGTGCACGTAGGACCGAGGGGTAAAAAAGTACTAAGCGCGGTGGAGATGTATTCAGAAGTTTATACATCTGGGGGGTGTCCGTTACGGTCTTCCACTGAATAGTACATATGCTTAAGGTACCCGTCCCTAGTAGCGCTTCGAATTGGTATTACAAACTGCAATATTCCTAGCGCCAGAGAGAGCATCTAGACTAAGATGGGGCCCAATTCGGAGAATGGATCCAATAGTCCAAAGTTTTCTCTTACGTATAAGCCGGCAGCATCGCAGTTGTACTCCATGCTAAATCGTGTTTTGAGCTCCTGGTGGAAACGCGATTCCAAGGGATCCATGCCGTCACTGCCACCGCACGCACGATATATCGCCGTACTAGCGGACACGTGGTATTTATTCTCTAAAACGAGGGAGTGTATATCGGGTAATGCCCAAGAGTCAATGATAAGTTGAGGGTTGGACCATTGCGAAAGACGTAGCGGGAGCCGATAGACCCTGTGCGGAAGGGACCAATTGTAACTAGAGACGCCTGCGTCAACATGGACTTCTGAGGGTGTCTTTCCTAGCTTGCGGTTGTGCATCTGCAGACAAACTTTCCAAAACTGAAGAAGGGCAAGTATTTGGCGATCGGTTTCTGAGCATATCCGGAACGGGTGTCTTATGGTAGGAGGCCTTCCATTTAGGCGGACGATGGTGTTGGTCGGCTGGTTCTGTGCATAAAGCCATTCAAAAAAGCCGTCAAAAACAGCGTGCACAGCAGCAGGTTCTCTCCAAATAGGAACGCGCCGCATTTCCTCAAGGACCTCTTCTTCAATCTCCGCCTCGTCATCAATATCATACCAATTATCCCCCATTGTCATGCCGAAGCGTGCTACTGCATGGAGCACTGGCTCTGCAAAAACCCGAGGACCGAATAGAGTGTAGAAGATGTGGACGCGATAAAAGGACCTTAGGTAGGCCTCTAAAAGATGAGGCCCATAAGTAGTCATATTGCTGGTGCCGCTAGTCCCTTGAACGAACATGCCAGCATCGTTTACTGTATCCATTGCCGTTGATGTCCAGGCCAGGGCGGTGAGGTACAGGTCCATCACAGCCGCGCATTCTTGAACCCAATGCATATTTGGGACAACCGGGCACCCTGGGGGGACTGGCTTGCCTTTTTGAACTGCATGAAGAAACGCAGCTGACGGAATGAATGAGTAGGCCTCACGCTCCTTGTTATAGTAACAACAGGAGTCGTAAGGAATGCGAGCAAGGCGGATAGCGAGCAATGCATCGTCGAACCCGTGAAGTTCAGCCCCGCCGACGCTGGAGAGCAGCTCGGTGCAGTATTCATCCGCAATGTCGTGAAAGGCGCGTGCGACGCCTCTTAGAGTCAAAAGATTCCGAAGTGAATGCAAGTGCTTGAAGATACGAACCAGAAGCTCCACAGGAAGTTTCTCCATAATACCAAATTGTGAGGGCTGCAGATTTGACTCCCAGCAGCTTGAGGGGGTTATGCCGCTTAAATTATCGTACTGCACCTCCGAACCCCACAGAAGATTAATATAGACGCCAAGACAATCAACTCTTTATTAATCTTTGCGTTACGTAACCATAGGGTATCCCGGACTCTTTCACCCTAAGAAGAGCAGAGATTTGAACTGCGATATCAGCTAAATAAATATGATTATCATCACGTACGACCATAGCACACGGAAAATTGAGCCTCTCGTTCGATCGACTGTACACAAGCCGTGTAGCGCCCGTTGAGTAGTAGCGTGGGTGACCAGCTGCGAATAGCGTGGTGTTGTATGTTTTTGCATTCGTTTTTTTGTGAAGAGGACTTAAGATAACTATACCAGTTTATACGCGTGTTACTAACTCCCGGGAACGTCGACATACGTACGACTGGTAGGGGTCGCACCACGGATTTCTGTGCCGATGACCAACCGCTTTTCTCCCTCGTAGCTTCCGTTGCCCGCTGTCAGCCAGTATACGAGAAATATATCTCATTGGAGGCCGGTACGACTATCGTCGGCCTTCCACCGTTATCTTTCGGTTCGACAACATCGCCCGCAATCCAGCATGGTAACTTCACGACAGTATCCCGGTGATCTGCCTTCGTACCCCAATCCCACCAATCCACGACGGCACCTTTGACCACATACTTGAATGCTTCACCAGCTTTCACATCGTTGGGAAGGCTTGTCCAGCTCGTTCCTTGCTGAACGCGACGCTGTGTAGACCACGACTCGCCAGGTTGTAAGCTCTCAAAGCGGTCGGAGTTCTTATCATTCTCATCCCCAACCTTTACGGGAATAGGTGGATCATCGAAAATACCAAATCCGGTGCCGAAACCGTCAGCGGGATCGCTCCTCTCCCACAAGCCGTCACGGTGCCGGTATAATCTGATGCCATCTCGTGGGCCGTCCCCGGTGATTAAGGCCTCGGTGTGAAATGTGATAGGTTTGGGGTTCGGTTCATTAGGAACTCCTGCGTAAGTAACTCTTATGGTGAGGTCAATGGTGGAGTCAGAAGCCCATTCTGAAGGACATTCGATCTTCATGCTAAATATGGGGGCACCAGGTCTATGCGCTGTTAGCCTTTGCATTCTTATCGATGTATTCCCCTCTGGAAGGGGAGTGTGTCCTATGGGCAGATAATGACATGGAACATGGGGAAACTTACTCTCTTTCAGATGGCTCCCGCGGGGGCGGGGACTGAGGTGGATGCATTCTGCGCTCTGCTTCAAGCCGCCATTCTTGCTCTTTCATATTCGCTCTTTGGAACTCCGCATCCGTAGTGGCCTTTGGTCGCTCGGGCCAAGGTTCTTCCTCTTCTCTCGCGGTGAAAGCGATGATATCACACGCGGGAAGAATGAGCGGCGGTAACCTTTCCTCCCGATTGTTGTTCGACTTCAGCTCTTTCCCTATATGTTCCTGCATGCTTCCCCAGTCCCACATCCGTATCTCGGCTCCCGGCCACAGCAGTTCGTAGCTTTCACCTGGTTTAAGTAACCTTTGGTAATTTGCTGTTAGTTTTTCTCGCATGTGGACTTCCCGGCCAGGCGGCAACTCCCAAAGAAACTGATTCCAGCCATTTACAAGGATTGAGTCAGGCTCTGGTTCCGCGACTTGCAAAGGTGCCACGTCAACCCTCTCAGGACCATGCTTGGCTATGTGAAGAAGCACAAGCTCCGCGTTTGCAAGGGCGTTTCGATAGGGCCCCCACCGGAAAATGAGTGGTCGGCCATGATCGTCCCCCGGTCGACGTATCGTGAAGTCAATGTAGTAAGGTAACGTCACGGACAGATCAGAGTCAGTCGTTCGGCTTGCTTTCATGTGCAGAGAGAGGCGAGGCGCCTCGGAACTGCAACAGGTTAGCATTTGTCCTCTTCATCGAACTCGCTCGATTCTACTCTCACGAGATGTCGTCAACTTTGACGAAGGGCGAGTACTTCGGGTCCATTATCACTCACTCATGCGCACCTGTAGAACTCGGTGAGTGCTCCTTTTCGAATGAGATCTAAGTTGGCAGTTTTAAGATTCTATGGGATTGTTGATATTTCCAGCCCTGCACCCTCTCCACCCCGCAGGTCAGACATATGCATCCTCCAACTGCCACCTGACGTCATCTCACCAAATCCCGACCTGAACACCGGGGCAAGATATCCAGGCGGCCCAAGAAACCCATGATCCCCTGACACACTGGTGTTTCGAAACTTCCACGGATTTCGTAGTATGGGGGCGGGCGGACCCGTGCTGCCATCCATGGATGTTGAACGATGCTTTCAATAGGAAACTACAAATGCCTCCCAAACGGCGAGGAGTTATTTTGGGTGCACTAACACAGGTATCAGAGTCACACCTTGACGGGGCTCCCGTGGCCTCCAAAGGACTATCCTGTGCCCATTATTACCAACAGAAACCTCGCCTGCCTGGATGCCATGGAATAAGCCCAGTCCGGACAATATGGGGCCAATTTTTGAAGGAGGCCGCACCAACACCACAAATGACAGGAATAAGATCAACCTTTGGCCGTCATGGTCGTTATGTTGCTGCGTGGACATGGTGGTATGAAATTCACGTTTCGCTCCCAAAGGGCTGCACATGGGCAATGAGATTACTTGTCTCCCTATCGAACTATGTTCTTCAAGGGCATCAACCGTCTATCTCACATCATTTCAGATTGGCGGCCCCAATGTGCTTCATTCCTCCAGCCCTCGAGCTCAGCTTACGGCAATGTTTCAGCCCCGGTGATGCGATCCTAACCTTAAGGACGGGGAAGTGGCAGTGAAGCATGCTACGCACAGTTACACTGCCGAACAGAAAGTATAAGAGAGAGAGTGATTGTCGCAGTTTGACTGATGAACTCTAGTACAAGTAGGTCTGGTAGTTTACATGATCGAGCGACGACAGCCATCACCCCGAGCAAGCTTTTGTTCCGAGCTTTACAATGCGGTCTCACACGCTACTTCTACATTCCCTGGTGAGCCTAGGACTATCCGAGTAAGCAGAGAGCCCAAGCTATCAAGGGACACCAGACTGATCATGCTATTAGAGCCTCGCAACTGAAAACCAGAGGCTGGAAGTTCTCGGGTTCCTGCGACCAAGGCAAACAGGATGTAATTAAGACTGAGCTCAAACATGCAAAAGAGCTCGTCGACACTGCCGCCGCAAACGTCAAAGACGGCGTCTATTATGACACATTCTTCGCTCAAAGCCTCCGGGACGACCCGAACTTCTCAACCAAGGTCAGCAATGTGTTCTCCAAGGTATCCAAGATGCTGGACGACGCGAATCATGACTACGATTTCGAGATCACATGCGACAACAATACCGATATGTGCAAGGCGAAATACTATGCGCACATGGGCGACAGTAAGAAGCGCATGAACTTCTGCGATGTCTTCTTCAGCCCAAGCGGTGGAATCAAGCCCACCCAGGAAAGATTGGATAAGTGTGGCGAAATTACACTGAAGGAAGCACAGTGGTCGCGTAGCTCTATACTCGTCCATGAATGTACCCACACTGGCTTTGCTATGGATCCTGAAAAACGGTACGTGAAGACAGCATTGCAACACGCAGTCATGCTATCGACGCAAGACTGCTGATGCCGAGGACCTTTACACTGACTGCGCTTAGTACTCTCGACTATGCATACGGATTCAGCGCGAACTACTTGCTACCGCTTGGTAAATGGAACAGGGACTGTGCCCCGTACAAGAAGGCAGGAAAGGTCTTATGTCCTGATCCAAACGACCCCAAGAAGGAAGGCATATGCGACGCAGAAAAGTCGGCTGAAAATGCAGACACTTACTCCTTCGTTGCCGCTGGAGTCGGCTTCTCCAAGCTGTGCAAACGCGCCATCCCTCTGCCGCCCGCACCCTCCGCAAAACGCGCCCTGTCCAGGCGTGCTGAGTGCCCTGCGGACGACGCCATCCCCTTCGATGATGGCGCCGATGAGGACTTCAACGGGAGCGGACCGGTTGGCAAATGTGGTCTGGACATTGAAGAGCTCTGGACGTGCGAGCCTGATACGAATAACCTCTATGGACGCATGACTATTACTGCGCCGGACGGAAACGTCTTATATGAAACTGGTGGCTCGACCAGAAGCCCTGGTGTGCCCATAGGAGACCAGCAAAGGCCGACGATCCAGGAAGAAGGCATGAGCAAAGGACTGCAAGTAATTGCAGAGCATGAGAACGATTACATCCAGTTCTACTATGGTGATGTGGCGTGGACTAGTGGGACGACGGAGGGTGAAGCTACATGCAAGCTCGTAGGTGACAACTGGGATACTGAAAGTCCTGTGCAGTGTGATCAGGGAGCGCGGAGCAGGAGGTTTCAGTGTCAGTACCCGTGTTAGAGGAAAAGGTTTGAGTGCGTCAGTTCGCGTGTACTAGATTAAGCGACAAAGTAGATATCTAAATGTGTCTTCTCTTTAGTCTCTTCCTGTCAGTTAATCTAGTTAGGCGCTGTGCTAATAGCGGCATACTACTCCTTATGTGCAATATTGTTTATATGTAACGCTTGATAGCCCTAACTTCACGAAGCGCAAACTCGCTGATTAGCTACACCTAGACAATTACATTAATAATATCCTTTACTGTACCTAAGACTGAGTTCTCTACTACATTGCTCTTTAGGTCAATGTTGTGCAGACTTGAATTTCATGTTACTCTCCTAGAAAAGGCTAATAATTGCTTCTATTGCGTAGCCAGTTCAGGCAAATCCCTTACAAACATAATTTCCGTTCCCGGAGTTTGCAAAGAGTTGAGCTTACCATGTACTAAGCCGTAGCAACATTCTATTAGAAACTACCACTATTGCTATATGTAGGTATCATCCCAATTCTCAGGCCCACCGCCAAGTACTGGCTATTAGCAAATGTCAGAAACAGTTCAGTACATAGTCATTTGGACTTTGCCCGAACAGTCATGTCCATAAACGCAAGGAAGATTCTCAAAAACTTTTTTTGGTCACGGCTGTCGTTCTAGAAAAGAGTCACGGCCGTTACAAATTATTCCCAGACACGAGTCTGCAGTACACGAAAGCGGTGCCACCACCAAACGGGCCAGTAGTGTACCCGAGCAGCCATTCCAAGGTTATAAGCAATAACATATGTAATAGAAAGATGGTGAGGCCATTAACAATAATTAGAGGTGTGCTCTAGCTTGGTCTTCAAAGCTTCCAATGTTTTTATGTCCTCCATTGCTCAAAATAGGCGGTGTCCACTTCTAAGAAGGCCAGCGGCATACACGAGCGCCCACCAACATTTTATCAACAAGCCTTCATGCTATCCCGAGCCGCAAGCATCATAACGCTAAGGAACTTGCGAGCTCCATTTCAGGCCTTCATTCGGATCATGTTGCCATAACCTGATATTCTTCACTACCCTGTACAGCCAAGATCGTCCTGTATCACCGCCGCACCGTCGCCAGAGTAGTCACCCAGTTTAAGAACCACCAGTCACTCTATCTTCTCTCTTTCCCCATTTCTCAGCTTCTTAACTTTGGCAACTAGTCTGTAAGTGCTCTCGCCAAGGTACAGTCTATCTAACTCACTCAAAACGGTATGTGATTGCATGTAAACAGCCACAAAGGACACAGCAGTATTAGAGACTCTCTTGTCCCGTGAGATGCTTTCGAGGAGCTGGGCACGGCACTTCGACCATGTAGCCTCCATCATGAACCACCTAGAAAAGGATCAAGGACCCCAATCCTACAACGCCGGCCAAGAGGCAAGGGATATTCCGCGCCACAAATATTCCGTCAGAATTCTCAAACAGATAGCAAACGCTTTCTCATCTGTGACGGTCCAACCTCCTACCACCACCAAGAACAATCAAAGCATTCCCAAATACACTCACGATATGTAAAGACTCATAAAATCCATGAAGATAAACAGCTAAAAATTATGAACGCCCATCTGCATACGTTCCTACAATGCACAACCCAGCTCTTCCGACACGCTGAAAGCCTGCTAAACTACCCTAAGCAGAAGCAGATACCTCGAGCTTACACCTCGTCGTACCTCTCCAAAAGGTCCCCCACTCCCCAGCGAAGAGCTGGTCCCCCACCACCGGCCATCCTAAACACCTCCTTAGCGGGGCAAAAAGAGAAGAGAGAAAGTAACCCACAGCAGCCATCCCTCGCCAAGCAGGGTGCATAAGTGCGTGCGTCATCAAGGTAGCGGCGCTCTCATGTCCACCAGGTCGCCAAGATCGTGTACATTTGGGCCGCTATTGCGATCATATTCAAGGTACGTGTGTGCTGTGCCACATGCCCGATACATAGCTAGGTAGTTGGATCCGATTGTTGAGGGTTGAAAGAAGAGCTTATAAAGAGGACTATCTAGGGCCTATCTAAGCCACGTGAGAAGCGTGAAGTTTTGCATCTGTGGTTATATTAGCGTATAGTACGTCGTCGAGGGCCACGCTGCTGCTAGAAGCTCGAGAGGGTTATAATAAAACATTGCCTCCAAGACGGTGATTTGCCATTTTAGGGACCATAGCGGAGGAAGGGAAAGTTGTGTCTGGAAGATAGATCGAGAGGGACCCAGATCCGTCGCATCGACGCGCAAGCAAGCTAGATCTCTGCAATACCACCAATCTCGTCTTGGAGCACGACAATCGGCCTCGAGCAATATCAAGCCGCACAAATCCGGGTACCTGCAGACTATTGACCGTTTAGGCCCAGATGATCGACCTGACACATGGGCCTCGCATCGAATATGGTTCGGCTCCCGGCAGTGAGTAGTAGTTCATGCTGTCAAACAAATCGAAGATTGATGCTATACAAACCTTAGCACTTGTACGGGACGGATGCTCAGAGCGGGATAATGTTGCATATCGGCTTCATGGCAAGGCGTGGATATTGTTGGTCCTAGCTCTTTGCGTTCAACCTGAACGGGCGACATGGTGGTTGAAAGGGCGCCCTTGACGTCTGAGCACAGAAAGCTTCCAGAACGATTGGAAGCGTTTCGAAACCTCCTAAATATTGATCAATAGATCGGAGATCTTTTTAGAGCAGAACCAGGTCTGCGGGTTGTGACGAGGGTCAATACGTCGCAATTGACATTGCCAGTGACGGGGGTTGGCGAGATATTGCTCATAAAGGTGGCCAGATCGACCATCCTGCTAACAGCAAGGTGTACAGCAGTGGCTAAGACATGGGTCGGACCGTCATGTAGAATGGCATCCAGACAGAGTCGAAGGCGTAACCTGCGGAAGAAGTATGCTTGGAAATGGAGAAGCATAAATTTCATATGAAGGATAGTGATTGTGTCTGGAGCATAGAGCCATCGGCGTCCTAAGCTGTGCAAGTATAAAAGGTACAAACCTGCGTGGATTGAGTAGCAATACACCACAGCGCTCTGACCTGAGGTAGAGAGTGGCAAAAACGTTGTTTCCAACACATACACCTCGTATATGGGAGCGCGGACCTACAGAGGTAGATTGCGCCAAACGAAGATTGGGGGCTGTACCGCAGGTATTGAAGGATGGCCGGAGCATGCCGCAGGGGTAGCGAGCAGATTAGCAATCTGACCATGATAAGGATCCGACGAGAAAGGGTAGAGGGACACGCTGCGGTGAAGACATCCGACAATCTGCGTATATTACATAGAAACACCAGCATGGCAGAGGCTGAACGGCCGTGCAGGGCCAAGTGCGTAAAATGTCCGGTCCTCCTTCCGCGTTCACAGAAGGCGTCTACGCAGGGATCCCATGGTTGAGAGAAGTATTCGCATTCCTGGTCTGTAGTTCGGATAGATTTGCGGCAAACCACAGCGTTGGGCGGCTGTGGACGCAATGTGGAAGAGTGATAGGTGGGAAGTGTTATAGAAGCTGTGCGTTATAAGCGCTGGGAGATCTATCGGAAGGGGAAGCGGGCCGCTTTCTTGCGCTAGGCTTAATATGGGTATTTTAGTGCCATTTCCTCTTCTGGAAGTCATTAGCTCCTCATCGACGGCTGGGCAAGGTTGGTGATTAGACCCCACCAAAAATTTACGCCGCAGCCAGTGTCGCAACGCATGCAAACCCCCAGGAGTCTGAGGAGCTTGGAGATCCGAATTGTACCTTGTTTAGAGCTTGATTTGAAGTAACCCTGTCCGGCAATATCGGAAGGAGCAGCTGCTGAATCACGGCAATGTCGGTAACATTGGACGAGGACGCCATCGACGAGATTCTGTACCTCGCGCGGGCAAACGAAGCACACGAGTTGGAAGAATTCCTCTCAAATCTTTCCGGGCAGACGCAGAAATCGAGGACTGAGTTGATCTCCGCTGCAGTCGATCCGAGCTCGAAGAATACTGCTCTGCATTATGCGGCTGCAAATGGACATGTTGGTACGACACTGCTCAACAAGAACACACAAGTAGTGTGTCAAGCTAATGACTACCAGACGTGCTGAAGCTTCTACTCCCTTCCGACTCGCGCAAGGGCACCGCGCCTCCTTCGAGTCCGGTAAACGCGATCAATGACGCCGGGAATACTCCGCTTCACTGGGCAGCACTGAACGGACGTCTGGATTGCGTCAAGCTCCTGGTAGAGGCTGGGGCGGATGTCACTATCATAAACAAAGCTGGTCATGATGCCGTCTTTGAGGCGGAGATAAATGACAAGGGAGACGTTGTTGATTGGCTGCTTGGAGCAGTTGAAGACCTCGAGAAAGCCGTTGGGAACGGCAGTGGATCCTCCGCCGAACAAGGCGAGGGAGACGATATGGATGTCGACGAGACTGTAACCATGAAAGCATCCACCGACGGAGCAGCTCAGCAAGCAGAGACTTGTGGCGTCGACGAAGTCCGAAAAGCGATGGAGGGCATGGACACCAATGATGGAACCTCAGAAGGCGGGTGAAATATTAGGAGACCAAAACATAGATTGAGATATATTGCTTGGCAGTCGTCCGTCGTCTCTGCGAGGAACCGCACATAAGTGACACAGTAATAGGAAAGAGATGGTATCCTGGAATACGGCTCTCATGGCCACGTGGCGGGCGATATGCCTACGCCATGGAGTCTTGCGTTCTGCATCAAAGAACAACGGCGCATGCTCCAGGGCGGAGGGGACAGTAGAGGGTTGGCTAAGTGTATGAATCGGTGGGCTGTCTGAGGTTGATAACACGAAGAATAAGGTCGGCTCATATCCAATACTGCAACTGAGCGCTCCACTGACTTCTCAGTGACGCTTCTATTGCCTCGCCGCCATTTCAAGCATCTGGACTGCCTCTAAGTCTTGCATTAGTGGTCATATTGATATCGCTCGTCATGTCCTCACAATATTGCTTACCGCCGGGGATCTAGTCCCTCAACCAGGCACGCCGCTTCTCCTCCTTCTTTTCCCTTCGCTTTTCCTTGTATGCCTTGAGCTCCTTCTTACTGAGGGTCTTGCCCCGTCGTTCAGCCTTGAGACTGCGTCCGTCATGGCTATTCGCAGCGGCATCCACATCAAAGAAGGCGGACATTTGCCTCCGGCTCTTTTGCTCGTCGCTGTGTCTGTCCGGGTTGAGCGAGGCGTCCTGGAAGCGACCCGTGAACCTATTGAAGCGGGCGGCAGCCACATAGGGTTGTGTGGGATCCGCCAATCCCGATGCTAACGCTGACGCCGCTGCGTCCTCCTCTTCTTCCTCGTCTTGTCCCTCCCTTGCGTAGTCTGCATTCGGATCATAGCTGCCATGAATGGCAGGGTTGTATCCGCCAGCGCGACGCTTGGGAGGAGAGGAAGTACCGGGTGCGCCTGAACTACTCGTCACGCCGGGAGCGAAGCTCTGCATGTATCTGTGAGAGAGAGGGATTAGGATAGGAAAGCAAGGAAACGATTTCTAGTTTTAAGCAAACCTGTCGTACGATCCGTAGTTGGCACCGGCCGCCTCCGGGACTCTTGGGTTCTCCCATTGGCTGACCTGTGTGTAGCGATTGTAGAAGTAGTATGCTTGGGCGTTGCTGTCCCAGAGGGCATCCCATCCATCGTCCTCTGGGGCTGGTTCGTCAGGAAGAGGGGGTGCCTCTTCGTCGGGCAAGGGAGGGTTGCGAGGAGGTGTTGACTCGCGATGGGCGTTACTAGTCGTTTCGCCATCTTCGGATAAGGATGAATGCCGGGACTGAGCATCACTGGGATCCTGTTCATGCGCCGGCGGAGTTCGCGAAGATGAAGGTGACGGCTCTGGAACTGCAGGATTGCCAGGGGCCTGGTCTTGGGAAGACATGATGTCGGGCAATTAAGCGTGCAGAATATGAAGCGCAAGGTACTGCGAGTAGGAGCATCTAATAAGACGGCTGGAACCGGAGATCTCGGATGGAGTCGAGGAAGAGGGGAGCAAATGTACGACGGCACGTCTTGTTATGGATAACGGTGGGAGAGGACAGATGGGCGTTTGGGAAGTATGCGCGGACTTGATTCAAGCTCGTGTTTTTCAGACGGGCCCAAATGAGGGCCGTCGCGGTTGAGCTTGGCATTGATTAGTAAAAATATCACGTGACAGCTTGGCATATCTGCCGCCCGCACCTGCACCGACCAGGCCAGACAGCACTGGAAGGAGAAACACCTACTAGCAACAGCAAACAACTCTGCATTATTGAACAACTAGCCTCTTCTTTTCACTCCCGCTCCATGCCGAAGCCTGCTTTGTTGCCACTACTGACCAGCATTGCTCGAACCCTGCGCATGGACGACGCCTGCAATCTCCAGAATAGGTACAGTAATTGTCCAGCGGCATGACGACGGAGCGTGCAGGGAACTGGAGGTGCCGGCTTCACAAAATGATCCTCAGCATGACCCGGCCTGGCAAGCCTTAGCTCTGGCCTCGGAACGCAGCTCGCGTAGCCATGTCATGATCAAGGTGGCCTCATGGGATATGCCAGGAGCGTGTCAAAATAATGCGCACCACGAAGGACCCAAGACGCACGGCGTCGATGGATGTGCGGCACCCATAACCGGCCTGCTATCACGCAGCATGGCCTCTTGCGCATGAAAGTGGTGAGCTGCATGTCTGGGAAACCGACAGAGAGGCCCAGGGTGCGCCGCAGCACAAGCCAAGATGGCTACATGCACGAAAGACCAGAGGCGGGCTTTTGCAGGCCAGGGGCGGCACCCGTGAGGGAAGCGCTCCGTTCACGGTTCAACGGTTGTGGTGGGTGTGGTGGTTGGTGGACTGTGGTGGAGGACCTCCCGACCGATTCGACGCCGCTTTAACAATCTGGCTGGGGACCCGCTTGCTGGACTCTCGTTCCTATCATGCTCCCCTAGAGCCTTGACACCCAGGAACTTCCGGAGGACATAGTACTCCACGCTGCTGTTCGTCTCCCAAGCTGCAGATGCTGTTGCACAATCTCACTGCGTACGGGGCCCTGAATTGTATTCAGCGCCTGTTTCCGTGGAATGGCTGCCGAAGCGCCTTGATGACGAGGGCAACAGGACCACCGCCTGGACTCTGGCCGTATAGGACCGCCAGGACAAGGAGGGCACTCGGGAAGAGGAGAAGAGGGCCGATGGGAGCGGTGGCTGCTGCGGACAGGCCCACGATTGTCTGAGGCATGCATCGGGGGCACTTTGAAACCCAATCTATGTGAAGCTTATTGGGCGCTGGGGCAACTCGCTGCTCGCGTACCCGACGCCCGGTCTGGAGAAACTGCTGGGGCGCCAAAGCAATACACAGTCCACAATACTTACGGGATTTTGCCGCAATAACATGGACATGTTCGTTGCATCCCGCTCCCACGCTGCATGATCGGCACCAGTCAGCAACGGGACCGCACGCGGTTGGACAGAGGCTCACGACTGCTGTTGGCCTGCTGTTGAGATCTGGTGGCTCTCAGGCTCAGAGAGTGAACATCCCAACCACCCACGCGCCCCTCAAATCCGTATTGCTGCACCTCGGCGCAGGAGGCCAAACACGCTACGCTACGCTGTGTGCTCGAGTCTGCGGGTGCCTCTCTCACGCTCTCCAGCGCCGCTGCTCCTTGGTGGATCTTGCTGCGGTCTTGGACAGTCTGAGCTAGGAGAGCCTGCGGGCAAACTACCTAGGTATTGCCTGGTCGCGGGCCTGTCCATTTCGCCGCTGCTTAGGGCCCTTAACCCCTGCTGGCTCCATCACATCTCGCTCGGTTCTCACTTACTGACTAGTCAACTACTACGGAGTACTGCTCAGACAGTAAAAGCTCCAGCACCATGTTCCTGGCGGCGCCCGTACAAGTTCAACTTCGACGCTGGAATTGCTGGAATAGGCACACTGGTCCTGCGGGTGCCGCTTCCCCAGCCCTTCCCATCCCCCAGTCCTCAGCATTCGTCCCCGGCCCTGGTCAGCTGTCTTCTCTGCCGCAGCACGGATTCCCGATCACTCTCCGCTGTCGAGCTTTTGACACTTCCTACCCGGTATATCACCTTTATTGCTATCACCTCCTCGTACCAGTTCAAACTTGGGAGGCATATTCCCGTGCATACCAGGCTGTCTCCCCTGGCGCATAGCAATTGTTTACGCCGCACCTCGCAGACGACCATTCATTGTCCCTGTGCCTGTGAGTCCATGTCCCGCTCCCCCTCGTAACCCCTACATTCCTTCCGCACACCTGGCAGCTTCGGCTGTGGCCCATGAGCTGCCGGAGGTGTGGACGACCGTCAGACGTCAGCCCTGCACGGACTGTGACTTCCGTTGGCACTTTCTCAGAGAACCTTGCCGAGCTGCTGCAAGACCTCACAGCGGGTATCCCACTTACTACAATACAGACGCACGCAATCGTGCTTTGTGCAGTCCACTGACTACTCCCCGTCCCCCAGCGCCTGTATCCATGTGCCCGATAGTCTGACAATCCGCGAGCTGATGCCGTGCCTGCATCACTGTCTGGGCCAAGGCCGTGCCTGAATCTCGAATGTGCCCTAGTTTATATCCTTTGTCACTCCCTATACCTTCATGTGGTCTACTGGCCAATGTATCGTGGAAGCCAACCCACCTCAGGCGCTGACCAGCAACCGTCTCTCCGATCCGAAGCGATGCTCGCCATCGACATGAACCGCCTGCCCAGCATACCCTCGAGACCGGCCCCTCCCCACACGTATTCCTCGTACGACTCCTACCAGAGGTATACCGTTGCGCCGTCTCAGTCAGATATATTCTCGTCCAGTCGATATCACCCACCCCGGGAACCTGAAGGAGGCCATAATAATGCACAGAAGCTGCCCAGTCTCCGAACCCTCCTGGAACCTGAATATCTGGACACCAAGCTACCTGACCCACCTCCACGATTAGAAGGCGGTCGTCCTGCCCAACTTCAAGATAGCTCCGTGCGGTACGGATCGTCGAGCCCAACGTTGAAAAGACGGCATGATTTCGACGGTTACAGCCACTCACTTAACGAAAGCAATGCTATTGCGAGTCGAGTGCCACATGTGCAGCATGCTGGACACCACACCACTCCATCCGATCCTCACTCGCTATCGTTCTCCATGCCGGCCCCAACCCCCCACCCCCATCCGCCAGAATCTTCCCGCCATGGAAGCTTCGGTCGCCCATTGTACGATACATCGTATCGGCAGCCATCGACGGCAACCGCGATACCCGCTTCCTCTAATCCTCTTGGTACCCTGACTCGGCAGCCCGCCCATGACGAGGCGTCGGATCCGGCGAAGCCAGCACGAAGGCGAACCGAGGGGTCGTCCCGCGCTCCAGTGCGAGCTTCGCGATGCATTGGAGAGCGTGTCATTCCTGGGGAAGGGCTTTGCTGGATCTACGAAGATGGCACGTTCTGTCGTGCCGTGATAGACGGTGAGCCTGTCAATCCATCCTGGGGTATCACAAAGGCAGGAAAACCGCGAAAACGGCTTGCACAGGCCTGCTTGACGTGTCGAGAGAAGAAGATCAAGTGTGAACCTGGTTATCCCAAGTGTCACCAATGCGCCAAATCGCAGAGAGCATGTAGAGGGTGAGTGCTTTCTTGTACCACACATTGCCCGTCGTACTGTACTATTGTCTATACGCATGAACTTATATCCATTTCAAATATCTGAGCATACACACGTCGGTACTTGGGATGACAAATACTGATCTGGGAAGTAGTGGCCTCAACCAGCTCGGCATGAGCAATGCGTCGGGAGAGACATCACCGTCGTCATCGTCTGGGCTATTTAAGAATCCGTCAATGGAGCTTGTGAGCCCAGTGGCTGGCCCCGACAAAACAAGAGCTCTTGAAGAGCAACGCGACACTTCTCGCACGACAGAAGCGTGGAGCGCTGCTGTCGGCTCGTCTTTTAGGCTTCGAAATCCCCGACCTACTACGCTCGTTGATCCGAGAGGCATGTCGGTACACTCAGCCGATTCGGACTGGAGCGGTTCGTTCAACCCAGGGGACCCGGACGATCCCAGACGCGGCTCGCATCACGACCAACTCGCCCTCCAATGGGAGCAGGACCCCTATGAAACAGACCCGTCTTTGACTATGCACCTTTTGGATCTTTACTTCCGCCACGCAGGACGGGCTACGTACGGCATGTTCCCTCCCCAGCCTTTTTCGAAATGGGTAGAAGCAAATCGAGAGAAGAACCAGGACCATCTGATGCTTTTGTACTCCGTTCTCGCAATCGGTTCCATCTATTCCCCCGACCCGGACAAACAGCTGCTCGGTAAACGGTTCGCTGCGGTTGCGGCATATGCCATGGACAAGCGTTTTGGCAAGTTCACGTTGCAGTTATGTCAGAGTAGGCTCATGCTTGCGTTGTATAACTTCGCTAGGGGTAATGCACAAGAAGCCTGGGACTATTGTGGAGCCGGCATCCGAGCTCTCAGTGCCTTAAAGCTGAACACTGAAGAAGGCATCAAGGAACTACGGGATAGCACATCGGACCTGGACTACGGACTTGACAGCCGGACCTGGGAAGAATGCTGCCGCCGGACTTTCTGGTTCGGGTTCCTGATGGATGTAAGTTCCACCGCGTTCACGGCGACAACCTCTCCTGACCTAATGCTACGGCAGCGCTACAATGGATTTTGTGGCGGCAATCTATGTGTCATTAGCATTGAGGATGTTTTTGTTCGCCTCCCTTGCGTGGAATCTTCGTACGAAAGCTCCAGCCCCGGTGATACTCCCTACTTTGACTTGGAACTTCTAAGTCCGCATGGCTCGACTCCTCCTGTCCTCGGGCACATGGCGTGCTTGATACTGATATCGGCAATCTGGGGCGAGGTGTTGACATTCACCAGGCGAGCAGCCCATCGTCCCGATGCCGGTTTTGAACGACTGTATGAAGCTTTCTACTCAAAGACTTACGAACGCCTGGATTCTTGGTGTAACATGTTACCCCCCAACCTCCAGTACACACCGCAGAATCTTGAAAATAGCATAGTCGATGGGACCGTGGCCACGTTCGTCGGGCTTCATGCTCTCTATCACACGACCGTCATCAGGTTGAACCGTCATGTGCGGCTCGCAGCCTTCTCAAACGAATCGGTCGGACGCAATATCGAGCGGTCGTTTCGAACCGCTTCAAACTTCCTGTCGATGATTCATTCTCTTACATCAGCCAGTCCGCCAGGACGCCTTCCCGGCAAGGCCTTCTATTCCACTCCGTTCCCTGGATACGCGTTGATGCTGTCTGTTGACGTGATTACTTCCGCTGGCACTGTTCCTACGCTTCCTGCGCTGATTGAGTCTATCGGCACTACCATTCCTTACATGGAGGAATTGGCCACTATCTGGGCTTCTGCTCGTTTTCAGCAAAAGGCAATCTCACAGCGGCTGAACAAATTGGTGGAGGTAGCGCGGCAGGAGGAACAAGGTGTGCGCAATGGGAGCTTTGGTGATTTCTGGCGCGTGCCGGATAGCCTGGATACAGGGTTCGGGGCCGAAGACGCGGTTTACGGGGCGAACGACCAGATGCTATTCGAGGTTATCGGGAAGCTGACAGGGCGTTGAGCCCATGTAAGCTTCGACCATTTTTGCGGGCTCGACAATGAGACACTTTACTCCGCATTCAATGTGCCAAGCATGCTAGCCGCGCGATTGTTGTTCGCATTGCCGGCTTCGTGGGCCGTTCCAAGAGCCGACCAGTTCAAGCACGAAATGCGGCTCTGGTGATTTGGAATTGCCTCCCATGCCAACCCAGATTATCTACACCTCGACGCCAAAGCTTTCCTCAAAGAACCAGAAGCTTCCGGAACGATGGTTACAGCTTCCCGAGAAAGGGCTTCATGAAGCTCACGAATGTAATGTCTCACGGATGTGCAACAATGCCCGCCACGCTGGTGCACCCTCGCCACCACCAGTACTTTCTTGGCCGCCTTATTAGGATCGCTTTTAATATCCTATTGTATAACATTTCTCGTTTTGGCGTCTCTATTCTTGTTTCTGCAAGTTCTCTGCAGAAAGAAAGGGACGGGGTTTTTTCACCTCTTGGTATGATTGCTGGGCAGAATGGTTCCAGCAGGACCCTCAATCTTGAAGGGGCCGGCCGTTCAAGCCATTCAATACACCTTGGACGGTACGTATTGGAAGGCTAGCTTTCTGTCAGCGGCTTTTGCGGCTCGGGGCCCCTCCCTTCTTTCTCCTGGTTTTGGAGCTTTTTCTCCATGTAACTTGGGACTTTCGGTTATCTTTGCTTGTTGCTTTTCTTCCATTACTTGACGGCTTTTCAAAATCCCCTTGCTCCTTTCTTCTCCCTCTCTTTTTTTTTTTTCCCTACCCTTCTGTTTGTCTGTCTTTTGTCAATTGATTGCGGCATCTGCATGGTTCACTTGTTGTACGATAAAAAAAAGCGAAGTTTCACCGTCGTGGTCGTTCGTCGGCGGCAGCGGCGGAGGTGGCGGAGAACTGGAAAATTTTCCTTTCCCCTTGTTCGTCTATCTGGAAAAAAAGATACGGGTATGGCTTTATGAGATCGAGAATAATATTTTTGTTATAAGAGATAAGAGTATGGTGTGGTGTTCTTGCGACGTCGTATGATGCTGTCTGTGGTCCTGTGCGTTTTATCGTAGTTGTTTACCAGGGAGGTATAGTTGGCTTTCCTACAAAGGGGGTTATTGGGGTTGTACGGTTGTGGTTTGGGTTGGTAAGAGGGAAAGGGAGGAGGGGATGGGGTTTTGGGGAGATTGGAGGAGAGAGGGGACGGGACTGGTGGGCTTCGAGGTTCATTCTGAGCCTTCGTTGTAGGATCGGAGGGGTAGGTTTCCTAAGAAACAAGCATGGGGATTGGGTGAGATGTTTGTTTTATACTCTAGCTTCCAGTTTCTACTCTCTAGTTTCTACTCTCTGGTTTCTGGTTTCTGGTTTCTGGTTTCTGGTTTCTGGTTTCTAGCTTCTGGTTTCTAGCTTCTAGGTTCTAGGTTCTAGTTTTTGCTTTCTAGTTTCTAGCCTCCGGTTTCTAGCTTCTAGTTTCTAGCCTCCGGTTTCTAGTTTCTAGTTTCTAGTTTCTAGTTTCTGCTTTCTGCTTTCTGCTTTCTGCTTTCTGCTTTCTGCTTTCTAGTTTCTGTCTTCTGCTTTGTACTTTCTGGCTTCCAGTTTCTGCTTTCTAGTTTCTGGTTTCCCGTCTCTCGTCTCTAATATTTTTGTGATTTGCGATCCTTCTCGTTTTCCGTTTCGCGTCATCCCACTTCTGCCATTCTGCCCCATCCCGCTCTGCTAATCCCACTCCTTCTCTCCTCCCCTCTCCCATCTACAGTCCCAAAAAGCTACGAGAGTCATGGATGGCATCGGTTCGATCGCCATTCTACCTCCTTTCCTCCCCCATTCTCTCCCTCTCTCCCGGTTCGATTTCCTGCTTCTGAGATCCGCAGCCCTCGTCACGAGCTCACCTCCCCTCCAGGCGCTCATGGCAACGTCATGCGCTACGATACTATGGAGAGTTACATCTACCGACGAAGCCCTGGTTTAGTGTGGCTGAGGAACCTGTGTGTAATAGGTAAGGCGGAGCTAAGCTTAAGTCGAAGATCAAGCCCAAGCGTCTCTGGAACTCTAATGGATATATGCAGAAGAAGAGAGTACAGCACCTATTTTGATTTCAGATTGTTACACCACGGTTTCTAAGGAGCGGACGAACACTGATCATCTCGGTCTCAGTCCTATGTAATAATCATCGCTAATTACTAAGATCAGCTGTATACACATGTGTACCACTGGCAAAACGAGCAGGAGAGACCCGTATATATTTCCCAGCGCCCTACTTACTTGTACACGATATCACAACCCTCGTGGAAATCCCGTCCTGCATGCGTACCTCTATGATGGGCCCTTTGAACGCCCACGTCAAAGAAAGAAGAAGGAAGATGAAGAAAAAGGAAAAGGAAAAGGAAATGCATGGGTATCACAATATACCAGTCCCGAAAAAACCCGTTCAAACCAGAAAAACCATGCACAATCACCGAAAACACCTACACCTAACCTGAAACAGCACCTACCCTCTTCCCACGCCCATAATCGACTCCATTACTCCCCATCCTCCATCATCTACTCCACACCGCCACTCTCCCCCTCCCCATCCCTCCTCCTCCCATCTTCCACCGCCCCCATCCCCGACGACGCAAAAGCCTGCTGAATCCCACCCCTCGCCGACGCCTTCGCGCTCCCGATATCCAGCTCGGCGAACCGTGGCCTCACCAGCGAGATGTTGACGCGGGCGGCGTTGAAGATCTGCTCCGAGGGCGGGATGGCGGCCGCCAGGTTCGTGTTTTCCGTCAGGCGCGTGATGAAGAACATGAAGCGGCCCGTCTTGATCTGCATTTCGGCGAAGTTTGCAATGTTGGGCGGGAGGTTGGTGTGTTTGCTGGTGATGGGGAATGTCAACTCCTTGACTCTGGGTTTTGGATGGGGAGTAGGTAGGGGTTATGAATGAGGGGAAAAACCTACGCCATGCTCTGCTTGTGCGTCTTGAGGATACTCGAGATGCGCTCGAAGCGGTCCGTGAAGGGGTTCCGCTCCTCCAGCCCCCGCGTCACGTGCGTCACGGTGAGGCACGTCGTGCGCTCGTACAGGATCAATTCCCGCGCATCAATCACCTCGGCCAGCTGCCGCAGCAAGGCCTCGATGCTGCCCGCGTTGGGGATCAGATAGTAGATGATCTGCGTCCACGCCTTGTACAGGCTCTGGTCCCAGATACTCGTCGCCCAGAACTCGACCGTGTCCTTGAACCCCTCGGACGCCGCGCGTATGTACTCGGCGCGCTCCTCGAAGAGCTGTTGCCGCAGGCGCGCCTGGACGAGATCCATCTTGTGGATGAGCACGAAGACCTTGGCCGAGGGGGAGTTTTCCTGCAGCGCCCGGATGATGCTCGAGTAGGAGATGACGTCGGCTGCGAATTCGCGCGACTCGATGTCGAAGACGAAGATGAGGACGGCGACGGAGGAGAAGACGTGCGCGCGTTGGTGCGTCAGGTAGTTTTCGACGAAGCCGTCTTGTCTGTACAATAAGATACAGGTGTCAGAAATTGGCATGGAAGAAACCTCATTGAATCTGTTGAACTGACTCACCCTCCACAATCCCACAGGTTCAGCATGAGGTTCCCCATGAACTTGATGTTGCTGTGCTCGACGTCGATGGTGGCGCCCAACCGCCGCACGTCCTTGGCCACATAGTTGCTGAAGACGATGCTCCGCATCGACGACTTGCCCGCGCCGGATTTGCCCATCAGCAGCACCTTGCGCTGCTTCTGCCGCTTTCCCGTGTTCATCTTGAGGTGTTGTTGTTCGTGCTACGGTGACGGCGGGTTTAGGCGGGAGAAGGGGGACCCCAGTGAGTGGGAGAAATTGGAGAAATCGTGGGGTCGTGGATGTCGTGGACGAGTGCGTACTACAACGCGCGCGAGGTGTGACGTTGCTGTGTATTGAGGTGTTCGGTGTAAAGTCGATACATAGCCCTGCTTGGGCGGATAGATGTGGCCCAGGCGTACGGCGTCAATGGCTCGTGCACACCAAGACGATCTACAAAGAGGCCTGAAGATTGGGTTGACATCGAAGCCGCCGAAGCTCCCTGCCATGCTTCTGGAAGCTTTGGACGAACTATATCAAGCCAGATAATAACTGGGTAATTGATTGTCTCAACTGGACGCTCTGCACAGCACTTGCACTAAACTACTGCTGCATGGTATGCGCCGTCGAATTCACACCTCTTCTTCTTGCTTCCCCCGCCTAAGCATGTCGTTTCTGAGTGCGATTAAGAACTATGTCCGGGGTTACCCGGAGCTGAGCTGAAAGCCTTGTAAAAGGCAAAGAAATATATGGAAACCAAACCGCCTTTGCAAACTTCGCATGTGCCACCCGGCAGGAAATGAATAGACAATATACATCGAACAAGTCGAAAGGGAGAAGAGCGACGAGAAATGCCCAACGGCTGCAGGGCGTTGGACGGCCGAAGCTGACAAACGTAGTATGAACAGGGAACATTAACCCCAAGGGTTCTCGAAGAACATGCCAATGCCGCACAGACAAGCTCCAAGACATAAAAAAGGACATGGGCGGGATATTTCTCTTATCGCCGCATCTCATAGAATGGTATAAGGCTGTTGGGTTGACGAGAGAGGCCGTAGCAGGGAAAGGTGAGGTTCGAGGGCGGGTATCTTAGAAAACAGTTCCGTCTGAAAGGATCATGATTGGTGGTTCTTTGGTATTGGGCCGCGACACCTCTGCGATTTCTCTTCCTCCCTGTCGCGCACGTTAGTGAGATTCGAAGAGCCTTCGCGACGACAATTGTTACCTTCCAAGTCCCCGCCTCCAGCATCTGTGCCAGAGTCAATTTGTCTCTTCCGCTCAATCCAAGCAACGAGTTCACTTCTACGAGCAGCTCGTCCAAGAAGCCTACCGTGGCTGCTCGCCACTCCACGATGACGTCGTCATCTGCTGCGAAGAGGGGAACAACCTCCATGTTGGGTTGCCCCTTGAGCTGCGCGTTACGCTGGTACTGCGCTAGCCCGCGCTTTGCATCCTCGGGCTTCAACGTCATCAAGCCCGTGTCGATGAGAAGACCGCCATTCCGATACTCGGGAAGACCAGTCAGGAGATCCGCACCAGCGAAATGGACATTGAGGAGCTTCGTCATTGGCACCATGAGTGAGTAGGTCAGCCACTGTGTGAGCTTGTGGAACGGTACAATGTTCTCCCAAGGATGCGTCGGGTGTGAAGGCATGACCGAGCATGGCCATGCATCACCGATCGAAATTCCATCGATTTGGGTGCGAGATGCTGGCCAGATGGGCGTGAGAGTGTCCATGAGGGTGTTCCAAAGCGTCGGCAGCGGAATTATAGGTACGGAGGATGCTTGCGTTGAGGGGTGAGAAAGTAAATAGTCTAGGAAAAATTAGTACTTGGTATGTACCTTTGGAGCATGACGACGAACCCAGCATATTCCCAGGACGCGCCTCAAGACCAAAGACTTCCTGGTTCTGGAGAACATCTGCCAACCTCATGAGAAGCCCTGTCCTGCCCTCTAGTCCATTGAGAGGGTTCTCCTCGGTCACCTGTAAACCGCGTGCCATGGTCTTCAAGTCCAACTTCCTCAATCCAGCGCTGTCTACCTGACAGGGTTCGTCGGGCTTGCTGCTGAACAGACCGGCTTTGAACATCTCTAGACTGGCGACGGCCAGACCCTCACTTCGGCGGTAGATTTTCCCAGATTCCTTGCTGCGGTATTGCCATTTTGTGCCAGCACCAGCGTCGAGCAGGACAGAGACCAAGAACAGGTCAATCAAACGGCGCGTCCTCTCTTGATTGTCAACCGTCAGGGGCCACGACTGCATCAATTGGTCGATGCGCGGACGTCCACCAACATCGAAGTGTTGCCATCGGCCATGGGGAGGAATCGAGGCGTAGTCTGGCGAATAATCGCGCTACATCTATCATTAGCAAGCGCATTATAGACCGGTTCGCATATAAGACGTTACCTTGATGATGGAAACGACATAAACGGCGGTATCGTGGAATTTGGACATGTCAACAGTGAAGTGTCTCAACTGATTCTTCTTCGCCTTTTCCAGCACAAGGGTGCACCGTTCCCTGACGGCGTAGATGCTGCGGAGGTAGCCAGCAGGGTCCAAGGCGGGATCAGGAGCCCTTGGGAGGGGTACGTCAGGGAAAGAGACGGTTGGCGGTTTGGAGGCATTGTGAGTGCTTGGGACAGGGGATTTGAGGGAGCCACTGGAATCATTGGGGTGGCTTCCACTGGGCTCAGTGGCCGGCTTGTTCTTGTTGCGAAAAAGACGCATGGCGGAGGGAAGAGAGGTGAAGGAGCGTCACAGGAGGGTTGCCGGGGCACCTTTTTGCAGCGGGTTGCAGTATGGTGCAGTTTTCGGGAGACGTCCAAGGGATGGGTGTGAGCAGATGGCGGATAGGGAAAAGACGCTCGGCGGTTTAGCCACGAACCACAACCGACAAAGAATAGTGGAGAAGGTGAAGGCAGCTTGGCAGGGCACGCGCTATGGCAAAAGCTTCTCGGTGATGGAGTGCCAAAGTAGTCGGTGGTGGGTGGGTCGTGCTGGGGTTTGCTGCTGTGAAAGAATTGTTGAACGCGGGGGAGCTGTGAAGAGCTCTCGACTTCCTGACCAGCGACGGGCGGAATTGACGACCGGCAACCCTGTTGAGCGCACGAGCAGCTGCGGCGGTTCCCGCCCAACAGGGAGGCAAGGGAGACGAGGGTTTTGCTCTGTTCAAGCCCACGAGTCACCGTTGATGCGGCCCTGGGGACCCGGCAAGCCGCGCACGAATCGCCAGCCTTGGAGCAGACAAGATCCCCAGGTGAGCAAATCTGACCCTGGGCACCCAGTAAACAAACGCTTGGGGTGCGCTAATGTTGGTTCCCCGAGGGTAAAAGTCGGTTTGTGTCAGAAAGTCTCTTCTTCGGTCCGCGACATGTGAGCTTTCGCACTATACACAAGTGGACCAGAGACTACATACCGTTGTTGATTTGGAGCCCTGAGATGGCTGTGCTACCATTGCCGGGCAAGCCCGAGAGACAGAATGATTGATCCCTTATAGGGGTTCGGTTTATCGTCACTCGCCAGTCTTCAGCAGGCCCACCGGCTAGCATCCGCGCCTTGGTAGGCCGAGTGGGGAGTAGTGCGAAGCAAAGTCAAAAATCTAAAGTAGCGAACCCCTTGCACTGACACGGTGACACTGTCACTTGTCGAGAGATTGCCCATGTGGTGGTGACTTGACCGTCCGGCGTCGCCGTATCTGGTTGGAGATGTGTCTCGACGTCTCGCAAGTTGCCGCACTCGAAAGTTTCGTACTCCGCAGAACAACTGGATCCTAGGCGGCACTGCGCTGCTGTTGCCCGCCGTTTTTGTCCAGTGCACAAGGAGCTTGGGCGTGAGGCGCCAGCGCAGGCCAGACAGCGGCCCTCTACCGCGGGGCAAGTCCTGGCGGCTGGCGTCGATAACTGGCGCAGGGACCTTTGCCGAGAGAAAGAAGGAGGATGCTTCCAGCCCGTGCGGTTTTTGCGCAATCCAAGGTTTGACGATGTGGCAGAGGAGTCGAGTGTGATCAACAAGTTGTTGAGGAGAGAAATCGATGCGGCGTCGGATTAGAGTTTGTTCCCACGTGTGCATGCCATGCCATGCTGCCAATGGCCTGGATGAGTGAGGCAAGAACGACCCTGAGCGCGGGGAGAAGGTTCTTGCCCATTTGAGCTTTCACTGGCGGACGAAAGCAGCCCATCTCCAGTTTTATAAATCCTTTTCCAGGATAATGTTCTACTTGTAATAACTAGTGACTGCAGTATAGGAATGGCTATTGGGCGAAACTTCGGACACAATATAGCGGAGGTAGCTATGGGCTAGCGATAGATATTACTGCGCTCGGTGTACGGGGTACGGAGTAGGCAATCTAGCATGCGACCATGCCCCCGTTGTACGATTGAGTGCACGCCTGCTGTCTTTGTTAGGCGAAAGTAAAATCAGTTCGTGTATAGCAAAATGCCCTTTCGAATCTGCTATTCCGCCTTCACGCCGACATGGACTGCTCCCGATCTGGCCTAGCCTAATGTGGCTGGGCAATCGAGATGTGGCGTTGCGGAAACACCGCGAGCAACACACGACTGCAAGCACACCTCACTCCTCCGTACAGAATACTATGATATGAAGCTGTCATTCCCCTAACATGGACGATATCGCCGGCCTTGACTGGTCCACGCCCAGCAATCCCGCGTCGACAGCGAACAACACACCCGCATTCTCCGCCCTTCGCCAGACCCAAACTCCTCAGCAGTCCGGACGCTCCACGCCGCTCTCTACGCAACAATCCGGCGCCGGCGCCGCCTTCAAACCCTTCAAAGGCCCCTCCAAACCTGCCACCCCGGCCAATGACAGCTTCGCCGGGCTTGTCAATTTCGGCGCCTCCAAATCCGCAAACTCCAAGCTCTCCCTTCAGGAGCGGCAGAGGCAATTGCAGGAAGAGAAGCGGAAAGCCGAGGAAGAACGACGGAAGCAGGATGGCACGCGTTTTGGAGCGGTCGACTCTCAGTTCTGGGACACGTTGGGAAGTGGAAGAAGCACCCCTGCTCAGAGTGCTGGAACTCGACAGCCTGCACAGAATACACCTCGAGACACTCTCCATGCTCCCCTGAATAATCGCAATGCAGCGACGAACCGGTCTGTATCACCGCTGGAATCAGAGGACGACATACTAGCAGCTTTCAATTCCGCTGCTCCCGTGGACTCTTCCAGCCATTACCCACCTCCCACAACTCTCGGAAACGATCGAAGCAGTCAGCCATCACCTTTCGAAGCTCCCATACCTGACACCCAAACAACGCGAACGACTTCAATCAACGTGGCGGAGGACGACGACGATATATTTGGTCTCAAGCAGTTGTCAGGCACCCAACAACCTCCTGTGCAGCCAACTTCCTCCACCTTCGATGGCGACGATGACATATTGGGCTTACTGGGCAAACCCGTGTCCGACCTACCACCAAGGCCAGATCCAAGAACCGAGGACCGTGAAGGAGCTAGAAGCGAACCGCCCGACCTCGTCAATCCCCAGGCGAAGGCTGTCGCTGAGCTTGTTGATATGGGCTTTCCCGCCGACAAAGCTGCAATTGCCCTTGCTACCACCGAGTCTGGACTTGATGTGCAAGCCGCAGTCGGCTATCTTCTGAACCAAGCGCACGCAGACGCCAAGCAAAAGTCCAAGGAACATCACAGGGAGATGCCTCTGCAAACTTCCGACGATCTTGATGAGCCTATTCGTCGGCCCTCCGGCCGCTCCGAACTGAGAGATGCGAAAGGCGGAGCGTCTATACCTGCCTGGGCTCGCGGTGAAGACCAGCGTAGTCGGTCGGGTCAGCGCAGACCGGAAGGGCAATCGAGCCAGGAGAAAGACGTTGCACAATATGCTTCAGAGATAGGGAGTAGTCTCTTCAAATCGGCCAATTCGCTTTGGAAAACTGGCCGAAAGCAAGTTCAGAAAGCAGTTGCGGAGTTCCAGCAAGACGCCGACCCAAACGTGCCAAAGTGGATGAGGAATGCAGACGCTGGCGAACGGTCGTCAGGCAAGCAACGTGCCGATGCGCCATCCAAACCAACGCCAAGTGTAACGGATGAGGCCATGATGTTGGAGTCTGGCGGACGACCGACTAAATCAGCTCGTCGAACCGAAATGCAGCGAACGTCAGACCGGATACCGACAAACCCGTGGGAGCGAGACAACGCCCGCGAAAGGCTCCCAGATCGCACTTCCTCCAACTCCCCTTCTTTGCGTCGACCGGATCCCTCAACGGACAGACGACCAGCTACGAGGCTTACCCGTGAGGCAGTCGAAGAGCAGTCTGCACAGGGATATATCAGCCCTGCACGACGGAAGAAAGCATCACCTTCACCCAATCCCCTTAATGAAAACCAAGCGCTGCCAGCGCGACCGGCAGCTCATCGGCCAACCCCACCTCAATCGAACAACCCATTCCTGCAAGCCTCTGCCACCCCCAAGTCCCGAAGTCCGGCAGTGACACCTCCACCGCCAAAGCCCAAAGCACCGCCTCGGCAGATCCCGCCCGTATCATCATCGGCCCTCAACTCGTCTGCACTCCATCGACAGAAGGGCACCGAGGCCTTCAAGCGAGGAGACTACTCGGCAGCCCATGCTGCGTACTCGTCTGCTTTGAGCCCCTTACCTAGCACGCACCCAATCACCATCGTCGTTCTCTGCAATCGTGCAGTGACGAACCTTAAGGTCGGCGATCCTAAAGCAGCAGTCTCTGATGCAGATGCAGCTTTAGTCATTATCGGGGAGACGAAAGGAGAAGGTGAAAAGATTGACCTGGGGGCCACCGAAGGAGTCAAGGACATGAAGGAGTTCTACGGCAAAGCCCTGATGCGCAAAGCAGAGGCACTCGAACACATGGAAAAATGGGCCGATGCCGGCAAGGTCTGGCGAGCGGCAGTCGAAGCCGGAGTCGGTGGTTCCGTCAGCATCCAGGGCCGCAACCGCTGTGATAAAGCTGCAGCCGGAGGTGATAAGGCGGCAGCCCCTGCAGCACCAAAACGGCCTCCTGTCCGGAAACCGCCCGCACCGAAACCCTCCGCGCTGGCGGACCTTGGGGGAGCATCGGAGCCGGATTCCGAAGCCGTTAGGAAACTGAAAGAGGCGAATGCCGCTGCCGAGAAGGCGGATGATGAGAAGTTTGCTCTTACTGATCAGGTGGATGCCAAGCTGGTGGCTTGGAAGGGTACCAAGGCGGATAACCTGCGCGCGCTCTTGGGATCGTTGGATAAGGTGCTGTGGCCTGAGGCTGGGTGGAATAAGGTCAATATGAGCGATCTGGTCTTGCCCAACAAGGTCAAGATCGTGTATATGAAGGCCATTGCGAAGGTCCATCCTGACAAGGTGAGAGCACATAGAAAGACATTCTCGGGAAATGTTGGTCGCTAACATTCTACCTCTAGATATCTCAGTCAGCTACCACCGAGCAAAAGATGCTCAGTGCCGCTGTGTTTGCTACTCTGAACGAAGCATGGGATAAGTTCAAGACGGAGAATGGGATGTGACGGCCCTTGTCTGTCCTGCTTCCATCTCTAGACGTTGTGATGACTATCTGGTTTAGCATTTTAGCATTGAAGATTAGACAAGCGCAGATGAAGATTTGGTTTCTGTCTTGTTCTCAAGATTACGAGCATCCTCAACTTGCCAAAGCATTCTCTGGTATATATGTAATGATCAGTGTCTGAGTCAGGCTAGTGCAGGTACGCGAACATCACACGCCGAACCCCAGATTTGCATTTCCCCGGGCTTGGCACCGGTCATTCCACACTTTTTCATCCTCGACGCCACTACGTATACGTGAGTCTATGCAGAACAATCCGTCTCCTGTCTTCGTTATAACCATACTATAAGCCGTCGCTATTGTTTGAAGTCTATCTCTTATAGCTTGATTCATCCTGTAAAAGCGCTGCCTCGATTGTCTTCTTGGAAACGTACCAAGGTTCTGGGACTTGCAGGGTTTGGTTGAAACCGAAGACAAACCATCGTATCGGAAATCCATCACCACAAGCACAGCGCACCACATCAAACCACAGAAAACCGCCTTATATCAACAGAATACAAGCCTTCTGAACCCGCCAGAACGAGGTCCATTGAAATCATCTTTCATCCATTAGGCGAGCCGCCGGAACTCATCTCATACGTCGTACATCACCATGTTTCCCCCTTCACAGGGCCTACGTTTAGACATCGACGCTATCAGTCAAATATGCGGATCTGTGTCAATAGCATGCTGGATAGGTAACATGTTTCGAGATTCCAATGCCACAGAATTATCGGCTAATCCATACTAGTTGTCTTCTCACCCCAAATCATTGAAAACTGGAGACGGGGCTCGGCGGATGGCCTCTCCGTGGTCTTCATCACGATATGGCTACTTGGAGATTTCTTCAATATCTTTGGAGCTGTACTACAGGGCGTACTCCCCACGATGATCATATTGGCGGTGTACTACACCCTTGCAGACATTGTACTCCTGCTGCAGTGCTTCTGGTACAAGGGATTCACTCTAAGAGACGAAGTCAAGAATCCAGAGGACGCAGACGAATCAGAAGAATCAGAAGAATCAGACGAATCGGCAGAGCCAACAGAGTACTCCGCGCTGCTTCCCCCGCATACACAGGGCCAAGTACACACAAACGGCAATGGCACGACCGACTACCTCTCAGCCAGCAACGGCCACACACCCCGTCAACACCACTCCCACCGCCCGTCCATCTCCGAGCTCGACCGCCGAGGGTCCATCCAATCCCACCACTCGTTCCGCGAACGCCTCCTCTCCCTCGACGCCCGCCACCTCTCCCCCGTAACCCCCCTCCTCCCAGACTCCGCCTACAGCGACATCCTCCCCACCCACCCTTCTCCGACCGCGCCTCCCCCGACCCCTCCCAGCACCCTGCAAACCGTCCTCTTCAACCTCGGCGCCATCATCCTCGTCTGCGCCTCCGGCGTCTTCGGCTGGTGGCTCAGCACAACCCGCTCTCCCCCGCCGCCGACGTCTCCAGATCCTCACGTACCGCTACCCCCCAGCAGCGACGAGACGCTGCACTTCAACCTCTGGGGCCAGGTCTTCGGGTACATCTGCGCGGGCCTCTACCTAGGCAGTCGGATCCCGCAACTGCTGCTGAATTACCGGCGCAAGTCGACCGAGGGCATCTCCATGCTGTTCTTCCTATTTGCGTGTATCGGCAATCTGACGTATGTGTTGAGTATCGTGGCGTACAAGCCCGAATGTCGAGGGGCCAGAGCTGGCGTTGGCGTTGGAGATGGGATTGGTGCGGGGGAGGAATGCGAGACTGGTGAGAGAGCGAGGATTTACTGGAGATATATCGCCGTGAATGCGAGTTGGCTAGTAGGCAGTTTTGGCACGTTGCTGCTCGATGCGGCGGTTTTTGTGCAGTATTTCATGTACAGGACCGAGGAGGAGATTGAGGAGGATTTGGAGGGGTTGGAGGATGAGTTGGTCAGGGGTGGATTGGTGTGAGGGGTGGTTTTTCTGAGTTGTGTGAAAGCGTGTTTGTGCTGTGGTGTCATGTATGAATATGTATGTGAATGAGATGTTTTAGACTTTAGATGATGTGTGGTGCACGAGCTGCTGTAGATCGCTAGAGCTCTCTAACAAGTTTCGGGTTGAATAACCATGGTAGATGTTTCTATAGACCGCTGCGGGATTTGGATGATTATTGCAAGTGTAGACAACATACAGTACGCAGTACGAGCCCTTGAGCTCCATAAGTGCTTTTGGGCTTTCCCTTCTAGGTACACAGTATCTGCAACCATTACCAGTACAGGACTGTGTACGTGATGTCCGGTTCCACACCCAGGCCGGCAATGATCTTCGGGCCCCCAAATGGGAAAATCATCGAAAATCCGCTATTACATCACATGCGGAAACCAAACGATCGACATGCGAAAGTGAGGCAACGCCCATTATGTACCTCCCTCGACAACGTAATGGCCGAAAATGCACCAGAGTACACAGTAGTTATCCCCTAAGGGTAGGACTCACTGGCTATTGCGCCTCGCAGGGGAAGATTACTACATCAACATCAACATCTAGCACTCGGCATACGGAGTACCGTACCTTTTACTATGTTAGAATCCCATAGCGAGCTACAACGAACGCGATTGCGAGGACAACAAAGCGCCGATACCCCTCTGACGTCTGCGTTGCAGCACCAAAAAAAGCCCGGGAGGGAAGATCAGATGAAAAGATGTGCAACAAGCAGGACCCTGCATATTGAAATCATACGCTAAACCGGATTCGGCGAACCATGACTTCATCCCATCTTCTTGTGTTGCCAACCCAGTGGGCTTCTAGAATCGCCAGCCGCGGTCGAGAAAACATGGCTGCTAGGTCCGATTTCTTCTTTACGGTACACAGTACTGTGGTTCAGAATGGTGGAGCTGTTCGAAGAGGTTGGCGATCTGATTGTACCCGCGCGACTGACGACAAGGCATTGAACGCCACTGTGAATATCACAGTACCGAGTATTGGGGTATGTGCTCTCCTCGGAGCTGTTCAGCCTGTCGACACGATTGTCGAGTCGGTGCATCATAATGCTCGTCATGGCTTCGTTTGACGCTGGTGCCTTGACGGTATTCCGGTTGTCAAGTCAGAGTGCATGATTGATCGCGTGTTATGTTATGCACATACACTGTATCCCGCAAAAGTGGCCAGCGCACTCCAGAGGAGTATCTTCTGTTTTCCAGCCCTGGAGGTATCACACATTCTTTTGAACTAGACAGTACAGCACAGCACTGCTGAGAGCTCGCGTCCGTCATGCTTTGCATTCACACCCGTTCCGTGTTCACCCGTTTTGATATCTCGCTGTATTATGAGGACGGGGAAGCCAATAAGACGGACCGGCAACGACGATCAGAGCCAATCACCAACAAACACCAAAAGGGGAAGCTTACACACTCTCCAAGCGGCCTTGGTACGCCCGGTCTGGGCCGCTGAGTGGTAGATGGGCGACCGAATTGCTAAAGAAGGAAGGATTCTCGCCGCAACCATCATTGCAAACATTGCCCTTCCAAGCAGAGGGCAACGTCATTGGCCACCACGGCGGTATCTTCTCAGTGCAGCACAGCAGGGAGTATGACGAAAGAAGGAGGACCCTGTAAATCACAGTGTGCAAAAGGCAGCCCGATTACGGCTTGGGGAACACCAGCTGCATCATTGTCCTGGCGATCAGCCTCAGCGACTAGCGTTTGAGGGACAGCTCTAGAGGCCGTTTCGGCTCCGCTTCGTATGCGTGGTAGCGTAGCAGCGAAGAGGTATGAGCATGTGCATATATATGTCAGTCCGCTTTCGCAGCCGTGTATAACGTTTGCCTGTCCTTCGTCATCACTACTCACCATTATAGCGGTTACTGCTCGCTAGCTCCCTATAAAGCCACGTCCTCGTCTATTCACATCGACTACTGGAGGTCCATCGAGTCGTCACATACACGCCACCGCCGTCCTATCGACACTCCTTTCCACTACTGTGTACACACCCACCTAACTCGCATAACCACCACCACTACACAGTACAGTACATACAACACAATGTCCCACCCCACGAGCGCAAACGGTCCCTCGCCTCTCCCAAACTCCGAATACAACTTCATCCCCTACCCTCCTACCTCTCTCTCACAACGCTCCATGTCAGACTACGCTCGGTACGTCTACACCCTACTGTCTTCCCCCTTTCCTCCTTCCCTTACTCCCGCACATCACGACTCAACGCATACCAAGCTAATCTCTCTCACGCAGAACCATGCACGAGCACACAAGACGCCAACTCGACTCCGCACAGCGCAAATGCCAGGAGGGCGCGAGGGGCACCGAGTCGCCGCCCGACTCGCTAAATCACTCTGTGCGGTCGACGGATTCTTAGTCCGTGGAGGGGTGAATTTATCCATTCTATCATGATATCGTGATAGATGTAGCTCGGATTGAGAATACGTTGTTGGGAGGCTGCGTAGTTCCTGGGATATACGTCATTGCTCCTCAAGGGAAGCTACCGGTAACATGTCCCTTGGACATTGTCATGAGGGTGGCCGCCTTGCAAGATGGGGTTGAGTGCTGCGCACAAGAATATATGAAGAGTGTATATATAAAAGGGTCGTTTGACACGGCCAGCATGTCTATTTTCCCTTTGAGGGCGAATTGGGCGTTTTGAGGACACACACACTTCGATCGAGGGTTATAAGGGGTTCTTGTTTGGTTAAGTCATAGAGTTTAGGACTCAGAGGGGCTTCTCTTAGATGATGAATTTATGAATGCATGCGATTTTCTTAGGATATGGACATTGTTATTGCTCTGCTTGTACTGTGATACTGTGTACCTGTTGAATGCGTCATAAGCGTAGACGGTTGAGGGATGGAGTTGACGTCATGGGGCGGTGTCTCACTACTCGAGTGGTTTCCACTGTGTAAGTATTCCGATGTTAGAGGTGTAACTTGTGCAGGATAGAGTGCCTCTGAGCTGTGTGAGTGTTGAGAGATGGATTACAGCTGCGTGAAATGATGAGGTCGGGTTCCAATGTTCCACTCTTCCCGCTTGCCATGAGCTGTCTGTCCAGTTCTACACCATCAGGAGCTCCCCGTTCTATTCCACCCATCACCTAGCTGCAACACTCCCTCTCACAACCCACCCTCTCCATCAACCCCATATACGAAACCGCCCCCTGTCGCACACAGCTCTACACAGCACTACACCCCCTCCCAAAACCCACTCACGCCCTGCAAATCATCCACCCCCAACAACCCCACCCCACCCTCCCACAACCCCTTCCAAACCGCATTCCTCACCTTAACCGGCCAAGCCGGCGCATTCCAATACCTGGCCAACATGCCCCTCTCCCTCGCCCACCCCACCTGCTCCTGCACCACCCGCCTCTGCCTCTCACCCAACCCCTCCAACCCGCGAATCTCGCCGACCGCCTCGATCAAATCCGTGCTCGCGACGGGCGCCTCGAAGCGCGTCACATCCGCATACAAGGACGAATTCAAAAGCGCGAGCGGCGCGTCCCAGAACGCGTCGCGCACGCCCTGGGCGCCGCGCACGAGGTCCAAAGGCGTGTTGCCCGTGCCGATGACGGTGATGGCGCTGTCGGTCCAGGTGCCGCTCGTGAGGTTGTATGTGGTTAGGTAGCCGTGGGCGCGTAGGGGTTGGAGGGCGGCGAGGACGGCGGGCCAGGTCGTGGGGCCGGGGGTTTTGAGGTCGATGTGGAGGTAGAGGGGTTGCGAGGGGGAGGTGTCGAAGAGGCCTCTTTTTGTTGGGGAGGTGGTGAAGGGGGAGGTTGGAGGGGGGTTGAGGAGGTGGAGGGTGGAGAGGAGGGGGTCGAGGTAGAGGGATTGGAGGGTGCGGGTCGGGGTTAGGGAGGAGGTGTCGTGGCCGACCTAGGTAGGGGTTACTTCTAGGGTAGGGATGGGATGGGATGGGATGGAAGATTAAGTAGAATGGGAAAGGTGGAAGGGGGCTAGTTGACTGAAACAGGTTTGTGAGAATAGATGGAGAGATCCTGCGATCCAGTCGACTTGAGATTGAAGATTGACTGGCCAATTTGGTTTGTTTAAGGGTACTCGAGAAACGACGTGTGCAACACGAAAGATGGAATGGACCAATTGCCCAAGGTTGCAACGAAAGTTGTGACAACGACGGGAGATTAAAATCAGACCAAATTTGAAACAATGAAAAGATATGTTTTCTCTCTATTTTGTCTGGCCAAACTAGATAGAACGGAAAGAAGGAACGTTGAGAAGCACTGCGCTATACGGGGTACAGAGGAGGATTCAAGGTAGTCCCACTCACGTAAAGCGTTCCATTAATCAACCAGACGTCCGCCTCAATCGAGATAGCTCCATAGCTCAGAGCCGTATAGAACGGCACATCTCTCCAGTAATCATTATGACTATGGATAGCTTTCTGTCAAAAAGTCAACCTGATATGCTGAAGCCATGCCTGCGGTTTCCGAGAGTTCCATCTCAAATTGTTCTTACCGGAACGATGCCCCTCGTAAAGTCTGTCGGATACCGATAGCTATTCGACCTATCCGTGTTCTTCAGGACATTCTGCAACGTGCTGGAGACGTCCGGAATGGCGGCTGCAGACGCCCCGGAGATTGCCAACGAGAGGCAGATGAGCTCGGGGATGTAATGCATGCTCTATGAAACGAGCGAAATGATAGTATCTGTGCAGTTTCCGCTTTCCTAAGATCGAGAGTGGAGGCGGTTATATCAAGTAGGACGGAATCCGAAGAGCCTTTATGTGATAAGAAACGCATCCGCTGGACCAATCATCGGGTCCTAACGTTTGGTGGTGAATGATCCAATTAGGTCTAGGGTGTCGCCACGTGTGCTCCGAAAGCGTGGCTGCGGTGGCTGTCTGTGGCTGTAAATGGCTGGCACTTGTCCCCATCGGAACCTGAAGTCCTTGACGTCAGTAAAACTACCTCAACACCAAAAACTCGCATTTTTGAGCCATTCTGAGGGATGTTCTTACATATTTCATTAGCAGCTCGGTAATGCGTAATGAAACGGCGGCTTTCTGCTGCTGACACTATCAATCTATGGGGCCGCGGGTGTCCCAAGGCCAACGCTGTCAGCAGCCACAGCTGAAGTTGGATTGGTGTGTAGACACCCTTGGCGAAGGGGTTTCATCTCCCCTGCTATATAGTCTGGTCGAGCCTCGTCTTATTGTGTATCGCGTCAACACATCATGGCGACGCATACGGGCGTGCTCCCCGTCAGCTCTGATGGCAGGACCATTCTGCTCGTCTCCGGTCTGCTCGTCGTTGGAGCCGTTCTCCTTTCTAATGTCTTCGGTGCGAAGGCGGACCCAAGGGAACCTCCAGTATTGCGTCCAAAAATACCATATATTGGCCATATCATCGGATTGATGCGAAATGGGCAAAAATATCTCCTCAAAATCAGGTGGGTGGCAATCCATCGGGGACCGACTGGACAATTCCCACTCATCGACACAGGCAACAAGTCCGACATCCTGCCGTGACTCTGCCCATGGCCAACGGCCGGATGTACATTGTGTCCGACCCCCTACTCGCAAGCCAGGTCCAGCGCGCCTCTGCAACTCTTTCCTTCGAGGAATTGATCGTCCAAGCAACGGGACGCCTGGTGGGAATCAGTAAGGAAGCCGCGGAAATTCTGAAGGACCCGAACTGCAAAGAAGAGGGCCGCGATCGCATGGTCACCGAGGTTATCCAGAAGGTCATACATCCCTTACTAGGACCCCAAGCGATAGCCAGCCTTGCATCTGTTCAATTGCAGCATTTCACCGAATTTGTGAATTCGATTCCTGAGGGCCTGGATACGGAGCTGTTTCACCTACTTACGCGTGAGATATCTGCCGCAACTGCGCTTACCTTCTACGGACCCCGAAATCCGTTTGCGGAGCATCCGGAGTTGACTGAGGAGTTCTGGAAGTGGGAGACCGACATCGTTCCCTATATGATGAACATTATGCGCCCACTGACCGCCAGAAAAGCATACAATGCGATCAACCGAGTTAGCGCAGGATTTGAAGAGTATCTGGAAAAGGGACGACAAGCGCAGGCGTCGGAGCTCATACGCAGGAGACAAAAAGCTCATCAAGATGTTGGAATTTCCATACCGGACCAAGCACGCCTTGAAGTGACAATGACCCTGGGTATATCGGTGAACGCTGCCATATCAATCTTCTGGCTCGTCAACAATATCTGCAGCCGTCCTGCGCTCCTCGAGGAGATTAGGGAGGAGATACGAACGAAGGGCTTGGTGTCTCCGAATACCATCTCCTTCTCCGCACTGCGCGAGTCTTGCCCGCTCCTGAACTCTGCCTTGAGAGAGACATTGCGGCTTATTGCGCCGTTGGCGACAACACGCTATGTGCTAAAGGATACTATCGTCGCAGACACATACCTCCTCCGCAAAGACTGCATAGTCCAAATCGCAGGCAACCTCATCCACGCCGACAAACAGATCTGGGGCCCTGACGCAGAGTCCTTCAACCCTCGCCGCTTCTTGTACACAATGAACGGCTCCAAGACGCTGGATGACGGCACAGTGCCAGACTCCAAAGTCAACCAGATCCATCCGGTTGCCTTTAGGGCTTTTGGAGGTGGCTCCTCGCTGTGTCCCGGAAGGCACTTTGCGCAGATGGAGATTTTGTCGCTGACCGCGGCGTTGCTTATGGGGTTTGAGTTTGCGCCGCCGAAGGGCAAGGCCAAGGTGGAGTGGGATCCGGAGTTCGATGATAATAAGTTTGTGATTGGGGCGTTTAAGCCGAGGAGGGGAGTGGATGTTAGGGTCAAGAGGAGGGAGGGGATGGAGAATGTGAAGTGGGCCATACAGTTCTGATGAACATGAGCCGGGAATCCAAAAGCAATGTTCTGGAGCGGTTAGGCATGGATAAGGTTTCGGATGGCGGTGGAGATCTGTTTAAACCAAAATAACATGTACGCATAATCCGTACCGCGAGGGCTGCGGTCACTCCGTATCCTCGTGATGGTCAGCGAATTTCTCTAAGGCCGTTTCGCCGCTAGCAGGTGGAAGCAATTGGGAAGGCATATCTGGGAGGCGATTCCGTAAAGCTCAGGATCTGTCCAGTTTCGCCCATGGGCAGGCCCATTTGTGCACTGGAACCGTTAGATGATGCTAAAATATTTTCTAGAGCCGTTATTTTTCATCAGTCTATTCCCTTGAAGATGTTGTTCGAGCTGCGACACGTGACCCATCTAGTGCCAAGCCGCTAGTTTACCGTGAACTTCCTTTCCAACTTCGCCTCGCGTCGCGTCGCCATTTCTCCTCTCAAGCCACATTCCAACGGCTTCAACCATCACATCGTTACGTACCAGTCTTCAGAGACAGCATGGCTAACATGAATAGTGACAGTGAAGTGTCGACCAACTCGCAAGCTCCCATATCGAAGGCTAAGGCGCAGTTTGAGAAAGCTCTTCTTGCTCACCGTACCGAGCATGGGCCGCCACTCTCCTCCCAATCAGTCCGAGAGTTTTCCAAATGTATCGATGAGGTCTTCTACGAGGACACGTCAAAAAATGTCGAGGTACCATTTTTTGAAGAAATTCCGTTGCTTTGGGCAGACTAATAGCCATGCGCATAGAAATGTACTCAATGGATCCTGAAAAACATAGCGTCTTCACGCAAGCGCACGCTCCTTCTCGGTGATTTCCTCATTGCGCTTTCAAGGTCTATTGACGTGGACGTGACCCCTCAGGAACAAAAACGCATTCGAAACCGTTTCAATGTGCTTTCGATTGCCTTTGACGCCATCCATTCTGCAAAGTATCACATGCAGAGCACCAACGTTTTCAACGACTTCGTATATGACATGCAGTACTACATCGAAGAGCTCGTTGACCTGGTGGCATCAGCTCTTCGGCAGAAAGGTACGGAGTATGAGACCCGCCTGAAAGAACTCGTAGCACTATGGAATGACAAGTTCGCCGACGAAGACGATGCCAAATGGCTCCGGGAGAGATTGCACAACACCTTGGACGTTGCGCAAGGTGATCTCTCCCCTAATAAGAAGTTGCGGACGTATCACCTGCCGCTGCAGTTGAGAACGGAGAGAGCTCCATTGTGGGCTCTACCAGCCTCGTACGCCCTTGATATTGTCGCCACCCAGGACGGCCCTTCCGCATCGTCTTGGATTCCACTTGCGAGATTTCCCAAGCGGCGTCCGTCAAAGAAAGCCAAGGCTGTCCTGGATGAACTCTTCGATAAGCTCGACGCCCTTGATGGGCCCATCAGGACCGATGGACCGGAAGGTCGAGGCAAGCGACCCGGCTCCTTAGGTGCCCCGGTGAACGCGTATGGCTGGTCTCCAGAGGCATGTGCGCAGATGGAGAAGGACCATTTCTTAACTGTATCAAAGGATGACGATGATGCGGCCAATGGTTCACGCCGGCGTCCGCGGTCCTCTTCATCGGTCCCTGAGTACGGTCGAGCAACCCGGTGGGGAGATACGCGAAGCTCTTCACCGCCTGTGCATGAGAGCGAGAGCCGCAATAGACAATCGAGATACGACCGCCCTAGATCGCGCGAGTCTTACCGAGGTTTCCATCGTCAGCCCCAAGTTCCTCCACCGTTCCCTCCGCTTCCGACGCAGAACCCCAACTTCAATGGCCAGTTCAACGCTGGCAGGATCCCACCCCATATGCCCGGAGCGCAGTTCCCCCCAATACCTGGAGCTCCTGCATTCCCCCAGTTCCCTCCACATCAAAACTTCACAGCACCCACAGGATATCCGACCATCCCCAACCAGTTTGGCAATAATCCTTCCTCAGGATATGGCACAGGTTATGGGAATCCGAATCAGGGCAATGAATCTTCGTCTCAAAGAAGCTATCAGGATTATAACCCTTCGGGCCACAGGGGAAATCAAGGTTACCAGTTTTCGGGCCAGAGGGGCAACCATGGGTATCAATCCTCGGCTAACAGAGATAATGGAGATGACCGCTCTTCCGGATATGGCAGATATCAAGGTCACCCTTCTTCGGGGCGTGGCAGGTATCCAGGGGATCAGCATCGTCGTGGAGGTCACTTTTGATGGAGTCAAGTCATCGAGCGGCTCAATCGCACCTGTCACCGCCAGCAGCGACACTGGCTCACATTAGACGTCTCAGGCGCCATCAGCTTTCTCAGTTCCTTGCTGTCAAAACCTTGACCACAAGAAGGCCATCAACGGGCTGCGGCGGTTGTAGTATAGTTGTGTTTTCTTTCAGGGTCCTTCTCTGAGAGCATTTGCCTCAGGGTCGTTGTCTCAAAAATGCTTTCTCTCGCAACATCCCCCAAACTTTCCTACCAGGGGTTTCTCTCGGAGTCTTCCTCTCCGGGCTTTTCGAGGAAAGGGTTCATTGCTCGCTACATGGGGAAGTATGGCGTCTTAGTAAAAGAGGATGTCTACCAGTACCATAACGCTTGTATGATAGTTCGGCATTGCGGATATGGTCATTGTGGCCGTTTGTATCTCACTCGTTAGTGCTACGGATACGCACACCGCCTTGAGCAGGCGGCGAACCATGGTATTCGTTCGAGTTTCTGAACCTCGAGGCCTTCGATAGTCTTTCAAATTGCACTTCTTTAGTCTTTCCCTCCCTCTCCCTTACTTCCCACTCCCCTTCACCTCCCACCTTTCTCTCTTCTCTCCTCACACTTACACCCAGCTCTTCACAAAGCTCTCCAATAGCTCCCAGCTTCCCAGCTCTCATCTCTCTTTGTTCCCCATCACCACCTTTCACCTCTTCACTCTGTGCTGCCTTCGAAAACCTAGCTTCAAAAGCAACCATGATTTAACTACACCTCACTGGACTGCTCCCCTGATGCTCTGATTACAATGTGACAGTCGTCCTTTGGTGGCAGGACAACCCTCATTGCAGAAAACCTGTGCGCACACAGATACTATTCGAACATTCTCCCACTCTCACCTATAAAAGAAGTCCCGCTTCGAACCAGGTAAGACCATTATTCCAGGTCCCCAATACTCGATGTATCACGTGGACGGGCGTTGGTCTATTTAGCTCTTGGCGCGACCGCGACCTGTCGCGACCCGCAGTCCAGGATCTTGTTAACTTCACCACTCATCCATTTACGCAGCATTAACTCCAACAATGGCCTTCACTCACCCATCTCTTAGGAGTGAATGCGGCGCGTCCGCCTAATGGCCCGCTTACGTCAATCTGCTCCCACGAAACGGAAGCGGAAGTCTACAGATACGAAGCCCAACAAGCGCCATCGGAGGGTCGTTCCGTCGAGCAGCGCTAGCGAGTACAACTCTGACTCCGAGGGTTCCGAAAATGAGCACGAAGAAGACGCGAATTCCAAAGACGAGGATAATAGTCAAGGAGGTGAAATCGGGGAGGGATACTGGAAAGCCAAGCCTATTCTGAAAGAACGGTCCGGCGAGTACCTGATAGATTGGGCAGGAGTCGATCCCAAGACCAAGAAGCCGTGAGCGCCTTCGTGGGAGCCGAAGGAAAACGCCAATAGTCAACTCGTTCAAGCGTGGTTGAAGGGAAAGCGGAAGCGTTCGAGCGTAGCGGGCAAGACAAAATCGGCGCAAGAACCTCCAGGATCTCGAGAGGAAGACGTCCAAGAAGCTCAAATATCTCACTCAAGGCACGAGAATCTAGAAGCCCAGGAACTTGAAGACAGTGAGCTTCTTGACGACGTTGTTACGGAACCTGCTCGAAACCACCCTCAGAGAGTGCATCGGGCCTCCAACAGCCGGCAACGTACTCCACATCGCGAAGTACTCGATAGCTCCGGATCTGTGTTACCAGCCGACTCGGACTTATTGATTGGCCAGAGCTCGCGAGCAGAAGGGTCAACGCCTGGAACCCAGCCGCTTATTGAAGACTCAGACGTTGAGGACGGTTCGGCGTCGTATCTGCCGTCTACTACTCAAGCCTCTGCATCAGGCGTTAGTGTATCCGAATCTTCAGGCAATCCATTTGTAAGTACTGCCGGTAATCAGAGCACAACAGATTCGCCTGAAGAGGCTCAAAAGGAGATTCGAAGCAGTGCTGAAGTTGCGCACGTCCACGAGGTATGGTGGTGACTTCAATGTTGTAGTGTAGTGAGTGTCACCTGACTCTAACTCGAACCAATAGGAACCGGCACGCTTGGAACCGAACCAGACCTTCCTTTCAAGCCCGCACGAGTTCGATTCCGGAGACGCCCCCCTCCAACCACCTCCTAGTGACAGTCAAGTTATTGCAGTGTTTGGCATTCATACCCAAACACAACCCGGGAGCATCGAAATACCAGAGACCCCGTTCCAGGCGGAGCCTGAATCTGTATCTCACCCTACAGGCTCTGGTGAGGAACTCGGAGCGAGTGTCAATCAAAGTCCTCCATTCGACCAAACCGCATTTGAAGAGCCCTCCGCCTCCTTCGTACCATCTCTGGACCAAATAGCAGTGGACATTCATAAGGACAATTCCGCAAACCTCAATATCACCGAAGAAAGCCGCTCAGATAGAGAAACTCTACACATCGCGACTGCACCTCAGACAGAGCTCACCACTGATCCTGTGATTCAAGAAGGGGTAGTGAATAACAGTCATCTTCTACCGAATTCGCCGGACAAGACCATCGCATCGAATACCACAACGACTACCCAGGAGCCCGGCGACTCTAACAATATAATTGGGCACGTAAAGGAGGTTGACCAGATCTCAAGTCGCGATTTCGGACATCATTCGCAAGTTTGCAGCTCAGCTACGAACCGCGGTACGGGCGCTGATTCTTTGGGACTGCAAGAATCCAACCCGCTACAAGAGCAACAGGCCCAGGTCGTGCCTTCAAGTCCTTATCTGAGCACCCAAGAGTCTCAGATCGAAGACATCCGCCCAACCACGGAACTCTCTTACACTGCAGGGCGGCGCCCTTCAACCCCTCCTTCACGGCACGATTCTTCACAGGAGTCTGGGAAAGACGGGAATTCACCCATCGAACGCACACTTGACGATTTCTCGATCCTGGGTCCGCCCCCATCTCGATCACTCGAAGAACTTGACTCCAATCTGCCTCCAAGACCACATACTCCCGTTCCTACGTCCTCCCTCTCTGCCATTATGAGTTCGGAGTATCCAGAAGAAGATTTTGCTGCTCGCGCTCGCAGGGAGTTTGCAAGTCTCCGCGAGAAGAAGTGGGGAACCCCTCAACGACAACGTCCGGATGGGACGCAGGGAACATTATCTCCAGCTATGGATGGCACTCGCTCACCCTCCACGATCCCAGACCGGGCCCCACAAGGGCCAGCACCCCCTCCTCTGCTTACGGCTGCGCTCATGAACTCTACTGCCGTGCAGATTCCGGAAATGCCTTTGGATGATGCTGCCGCAGTCGTCACGGAACGTCCTTCTCTTGCAGCACCCACAACCAATCAGGCCCCTCAGTCTGTAATGGACAGTATCATCCAGCCAAGGAAAGAGGCCGATGAACCAGCTCGTCAAAGATGGAGCCCGCTTCCAGGGTCAAGTGATGAGAGTGCGAGCTTGGCCGAGGAGATTCGCAGCGACTCAGGTGAAAGTTACCTTGAGGATGACATACACCTTGCGGATGACAGGCTCTGCGAACATATTGTTCCCTTGTTGATGGGCGGACGACAAAAGGATGCATATATCAAGGAAATTCGCCTAAAAAAAGATCCCCTCGAGTCGTTTGCAATGGATCCCCAAGCATTCCGTGATTTGGGCGAAGTTGAGGAGATCTTCAACAGACTTCGAGCCGTGGAGACCCATGTGGATCTGCTCTGGGCTGAGAGCGCCTCAGCAGATGTCAGTCCTCAGAGACAAGCGCAGTGGGACGTTGATAGCAGCGTGAAGTTTGCATTCCTTAGCGCCCTGCTACGTCGTCTGAAGGAGCTTGATTGGCATGTAATAATCGTGCTAAAGGAGGGCAATGAGCGTCTCTTCGACATTCTCGTGAAGTTCCTCAGGGGCAATCTCGTCAACTACACCTGCCCGGCCAAGAGCCAACATGCGGACTTCTCGGAAGTTGAAGGGTCTGTGAGAGTGACTTTGTTATCTAGCGATTCGAGCTTCATCGTCTCCCCACCAGACGTGATCATCAGCCTCGACGGAGCCAGCGCTGCGGAGATCGGAAAGAGGAACTGGAGTGTCAATCCGGATCGAAAACAAATCCCGTTGCTACAGCTAGTCATACCGCGCTCTGTCAGCCATATCGAGCTTTCGTTGTCCCCAAAACTCACGAAGCGAGACCGGTTACACGCTGTAGTCGCTTGCTTATCCCAGCTACATAAAGAGACCGGGCGGCCCTTAGTTGACACACCGCACGAAACCGAGGCTGCTGATATGATTGCTCATTACCTCATCAGCACAGACATTGCAAGTCAGAATGATGAAGGATGGCCTTTGCCCCCGATTCACAGCATCAAGGATGTGATTGAGTTCACGCCGCAACAGTACAGCTCGCAGCTCTCTCAGACCAGATTAGCCTCTCCTACTCCATCCGCACCTCAAGCCACCTTGAAGCGTCCTCTGGTAAGTAACAAAAGCGACATCACATCATGATCTACCACTGACTCCGGGAACCGCAGGATTTCGCGGAAAACGAATCATCAAAACGTAGAAGAAGATCTCCACATGCAGAAGCAGATGTCACTCATATCAGCGACTCGATGCCCGGCACCGCAGCAGAGGCCTCGCTTCGCGAACAACTTGCGGAGATGCAGATGCAGCTCAGCCGGGCGCGCGCAGAGGTCAAGCATGTCCGAGAGCAGGAGGCAACATGGGACCGCCGACAAACAGATTATGAGGAGCTAGCCAAGCAGCATCGGCTCACGCTAGGGCAGCTGGAAGAGGCAAACGAAAAGGTCGAGCAAGCGGGCAAATCGAAGGAAGTTATGCTCCAACGCATCGACAAGTTACGCACGGAGAACGCAGCCCTGAACGCCCGGTTGCAGGAGCTGGAACAGCAGAATTTGGCATCTGATAACGAATTGCTTGTCGAAATCACGAAGCTAAAGGCGCAATTGCGCATCGCGGAGGTCGCCAAAGAATCCGCCGAGAAGCGCGAGAAATCGACCAGTGCCACGATGGAGTACGTCAAGGACCAACTCCAGACTGCGCAAGCACGAGCAATGGAGTACAAAGCCCAACTCGACGAAGCGCTTGCCACAATCGCACGGCTCGAAAAGCAAGCGTCCGGTGAGGTGGCCAAACTCAAGCAAATCCATGTCAATGCGGCATACGATGCGGCCATGAAGCATCTGGCGCAGAAGACCGTGGAGCTGGAGAACGAGAGGAAGCTGAATCAGAAGAAGGACGAGGAGATACAGCGCCTGAAGAGCGAGAAGAAGTCGTATGGGACTCGGCAGGGTAGTGTTCCGCGGAGTCCGAGAGTGGGACCTACAAGTCGTGCTGCGAGTCCGCTTCCTGGGGCGAGGGATCGCGTCAATCATCTGCGGAATGGGTAGGAATAGCCGCGGTGATTGCTTGTGCATCTTGTGGCTTGGTAGATCGTGAGGAAGGGTTTGAGTGATACAGCTGAAGTGGAGATTTTTCTACGGCGTTCTTGGACAGCTTGATACGGTTGGTAATTTTGGTAATGCGGTAACGGTCAGGGCCTTGTAACTTCTGCATTGGAGAGGGCATTTGAGCATTCTCTGGCGCAAGGGGCGAGAGGACTGGGTTTCCGGGTTTGGATATCTCTTAGACTTCCGAATACCAACCAAGTTATTGCCGTTGACATCACATCTTATGAATGGCCACCACCTAAGCTACAGATTGTATCTACCTTTCCTGCAGGTTAACAATTATTACCCCTCGTCTGGCATATTGGGCAGAGGTGAGGGCTTCTGTGGCTTTCCGCTCGTCTGCTAAAACACAGCATGTAGATGCTTTGTGCTTCAGTAGAAGGTAACATCAACGGAGCTATCAGCACCTTCCTGCTTATTCATCAGACGAATGCATTCCACAGCGATAGCAAGCGTAGAGATTGCTTGAGGCCCAAATGCATATCAATTCTTCAGGATATCGATTCTTCAGGATATCGATTCTTCAGGATATCGATTCTTCAGGATATCGATTCTTCAGGATATCAATTCTTCAGCATATCAATTCTTCAGGATATCAATTCTTCAGGATATCAAGTCTTCAGGATATCAATTCTTCAGGATATCAAGTCTTCAGGATATCTTCCAAAACGCTCGCTATATGCGTCTATGAATATATCGCTCGAACGCAACAACATCTTAACATATCTATAGCTTGCTCTTTTCCACGGGCCCTTCAGGCTCGTACAGAGCCAGATTCTTCTTCAAAGCGTCAACAGCCTCGCGCTCGATGCGGGCGAGGAGCTCCTTGCACGTGGGGATATCGTGGATGAGACCCATGACTTGGCCGGCCGTCCAGACCTGTGTGCATATTAGACGAGCCCGATCAAGAGAATATCAAAAAAGTAGAGGAATGCTTACGCCAAAGTCCTTATCGCCATTGATGAAGACCTGCCGTCCCCGCTTTCCGCTCACATACTCAGCCACCTCCTCGAACTTGCCCGTCTGGCTCGTCCTCTCGACGGCAACAGCCGCCTTAGCGACCTTGTTGGCGAAGAGCCGGGATGTATTCCTCCACCGCCTGAGGACGAGCTCGGTATCCGTCTCCTGCGCGTCGACAATGGCCTGCTTGATGTTCTGGTGGATAGGCGCCTCAACGGTAGCCATGAAGCGGGTGCCCATATTGATACCGCAGGCGCCGAGCGCGAGCGCGGCAGCAAGACCATTACCATCCGCGAAGCCGCCCGAGGCAATAAAGGGGATGCTTAGCGTCTGCCTGGCGCGGCTCAGGAGGATAAAGTTGGTGATGTCGTGCTCGCCGACGTGGCCGGCGCACTCGAAGCCGTCGATGGAGAGGAAGTCGACGCCGAGCTTGACGGCCGACTGCGCGTGCCGGATCGTCGTGCACTTGTGTAGGATCGTGGTGCCCGCCGCTTTGAGCTGCCGGATCACGGGGCCCGGGCTGTTGCCCGCCGTCTCGACGATCTTGATCCCCTCGTCGATGATGACCTGGGCGTAGGCGGCGTAGTCGGGGGGGACCATGGCGGGGAGGAGCGTCAGGTTCACGCCGAAGGGGCTCTTGGTCATGGTGCGGCAGCGGCGGATCTCCTTGCGGAGGTCTTCGGGCGTGGGTTGGGTGAGGGCTGTTAACTACATGGTGTGGTGTTAGGGGGATTGTAATGAGAATGAAGGATGGGGGTTGTTGAAGACGTACGAGACCGAGTCCTCCGGCGTTGCTGACGGCGCTGGCCATCTCAGCGTAGCCAACCCATTGCATGCCTCCCTGGACAACGGGGACTGTGTATTGTCAGCTTGAGGGAGATCGGGTGAGCTGGAAGGGTGAGTGGTACCTCTGATGCCCAGGGCGCGGGTGAGCTCGGTGTTGAAAGGCATGATGGAGGATGGAGTGAAGGAGGAATGGAGAGAAGGAATGAGATCGGGAAAACTGGACTTGTAGTCGCAGTCTGGGGGAGTAGACGATTACATTGCGGTTGGTGTTGTGTGTGGGGGGAACAATGTCACGAACCGATTCTGAGCCGAGGCACATCTAAGTTTCACGGCCTGCCAGGTGAAGGCGAGGATTGATTACTAACGCGACAGTGCGCCGACACCACACCGATTCGACCCGTCTGAATCGTTCCCAGAAACCTTGGGACCACATGGCTCACCCTGTTGTCCGACAGGAATCTGAGATTCGATCAAGTCTTTGCGTGTTGTGGTGACATCGGTTTGTTGGAGGTCGATTCTCGGTATTAACCAGTGTTTACATAGCAAATATAGACGGGTGGTCGGCGCTTTGACGAATCACAAAGAGCACTTATTTTAAGAGATGGTTTAAGGGCGAATTTTCCATATTATCATTAGCATCGAAAAGTAAAGGAAAATGAACATGCGTGCATAATGCTTGGCGCTTCCCTGCCAGTCCTGTTCTATAAGCACCGCTCCCAAGTGTAACAGATCCCCTCTATGTGATATAAGAATCCAGCATCAGCATGTCCAGAATGCTCAGAACAGAGAACCAGCACATGAAGCCTCCCGAGCAGGAAAAGCATCCTCGAGATGCACGACAACCCAGAAAGAAATAACAGTAACGACGAGTAAGGAGTGTGGGGCACGGTGCATCGAACGCGTGCCATAAGTATGAAGCAAGTCTTGCGCTTCTCAGCGAGTGACAAGAACTCCAATTTCCAGGATAATCCGCCCCGTCTGTAGCCGACGACATGTGTCATCGCCTACCCGCCAAGGGGTGAAAATGGGTCGTCGGACTATACAACATCAGCGGAGAAGGTAGATCTTGGCAACACTCACGTACCAGATCGACGGACTGAGACGCTCCAGTCCAACCAACAGGACTTGGAGGTGGTTGGGGAGGGGGAGAGGGCGGGTCCTCCCTAGAAAGCTCCCTTCTTGCAGCGCATATGCATGTTAACCCCAAGTCCAGTCCACGAACTGTGGAAGGCGACTGGTCGTAGCTATCACAATCTTTCGATGCCACGGGAGCCATGGTGCAAGAATAGGCAAATGAGATCTTTGCGGAGATGATGTCGATGGATGATGCCTTGTAAGAAATGCGGAGGGGGCGCAGGTGTTTGGAGTTGACACTCTACGGCGTCTTCGGCGGTCGTTAAGTAGTCGGAGTCAGTGAGCCATTATGGATGTAAAGAGTGCGATGGGCAAACGACAGCCAGGAGTTTCCATTGACAATTAGAGGTACAACATCCCATCCGAAGGGTCGGAAACTGCAGAAGGGGGAAAGCAGGCGTGCGGTCCTCGACACACACGAGATGAGCTGTTCCAATGGAGTGGTGCCTTAGAGCAGCGGTATCCAACTTCGGCCCCCTGGGGTAACCGACCTCGCTGTGGTTGGTATTCCAGTACCTGCAAACATGGTGGTAGAGCGTACAATGAGACGTCGCCAAATCGAATTGGGTTGAGTAGCTCATGCGTGCATCCGGCCTGGAGATTCCCGGAGTGACTCCAGGAGTGGCACCATTGGCCGGGGAAGGCTGTAAATGGAGATGACCACAACACCAAAATGATCTAGAAGATAGAGTTGTCCTACACCACGTGTGCAGGGCGGGAGGGCGGAGTTGACAGCATCTTGTGTTTGCTATGTCGAGCCTCAAGGCGAAGGCGGCAGCAAACGTGCCTTGATCGGTAAAGCCTTGGGCAGCAATTAGTAGGAAGTGATCCTGGGGTGTGAAGGGAAGTGGAGTGTGCCAGCTCAGTTATTGACTTGGACAGCAGTAACCCAAAGCTTGGGCGGTAGTGAATGTGTTGCTCCTCGCCCGCTCCAGGTGAGAACCATTTGGGATGCGGCTACGTGCCAAGTCTGCCAAGATCTCGTGGATCGCGTCCGTGCGCTTTCCCGCAGCCTATTCCAACTTCAAGCCAGGGAACGCTTTGTGTTCGCTCACCAGCCCCCGTGTACAACTTTCCACTTGACTCCGCCGCTCGCACCCTAACAACACCCAGTGTTGCTATTCACTTGTCTGACCTCTACCCGAAATATCCCCGTCTCCGCCCGCCGACCAATCTCCCATGCCGCTATCCGACGTTCTTTCCACGGGAACATAGGGCTCGCGTGCAATCCTACCGTCACTGTACCTGCACACCCGTTTCGGCGCCCATCGAGACTCTCTTCCGACCAATCCGCCCTCCTCGCGCCCGAACATTCCTTCCGCCAACATGGCATCGGCGGCAAAGTCGGTCTGGAACCCTGATAATGTAAGGGACGTCGGTGAGTCGGTCGGGATCAGTAACCTGCCGCCTCAAATCGTGGAGGAACTCGCGCGTGATGTCGACTACCGTGTCGCGCAGGTGCTGGAGGAAGCGCTGAAATTCATGCGTCACAGCAAGCGCACGACACTAAGCACGCAAGATATATCCAACGCTCTCAAAGTTCTCAATGTCGAGCCACTGTACGGCTATGAGTCGACGAGACCATTACGTTTTGGCGAAGCTTCACTCGGTCCGGGACAGCCGTTGTATTATGTGGAGGATGAAGAGGTTGATTTCGAGAAGCTCATCAATCAGCCCCTCCCAAAAGTTCCCCGGGAGATTACATTTACGGGTATGTTCGCACTGCTGCCACTCGACGAGTTGCACCTTCTAGACTCATGTTGCTGACACCTTTTAGCACACTGGCTTGCCGTAGAAGGAGTCCAGCCATCGATCCCTCAAAACCCGAGTGCCATCAACCACGCGGACCTTCTTCCAAAGGGTCCCAATGCCAATCCATACCTTGCTGCGGCCAATGGCTTGGATAACGTGAATATCAAACCACTCGTCAAGCACGTCCTTTCCAAGGAATCTCAAGAGCTCTTCACAAAACTCTCTTCTGCCCTGATAGACGAGACAAATTCGGAATGGCAAAATGCAGCACTGGCTTCCATTCAATCGGATCCGGGCATACATCAACTCACGACGTATCTGGTGACCTTCATCGCGGAGAAGGTCACACATAGCATCAAGAATCTCTTTGTGCTACGGCAGATGATGCTTGCTACCACAGCCCTCCTAAACAATCAAGCAATCTACCTGGACCCGTACATCCCATACTTGGTTCCAGCCGTCCTGACCTGTTGTATCGGAAAACATCTCGGAGGGCCCACACAACAAGCAGTACCCTCGAATGCATCATCAGAGACTTTGAACGGAAACTCTAACGGTGTTCCGTCAGCTTCTATGGCTCATTTCGAACTGCGCGATCTCGCGGCATCCATTCTGAGTACCATGTGCTCAAGGTATTCAGCATCGAATCATGGGTTGAAAGCGCGCATAGCCAGAGTCTGTCTCAAGAACTTCCTAGATCCCAACAAGCCTCTGGGGACCCACTACGGCGCATTACGGACGCTGATTTCTATCACTGGAGCCGAAGGAACCAAGATGGTTATCCTCCCCAATCTGCTGATATATGACACGGTTCTCAAGGAAGCGCTGGCGGACGACATTAAGAGGTTGGAAGCTGAGAGAGTCATTGCCCTCATCCTGCAGGCATTGGATCGCTCGGAGCGGAGCCCTGCGGCGCCCAGGATAAACGGCGTAGCAAACATGGAGAGCCAGAGAGAGCAACTGGCGTCGAAGGTCGGGGATGTCATCGCCGATAAGATCGTGTTGAGTGGGAGGTCTGGCGTCGCGCGACTTATCCTTGAGAGTGATCTGAGGCTGTAGACGGTCTTGTGTTTCTTTTTGACTAGAACCCCTGGGCTGGATTGGGTAGTCACCGGAGGGCGTTCAGGATATATGGATATGATACCAGTTTGCACACTTAGGATGGACCACTTTTTGGAGCAAATATTCGCGTAGGCATCTTTTCGTTTTCCATTTCATGGACATATATACACCAATTCGCCATGCATTTTGTCCCGAGCAAAGATCATGTGACACCGTGCCCATGTCGCGACCGCCTTGGAAAACATGCTTCCCAAATGGATGGGACCCACTTGCGCGCCTCGTCTCTCACCTGCAGCTCCCCACGACCCCATCATCCGTCACACTCTACCACACAGCAGATATTATTCTACACGGTCACTCCCTCCTAGCATTGCTGTTGGATTATCTGTCTGGCTTACTGTGTGATTGAAACTATCTCTGCACTGTTTAACATCCAATGGGTCATCACACCCTCAACAGCAGTAAAACAAATGCAACGAAAGAAGATCCACAGACAACAGAAGTAGACAACGAAGAAGAACAAGCCCAATGGCCGTTGACCTACCAACTTCGTCTCCCGCAAGGCACCACAGAAACCAAATATTGGAGCCATACCCTCTACCGCCATGCCGCCAACAACAAACCCGTACAAGTCCTGTACAGCAAGACGTTCGCCGAGTCGGAACTGCTAGCCCGGAAATTCCTCAACGAGCCGATCGTGGGGTTCGACATGGAGTGGCCGGCGAACGCAAACAAAAGCAAGCGGTTGCAGGAGAACATTGGGTTGATCCAGGTTGCGTGCGAGGATAAGATTGGGCTGTTTCATCTGGGATTGCATGAGGGGGAGACGGTGGAGGAGATTGTTGCGCCGAGTTTGAGGAGGATTGTTGAGAGTGAGCGGATTGTTAAGGCGGGCGTTGCTGTCTACAGTGCGGATTTCGCAAGGTTGAAGAAGTACTATCATCTCAAGCCGCAAGGAGCGTTTGAGCTGGGTCATCTGCATCGGTTGGTGGTAGATGGAGGCAGGGAGGCGGACCATTTTCCGACCAAGAACGTGTCGTTGTCGGATCTTGTGCGGATGCATCTGGGGTTTCCGTTGTGGAAGGGGTGGGAGGTGCGAACGACTGATTGGAGTGAGGAGTTGGACTGGAAGCAGAGGCGCTATGCGGCGGCGGATGCGTATGCGGGGTATATGCTGTATAAGTGTATGGACGCGAAGAGGGCCAAGATGGATCCGGTGCCGCCTTTGCCGGTGCTGGCAGAGGAATACGCTGCTCTTGGGTTGGGGAAAGGCGATAAGAAGAGCAGAGAACCCGCGACGGAGAAGAGAAAGGCTACAAAGGCGCGCACTTCTGCGAGTGCAGTTGCGATGGATTCCACGTCGAGGACATTGTTCAACCGGCTGAAGCACCGCCGCAACGAGATTGCGGGTGCTGAGAAGAAGGCGTCATGGCTGGTTGCCCAGAACTGCGTCCTGGAACGGCTGACGATTCAGAAACCGCTGGATGAGGCTTCATTGATGCGGATCCACGGGATCGGTCAGAAGAAGCTGGAGCAGTATGGAGCAATCTGGCTCTCTGAGATACGCACGTTCGTGGGACTCAAGGAGTTGTCAGCATCAGAAGGAGATGGCAATTCCGGATCACAGTCAGAACCAGGCACAGTTCCCGAAGCAGTCGAGCAACCCACAACGCCTAGACGGCCTAGCAGACGACGCAGGACAGCAGCAGAAGACGAAGAGCTTGAGCGAGATGCGCCGGACTCGTCACCTGCCTTTGGCAGCCCCCTACGGCGTCCTCCATCGCTCCATACGGGGCTGTCGTTCGGCTTGGAAAGTACACAGTTGGATTCCGACGATCTTGCGAAAGAAGATGACAGGAGCTCATGGGAAGAGGGGGACTCTGGCGTCTTCATATCACCGTGCTCCAAGCCGGCCTCGAGCGCAAAGCGGAAGCGAAAACGGCCGGAAAGTCCACATCCTACGGCAGCTTCCTCGCTCGCGGCAGAGACTGGGAGCGCCGCACCACTCAGTCCCAGGTCCAGGATCGTGCGGAACAAGCTGACTTCCTATAGCAAGATGATCGCGTCGATGCTGCAGCCACGGCCTCAGGAAGAGCTGGTGTCGGCACAGACATTGGAGCTGATCGCTAGGCGCCGCCCGCAGACGATGCAAGAGCTGGAATGTATTCCAGGGATTGAGAGACTGGCCGAGGGATGTAGACGGGTTGGGAAGGACCTGTTGGCTGCGATTGTGAAGCACTCGGGTGCCGGATAGGTTAATGTGGGCTTCCCTTCTTTGGATGATGAGAGAGTTGCATGTAGGAAGAGCGGTCGAGATGAGCTATTGGATGGACTCGAGACGATGATACCCAGATGATTGGATTGGAGGATGAGACGGACCGGAGGGCTGGATGACGTGCTACGAAGAGACGACTTCGACGACCTCAGTTGGAGATGTGATACCCTGCACGGCACACGTGTTACTATTCAATGGATAGCTAGACCCAAGTGTAACTATACCCATCTTATTTTGGCCTTTCAACAAATCAAAACATCATCACCTCTCAACACATGTGCATGGCCGAGGCTCCCCACAGCACGTGACGGTCTTAGACACTACATATGTAATACATAAACGCTTATGACGAGCGCCGAACTTTCACGGTCTTTCCACGCCAGCTTTACTGCCCACCATGGCAAGATCTTGGGCAGTCTAGACGCGTGGGCGGGCGATGATAGCGGGAGAATGTGGGGCCATTGAGCAAAGGCGAGCATAATTCAACCATTGTCATGGCACATAACGAAACGTTCTCCCCGAGTCATCGCCAGAAAACAATAGTCTTAAGCAAAGCACATGCTCGCATATGCATCTCGCAGTGATGCAATGGAAGGGTTAGAGGAGGCAAAGACATCTGAAATTCGCGGCAGATGGTGCCGGTTGGTGTGACGGGGAGACCGGAAGAAGCGCACCGGCCTGGCGGCTGGACCCTGAGATCATTTTATTATCAGAGAGGCCTTGGATCTATGGTTTTCCCCGGGCATGAAAGCGACAAGCGGGCACCTCGGAGTCGGACCTGTGTGTGGTTTCTTAACAGTAATACTGTGGTATTCGTGCAAGAAACAAAGGCTGGCAGAGGAAGAGTGGCGCCCTTCGCCCGGCAGAATCGCTGCCAATGTTGGAGGAGTGGCAGTCACATGCCATCACAAAGTCCACACATGTGAAGGGGAAGCCACCATCTCACTACATATTCCTCTGCCGCCTCATAACACGAACGCCCCCCATGCCCTCGACGCATTCTACCACGTCACGGCGTCCCTTCAGACGCTTCTACCCGTCATCGTCTACATTATTCGCCATTATTATGAATTCGTGAACCCGAACATCGTCGCCTTCCCTATCTCCAACACTCTCCTGAGTCTCAGCGTTCATTGCCCCTCGGACGCCGTACCTCCGACGTCACCTCTGACGCTGCCCTCGCACTTTCTCCAACACCATGGACACGCAGCAGCAGCAGGACCGTCCGCCCGCGTACACCCCGCCGGGCTCAGAGTCGCTCGTTCTACCCTCCTTGCCCACGCTTGGGCTCGGTTCACACCGCCGACAGCAGCAGCATGACCGCCTGCCCTCAATCAAGGCCCTAGACCTTCCTGCCGCTTCCCCCGCGCCCTCCTCGCAGTCCCAGTATAGTCCCTCGTCGGTCGAGTTGAGCCCGAGGAGTCGGGTTGGCAATGGCCAATGGAGTGGTCTGCCGCCGCTGGATGGGAATAGGAATGGGTTTGGAAAGAGGCTGGATGGAGGACTCCGCCGCGCCGCGTCCAACGAGATGGAATTGGAGAGTCCGGCGGATACGGGGAGTGTGGTGAGTGCGCAGAGCGAGTATGGAGAGAGGAGAGAGGTGAGTTCTCTGGCCCTGGAGGATCCGGATGTGAGGTTGGCGGCCGAGGCTTTGTCGGGACTGTGCAATCCAGGTACGTCGTGTTGTTTTATATGTCAAGGTTGGCTGGGTGGTGTATAAAACTCTTCACATCCAATTGCCTATTGCAAAACTCCATCCCTTCCTACGTTACTTCGGCCTGTGAGCTAACAACTGCCAGACTTTGCTCGCTCACCCTCGCAGTCCGTGACTCTACCTCCTCGCTCACCACCCGTCCCACCCGAGCCTGAACCCCTACTCTCTCTCATTACTTCCCACCACCCCTGGCTCGCCGGAACCATCCATGGTTCGATATCGGCCTACAATGCTACCAAAGGCTACACCCCGCGCTTCGTCCAACGAGGCGCCGAGTTTATCGAGCGCAATATCGGCGCCCCAGTCGTCTACACCGTGTCTTCCGTCGGACGGCGCACCGGCGTGGAAAGGAATATTAGAAGTTATCTCGGCGAGCACAGGAGGCCTAGCGACCATGAACAAGCCGACTCGGAGACCGCCCGTAAAAGGCAGCGCGTTATGAGCCCGGCCAAAGATACCATGGATTTGGACCAAGCGAACCCAGCGCCACGGACGGGAACCAGTTCCCGGTCATCGTTCGCCGAGTCGCTGCCTGCCTACGACAATCACCGATCGCCCAACTACGAAGAGAGTGTTGCGACGCTCGTTGATCCGGCGACCGGCAGAGACACAACGAATTGTCAACCGGCTGCATCTCAAGACAGAAGCGTCAACTGGCCTACACAGTTGATCATGACGACATCGGGACTGGGTGTCGCGCTCTCAGATGGCTCGCTCCGCTCATTGAAAGCCTGCCTGGGCTATCTCCGAGGCGCAACCAACCACATCGACTCCGTGATGCATGCCCTCAAACTCCTCCTGGAAGAATACGAATCCGCAGTGCGAAACCAACAACAGCAACGACAAAACAACGAAACCGGCGAAGCCGACACCGAACCGGGAGCCACGGGCTCTGCCAGAACCACCCCCACTCTGTCTGACCACGCCACTGACCCCACGGCAAAGGAAGACGAGATACGCCAGATCGCGGACCGCATGAAATCCGCCTCGATGGACATCTGGAGCACCCTGCGAAACGTCACGCGCAGCGTCTCCCATTATACAGGTGGCACCCTGCCACAAAACGCAAGCCAAGTCGTGCGGCTGCAACTGCTCAGCGTGCCCCAGCGATGGCGGTCGGCCGGTTCGAGGGCCGCGGCGGCGGCGGCAGCGGAAGGGGATGGGGCAAGAGGAGACGAGGCGAGGGGCGCGCAGAGGATGTTGGCGTTTGCGAAGGAGGGGCTCGATATGATGGGGCAGATTACGAGGGTGGTGGATGGGACAGTGACGAGTGCGGAGACATGGTTGACGAAGATTGGGCGGCGGCCGAGTGACGAGGGGGAGGCGGAGGGGAGCGGGAGTGGCAGCCGTGGTGGTCAAGGGGAGCAGAGGGTTGGGATGGGGGAGAAGCACGAGTTTTTGGGGGCTGGAGAGGAGAGGAGGTAGGGGAAACGTTCGGATGGATAAGGCGTATAAGAATTCACCTGGGAGTGAGGGTTTCCAAGAGTATCCATGGCCATGTCTGCCTTTTTTGCCTTCTTTTTTCTTTTCTCTTTATCAAAATTCATCACTTATACCATTCTTCTCGGTAGAGTCTTATTCCACTTCAAACATACTTTTGGAATCCATAGATTGGGAACTCGGCGACTACTACTACTACTTTGGAACTTCTTCTCTCCTCCTTCTCCTCCTCCATCTTCTTCTCCTCCATCATCGTTGTTAGAAGACAAGGCAAAAAAAACAGAAGCGGAAGACACCTAAACACTGTAAAATTCTCGTATGCGACGAGGGTACGGTTCGTGCTACCTTTCCTCTTTGTCCTTTTTCCCTTTTTCCTCTTCTTCTTTCTCCTTGTTCTCTCTGTATTGTAAGAGGGGAGGTGGAGGAGGAGGGGGAGGAGGGATATTTACATCAAAAGGCCGGGCCATTCCGAAAGGGAAGAGGAAAGGAGGAAAGCTGGAGAGGGCGGGGAGGATGGGGAGGATGGGTAGGAGTAGTCGGAGATGGTGAGAGGGTATAAGAATATATATGTATAGAAGCGATTGTGTCTTTAAGGGGGAATTCAGTCCGGAGTTTTTGCCCTCCTTTTTCGTCCTTCTTTGGCGGGGTGTGGGATGTCGGATGTTGGATGTGGGATGGGTGTGGGTAGAGTAGGTAGTAGATGGAAGGGTGGAAAGAAAGAGCAGAGATGTGGAGGTGGCTTGTTTCTCGATCCTTTCTCCTTCCGTTCTTTCTCTCTTTCTTTCCTTTCCCTCGCTTTCGTCCTTGGCGATGTCGGTGCGTTGTGTCGTGTGCGACCAGCAAGGATACCAAGGTTATCGTGTGGTTATGCTGGTGGTTGTCGTCGCCCTCGTTGCCCTCGTCACCGTCGTCGCCGTCGTCGCCGTCCTCGCTGACTCAATAATCATCGAAACAACATTCCACCAAGTCATCCTACCAGCGATCCCATCTTGCCCTCCCACTCCTCCCCTACCATCTCCTACCACCTCCTACCATCTCCTACATCCTGCATCACAAATCCAAATCCAAATCCCATCTCCGACCTTCAGCACTCCATCCGCTCCGCGACGTGATGCGTTTACCCACCACTACTACTACTTCTACTACTGCTGCTCCTCCTTGCGTAGGGTTACTGGGCATGCTGACCGTGGGCGTGCGTGTGGGTGTGGGTGTGCGCGTGGGTGTCTGGTGCTGCGGGAGAAACAGTGCCGGACGGGTGCGGCGAATCCGGAATCCCATTTCCCACGCCTAGCTCGTGCATGCGCATCGGGGCCGGCATCGGGGGCGGAGATGAAGGGGTAGTTGTCCCGGTAGTCATCGTCGACGCAGTCGTCGTCGTCGTTGCCGTGGTCATTGTCGTGGGAGCCGGTGAGACTGGTACGGGGACTGGTACGGCGGGTATCTGGGCCTCGAAGAAAGGGTGTGCAGGTCCGGGGATTGCTGGTGCTGGTGATGGGGAGGGGTGGGTTTCGGGTTGGGAGTGCGATTGGGAGTGCGATTGGGGGTGCGACTGGGACGGGGAGGAGGAGGAGGAAGGAGGGGAGTGCAGGATTTGGAAGGGGGTGAGGCGGATGGGGGGGATGAGTATGGACATTTTTTCTTTCTTTCTTTTTTGGTTTGGTGTGTGGTGTGTGGTTTGTGGTGAGATGGTTGTTGAGTTGAGTTGAGGCTGTTGTTGGGTTTCGTGCGGGAGGAGGGTTTTCACGGTTGGTGTATGGTTTTGTACGGAAGTTGTTGAGGAGTTTCGCAGTCCGAAGTCTTGGCCTGGAGTTCAAAGCCTGGCGACTGATTGGGAGGGATTTGGATGGAGAGGAGAGAGGATGCCAAAAAAGAGGCAGTAATATTACTGCGGAGAAACGGCTTTGTGTTGGAGTAATAAGATATCTGAAGGAAATGGATGAATGGATTGTGACTCAGGTTGAAAAAAAGAAGCTCGTAGGTTTATAGTTTTAGTGCTTGGAGGAGGGGAGAGTTTCAAGTTTTCTCTCCTCCTTCTCAAAACGTGAAAACTCCCCTTCTGAGTTCTCTCCCTGGACTAAATATATCCCTCCCCCCATGATCCGCGATCAACGCCGCGCCCACCCGCGCACCGCGGCAATTGGATGCCAGAATACGAAAGCACATGACACCGCGATCGCGACGGGCGTCGGGGTTGAGTTGGATCAAGCGGTGAGCGTTTCCCAGCCTTTTCCATCCCGGCAGGAGCTTCCCCATCGAGGTAGGAGCTTAACGTTATGGTTTCCCGGCCGTGCCTTGGATTGGTCAAACGACTGCAATTGTGTTTCTGCCTGGCGCATTTTCTCGTACACAGTAAGTGATTAGTAAACGAGGACGGGAAGTGAAGGGCGTGCCAAGCTGAGGGGTGGTTTATACGACGGCTTGTTGATTGGAGTATGTTGGGAACGGTGTGTGGGGAGGAGATCGTATAACGAGGCTGGGGGCGGGAAGTGCGTTGCGCTTGGCGTTTGACGGGGAGATACACTGGAGTCGTGAGGCTGAGGATGAGGCTGGAGGTGGTTGCGCTGGGAGGTTGCAGTGGGAGGAGCATTGATGCTACGCATTGCCTTCTCCTGTGTTAATAACTTATTAATAAGTGTCTCTGGAGGTTTGCCTCGGAGGAGATCTCCAGGAATCCCGAAGTATGCTTTGCGTTGGGAATTAGACGATTGCAGCGGAGTAGAACCAGCTGCGAGATACGGATACCGGCCAAAACCCATTGGCAGAGAGTTTTATTTGTACACAGTACATGCTTTGGTTGGTGGAAAGGTAATAGATCCTGAGCCGGACTCGAAATCGGCAGCTGCTTTCGTCTGAACTTCATATTTTGGTTCATGTGAAATCCTTTTCCACGGGCGGGATGAGTGGTGGGCCTATAAAAGCGCAGAAGGGTAGAGATATTCTTAGCTCATGATGCAGACGTGGTTTGGTTTGCAAGGGCAAACTGCTCGGTAGACAATGCTGTGTTGGCGTATTACACTGTATGCTGGGAAAACCGACTAGGCCCTGGCACGGGTTGAGCATACGAGGGGGAAAAGAGGAAGAAGCAAAGACAGCAGAAAAGATAGAAGGGCAGGGACGAGGAAGGAGAGGGGTTGGATGCCAGGGGGCGATGACTTTCTTAAGAAGCCTGTACGGAGTACTGGAATCCTTCACTTGTACAATATACCAGCAGGTGTTTTCACAGCCAATCCGTTCAGAGACGGCCTTAGCGGCGATAAGATGGACTCGGACATGGAATCTGATGTGGGGCAGAAGAGGCGCATTACTAATTATCTGGAAGGATTTTATTAGCTTTGGATTGGAAAAGTTATGTCTTGTTGGACTTGTACCGCGGGATCTTTTGATGGCTACTGTTCGGTACCGGCTCTGCCTTTGCAGAACCCTTCTTTCACGTTTCACATTATCCATGATGGTCTGGATGAGTTGGGAACAGAATTCGCACTTGCGAAAATAGAATGGGAAACAGTTGCTACAGGCAATATTGAGCGGACAGAAGTTGGAGAATTACACAGCACTAATCGCATACAAGTACTTCTATGTGCGACCCCACGTGCAAACAGTATGCGCCCTACCCGAATAGGAAGGGCGCACATTAGCTTGATTTTCTTTTCATGTTAGATATCGGATTCATCTTGACGAAGATGCACTGATTGTTGATGATGCTGGCTTCGAATCAATGCAACCCACTACGGGGAAACATTCTCTCGTCCTCCAAAACGGTGCTTGTGTAACGGCAAGCTCACCGCTCAATTTCGGCTGACAGTTTATTTCACCGGTCCTCTTGCGCCGTGAGTGCTATGTATCTCATGCATACGTTCTTTGTCCTCATAAGGCCACCCGCTACGGAGAGACTAAATTGGTATTCCCGGAACCCCTACATCACATCATTATTGTGATTTCGACTCATACGCACTCATCTACACTCACAGGTCTGACTCAACCAGTCCACGTCCCACCGACGCCGTGCCACACCCAATACATCATGGCCGTCTCCACGGGCAAAACCACATGGCAAATTCTCCTTTCCGTCCGCCAAAGGTCCGCTTAAGAGTAGTTGTCGAGACAAGAGCAACGGCTTCGGAGGCAGAGTGCCTAGTGCCCGGCCTCAAACCGATCCTTACCCATCCAAGCCAAAAGCCCTTGCAAACATTGGCATATCTACTAGTCTACGGTTGCCGTTATTTGTTGCCCCCACGCCCTTGTTCTTCCTCCTCTTCCTCTTCCTCTTCCTCTTTCTTTTCACCTCTTCTTTTTCTAACCCTCCCTCCTTTTCGGAGCTGTCGTTCGTTTTCCCATTTTGCACCCGCGAACCCCACCGGGCTTCCCTTCCCCATCTCGCCGAGGTTCGCTAATTCAAATCCGGAAGGCGTCCGTCCAGCGCCCAAACTTGGAAAATGGACCACCCCAGTAACAATGCACTTCCTGATTCCCATGCCAAAGGCGTGACCTACGAGGCTATCCGCACAGAACCCACCCGCCGCAACAGCTTCTCCAGCATCGCAACTGCAACTAGCGCCATCCAGCCCGTCCGCTCCTCCAGCCAGCACGATCATGACGGTACTCGAGGCGGCGTCAATATCTCCCAGGCCGAGGCCGACTTCGCCGAACTAAACAAGCAGCTTTCGCGCGCAAGCCATCTCTCGCGCAAGTCGAGTCGCGGCCAGAGCCGCAAGGACGCCAATGAGGATGATTTGGAGAAGGCCGCCCAGTCCGATGCGTCATCGGAGGAGCCGTTTGATCTCGAGACGGTCCTGAGAGGGAATCGCGATGAGGAGGAGGCGGCGGGCATCAAGTCGAAGCTTGTAGGTGTCATTTGGGAGGGTCTGACCGTGTCGGGTATCGGAGGTGTGAAGAATTATGTCAAAACGTTCCCGGATTCGTTCGTTTCCTTCTTCAATGTCTACGAGACGGCCATGAATCTGCTGGGCAAGGGGAAGAAGGGGAGAGAGTTTGATATCTTGAAAGATTTCAAGGGCGTTGCGAAACCAGGGGAGATGGTGCTTGTCCTTGGCCGCCCTGGATCAGGATGCACGACGTTCCTCAAAGTCATCAGCAATCAGCGCTACGGATACACCAAGGTCGATGGCGAAGTGCTATATGGCCCCTTTGACAGCGACTATTTCGAGAAGCGGTACAGGGGCGAAGCCGTCTACTGCGAGGAAGAAGAGAATCATCACCCGACACTGACCGTGGGCCAGACCCTGGATTTCGCACTCGAAACCAAGGTCCCTGGAAAGCGACCTGCTGGCCTCTCCCGCACGGAATTCAAAGAGAAGGTTATTGACTTGATGCTGAAGATGTTCAATATTGAGCATACCAAAAACACCATCGTAGGCAATCCGTTTATTCGTGGCATTTCTGGAGGCGAGAGAAAGCGAGTGTCCATCGCTGAGACTATGATTACCGGAGCCTCCGTCATCTCTTGGGACAATTCCACTCGTGGCTTGGATGCCAGCACGGCAGTGGACTATGCGCGATCACTCAGGATCCTGACCAACATCTACAAGACCACGACGTTTGTTTCGCTCTATCAAGCCTCCGAGAACATTTACGACGTCTTTGACAAGGTGCTTGTCATTGATAGCGGACGCCAGGTGTACTTCGGTCCTGCCAAAGAGGCACGCGCATACTTCGAAGGTCTGGGTTTCTTGGAGAAGCCTCGTCAGACCACGCCCGACTACCTCACCGGATGCACGGATCCTTTCGAACGGGATTACCAGCCCGGAAGAAGCGCAGACAATGTCCCCAGCACTCCAGAAGCCCTTGCCGAAGCCTTCAACAAGTCTCAGATCGCAGCACGCAACGAGGTCGAGATGGCCGAATATCGTCAGCATATTGCCGAAGCGAAGCACCTTCATGACGATTTCGTCATTGCTGTCAAGGAGCGCAAGCGTCACGCCCCGGCCAAGTCTGTCTACTCCATTCCCTTCTACCTCCAGGTGTGGGCGCTGGCCAAGCGCCAGTTTCTCCTCAAGTGGCAGGATAAGTTCTCTTTGGTCGTCTCCTGGATTACTTCTATTGTCATCGCTATCGTCATCGGTACTGTCTGGCTTGACCTTCCTGCAACTTCGGACGGCGCCTTCACTCGGGGTGGTGTTCTCTTCATCGCGCTATTGTTCAACGCTTTCCAGGCATTTTCCGAACTCGCATCGACTATGATGGGCCGCCCCATTGTCAATAAGCATAGAGCATTCACGTTCCACCGTCCCTCTGCCCTCTGGATCGCCCAGATCGGAGTTGACTTGCTCTTCGCATCGGCACAGATCCTCGTCTTTAGCATCATCGTCTACTTCATGACCCATCTTGTTCGAGATGCTGGCGCCTTCTTCACCTTTGTCCTCATGATCATCACAGGCTATCTCGCCATGACGCTGTTCTTCCGTACCGTCGGCTGTCTTTGCCCGGATTTCGATGTGGCTATTCGTCTCGCGGCTACTATCATCACGCTCTTCGTCTTGACCTCCGGATATCTCATCCAGTGGCAGTCGGAGCAGGTCTGGTTGAGATGGATATTTTACATCAACGCGTTGGGTCTTGGTTTCGCGTCTCTCATGATGAATGAGTTCAAGCGTCTCGATATGACATGCGCAGGGAGGTCGCTCATTCCATTTGGACCGGGATATGATGACCTCAATCACCAGGTGTGCACTCTTCCCGGAAGTCATGCGGGTACAAGCAAAGTCTCTGGGACCGATTACGTGCGATTGGCCTTCTCTTACAACCCCAGAGACCTCTGGAGGAATTGGGGTATCATGATCGTTCTTATCGTTGCCTTCCTGCTAGCAAACGCTTTCCTAGGAGAGTTCGTCCGATGGGGCGCCGGTGGCCGGACAGTGACATATTTCGCCAAGGAGAACGCAGAACTCAAGGAGCTCAACCAAAAGCTGCGCGAGAAAAGGGACAGGAGGAACCGCAAGGAAGAAGGGGCTGAGTCCGGCTCAGACCTGCATATCACTTCTAAGGCCGTACTCACCTGGGAAGATCTCTGCTACGATGTCCCTGTTCCCTCTGGGCAGCTGCGGTTGCTGAAGAACATCTATGGTTATGTCAAGCCTGGCCAATTGACTGCCTTGATGGGAGCTTCTGGCGCCGGAAAGACGACCTTGTTGGATGTGCTCGCCAACCGCAAGAACATTGGTGTCATTACTGGCGACAAGCTCGTTGATGGCAAGCCTCCAGGAATCGCCTTCCAGCGTGGTACCTCGTATGCCGAGCAGTTGGACGTACACGAGCCTGCGCAGACAGTCCGCGAGGCACTCCGGTTCTCTGCTGATCTTCGTCAACCTTATGAGACTCCGCAAGCCGAAAAGTATGCCTACGTCGAGGAAGTCATTAGCCTGCTTGAGATGGAGGACATGGCTGATGCCATCATTGGCGACCCTGAGACTGGTCTCGCCGTTGAACAGCGCAAGCGTGTCACGATCGGAGTGGAACTCGCGGCAAAGCCTGATCTCCTCCTCTTCCTCGACGAGCCGACATCCGGCCTTGACTCGCAATCCGCCTTCAACATCATCCGATTCCTTCGTAAGCTCGCTGCTGCTGGCCAGGCCATTCTCTGCACAATCCATCAACCCAACTCTGCCCTCTTCGAGAACTTCGACAGACTCTTGCTCCTTCAGCGTGGTGGGCAATGCGTCTACTTTGGTGACATCGGCAAAGACGCACATGTCCTCCTCGACTATTTCCACCGGCACGGCGCTGACTGCCCTCCCGATGCCAATCCCGCTGAATGGATGCTCGATGCCATCGGTGCTGGTCAGGCTCCTCGCATTGGCAAGCGTGACTGGGCCGACGTCTGGGCTGACTCGGAGGAGTTCGCCAAGGTGAAGGAGGAGATTGTCCGTATCAAGGAGTCCCGCATTGCTGAGGTTGGATCGGCGGAACCCGCCCCCCAGAAGGAATATGCCACGCCGTTGTGGCACCAGATCAAGGTCGTTAACAAGCGGATGAACTTGGCCTTCTGGCGTACGCCCAACTACGGCTTCACGCGTCTCTTCAACCACGTCATCATCGCGCTGCTCACAGGCCTCATGTTCCTGCAGCTCGATGACTCTCGTACCTCGCTGCAATACCGCGTGTTTATCATCTTCCAGGTCACCGTTCTTCCCGCTCTGATTCTTGCCCAAGTCGAACCCAAGTACGCCATCTCGCGCATGATCGCCTACAGGGAGCAGATGTCCAAAGCCTACAAGACCTTCCCCTTCGCCCTCTCCATGGTCATCGCCGAAATGCCCTACAGTATCCTCTGCGCTGTCGGCTTCTTCCTCCCTCTCTACTACATCCCCGGCCTCAACTCTTCCACCTCGCGTGCAGGCTACCAGTTCCTCATCGTCCTCATCACGGAGATCTTCTCCGTTACTCTCGCTCAGATGGTCGCTGCACTCACACCCGACCCCTTCATTTCCTCCCTTGTCAATCCCTTCATCATTGTTATCTTCGCCCTCTTCTGCGGCGTCACGATTCCCAAACCGCAGATCCCCGGTTTCTGGAGAGCGTGGCTCTACCAGCTGGATCCCTTCACGCGTCTCATCGGTGGCATGGTTGTCACCGAGCTGCATGAACAACCCGTCCAATGCACGCCCATGGAATTCAACCGCTTCGTCGCGCCTCCAGGCCAGGACTGCGGATCCTACATGTCCGACTTCTTCTCCAGCGGTGCGCCTGGTTACATCCTGAACAATGCGACGAATATGTGCGAATACTGTGCGTACAAGGTTGGCGATGAGTTCTTCAGGCCTTTGGGATACGAGTTTGCGCATCGTTGGAGGGATCTGGGGATCTTCGCCGCGTTCATTGGGAGTAATCTGATTATCCTGTTCTTGGCTGTAAGTTTTGTCTGGTGCTATTGTGTGTTACATGATGCTGACTTGGTGACAGGCGCGTTACCTCAACTTCAACCGCAGATAACAGGGCAAACACGTTCTCTACCTGGATCCTCCCCCTCCCCTTGTCCAGTCCCACCCATTGCAAAAAGTATGCACTATTGTCGTGCAATTCTTCTTCGGGTCGCCGTCACCCTGTCCGTTTTCCTTGCCGTTTGTACACACAGTAGTCGTTTTTCGTCATCAAAAAGCGAGCAATAGAAGATAGACGGACGTCGATTGACTTTGCATCTGGGCGGCGTTTGCGTTTCCTTTGCCTGCTAGACCGACTGGCGGGTCTTGGCCTATCCTGTATATACTTAATCGATCCGCATTTTCAAGGAATTTTTCCTACTATTTCAATTGTACCAAGTCTGGTTTGCTGACGCCGATATTATTTTAGCTGACCGCCGAGACACACTGGAATGGCGAAGACGTGAAGAGTTAGCTGCGCACAATCACACGTTCATATCCACGAACTCAGTGGTATGTTTTTGAAGTAGTGCCACGTCGACAGCTGTGAAGCGACGTCGACACCTTCGTTGTCATATCCCTGGCTGTTGTTGCCTGTCCTTCACATTCACCGACGCGCACCTTTCACTCCAGTGCCTTCTTACCTTCCCTACGTCTTTTCGCGAACTCCTCCCTAAACCTCTTCCACCTCACGGGGAGTTTATTAAGCTCATGCGACGCCCTTATTCGCTTTCTCCGAATACCTACCACATCCGCAGTTCACCGAAGTCAATCCGTTGGCTCGCAGATTAGGCAAGGCACCGCACCGCACCGCACCGCACCGCAACCCCCATATTGCTTCTCGTCGCCATCATGGCGCACGCGCCGCTAGCAGTGATACATGGAAAGCACCACGAGTCTCTCGAGGAGTCAACGCAAAGCAAGAACCCCACTCACAGACGCGCGAATCTGGGGACTAGAAGCACGAATACCATCGTCGTCGAGGCACACAACACCAACAGGGCAGCCAGAGGAAAGGCCGATCTGGACGCTGCTCCTACTACCATGACGAAGGTAGTGCGCGTCACGCTCGCAGGGAACACACGGTCGTCGCTGCTGTTGAATTCGATGTGCGGAGAAGAGGAAGACAAGGTGCTACTGTTGGATGAAGCGGGTGAAGCTCTTGATTTTTCACTGGGCACAACGACAGGACGCGAAGAAGATGAAGATATCACGCATGGATATAGCTGTGGGTGTGGTACGATTTCCCACACCTCCACTTCCACCTCCACTTCCACAACAACGGCCAGCTCCATGCACACATCCACCGTCTTCATAACCACCCTCTCCTACACAAACCCCAGTGCATCTCGCACCCGATTCCCTCGCTCCAACATCCCCTCCCCATCGGCCTCACCAGCACCAGCACCCTCCTCCTCCTCCTTCTACTTCTTCCACCCACATCATCACCATCCAACGCCCCTACAACCATCAACCTCGCTTTCACCAACCCCATCTTCATACACAGCGGAAACACTGGAATCGGGATCGCCATCACCGCTCTCGAAAATCATCCTCGCACTCGCGTTCATAATCATGGCCGTGAGCGGTGCGTGGGTCGCAATTGTGTATTGGGTCCAGTTTCCGCCGGGGTGGGTTGTCGGTAGCAATAACCCCCGCAGACGGGAAGTTGGCTGTAAGGCAAGAGGTAGTGGGGAAGGATGGAGGCTGTGGTTCAAAAGCGGATTGTGGTTCGGGAAGGGAGTGGAGGGAGTGAAGACGGGGGATGTGTCGGGTGGGTATTTTCGTCTGGGTGGTGAGTGCGGTGATGATGATGAGGAGGGGGAGGAGAAGCACGAGGGATATATTTCAGACGGGGAGGACGGCGTGCTTGGGAGGAGAAACGATGACGATGTCGATGTCGAAAGCGCTTCTGGTTTTTCCGCCGGTGGGAATGGGATGGAGAGTGCGATGTCCACGGCTACGTTCTTCGGCGACGGCTATGGATATGCGCACGGCGAGAGTGTTGAATTGAGGGCTAGGAGGGGCCAGATCGCGCAATGGAAACAACAAGAAGAAGAAGCGCGGTCCTGCTGGTCTTTGGAAGGACTACGCAGTCCTGATACTCCTCCTAAACGCACACCCACACGCACAGCAGCCACAACACCGTCGCCATCCTCTCCCTCCCAGACGAACGCGCACAAAACCGCACACCGTGAGTGTCCTCACGGAACCAGCCACACAAAGGTATCAGACGACGGAACAAATCCCACACACAAACTTCGCATCAACCTACCCTCCTCGCACCACCCTGCAATCGAATCTCCAATCGACCCTCCAATTACCATCTACTCCCCAACCCAAAAACCACCTCTCACTCCTTCCCCTCCCTCGTATTCTTCCCCTTCCCCTTCCTCGCCGCACAACCCATTCCTCCCCCCTCCCCTTCCCGATTCAACACCCCGTCTTCATCTCAAACAGCGCCGCAACAGCGCGACCTGGCTCCGCGAGCGCGAAGCCTTCTTCTCATCGACGACGACGCCTTGGGACTTTACCCCGAACGATCCAAACCCAAACCCAAATCCAAATCGAAACCCAGTCCCCGGCATCCCGTCTCCAGGCTACTCCTCCACCGACTCCCCCACAGACCTGGAATCCCAACAATCACACTTCCTCCCAACCCACCACCACCCCCGGCGGGCAGGCGCAAGGGCAAGCAAAACCGGACCGCAAAAGGGGCGCCACCATCGCCGCCGAGGAGGAGGAGGAGGAGGAGGAGGAGGAGGAGGAAACGGGAAAGGAGAAGAAAGGAGTGCAAAAACCTGGCTCGAAGCCGTCGACGGTGCCGTGAACCGGGTCGTGGATAAGATGGTGAGGTGGACGGACGACAGAGATGGGGACGAGGGGTTGCTGCTTCCTGTGGCCGAGCAGTGAAGGGGGGTGCTGGGCGCTGAGCGCTGGTGGCGAGAGAGAGTGAGAGCGTGAGAGAGGGTGAATGGAGGGAGGGAGGAGGCTCCGTGAGAGAAAAAGGACGTGCAATGCTGTTTCATGCCTTTTGGGGCGAACAAAGCGCCGAGGCAGCGTGGGAAGTGTAGCACAAGGTCCATCACCTTTGACTTCTACTGGCGCCGCAAACCCAATGGTTTTTCAGTAAATGGATATATCTCGTGTAGCCCTCCCTCCCATCTAATGACTACTCCATCTACATAAATGCCCATGCCTACAATCCCCTACCCTCTCCCCCATCCCCATCCCCATCCCCTCCTCTACACTCTCACCCTCTCCCTCGCCATCCCCTTAACCGGATGCAACATCATCCCAGGAACACACATCCTCCCCCTTTCCCCCTCTCCTTCACCTTCCTCACCCCCCTCAACCACCGTCTCCACCCCCCACCTCGAAACCTCGACTTCCCACCCCAACCACCTCCTATACAGCATCCGCGGAAACCTCGACGCAAAGTACCAACTCCACCCCTGGAAATTGTACTCCCGATCGTGATTATACGGACTATCCTGCTGCTCCGTCCACGCCCCCTGCACTTGCATCACTGGCGCCCCCGTCTCACCATCGACCGTACTCGCAGCGTCGAATATCGCCTCCGCATACGTACTCGGCCACTCCCTGTCGTTGAAGATCGGGTGCGGCGCGTACACGGCCTTGAGCCCATGCTGCAGCGCCACCGTCGCGGGCCACATTTCCGCCTGCATCGATCGCCCCGCGCGGTTCTCGTCGTGCATGGCCTGGAGCATGCGCCTCGAGAACCGCACCACCGTGTTGATGAAGACGCGGCGGTCCAGGTGCGCAAAGTCCGGATGCGTGAACCAGTCGGCCGCCCAGTCCTGCTCGGTAAACAGCGGCCGCACGCCCGGTATGTAGTTCCAGATCTTATCTTTGAAAGACCACGACGTATTTCTAGGGTCCCAGATGGGCAGGAGGGTGATCAGGTCGGCCGGCTCGCCAACGCCCCACTCGAAGTTATCTTCTTCAAAAGACGTCGGTGGTGTAGGCCCCGAGGGTCGCTGGGGCGGAATCGCCGCCTTCCACGGCCGTGGACCCCAGACAGGAGGGGGAATCAAGCTATTCGCCGACGCATTCAGGACATCGGCGTGTGTCCTCTCGACAAACTCCTTATACGTCCCATGAATCGATGGAATGTAGAATCGTTTGTTTCTCTCCCAGATTAGTTTCCGCGGCTGCCTCTCCGCAAACTCGCTCACCTTCTCCAGGAAATGGTAGTGATGGCCGATATATCTCGCATCCGTTTCCCAATTCCAGATGTAATCGAACTCCGGGTGCGTAAGGCTGAACCACTGAAGGCACATGAACTGCTGCCAGTAGACCTGGTAATCTCCTACATTCGGATACCATTCTGGGAAGATGGCTTCGGACCAGAGAATGGCGATGTCCCGTAGTTCCTCGGGGACGTTGTCTTCCACTACCCGCTTGTACAGGTCCGCATCGTTGAAGATATCCTGGTTGGCATTCTTGACGTGGACGTACAGGTACACGGCATACTCTCCGCCAGATTGGAGGGCAAGCTCGGAAACCATGGCCCGAATAGCCATGATGTCGTTCTCCTCGTACCTGTATCCAGTCCAAGCGCGGATCAACACCGCCGTGCGATGATGGTACTTTCTTTTAAGAGTTGTCTTCTCTTCTCTCCCAAGCAAATCCACTCGCGAATCATGCGCATCGATAACAACAGGGCCCTCCGACGCCCCTTTCTCCGCGTAGTATTGCACAGATTCAATAGCCGAAAATGCAGTAGTCGGCTTTTTCACCATCGGCACTCTCGCCTCAGGCGCGAACCGCATCTTATTCCGTTCCAAACACTCATCCTGCAACCGTCCCCATTTCACATCTTTCCACTGAACATGCCTCTTCGGAGCCTTCCAACCCACCACACTGCCATCTTCAGTCCCATTCCCCAACCCATACGCCCCGTAGCGGGAATACCGATCAAAGCAGACATCGCCGTCAAGGCCAAGGACATCGTAGCTACCGGCGAACACTTTGGGAAAGCTTTCGGGCACGCCTTTGTATACGTAGACTTGATCTTCTGCATTGTCCAGTAGCAGTTCTCGCGGTCCTTGACACGGCACATATTCGCCTTCCCATTCTCTGTTCCAGGCCGGTGAGTTGTAAGGCGGGAAAGGGTTGTATACCTTCGGCGAAGCAGCAACGTGTGCTTCCAACTTCTCATGCGTAGCGTTGTAGAACCGCTCATCCCTGTCAACCAGTCATTAGAATTCCCCCACCGATCATCAGCCTCTCTGAGAGCCAAAACTATCCCTTCCCCTAATAACCACAAGCTTGGAGAAAAGGCGGAGCCAGGTAAAGCAGACTTACAGCTCAAACTCCTCCCACCGATTGGGATCATACCCCATCCCGACATAATCCGCATACGGCGGCCAGTGCCCAATCCACACCGGTCTCGCCCACGACAACATCCTCCCCATGTACTCCCTCCAACCCTGAATACCCTCTGGTTTCTCCCTCTCCCCATCCTCCTCCCCATCAACGAGACTCTTCCTTCGTACTGTCTCCCACGGTGGGCGTTGGGAATCTTGAACCGGCACGTTGGACGGAGATGCCGATGTTTTGATACGGCGGAGCCCGAGGCTGGAGGGTGAGAGATGCCATGGCAGGTCCGGGACGACGATGTAGTGGTGCTGGACGGCGAGAATGGAGAGGAGGAGGGCGGAGAGGAGGGCGAGGAAGGCGCAGGTTGCGAGGCCGCGGGGCGGCAGGACGAGCATGTTTCCTTGCAGTATCTCCCAGATCTCCAATCGTACACAAACAGGGAGTCGCCTTAAAACCCTCAAACAAAATCGGACCCGTGCTGAAAACATAAGCGTTTCGATTCGAGCAAGAGACAGCAGCGCGACCCTCAACCACGCGAGCGAGAATCCTTAAGATACAACCAACCTGCACAAAAAGCTGGGCAGCCTCCTCTTCGAGCGGACAGAGACAAAGACACCTAGCCGTCCACAATCTGACGCTCCAGAGCAACGTGACTCATTCGCAAAGTGACTTTGCCAGAAGGTCGTAACAGTCGTAACCGTCGTAGCACTTGTCCGAAGCGTCTTCGGGCGAGAGGTGACGACAGCCACCAGGGGGGTGACAAAGTAGCGGAAAAGACGGGAAGTGTGTCCAGATTTGTCCAGATATATATTAGAAATGAAAGAGAAAAAAGAAGATAAAAGGCACTCCACATGTCGAGCGTGCAGGTACCTACCTTTTCACCTGGGCAGACAGACAACGCCGACATCAGCACAGGAAGGCACGATGCTCTCCACTCAAACTGTACCTAGGAGCGTTGTCACAGGTGCAACACCACAACTTAGATATCACCAATCCCACGTGCCAGATACTCACAGATCAGGGTTAGATATCCCGTATTTAGGCAAAGTCTATACGTCTCCACAGACTGTGGAACGACAAGAGTTACTCCCGCCTATTTTATCAGTGCTCGTCCACTGGCACAGCCCGCCGAATGGCCTTGCCATCCTCAGAGTTATGCATACCTTTCGAGACACCCTAATACACGGTACCAGCACTCAGAGTACCCATCCCCCTACACCCACTTCTGCACCACCACCCCACCCCTCTTAAACTCCGCCATCTCCCCCAGCACCTGCGCCTTATCCGCCAGCTCCTTGCTCGGAAAGGTCGTCATAAGCGCAAACGGCCTCTCACGACTTGCTGGATTCGCCGCCGTCACGAACCCGTACACATCGCCAACCGTATGCGTAGTATTGAACCTGGACTGCAACCTGGTGCCATCGCCCAGCCGAATCTGCAAAGTGATGGTCGGAACCGAATCATCGATTTCGACGGTCGGTTGCGCGGACCCGGTGGTACTAGACGTTGCAGCCGGAGCGGGAGGAGCGGCAGATGTCACACCGGGGGTGGGACTTCCTAGGCGCTGGCCGGCACCGGAGAAGGGAACGTACTTCTTCTTTGGCGGCTTGTAGTCCTCGTCCTTGTGCGGGTGAACCTCCACGTCGACCTCTTGGCCCTGCTCGACGTTCAGAATGTGCAATGGGGCATGGCCCGTATTGATCATTTCGAGGGTGCGTGCATTAGCAGGGTCGTCATAGCGGTACAACGGGCCGTCATCGACGGAGAAGCCGTCGCGCCAGAGATGCAGTTGACGATTAGCGCGGGGTGGAGGCGGAGGCATGGAAGCGTTCGGATCGGGAATGATGCGGCTTTCTGTGTCGTCGCCTCCCAGGGTGACGCCGGCGCCCCTAAAGCGTGACTGAGGTCGTTGTTCGTCGTCGCCGCCTGGACGCGGCGCGTTCCTATGGTGCCGTCAGTACCGTCCAAGTGAGCCTTGAGGTGAGTGAAACGTACTGTCTTGCCCTCCTCAGGATGTTGTTGATGTAATCTCTCGAACTCCCCTGCCCCGGGTTCTGCACTGCGAGTCCAGACTTCTCTCCTCCAGTAAAGAAATCCTGATTCTCATCCCCATCGTCCTCATCCTCGTCATCATCATGCTCGTGCCCATGTCCATGTCCCGAACCCCCAGACTGCTGCAAATCCCTCAACGTCCTCAATCCCCGCTGCGGCTGCCTCCTCTGTTGACCCTGTGAAGCCGAAGACGACGACGCCGCAGGCGGAACATACGCTCCTCCAAGCGTCCTTCCGCCGCCTGGTTGAGGAACTGGAGGGGTGGCACCCGCATCGCCGCTCTCTTCAGGATTATTGTTGTTTCCAGCCATATTGCGCTGACCTTCCGATGCCTCGTTCTCTAGAGAGCCGGAATCGCCGTCGAAGAAGAGTGATGCAGCCGTCTGAAAATCGCCGTTTGCTGCTGAGAGGTACTGTTCTGCCTGGAGGGGAGAGCGTCAGCCAAGACCTCACTTTATGTAAACTTTGTTTTGTTTATTAGGTGTCTTACTTCGAAAGGAGGGAGACCTGTCAAGGATGAGAGTTGAGCTACAAGATCGTCGTGGTCTGCTGCTGCTGAGCCGGAAGACATAGCAACGACTAAGGAGTATGGAGGTGGGTTTGCGAGGAACTGGATGACGGAGGTGCTGGTTGGCGTTGGCGCGGGGCAGGCACGGACGCTTCGGCCACCGCCATGCGCCACAGCTTGGCAGATGAAGACATCAAATGAGGCTCATACAGAGAAGCCGCGGAAGGGTCCAAGCTCATGGGAACCGCATGTCCGACTCCGACCTCTTTGAAACCCCATCCATACAATATATACACCATACGCATTCACCACCACCCCAATCCCACCCTACCCTTCCCTCAGCCCCCCTCCCATCTCAACATGTCCTCGCACCACCCCGACCCCGACCCCCACGCCCACGCCCCCTCCGACACCGAAACCTACGACCACCTCTCCCAAAACGACAACTCCTCGCCCTCTCCCTCTCCCTCCCCACCCTCGACCTCCTCCTCCCCGCTCATATTATACAAACCGCCCACCATCTGGGGCCTCCTGCGCGGCGCGGTCATCAACCTCTTCCTGCCATTCGTGAACGGCCTGATGCTGGGGTTCGGCGAACTCGTGGCTAATGAGATGGCGTTTCGGTTGGGGTGGAGCGGGACAAAGGTATGTGTTGTTGATTTAATCATTGGGTCGTATATCATGGGCCTTGGGGAGGGGGGGAGAGTTCTGACGGGAATCAATGCTGATTTCTGCGTGTTTGAAACAGATATTTCCCTCGCATCGAGGCGAGTCGAGACGGGTGGGTCCGGGCGTTGAGATGCGCGCTGCTCCCGTTGAGCGGAGGAGGAGAAGCGGCGAGGAGTTGGATATGTATACGGCCTTGGAATAAGGGATTCGCAAAGATATGAAGGAGAAAAGCGGCGCAGCAAGGGATGGATGGGCCGTTGACGTTGTAGAACAATGATGGCTTCACGTGGTTGGTTGAGCCGTGTCTAAGATACCAGGGGTGTATGCCAAACCCGCGGCATATGTTATAGAAGAGATTAAGCATTGCAAAGCTGTATATATATATTCATTGCCGAAAGGATGGTTGAGAGGTGACAAATCAAACAATAGGGATATGAGACTACAGTGCAACTAGAATAGAGCTAGATATATATTCACTCTAGATAACCCAAACACTATATTTACATCGTCATCTCTCTTTCCAACCATATGCTCCCGAAGAAGTATCTATTCACACAAACACGAAGTAGCCTCCCCCCAGAGGCAATGGAGCTATCGTACATCTCCCCTCCAAATCTCTCCTCGACCCTCTCTCCCCTCCCTTAGTCTTACTGTCCCCTCAACCTCGCCCTCCTCCTAAGCTCATACTCCTCCGCCTTCTTCTTTGCCTCCTCCTTCTTCCTCCGCGCAAGCTGCGCCTGCACGTCCCCACTCCGAAACGCCGTACGCATCCATTTCTTCGCCCGCTTCCACACAAAACTCGGCTTGTAGTTCCGGCCAAACCAATCCAGTCTGTCCATGATCCTCTCGGGCGGGTTATCGAAATCCTCGTCCCGGTCGTCGTACACCTCCTTCTCCTTGGGCGCTGGCGGACGTATGTGAGCGGGCAGCTCGCCCTTCAATCTCAGACGGGGGGCTTCATACTTGAGCGTTGGGGCTTTGTTGGCGACGGGGCCTGCCTCCAGAAGCTTTCCCTTCTCGGCGGTCATGCGCAGGGCCTCCTCTACGGTGTATTTACCATCGGCAACCTGGTTCCAGAATTCTTGGGCTTCCTTGGTAGGCAACGGGGCGAGGTTGAATCTTTGGCGGAAACTGGCATTGCGGAGAAGATAGGCGGCTATGCTGCTGGTGGTGGACGTGCACAAGAGGTACAGCTGGACAGCTGCGGGTTGGAACATGCCCACTATAGTCATCATGACGGGGATTCCGACCTTAACGATGGTCCTCATGCCTTCGGTGCCCATACTCTGGTCAGACTGCGGACCGGCTTCGCCGCCCATCTAGCGTTCGTTAGTTATCCGAGTTGGTAGCAGGAAAAGCAAGATGTTCCCCTCACCTTCATCGACACATACATGATACCACCTGCAACCACAGGTATAATCATATACGGATCCGAAACAGTCAAATCTTGGAACCACAGGAAACCGGCCTGCGTCATGTCCGGGACCGGCAAATTCGACATACCCCTCAAGCACCTGAAGGCCCCAAAACCAATGACGGCCTGGAACCCCAGAGGCAGGAAGCTCTTAGCGGGATTCGCGCCGATGACCTTGTAAACCCTAGTCATCTTCCTCCGCACAACCTGCATCTCATCCATTTTTCCCCCCGCCTTCGCCGCTGTCATCTCAGCGTTCAATTTCCTCATCACGGGCGTGATGGCCGCTAGCCTGGCCATGGCATCCGAGCTATTCATCTGCAGCTTGAACATTGTGGTACGAATGATAAGCGTGAGCGCGATGATGGAGGCGCCCCAGCCAAGCCCAGCACCGAGATACAGGTGCTCCATCATCCACTCGACCATTGCTGTGGGTCCCCATCCGTAATCCAGACCCATGGCTTTGAGATCCCCATACTTGGTAACCGTCGCTGCAGCGTCGTCGACCCATTTAAACTCCAGGGCATTGTCGAGGTATTCTTCCACACTTCCACGACTAGCATCCGTTGCGGCGGACACAGTTTGTCCCGAGGCTTCCTGAGCTGAAGTCGTCGCCGTCAATTCCGGGGTTGAGGCCGCAACGGCGGGGTCGGAAAGGTTCTGCTGTGCTGCCAGCGGCTCCGAGTCGGCTTTGGTTTCTATGGGCGAAGCCTCAGTCTCCGGCGCGGGTGTGCTGGACCGACCCCAGGTCCAAGGGGCATACCACGACGCATACCGAACTGTGCAGGCGTCGAGTCGGCGCCGCTGTATCCGTCGTGATAGCGACGAGGCGGTTGAGAGGGTAGCCCGTCGATGAGCGGAGGAGAACTGTCATTAAGCAAGAATGTCAGCAGATTGCTCCAATGCGGAGGATGTGGAAAACATAGGCTCGATTGGCATCACTGAGATTGGATTAATTGCATACCTGTCTTGCCGTACCAGCACGTACAAGAAGCGACGCGCTGGCCGCAAGCTGCGCACGGCGAACGGGCTGTAACCCTCTGCTGGGAATCATCGTTGGTGTGTTGTCGCTGTCAGTATGGGTCCCAAAAAGTTCGCGCGGAAGTCCCGCGCCAAGGATGCGGGAAAGTCGGAAGTCTCGATGTCACGTGCTTACATCATATCACCACCTAGTATGGGCCTCTCCTTGCTTTTCCTCAATACGAGGACAAAAATAACACTGGAGAGTCCGACCATAGTTCCTCTTTAAGCACATCAAAGATATAGAATACTGACATAGTCTTACAAAAACACCCGCAAACATTCCATCCATCCACCTCAAGAAAGTATACCGCCGCATACTTTTCAGTCCGCCATTGAAAGAATGCAGAAAAATCTAATAAGGCCTGCTTCCAAAAAGCGCCATGAGAACGTACAGAAGAGCATGGCCATAATAGAAAAGACACGTCCCCTAAAGTCCTATGTGACCGTGCGAAAAAAAGCGCACATACCGGTCCACATTTTGTAATGGGGTATACCGCCTCTAATGAAACGAGAGTCCCCTTTCCATCTAACGCCTGTCCGATAATGCAGTAAATGAACCGGATCAATAACAGCCTTGCCTGACGGCTTTTTCGCCCGTCGCTTCGTACAAGACAGCTCTTCCTTTAGTCATTCTTCTTGACGTTGAGACCTTCACTCGCCATAACTATTCCCCTCGGTAACAGCGAGAGCCTCCTCAGCATGCCCACCTCCCGTATCCATCATCTCGCCAAACATCTCGTGAGCACTCCCAGAGCTCCTGAATATATCCTGGATAGGGCTCGTGGGGCCTTGTCCGCCTCCTTCAAACAGGCCGGGGTCAATGGCCGGGATGGAGCTAGGTCCGAAACCCATGGACGATGTTGTCGCGAAGTTGGGCGAGTTGTTGTAGTTTGGTGGCATTTCGGAATATTCTTGCTGTTCGAATGTTGGGCGAGTGCCTTGCCCTTGGAACTCGTTGGATGGAGGAGGTGTCCGCGAACGTTCCGGTCCAAGGTTGATGGGATCCTTCCCGATATTCAGTGAACGCGACTGTGACGACACGGATTGTTGTCGCTTGTCGTTCTTATAAGTATACTGTTTCCGAGGCTGTTCGGGGAGGTCGCGCGGATCCGATATCCCCAGCTGGTTCATGAGCCGCTGCTGCTTCGTCGGACGAGGCTTGCGTGTGGATAGGGATACACTGATGGCTGGCGGAGGAGTCGGTGCCACTGGAGCCCATTTATGCAACTCTTGCCTGAAGAAGTTGATTTCCTCGGCGAGGAGAATATCGGCGCCTTCGAGTTTGCGCAGGTAGAAACGCTGTGTAGTGAGCTCGTCCGGACTGGACATGAGAGGGTTCATGTATTGTCTGACATATTCGCGGAAGTGGAGACCGATGTCAATGATTGACTCAAGCGTCTCTTCTTCTTCTGGCTGGAAGGGTAAGTTTGGTATTTCCTCCTGCCAGGCTTGCAGGTCTTCCAATTTGGGACGGGTCGCATCCCTCGGGATCTTGACCCGCCAGTCGCAAATTGGGCAAATGTACTTGTCTTCTTCTTTGACTTTGCCACGTGCGAGCTTGAAGCATTTCGAATGGTACCTGAATCTATTAGCAATTGTTCACTACAACCTCACAAGAGATCAACTCACCATTCATGACAGAGCTCACACTCTATCATTGTACCAGCCTCAGGCCTACGACAGATGCAGAAGACATCACGACTGGAACCCGACCCGTCCAAAGTCTCTCCCTCAACAGGAGTCGCCTCCCGCGAGGCTGGTTCCACAGGCATACGCGGCTGGTCCGCCAGGTCGAAGCAAGTCTTGTTTCTCTCATCCACTTGCTTCATATGGGCGTGGAGGATATGCAGTGGAGCATTCGCCTTGCCAAACAGCTTCTTGCCTTTCCGCATCCAATCTTCATGCCTCTTTTGCTCCTTCTCTAGCTCAATGGTAGGATGTGGCTTCGTGTTCAACGCATTCAGCGCCTCCATCGCGTCGCGGACCTCTTTGTAGCGTGGTCGCTTCCGGAAATCGGGATCCTTGCTGCGCTCATACAAAGATACAATCAGCTCTTTGGCATCGCGCTGCTTCTTGAGAGTCTCGTCGACGGCACCAAGGGTCTCGGGATTCACCGGCAGCGTGCTCGCCAGCTTGAAGAGTGCCTCCAGCTGCTGGTAGTGGATATTCTCAAAGGACATGACCTCTCTCGCCTTAGTCTCCCAAAGCTCCCCTTCAGCCTTCAGTTTCTGGAGATTATGGATTTCGGGATGGCTTTCCGGCATGCCAAGTTCGATACCTTGTTTGATGAAGTCGGTGATTTCCTGGAGTGTCGATGGGCTGTTTTTGAAATTGGAGGCACCGTTGAGCCATCTGAGCTGCTGGACCACTTTGTCGATGGATTCGATTTCTGGCAATTCCACATTGAAGCTGCGTCCCTCTTCCAAAAGTTCGTCTAATCGTGCAATACTCTGTTGCGCGGGGCTGTCACGTAATGCTGCCTGCGCCTTCTGCTGGAACTCGGTAATGCTGTCGAACCGCTCTTGAAGGGCAACGAGTTCTGGGCAGTCGAAGGACAGCTCCTCGGCCGTCTCAAGCAGTTTCTGCAGATTCTCAACTTTGCGATACTCCCGCTCCTTCTCATCGACCTCAGCGGCAGCAGCCGCGGCCTTGTTAGCCGCACCTCTACCCCGCCACGTCCGCTCAACCTTGCGACGAGCTTGTTGCTTGCGGGCCGTGTAATTCATGGCCTCTTCGGCGACCTCGGTACATTTCTCGACATATTCCCTTAGGTCAGTCAGCCCATTGAGCTCCCAGTCAATCTTCTCGCCCTCATTCAAGAGGGCTCGCAAGGCTTTCAACTGGGGTTTCGGACCATCTTCGAGCAGCTTGTCGAGCTTCTTCTCCCAAGCTTCTGGTGTATTCGCCTTATCAACGACCTTCTGCACGAGGACTTCGAGTGCAGAATCTGTCATACGATGGATGAGGGTGTGCCCGCCTTCGCCTATGAGGCGGCTCTCCTCTGTCGATTCGGGACAGCATTCAAAGAGGCCAGCGTGACGAAGACAAACGGTCTTGTTACTCTTCGCACAGTGGAAACGAGACAAATAGCTGTACGCCTTGCAGTAACTGCAGATCTGGAGGTCTTCTTGCACCACGTCAGCGTCGTCAATAGTGAACTGAATCTGGCATTTGGAGCTGTCAGTCTGTCCGTCCAGCTTGCAGATGTGTTCCCGAGCAGCCTTGTGCCTTGCGATAAACTCAGCACGAGCTTCCAGTTCATGGTGGCGCATGCGCTCCAAAGCCGGAGCTAGCCATTTTGCCACTTTGATGGTTGTATCTTTACGTGACGCTGCCGCCAAAAGAAGTTCGTCGTGGGAAAAGCAAGGTTGGCGTCGATAATCTTGTAGCCTCTGTACACCCGCCTCTCCGAATGGCTCCCAGTCGCTTGGGGCGAAATTGACGGCTTCGTTGAAGTTGAAGCCGTGGTTGAATCCAGCATGATATGCTTGCGGGAAGGTGATCACGAACTCGCCCGCACGCTGATCAAGCGCATACACACGTACACCGGCCTTCACCAAGTGCCCAGGTGTCAACAGTGTCACTAGCTGGAAGAGCAGGTCGGGTTGGGTTTCGAAGAGCTCGGGAACGGCATCACGCATCGCCTGTTCGAATTTCTCGGAGTCCTCGGCGGGAATGCCATACCACGTTTTCGTGGCTCCGAAGTGTTGATAATTGGCAGAGTACGTGTAATGGTCCTCATTATGCCAGCAAAACGTGGAGAAAATCATACCAACGTAAAGCCACGGGACAGTCATGCCGCTGATATCCGACCTAATATAGCGGAAGAGGGATTCGGGGTGGTGAGGAAGAACGTTGAGATTCCACGGATCGATGGAGTATGGGTCTCGCGGGTTCTTCTCAATGGTAGGGAAGCCACTCCCATGTGTCGTCGAATGGATATCGGCGCCGTACTCCACTTCGACCGTTTCCGTGATACTCTCCACGAGCCGCCAGAATTCGCGCTCGACGTCATCTTCGGACACGGGCTTCTTTTGATTGGTAACGACATCGTAGGGCATCTTGTTGGCGAAGTGGCCCTCTTTGAAGTTATGCGCCTTTTCTTGGAACTGCCGAAGGGAGTAGATGCCGCCCTCCTCGAACCCGAACTCTCCTGTTCCCACCAAACACCGGGGACAATGCCAGTCATACTCCGGTACTCCCTTGATGGGCGGATCTAGGCAGTAACCATGATAACCAGCATCGCAACTGTCGCATAGGAGCATATTCTGGGCATCGCCTTCGGAGCCGCAAGTCTCGCATCGGTCACCCGGGGGCTCGTCCGACGCGCGTGGACGGGGACGAAGAGGTTGCGGTGTCGATAGTCGGGGTTGTGTCATGTGCGAGCCTGCTACTGTTGGGGCCGCTTCCTTCCTTACGCGTTTACTGCGGCGCCCAGGTGCGGGATCACTCTCATTGACTACGCTGCCCTCTGGCTCTGGAGACAGATTCCGTTTAAGCTGAAGAGGTGCCTGGCCGTTGGACAGGGGTGGCAGATTCACGCCTCCATGTCGCAGATCAGGAGTGTTGTTGGCCGAGAGCATGAAACTCGAATGAAGTGGTGTAGACGTCTGTGAATCCGTATTATCGGAGGCACCGTTAGGGGCGTTAACAAGGTTGAGGGAACTAGGAACTTGAGCATGTGGGCGCGACGGTACATTTACGGCCGTGAAACCAGGAGCATTCACAGCTCCGAAACCCGAAGATATCGACGGAAGCATCGGCTCAGGAGTCGAGGTTGACGAAGGCCCATTCTGCAATGACGCATTCAGAGCTGCAGACGCCCGCAGCGCAGGGGAGTCGGTTGGGTTTGCAGTCGCGGGGAGTTTGACAAGTGGAGAATCCGTCGGATTAAGTGTAGAAGAGGGCCTAAACGCCGGGGATGCGGGTTGAGTCGCGGTGCCGGCAGGAGTCCCCTGGGCAGACTTTTTGAGTGGGGACGGCGCTGGGGAAGGCGTATATGGACCCCCATTCTCCATCTCGAGCAGCTGGTGAACGCCGGGCTTGACGACTCGCAGATACTCCTCATAAGGATGTAGCCACTTCTGGTAGGAGTTCTTGAGCGACGTTGATAGCGAAGACATTATTTTTCCGCTGTATCCGAGGTCTCGTCCGATCTCCGCCCACTTCTTCCCCTTGCAGACGCGTTCAAACCCACCCCTCGTCTCGACAGCCTTTTTCAGCTTGTAAAGGTCGAGCGGTCGTTTGTCCACGCTGGGGAAGCGAGTCAAGCTATTGCCATGCTGCCTGTGAAACTTTGACAGTTGGTCCAAGTAGTTGAGATTTGCACGCGTACCTAGAGTGTAGGTTAGAACCGTGAAAATCAAACATGAAGGTCAATACTTACCACCCTCAATGGAATTCAGCTCCTGTCGACGGGTCTTGAAGTGAAAGCGCTAAACGAAGTCAGAGAATTGTCGACGAGATGGGAACGAAAAGTGCCAAGACTCGTGAAAAGAAGCAATATGAGACGGATGGGATAAGACTCACCTCCGTATCAATGGCAAAAGGGGGATCCCAGGACGCAGGTGGTATAATCTTCGCGATCCCATACTGAGAAGCCTCATGCCTGATTTTGGAGATGTACTGAATGGGGTCCTTGAACTCCTCCTCCGTTGGCCTATATGTTGGAGCCTCCTGTAACCCGAACATGCGATCGCGCTTGGGCGGCTCCTGTGGCATCCAAGGGCGCCTCCGTTCAACCGTTGCGAGCTCGAGGGGGAGCGCTTTGCGTGCACTCAGAGGGATGCCGTTAGCAGCACTCATCTGTGCGCCATTCACAGATGGCGGGCCTGTAGCACTTCTCGTCTTCGGAGCCGTGGGCGCCGGCGCAGGAGCGATTGCAGGAGCGGTTGCGGACGATGTAGGATGCGGTGGAGGGCCGGTTGCGACCCTGAAGGAGGACATGGTGGGACCTGTGGGCGGCACGCCTTGGAGTACGTAGTCCACCATGGCGCCTTTACGGCCCAGAGACGGGTGGAACGAGAGGTTGTATTAAAAGAGCCGTGTAGTAGAAAGGGCCTAGGGAGATTCGAATGCGATTTACATAGGCTGCGGGACTAGGGAGGGCGAATCTGGTCAGGCATAGGAGAGGCGGCCGGGGAGAAGAGGGAACCGCACGGCGAGTGGCCGAGCGGGAGGGAGCGAAATATCGGGGAAGAAGACTGTGATGACAGCCGTGTCAGGCGCGGGGCCGCATGCCCTTCTGGTGCGGTCGACCAGATTGTGTAGAAAGGAGGTGTACGCAGGATTCCGAGTAGGAAGTATTGGGGTTGTGGAGCGACGAGGTTGAGGAGGAGACGAGGTGTAGGAGGTGTTCCGCATATGGCGCTGGGCACGCCGAGACTCTGGTCACAAAAGCCATCGCATCGCCCATCGCTCATCGCCCATGCCGCGCTAGCCATCCGCTCGTGCCACCTTTCACGCCGGCGAGACTCCCAAGCGAGAAGGCGCCTTCGCTTTTGTATCCGTAAAGAATGTGAATCTCAATGTATTTATATCGAGTAACTAGACTACACAGCACTCTCTTACCAGTTGAACGCGCTCGACATCAGATTAGACTCCCGAGGTCACTGTCAGTTGCAGTTCCCCGTTGATCACTTTCGCACTATTCCTCTTTCGTCACGCATTCTCCCAAAGTGGATCTTGACGTTCTCTAATCCTACCGTCCGCGTACTTTGCGTCCTGCTAGCGCATTATCTGTACCTTCAACATCCTAACTTACCAAACACTTGCTCGACGACAACATGTACATGAGACGACAACAACCACACCAACAAAGATATACAAATAAACATGAACCTCCCAACAACAAATCCACCACCCATCGTTCCCTTTTACTGCTGCTATCTTCTCCGATCCAAAACCCGCCGCTACTTCTACATCGGCAGCACCCCCAACCCTGCCCGCCGCCTCGCCCAACACAATGGCCAGAGCCGCGGCGGCGCCAAGCGCACCTCCCTCGAAAGCAAGCGCCCCTGGGAAATGACCTGCATAGTAACCGGCTTCCCGTCCAGAGTCGCTGCTCTGCAATTCGAATGGGCGTGGCAGAACACGCATGCCACGCGGCACATTGAGCGGGACGTGCGCGACTCGAGGGTGTGTGAGCTGCAGAAGGGGAAGGGCAAGAAGAGGCCGCCGATGAGTTTGGAGGCACGCTTGAAGAATCTGGGGTTCTTGATGGGCGTGAAGAGCTTTAGGCGCTGGCCGTTGGAGATTCGCTTCTTCGCCAAGGATGTCTGGGAGCTCTGGGAAAAGTATACCGACAAGATGGCGGTGGGGTGGGAGATGGAAGGGAGGGTGAGGCTTACGCAGGCCCATACGATGGTGCCCGCGGGCGATGCGATTGATGGCGAGTTTGTGTATAAGATACCGGACCTTATTCGAGAGATTCCCGTGGCGTATGAAGACTGCAAGGCGCATGTTGAGAAGGCGAGAGCCGTCCTTGGGAATGCCAAACCACGCCGATGCGGCGTGTGTAGCAAGTCGGTGAATGATGCCAGCTCTCTGGTATGCATCTGTTCAGTCGACACCTGCAGTACAGTATGTCACGTGAGTTGCCTTTCCAGCCGGTTTCTGGAAGAAGAGGGGGATCGAGATGCGATCATCCCTACGCATGGGACATGTCCAAGCTGCAAGAGACAGCTGAAATGGTCGACGCTGATGCGCGAGCTCAGCCTTCGCATCCGAGGACAAGCGGAGATCGAAGCCATGTTCAAGCCAAAGAGGAGAGCGAAACCCAAGACAGGCTCCGTGGAAAAGGAGCTGTTAGGAACTCAAGCGACGGAAGTAAGCGATAACGAAGATGTTCTAGACGAGACCTGGATGCAAGACGTCGAGGATGGAGAAGAGGAGTACCCATCTATCGACAGATATGTAGGAGGAAAAGGAAAGGAAGAAGAGTTCCCCTCCATTGACTCATATGCTGGCGGCAGGAAGAAGGGGTGAGAAATGCTCGAGCACCCTGAGTGCCATCTCCTTGTTTCCAGGACGTCCCAGGCCGGTTGCCGTTGACCTCGTCCGCGTCTTCCGTCTACCCTACCATCGATCGATATCTTCGAGCTCTTAGGCCGGAACCGCAAGCTCTCGGTCTCCGGCTCCATCACCAAGGCCCCACATACCTCAACGGTGCCTGTTCCCTATCGACCCTCTCCATACATTCCCTCACAACCTCTCTCACCCTCCTACTCACCTCGTCCACGCCCGCCCCTGCATCCACCGTCACAAAGTCCTCCCCCTCCTTACTCTCCCTCAACACCGCAAACAACTCCCTCACCTTCTCCTGCATCTCCACCTTCTCGTACTTCTCCCCTCCATAACCACCCCGCTTCGCCGCCTCCTCTGGACTCAGATCCAGAAAGATGGCCAGGTCTGGACGCGGAAGGCCTTCCTCTGGGTGCCGTGCCCAGGTTAGGGAAAGACTGGGGTTGGATTTGGCGGCCGAGTAGACGCAGCCCGAGTAGTAGTAGCGGTCTATTATCACGGTGGTGCCGGAGTTGAGGGAGGATTCTATTGAGGCGCTGAGGGAGCGTTAGTGGCTGCATCTGGCTCGGGTTTGAAAGATAGAGAGGCGAGATAGGGTAAATGTTCCAAGGGCGAGCGGGAGACGGTGAGGAAGAGACATCACGTACGCGGCTTCCCATCTATTCGCCGAGAACAGGAGGTGGATGACATGATCTTCTTGGTCGCTTTGTCCGGCTAGGTACTCTCCAATCATGCGGCCAATGGGAGTTGTTCTATCTACCAAGATCTTCATTAGCACAGGTTATTACTGCATCAGCAGCAGATGCTATCCTTCCGTGATATAGCTTTAAGCTACTACCTACTCCATCTCAAAGTGCGGCCGCATGCAATTAACCAGTTTGGTGAATCCAATAGACACCAGTGCAACAGCCGCTCATTCCCCCTCCTCACCCAAACCCTCTCAAAACCTCACGAGGACATACCAGGAAATCTCATAACCCTAACATCCAACCCTTCCCTCCGCAACGCCTCCCCAAGAAGCCGCACCTGCGTCGATTTCCCCGCGCGATCCACGCCTTCGAAAACGATGAGTTTGCCGCGTGTCATTCCCAATTGCTGTCTCTTAAAAAAAGTATGAAGAAAGGCGAGATCAAGGGCCAGATGGGAAGTCTAGGATTCGAAGCAGCAAGTGTCGTTGAAACAGGCATGTGTGAGGTTGGTCGGAACTTGACGCTAGATTGGAAGAGGAGTGGTGGGGCTTGGCAGTAGAAAATCAGGGACGGGAAGAGGTTGGTTCGGGGGATTGAACGTCCACAAGCGTACAAACTCCCTATAGTCTTTTTCAATCACTATGACACCAAACGCTGTGCATGGGATCACGGTTTGAGAAGGGGGGCACCATAACGAGGCTGTATGACGTGTAGCTAACCTGCCCTTGACGACTACCCCGATCGTACTTGGATGACATAATGGTTCTCGGTCCGTGGAGAAGCTGTCGTTAGGTCACAAGTCAAAAGCACGTAGGGTGTTGGTTTGATTAAGGTTGACAAGTCATAGGTAAAATATGTCTTGCAGCAGCAAGGAAATCGGCATAGCTACACTCGATTCATCTGCTAATGAGGAAAGCTCATCGGTTGGAATGACAGTCATGCTCCCAACCACGCTAGTACATGCCCTACTCTTCGTCAATATCCATGTCATCTTCGTTTTCCATGTCATCTTCGTTTCCCATCTCATCTTCGTCGTCCTCTGCATTCGACTCTGGCAAAGGAGGCGGAGGAGGCCATCGGACAATAACCCTCTTCCCCAGGCGTTCCAGGAAGGCCGGATCGCGGAATCGATAGTCCACCACCCTTTCGAACTTCCCCGTCTCCTCACCTTCCGGCTCGTCCTCGGAATCTCCAATGTCCTCCTCGCCCAGGTCTTCCTCATTGCCATTCCTTCTGGCCACCCTGAATCCTACAAGAGCTTCCTGGTAGTAATTCTGGCTTAGCTCACCCGCTAGCAGATGGTTAAGCTTTAGTCCAGATAACTTGGAGAGGCTCTGGAAGAAGATGGACCAGACGTTTTTCTTGGCGGAATTAGGGTCATTAGGTTCACCCAGGCGGATTTTCCACAAGTTCAGTTCCTGCAAAGTCGGCGCGAATTTGGCAATCACCCGCAAAATATGGTCGCCCCGTACACGCAACATGCCGAGGTCCAGTCGCTTCAAATGAGGGAAGCCAACCGGCCGCATCACATTGTTCGTCAGAGATGCCTGCGCCGAGTCCCCACTTGTACCGCTCTCACAGGATGGTGCAGGCAAGGCAAGCCACATTAGCAATCCCGCGATTCGCTCATGCATTGCCCTCGAGTGGAAATTGAGACGCAGGTGAGTGATATTATTGATGCGTGCCAGAAAGGTTACCAATGCGGGCTCCTCAGCCAACCTGGTCCATCTGGAGGGCAACCAACCCGGATCTCTGAGGTATAGCGGTGGCAGTATCACGCTTCGAAATCCCTTCAGAGTTGCGTCCATGCCATCCAGGAGGACTCGGGAAAAACAAAAGATGTTGTCCGGCGAGTAAACATCTCGTCCACGGAAGATGATCTCAAGATTTGGAGGTTTGCTGGATGCGACTCCGAGAGCGTACACGAGATTAGTAAGGGCCAGGCGATGCAAGTCCCAACCCTCATTATGACCAAGATCCGGGGGGAGGTTTTTGCCAGTCTCTTGGTATACAGTTGGGGCTCCGTAGCTTCTCCAGAGAGCGTCTGGCCCCTCTCTCCAGCGACCGCGCGCTGAATAATTGCGTATTCCGACGGTTTCCAAATTAGGCAAGTTCTTGAAAGCTTCACTGAGAAAGTCCCTGGCAAGTCCAAGATCCAGGAAAACTGTTTGATCGATGAAGCCATCTTGGTACTTTTTGTAAGCCGAATCATCCGGGAAGTCGAAAGTGGGCTGCAAGCCGCCCCTGTACTTCTCCAGTCCGATGATGACATGACGAAGCTCCTTGGAGAGATTTGGGTGCTTGGAGATATCGACCAGAGCTTGGAGACTGGGCCGTGTCAACATGAACTGCCTCTTGGAGAAGAATTCCTTGGCGAAGCTGTCGAATAGGGAGCGTTCGATGGTCCTACATGTTCGACGCAGCGAGCCTAGATCGACGGTAGAGAGATGTGAAGAAATCTTAAGGAGCAATTCGAGGGGAATGCTGGTAAGGTTGGCCATGCTGTTGGACCACCTAGCTCTTGGCTAGGAAGAGTTGAAAGGCTCCTTTAAATTTCCAGCAAAGCAAATTGAGAGAGAAGGAGAAGCTGATGAGCAAGGTAAGAGACAGGAGAGGTGAGCGAGGAAGAGTTGCGGATGAGGAAAGATATCGTTGGCTGGTATTAGTATTTGTTGATTGAGCCCAGGCCAGTACTCAGTCAGACTCATTGTGGAGAGGTACTCGGTAGGCAACGCGGTTGCCTGCCATTTCACGTGATCACGCGTCTACGCTAGTCTCAAAAGGGCCAAACCATCAGGCAACCGTCCCTCGCTTCTCACCTTCCTCAGGCGACCGTGCCGCAAGCTTTCGAGGGTTCCGATTCCATATATAAACAGTCTCGTTGGATTGAACCTCCTCTATCTCCTCATTCACTGCCACCCTCCCACCTTCTCCTCTACGCCTGCAATTCCAACCTTCTCCACTCTTCCCAATCATGGCTAGGAAGGCTGCGACGAAATCAGGCCCGGCCCCATTCCCTCTGAATGGCTGCAGCGTAGCTATCGCCGGCACTTTCCAGGGAACCAGTCAGACGGCCATTCAACAACGCCTTACAAACCTGGGAGCGACGGTCGACAAAATAGTAACGTCAGATACGGATTGGCTTCTCGCCAATCAGAAAGAAGTCGACAAGAACTCTGCGAAGGTCAAAGCTGCAACCTCCAACAATGTCTCAATAGTCACAATTGACTGGCTCCAAGAATGCGAATCTTCACACTCCAAGGCAGACCATACGTCGTACCTTCTCTCGCCATTACCAACGAACACGGGCTCGAACCAGCAAAAGAATGCCACAGCTGCGAAACGACCCGCTTCACCCAGCCCGACAGCGTCAGCGCCGCCACCGCCAACTAACAAGAAGCTCAAGAAAACGCATCTGAACGGACTAAATGCCCAGATTGGAGATGGCCAGAATGCCAAGTCTGTCAACCTTCAAATCCCAGTCGACGAGTATTGCCCCTTGACCGCATACAAAGTCTATGTTCAACCCGACGGTGAGATCTTCGACGCCTCCCTCAATCAAACGAACGCTTCCAACAACAACAACAAGTTCTACCGCATACAGGTATCTTCCCCCGTTCCGTTCAGTGGATCCGAGGAAAAACTAACGTGTGTCAGCTCCTGCACCTTGGGAACCAGGATTACAAGACCTGGACGCGCTGGGGCCGTGTGGGAGAACGTGGCCAGAGTGCTGTACTGGGAGACGGATCTCTCCACGATGCAATCAGCCATTTCCACAAGAAATTCCAATCCAAGTCTGGTCTCAAGTGGGAAGCCCGTGGGGAGAAGCCCAAGCCAGGAAAGTATGCCTACATCGAGAGGAGTTACAATCCGGATTCGGATGATGACGAAGATTCCGCGAAGCCTGCTTCCAACGCCCCGGCGAAACGAGACCAAGTTCAATGCACTTTGGCCATTCCCGTACAGAACTTGATGGCGTTGATCTTCAACCAGCAGTACTTTGCTCAGACAATGTCCGCCCTGAATTACGACGCAGACAAGCTGCCCCTTGGCAAGCTCAGCAAGGCCACAATTAACCGCGGATTTCAGGCGCTTAAGGATCTCGCTGCGTTGCTCAATGACCACAACCTCGCACATACAGAATATGGACTGCCGGTTCCAGACGCCATCGAGCATCTATCCAACAGCTACTATTCACTCATACCTCATGCCTTTGGTCGCAACCGCCCTCCAATCATTCAGAGTCACGATCTCATTAAGAGGGAGATTGAGTTACTCGAGAGTCTGGGAGACATGAAAGAGGCGGCCGCCTTGATGAAGAGCACTCTCAAGGACGACAGCGGAATCCACCCACTTGACAGGCAATACCAAGGCTTGGGCATGGACGAGATGGAAGTCGTTGAACCCACGAGCACTGAGTTCGCAGAGCTCTTCGCTTACCTCAACGACAGCAAGGGAGCAACGCATCATGTCAAGTACCAGGTGCAAGACATATTCCGTATCAAGCGGAAGGGCGAGTTCGAACGCTTTGAGAAGAATGTTCTTACCAACATTGCCTCGAACCGCCGGCTCCTGTGGCATGGTTCGCGGGTGACAAACTTTGGCGGCATCCTAGGCCAAGGACTTCGCATCGCGCCTCCAGAAGCTCCCGTTTCCGGATACATGTTCGGCAAGGGTATTTATCTTGCGGATATGTCCTCCAAGTCCGCCGGCTATTGTTGCTCCTATAACTCTGGCGGCACTGCCCTCATCCTCCTATGCGAGGCTGAACTCGGCGATCCGATGCAGGAGCTCACCCAAGCCTCGTATAACGCAGGCGAAGACGCGAAGAAGAAAGGTCTCCTCAGCACCATGGGCAAAGGTAGAACCGGCCCAAGTCAATGGAAGGATGCCAAGTGTGTTCACCCGTCCCTCGCTGGCGTGATGATGGTAAGTTGCCCTTCTCGCTTGGACACTTCAGTCACTAAAGATCGTTCTTTCAAAGCCCGACGTGTCCGTGCGCGCTGGAGACACCGGCGTCAAAAATGCCAGCCTGTACTACAACGAGTACATTGTCTACGACGTTGCCCAAGTTCGCCTCCGATATCTCTTCCGTGTGCAGATGTGATCTGTTATCGAGCGATAACGGCCCAATTTCATCGCACTTCGCCTTATGAGTCTTAGATCCATGGGTCGCAAAAGCTGTATCATACCATCCAGGCATTCCATGGCGGTTATCCATGGTGGTTGCCGGCGCGGCTCCCTCAGTTGAGGGTGTCCATTCCTCAAGAAAAACTTACATACTTAATCTGAGCAACTTTCCTTCTCCATGGGCGTCCATATAGGCTAGTTAAGTATAGATACCCAATGCAACCTCCAGTTCATAAGTTCTGCTTTGATGTCTCTGGCTTGCATCCGAGAGGTAACATCCTGCAATTTCCTGCACAATAGTATCTCTGCTGAGCTGTGCTTTCACCCTGCCCTTTTCACGCTCAGAGTACGGGTTCCATAATCACGACCTCCTTGATTCCCGTCCTTATACAACAGAGTATGTAAAGCCGCTGTTTCATTTGTCTTTCGGTGTTTCTAGCTGCAGTACAAACGGGACGATTGACAAGAAAGAAACAGCCAACTATATACACGAAGCCACAATCCTCCCACAAGCACCAGGCGATTGATACATTTGTACAGGATTGCGACCAATCACCATACCCTCGGCAGCAACAATCTAAGAGTTGGCGGGCTGAGCAAAGGTAGAGCCGATGGGGCCGAATTTGACTGATGCACGTTAGTACCCGCAAGAAGAGACAGCGACAAGGAAGGGGAAAACATACTGTTGGAGAAGGTGACCTGGGCATTCGGGCTCTTCGACTCGACATCGGCGGGCACACCGGAGGAGATGTCGCAGTCGCCGCGAGCGACACCAGGCTTGGATGCGTCCACATCGGTGGGGTAGTTGCTGTCGAGCCACAACATGTTGGCGTAGTGGTCATCCCAGAGCGACATGACGAGGACCATGCCCAAGTCCATGCCCTTGCCCATGGAGGCCATGCCGCCCCACTTGTTGAAGGGGTAGATCTCTTCCTGGAAGATCTGCTGCTCGCGGTCGCACCATTCCTGATGGGAGTTGTCAGACAGACTGGTCACTTTGAAGGAAGGATCTAGAGTCTACGTACCTGGGTGATGCTGTTGCCAGTCATGCCTTCAATCTGCGGCTCCGGGTTGGCAATGACCTTTCCATTCTGCACGTAGAAGCGCTTGAGCTCCGTCAACTTGTTCCCCGATCCGATGAACTGCGTCACGACGGTCATCTTCTTGGAGGTATCGACCGTCTTGCCCTTGCCGTAGAAGTCCTTGACGCCCACGCGGAAGGGGTTGAAGTCGCAGCCGTTGGCGTCGCACGAGCCGGCGTAGCGGTCGAGCGAGTAGGTTCCGCCGCAGCCGTCGTCCTCGCAGACGGAGTAGCCTTCGGGTTGGCACGAGTGCGGTGTCAGGGCCGTGGAGACGGAGTTGGCTTCCCAGACGTCCATCTCGGCGCAGCAGGCGCCCTTTTTGCCGATGCCGGCGTTGGGGTCGTTGGACGACGGCTGCCATCCTTCGGCGTTGGCCTGGTGGTGGTTATTGTGAGATGGGTGCATCCTGGAGCTGCAGCAGGGGAGTGGCTTACCTCGCCGTTGATGTACTTCAAGTCACGGGCGCACTGGGCGTCGCAGTACCCTGAGGGAGGTGTAAGTGGGACGCATGTTGTTGAAGACAATGGACGTGACATACCAGTTCCGTACTTGGCGCCGGGCTGGCCATGGCCCTTCTGAGGCATGGAAACGAAGTAGAGGGCTCCATTGAGACCGCAAGGAAGCTGGGACAGGTCTACATCGAAGGTGAACTCGTTGCCGATGAGCTTGAACATCTCATAGTTGCTCGAGTCCTTCATGAGATACAGACGCGAGCCAATGTTGGTCGAGTACTGGCCCTTGGTGACGAACTTGAGCGTCAGCGAATCCGTTCCCGTGGAGATACCGTAGGTGGACCTGTAGTCGGCGCCCTCGATGGCGCAGTTCTTGGTGCAGTCGGCGTTGGTTGCGCAGGCCGTTGTGTTCCACTTGTTGCCGTCGTAGCAGTTGGCGTAGCCGTCCTTGACGTGGAGCCAGCGCCAGTTAGCGTCGATGACGACCTCACCGTTGACGTTGGTGCAGCTGCTGCCGCCCTTGCCAGTGCATCGCTTCCACTGCATCTTGGGGTGGGTTTCCGTCTGCTCCTTGCCAATGAGCCATGCCGAGGCAGGGGAAGCGGCGAGGAAGGCCGTGATGGCCTTGAGGGCGAACGACGACACCATGTTTGATGATCCGGTAGGTCAGTGTTTTGCGGAGAAGGGGTGGCAGTGACACGGCGGCTCAGTGGAGGCTCTTCCCCTTTTATATCTGCCCCTGAGGCAAATCCATTCCGCCTCCGTGATCTTCCAGATCTTCCCTTCAAACCAGGAGATTCCCCACATAGATTGGTAGTATAGTCGGGAAAAGGTCCAAGACCAGATCTGAAATGAAATCAGGGTCATCGGATCGTTATATCGACGGCCCGTTAGCCTTTGGATCCGTCCAATATACAATTCGAGGCTCAGTCATCTCCTGTTGGTTGTGTGCCACAGCATCATGTGTGTCTTGCCTTGCTCCCATCCCATCCTGTTTGCTGGTTGTGCTTGGCCGGTCCGTAACAGTGAATCGTGATGCGTCCGCAGTATCTGCCAAGATGAAGATATTCCGGTATATTTACACTGTGACAGGGATGTAGAGGTGCAATGCGGGGTTAGCGTACCGGAGCGTTCACTCTGTGTAGCGTGGCCCGATAGTGGAAAAGTGGGCTACCTAAGCTTTGCTTGCGTTGTATATCCCGCCTACTCCTAAGGCTTGGTCGTCGGCAAACCAGGGGTGTGAATGCATGGGCCAAGCGTTTTCCTGCACCCCGCTTCATCTATTAGATTCACGGAGATTAATACATTTCCCTCGTCGAGAGGTCATTCGTTGCGTTGCCATAATGCAGGCTATGCAGCAAGCCGGCAGCGCTCGGCAGACGAGGAGAAAATGCATACCAGGCCAACGTGCAATGGGACGCTGATCTCGCGTGTGACAAACTTGGAGTCGAAGGCTGTGTAGATTGCGAGGTTAGATTGCCTTCACGCTGCTTGGGGACTCGGATTGTGCCGTTTCTAGAACTTCCCCGCGTTTCTGGGGGCTTGCCGGGCTGGGGTTCCTTCATGGGTAAATATGCATGTGGGCGCCTGATTGGGAGCCCGTCGTGACAACACGTCAAATATCTCTCCACCCTCATCAAGGTGAACGCCTTGTCGAGATGCTGGAAATGCTTCTCCGTTGCCGATTGGACTCTTGGTGTGGCTCGACTTAGTGTCTCCAACAGCAAATAATCTGGAAGTGCTGCAGTGTGACAGAAGCATCGTCGAAGGCCAACGGTCAGTGGGCTGACAGAGCAAGTTCTCCAAAACAAGAGCGTAGTTGATTTGAGAAACGGGTTTCAAGGGCTAGCCATATTTGCGTGAGCAAGTTTCTATGCTTCTCACCGCTATCGATGAGACGCACAATGGTGACTGAAAAAGTCTTAACTGTGGTTCTTCCCTCTAAGGTATGTAAACCATTGGTATTGCGCTGGCTAACTTCTTCCCCTACCGAAGTATTGACCTTGTCACTCCAGGAAGGTAGCAACACTCCTATAAGCCGGAGGCGAGAGCTCCGCCCTGAAAAGAGCCAGAAATGGAAGAATGTATAGGTACTTTGAATAAGCAACGCCATTCAAGCCTTGGAAAGTCAATAGACCTATTAGCACAAAAGCCATACCCATACTACGGTGCAGTACTTAATATACCATTCCTTGTAAAGCGCGCATTGAGATTGTAGACCAAACGAGCCATCGCGATGGAAGTCGAAATAGCCATGGTGAGAGAACCAATCAGACATGCCCGTGAAGAAGAAGCTTCTGCCCAGAAACATGGGGAGCTCGGCCGTACAAACTGGAAGCTTGCTGTTTTACGAAAGAATTTCAGGGGTTTAGCTGTAGCGGTCCAGTGTTCGTGGCGGGTTCACTGGCCGTCTTCAAACACACACACCCACACACTCACACACACACACACCAGTCTCGCCGGCTTTCCGAGATATGACTGGAGAGACACCTGCTCGCCGCCAATATGTTTCAACTCTGATGGTGGGTAGATTCCGGGTTGAAACAGGCTCTATCCAGATTACGGAGGCGCATACATCTACACTGAAACCCGATAATGGGTCAGAACGGTCCTGTTCGTGTAACTTAATAGATCTGCACATGAACGCACTCCCATAGGCACATGTCCGTGGAAATGAGGTGTTGGGAGACATTGACCTTCATGTTGCAGGAGTTCGTCTGACTCGCATCTTGTTGCGTTGTTGAGGTTTGGTTCAAATGAACCTCCCCAGCATGGCACTGGATGCAACAAACGCTGATACTAAATCGGCTGCGATACGGAAAGCTTCAGAGGTTGCACTGCCACCACTACAGTATACAAATTGTGGATGGGCTAAGGTCGTCTCTGACTCTCTGTGGTCGGATAGCATATATACTCGCAAGTCATATTTCACGAAGAGCCGGCGTTCCATAGCTGGAACATGGCGGCGGATTTATCTTGGAACGGTACAGTAGCTCCATTTTGTCTCATGCCAACTCGCGTGAAAAAAAGAGGCACGAGGCGCTGTACACATCAGTCTATATTTTTATCCTGTCCTAGGGTATCAAACTTCTATTGTTACAAAACCTTCGAGATTTCGCTCAAATACGACACCAACAAAGAGCAATGCCCCTATGAGCATTATCCATACATACTTAGATACAGCTACTGCAGGTTAGTAGCTGAACGGTATGCTCCATTTAGACTGGCATTTCGGTCCGTCGACGCCAGAATCGAACGACCACCGTCCAGCGTCAACCTCTTCCTTATGCTAATCTTTACAAGCCCTCCAGCACCTTTGACAAAGGTGCCACGGGCGCCCTTCCCGAATATAGCCTTCGGCGCATAGACAAAGGCGGTCCCAGGTGGGAGTGTTTCGATATCTTCCAGTAGCAGAGTGCGGTCGTTGCTGGACATTGGAATGTGTCGTGCCAGCGCCTTGAACCACTCTGGGCTGGAGAACCGATGGATTATGGTGACGTCGCACAGAGGAATAAGATCCATCAGACGGGGAAGCGTGGGCTCTTGTGTTGCGATGACGACGCGCACCCCCCGGTGTCGCTGCAGGCGAATCGTCTTGGTGAGTTCCATATTGAGCTCTACGGCGCCCGGAACGTCGAGCATATACTGACACGGTTAATCAGTGAAGCGGAAGAAGGGAAATGACAAATTACCTTATGTGCTTCGTCCAATACTACCAATTTTCCCGCCACTTTGGATTGCAAGTATTCTCTAACCCAATTTTGAAGAGAATGCACGCAGTGTTGTCGTCGACAAACGGGCATGACATGTCCATGATTGTGAGTTCCCCAGCGCCAAATTGCGGCTGGGCAGCTGTCCCGCTGAGATCCAAGAAGGATTCCAGCAAATCTAAGCGCAGCTGCAGCATATTCTCCTGAGCGGGATTGAACTCGCACTGCTGCAGTCTCCGTTTGAAAGTGGCGTAATCAAAGCGACCCCCGCTTTGTACATTGATATCGCGAAGAATCTTCGTGAGCTGCGCGAGATAAAGAGGAACTGTGTTTGACTTGTCGACAGCCATAAGGGTGAGGATAGTTTGGACGCCGAGTGCACGTGGATCGAGCTTGAATGGTAGGACTGTGACATTTGGCAGTTTCCTGTAGATCCTGGCTATCGTCGGATTCGATGGGGATAATAAAACGGTAACCTTTTTCACTCTCAGTTGTTGGGGAAGCTCTCTGCGCGCCGAAGCTAAGGATGCAACTTCGCTGATGTTAAATCCGTCGCCATTACCACTGAATTTGTCGTATGCAAATACCATAGCGGAGAGCGGGTTGTCAAGCTTCCCAAAATCCGGCGAGGCTACTGGTATTAGAGCGTTCTCTACGCATGGTGTCAGTAAAGCTGATATAAATGCGACCTCTCGTTCATACTGACCAATCAAGCAGGAGGTTGTGTGGGATTTGCCGCTTCCCTGAAGTCCGCAGATAAACGTCGCGAATGGTCCATTCGTGTTGTGATACATTTTTGCGCCGGACGCCTTGTGGATCCCCAAGAAGCCGTATTGTTGTATAGTGTTTGGGAAGGCTTGAAAAGCTTCCTGGCTGATGAGCGGAGCATGCTCCAACTCTCTTGAACTTGCAGACTGCATGTGCGTAGGATCCAGGGATACATCCGTAGGTAGAAGAAGGTCAAGGAGGCTCATGTCCAATTGCGCGCCTCCGCTCTCCCTCTCAGTCGTTCAGAGGTTCACTTCATCGTTCGAAATAATGCTTTCCGCATCCTCCTGGTCTCTGCTGTCCTCAGAGTCGAACTCCAACGAAACATCTGGTGGGAGATCCACATATCCATGTATGGTTTCGGAGTCGCCAAGGTCGTTATGCGCGTCGAATGGGGACACTAACGAGTCGCCGTCCTCGGATGGATCGTACGGGGGTAACGGTGGCGAGAGAGGGGCCTTCGCAAATGCTATACTTGGTGGAACAGTTGCAACGAGTTGCGTAGGCGGGGCGTGGGCAGCGCAATGGTAGGCGACTGTTGGATGGGCGCTGTTGGCCTGCGTTGGGGAATGTCTAGTATACTGTTACGCGGTAAAGCGCAGGCGACGTTAGCCCTATGGGCTGTTCGCTGTTAGCAAAGCGACTTATTGTTCTATAGGGCTCGCACATTACCTGCTACTACTGTACTCGACGCGTCCGATACAACTGCTGCTGGTTTAGGGGCTAAACGCGGTAAAGCGCAGGCGACGTTAGTTCTATAGGCTGTTTGATGTTAGCAAGGCGAGTTACCGTTCTGTAGGGCTCGCGCATCACCTGCTAACACTGTTCTCGACGTGTTCGATATAACTGCTGTTGGCGCCGGGGCTAAATTATTACCGACACCGCCTTGGATAGCGGGACTGTTTTCACATCGCGGAACAGTTCTCGCCTTCTTCCTTGCCCGGTAGTTCCGCGACCCGACTCTGTACTGCTCCAACCGTGCTGCACTCCTTTCTGCTTCCGTGCGGTATTTCGGGGGACGACCGGCTGGCATGGCGGAAACTAAAGGAGGGTTGGCGGATACAATACTGCGAAGTATTAGGGTAAGGGATGTAGATGGAGGGTTTGCGGTGCAAGGAGGATTCAAAGACCAGTTACCTCGGTTAGGCCGCGATCATCGGACGAATGGGGTTAGATTTCTGAGGCTAAATTTGGAGCCTACTACGGGATCAAAGGGTTAGGGGAGGGCTAGGTTTAGGGGAGGGTTAGGGTTAGGGTCATATAAGGTGATAAGTCAGCCGACTACGTTAAATTGTGGATCCAACGTACTTTATGATAATCTTTTCAATCACCTTCCCCTCCGCATATCCCTGTGTCTTCAATGATGTCCTGAAATTGTTCCAATTGACTGGCCGTTTTCGCTGTCCCTGATAGTCGCAATACCGCTTCGGGTATTCTGCTCTGACCCATGCCTCTACGTCCGTCAGGCTACCCATTGCGGAATTTTGAGTTTGCGGAAGCAACTTGTCAGAGCAACTATGCCGGTGCTGGGCGGGACCGTGACTTTAGAAACTTAAATCATGAGCAGCAAACCGTTCATCTCGTTTGCTAGCAAGAATACCAAGGGTGAAAAGGCCCAACAGAGAGTCTGTGCGGTAGTCAGCTCTAGAAGATGTTGCTGTGAGTGAATGTCTCTGGTAACGCTGGATTGCAGTCTTCGCACGTTCTTACGACCTTAGTCATATCAATAGGCATTATTCGCAGGCAACTTACGGTCGATGTCGGCGACAGGAGTATATTGTGAGTGGTCGTCGGCTTTTACCTTCTGAATAACAACCGAGCTGTATCAGACCTTGGAGGAGTGATGATCTTTGCTTGAGTGCGTTCTTAAAGATCGAATGATGCCCGTGGAGTGCGTCCGTAGAAAAGAATGTGATAGAATTGCCTGTAACACAGCGCGAGAAACTTAACAATTAAGACAAGGTAAGAATTCAAAGACGGGAATTCCAGTCAGGTCCAGAATCTGCAAGTGGTGTGGTAAGGAGATGTAGCATGAGAAATCTGGTTATTTGCACAACGTACAGGACTAGGATCCAGGTCAATGGCTTCTTACACTTAGCAAACGAAGGTTGTATCTTACTCTTGCATAGGTTAGATCCAAGCACGCTAAATTTTGACGTAGGAACTCTACTTGTAAAAACTTTGAGTTTATGAGTCGGATCGACACTCTCGCCCCTGATTTACAAAGCACACGATTCCTAAAACAGCCTAGCCCTTCCGCGCCATGCACCTCCACTGCTCTTGTTTCAACCTCACTCCATCAGCGTCTCCCATTTCCACACTGTCCAGCTCCGACTGAACAATGTCTGCCAAACAATCCATCATCTCAGTCATCGGCTCCCTTAACGTCGACCTGGTAACGCGCACCCAGCGCGTCCCTGTCGGCGGCGAAACACTAACCTCCGAATCTTTCTCCATCGGGTACGGCGGTAAAGGAGCCAATCAGGCTGTAGCATGTGCGCGGCTATCACGCACTCAGTCTCAAGCTCTCAATGGAGAAGCTTCCGACATCGAAGTGCGCATGGTGGGTGCGGTCGGCGACGATGAGTTCTCGCCTGGATTTTTGGAGAGCTTGAGGAAGGATGGGGTGCGGACGGAAATGGTAGAGGTTCTGAAGGGGAAGAAGACGGGTGTAGCAGTGATTATCGTCGAGACGGGGACGGGAGAAAATAGGATCCTGGTTTCTCCGGGTGCAAATGGGGAGGTGCCTGTGCAGGACCTGGTAGTGGGTGACGAGGGGCTGGTGTTATTCCAATTAGAGTTGCCATTGGAGGTGGTACGTTGGAAGCATTCTATCCTGTGGAACAGCCATTATGGGGATTTTATAACTCACATTTGCAGGTGTTGCACAACATGAGAATAGCACGTGAGAAGGGGGTTGAGGTTATCATCAATCCAGCACCTGCCGTACCGCTGCCGGAGGAGGCGTACAAAGGCCTCGGGCATTTGCTGGTCAATGAGACGGAAGCTGCCATACTTTCAGGCATCGACAATCCGACCAACTGGGATGAAGTTGCCGCGGTTTTCATTTCCAGAGGCGTGAAGAACGTCGTCATTACGCTCGGTGGAGAAGTAAGATCTTCCAACTCCAAGACAATGAGGCGGTGCTGACCAGCGTAGGGCGTTTACTATCAGACGGAGAAGCGACACGCACAGTCAAAACCGGGAACACTTGTTCCTGCAAGGAAGGTAAAAGTGGTCGACACGACAGCCGCCGGAGATACATTTACTGGCGCGTATTCGGTAGCTGTTGCGCGTTGGAAGTCGGGCCCAGAAGCTACGGAGTTTGACCTTGATGCAGCAGTCGCCTATGCGAATCGGGCTTCTTCCATGACGGTGCAGAAACAGGGTGCCCAGTCATCCATTCCTTGGATTGATGAAGTTCCTACTGCCTAGGCAATGGAGAGCCACACTGGAGGCGCAGGTGTCGTTGGCTACCACAACAGAATTCAAACAAGCACAGGCGAGCACAGTCAGTTAACAGGAGCAGGACATACAGAAACATCCTGCCATAATTACTTGAGGCCAGTCCTCATCGGTCCCATTATATGTTCCCCTAGCCCCTGATACCCCAAGGGGAAGACGACCATGGAAAACGATAGATGTCATCGGTCGTATAGCCGATACTAATAGCAATGAAACAGAATCCCTATCTCGTCAACTGTCCGAGGTTCGGTACACTGATCTCCTCTATCAACACCTAGCGTCTGGCTCCAGCATGCATGCATCCGTCGGTTGTCGACCTCCATCCTTTACATGTCCGAGGTGCATCTTCCACTCCGCATCAGCACACTGCACACTTCAACGCAGGTCTGATGAGATCTAATAGTCGACACAACGCTTGACTTGGAATTGGCGTCTCGTTCGGAGAAAGAACCGGATTTGCTGTTCAATTGCTACGCAAACTTGTGAATCATTTGTTGCGCGGGGGAATTTGCGCATTATAGGGCGAAGCATAAAGGAACCCATAAGAGGAGGGGGGTTATTCAAGAGGAAAAGATGTTCAGGTATACCATTTATGCACGTGTGTGAAAGCGCTGCACCAACTTTGAAACCCAGGCTTTCTACAGCCCTACTCTATGCTTATTGTAGTTGTAGAACGCTAAAGCTGCTGTGAAGTATATAGGCTCAGGATCCTACTCTTGTGAAGTCTCGGATGCACCTTGTTTTTATTTGTGTGGGGAGAGGCAAAGGGCTAGTCCGTTTTCTGCCACCAGTATTGGGGAGACCGTGGCGCCTGCATAAGGGCGTATGTACTTCACCGTAGATAGTAGTACCATCCCTCCAAGTCTGCAGGATCGCCTCCTATCTATCAATGAATCCCACATCGCCCCCCTAATCCTCCTCAACCGCCTCCCCATCATCAAAAGGCACCAAACTATCCCTCACGCCCTTCTCCAAATCACACCAAACGTAAAACCCAGCCGCCACCAGCAGCAAGAAGAAATTCGGCAACATCGGATACCTCAAATTATGCGTACGATCCTGAATGACGCTCTGCACGAGCGGATTGATCCACCCCGTGGCCAAATCCAGCGTCAACTCGAGGCCGAAGAAATGCGCCTCGCGACCGCGCGGCAGCATGGAAGCGTACATGACTCTGTTCGCGCCGCGGAGGGCAGACGACGCCATGAAGAAGACGGCTTGCTCGACCCAGAACTCGGGTACGTATTTGTAGCCGATCTTGACGTTGTTGCTGATGCCCAGGCAGCCCCAGAACATGCAGAAGAGGTTGACGACGAGGAAGCAGTAGGCCCAGTGCATGATTTTGAAGCGGGTGCGCGGGAAGACGAACATCCAGGCCAGGGAGCCGACGGTGCCTGTGGCGACGGCCATGAAGGTGTAGACGGTGTAGAGGCGGTCGCCCGTGCCAAGGCCGCTGACTTCGCGGAAGAGGAGCCCGATGACCGAGTTGAAGTTGCTGTAGCCCGTGTTCCAGAGGACCCAGCCGACGCAGAGTTTGAAGGCTTCGGGGTACTTGGGGATGGATTTCAGGAGTTCGATCCCTGGTGTCGGGAATGGTTAGTCAATGGTGTAGGCGGAATGGAGGGATACGCACAGCGCTTGATAGCAAGGAATCCAAGGTTGCGGGAGGGTGGCTTGGTGCCTTTGACGGAAGGTAGAAGACCATAGCCCAGACCACCGAACACGATCGTGATGGCGCCTGCAACAGTGATGGCTAGGAGGAAACTGTCCATGGTCAGCGGAAATCATGGAATCAGGGGAAACGTGGCATACTCCTTATATCCATCCATTACCCCCGTTCCACTCGTATATGTGATAATAATGCCGATAATCTGCCCAATCATGCTTCCCATGTTCGAGCTAAAGAGTCCCAGCACGCTCACCATCGCACCCCTACTATACAACTCTTTCGTCGCCTGCTCTTCCTCAGTGACGACAAGTTTCCCATCCTGACCAATTCTTGTCCTTTGCTGGAGCCATCCCGCTTCGCGCATAAACAGGGGAATATACGAGGACACGAGCGTACCGTAGATGCCTTGGATGGTTGTTTGAAATACCCAGATGACGGAGCCGGCGACAAGGTTGCGGTAGGTTTTGCTTTTCATGGAGGCGTAGGGTAGAGAGAAGGTGCCGAAAATGATGATGGCTAGGATGAGGAGGGTTTTGCGGAAGTCTGAATGCACAGTGTGAGTGGTCTTGATTTGGGGATACTCGAGGGCTTGAAGAGAACATACGAGTGAAGTCCGCAATTCCGCTCGTCAGGATGGTCAATATCCCTTCTGAAGCCCGTCCGATAGCCTGGAGATACAATCTTCTCTGTGTCAGCCACCCACTTCTTTTTCCACATTGCTTCTCTTGGTTCCAGCTTAGGAAGTAAGGTGTAAACTCACATATAACTATTGTAATCCACCTCTCCCGTTCCGAACGGCACCACGCAATGGATCACACCCCGTTTGGCACACGGCTCATTAGTCCCCGGCTTATGCCCCAGTACATTGGCGTTTGTTTGCAGTACCGCTGGAATGTATCGGTATACCATTCCGGAAGTTGGACCTGTCTAGAATGGTGCGTCAGCAATCTTTTCTCTCCCCCCTTTGTTTCTGGATTATTTTAACACTTTGGCTCATACTCCCGTCTCTCATCACAACAGTTTCTTGAGTTACATAAAACTCAGAAGATGAAACAGCCACTTACCGAAAAACACAGCACCAACCACGCAATCAACGCCCTCTTCGTCGCCATGGGCTTCCTCTTCGGCTCCCCTTCCACCTGCACCACGTCACCACCCTCTCTCATATCCGTCTTGTTGGAGGCTGCATCGCTTGCGGAGACGGCGACTACAGCCACCTCTTTCGTTTCTTTGATCGCTGCTTTCTCGTCGGCCATGTTCGATTCCCAATTATTAACGAAATGCACAGCGCAAAATAATAACGGGTGCTCTGAAGCAATCAGGATTCGATCAAAACACCCCAAGGGGAGAGATACCCGCTCCTACAAAGACGGCGGTCGCAAAAAAGGAAGCACAATCAAATCGAGGAAGCATCCGCAAGGGCTCCCGCCTAAGTACCCTCTCCTCCGTTCAACGCCCACCTATCTACCTCAACGCAAATGGAAAACCCATCCACAGTCACCATCCAGCCACGCCGTGTCCAGTGCAAAAAGCTCATTCAGCGGTGTGGCCTGAGAGACAACTCGGGTCCAGCATTCGAGTCCTGAACCCTGTCGTACATGCTCATCCTGCGAACGCCGTACCGGGTTCTGGGTATACATGTGCAGCGTGGCGCGCGGGTGCGGGCCGGAACGGGGGATGGATTCATTGTCTAGAGAGGCAAATTGAGGTAATGCTAGCTGTAGTGATAGTTACCACGGAGTAGGAGAAAGACGGGTGTGCAGCGAATAACGCCTATTTCTTCGCTGACAAACTCCTGCAGCTCCCTTAGCGATAACGAAGCTCACCCCCAACCTTAACTCGTCATCGCCCAAGCCGTTGCTTTGCCGCACTTCGCTCGTGTTTGAGCACATTAATATTACGCCCATAGCTGTGGATCGCTGCCGGTTTGGGCAGGTAAGCTCGAAAAGCGAGTGAGGGCGTCGAATCCTTTTCTTACCCAGGGCAGGGTGCCGTGTACACAGTAGGTACTGCCGGATCCATCAGCGTGTGAACGACGATGGCATGCATGTAGTGCTACGAGAGGGAAAGCCTCGAGTGGTGAGAGTGATGTTGGCGTTGCGATTGGCTGGATAAGAGCGACTGCAAACATTCATGGCGTACTCCATCTGTGCATCAGACTATCAAGCTGGTGTTCGGTGTGAAGTCTGAAGCCCAGCTACCTACAGTACATAGCTCTCGCAACCTCCATACACATTATGCAGATGCCCAGAGAAAAGGACGACGGGGATGTTTCAAATTTAGCAGCAAAGTTGAACAACACCAAAACCAAAAAAAAAAAAAAAGAAAAAAAGAAAAAAAGAAAAAAATAGAATTTTAAAGTAAAATTTATGTTGGATACACCACTCATCTCGGAATACCGAGTCGCGAGCAGCGAATCCGCCACCGTCCAATACTGGAACGGCAGTTTGAATCACTCTCTCCCCACTGTCCACACACGAGTGCTGTTGGTGCAACGAAGCAACGTGCTCTAGCATATTTTGGGGAGTTCGAGGCAGTCACGAAGACTGCAGTTCCGTCAATATCATAGGCTAGAACAACCCCCGGATTCCATACAATCAAACTTCCAATTACAATGACGCAATTGGCACTTGAAATTCCCCCGGAATGCCTCAAGACGTTTCTCACACACAGGGACGCCGAACCCTGCTCTACGCCCATCACGAAGATAGGCTTTCTGCGGTATCACCCGCGACAGGTCCCAGACGGTGGTGCGCGACCTTTCGACTCAAACCGAACTGATCGGAAACGTGAAGACGACTCTCGGAACAGCCACACGGGTCAAGAAGACTGTGACATCGAGACAACACACGGGTTTCCGAGTTTGTCGTCCGCTCCTGGCATCGGCTCGGTCCAAGTCGATTCGTCCTCCTCTTCACGTCCTCCTTCACGTCCTCCTTCACGTCCTCCTTCACGTCCTCCTTCACGTCCTCCTTCACGTCCTCCTTCACGTCCTCCTCTTCACCAGTCCTAAACCCAGATCTCTCCACTTTCCACTCCGGCTCCAAGCTCCGGCGGCCAGTCAAACAAATCTTCAACTTCACCGTCGTGCTTGAACACCACGGATTCCTTCGCACCAATGTAGATCTCATACAATGGGGCAACCAGATCTCTCCACTTTCCACTCAGGCTCCAAGCTCCGGCGGCCAGTCAAACAAATCTTCAACTTCACCGTCGTGCCTGAACACCACGGATTCCTTCGCACCAATGTAGATCTCATACAATGGGGCGACCAGATCTCTCCACTTTCCACTCCGGGCCCAAGCTCCGGCGGACAGTCAGACAGATCTTCAACGTCACTGTATTGCCTTAACACCACATATGCCTTCACAGGCACTGTAGTGTTTTAACACCACAGGCGCGTTAACACTAATGTAGATGTCATACATGGGTTTAAAGCGGGAACCTTGGACAGCACCACACGTAAACCGCAACTCCCGTAAGGAGAGCGAGCTGCGCCAAGTTACGAGCTCTGCATTCAGAGACATAACCCGGGGTCAGCCTCCGTAAACATGCCAAGGACCTTCACGGCCTGTCAGAGTGCCCGAAGGCAAGCTCCATATCTGTGGCTTCTACCACGGCACGGCAACCTGAAGATTCCGCAACAAGTGCCGTGCTCGTGGGGGGGTTGCCCCTACGGAGAATACGACAGTGGCTCTGTCCGAGTCAAAGTTTTCAACAAGCGGTAAAAGAACCGAAGAGTATCATATCTGGGCGCAGACCCGGGTGCCTTCGAGTAAGTATGCCAAGGGCCTTTCGGCCTGTCAGAGCACCACCGGAGTGGAAACTCAATATCTGCTGGCTTCTTCCACTAGGAGGGACTCTGAGAACTGACAGCAGCTCCGTTAGGAGGGCCGACCTCATCAAGAGTCCTTTCCAAGCGGCGGGGGCTGCCCCCTACTCAAAAGGTCCACATCTGTGCAACGTGACGACTTGTTACGACTTTTGAGGAACTCCATGTTGAGCCCGAAGGTTTGCCATCCGGCTGCCTTCTTCTCAGTCGGCGATCATGGCCCAGCACACCCGTCAAGCCGTGCTTGGGTCGCCATGTCGTTGAATCAACACGCCTATCTTTCAGGGCCGTGATGTTCAGTTTGCAGGGCCAGTCTTTCATGGCGCTGGCTTGCCGGACGTGCCCAGCAAGGCTTTGGAATCATCGACGCCCAGTCTTTCAGGTGCGTTCAGGATTCATCGACTCCCAACTTTTGAGGGTCGTTCATGCTGAGTTATCAGGCAAGCTTCGAAAGCTTTGCCTCCCTCTCAGTTCCTGGCTCATCGGCCTCAGTTTAACGGCATGACGGCCTCAATTCCTGGCCCTTGGCCTCAGTTTAACGGCTTGACGGCCCCTGGCTCACCGGCCTCAGTTTAACGGCATGACGGCCTCAATTCCTGGCCCTTGGCCTCAGTTTAACGGCTTGATGGCCCCTGGCTCACTGGCCTCAGTTTAACGGCTTGACGGCCACTCTTTCAGATTCCCGTTGATTCTTGTCTGACTGTCCTCTGAAGCTGGAAACGGCGGAAGGCGGTCGATCGGTCGGAACGATGGCGCGGATGATGAGACGGGAGGTGGCGTCATGGAGGCGTTTGGTGGCGGTGATGAGAGGGTGTGGAGGAGGTGGTGGGAAGCGGAGAATGAGATTAGGGTAAGAATGAGAGTGAGCGAGGATAGAGAGATAAAAACCGGCAGACCAGCTGCACAAGAGGAAACCATCATCAAAGATGGTAGGAAATGTGCGTCCGCATGGGAGAAGCGGAAAAGAAGACGAGGTGGCAGAACTAAGAAGTTGAGGATGGAGGCAGAGATGGAGGAGAGAGAGCTCAGGAGCTCAGGCGAAATCGAGTGCGTCGTGTAGCGTGCCAAGCATTTATAGATAGCCGCTTGGCATTAGTGGTCCGTGCGACGAGCGTCATCGATCCGCGTCTTTGATTTATGCATGTGAGCGCAGGATGGAAATCGACTTGAAGCTCTGTCGGCTCTGGCAGTAAATCTTAGGGGTGCGCTGGGCGCATTACACGATCCCCGGTAGAACCGTCCTTCACAAATCCATTCTCAAGATGGTACATCCCTTCCCTCTCCTCACGTTTCTCCACACCACAAACCAACTAACCTCGCACACATACATAGCCACCGAAACGCCGCGCGCCCTCCTCCTCCGCCAAAACCCCTCTCCGCCCCGCAAAACCCTCCAAGCTCGCAAGAGAACACGGCCTCACAGCGGCGCAAGAATCCTCCATCCGCGAAGCCTTCGCCCTCTTCGCGGTGCAGCACCCGGACCATGCCGACGGGAGGGAAGGCGTGCTGAGGAGGGACGACGTGCGGAGGTGTTTGATGTACGTTTTACGATTTCCTCTTTAGAGATTTTGGGATATGTATGTACCGGATTTTCGAAAAGAAGGCGGAGAGTGATTTAGTGGAAGGAAGGCACGAGGGAATGTGCACGCGAACAAGCTGGAGGCCTGGGGCTTATGTCGCGAACGACACTGACAATGCCTAGAGCATTAGACCTCCCACCGCAACGCTCCGAACTCGCGTCCATCCTCTCGACCATCGACCCGCTCAATACAGGCTATGTCCCGTTTATCCCGTTCCTCTCCTACGCGGCGATAGCCATGCACGCAAAGGAATCCGACTCGGAAGGCGACTACGACGACGACGAAGGCGATGACAAGGTCCACGATGAAGATTACCATAACCACGCTGGTGTGGAGGAGCTCCACGCAGCTTACAAGCTCTTCACGCACGGCACGCCGGGACCCATAACACTGGCGCATCTCCGCAGAGTGGCGAAGGAATTGAGGGAGGAAGTGTCGGATGAGGTGCTGAAGGATATGATTCGCGAAGCGAATGGCAGCGCCAAAGGCGCGAGTCACATCGGCGGCGTCAGTCTTGAGGAATTCGAGGGGGTGATGCGGAGGGCGGGTATGACGTTTTAGCAGTGTTCGGAGGAGGGGGATAAGAGGGGTGACGGTTGAAGATGTAGCTGTTCATTTCACGATACCCAAAATGATGATTAGTATGAGAGAAGCTCCAATTCGTGGCTACCGTCATGCCCCTACATTCCGTCCCTTCGAGGGGACATGACAAGTTAGGTTGACATTTCAAATTCGAAGGTAGTGAGACAGAGCGGGGAGAGTAAAGGGAGAACACGAAATTGGCTGACCATCTCTCCACGATGCTCAACACCACAACATCATCATCATCATTATCGAACACCCCTCGTCTTAGTAGTCATCATCGTCAGCATCATATATCCTATCCCCTGCGTCGTCATTACCCCGATCCCCAACTCTACCTCACCACATATTACCACCACGTCGCCTTGGTAACCATTGAACGGCATCCAAACAACCCCATGATATATATACAACGCCTATGAAATGCAGCATCCAATACGGCCTGGCCATCCCAGGACAAGCGTCCGAAACAATCATCTATAAGGGAAGCGACGTCACCCACAGAAAGGCAGAACGGCAGAAGGCTGACCGACGAGAGTGCTGACCGACCAGCCAAATCGAAAGCCGAAGCATCCACACACACACGAATGTGAAATGAAGAGTCCGCTCATCCCGGAATCTCCTTGATGCGGCACTGCCATCCCGATTCCTGGTTCAGCAGCGGGAGACTGTCCCATTCGTTAGCACATCCACTCGTCCTCTCACCAACAATCATCCGAAGGGAAACATACCTAGCGCCCAAACACCAACCCAGCTCACTCCCCTTGATTCTCTTCCCAATCTTGACCTCCCGATCAATCGGCATCCCATACCCCGTATGCAGCAACGCCATCATAAAGTTCAGATCCAAGCACCACTCTGGGCGATCCATAAGCTCAGCCATGGCGCCCTCCACGGTGCCAAAGACATCCCATCCCTGCTCCCCGCGACACACGCGCTCAGTGAGATCTTTCATCTCCTTGAGAGAGAAGGACTCGGGCATGCCCAGCGGTTGCGTGCGCTCGTAGAAGTACGAGAGGAGGTACACGTCCTCGCGGGCAAACGTCTTCTCGAACGAGGGTTGGTGGATACCGCGGAAGGCGCACGGAGCGAGTTTGCACTCTGCGTCCTTCTCCAGCGTCTTTTCGGCGAAGCCACGACACAGAGCTGGGGTACCTTCGGCGGGACCGGTCATGTTGACGGAGACGGTTGTGCCGAGGGGGTGGCCGGCGGGGAGATGGACGTCTACTTTGCGGGACATGCCGGGAGCGATGCAGGGGTTAAGAATGGGTTTAGAGAGCCAGTCTTTGGATTCGGGTTGATTGTTCGCTTCGGCGGTATTCTTCCGGTCTTGGTAGATGCTGGTGAGGATGGCGCTGTGTAGGTTGTTGCGGGCTTCCATGAGGCCGTAGCCTAGATAGGAGTGCTGGTAGAGTTCGAAGAAGCGGCCGCCGAAGCTGAGTTCATACTTGTGGTCGCCGGCGGCCAGCTTCTCGGGCATGCCGCCGTGAGGGGAATCCTTGAAGGTGGGCTCGAAGACTATTTGTGTAGAGCCGCCGCCAAGGTCGAGAACAGCTGCCGTGGGCGTCTTATCGGGGCCGCCAATCTTGCCTAGCAGGTAATTTGTCGTGATCCAGGCGTACACGCCTTCGTCCTTGCCGTCCATGACTTCCACTCCACCCTTGTCTTTGGAAACAACAGGGAAGGGATATTTCGTTTCGAGACGGGCGCGGACGGCGTTTAGGATTGCCTCGCTCGCTCCTTTTTGTTGCTCGTCGAGTTTACGGAGACCAGCCGTCGCCTTGACAGCAATGGGCGTGCACCTTTGGTAGCCTGCCGGCACGCTCCTGACCGCCACGTCCAAGAGCACATCCAAGCTTTTGGCGGCGGCTTCAGCATCCGCACCGTATGATGAAAGCCCCGAACCTCCTTCCTTCTTCTCAGTCTGTGCGAAAACCTCGTCCTCAAGCTCCGGAGTGGGTCCGCAGTTGTTGAACTTGTAGACGTGGATGCGCGAGCCAGTGCTGCCAGCGTCGATCATGAGGGCGTATTGTATGAGCGGTTTATTTTTCGAGTACGACTTTACGCATCTTTTCGTCTCTGCGCCTTCCAATGCTGTGTTTCCGTCGCCGTGTAATGGGGCTAGATGGTTGATCAGCTATGCGTATTCGGGATGTAGCGTGGATTGAGTGTTCCACTCACATCTAGATAGACCTCCCCCATCTCTCGGAGCGAAAAAGTACAGTATTAGTACAATAAACACTATTATACCGCCTGTCTTCAAATACCGGACCCGCTGCCCCTGGTTCATAGCGCCGCTCTTGTATTCGGGCATGAGGGTTGCTGAAGAGTGAGCGGACCGGCGCCTCGTATGGTTTGCGGAGTTGGCAGGAGTGCTCGCTGACGAAGCGTATGCTGAGGCGGCGCTTGAAGTGTAGGAAGAATGGGAAAGGGCTTCGTTGATACGATCGTGGCTCCTCGGAAGTGAAATGGAGGTGCGCCTTCTCGGGCCGTTGAAGAACGACCAGCCTTTTGACATGTATGCCCACCGTGCTCGACGGGCCTAATAAGGCATCGAGGAATGAACGAAAATGTGGCAACGGGAGATGCGGTTTGAGTTAGGTTGTCGGAGTTCAAAGTCGTCTCGGCCAACAAATGCTTTGCCCCTGCGTGGTTGCCCGTTCCCCTTGCGGGATTGCGGCGGGAGTGGGCGCGGTCGTCTTGGCAGATCAGCCGCATTCGACCGGCTGCGGGTGGAGAACCAGCCCAGGTGCTATAAAAAGACGGTCAACGGGATATTGAAAAGATTTAGTAGTCGTTCAGAAGTCGGCGATAGTACTTTAGTTCATTGTATCGGCTCGTGCAAGAAACCAAAAAATAAACCAAAAAAAAAAGAAACTCGAGGTCGAGAAGAGAAACCCTGGTGCTTAAGGCGGGCTCAAAGGAACACATCGCCAGATCAGAATTTTTACTTTTTTGCAGTAGTGTCGCTGGCTAGGCGACAACACCATGGATGGGATAACGTTCGGGTGGTAGAAATGCTTTCAGTTACATTTTATATAGTGAATAATAATTCTACGACTTTAACCTTAAGAAACGTCGGGGGTTTTGAACGTTTCGAGAAAAGTGAGGGCTGTGCCAAGAGACGCTAAAACCAAGAATATCGGGCTCGAATCCTCCAGGGCTGTGTCGCCTACCTCACAGTCGCGCTAGTGCTACAATGTTCTCTTGCCCTTTTACAACCTCGATATTCAGGAGACTTAAGCTTCAAGAAATATCATTGTAAGAATTAAATTCACATAATACGTTCTTGTTGTACGGTTATTTAGCGCAGCCCCAGACGTCGAAAGAGGACGGCCAAAATAATAAGCACGAAACCTCCGCCCATACTTCAAAAGATATGCAAGATAGGAGTGTGAATATACGGAGCACACACACTCGAACGCCGAAATGTAGGTTGGAATCAAAAGTATTTGATTTCACGAGCAAATCCACCTGCTCCTTCTCCGCCGTCTCTTCCTCCTACACTCCCCTCCCAAACGACTAGCAATACTTTAAACGAGCCTAAAAATATGGTATAAGTGAACTTGAAAAGAGACGCGGATAGCTAGCATCCAATGCACCCCGGACCGATTCTGAGCACAAATAAGATCCTCCACCGGACAGTTCCCTTCCTCCGAACTCCACGATGTAGATTCAGACCCTTCGATGGGCAAAAGGCCCGAGCAATCAGTCTGAGGTATGTGGTAGGTGCTGTAATGGTATCAAAGAAGGAGTCGTCGCCTTCATTAGGTGGATGGCATTTCGGGTATTTGATGAAGTAGAAACCGAGCGCCATGCAATATGCGGGCCATAGATAAGAAAACCGTGCAGCCGATGATGAATGATGATGACGTGGGTAAGGAATTATAATGCGGCCCCCGGCCTATGTCGCAGCGACACACCAGTGCCTATGGAACACCCAGGCGCTCTTCTGGCATTCCTTGCTGCAGTACTTGGTGCGTCGGCAGCGGCGGCACTTAGCATACTGCCGTGCGTATTCTTCCCACTTCCCGCACTTGTAATATGCGCATTGTCGGATGCCACCGCGCGAGTCGTCCTTGCGGCAGAGGTTTCGCATGACCACGCTAGCCCAATACTGCATGTCTGGGCTGTGGTGCCGCACCGTGAACTTCTCCACCAGAGGGAAGATGTTGAAGTCATCGGGCAGTTCATACTCCTCCAACTCTTCCTCTTCCGACACCGGGACGGGGCTGGACGCTTCACCGTCCAGCAGCTGCAGATCCGCACCTATCTTCAGCTTCGGGACGAGATGCGATTTCTGGAAGTAGGACCGTAGATTGCAGTACTTGGAGACGTAGGCCAACAGCTGAAGGGACATAAGAACGTCTTCGTCACGCGGCATCGCGGCCAGCACAGCGCTCGACTGCCATGCCAAGGCGCTGCGGTCCTGCGGATTGCGGGGATACCATGGCGGTGGAGCATTCGCAGTTACAACATTGATGGCAGGCTGCACGGGCGAGAAGCCGCCCATTGGAACGGCGGTTTGAGTGTTCGCTGGGTTGACCAAACTGCCGTCCAGGGCTGGCCGGTGGGTAATATTGAAGGTCTCTTGATTGTTGTCCGTTCCTTCAGAAGCCAGGGCGACGGGAGTGGCGCCAGCGTCGAGCATTTCTGCATCCTCCACCATGTCTGTGATGTTCATGTCATTCTGAATGCCGACAATGGGCTCATTACCGCCAGGTGTAGCCAAAGCAGTAGCTTCGATGGAGGCATCCTCTAACTGGGTATCGAAATCCGATTCTCCAGACATGGACAGCTGGTGACGAATTGACGGGCGACGGGGTGGCGCTAAGTGGGTAGCGGGTAATGCGGCTTGACGACCAAGGCCAGCGTTCGGAGTTGTAGGCGACTCGGGTTGAGAGGTAATCTCGCCGTGGAAAGTGGGGAGCATAGAAGGAAGCCGATCGACATCACGCACCGGGCGCAGAGGGAAGGACTCTGTAGTCTCCATAGTGGGGAGGGCGGTGTTTAGAGGCTGAGGGATATGGCGGGCGCCGCCAGTCATGGTCGAGAAAACCTGATTCTCCCTCTCGTGGGTGCGATGGTGATTGTGATGATGGTGGGTGCGACGGGTGAAGGTGGTTCGCTCGGGCGGAGAGCTCAATGGGAAGGCTGGAGTAACAGCGAGATCTCCGTTGGGTGGGTCCAGCTGAGTTCGATCCACGGGCAGAGGAATCTCGATGGGGGGAGGTATCGCGCGCCTGTTACGCTCGGACCGATGAGATGAACCCGAGGAACCTTCTCCGGAGCGGGAGGAGTGATGTCTGCTGGAACTGCCATAACGGGCCTCTCTTTTCAGATCTCTGTCAGCCTTCTCTCTGCACTTGTCGACTACGGTGATGTAGTTGTCCAGAATAGTCGCAATGACCGGTACGATATCCGCTTCAACAACTCGCGTGCGGACACTCTCCGATCCCCGCACGCCAATGTTGAAGATGCATTGGAATGCCAGGTTCCACTTCCACATTTCCATCATGTCCTTGGTCCGTCCTTCCTTGAGGATGCATACGAGCCTTTCGATGCCGCCATCGACGGTGAGGATGTCGCGTATCCGGGCAGATGAGGTTGTCAGATAGGCGAGATGATTTAGCGAGTTGATGAGAGGGAGGGTGGAGGTGCAATCGAGAGCCCGGCGATCATAGAGGGCAGTGGTGATGCCAACAGAGGCCTTGTTGGCATTCGGGATGCTGAAGTTGACCTCGCGCATGTTCACTGCAGGGCGGTGGAAACAGATGACAGTGGTGGGTGAGAGTTATAGGGGAACAGGCGTCGGACGAGGTGGAGTGACTGCAGCTTTAGGGTCGCATGAGGTGAAAGTGTGGTTGAGGCCGCGGTGACTAGCGGTCGACGAGACCTGCAACACAAGTAGCAACGGGGGTGAGTGGAACGGGGGTGTCGGCGTCGTCCTTGATTTCTTTCTCTTGAGATGCGGGTATGAGGGTCCGTGTGTGCAGGCGGATCCAAGACAAGTGGACTGAGACGAGACGAGGTAGAAAACAGCCGGGCTCGAACGAGAAAGTGTCGCAGACGTCGACGACGAGCCGCACAGCACGTGGTTGGCGAGTTTATCAACGGGAGAGGAGAGGGCGAGGATTAGGAGATGAGGAGACGCGGTGAAAGGTGAGGCCAAGGAAGGGGCGTGTGGCAAGAGGCGAGAGGGATGTCGAGGACTCGGTGAGCGACGGAGGCAGGACTCGGGGGTGAGTGCCGCGCTGCACTGCGGCGAACGCGATGGGCGGGCGTTTATTCGCGGTATGAGATGCTCGTGAATGAGGCTGCTGGGGGATGAATGGAGAGGCTCTCGTTCTGCAAAAGGGTGGGGAGAGACGGGTGTGCTGCATAGAAGGGGAGGGGAGGGGGACGTTGATGAGGCCGGCGGCTGGAGCAATGCTGGATGCGGAGGTGTTGCTCCTTGGCGAGCCCCTTCTAGAGCCGCATGATTGGACCGGACTGCCATGCAATTTCATGCGTTTTCAGCGGAACCGGGCGCCTGTGTCGGAGACTGAGGACCTCTCATTTTGCACTTGTCTCACTATTTGTTACTACCGAGCCACAGCAGCGCAACGCGGTTTATTTTTCTGTACTCCGTACTATTTCATTATATCCTACCTAGGTAGGATGCCTCTCGCGGTTGGTGTTGATGCACGTGATTCCGTTTGTCAGCGCGGGAAAGAGCGGGGTACTTTCCCCAATTCGCCATCCCAAAAAGTCTCTTGTCTAACAGTACTCAGCAAGCAGCATTCATTTTCCGCCCTCTTGTCTTCCAGCCGAGCACTCTTCCGAATGTTGTTCCAAATTGAGGGTCGTTGCGCGAGCGTGCACATGGAGTCATTGCAGCAGACATTGAGAAGAACAGTGCGGCTGAGCTAGACGTCTTTTTCCCTGACCACGACTATGACCTCATTTCCCTCCTCCCCGCCGTCCGCCGTCCACATCCTCTTCAATGCCCCAACACCATGACCGATGAAAGGGATAATTCAAGTCCGCGTATTCAAGATTTCGCATCACCCCGGAACGAGCTGCATCTGGAAAACACGGCAACCTCACCCATCACCCAGCTTGACGGTGCCAGCGTCGTCCTCTCCCCTTCGCGCGTCTCCATTGACTCCACCCTGCGACGCCGACCAACCCGCTCCAAGACAGTACGGCACTACAATGAATCGCCTACACGAGAGGATTGGGAGGAGCCCGGTGCGGAACCTGGTATTGATACTGCCAAGGGCGCTGAGCGTCAATATCACCTGCAGCAGCCGTGTGACATCACTGTTGTCGATTTTTCCGACGAGCGTGTCGAATGCCGCGAGCTTGACAATGACAGCTTAGAGTCATTTTTAAAGGAGGAAAAGGAGGGGTGGGTAGATTGCAGGTGGATCAACGTGAATGGCCTGAGCTGGGATGTCATTCGCGCTTTGGGAAACTACAAAAACCTGCACCCGTTGGCCATAGAGGATCTCATGAAGCCCGAGCGGACAAAGGCAGACTGGTACTCGGATCAAGCTTTCTGTAAGGTTCAGGGCGGTTGAGAAACCTCTGGAAGCGAACTGACCGTCTGCAGTATTATTTACTCTCTCCAAATTGGTCAAAGTCCACAGCGACGACTCAGACAGCGACTCCGACTTGGAGGATGAGGATGGCCCAAACCTGAGGCGATCAGGATCCGAGCAGTCGAGAGATTCTGGCTCGTTTTGGGGGACGGCCAAGGACTTTGTTGGGTTGGCGTCCGACCATTCACAGGAGCGAGACCTCGAACGTTCCTGGTCACCCCAGGAGAGGAACCCGCCGTCCGACAACACCGTGGGTACGCGGTCCCGACCACAGATACGAACATTGCAGCGCTATCGCGGCGGCCCCAAGTGGAACATTGAGAGGACCATATACATGGAGCAGCACTCCGCTTTGACCAATAAGAACCGTGCAGTCAGCGTCGAGCAAGTGTCCATCTTCATCTGCTCTGACAATACCGTCATATCCTTCTTCGAGCACTCAGCCGCCGATATCGAGGTTCCCATACTCACCCGCCTCAAGAGCGAGAATACTATCCTTCGCCAATCCTGCGATGCCAGTATGCTAGTCCAAGCCATCATTGACGCTGTCATCGATCTCGCGATTCCCGTTGTAGCCGCCTACGAAGACGTCATGGGTGCTCTAGAGCTCGAAGTTCTCCGCGACCCAGCAATCGGCCATTCCCAGTCGCTCTATATCCTCACCTCGGAGCTCACCATCTTAAAGAACACCATCCAGCCCATTACTGCGCTTATTAGCTCCCTGCGGGAGCACCGCGCCGAACCAGTCCATACGCCAGGTCTCTCTGGCGTCCCGTCCCGTACGGCCGGCCGGTCCATATCCTCCATCACCATCTCCCCCCTCGCCTACACCTACCTTGGCGACGTCGAAGACCACTGCATAATGATCACCACTAGCCTCGACCAGATGCACCGCAACGCCGACAACCTCATCGACCTCATCTTCAACATGATGTCTGCTTTCCAGAACGAGACTATGCGTATGCTCACAAACGTTACCATTCTCTTCCTCCCGCTCACCTTCCTGGTCGGTTATTTCGGAATGAACTTTCCCAGATTTACGGGCGTGAATGAACACTCTGATGCCTTTTTCTGGGTCGTTGCGGCTCCGGTTCTTGTCGCGACCATGTTAGGGTTAAGCTTTGGTTTGATAAGGAGGAAATGGCAGAGGCTCAGAGGGAGGTGGAAAGTGAAGAGGCAAAGGAGACGGGAAGCTAGGAAGGCAGTGAAGATGAGAAGGCGAGGAACCATGGACACCATTAAGTCGAGGAACACACATAAGGGGTTAGTCTCCTATGCTTAGCACGCGCGTTGGGGAGGACGGGTGGTGCAGTCTATTCCTAGGTTGAGTATCAGGATGGGATGAATGAGGTCCGATAATGATACACTCAGACTTCCGCAACCCCGGGTTTATTAAAGCAACTCGGAAGCTGAAAGAGTAGACAGTGTGAATAGAGTAAAGTCAACCCTCCAATACGCAGCGGCTTTGTAGTCGAGGGGATGCCGTTATGCAGGCGTGCCCCTAGATTCCAATACCGAGTACGGAGCACACATATACCTAGTTAGTAACCTGGAATCATTATATCTTCTACCTAGTCGCGCCCTTACAGTTGATTAAAGATGTTGTCGATGCAACCATGCAACCCCCACGCCTTGGCACGCAGATGTGCAGGGGTTACGCAACCGCAGATCACGCGTTGGACAATCATGGAACCGTCAAACCTGTCTTGGGACGACTTCTGTCCTGAAGCAACAAGAGTCCTCCTCGGCGTCCTCCTTGGTCTCGACCTCTCCCCCTTCTCCCCAGACATCGCGCCGCCGACGAGACATGCCTTAGTGACCCGCTCCCACCACAGCGTCACGGTCCCCGCCCGACCAGCACCGCCGCACGACGCCCCCAAACGGCCCGGTCGTCCGTCTGGAAGATTCGCGACGGAAGGGAATTGTGCGGATGCTACCGTTGAAACATGCCAGGAGGGGGAGAAATATCAGGCCATGGTGTGCGCAAACGGCGTTCGTCACACTACGATGATGCGGATACCGTTGGCGCATCTCCGGAACCCGTGGCCTCATCACTACCCCAAGCTAATACCGACATCGAATTGTCGCAATCTCCCTCCGTAGACAGCACTCCTAGACATTCCATATCCGCCGAACAACCCCGCGTCCACTTTTCTACCGATGCCCAACGTCATGAGCCGGTGCTACCAGCGAGATTGGGGTCTACAAGCGGAGGTCTTGGGCCTATATTGCGCGCAGGACCGCGTCATGGGCCCACCAAAAGACCTGGCACGCCCGATCTGACAGTGAATACTGAGGGCGCGGCGACAGACTTCTCCCGGTTAGCAGGGTCGCCATCTTCACGCCTGTCTCCTCTGTCCCCGGCGCACACGGGACGGGCTTCTCCGCTGTCCCCAACTAGCCGACGTAGAGGCTACTCGCTGCGCAGTTCACTTTTTAGGAAGAACATTGATGGGCAGCACACAACCGCCACGAGCATTGAGTTGGAAGACGCGCCTGGTTCGTCACGCTTAACGCGGGAGGGGAGTCATGGAGACGATGGAGAGTCTAGGAAGACCGGAGAGACAACCGTCACAGTGGCTCCCTCCCTGGCCGATATCTCTCGTGCCAATTCCAAGGACACCGCGTTTGGGAAAGGTCCCATTGCGCTGCCAAACTACAGTACGTGGCTACAAGGGAAGGAGAAGCAGCGTGGAATCATACGACAATTGCGTGCGCTAGGTGAGCGTGCCAGGAAGTTTGTGCTGCGCATCAAAGTCATTCCCCCCAGCAAGGACGGACGACATATTGCTCTGGACCCCTGTCGAGAAGAGCATCTCATCGATGAACGTACCAACCAACCTTACACGACCAACTGGATCCGCTCTACTCGCTACTCCGCATGGAACTTTCTTCCTCGCCAGCTTGTGGCACAGTTCTCCAAATTGGCCAACTTTTATTTTCTTTGCGTGTCCATACTTCAGATGATACCCGGTCTCAGTACCACAGGGACCTATACCACGATTGTTCCGTTATTGTTCTTCGTTACTCTTTCGATTGCAAAAGAAGGATATGATGATCTCAGGAGATACAGACTCGACAAGGCTGAAAATAACCGCGAAGCAAAGGTGCTGCGGGGCGCGGCGATGTGCGTCAGGCGAGCGTCAATTGCCGACCAGAGTTCCGCTTCTACAGAGGCATCCCTGCATTATGAATCGGTCAAATGGCAAGACCTGCGGGTGGGAGATGTCATCCGGTTGGACCGCGACGACGCTGCACCCGCTGACTTGGCTTTGCTGTACACCAGCGGGGAGAACGGTGTAGCCTACGTTGAAACTATGGCTCTGGACGGCGAGACGAACCTCAAGAGCAAGCAGACTACCGCGTCCCTTGCGAAAGCGATTGAGACTCCTGAGGATGTCTTGACGTGCGATGCCAGATTCGTTGTCGAAGACCCGAATCTGGATCTATACAACTTCGAGGGACGTGTCATTGTCGATGGCAAGACGGCTCCCTTGACAGTGAATGAGATCATCTATCGTGGCAGTATTCTGAGGAATACACCGGATGCCTTGGGTATTGTTATCTACTCGGGAGAGGAATGTAGAATCCGGATGAACGCGAACAAGAACCCTCGGATCAAGGCGCCCGCCCTTCAAACAGTCGTCAACCGCATCGTCATCATTATCGTCATATTCGTCCTCTTGCTCGCCATTTTCAATACTGTGGCATATCAAATCTGGTCTGAGAAGACTGAAGATAAGCTCTGGTATCTCTCCAGTGCGTCGGTCGCGTTCTTTCCAAGCATGACGTCCTTTATCATCATGTTTAACACCATGATCCCGCTCTCGCTCTATGTGAGCTTGGAAATTGTCAAGCTCGCCCAGATGTGGTTTCTCTTTGGGGACGTCGATATGTACGACGAGACGTCCGATACTCCGTGCGAACCTAGAACGTCAACTATCAACGAAGAGCTTGGCCAGATCAGTTACATCTTCTCCGACAAGACAGGCACTCTTACTGATAACTCGATGAAGTTCCGCAAGATGAGCGTGGCGGGCACCGCTTGGCTGCACGATACGGATCTCCAAGAGACACGCAAGAAGAAGAAACTCATTCACAAGACACGTAAAAAGGGAAAACAGCCTGTCAGGAAGAGTGTGCGGTCGGCCAAAGATGCGGTCGAGCCAGCAACGCCGGCTTTGGATGGGGATGGTGGAGAGGTTACGATCGAGCCTGAGATGTCTGGCTCGAAATGGCAGTCTTCTGCCCGACCTGGAAAACCACAGCGCGAATTACTGACAGGGGATATGCTCCGATATATCCAGAGAAGGCCCCATACGCCCTTTTCACAGAAAGCCCGGCTTTTCTTGCTCTCCATGGCGCTCTGCCATACATGCTTACCAGAAATCCAAGAGGATGGAAAGACGAGGTTTATGGCGTCTTCCCCCGATGAGCTTGCCCTTGTGCAGGCTGCACAGGATATGGGCTTCCTCGTCATCAGTCGTGATGTTCATACGATCTCGCTAAAAATCATGCCCAACGGCGCTGATCAAGAGCCAGTTCTCGAAGTCTACGAAGTGCTGGATGTAATTGAGTTCTCTAGCAAGCGGAAGAGGATGTCCATTATTGTTCGATTCCCTGACGGACGCATCTGCATCTTCTGCAAAGGTGCTGACTCAATCGTTATGCAGCGTCTGCGGTTAGCCACGGTTGCCAATAAGAGCATGGTAGATATTGAATCTCGCGCGAATAAGCGAAAGAGTCTGGAGGCCCAGTACGCCATGGCCCGCAAGAGCGAGCAGGTTGAACGGAAGAGCAGCATAGGTGGTAGGCGAAGCCTGACTCTCAGTCAAGCCGCGCGTGCCAGCCTCACATTGGGCAATCCCTCCTTTGCTCGAACCAGTATCTCTGGTCTTGGGCGTCCTAGTATAGGGAATCGCTCGCTTCAGCCGGTTCGAGATGAGATTGATCAGTGGCTACGAGAGCGCGAGACGGACTACGAGGTAGATTCTTACGCGGACAACACGCCCCTCCAGACCCCTCGACCTTCTGGACTCAACCGACTCTCAATGGCGCTCTCTGAGACAGGAAGCTCGGTGCAGATGGAGATGGACGAGATGGTGGACGAGCAAGTCGCCTCGGACGACGGGGCTGTTATAGAACGTTGCTTCCAGCACATCAATGATTTCGCAACTGAGGGTCTGCGCACGCTGCTGTATGCTTACCGTTTCCTCGGCGAGGAAGAGTACGCGACGTGGAAGAAGGGATATGTCGAAGCAACAACGAGCTTGGTCGATCGGGCACGACTCATTGAGGAGTCTGGTGACATGATCGAGCAGCAGCTGGAGCTTTGCGGTGGCACTGCCATTGAAGATAAGCTGCAGCAGGGTGTTCCAGAGGCTATTGATAAGCTGCGGCGAGCGAAGATCAAGATGTGGATGCTGACGGGCGACAAACGCGAGACTGCGATCAACATTGGTCACTCCTGTCGTCTCATCAAAGACTACTCTGCGGTCACTGTCTTGGACCACGAGACTGGCGAGGTGGAGCAGAGTATAGGTGCCGCCGTCCTAGCAATCAATCGAGGCACCGTCGCGCACTCGGTCGTCGTTGTTGACGGCCAGACACTCGCGAAGATCAACGAAGTAGAGCCACTGAAACTGCTCTTCTACGACCTAGCCATCCTGGCAGACTCTGTCATCTGCTGCCGGGCTTCCCCGTCCCAAAAAGCAAGTCTGGTCAAGAACATCCGCAAACGCGTGAAGAAGTCAATCACCCTGGCCATCGGCGATGGCGCCAACGACATCGCCATGATCCAGGAAGCGCACGTCGGTATCGGCATCACAGGCAAAGAGGGTCTGCAAGCTGCGCGAACGAGCGACTACTCGATTGCGCAGTTCCGCTTCCTCGTCAAGTTGCTGTTGGTGCATGGACGGTGGAATTACATCCGGACGTGCAAGTACACGGTTGGCACGTTCTGGAAAGAAATGCTCTTCTATCTCACCCAGGCCCTCTACCAACGCTCCGTCGGCTACACGGGAACCTCGCTGTACGAATCCTGGTCGCTGTCCATGTTCAACACTCTCTTCACCTCTCTGCCCGTCATCTTCCTGGGCATCTTTGAAAGGGACCTGTCCGCTTCAACCCTTCTCGCTGTGCCTGAGCTGTACACCAAGGGTCAGCGGAACGGCGGTTTCAATTTCAAGGTGTACCTCGGGTGGATGTTTATGGCGAGTGCGGAAGCCATGGTGGTATACTTCTGTATGCTGGGCCTGTATGGGCAGGCGCTGTTCACAGAGGATCCGTCTATATTCGCCCTGGGCAGTTTGACGTACTCGGCATGCGTCATATTGATCAGCGCGAAGTTACAGTACGTGTTCCTTTTCTCCTTTCCCCCATCCAGCCCCCCTCCTGAATGCTTACTCTTCCTGAAATATCGTCCATATATGTCAACGATAATGGATCGATCACAACCACTGACACCGTCTTCCTCCAGATTCATAGAAACGCACTCCAAAACCGTAACAAACGCCTTTGCCATCATCGTTTCCGTCGGCGGCTGGTTCCTCTGGAACATCATCCTGGCCAACACGTACGACCCGACCAACAAGATCTACTACGTGCGCAAAGCGCTCTTCGAGACGTTCGGCGCCAGCCTCACCTGGTGGAGCGCGCTGCTCCTCATCGTGCTCTCGGTCCTCATCTTCGAGCTCGGCACCGACGCCCTGCGCGCGGCCTTCTTCCCCACCGACGAAGACGTGTTTCAGCAGCTCGAGAAGGATCCCAGCGTCAAGCGCCGGTTCGAAGAGGCAGCGGCGGCGGAGCTGCAGGCCGGGTGGGATCGGGAGACGAATAAGGAGAAGGGGAGGGAGGAGGATGTGCGTAAGGTTGTGGAGGAGTTGGAGAGGAGGGAGGAGGAGAGGAGGGAGGGCGAGGTCAAGGAGTTGATTCGGGCGAGGATTGAGGAGGTGGATGTAAGTGGGGAGGGAGGGGTTGCTGGGGATGGGGTGGTGGGGAGGGAGGGGGAGGATCCGGTTAAGTTGTTGGAGAGGGGGTTTGGGAGGGTGAGGAAGGCGTAGGTGATGATGGGGTGTGTTTTGGGTTTGAAAGTCTTGGTGGATGGGGTGCGAGGGAGTTGGCGTTTTTGATACCTTGGGGACGTTGCATGATTGCATGACTATGATTTGGATGAAGTGCATGGCGTTGTCGTGCATTGGATGGGTATTATGTTGCTGTTGTTTCGCTAAGGGGTAGGATATACGTAGCTTCGCTGTTTATATACTTTTATCGTATATTAATTACGTGTGGTTTGTGGCTCCTACACGAGCATGAAGTCTTGTCCCTGCTATAAACAATCTGTATAAGCCTTTTATATCTTTTGTAGGATAGCTCGGTTGAGGTTGATGTTGTAGGCTGTCGTCCTCCCTATAGGTTCAAGTACATTGTATACACACTAAGTCTACTTGACGCTTGAGCCTTTGGACAAGGGACGGCCAGTTGATACTACTGTATAAGATATCGTGAGGATTGCGCGCAAGAACGATCGTCTTGTATCCTAGGGTAGCTAATAACGCGTGAACAAGACTGAAGGATGAATTCATGGGCAGCATCATTTCAACACGGTCTTTCTCTTCTCCAAACCCTCGTCATCTATTGAAAGAGATGATGAATTGGACTGATTGCGACCTCGCAATATGAACCCCAAAACGGAGAATGAAGCGGCCTCCTTGAGCGCACAGTCAGCAGCCACAGAAGCTCGCCTTACAAAAGTGGGGCGCGCTGTGTCGGCACGCTGGTAACACTGTAACAACACAAACATGCTCTGAGCAACGCAAACAGGCACATCTTTTCTCATTTCATGTGGACAGTTACACAGTATAGAGTACCGCGATGGCTGAGCATAGCCGCATGACGGCTTTGCCCTACTTTTCATGTTGAGCAGTTGCCTCGAACTTTTCATGTACTTTTGCCTGGTTTATTAGACGTTTTCGACCCCATGTCAAACTCCAGCCACATGCAACGCACAAGTTCCGGTAGCCGCGCAAGGCTGTCTCTGGAGAAAGGCTGGCAAGGTGGAAAAGCAAATCACAAACGTCCATGTCTCCCGTCAGACGCCTATTTTCCGACAGCAGTTAGCCCAGGCGCGTCAGCGATGGCATGGGGTAAGCTGGGGTCCGGAAAACAAACGCGAAGGCTGGGAACCTCTTCTTCTTCTGCTCTCCATCCATCTTGCTTTTGTTTTCTGTATTTGTTGTCGTTCCTGGTTGATCGAGCACCGTTGTTGGAGTCTTGTATAACCGTCTCTCCGCTACCTTCACCTTCTCCCTTCTACATATCCTCAATCCCCGTCTTCTAAAAACCGTCTCCCCCGCGCTCTCGTCAACCGCCAGGATGGTCCTCCACTGGCTCCAGGACGCCACGGGCAAGACGTCCCTCCAGGACCTCCAACTCGACATTGTCGGTTTCCTCGCCATCCTGGGCGAAGGTTCCGTGCTGGCAAACGCACAAGTCGCGACGCTGTCGAGATGGCAGTTCCTCCCTCGGTTGATCCCCGCGCCGCAGAGTCTGATGCGGCCGACGCGGCCGGATGTCTTGGAGCCGAGCCCGGGGACGGTGACGGGGATTTTCAGTGGGAATGTGATTGATCATATTAATCATATTGGGAATGTTGTTTGGTGAGTCGTCCATTTCATGAGAAGGAAGAGTATGTTTGGAAGACGTAGTAGAGACAGCAACTGCCATGTTGTCCGGAAAAGAGATAGCCTTGGACCTTGAACATCGACGGAACTTGAACTCTCCTCCACTCCCCCAAACTAACCCTCCCAGCGACGCAAACGACCTCCCCGCCCACTCGGTCCGCGTCGTCTCCATCCGCCGCATCGACCAAGAGAAACCGCTCAAAGCCCGCACCCTCGCGCCCCTCACCTTCCTCGTCTTCCTCGGCTTCGCCCTCCCCTGCATCCTCCTGGGCGTCTCCATCTGGCTCGAAGACGGCATGTCCATCCTCGCCACCATCCTCCTCTCCCTCCTCACCTCGCTCATCGGCTTCGGCAACAAGTGGACCCTCCGCCTGCCCAAACGGCGCGTCAAAGACGGCAAAGTACCCCGCGGCGACGTCGTCATCCGGTACCCCAAGGGCAGCTTCCTGATTGTCCGGTGCGACGAGGATGTAGCGCGGGAATTGTATTTCGCGCCCGAGACGATCGAGTATCTGCTCGCGCACGGCCCTTCGTATCGTCTGCTCAGCCTCGTCGGCACCATGCTGCTCATGGGCGGCATCATCTGCCTGGGTAATTCGCAGATTGAGACGCAGCTCGCCTGGGCGGGTTCGTACATGCTGCTCAACGTGTCGTACTGGATCGTGGCGGCCTTGCCGTCGCGACTTCATTGGGACACGTCTGCCTACGCTGTCGAGAACGAGTGTCTTTCCGACTCGGAGATGAGTCCCAAGGACGGATTTCCCAGCCACAATCAGACCTTCACGCAGGGGCTGTGGAAGGCGATTGTGCTGGCCAAGGGCACGGATTGGGTCTTGAAGAGCGGAGCGTGCCCGGATACGGAGGCTTGGAGGGGATGGTTGAGAGAGGCGAGGGAGCACGCGAGGAGTGTGGCGTTGGCGGACAAGCAGGAGGTTGTGGGTGGCAAGGAGATTGTTACGTGGAAGATCCCGGACTGGAATCCGCAAAAGGCGTTGAGTTCGTGGTTGGACGAGCAGGCGAAGAGGGATGAGAAGAGCGTCAAGGAGGGCGTGGAGGAGGTGTAGAGAGCATTGCATAGTCGTTGGCTGTGGTGTGCGTCCTTGAGCTGACTACGATATGACGGTTATGATACCTCTGCATATGACATTTTTAATTGCATGGCTTTTTCGCTGCCTCCTCATATGGCTGAGCTGGTTCAACGGAGTCCATCGGGGATGGACTCCTTTCAGTCTCGTCGCATCATGGCAGAGGGCTGTATCGTGCGACCCGAGTTCACAGCTTCCGCGCTCTGGCGTCAGTCCTTCCCCGGACAAGATGACTCTCATGAGAAGTTCACCCTTTCTTCCCTGCTTTTTGCATTAATCTCGGACAGGGTCAAAAGGGCGGGTGCGGGACGTCTGCCCCTGTTCAGCTGCGGTACGTCCGGCTGTGTTATGTTCTCTCCCCTCTGTTCCGCTCGCCACTGCTGTCCTAGCTGAGTATCTGTGAGAAAACTGCTGTATCATGCATCAATCCTACAGTGCAGTGCTTACCTGCCTCTCTCGCATCTCGGCATGCCTTCTTCATCCGCCAAAGAAATACCGACTCAGACACCTCAGGAATGCCTTCGTTGGCTAGTGACTGGTTGATACGGGCTAGCATTGCCAGTTTCTCACGCGAATCGACGTTGGGCCACGAGCAGTTTGGATACGTTTGCACATGTCTTTTTGCTTCCTCGCGTGTGAAGGTCTAGTCTGCAGTGTTAAATACACATACAATTCAGGTAACAGTCCTACTGTCTTACGTAGAACCTTAGCCACTGGATTTGGCTGTGGCCAGCAGCCGCGCGCGCCTGATCTCTGGTTGCGTTCCTCGCAATGTCCATAGATGTGTTTTGCCGGGGATTATGGTGGACGGTGGAAATGGGGTTTGCGGCGAAGTGGCCAGGCAGAAGTGGGCGCGGTGGGCGTGGCTCGTGCGTGCACTGCATCACGGTCTCAGGTGCCCAGGTGCTGTGTGCGAAAGGCTGTCCGCTGTCCCTAAGTGTGGAGTCTCTGACCGGAATCGACCAGTCGCTCACTGTACCATCTCTTCTCAGCATAATTCCAATGTTCCTTTAGAGAGAGCATCCCGCATCCCATTCACGTCCCACTCTTCCACCTCATCTCCTTCTCCACCTTCCTCCTCACCACCTCCCTCAACCACCTCTCCAAATTCTCACTCCCGCCATCAACCTGCATAGCGTCGCTCAACCCCACTCCTCCCTCCTTACAACACACCTCTTCCGCCATCTCACACGCCTCCTCCCACTCCTCGTACGTAAAACTCCCGTCGCTCTCATTCAACAGCACCTTGCCATTCCCCGAGAACGCAAACACATGCGCCGACTGGATCGGCTTCGCAAGCATCACGTCCCTCGCCGTAGGTTGGAGCATTGGCGCCGCGTCCCTGCCTGCGGGAAGGACGACTAGCGCCGCTGTTACCGTCGTGCGGAGGGGCATCGACGACGAGAGAAGGGCTAGCAGCGCCGTGTGTATCAGGTGCGGGAGAAGCGAGAGGCTGGCATCGACACCGCAGATGGCGTGCTCGGAGGGCAGACTGCGCACTTGCAGCGTGATTTGCACGAGCGTGCGCGGGATATGTCGGGTTAGGATGATGGTGCGCAGGGTGGAGGCGAGGAGGGTTTCGAGGTGCCGCTCTTTGGGGCCTGGAAATTCATATCAGTAATTGATGTGGAGAGGAACATGAAGCGTTCATATGGAAGAATAGAGATTGCGTACTCCCGACTCCGATGGCGGGTCTGACATTCACTTCGACGGTTGCTTCAGAAGGAAGTTCGTCCCTCCTCTGGACTTCGAGGGGTCCGTTTACGGCGCCAATGATGCTGTATCCGTTCTGTGTATAGGTCGCCGAGCCGTCGGCGCGGTTGAGGTGGGATAGGAGCGCTTCGGGAGCCATGGGTTTTGTTGAAAATGTCGGACTTTAACAAAATGATGCGCTTGAAGAATCGCCAATTGCTTTTATTGAGGTGGGACGGACCCTGGTCCGGCTCCCCGAAGCGTGGGGTTGGCCCAAGCTTCCGATCAGATCGTCAGCCAGGCCGAGGCGCTGGGAGTCGTGAATGCCGAGATGGCAGGTTCGGGACAGTCGCCTCCTCTCTTGCAACATCCTCCGATCTTTCCAGGAATCATTCGTTTTTTGCGCTTTCTGTTCTACCGAAAGAAAGATAAAACAGATTCAAAATGGCGAGCTCATCACGCACATCCTCCCCCGTCAAACGCCTCCTCACCGAACTCCAAACCTACCAATCCGACCCCAACGAAGCCCTCCTCGAACTCGGGCCCGTCAACGACGACGAGCTGATGCACTGGCGAGCCGTAATGACCGGTATGCCCAACACGGCTTACGAAGGCATGTTTCCCAATCTACCCGTCATCTTACACTCACTCACAACAACCCTTTCAGGCGGCCGATGGCTCCTCGACATCCAAATCCCCTCAACCTATCCCCTCGCTCCGCCGACAGTAAAATTCGTCACCAAAATCTGCCATCCGAATGTCGACTTCAAAACCGGCGAGATCTGTCTCGATCTCTTCAAGACCGCCTGGACGCCCGCTTACACAATCAGCACGACCATGACGAGTATACATCAGTTGTTGACGAGTGGGGAGCCAGACAGTCCGCTGAATGTCGATGTGGCGCAACTGTTTAAGCAGGGGGATCTTGTCGGGGCGCATAGTTTGATAAAGTTCTATACGGAGACGGAGAGGTACGAGGGCCCGGTGAGGCGATGAGCTGAGGAAGAAGGAGGAAGAGGGCATGGATGATACCTTAGTTTTTGTTTTTGGTTGTTTCTAGCGCCTGGTGGTATTGGCTTTGCAAGATAAACGGAAATAATGAGCTCGAACGAGGTTGTCCCGAACCAGGCATAAACGCTTCGACTCGGTGCGTATGGTACGAGCGCTTAAATCAAGATTATATGACACCTTATCAAGCCTTCTGGCACAGCTGTGGATTTCCTGACATGGCAGAATGGTGTTTTGGGATGTCACGATAAAGTCACTTGAACCGACAACGCTTTTGAGCGCGGCGACCTGGGATACTACAGATCATACTTGGGCAGCCCTGCTCTTCTTTTTATCGGCTTTGCACACTGCTCTTGAGTTGGATTGCGGGGAAAGAAGATATTTATGTAGACAAGAGATTCTTCAAACGCCCTCGTATGTATCATTCGAATTATCCTAAATGCAACATATGGCCTCCTCTCGATGCTGTGTACCTCCCAGATAACCCCAAACTTCTTAGAAGGTAAAAAAAAATAACGTATGTTTGCATCGAAAATGCACAGGTTACTAACAGACTGAAAGAATTGCCCCAAGTTCGACGAGTGGAAACCCTCCAAAGCCACTCTTCACCGCCTCTGATTCAAGGTCTTTGACGCAGATTAAGGTCCAGCAGGCACCCGATGCAATTCCTTCTTCAGACCGTGATGGTACATTGGATGGTAGCGAATACCCCCGTCACGTGCCTTTCCCCAAGAGCAACACTGCGTCATCCCCCAGTAACAACCCATTGACGCCGCCGCCATCCCTTTTGAGAAGTAGTCACTGTACCGTGGAGGACGGATGTCCGGGCCGGAATACTGTTGGTCGATACTCGGCGTGTATAAGAAACTATTCTTGATTCGGATGTCGGCTGGTGCTGTGAGGTTTGCGCCGACGAGTGTCTCCTTAGAGTTGGGAGAGGAAAAGTTTCCGCTCCGTGAGGTATTGGTAGGGGTTGAGGTGGTGTGAGCCAAGGGTATATGGGGGTGAAGGGTAGTGGTGGTGGTGGTGGTTGTTCTTGGAGGAGCCGGGTATGGGGATGGGATAGTTCCTTCTGTTTGCCGGAGTGGGTGATTCGGAATATGTCCTTCACTTCGAATTGTTCGGTATCTGTCTGTCGTTTCCTCCTCTTTTTTGAAACGTTATATTTGATCAAACTTAGACATAGTGTGATCACTACCGTTATCAGGAATAGCTCTGCCCAGCGCCCGTTTCGTATCGCCGAGATTGGGAAGTAGGATATGCGGGTAACACCCGTCTCTGAAGGAGGAGGGGGCATGGAGGAGTAGGTGAGAAGTAGGGTGGGGTGAACTCTGAAGATGTGTCCATACATATGGGAATCGTCTCATATAGCCTCCAAGTGTGTAGCCACCACCTTCCAAGGATCCCACAGCAGAGAACCCTGGGGAAGGCGAGAAACCTGAAAAGATAAGCGCTAAAGCCGGTCAAGGTCAGCAAATGTAGCGAGTTGCGCCGTTTTATGATTGACACCGGGGTCTCATCAATGTTACGAGCCAAATGCCGGCAGGGACTCATCTGCCTCCCGTCAGGAAGGCTTTCGGCCCTTCCTACAATAATATGGAGGCGGCAAAAGACCACGGTGGTGGCCAGACTCCAAGGACTAGAAAGTCAACTACGGGTATGTATAGCCAGCCGCAATGGGGAGACCGTCGGCAGGGAAGGCGAGCGATTCCATGATGGACGTAGAGGATGAGGGTTTCAGCTCTGCGGCCGACGCCATCCGATGCTTTGCATGATCACATTCCTTGCGCGGCATGGGTTGCAGCATGGGTTGCCGGTTCCTTCAGCAGCGTCCGAGGTCTTGGGGAGGGCATTGGTGAGGGTGTTCAGCTGAGGTGTGAATGATGGCGTCCGATGTGGCGTTTCTGTGCACGGACGTCGAGGCGACCTCAAGGTCTCGCCAACGAGAAAACGACGAACACCAACAACCTCCCCCGAGTGGAGACATACATAGTACACAGTAGTATGAACGCCTCTCAACCTCTCCGCTCGCCACATACATTGTGGCCATCTTAGTGATTGGGATTGCCGCAATAATTGTCTGTACCTAGGGCAACACCGCCACGTTGGTATTCTTGATTGATGCTGTTTACATCCGTCACACGTAAAGTTGAGGACAATACATCTGCTGCAGGCAAGTATACATATACCAGTTTATGCGACCCTATACATAGTTTCAGTATGTGAACAGAGAGCGAACAAACAGGGCATCTCTGCTTGCCATGTTCAAATAGGAGTCCCTTCCGAATCAAAACGATGTGCCCACCAGTGGATCGAATATGTCTGGACCAACACCACTGAAACCATGAGCAAGGCGACCAAAGTTATTGGTTGCTAAATCAAGCTTCTACGCACGCCTTTGAGCAACATCTCAAGCAAACTCGCAGAGTTGGGCACCGTAGAGAACGCCATATACCCGACACTTCGATTTGGCAAATACCACTGAAAGTGGGCTAGAAACCCCTTTGTGATGGCGTTCAAGCGTGACGTATCAGGCTACGCCTTCTTCATTCCTCATAATGGTTTACGTACTCCACCTTCCCAAGCTTTGCTTAGAACTCCCAATTTTGGAAAATGTACCTAGGTACTCAGCCTTCCCTACACCTGTAATCAGCCGTCTCAGCGAACCACAATTCTCATTTGTGTGCAGCTGTGCCCTACGCAAAGAGGCAATGGTTTTCGCTTGATCGCGCACACCGAGTCCGTTTCGAAGCTCAGCAGGACTGACAAATGGGTTTCGAAGGAGGCGGTCAAATGCCCAAATGTCGTCTTCCCTCAATGTCCCATGCGGAACGGGGACGCCGTTGCCACTGAGATTTCGCCTTCTGTACTTCAGACTTAGCCGCCCAGCAATTCTCTGTTCTTTCTTCAACCCCTGAATCCATGCCTCTAATATGTATTAGATATTGTTCCCTGGAGAGGTGCGGTATTCGACTCGATGCACCGCCACGCTTCTAGTCCCATACTCAGACTGTGGCGGGTTCCACCTACAGCCAGTCTGAGGTCTCTCTTCCACCTTGGCACGTATCTGGTCCAACATAGGAAAAATCAAAAATGCCTGGAACGTTCATATCACAGCACACAATCCTCCATCGGCCACCTTTTGGATGTGCACGACCTCGAATCTTGGCATCTGTCAGTTTCGGAGCTTCGAGCGCGCTAACTCTTTTTTGAACATGGTCCCTGTATTGTATGACCATGCGCTCTGTGCTGAGCTTCAGTGAACGACACCTTCCTCCCCACAAATGCCCGCCGAGCTATCTTGGAATACGCCGAACTGGCTCAGCGGCTTACGATATGCTCTTCGAATCCTCGTCCTTGTGCTTAGCGGTGCCGTAACGTACTTTTTGCTGCATACACTCGAAGCCTACCGCGGAAACAGTTCTCTCGACCTGCGAAAAGGGGAGCTGCCCATGGTATGGCCTGCTAGGACCCATCTCGCACCAACAATCGTCCTCTTCTCTGTCGCCGCCGCCAACTTCCTTACCTCCGTCGCCATCCTCACCCTGTCGCTGAAAAGCCCGTTCCGAAGACTCTACCAAAAGCGCGATGACTACCGGGTTATAGCTGGAGGTTGTAGGATCATACTCTGGACGACTGCGCTGGCCGTCTTTACTCTGCTCGACAGGGCTAGTAATGCTAGCCTTGGTCACTATGCCTGCGCAAATCGGGATGTGGAAAGCAACGGTCGATTCCAGTACCGAACCATCTGTTCCGAGCAGGTAGGCATAACGTTGACGCATGAGATAATTCCCAGGCTGATACAACGCCTAGAGTATTGCATTCTATCTAGCAGTTGGTGTCGCGTCCGTCGAAGTCCTCTCCCTCCTCGTTTCGTCGTCTCCGCCGTCCATTTCGCCGAAGCCAGACCAAGCGCGATGAGGAAGGTCCAACAGTTTACGTCCCATATCCAAGTCGAGTAGAAGTTGCGCCATAATAATAGACATGGCTCGTCCTGGAAGCCGACCTTGTATAAGGAGATTGCTCTATTCCGGCATCAGAAACCGCGCCAGAGGCTGGCGAATCGTTCATGCATGTTGGTGCACGCTACTTTGCCGTCGGCCTCCACGCTTGGGTTGTATAAACTCACGCTACTTCTGCGAGCCGTCATGAAGAGGAGGACGGAGCAGCGGGGCTTTCTTCCAGTTCAGGCTGACGATGAACCGTACCCTTTGACTAACCGTCCACCTTCAGACCCATTTTGCTGGACTTTGTTGACGACTTGCTACCGATACTGTTTCTGTTGAACCTATCGACTTCGGCTGCGTGTCACTGCTGCCGAAGTGGGGCTTGAGGCATCATCGTGCCTCTTCCCCTGGGCTTCTTCTCAAAGCGCAATGTTGAGTCACGTGTTGACCTAGCCTCCAGCCCTACCTAGGTACATGTATCAGCGGATCGACCCGCCTCCTAAGTACCGTCCGGCACGGGTGTATCCGCGTCTAGTGCAGCGCCTCCCATCTCATAGATACAGTCGAGTTGCAACTCTCTCAACCGCCTGCTTTCATCACTCTGTGACCGGTTCCGATTGATATGTTCGGACAAGTATATTGTGATATTGTGCTTACTAACGCGCATGGGGCCGAAGATCCCAGGAATCCGTGCCCCTGCACTTGGCAAGTCCCAATCATCTGGACGCGAACAGAAAGGGGCGCAGCTTGAAGATCATATAATGACCGTGAGCGGCTACAACTTTGCAGAGGTTGGGAGGATGAGTTCTCTCTTGTATTTATTTTTCGTCCATGAACCATGAATAGGAATATCCGCCGGTTTGCCCTCTATTCCATAGGGGTAGCCTGTCTCCTGATAGTACTGGTGACGGGAGCTCTTCTCCACTATCGCCTCGATGCGTTTTCCACAGTAAACCTTATTCCACCCGCAAAAGCACAAAAGCCACCAGCGAGCACCCCGTCACCAGTCACACCGGACTTGGCACCAACTGCGCTGCTCAAGACGCCTGTTGAACTCCATGTTGAACGCCCACCACCAAACTATGGACTGTCGCCCGCCGAATGCCGTGCCCAGTTCCCCGGCCTCTTCGATCAGATAGATCGGTCTGTTGCCTGGCGAAAGGAAACAGGAAGGAACATCACGAGCGCAGATCTGGATCTGTCCTGGAAGTCCAGTGGAGTAGCACGGGCCTTGATACACAATCAGAAGGTGACACGACTCCTCGACACGCTATGAGAAGGGATAGAAAGGCTTACACTATTTGCCAATAGCTATACATACTCGAAGCGACATTCGACCCGAAAGGGCACCACAGACCACGACTCTACGCCACTCTCCATCAGCTGAACCGCGCTATATCGTCGGCCCCCTTCCCGATCCCCTCCATCGAATTCACATTCACCGTCGACGACATCGCCGACGAAACACACAGCCACCATGCCATCTGGGCTTATTCGCGACACATGTCCCTCGACAATGAAGCGACATGGGTCATGCCGGACTTTGGGTACTGGTCGTGGCCACTTGAACTGGTGGGCGAGTACGACCAGGTACGACTGGATATGCGGGTTCGAGAGGTGGAATGGGAAAAGAAGATTCCAAAGGCGCTTTGGCGAGGGGCAGTGAAGACGAATAAGGCGATAAGGGGCGCGCTCCTGGACGTGACGACGGGTAAACCTTGGGCTGATGTTCAGGAAGTCAAGTGGAAGAGTAGTACACAGGTGGCTGACGGCAGCTCCGCGGTCGCGATGGCGGATCATTGCAAGTATCAATTTCTCATTCACACCGAAGGTAAGTGCGCCTCCAGTGCTTGTCCTTGTCGGTAGACAAGGATGGCTCCCCAATGCCCCAGCTTGACTTAAGAACATGCGCTCAACGAGTTTCTAGGTCGCAGCTACTCCGGCCGCGGCAAATACCTGCTCAACTGCCAATCCGTCTTCATCACGCACAAACCCCAGTGGCTCGAGCCCCATACGCACCTCTACGTAACCTCGGGCCCGCTCCAGAACGTCGTAGAGGTGCGACGCGACTTTTCAGACCTCGAGGAAAAAGTGCTCGAGCTCATTCGAGACCCCCAGCGCGCCAAAACCATTGCGAATAACAGTGCCGCGGCGTTTCGAGACAAGTACCTTTCGCCCGCGGCGGAAACGTGCTATTGGAGGCAATTGTTTCTGGCGTGGGCGCATGTGAGCTTCGAACCGGAGATATGGGAGGTTGGGAAGGACGGGAGGCCGAAGATGAGGGGTGTACCTTTTGAGACTTATGTGTAAGTTGTACATATATATATATACATGTCGTCTTCCGTAACTGACGTTTGTTGCGTAGGGTGCGGGGCGGCCCCAGTCAATGCTCATGGTTGGGGAAGCTATTCTCTCGGTGTTGAGGAAAACACTCCGCAGCAAGATGAAACGGTTCTTGTCGCTGATCAAAGAGTGGACAAGGGGCAGGAAGCCTCAAACGCACGGCCGCGCGCTCCGATCAGGGCAGGACAATGTCGTTATACGAGAAACGAGCCGGATTGGAGTCTCGAATGCTTGACTTACACGGCGTCCACATTCCACATTCCAGACGAACGGATATCTCCAGAACAACAGAATCGAGAGGAAGAGAGGAACTAGGTACACAGAACTCTCATAGGTTTGCTGGGGGAAGAGAAGGGCCCTCACAGGAAACCCCAGCCGGAGGCAACCCTCGATGAAAAGACCGGCCAGGGAACATTGAGCGACCAACCAAGACGGACCATGATCACCCAAGGTTTGCACTCTAGAAGGGAAGGGCTAGGAATCCTGGAGGCGATGGTTTTTCTCGTCCACAAACAGTCCAAAGAAGACCATGCCGAAGCACACTAGAGCAACGTGCCTGGTCCCGACCCGATAGGCACGGCGTGAACCTGTGCGCGGATTGGCATTGGAAAACCTCCCTTCGATGGAGTATATAGACAACCGGGCGCATACGAAAGCGCAAGGAAGGACTCTTTGACCCGCGGCAGTACGTTTCAAAATCGAACCTCTTAGATATTGAACGGTGCCATGGCTGTGGTTGGCCAGTAGCTTCTACCTAGGTGTACCTACCTATCTTTTGGGGTTTTTGTTGGGTTTGAAAGGGATATCCAAGATTGGTGGAATCCGAAAATATGTACTGACCATCCTGCCTGATATAGAGGGAGTACGACTTACGATTCACGATCCATTGATAGTTAATTCAATCGTCGAGCTTCCTGCTGTGCGGTAGATCGATAGATTAGATTGATACCTCACAAGGGGCGTTTCGAACACGCTTATCTGTATGCTATACCACTGGGGTAGCCACCGAAGAAAATATGCGACTCCACAGGAGTCCAAGGCGTTCTAGACCGACGGCCTTCTTCCCTTTCAATGTTTCGGTTGCCGCACCTCCATGTAAAAACTGACCCAGCGTCAAGCAGACAGCCAACTCTAGCGCTCTCAATTGGTCCCGCTGATACCTTGGCAAGGATCGCATCCTGCAGCTCAACGGGGAGCCTGCGAAGAGGAGCCATGGGGATGCTGGTCTGCGTGGCTGGGAGAAGGAGCTCGATGGCTTCGTCAGAAGGAGGATGCGTCCCATCGAATAGACGCTTGGGTTCCGTGTATCTTTCGAATAGACGCTTGAGTCCTTGGTATCTTTTGAGCTCGCTGTTTATCCGATACAGGATAACCTCCCACACCGAGAGTATGAGGTAAGTGAGACTTTTGTCTGCCGAAGCGGGATTGGACTGGATCTGCTTCGCAAAATCATTTCGGACCAGCGTGATGGCGTGCGGAGCATGCTGGCATATGACGATCGACGTCCCACCGGCCCTGACGATGTGGCCAGTTGCAAAGTCCCACTCTGGGAGGTTATCTATCCAGACCAGGAAGTCGCGGTTGCCCTGGCGTGGCAGCGTTGCTTCTTCGACGCTAAAGTCCAGGGTGACAATCCGGACGATGCATAGGCAAGCCTTCGAAACGTAGAGTTGTTGTATCGACCACAGAGGACGTGCCTCCACTGGAACGCAAAGTCGGCCAGTATCCTGGAGACGAAAGCCTTGCGCCGCTCTAGGCGCTGCAGGTCGATCTTCTTGCGTCTCATTCTCCAGCACGGCGCTGGGTGGACGGATTGTAAGGCGTGTTTGGCGAGTGTCGGCGGTGGTTCGTAAGGCTTGAAATCGGAGATGGTTATGAAACGCTGGCGAACAAGTTCAAGAGGAACCCAAAGGTTGCGATCTTTCTTGTCCAATCGCAGAATATCGCCATCAAGGTCAAAGGTCCAGACGGCTCTAACGTGACTCCATCGGCGGTCGTTAAATGGCGTAACGACGTCGTCCTGCTGATGCCAAACTCGACCGGGAGCAATGCGCGAGTCCAAAACATCAAAGGTGGATTCTACGTCCATGAGCGCTTTTTGGCCGTCCATGCCGGGCGCTGACGGTACGACGCACCTCTTGCGGCGCCCACAAGCCTGCTCGAATACAAGTGCAGCAGCATAGCATCGTCTTCGCCAAAACGACGTGCAGCAAAATAGACGGTCCCTGGTATTTGGTGAGAAGCAGAGGCCATCTATGACTGTATTATAATGGCAGCGTACCCTGCAAGCTAAGGTTGATAAACGATGCCATGGCGAGCCGAGGACGGAGGGGAAATACTAGAACGGTTGAGCTGGGCGTGGGGGGCGACGACCAATTCTGTGCAGTCGCTCTGCGTACGTCGGCCGGTTTGGCAGAGGGCCACGCATGAAGATTGCGGCGAGATGGGGAGAATCGATGGTGGGGAGAAGGTTAGTAGGAGGTCCGGAGACTGAGGAAGCCGTTACGCCGGCCAAAGGCTTATTATTACAGTAAAACCCCGCAATAGGGAAACTGGCGGTTGCTGTCAAATCTTACCCTATTCCCAAAGGTTTCCCTATACTGAATATGCTTATATAATCTAATTTTATTAGTTATTAGGCCCTGTAACGTTAGGAAGGCAATCTTACCGCTAAATGCGGCATTACTAGTGCTAAATATAGCTAGTTAGGAGCTTTAGGAATAGGGAAATATATAGGTAAGGCTTAGGGAAAACCTAAAACCGCGGGGTTTCCCTATTCCCCATACAAATTTCGACGGTGGCGCGGAAATTTACCCTACGCCGATGGTTTACCTAATTCCGACGCTTACCCAATAGCGGGGTTTTACTGTAGCTGCCAAGGTTGGCTTTACTTAAAGGGTTCTAGAGGCCCGGCCCGTCACGCTAGTCCGCTTTAGCGTGAGCCTATTGCAACGTCATCGGTCATTGCCTGCATATGTACAAGTAGTTTGCGTACATAAAACTTTCTAAGTGTACCAAGTACAGGTGGTGCCGACAAAACCTTCAATATGGACGTTCATCTCTATGTATACGACCTCTCACAAGTAAGGACTCTTTCCATATCTTCATAGCGGGCTCTAACGCCTCACAGGGTCTAGCGCGAACGATGTCGCAGCAGTTTCTCGGGATTCAGATAGGTAGAAAACTGTAGACGGCAAAACAAACGAATTCAGATGCTTACCCTTTCTCAGATGCGGTATACCATACATCGCTCGTCTGTGGTGGTATAGAATATTTCTACGGCAGAGGAGTGCAGACTTGCAGAGCGGGGAGTACGCATCATGGACAGCCGATGGAGGTGATACCGATGGGGCGGACGGACCTGCCCATGGAAGTGATATTGGAGTATCTGGATTCTTTGAAGGAGGTGTACTCTGCTGAGGTTGGCTGTATTACGTTTGTTTTGCTGTACTGAGACTGATATGTGCAGAGTTACGATTTATTTCTTCACAACTGCAACAACTTCACAAATGACTTCGCCATGTTTCTCGTTGGCAAAGGCATCCCCTCCCACATCACTTCCCTCCCCCAGAGAGTCCTCAACACTCCCTTCGGCCAAATGCTGCGCCCGCAACTAGACGCCATGATGCGCCCCGTCACACAGGCACCAGTACCCGCTCACGCAGCCGCCCGTCCCGTTCCAGCGCGCACCCCCATCTCCGCCAGCACTCCGTCCGAGGCAAAACCCTCACCACCCCAACCCACTGAAGAAGGCAAAGTCCACAACATCACACTTCTCTCCGAACTGAACCGCCTCCTCGACTCTGCCCGCTCCCGCTGCGCAATCATCTTCTTCACAAGCGCAACCTGCCCGCCCTGCAAACTCGTCTACCAGCCCTATGACGATTTGGCCGCAGAAGCCGGTTCCAAATGCGTCTTCATCAAGGTAGACTTCACATCTGCGGATCGTGCTATCGGCGCTAGGTTTCCTTCCGTCCGCGCAACTCCAACATTCATTACCTTCCTTCGCGGCGACAAGCGAGATGAGTGGAGTGGCGCGGATCCGAGAAAATTGAAGGCGAATGTCGCATTATTGATCAACGAGGCATTTCCCTCTCATCCGCATCTCTCAAAAAGTGTGCCTATATTACTGCAGCAGAGCCAGAAACCGATACTCTACACCAAGACTCCACCGCTGGACAAACTTGTTGCGAAAATGGGTGATGCAGGACGCGATCCATCCGTTGATGATATTGTTCGGTTTCTACGCACAAGAGAAAGGGAAGGAGAGAGAGAAGCCACGCTTCCACAGCTACCGGGCTTTGCTGCATGGTTGAGAAAGAGCATAGAGACCCTACCCTTGGAACTCCTTTTCCCAGCGCTAGATCTTCTCCGCGCGACACTAGCGGATGCCCGCGTCGCAGGTTTCTTCGCCGAGGAGCATACCGGAGCTTCAGACGCGCCTGCCACGATCGCACTTGTTCTACAACACGTCGAGACATTGGGCGCCGAGGCGCCGTATGCACTGCGTCTAACAGCCTTGCACGTGGCGTGTAACCTCTTCTCCTCTCCGCTATTCACACCGCACTTGCTTGCGCCGCCCCTGGCACAGACGCTGGTCAGCTTGGTCACAACGTCGTTGCTTGGCGAGAAACCGGCACTGCGGGCCTCGGCACTCAGTCTGGCCCTGAATGTCATAGTTGGGAATTTCAAGGCCAGGATGAAGGTGCATGAGAGACCGGGAGCGGCGGCGGCGGAGCAACAACAGCAACAGCAACAGCAACAGCAACATCAATCTCATCTGCATCCCACGGAACTTGCAGAGGAGCAGCAAGTCGAGCTTCTGGCTTCTCTTCTGGAAGTTTTATCACCGGGGGAAGGATCTGCTGCGGCGAATGGAGATGGAAATGTGGCTGTGGGCAACGAGACGAGTCAGTCGACGAAGATGGCGCTGGTGTGTGTGGGGTGGTTGATGTATTGTGCGCCTTTGGAAGGGGAATTGATGGATTTGTGTAAGGTTATGGATGCGAGGGGGACGATTGGGGGAGTGAAGGTTAAGGGCGCGGAGGAGAGGTTGCTGGTTAGGGAGGTGGAGGGATTGTGTTGAGGGAGGATTGAGGATTTGGCGTATAGATGGATTGTGAGGCATAACTGGGGTTCACGGTGTGGTTGATTGGATAGATGTGCGTAGAGACAACCATATGGATAGCAAATAATCTGCTGCCCTAGGCTGAGACGTCTTTTACTGCTAGATCCCTTAGTCCTTCCTCGAAACGGGAGTGCAGATTAGCACCGCAATTGCGGCAGGCAAGAGCTCCCAGGAGAAACACGAAACGCAATAGGGAAAACTTTGGATTCCTCCATATATCCAGCTGCCCTTGTTCAATTTTCTCCGATGAGCCCTCTACTTGGCGGAGCAGTAGTGGGCGGAACCGGCTCAAGTTGATTGGATTTGTGGTTCAACATTGGGAGATTGTTGATTTTTTTTTTAGAACAGATTCAGTATCATGGCATCACCGTCCAGTTTCTTTCAAGCTGCGTGATAAATAAGCCAAGATCGCGGAATCGCTTCACTGTTTAATGGATTGCGCTTCTGTCGCATGTAATGGCTGGTGGTCTTTTGTAAGAGAAAAATTCCAGGGGCGTTGTTGCACAGAAGCTCTCTAACTCTATCGTACGACATTGTGGGTATCATCGATTGGGAAGTCACATATGCCGCACCGGCGGGTTTCCTCGCTGGGCCGCCGTGGTGGATCACGGGTACCGAGCCGTTTGAATGGAATGAGGAGGATGGGAGGCATTTCAATGGCAAGTGGGAGATGTTTGTGGCGGAACTGGAAGAGGAGGAAAGGGTTCGAGGAGAGACTGAGCACGAGGTTTCCCGGTCGATGAAGAGATGTATGGCTGATGGCACGTTCTGGTACAATTTGGCCATAAGGGAAAGTATGAAATTGGCGGAGGTCATCCGGCACTGTGTCGACACTGAGCCTTTTCGAAGTTTCTGGACTGAGCGGGCTGTGGAGGACGATCTCGCTAGACTCGCGGGTTTTATGGATGGTCCGGGGTTGTTGAGTGGAGCTTGTAAGCTCGTGGAGACGTGGGTTCAGGCTACAAGGGAAGGACGAAGTCGTGTTGAGCGGACCGTGGGGTTTGTCAATGGCGGTTGCAAACAGAAAACTCGACTGCCGCCAGTTGACATGGCGCTCCGTTTCCTGCGATTGTGGGCATCGTCGCTGCCGATTATGTATCCTGAGTGGCTGAACTTCGTGTTTTTATTTTTTTTCTATCAGATTTCTGACGGAATCGGCTAACATATTGCAAGCCTTGAGATGGTGACATCTCACCAGCTGAGCGTGCCGTCCCAACAACCACGCTATACTTCTATAGCTCTTGCACGAATTGCTACTATATTAGAAAATCTGCTTCCTGCGAATACACAGAGAGTAAGTAGACTATACCACAGGACAGCCGACATGTGCTAACTACCCTAGGGTATGCATAGATATAACGGTAGGGTCCCTCAGCGCCCTGCCTGCCTAACCGAAACAGTAGACATGTCGAACGAAGATAACAATGAAGACGAGTGGTACGTTGCCTGAATAATTCACACACAGTAACTAGCACGACGGAGCTAGACTGTAGGTACTGCGTGTCCTGTATCTGTGTCACCTCTTGTTATGCTTTTCTAAAGGATGGAACGACCGCTATCACATAGTTTAATTCTGCAATCCCCTATTAATTTAACCTTCCTAAAAGTCTAAACAGTTCATTCACCGGCTCTTCATTCCACATGCCGTCTCTATAATAGTGACTGCTAATTCCATTAGTCCGAAGCCTAGGCTAAGCGATGGCGCCGCATACTTAAGCGTGCCACAGAGAGTCTGCAGCAGAGCCGTGTTAGTGGCGACCTTAGCCATGCTAAAATCTGCTATAATAACCTTAAAAAACAGATTTCTCCCGACCGTGGGGATTGTAATTGGCCATACACAGGCTCACGGGACTGTTAATATTGCCTCCAGAAGCTCGCCGCAGCTGGTACAGCTCTCAGGGTGCCTCAAAGCCCGCAACACGTCCTAAACGGACAAAAACATTTTAGTATTTCCCATAGGAAAAGGCCTTGTCCTTTAGTATGCGACAGCCCTCGGATGTATTTATCACGGCGCAGAAGAAGGGTTTATTGAGGACTTACTCCTCCCATTTGATGCGAAGTACACTACGTTCAGGAGGTATGACAAGGTTCGAATATCTGTTGAAATCTCGTGAAGTCGTCTCTAAGTGCATTTCGCCCAGTACCAAGGCCTAACATATGCAAAACGATGCAAATCGCAGGGAGTCCTTCGAGACGAAACCTAAACCTTTTCCTGCAGTATAAGATCAGTGATATTTGGTGTGGTTCTTACTGTATACACAGCGTGGGTACGGTGTCCGGTCCCTTTCCTTGTTTTTAACGTGCTCCAAGTTCATATTCGCCACGATGGTACTCCGGTTATAATGTGTAAGGCTGCGAACTTTCACAATCTCTGCGTCCTTGAACCAAAACGCTTTGTTACACTCACTCTCGGCAAGTGCTCCTGGCCGTGTAGCGGTAGCTGTGCAGATAAGGGGTGAAATCTAGGCCCGCATAAAACCAGGAGGCGGCACCTTATCATGAACCCAAATTGCAGGAATAATGGGGTAAAGGTCCCGGACGAAGATCGCAAGTTTTTCCTTCTTGGATTTATGGATTTACTAAGACCTACGGTTGACCGCTACTTCAGCAGACAGTACGACATGAATGCGAGAAGACAAAAACAGGTTCAGTCAATTAACTTTCAGAAAAGTAATTCGTGCAACCCTTGGGAACCCCTGTTTTCTCGTCGGACGTGGAAGAATGCTGTACTCCGTACACGCTGATTCGTTTCCAATACGCATGGCTCATGCGCCAGGACAGGTACGACTTAAACAAGGCAGTGTCGCACGCCCGTAGCTTGTCCTCTGGGGACATTTTCTTTTCCTTTGGATTTTCCTACAATACCTGGTCATCTTTGTTAGGGCACGGTAACGGCGAGAAGGAGACACTAAGGGCTTAGTTTCCCACCACGACATGAATATAACGCTCTTAGCTTCTTCGGTCAGTATAAGATAATATGGCTGGAAACATCTCTTGAGTGACTATGTACCCTCAGAAGGGTGACAAACATGGAGATTTTCACCAAAAAGCACCTTCTACTGTTGGGGAACTTATCGATTGTATAGACAGCTGTCCTCAACTATACTGTATGGAACTGGATGGAAAAGATTGGCGAATACAGAAAGCGGAACAGTGTCCAATTTAACCCATGTTGGTGAGGAGTACTCGTTGTGTGAGCTTGAAGTTGACTCATCGAGAGTATAGGGACAAATCTCAAAAGCGTGGGTACAAATCTCATCAGCCTTTGTCGAGATTAGAAACAAGTCCTCAATAAATGTAACCTGTTCACGAACCGCATTCAGATATGGTCACATCCGGCGTTGTCACCCTTGCAGTAGCACCCTGCCGCTTGATCAACCACCCATCCGCGATCCTGGCATCGAGAAATAAAGTTGGTGCATCCATCGCCTCGGCACATGCAAATCTCTTGATGATAGTAGTCGTAACCCACATAGTTTCCGTCTCCGTAGCAGAAAGCGGAGGATTGGTCGACCCCTGGATTACCGCCTCGGGGTTCCCAGCAACGGATTTCGCCGCATTCGAGAGCAGTTGCCGCCGATGCGAAGAGCAACGCAGCAATTCCGGTGCCAATGGTTATCTTCATTGTCTGAAGAACTGGTCGTTAGCGATGCTACTAACTTGAGGGTTGGGGATGAGATACTGTTGTAGGAGTGCTGTGTAGGTGACAAAGGAGAGATTCGGAGAGAATCCTTGAGTAGTGACAGTTCTCTTCAAGACTTGTAGCGGAGTTGAAGAATATTAAGGCTCTTGATACTTGGGGAGGACCCTCTTTATATACCTGAGGTTTCTCTCTAACTCTCTGTCACCGTGTAGTGTTACGTAAGGTATCCTCGCATATACACATGATACCCGCGGACCGGAGTTGGGAGACATTCGAATTGGATAAAGGCCTTGCATCGTTAAATAACATGATTCGCCCAGGCACCGAATGCCCAACAGCAGATATCTTAAGCCATGCCAGAATATGTATGCTTCATCAGTGCGGCAGTGTAACAAAGATATTGTTGCGGTATCCTAGGGTAGACCGTGAAATACAGATTTGGAAAATAGGCGAATAACTCAGCTGAATTGTTCGAGACTGAGAGACTGCAAGTCTCCAACTAGTTGATTTCAACGGGTTCGCGGACCGAACACTTCTGGGAAGTAGGAGTAGATGTGAAGATAGCTGGGTCGAATACAGCAGCCTTAGCCTATCATGGACGAGCTGACCCCAGTGAACTGCTGTCGAACCCTCGAAGTTCCTGAGCAGGCACTTGGCCGGTCCAACTCAAGCTCTTTAGCAACAAGGCATAGCTCGGTTAGGCGCCTTCGTGGGCGGCTCTTGACGGGAGAAGTGTGGTGAGGTTCGGCAGAAAGTTTATCATCTCCCATGTCTGACCCATATGTTGACATCGTGCCACGCTAGTTGACCGCCTCCTAGCTAGGTATAGTCCTTAAGGTTTTCTGGCCAATTCATCGTGAATGTTTACTTGTCCTTTACACTACGAGAGAATTATAGAGAATTATCTTCTAAGAACATGTCTGTTCCTAAGCGTAAGGCTCGTACGCAGGCTGCTTTTTTCGCGCTCTAATTAGACGGTGGCTAGTTATACAATTTTGTATGTGCGGGTGTTTAGTGTTGCAGTGGCAACTAAGGGGTCGGTGTCAACCAATGGGTCAGACAAGATATAGTGAAGGATCAACAGAATCGTACCGAGCCGTATTCCGTAATTACTACCCCATTTTCTCGTTCGGGGGAAGAAAATAGGGGCCGCAAGAGGTTGCAGGGGTTACAAAACAAGGGTTTAATTGGGTGAAAACCTGCCAAGTAAGCTACCTTTTTACAACAGGTCGATCTCGATCACGTAGGGGTACTGAAAGCAGATCCAAGGTCTCTAATTGGCTATCTTCAAATCCTAATCCTATACAGGAGGTGTAGTCTGCAGTCTTCTGCAACAGGGTTTGGAGGTGCTCAAGTGCAACTGCTGAGGCTTGATTCAGGATCCTTCGCCCTAACTCAGACATGATTCTAGTCAGTTCAACCCGGGCTCAGGTATGGCTCGGGCTCGCACAGAAGCCGCTCGGGTCCGTGAACGCGAGGGGAAGGCGCTTGTGCTCAGATTGGGGTATGAGAGAGCTTATCTTGGTGCTACAGTATTCTTCAACATACACGAGATGTTGGACTCAATTTGCTGTGTTCCCAGGGTTACGTATACTAGCAGCATCTCTTGACGATATGAACAGACAGAGGGAGAAGATTTTGGTTACTTCGCTAAGTCTCTCCTTACCCTTGACCGTCGCCTAGCTTTCCGCCTATCGCCTTTATTCTTCTTTGTCCCGTCTTCCAGCTTCAAGTCGAGATTTTTCATTCACCAAGGGTCAATCTTCCCCAAAGCCTCCGGACAAGAAGAATCTCCCTTCACCATTAGCTTCTTACCGTAGCGGTACTTTGTGGGTGTTCTCGGGAAGCACAATGCCCCAGTTACTCCGTACCAGTCTTTCACCGCCGCCTCCCATGCACACTCTTAGTTTGGCGTCAAGCAGCCTTCATCACTCCGCTCATTTTGAGTACCTTCCATTTTCAAAAGAGATGAAGTTTTTCCACCATCCAAGTCTCCAAAACAACAAACACGCCAACCATGGCAACCCTCCCGGCTCCACTAAAAACAACAAAACAAACCATCTCTTCCCTCTCCGCCTACAAACTTCACAGCACCATTTGCTCGCGCCTACAGCATCGCAAACATGACAGTTCACCGCACCGCTGGCGCCCTCGTGATGGTGCACGCTCTTCTCCTCCTCGTCCCTAAGGTTCCGTTTGCAGCTGCAGCAATCATCACTCCAGGCTCGGACATCAACGCTGCCACGGAGCCGATCTTTATTCCCATCAACGTCGCTCCTACCGTCAAGGTCTGCGATAGCGCTGGCGTGCGTAAGTGACGCCTCTCAGTTCGTGCATCTTCTCCCACTAACGCATCATCTCTTCAACAGTGAGCTGCACGTTTGGGGACTGCTACTTCAATAAGCAGGGCTACTTTGCCTGCTGCACCAAGTATGTTCCCAAAGACTGGTCGACGATTCTGAATGTGCAAGTCTGACCCCTCCTTCTAGCACTGCGCATTGCACGCTCATCACGACGTGTATTCCCGGCGGGGAACCTACTCCAACGCAGTCCTGCGCTCGTGGCGACCGTGGCTGCACTTCTTGGTAAATTCCCGAGCTGCCGAGTCTGTTTTTTGATATCTGACTCTTCTCTCTCCAATGGTATAGCCCCGACAAAGGTCCCAAGGCCTGCGTGACAATTTCTCCTCCAAGCGGATCAGCTCGACAGATTTTTTGCGCTGCCCTCGACGAGGACATCACCTCGACCCTCGCAACTACTCCTACTCTTTCCGAAGCTGCCAGGCATTCCGGAGGCACCACCATCGACTCCGCACTTTTGACCATCACTTCTTCTTCTCCCGCCCAAACAAACGTTAACGCCCCAGCACCCGCAACCACTAACCTCAACCCACCAGAACCCACCACCAGCAACAAGACCAAAACATTCCCCCCCACCACCAAATCCCAAATCATCATCTCCATCTCCGCCATCCTCGGCGCCATCACCGTTTCCCTCGGCCTCTTCTGCGCCTACAAATGCCTCGTCGTTCACCGCAGAAGACACGCGCCGGATAGGTACGTACAACTCCCTCCCTCCCACTTCATTACCAAAACAACAACGCCCATTGCCCATTGGCACGGTCTTAGAAACGCAAGATGACGAACCTGCAGCTTTAGAAGGAATAGGGTTGCTAGTGGTGGTCCGCCTGGGACTTCGCATTCCGATCATGGACAAGGACGGGTTGGTGTTTGGCGCGCGGTGGAGCAGAAGGCGGAACGGGGTTACGAGGAGAAGAGTTGGAGCGGGCGGAAGCATGGGGTTATGAGTGCTGCGGAGGGGGAGGATAAGGAAGGGATTGATGATGATGTCGACTCGTCCACTTCCCCAGCTTCCGATACTTCGACTACGACAAACGGCGAGGACGACAAGTACATCTCACCTACGCCCGTACCAAATCCCATCACCACGGCTACTCGGAATCATTCCGAATACTCTCCTACTTCTGCTCCATCTCGCAATCCTCCAACTTCTACTCCGACTCCTACTCCCCCTCACACTCCATCTCCTCCCCCTCCGGCATCTCCGTCCAACAGCAACGTGCCCGAACTCATGCGCCAAAACAGCAGCCTCCTGCTGCCGACATCGGGCCCGTATCTGTCTGCCGAGACAGCGCTGGGGAGCGGGTACTGGAGAGCGGAGAGGGAGCAGATGATGGCGGACGAGGTGCTCAAGGTGGATGCTTTGGAGCTTTTGGAGATGGAGCGTTGGGTGTATGGCAGATAATAGTGGGTGGGGGATGGAGGTGAGGAACCGAGGAGGAGGAGGAGGAGGAGGAGGAGGAGGAGGAGGAGTGGTGGGTATTGGAAAGTAGCTCCATTGAGTAGCAGGAGATTCCTGTTTGCCCGGGTAGCTTCGCTGGTGTGAGGATCTGCAATCGTCATACATCTAGGTCACTAGTGGGCTCCATGGCTTTGACGAGGAAGGGAGATCTTCAGCACTTCTCCGAGAATTGCTGACTTCTAGCTATTGCGGCATAGCTCCGCTCGAAGAGCGAACCAATGCTGTGTGCCCAGGTCGCTGCGCCTGTGTGAGAATCAGTAACCGTTCCACTTCCACTCCCAAATTCACCAGTCCACTTCTTCGCTTCGCCAAGAAAGGGTATATTGCACTCATGTGAGAACAATCCTTACACTCATCCCCCCCAATTCCATAATTTTTCCCCCATGCCCTCCCAAACCCAAAAAACGCCACTAAAACGCCATCATAAAACAAAAGACGAGAAAGCCCTCCCCTCTCTACTCCTCCATCGCCCCCACCTCCGTAACGCTCTCAGTCGCAGATGAATAATACGCCTTCATCTCTATTCTAAACTCCGCCGTGGCCACACCAAACAACTTCAGCAGCGCCGTCTGGTGACTATTCAATATCTCGCCCTCCTTGCAAATGGTATACTCGGCATCGAGCACCACCTTCCCTTTACTCAGCTTCGTCGGCATCCCCCACTTGCGCACCGTCACCTCCAAACTGTGCGGCAGCGGGACGTCGTCTTCCTCTGGGATCTGGCCGGCGCGCGAGTGCACGACGCCGGCGGGGACGGTGACGGTCTGCGTCGCGGGGATGCCGGCGCGCGCGAAGTCGGTCTCGGTGTACGAGGAGAAGTAGTCGATGATTTCGCGGGGTTCGCGGTTGGTGAAGAGGAGGCCGACGTTGCCGGTGAGGTGGGAGGAGAGGGCCGAGAGGTGGGGGAGGTGTTCGTCGGCGGGCGTTTGGCCCAGGGCTTTGGCCATGACTTTGGTTTTGCCGAAGAAGATGCTGTGGGAAAGAAGAGTCAGTTGTGCATGTTTTCGTAAAGGGAATTTCTGGTGAGGAGAGAAGGGGGAATGGAGAAGAGGGGTACGTACCGGCTGTCGGCGAATTCGGCGCGCACCTGCTTCAGGTACGAATTCCGCATGTTCTCGACCGAGAAGACGAAGATGTAGGAATAGTTATCCGCTGCCTCCTGCACGTTTGCGAACAGCTTCTGCGACAACTCCTTGCCCTTCTTGTCCGTCTTGGACAAGTGGACGACCTTCGCACGCTTCGACTTTGGCATCTTGACTGTGGTGGCGTGTGTGTGTGAGTACAAATGGTAAGATATCTAGATGGAGTTCACCACACAAAAAGTTCGCGTGCGGTCAAAAGTTCCCAGCTCAGGCGGGGAATTTTTCCCTAGCGCCTCGGCTCCTGCTGCCCTGCCAGGTGGCCGCGGTCCTTCTTGGCTCCTCCGAAGCGGGCCGCCGCGAACAACTTCCCATTTCGAACCACTGCTGTCGGCCCTTCGACAGCGACGGCTCGTCGCGAGAGACGGCGCCATGCTGGATTTCATGGAACATGTGCAGAATGCCTTCTACGAAGCCTCACATTGGAACGTCGACAACTCGTATGGAGCCTTGAACGCGACTGCCCGCGGTACGTCCTTTGCGCCCGTTGTCCCGGCTCTCTAGCCACGTACTATATATACGAGCTCTGACGCGGAGCTACAGCTTTGCTCGACTTCCAGACGCCCAGGGGCCTACGACTGCAGATATCGAGTCTCGCGGCGCCCAATTTCGCTACGTCGTATACCATAGGGAGCGTGGGGGTGGTTGATGGCTTCGTGTCCTACCTCTACTCGTCGTTACCTCTGACGCGCTCATTCAAGAGCTCGAATCTGGATCTACATAATGTCATACGGGGGTACAGACACCTGCAAGAGCTGAGACGGCCGGATGAACCCTGGTGGTGGGAGATATGGCACGGTGGCAGACGGATAGACAGCAGAAGTAGGCCTTGTGCAGGTCCTGTTCGTTTCTGAGTGTTGGCTGACGTCGCGGCAGACACCCTCCTGTATGGGCGCATATTCCTGCCGCAGTCCACACTGGAAGCACTATACCTACGACGCCTCTCTCCCACTCGACAACTCAAGATCTCCGCTGTGAGCGACTCAACCCTCAACAACGGGGGCACGCTGCTCGCCGTGCTGCAGAGCGACTATGGCAAATATAGCACAGAATACATGTACAGCACAGACTCTGCCCTCATGGGCGTCCGAGGACTGTACAACTTCGGGCCCGACCCCAGAGCAGAGCCACCAACGGCGCAGGACGTCGCCGAACGGGCGCACGGCCGCTTCAGCGCAGGCGCAGAGCTCTACTACGGGATATTGAACAAGAGCGGTGGCATCAGTACGGGCTTGCGGTTCACGACGTTACCCAACCACGCGGGCTTCCCGTATACCATGACACTCACGTTGAACCCACTGATGGGCAACCTTTCGTCGACATATTCGGTCAAGGCTGGGCCCAACTTGGCGCTGTGCTCGCGATTCGATTTCAACTTCTACTCGTACGAGAGCGAGTTGCAGCTGGGTTGCGAGCTGTGGCGACGCCGGCGCAACACCGACGTGGAATGGGCCGTAAAGAAGCTGCGACCCGGCTGGGAGCGGCCAACGACGACGCGCGACGAGGACGTGTCGGGTATCCTCAAGGCACGCGTAGGCCAGAATTGGCGAATTGGAGTGCTCTGGGAGGGCAGAATCAAGGAGCTGTTGTTCACCCTTGGCGCCAGCCTCGACCTGAAGAAGCGCGAGCAGATATTCCGGGCGGTTGGTATCGAGCTGCAGTATTCATCTTGAGCGAAAAGCCGAATGTGCTAGTGGACACTCCACGGTCGTACTGCGTAGCGGAAATGCCATCGGGTCGTGGTCATATACCAACCACCGACGGGCGCGAAGCCGCTGCAGCTATAGTTCCAGGAAGGCAGACACACCGTCTCCCCGCATTCCCGACCGGATGACGCTGGTGCTGAAACAATCGTGTCGGGATGCAAGGCTGCGAACAGCGAGTCGCATTGGGCTGTTTTGGCTGCTCTCAATGCGAGTGGTGCCATCGCACAGCATGTTCCAAGTCTAGTCCTTCCGTCATGCGTACTGGGAAATGCTGGAGAGGGCTCGGCCATGGATGTGTAGGCGGCTCTGTCCGAAGCATGGAAACTCCGACATGATAACAGCTGCGCGTTGAGAGGGTGTTTGGGTGCAGGGTTGACCAACAACAGCAGAACAATGCCTGACGTAAGCCTGGGATTAGCCTACCTAGGAGCTATGGGCAAGAAAGCAGTCGATGGTCATTGATGACAGCCGATAGGGCGACTAGGTGGGCACCGGAAGACAAGCGCTGTCGTGCCGGCTTCGAGGGCGTGGTTCTGCTGTGTAATGATGGCTGGAAGAGGTCGTGAATAATAATATATCGAATGCAGGCCTTCTATCCGGTACTGTGGTGGTGAGATGTGCCTGGAGGTTCGGATGAAGCCTTGGAGAGGAAGCTGGAGGAGAGGTGGAAGCTAGACCGGATGAGGGCTAGCGGAAAGGCCTTTCCTTGTTCGGGCGGTATGTTCGGATTCGCCGTTGAAGCAGCAGCGCCAACAAAATGATCGAGGATGCTGTGGATGCTGTGACGGTGTGACGGCCGCCTCCCAAAAAGCCGTGTGCTCTCATGCCCTCCGCAGCAGGCTGTGGCGAGACGCTGGACTCGGTACCTGACGACCTTCACATGATGTTCTGGGACGCGCGGGCGGCTTCTCGAACAGCGGACGTCTTTATGCGGCCCTCGTCTTCAAACATGGTCGTCTCATCACTGGCCACGACAAGTCGTTTGAGAACTTTGGGGATTCTGGGTCTGGGGAATAATGGCCACCACTGACCAGTCGAGGGCTGAAATACCACCTCTGCAACACTCGAGGGGCTGTCCTCCGTAGCTCCGGAACGACAGCATGGCCGCGACTTCGAAGAGGCATTCCGGTGAGCCTAGAGCAGGGAGTTGCGGAGAACAAAAAATGCGCCGGGTACTGTGTACTCGGTAGATAGGGCCCCGTGCTCTGTACTCCCTTCTCCGCTGTCCGTACTCTTCCTACTCTTCCTTCCTGATTCCCTTTTATTCTGCTTCACAGCTCTACTGTACTGCAGGTCTTGTGAGATGATCGGAATCGCATACGAACAACAAGGTCAAGATGTGTCGGCCGGGTCTTGTCGTCGCGCTGACACTGCAGCAATGATCCATCCATTATCCCACCGTCTCCAGCATCATGTGATCCCATTTCCCGTCGGTTGATGAAAATCGATCGATGATGAATGTCGCAACCCATCCTCTCACCCATCCATCTGCGGCGACAACAACAGCCGCTGGTACCTGGCGGGCCCGGCACCCACCCATTGCTAGCCAGGGGCCTAGCTTGAAGGTTCGTGCTCTTCCTCGCCAAGCCTCCCCTAGCGCTCTCTTCCCTCCAGTCCCCCCCAAACCGGTCGGACGCCGCCCCCTTCCCCTTCATTTCCTTCTCCTCCACCCTTCTCGTCTACACCTGGTCCCCTCACTTGTTCCCCTCACGGCCCGGTGCGATCTCCATCACGTTCTCTTCCACCCCATCTTGTGCTTCTTGCGACTGCGGCCTCACTCCTTTGGCCCTCGCCCACGTTCCTTTCCCGCTTGTGCGCTCCCTTGGGCCTTTTGCCCGTCCACTCCTTGACCACCCACCGTCTCCTTCCCCACCTTTTCGCGCCTCGTGAATCGCTCTCGGACGATCTCCTTTCGACGCCTGCTGCCCGGATAGCAGATTTCTTTCACTCCTCGCTTCAATTGCGACGCCTGGCCGGTACCTCTACACTCCACCCACGCGGATCCTCCCACTCCTTTGTCCTCGATCTCGCGCGCACCCACCTGCCAAGCCTTCACCTTCCCGTCTACATTCGGATCCCACTCACTGGCTGCATTTCGACATCTACGAACATTCACGACACTTGATAGAAATCGGCTAGAGTGCTCGACCGCAACCTCTGCCAGCCTGTTTCTTCCCATCTTGTCCGCGGGACAGGCTTGTTAGCGATAGACTTTTCCCAACATGCAGGCGCCTACCGACGTGAAGGCGTCGCCGGCGACGACGACTCCCTCACCCACTGCTCCTGCAGTCACACCCACCCACACTACGGGGCCTCGCCGACCCCCTCGAAAGAGCACACTCACGCAACAACAAAAGAACCAGAAGCGCCAAAGGGCCACTCAGGACCAATTGGTTACTCTCGAGATGGAATTCAACAAGAACCCCACTCCCACGGCTGCCGTACGAGAACGGATAGCGCTCGAAATCAACATGACTGAGAGATCGGTGCAGATTTGGTTTCAAAACAGGTATGCCCGCCTTTAGTGATCGATGACGGGTACGGACTGACTGGCGCAGGCGCGCAAAGATAAAGAACATTGCCAAGAAGAGCATCGAGAATGGGGACGACTGCAATGACATCCCAGAGTCGATGCGCCGCTACCTTGCGCTACAGGCCATGGAATCTGGCAAGTCCCTGGGTGGAAGCCTCCTGGGACGCGCCGGTGGCGCCCTGGCCCCTTATGGAAGCGGCATGCTCCTCAACACCGATACCAGCTCTTCCAAAGTTGGTGAGTTTCCAACCTTCCTGCATCGCTGCAAGCACTTTCTAACTCGATCAAGTCATTCACCATTTTGCCTGCCGCTCGCTGAGCATTGGCACATGGCGACGGGTCGGTCAAAGCGCAATGGACCTCGTCATCTTCTACTCGCCGGAGAAATGCTGCGTGACCTACTACATCAACAACGATTCGGCTGGCTATAAGATTGAGTATCCTTTCTCTTACATCAAGAACATCTCACTGGAGAATGGAGACATGACTACCAACGCCGAAGGCGCCTCACAACGCCCTGGAGGGCTTATTGTTGAGCTCACCAGACCCCCAAACTTCTTCATGGACTCTTCCGGATCGGGAGGATTCTTTCAATGTGGCGACTTTACCGAGGAGCAGCAGGCATCGCAGGTACTGGTGCACCATCTCGGCGGCCATCCCAAGGTGTTGAGCGGGCAGCTTGCAAAGCTGGTCTCGCTGGAGTCATTCCAGAACCGACACAACCTGTACGATCCTAACGCGATTGCCATGTCCGCTCCCGTGTCTCCGATCAACCATCGCCCAGCTTCGCAGCCAAATCACATTGTGCACCCGCACCACCCGCCCATGGGCATGTTCAACGATGCACCGTTCGGTCCTGGTGGCCTCCAGCCTCGTGGGCACAAGCGTCAGCGCAGCCGCTCCGTTCCCGTTGCGGTCGACTTCTCGATGCTGCGGAACCCGATGCCTCCCTTCATGATCCAGCCACCTGAGCCGTCACCGTACATACCCAATCCCGAGATCTTCGCACCGATTCCACAGAGCGCGCCTGGTCCTATCAATCCGAACCTGAGTATCGACACCTCAGCCAGCTACGGGATGGACTTCCGACAGTATCCCATGTCGGCCACGACGGCAAACTCTCCTTCGGAATACGGCACGCCTGCGTTCTTTACGTCGGGTCCTCCTAGCGACAACGTTGCGGCGTCCAACTACGGGCCGCAGTACAGCATATCGCCGTATATCCATACGCCCATGGGTCCGCCTCCGCCGCTGTCGGCAGCGTCGATGGCGGCTCCAATGCCGCCTTTCACGGCGCGAGATCCTGTCATTGCCAACCAGTCTCCGCCCCTGACGTCGTTTGGCCGTGATGGGTCGGCAGACGGATTCCCGATGAACCAAGAGAATGGGGTTTCGGAGGATGCGTTGCAGCTGACGGATCTGTACGGAAAGCAGACGATGAACCTGCCTTTTCGGTCGCCGTTGGACGAGAACGTTGACGACATGAACCTACACGAGCTGGTGTCTTTCGGCACGATGGACCCGGCGAGCATGTCTCCGGAGAATGCGCAGATATAGCGCTCAGGGCGTGTGGCGGACGGGCTTGGGTTTGGAGTTTGCCTTTTGATACCCCGCCCTTTGCGAGTTCGGCGGAGGCGATGTGGCGCGCAGATGCACTTCCTTTATAATGGGAAGGGCATGTTGCAGCCCATGTCGACGTCTGCCGTGATTCGACATTGCGGCTTCATTGCATGAGTAGCAGTTCGGAACGGTTTGAGAGCTTGGATCCTAGGCGAGGATCCCAGGTCTCGCTCTTTTTTCTTCTCTTCCTCTCCCGTCGTCTACAGGGAGATTTTGATTCGACGTGAACCTTTGCAGCAGCTGCAGGACGACACTGTCTGGAGAAAGTTGACGGCGTTGTTAGGCTGCGAGGGTCATTTTGCGATTTTGTCGGTCTGCTGGAGATGGGCGGCCTGGTAGGACCGACGCCCGAGGGGGAGGTTACGTTTGGAGGAGAGTATGATTTTGGTTTTTGTCTTTTTTGAGATGCATCTTCTTTACCCGTTTCTTGGTATTCGTTGGGACTTCTTTTTCTTGCATCTTTGGGCATGTTTTTCTTTTGTTGCAGGAGGTTTACGGAGAGAGAGACGGCCAAAGGTGAAGCGGGGATGGGGAGGGAGTGGAAGGAAACGTGATCAGGGCCGCTGTGCGGACAACCCTCAGCTTTCCTCGTAGCATTTGGAGATAGTCTGTCAACAATAACAATAACAACAACAGCATTAACAACTAGTCAACCACCAGAGATGGTTTTGTAGTCCATTCAATAGTCTCGTATTCACTATCACCGTGTACTAGGTAGGACCACTATCTACTGGAATGGCTGAGAAGAGCAACGGGCTGACGCCAAGCGCTAGCTGGGCCCAGGACAAAAAGGTGGTGCGGTTGCCCCTGAGCGAAAGCGGATTGGGGGGTGGCGATTGGGCAGGGAAGGAAGGCGCGGAAGCAAAAACAGACCGAACCCGCCCTGCGCAATTTCCTCCCTTAAAAGCCGCCGTACGGCACAGCTGCGGCATTGCTGCTTTTGTGCTGGCGAGAGCTTCGACTCTACAACACACTCCTTCGTCCGTCTTCTCAATTGTGCTCTCCGCCCATCGGTCGTCGTCGAGCTCGCACTGCGTCCTTGTTCAGCAGCTACTGAGTAGACTAGTAGTGGCAACGACGACACGACTAAGCTAGCAAAGCTCCTGCAGCTCCTGCGCCACCCGCTGCGCAACGACGACAAACGACGGCTGTGCTTTTGTTGCTCACACCGACGACCTTGGGCGGACTCGACTTACTCGACTAGTCAGTTGGGCTCCTTGGAGAGTCTGTACGTGTGCTTTCCGGCCTTTGTGCTCTCACCACCAACCTGAAGAATAGCATTGTTGTTGCCGCCATTTCCTCCACCGCCATGCCGACCCGCACCATGAACCCCTTTGCGACCTCCAACCCCTCTCCCGCCCTGGATGCCATAAACGAAAAGACGGATACACAGCGCCGCCAGTCCTTCACCAAAGGCAACAAGCTTGCATCCCTCTTCGGCGGAGGTTCGCCCAGGACCCGCAGCGAAGCCGCTGCCCTGCAGGCCGCCATCCTCGCTCAACAGCAGGCCCTTCAGCGCTCGCCCTCTCCACAGCTCAATTCAACCTCCCCCCTTCTACCCACTATCAACCTCACAACCGCGACGGGCGAGAAGCAGCCTTCGGAGACGCGCACCCTCCTCCAACCCCCTTCTCCTGAAGAGGCTCGCAAGATTGCAAAGGCACACGCACAATTCGGGCCCCTGGGATCCCCTAAACACCGTTATGTCAGTAAACATGTCGGAGAGTTTGCGGAGCCAATCGAGGACACGCCGCCCATGTACTTTCTTATCACCACTTACATCAGCTACCTAATCTTAATCGTATTTGGCCATGTTCGCGACTTCTTCGGGAAGCGCTTCAGGAAGCAGCACTACAGCCATTTGGCCGAGCAGGATGGATATGCTCCCTTGAACAGCGATTTCGACAACTTCTACACGCGGAGACTGAAGATGAGGATCAATGATTGCTTTTCACGACCTACCACCGGTGTCCCCGGCCGCTTCATCACCCTGCTGGATCGCAAGTCGGACGATGGGAACAATACCTTCAAGCTTCTGGGGACCACCACCGAGACCCTTAATATGAGCTCATACAACTACCTGGGGTTCGCCCAGTCCGAAGGCCCCTGTGCCGATGCCACCGAGGTCATCATCAAAAAGTATGGCGTCAGCGTAGCCAGTCCCAGGTCCGATTCTGGCACGTCCGATTTGACCTTGGAAGTCGAAGATCTAGTGGCCAAGTTCGTCGGGAAGCCTGCCTCCATGGTCTTCTCCATGGGCTTCGTCACCAATGCGACCGCATTCCCCACTCTCGTTGGCAAGGGCTCTCTGATAATATCAGACCAGTATAATCATGCCTCTATCCGCTATGGTGCCCGCCTCTCGGGTGCCATGATTCAGATGTTCAAGCACAACGACATGCGAGACCTGGAAAGCCGACTTCGCAAAATGATTGCTCAGGGCCAGCCTCGCACCCACCGTCCTTGGAAGAAGATCTTGGTTGTTGTTGAAGGTCTGTACTCCATGGAAGGGACCATGTGCAATCTCCCTGCTTTGATCGAGCTCAAGAAGAAGTACAAGTTCAATCTGTTCGTCGACGAGGCTCACTCCGTTGGTGCGCTGGGACCTCGCGGCCGTGGCGTCTGCGACTACTTCGGCGTTGATCCTTCCGAGGTGGACATCCTGATGGGCACGCTGACCAAGTCGTTCGGCGCCAACGGCGGTTACATCGCGGCAGAGAAGTCCATCATCGATAAACTGAGGACCCAGAACGCAGCCATGCTCTTTGGAGAATCGCCTTCCCCAGCCGTGCTCGTCCAGATTGCATCCTCTCTACGCATCATCACCGGCGAGCTCGTTCCCGGAGAAGGCGAGGAGAGACTTCAGCGTCTCGCATTCAACTCGCGGTATCTCCGCTTAGGTCTCAAGCGACTGGGCTTCATCGTCTACGGCCACGACGACTCGCCCATCATCCCCGTCCTCCTCTACAATCCCGCCAAAATGCCCGCCTTTTCACATGAAATGCTCAAGCGTAAGATTTCGGTTGTCGTGGTCGGATACCCCGCTACCCCGCTCGTCGAGTCCCGAGCACGGTTCTGCGTCTCTGCGGCCCATACCAAGGATGATCTTGACCGTATGCTGGCTGCTTGCGACGAGGTGGGTGACCTCCTGCAGCTGAAGTTCAGCAGCGGGATTGCGGGTGGGGCTGCTCCGGAGGATTTGCCTCGTAATGAGTATGCGATGGAGAGGTCGAGGTCGAAGCCGAATCCCCCCCGGTGGCGGTTGCAGGATGTGCTAAGGGCGGGAGTGGAGGATGTTCAGTTGCCTCTGAGATAGATGCATGCGGATGGGAGGTGGGGTGGGAGGACGCTTCACTTTTGCCTTGCGCGTCGTGGGCCGCTGCATGTGACAGCCTCGTTGCCTTCCCAACGGGCCGAGGGGTCGGTTGTGAGGCAACGTCATTCCGGCATGTTCTTGTTCTTGTGCTTCCTCGTCTCGCTTGTCAATTGTATCGTAGCGGCAGCGCCAGCATGTATGCATAATTATAGCATTGTTTCAGCGAATTCTTTGGCTGGCCTCTTGGATCGTGGCGTTTTTGGTACAGAGGGGGTTTTCCTCAGGGATGGAGGAGAAGAGGATGGTGCAAGAGAGGTGATGGGATGGGAAGGGAAGGGAAGGGAAGGGAAAGGGAAGACAAAGGAAGGGAAAGGAAGGGAAGGGAAGATTAGACGGCATGTGCACGCTTTTGTATGATATGAGGTTTCATACCCTTGCTGTGTGCACGTTTTTCTTTTTGCTGCTTCTTGGTCGATGAGTTTGTCTTGTAGAGGGGAAGGAGAGGGGAGTCCCTTCCCCGTGTGGAGGTTGGGAGTCTGTGTGCATGGGATGTCGTGAGGTTAAGGAGGGGTGGTTATTAGGCGTCGGCATAGGCATGGGCAGAGGCAGAGGCATGGCGGGCGTGTATTGTGTGTGAGCGAGCCAGTGCATGTACATGGCTATGAAGGCATGAAGGGCATGTACGTAGATACGTACGTATGTGATGGTAATAATACGGTGTGCAATCTACTGTATGGACCGTCTGCCTGCGGTTCCCTACCTACATTACCGCCGCATGGAGAGAAGTGGGAAGCGTCACTCTGCTTTATAGATGCGGGGCGTCTGTGCAGCTTTGGATCTATCCGCGCCGTGTATTTCAGATCTGATTGAATATATGTATATTCACTGCCACCATCACTGCCACCACCACTGCTAGCTATCGCTACGCAACGCTAGATGCTACTATTCATTATTTTTGACGTCCGCGCCGCGTCACTGGGTCGTGGTCGTAGTTGTAACACCATAGCCCAGTCCACCGTTCTACAAATTCCACACTAGGCCCTGAAATGGATAGACCTTCATAGTATCTACAGCCGTACGAGGCGATGAATACATCTAGTATTGCGCGGGGGCAACATACACCATTGCACACACCTACCTTACCGTGCAGGTCAAAAATGCATGTATACGTATTAATACGTACTGTGTATACATAGTCCACAGTCCCTCCTTGCCGACCGACTGACCGGTGAAGCTACCTGCGCTGCTATATGGCTGGAAAAGTGGAGCAGCGAATCAAGGGAAAGGAGCCGCATTCATGAGCGTGTCGGATACGAGATTGGGTAGGTTTGACGTGGACTTTTTGGAGGCGTGTCAGGGGTTTTTAGACTTGATCGTGTGTAGACACCGGACGGTGGAGGACCTCTGATGAGGAGTAGAAGGTGTATGAAGAGATCGTGCTAGCAGTGATCATGTAGCAGTGCTGATATCTGAGGGATTTCGTGAGGCAGAGGTGTAACGTGTACGAGGTATGTATGGAGCTGGGGTGGCGACCCTCGGAGAGGGAGGGCAAGGGGCATGCTGTTGGCAGGGCGCGCCTTTGTTATATTTTGGATAGGTTTGATGGAGCTGGTAGGAGAGGGAAGAATCGAGTTGCAGTATGAATAGGTGAGGGTGTTTACGGTTGGGTACATATCAGCGAGTCAAGCCGGAAGCGAACATGCAGGTGGGAAGTGGGGCACGAGCTCAGTGAACAGGAGTTCGCATCAATTCATTCCTCACCCACTGATCTACGTCTCCTACATCGCCGCGCTCTGCATCTACCAAGCTTCCGAAACAGCGTTCATGTCCAGTGATGTGCAACTTAACACATGCCAATCTTTTTTTCCACACCGGACGCGGAAGGCCTTCCGGTGCAACACACCTTCTCCTCCGTCCCGGGCACCAATTACACAACACAGCCGACTCTCGTGTCCATAACGACCGCGGCGTCTTCCGCGCAATGCTCGACGAGTAGGATCACTCCGGTGAGATGTATGAGGCTCAGATGTGGTCAACCAAAGACCGACCTTGCTGTCAAACCCCGTGCGACCAGGCTGAGCAAGTTGCCTGCTTTCCGGGACACCATTCCTCTTACACAGTCGTGGCTGATGGCCGGTGAGCAGACTATTAGCCTACCCATATGCGGAGCTATTGCAAGCCTCATGTTTTTTCGACCAATAGTGCCGATCTTGCAATCGAAGCATGTTGTCAAGACGCGATTGGAAATGTGATGTACTGATGCGCACTCACAGGGGTTCAAAGGTTCACCGAGCATTGCGGCGAGAAGTGCTCGTGCAACACGGATGAGGAGCGAGATATATATTCCAGGCCAAACTCCCAACTTCGTTCAGTTGTTCGATTGTAGAAAGGCAGAGTTTCAACATGAGGTCCTCCTTTACTGTCTTGCTATCTGCTATGCAACACTGATGTATACTGCACTGTTGCTTGAGCACGTATTCACACCACCCATCATACCCCACTCTGATCGGTCTGCAAGATGAACGCACCTTACCCTCCGCCTCATCTTCAACCCCATGTTTCCAACCAGCCAACCATGGGAGCCCATCGTCCAACACCGCAGATATCCGTATCCAGCCCATACAACCCCCCACTGAGCCAATGGTCCATGAAGAAAGGAAAACACTCCTCCTGGACCGACGTGCCCGCCCAGCAGCACCAAGTCTCCATCGCGAGCATAAAAAAGGAGCTAGACCGCATGCAGCGGACCATGAAGAACGGCTCCGTCCAGCGCACCTACAACGACATAACCTCGGAAAACGCACGCATCAACCTCTCCCGCCTCGTCCATGACCAGAACCTCCAGCTATGGCAACACGATCCTACCATCCAATGGGCGATCGCCGGACTCGAGCTCGGGTGGAAACAAATCAATCGTCGGATGAAGCAGCTCGTCAGCATCGATTTCGTGCTTCAGATTGAGCCTCGACTGTTCGCAAGTCCCAATCCAAATGGGAAGGAGCACACGGGGATGCCCGTCGGAATGGACGAGTCTTTCCGGATTGATAACCATCGTGGTTTTGGACGGGAGACCGAGTTCCGGCCGCAGCCTGGTCAGAGACACAATCACGGGTTGGGTGGTCATGTTGGCCCTTATGGGGGGCCTGAAGTACACCACCATCACCCTCATGCTCACCTGGCCGGTCACAACCAAGCTCAGGTCTTTATGCGTAGTTCGGCGCAAGTCCCGCTCCCTCCGCCGCCACCACCTCCGCCACCACCACCACCGCAGAATATGCAGCCTACTGGACCTCATGGGTCAGCTGGCATCATGCATGCAGCCCCACTAGCACCACCACCTCTTCCTCCTCCTCCTCCTCCTCCTCCACCGCCTCAACCATCACGCGGGAATCAGACAAATGAGCCACATTATTCACAAGGAGCGTCTCATGGCAGAGGCCATTCGGCTGGTGGGCATGGTGGACGAGCAGAGCCCGTCGAGATCATCGACGAAAGAAGCTTGAAACACCAAAAAGCGCATAAGGCCAACAAGTCGAAGAGTCTATCTTTGCCTGGAAAATACCAATCAGATTCAGACAGCGACTCCAACAGCGACTCAAAGGCCTCGAGCAGTCACTCCTTTAGCGCAACATCGATTGAAGAAGATGTCTTGAACATCGTCCGAGGAAGGTCAAGAAGTGCTAGCAGACATCGGAGCAAGAGTAAGGAACGGAACAAGCAAAGGAGCCGTAGCCGTGGAGGAGTCGATAAGATGTATAAAACCAAGGCCTCCCACGCAAGAACCAGGTCTACATTCGGCCCACCGCCCATGGGCCCACATAGCGGGAGATCCAGCAAGGAACATTCGCCAAAATCGTCCAGCAGCAGCCTCCCCAAACAACAGATCCACATCGAGGTCAATACTGCACCCATGAGCGGAGGTGAAGGTAGCCGAGAGAGGCATTCACCTCGTGCGGCTAGTCGAATGCCTCACGATGACCCACCGCACGTCTACGACAGCATTCATCACCGCGAAAGGATCGTCGAGCGTGGCTTCAACCACGTAAAGCCCACGCATCGGAGATCGCTTCCAATATCCCCTCGTCAAACACCTACCTTCGTCGTAGAGAAATTCCCTCCGCATCCAATATCAAGGACGTCCTCAGCAGACCGCGGTAGCGACACCGTCAGTTACTACGACTCGTCCTCCTCCATCCGGTCCCCCTCCGACAGCGTCTTCTCAGAGCCAACGCATCGGCGAAACCGCCGTACCCGTTACAACGCCCATCACTCCCAGAAGAAACACACTGATTACTTCCATGACAAACCTTACCCAATTACGCGATATCGCACCAGACACCACTCACTCGACGTCGATGACTACCCACCCATCCCCTTCCCCCTCCATCGCCGCAACAGCTCAGCGCACCGCCATCTAGATACCTTCCCTGATACCGAGTCCGTCGCTACATGGCCTCCACGCACCCACCACAGTACCGCTACTACATACACACCCAATCCCTTGGACGCCCGCCACTATCTTCCTCCTCACCGCCCCTTTGGGTCTTACGCCCAGCGCTACCATGCAAACCCGAAAGCTCCTCCCGATTCTCGGCCCGGCCGCTCAGATCCGTACAATATGCAAGACATCCTTCAGGCGGGGCTTGAGGCGCTCCGCGAGAGGAAGAGTGCGGATGCGTATGAGTTTGCAATGCGTGGCCAGCAGCAGAGACGTGGTTTCGGGAGGGATCAGAGGGTGGATAGTTGGGGGGACGGGTATTTGTAGGGAGGGAGATGGGGTTGGTGGGTAAGAGGGTGGTGGCTTTTTGTGGGGGTTATGATGGGGGGTGTTATTTGTGAGGGTATGGTCTTAATTTCGTGTTGTTTTTTTGTATGAAGCGTGCTTTGCGAAGAGGTCGTTGGGCCGGTGGGATTTATGCGGGCTGTGTTCTGGCGTCATGGAATAGGGGTTTGGAATTACTGGCTAGTGATGGCTGGGTGGGAAGCTTCAGGTAGTTGGTTACTTGAATTGTATATATGCGGCGCGTGCTGGAGCGTCCCATCGTCGCCCCTGTTGTAAACACGTAAAACCGATTACCGCTTCAAACCGCAGGATTTTGTTATCGTGAAGAAGGGTCATTGCGGTTGAGCATTTGCAGTGTGGTGACTTTCTGACTGAGTGGGATTGGACCTTGGCCGTGTCGATGTTCATAGAGAATTCGGTCGAGAGAGGAAAAGAGAGAGAGGTGTTGAGGGTGATAGAGCGAGGCCGGTTGCTGCATGTAGGCAAAAGAAATGACAGCGTAGCCAAGGTCGCACGATACGGACATGCCCGGCTATTAAGAAGAGATCTATAAGGGAGGTAGCACCCTTTAGCCTAGGGCTCTCTAGTATACCGCACGTGCGGCAAACTCCCACAACATACAACTACATGTTCTACGACTTCGAGCAAAACGTTTGTCAAGCCCGGGAATCCCGGTCCAGCACCCAATCCATCGGGAACCCTTTCGCCTTTTCCATCTCCCGCAGACACGGGGCCTCGAACAGCGCGCCTTTGAGCGAGTAGCGCAGGGTGCCCACGGCGACGATGAGCCAGAGCACGACGACGCATATTCCGAAGACCTAGTGTCTTATTTAGTTTCCTTCTTTCCGATAACACCGATATTAAACTCGGAGCCCACAATATTAAGGAGGAAGAAGAAAAAAGCGACAACATACCGTCCCCAGGACCCTAAAAAACCCGGACGGCAACTCGGTCCCCATGACCAACGTCGCCATCGCATACACGCCCAACGGAAACGTGAAACCCCACCAGCCCATATTAAACGGGAACCTCCTCGAATGACTAATCCCCGCGACGGCGAAAAACAGCCACACGAGACCGAACCCCCACAGCACCATCGCGACGGCGAAACCCAAGACGTAGAAAACGTCGCCGGCAAGCGGATGCAGCGTCCGCGTGAGAGGGAACACGGTCCTCGCGACGAGGCCGAGCTTCATGGCGGCGTAGCCGCCCTGGCCCAGGGGGCCGAGCGGGAGGAAGACGCTCACGATGGCTTCTTGAGGGGGCAGGCTGTGCATGGTTAGGCGGTGGAAGTAGATGACGAGGACGGCGAGGGCGAGCGGGATGCCTGTGGCCCAGAGGACGTAGCTGGTGATTAGGGTCCAGAGGGCGTGGGAGGGGTTGGGCAGCGCCGAGGCGACGAGGGCGCCGCTGGCGGCGGAGACGATGGGCGCGACGATGGGGAGGAGCCAGGCTGCTGTCATGGTTTCTGGGCGGTTCTTGTGCGTGATTATCCTAAGTTGGGATGTGAGTTGTAAGGTGTGGATAGTAGGGGGGGTTGGGGAGGAGGGGTTACGGACATTTGGAAGGGCAGCCAGACGTTGCATAATATACTGACTGCGGCATCGATCCACCACAGGGCCCAGGCGACTTGGATGGTGCGTCCGCCCCATGCCGGAACGCAGACGTTGACGAACATGTTGATGATGGTGGCGAAACCCATGGGGATGGCGCCCAGGAAGAGGGATTGGACGGGATGCCGGACCATGAGGAGCCACGTCTGGGGATACAGGGAGTAGCGGAGGATCGTGGTGACGGAGATGACGGCGAAGAAGAAGACGTTCAGGACGAAGAAGATGATGCTGAGGATTCGGAGCAAGGGCTCGTGGCGGGGGTAGATGGTGGAGAAGAATTGGAGGAGGATGGATACGATGCCGGTGCCCATTGTTATGGTGAACTGTTTGACCGTCAGCATCGTGTTGAATTAATTCTACGGAGAATTGCACCGTCTACCTACCCAAGACGGAGTGAAGTTCTGTACCGCCCGTCTCCATCCTCTGCTGCTTTGAATGATCCAGTCTGTGCCGCCAGGACTGTGACGACGGGTACATGCCTTCTCTGCAGCTGGGCCGTGGTCGTCCTGAGAGCTCCCATCTGGCTCTGGTACTGCAGTGTGCCCACTCATAGGCATATCGGTTAAGCCACGGGAGCAGGTGATTGATTATCAAACTATCAAATAAGGCAGAAGGAAAGAAGGAGGTCAAGTAACGGACGCAATGATAATGACGCGTGTGAGGATGAAGATGTGAATAGGAATGGGAGCGGAAAGATGCTTATACATAGAAAAGTTGGTTGGGCCGGGCTTTAAAGCGACGGAATGACTGTTGCATGCCTAATAAATGGAATGGATCAAGTTCTCCAGTTCTTTATGCTCGTGACAATGTTAGCGTAAGTTAGTCATACTAGGGGATTGACCTAGTTTACGAAATCGACGCTAGGCCGTTGAAAGGGCGACAGTACGATGGTCGGATGCATAACCAGGCATGTGAGCTACAGTAAGCTCGGTGATAGAATTCCATTTCGTTGATGAAATCACCAAGTCGCAGAATTGATGTCGCGATGTCTGCAGACTCTCGATGAAAACCTTACGTCCCGAAAGATCGCGCAATGGCCACCGGCAGTGGCAACCTGAAGGAAGCCCCGTCCCGCACGTAAATTTTGACGCTAGCTATTTTGGGACAAGCCAGGAGTCGAAAAGTGAGGAACTGGATGTGCTCTCGACCTTTTCTACACCTAATAATTCGCAGTTTGAAGATTTAAGATAGGGCTCACGCCCATTTGGTTGGAGTTTTGTTCTTGGTGCTTCATCGTCGCTTCATCACAGTCGCTACCATTTGAAAGGAATCCGGTTTCTTCGCACTTTGGCGGAAGGTTGAAGCCTTGAACCTTCACGGCTTTGAACCCTGGGGACCTTCACGGTTGCTAGGTATAGTTAGCTGTTCTTTCAGGACCTGTATTGTAGTAAGTTGCGCATTGCTCAGTTTCTCCATTAATAGGGGGGTTACTATAATCGGCGTCTCTCTATGTGGGCACTATATCGTTTCGAGTTCCCAGTCGACTATTTGACATTACATTACCACAAGACTCGTGGACAACTGGAAAATGCTGGCTGAATGATTGCCGTTTCCATGCATTTATCTCAGGGGTTACACGACCCGGACAGACCTCCAAGATCGGGTTACTGGTCATGAAAGCCGGCATATATCCTCGATCACGACGAATAATCAACTGTCAGCATGGTTCTTAGACCGTTCACACACGATCGCCAGCAACACATTCAAAATGGACTAGAACAGATGGCTCCATTTTGGATTTCGAGTTCTAAGGAAACACTCTAATCTAATAAACGAATGGCGGATCTCATCGTTCCAATAGACCAGGCTGGAGTCTTCTGTCGACCGCGAAGCATCATTGTGAACAGACTACCAGGTAACCTAAGCTATGTTCAGGCGGATTACTTCGACATAGCCACTGACATGCTTGAACATGATATCAGTGAATGCTGATTCTTCTGCCCAATTTAAGAGCATATATTTGCCCAATTTCAATCAGGGGTACTTGCCAACGAAATAAGAATCCCAACTGACCCAATTTCGCAGTTTAATTCAAACTGTCGGCACATCTCCTCCTGCACAATCCAAGGCTGCATCACTAAAACTGGAACCACACACAACCATGGCACCGTAAGTACAGCATATCCCAAGCGACTAGCAAGTTCTTACCATTTCCAGTTACTGCGACCGATGTAACCGACAGTTCCGCACCAAACCCGCCCTTCGAGAACACATACTCAAACCTAGCCACCACTCTCTATGTCCCCTATGCGACTTTGACGCACCGACCCGAGCAGGTCTCCTCGCCCACTGCGGAGGAACAGGATGTCGTAAGGTCTGTCGTGGTTGCAAGCCCGGTTCCGAGCTCTGGGACGCTGCCGGTAAGGATAGGGAGGCGTACTGGAAGCATATGGACGACTGCAATGTGTGCCGCCAATGCGAGCGCCACTTCGAGACTCCGGCGAACCTGGCGGGGGTAAGTAGCTATAATTCTAACGGTGATTGTATGAACAGCGCTAATAATTAGTAGCACATGCTCACCCACCGCTCCGCGGATTACAAGTGTTTTGGTTGACCGCAAGTTCACCACATACGGCGGCATGGTGGGCACCGTCACGATTGCACATAAAAACCACCCTGACAACGGCTAGATGATCCATCTCGAATCCGGCGCCTGCGAATCAGGCATCGACATCATCGACCTGAACCAAGCGGCGGCCGCATGCTACCAGTGGAAAAAGTACCTCTTCAAAGAGTATCGGATTTACCAACAAACCCGAAACGAATTCGCTGGGGGGTTCGATATCAAGGCACACCCTTATTTCTGCCCGACTTGCGACACGACGTTTCCTAAACTGTCGAGCTTGTTCCAGCACGTCGAGTCGCCTGCTTGTGATCAGCGGCTCAATCAGGGCGGAATAGCGAAGTTGAAGAGGTTTCTGAAGAAGGCGGCACGGGTGGGAGTTAGACTCCCGGGGAGCAGGATGGGGAAGCGGAGAAGATAGTTAATACGGACTGCATGGTCTTCTAATAATGCGTGGGGTTGGGGGCAAGGGGACATGCAGAACGACTGGAGGTGTCAGCTGAAATTCTGTCTGGCCTTGTGATGAAAGTGGTCAATTTTTTATTTCGACCTTATATTGAAGGCCTATCGATCCGTACATATATCACACATTGCACGGCGCAACCCTTGAGTAACCGCTCACGCCTGCCTGCAAGTCAAATGTTCGCCCCTTTTCTCCACCCGTTCACAGAGTATAGCCACATATTTGGATTGCGTACTCTTTAACCGGCCATTCCCTATAGATTCAACTTTAGCTCTTTCACCCCTGCGTTTTGCATTGATGCACATAGCATCTTCCCAGGTGCTTCTGCAGAGCAGAACAAGTAGTGCCTGCTTTGCAGTAGTTGTAATTTATTTCTTTTGGATGTAGATGCCCGCAACGTGCAAGCATGTTTTTGGAGTATGGATGCAGGGCACATAGCATACTCTTTTCCGAACTATGACTTCTTGGGTTAAAGATTTCCGTCATTTTACTGGGATCTATCTATACACATACATATTCACCTGGATGCATTTTAAATCGCCATGGGATATGACCTCAGAGCGTCGTCCCAATAGGATTGTGTGGAGGAATCTGTGGAGGAATCTCTTATTGTGTCCATTTAAAGCGAACACCATCACAAACATGCGCTTGTCGTAGCAACGACCCACGGCGCAAGAACCGTCAAAGAGACAGGGGACAAAAGTGCCACTGCTTGAAACGCTCCTGGGTACTCAGCTGGCACGTTCTTTGACCTTGTGAATCATAGTAGACAATAAGCCATTCACGGACAATAGGCTTGTCACACACAATAACCACTTCCAGGACAATGGACCCCTCGGGACCTTCAAAGAAATCGAGTCACACTCATCGAGGGAGCCCTGCACGGAGTCTCTGGCATTCAAATAACGGACTTGGGATCGCAGTGCTAGTCACACAATCGATTGACGATTCGGCGAAAAGAAGCAGTTATAAAACGACCCAAGTGCAAACCTGTCCACTTTTTCAGAAAACCCAAACCACGGCAACTATCCACGGGTACAGTTCCCAAGAAGCAATATCATAAAATCCAACACACGATGCAATACGCCTACCTCCTCAGCATCGTGCCGGCACTCCCTCTCGCGGCCCCAACGCTCCAACTCCGCGCCTCAACGCTGGAAGCCATCCCCGGCCAGGCCATCCTCAAAAACTCCTGCCCCTACGACGTCTCCATCTCCGTCATCCGACCCATGGGCGACCCCACACCTGGAATCCTCCAAGGCGGCGCCACCTACAGCGAACCACTGTACCACTCCACCGCCTGCCCGTCTCCCGGCTGCGGCGGCGTCTCCATCAAAGCCAGCGCCGTAGGCGGCGGCCCCGTAACGCAATTCGAGTACACGGCCGCGCCTGACGGAAACGTCTACTACGACCTTAGTCTGATTGACTGTGTGGATGCACCGGAGGGATGTGTGGGACACGAGCAAGGGTTGAAGGCGGTTGCGGGACCGCAGTGCAGAGTGTTCCATTTGGATCCGGGATCTGGAGATGAGCAGCAGGCGTATTTTGTTGCGGAGAATGGGTATAAGCCGAATGCGCCTGTGGGAGGGTGTCCGGCGGGAGGTGGGGTGGCGTTTGAGCTTTGTGCTGGGAGTCAGAAGGGTCGTGGAGTAGGTAGACCTGAGCGAAGTGTACCCTAAGCTAGGTTGATGAGTGAAGGGTTATGTAAAAGGAGGCATTGTAGATGAAGATCCATATATGGATTGCAATCAGAAGCGTCTGGGAAGACATCTCGAACTAGATGATATCGCTCAAATGCGCACTGTCTATTCGTATTGTGGTCAAATGTTAGGTCTCCAGAAGAACAGTCTGTCGATCATTAACCCCTTCTTGCCGTCAAAACATATCTTTACAAATACAAGTAGCACTGTGGTAACCCAACAATCTGGCGCCTAAGATGGGAAAGGCGCGAGCTTTGGACTACCAGGGAGTAAAACACGGGGCGCCAGGCAGACGAGCATACGTAGCTGTATCACACCCCAGAAATCCGACAAATTAGCTGATTGGCTGCCCGTGGAGTAAGAGGATTGAGGAGATACCAAATACAACAGTGGCGGCCGTGTCTTGCACTGTGGACAAAATGGTACAGTAAAGGTGGATTTGGTGAGCGAGTCCAGCCGCTTCGACTGGTTTCGATCTTGTGGTGTTGCGGCGGCGGTGAGTGGTCTGTGCGGGCGAGCAACCGTGGCACCGTGGCAACCTAGCCCAAACCGAGCTACGGCCATCTTCACCCATCACCGCCGGAGCTACTTATACCCTCCACCCTCCTCTCTCCTCTCACTCTGCCCCCCCTCTGCCTACCCCCATCTCACTCAACCCCCCATCGCTTCACCACCGCGTTCGCCGTCCGCATCCGCTGCAACATTCCTTATACTCATTCAGCGAAGCACCGGGCCACTTCATAGAAACTCACCTGCATCATGTCGGCTGAGCCAGACCACACCCATAAGAAGGTGGACCTCTCCAAGTACGTACCATCCCACGCCACCAGCTTCATTGCCTTGTGAAAGCTGCTAATTTTGACCAGGGACCCTTCGGGAGCTGAGCACCACGACGTAAATACTGCCCGCAACACTTCGACAAAGCATGTTGCTGACAAACCGCCACAGAATGACGAAACCGCAACAGCTATCCTCAAGAAGAAGAAGAAGCCAAATTCATTGATGTAGGTCCCTATTTGCGCCAAGATGAAGAGAAAACCTTGAACTAACACTTTTTTCAGCGTGACCGATGCCATTAACGATGACAACTCCATCATCGCCCTCTCCAACAACACCATGGAGACCCTGCAGTTGTTCCGCGGTGACACAGTCTTGGTGAAGGGCAAGAAGCGGAAGGACACTGTCCTCATCGTGCTCGCTGACGACGACCTCGATGATGGCTCCGCACGGATAAACCGCGTTGTTCGCCACAATCTTCGCGTGAAGCACGGCGATGTTATTACGATACATCCCTGCCCCGACATCAAATATGTACGTTTTGTGAGAGAAAGCTCGACCAAGCACAGTGCTGACCTCATTTGCAGGCCAAGCGCATCGCAGTCCTCCCCATCGCAGACACCGTTGAGGGCATCACCGGCTCATTATTCGATGTCTTCCTCGCTCCCTATTTCCGCGAGGCGTACCGACCCGTCCGCCAGGGCGACACCTTCACAGCACGCGGTGGTATGCGGCAAGTCGAGTTCAAGGTCGTCGAGGTAGATCCGCCAGAGTTCGGCATCGTCGCCCAGGACACCGTCATCCACTGCGAAGGCGAGCCCATACAACGAGAGGACGAGGAGGGCAACCTCAACGAAGTCGGTTATGACGACATTGGTGGATGCAGGAAGCAGATGGCTCAGATCCGCGAACTGGTCGAATTGCCGCTCCGCCATCCTCAGCTCTTCAAGTCGATCGGTATCAAGCCTCCTCGTGGTATCCTGATGTATGGCCCGCCTGGTACCGGTAAGACGCTAATGGCTCGTGCCGTCGCCAACGAGACCGGCGCCTTTTTCTTCTTGATCAACGGCCCCGAAATCATGTCCAAGATGGCTGGTGAATCCGAGTCCAACCTCCGGAAGGCTTTCGAAGAGGCAGAGAAGAACTCCCCGGCCATTATCTTCATCGATGAAATCGATTCGATTGCGCCGAAGCGTGAGAAGACCAACGGCGAGGTTGAGCGCCGTGTCGTTTCCCAGCTCCTCACGTTGATGGACGGCATGAAGGCTCGCTCCAACGTGGTCGTCATGGCCGCTACCAATCGTCCCAACTCGATCGACCCTGCCCTGCGTCGTTTCGGCCGTTTCGATCGTGAGGTTGATATCGGCATTCCCGACCCCACTGGACGTCTGGAGATTCTCCAGATCCACACCAAGAACATGAAGCTTGCCGATGATGTGGATCTCCAGACCATCGCTGCCGAGACGCACGGCTACGTCGGTTCCGATCTCGCTTCCCTCTGCTCCGAAGCAGCCATGCAGCAGATCCGTGAAAAAATGGATTTGATTGATTTGGATGAGGATACCATCGATGCTGAGGTCCTCGACTCTCTTGGCGTTACCATGGAGAACTTCCGTTTCGCCCTTGGTGTCTCCAACCCGTCCGCTTTGCGCGAAGTTGCCGTTGTCGAAGTCCCCAACGTTCGGTGGGAGGATATCGGTGGCTTGGAAGATGTCAAGCGCGAGCTTATCGAGAGCGTACAGTATCCTGTCGACCACCCCGACAAGTTCCTCAAGTTCGGTCTCTCGCCTTCCCGTGGTGTTCTGTTCTATGGACCCCCTGGTACCGGTAAGACTCTGCTCGCCAAGGCTGTGGCGAATGAGTGCGCAGCCAACTTCATCTCGGTCAAGGGACCTGAGCTCCTGTCCATGTGGTTCGGTGAGTCCGAGAGCAACATTCGCGACATCTTCGACAAAGCCCGTGCGGCCGCGCCCTGCGTCGTCTTCCTTGATGAATTGGACTCAATTGCGAAGTCGCGTGGAGGCTCCGTCGGCGACGCTGGCGGTGCTTCGGATCGTGTTGTCAACCAGCTCCTGACTGGTAAGTACCATCATGACTATGGAATGTCGAATTGCTCGCTAACTCGATACAGAGATGGATGGCATGACCTCCAAGAAGAACGTGTTCGTTATTGGAGCCACGAATCGTCCGGAGCAGCTCGATAATGCCCTCTGCCGTCCAGGTCGTCTCGACACGCTTGTCTACGTTCCGCTGCCCGACCAAGCCTCTCGTGTCAGCATCTTGAAGGCTCAACTCCGCAAGACCCCGGTTGCTCCGGATGTTGACCTCGAGTACATTGCGGCCAACACTCACGGCTTCTCTGGTGCCGATCTTGGATTCGTCACTCAACGTGCTGTCAAGCTTGCCATCAAGCAGTCCATCTCCATGGAGATTGAGCGCCAGAAGCAGCGCGAGCAGGCCGGCGAAGACACGGAAATGGATGAGGGCGAGGATCTCGTCCCTGAGCTTACCAAGGCCCACTTCGAGGAGGCCATGCGCTCCGCCCGCCGATCCGTCACTGATGTCGAGATCCGGCGGTATGAGGCGTTCGCTCAGAGCATGAAGAACTCGGGCGGATCGAGCTTCTTCCGCTTCCCAGAGGCGGGCGCTGCCCAGACCGAGAACAACAACTTCGGACAGGCTGGGGAGGACGAGGATCTCTATTCGTAAGTCTAGACAAGAGTTGGACAATTTTGTGTTCATGGGTATCCGTCTGCGGGGGTATGGGTCGGTGGTCTCCTGGCGCTCATGTGGTCATCATGCTTTTGCGTGACCAGTCACAAATGGTTCGGTATAGATCGGAGACGAACAGACTAATGCTGAGGTGGATACGCTGTATCTAGGTATCTCCGGAAGCGAATCCTACATAGAATCTCCTTGAGAAGGTGAAATGACACGATATGTTTTGCGCGCACACGTGTTGGTTGCTTGTGAGATGTTTCTATTTCTGCCCAGGTGCCATTTTTTCGCCGGAGCGACGTAGCCTAAGCTTACATGCAGCCTTCCTACATAACAACTGGCCCTGAGAGCACCACCCAGTACGACGGCCACACTTCATTTCCCTAGCAACTGATGACCACAGAGAACCGCGCAACGAATGGTGCTGTGAGGGGTCGATGACGACTGGTCCAGCAACCGGTTTGTTATCCTTCCCTCCTCGTGCCTTTGGAGCCGAATATATCCGCGAAGGGTGGCTTCGTTATAGGCCGACTTTATGAGGGTTGGGTATGTATCCGTCACAACGTCTATTGTTCCATCGACGGACGGATGGGACGAGTAGCGCGTCGCGTTGGATAACTTTCCAGTCTCTGTGACTTCATTCTCGAGCACCGCTCGGTGGTTTTCTGATCTGCCTTGCCCCTGTACTGGCTCATCGTTCCCCAGCAATCTCGCAGACCTTTTCCAATTCCCTCCGAATCGTCTTGGATCCCTCGGCGAGCGCCTGAATTGGGATCTTCAAGTCGAGTCCCTCGCCAGCTTCATGCCCATTGACGCCATTAACGCCATTGACACCGTTCGTAGCCGCACCGCCGCCATTCATATGTTCACCCGCAAGCGCTTCCAGGCCCGTCTTCTCCCTCACCTTGGCCATGATCTGGTCGACGGTGGTGGCCTCGCCGGTCCGCAGCAGCTGGGTGATGTACTGCTTGAGGCTGTCGAGCCAGCCGGAGCGCTGCAGCTCGTGGGTGAGGGTGGCTTCGATGTTGAGGATGCCGGTGCTGGAGAGGAGGGCGCTGTAGAGTTCGTTGCGGGTCTCGTTGGAGAGGGTGTGCGCTTGGGCGGGGGAGAGGGGGATTGGGTTCGCCATGGTGTTGGGGGTTTTTCTTTTTCAACAAGGTCGCCGGTGACTCGTGATGGGGGAAGATGTGGAGTAGGCGGTAGCGTTGTTATTCGAGACGTCTGATCTGAATTTATCGATGAGGATTGGGTATTGTTTGAGCACACTTTTGGACGCGATGTCATATTGGCGCCCCATTGGTCATGTCCAGCTCGTGAGCACGTGCGCTCTTTCGACGCCACATCCCTGTTCGACCCGCGATGCCTTGTTGGGGCCACCAAACAACAGGAACCTCACCTCTCTCTTCTCAGTGCTCACCCTTGCGGCGGCTACAAGACTGGTATTTACCCAGCGTATTATTTTCTCACCCAAGAGACCCGCTCTGCGACCGACTCCTCCAGCTCCTGACGGCAGCGTGCAGTTCCGGGCTGTACTGTAGCTTGGGAGGTCGCAGTCGCAGCCTCTAGCAGGGCGTGCGTGGCACACGCAGCCTATGCCCCATTATTGACCATTAACCGCCCGGCTGCTCCCACGTATTACATACACCTGTCCAGGCTGTCCAGGGCACACACCGGAGGGTCCAAGACAGGCCAGGGCCTGCTCAATCTCGCTTCGTCTCGTCCCATCAAGGCCCCGGACCGACCTCTGCTCCATCCATCACCGACTCCACCAAGCCCGCACATCCCGCCCACGCCACGCCTCCCGCACGCCTCGCCTGCCACCATTGCGACGACGACGACTTCGACCAGCCCGCGCAGGTCCTACGGAGTAGACCGCCAACAGCCCCATGGCCTATCGCGGCAAGTACTTCGAGGAGAGCGACGGCGAGGCAGACGACGAGTATGAGCGCACCGTCATCCAGAGCCCGACCTTGCCCGCCGACTATCATGACAGCTCGCCGACCGACAGCACCCACAGCACCGAGCATACCCCTACCACGTACACGCACTCGCGAGATGGGAAGAGCAGCCCCGCCGGCCTGATCACAGAGTGGACCGAAGAGCAGGTGGCCGACTTCATCTCGGATCTGGGGCTCGACCAGTACGCCGAGACCTTTATACGTAGGTGGAGCGAAACCGGTTTGTGAAGACAGCTAATAGCATGCAGACGAAGGCATCAACGGTGAAGCTCTGGTGGCCCTGCAGCATGCCGAGCTTAAGGAGATTGGCATGAATAGTGTGGGCCACCGCCTGACCGTTCTCAAGGCCGTCTACGAAACCAAGGTCAAGCAGGATGTACCTATAGACCCGGATCATTATGTGCCGCTCTGTAAGTGCCCAGGCAACTGCCATCGTGCACATTGTACTGAACATCCATCAGCTGCCGACTCTTCTGCACAAGACGCACCGGCGACGCAGGACGATCTTTCCAAGGTGATACGAGTGATTCAGGCTCGAGACGAGCGGATACAGGTCGCCGAGGCCGAGCTACGGCATCTGAAGGATGCCCTGAGTAGGGCATCGGAGGAGAATAAGCGACTTCGAGAAGAGTTCCAGGAAGAATATAGAAGGCTGCGTGAAGAGTTCCTACCGATTGCGCGCCTGCTCAAGGACAGCCAGCAACCCTTGCCTACTCCTCAGGAACATGCCGCACCTACCGCCGCGGATCAGCAGAGATCGGGCGGGCTGTCACGTAAGTTCTCTACCAAGAAGCTTTTCCTCGGATCCGCACCAAAGAACCCCTCCCCGACCATCCATGAGGGTCGGACAATGGCCGACAGCACCTCAATCGATCCTTCAGCGGCAGCGCTTGCAGCGTCCTCACACCTCACAGCGTCATTACCCGGCGGCCAGCAAATGTCGCCCAACACCGCTGGCCAACCCTCTCCGACCTCCCCCGCCTACAACCAGAATCGCACGTACAACCGCGATGTGCCTCCGCGAAGCACACTTCCCGACCACGAGAACACGCCGGCGTGGAACCAGAGCTGGGCCTCGGAAAGTACCGCTGTCGGTCGCGACTCCAGGCCGACTCCCGCCCCCCTGTCGAATCGTCCACTACGCAATAACGCACAGCCCAACGGCACAGATGACAGAGACCGCGATCCGCCATTATCCGGAAATACAATGAACGTCGCGAATCCGCCTTCGTCCGCTCCCTCTCAGCCTTCCGGCGCCCCTTCGGTCGAGATCTTCAAGTCGTTCCGTGTCTCTATCGATGACCCATGCCACAAGGTTCTGCCCGTCGCGCTGAAAAAGTACAACATCACAGCCGACTGGCGGCAATATGCTTTGTACATTGTGCATGGTGATCAGGAACGATGTCTGGGACTGAACGAAAGACCTCTGATTCTCTTCAAGCAGCTGGACAAGGAGGGCCGGAAACCCATGTTTATGCTTCGCAAGCACGCCGCTCCCGCCGAAGGACACGTCAGTACCATCGGAGGGAACGATCAAAGGAGCGTCGGCTCAGGAGGTGGAGTCGGGTGGGACGGCCAGAATAGGGGAGTTCAACTGCCTGGGGGTGTGCTTTAGGGGGGTGCAGCTCGTCGAAAGCCTTGCCATTCCGGTTCAGAAAATTCGCCACGAGGAAAATTCGGGAAGAGTGTAAGATGAGGCGTCACAATTTCCGGGGCTGTATAAGGAAGAGGTGGACCCGAGCGTAACATGTCGCTCTCATATCACAGCCGGGAAGATGGAGGGACTTGACGAGGATTGGAAAGGTCTCTGGACGGCGTCTTGTAGGACGCCATGTGGTGGAATGGTGAGTATGGGTCTTGATGGAAACGGGGTGGGCATTTGTCGGCGTTTGTGGTGCAAGGAAAATTATTTACTGGTAAGCCTCAGCGTTTCTTTACCCTTCTTCTTCCTACTGGCATGCCAAAGCCAGTATTTCCGCTTTGCGCTTCATTTTCATCTCTTCTTTTTGCATATGGGTTTCAGCGAGCGGGATTGCATGGGCCTTTTCTTTTGCTTATTCCCTTCTTCTTTTGTCTTGGTTTGTTGTATAGCGGGGGATTGGATCTATGAGGAGCCATTATATAGGTGTGTGAGATTTGAGATGGATATCTTGGTGGGGGGTTTCTGCTATATACGATGGCATCTTAGGAGGATTTTTGTGCGATTTTGAGATGGATATCTTTTTGGGGAGGGTTTTGGAGATTTACGATGGGTTTTTGAGGGGATCTGTGAGATGGTGGATATTCTTTCTTTTTTTTGGATAGTTAGGGGGGTTGTTAGGATGTTGGAGTTGATTCAGGAGGAGGAGCTTTGGATTGGGGAAGGATATCTCGCAGATGGAGGCTTCAGGTGATGGGGTAGCTAGGGGATTGGATTGGTGGAAGGGGGAATAGATGCCATCGGTTGTCGACGAGTTTTGAGGTTTTTTGCATATCCGTGTGATGCCCTGTTCCCGGCGTCCCTTTTCGCACTGCTTTCGTGCGGTTTTGGCTTCCGACGTTGCCGTTTCTGGGTTGCCATCGAGTTGCATGTCGACTTCTTGTTGAGTCCTCCGTTTCGTGTGCCGTGTCCCCGATGGATTGGGTAGAGTTTCAGGGCTCGGGACGTGCGAGGTTAACGGGTGTGATGAAGCTGGGATACCGACTACATGTACAGATGTACACCACATAGAGTGTAACCAACTAAGGGAAGAGAGTATGAACAGTTTTTAAGGTTTCTAAAATTTATCCTAGGGCAATTAGAGCAACACTACTATTGGCCTTTATCTTATAACACTAAAGCTATAACGACGAATCCCATGAGTTGTAAGACATAGAGCAAGACCACAGAAACATCTTGTAGAACTTGATTACCACATGAAGCCTAGCGCGAGTTATAATACCTTCCTTTATCGATAAACTCCGAGACGTCATCTTAAAGGTGCCAGCGGAGCTCCGAGGTTCCTCCTCCAAAACAACCTCTGCCTGCTTCTCGACCTTACGATAATTCCCCATATGAACTTCATTGCAGCTGCTTTCCAACGTAGCTCTCCCCGCACTTTTCTGAACTCCAAATTTACGGTCTGTCTGACGCCCATCTTATTAATGTCGTGCCGTAGCTCACACCCTAAAGGCACCGACACTCCTGCGCGCCATGCACGTCCAATCGATTCCCATGTGTACGACGACTAATAATTGCATTTAAGATCAGATATTAATGTAGAGCAGGGGAGGGGACGGGGAACAACTACGCATACCTCGTAACGGACGACAAGTCGAGAGAATCCGTCATCATTGACCCCGCACACCCGCCGGAGTAGGTGTAACGACCGGATCACGTTTGAAATACATGGGCACTTACAAGGGCGTGTAGAGTGCTACCCGTGCTCAAGCAGAAGACCGAAAGCGGGGATATCAAGCTCACGAATATCATCAACACGCACCAGTAAGCTTCCTCTCATTCACTCTATTTTCGAAAACACAACACCACTCACAACAACCAGCCACCATGACCACGCCGGCGGGAACGAAGAAATCGTAAGCCCCAACCCCAAAACCCCCAACACATACACACATAGATTCCCATACGCCACTCACACCCTCCCCAGCTCAAGCACTTCCCCGTCCCCATAATCGGCGGCAAGGACTGCAAGCGCGTCACCACGACGCCCCCGCACAACTCGACCTTCACCATCGGCGCCATCAAAGTCACCGCCCTGCACACCCCCTGCCACACGCAGGACAGCATCTGCTACTTCATGGAAGACGGACCCCAACGCGCTGTCTTCACGGGCGACACCCTCTTCATCGGCGGCTGCGGGCGCTTCTTCGAGGGCAACGCCAGCGAGATGCATCGCGCGTTGAATGAAGTCCTTGCGGGCCTGCCGGACGATACAAAGGTGTACCCGGGACACGAGTATACGAAGGGGAATGTCAAGTTTGCGAAAACGGTGGTGGGAGAAGGGGACGATGAGGCGGTGCGGAGACTGGATAGGTATAGTCTGGAGAATAAGGAGACGCAGGGGAAGTTTACCATTGGGGACGAGAAGGTTAGTTGGGATTGATCTGTTAGAGGTCGCTGTTGGAATGGCGTGTCTGTGTGCTAACTGGGATTGCGCAGAAACATAACGTCTTCATGAGGGTCAACGATCCGGCGATTCAGAAGGTGGTGGGGCTCAGCGATCCCGTCGAGGTCATGGGCGCGCTGAGGCGGATGAAGGATAATTCGTAGGGTAGTGATGAAGGGGTGCGGAATCTGAGCAATATAGTCCATCTACTTGATTGCATTGAAGCAAATGCTTCACCTTGAGCGCCTTCCGGTTCATCCACATGATCTTTCGAGCACGCATGCGTAAAGTTTTCTTGCCTCTCATCGTCCGCTGTCCCGTCTTATTATAGCCAAGTTGGTATCCCAGGTATAACCAGCCTTACTGCGGCTTTTCACGTCCGATTGAACATCTGGCTGCAATTCCTCCATAGGTGGAATTACCTACCTAGCACCAGTTAACTTCCTACGACTTAATAATGCGACGGGTAGAAATTCCTTTCTAAATATACTACTACACGCGGAGGCAAGCGACAAAGCTAATTGCAGGACCTCCTATATTGCTGCGCTTGCTAGCTATTTAGATTAGAAGCAGAAAACAGCGTTACAGAGGAAGTGCAGGGGGTTGTTCAGTCGGGTGTGACTAGAGGCAGTACTGTGTAAAGCACCGTGCTCTAGTGGCGTAAATCAGACTGTGTCCAATCGAGTTACTTGAATTAGGTAATCTAACTCAGAGCAGCGGTACAATGGGTTGTCTAGTCGGATGCGAGAGGGTGCAACGTGATCAGTTCTTTTTTTAACAAAAAAGATCAAAAGGAAGCAAAAAGAATTGATCACGGCAGGATTCGAACCTGCGATCTTCTGATTCGTAGTCAGACGCCTTGCCATTGGGCCACGTGACCATTTTGTTTTCTTATTATAACTTATTCCCAATCAGAATATTTATATAGTTAGGAGCTCAACTCTTAAAAGATGTTTCAAAGTTCCTACTATCCTGCATGGGTACGTCTGTCATTTGTGGTTGACGAGCTCGCAAAGGAAGTGTAATATCCTGACATATAAGTGAAGATCAATGAAAATATGCAATCTGTAGCCCCTGATCGCACGGAGCAACTTAGTTACGGAGCATACGCACCGTTCCCCATGCCACCATCCCATAAACCTATAAGCAGATCCAAGGGAAGCGTGAAGAAAGAAAAACCATAGAAAAAAAATACTCCGTAAGCCGTGCGAGCTCCTCATTCCGCCTTCCTTAAGAGAAAAAAATGATCCTGGTACTCCGTAAGCTGTGAGAGCTCCTCATTCCGCCTTTGTCAAAGAGTAAAAAACTGATCCTCCTGCGATAAATGCCCCAAATACCAACCAATTCGCAATATCACATAAACCGAAATATCCAAATACCATAAACCAACCAAAGAACCGTATAAAAAAGCTCGACTCCTGTCTCAAGCCGCTCAAATGGAGCGCTCCGAGTGATAGGTGGATATCCTCCGTTTCCGCTTCTCATCTCCGCTGTACGTTCAAGATCAAGTAGCGAGCATCTGAGCCCCTAATCCGCTTTGCGCTTCTTGGAGAGCGTTACGGGTCTAGAGTCATCCTTGAGATCTTTCCACTTCTTCCCTGCATTACGGACCTCCTTTTCCTCCTCCACATCGTAGAATTCGTTCTTGCGACAATGCTTGTATTGGCACTCTTTCCAGAACCCCTTCCCTTGTGCATTCTTCTCTTTGATCAACTTGTCCACCTCTTTCAGGGGCATGCCCTTGGGCCTGTGCCAAAGTTCACCAGTTTGCATGTTCTTCCAGATGGTACCCTCATACCAACTGGACAATGCAATGTTGTCGGCGACTGGTTTCATCGACCACTCGACCTCATCATCCTCTTCCGGTTCGTATCGTTCGATTCCCTTTAATTTCTTCTCTGGCACATTCTGCACGGCATTTCCATCTTGACGCTGAAGTCGACGTTAGCTTTGAGTCCCTCAAGTTAGAGCCGCTCAATGGAGCAATACGTACTATACGGTGTAGCATGGCGTCTATTCGAGTTTTGCGACTGACGCGATTCTTTGAGAAGCGTGGATCAGCTAAGACACCCTTCATTTGCTCTTCAGTGGAAACGCCTGGAATGATAACTCGGTTCCCATCTTCGTCCATTGTGTCGCCGACCCCACTTCCGAGTTCGGTCCAGTCACTCTCGTATTCTGTTTCATCTTCTTTTTCAGGCTCGGTCTTCCCCGACTTGTCTCCTGGCTGGCTTCGATCGGAATTGGTTGAGCCGCTTTCATCCGAGTCAGATGCGGAGTCACTATCGCTTTTGCCGGCGTCAGGGTCATAATCTCCATCTTCCGGGTTGTCATCACTGGCAACGTCAGAGGAAGCAGCTGTGGAATGTTGAGAGCCGCTCATTGCATCGTTTTCTTCCTAAATCATGTTAATTGGAACTGTCATTGAAGGTCAGATGAATGCAGACTCGTACCTCAGCGCCATCTTGGTCATAATCCCCATCTTCCGAGTTCTCATCACTGGCAACGTCACAGGGAGCAGCTGTGGAACGTTGAGAGCCGCTCATTTCATCGTGTTCCTCCTAAATCATGTTTATTGGAACCGTCTTTGAGGGTCAGATGAATGCAGACTCATACCTCAGCGCCATCTTGATCATCATCCCCATCTTCCCGATTTTCCTCGCTGGCGACCTCGGGGCAAGCAGCTGTGGACCGTAGAGAGCCGCTCACCGCATCGTATTCACCGTAAATGGTGTTATTCGAACTGTTTTTGAGGGTCGGATGAGTGCAGACTCGTACCTCGACGTCACCTTTTGATTCCTCGTCCATTTCGTTCTCCTGGTTTAGTCAATAATCGCGTCAAGTAATTGAAATGACCGACGACATCATACATCCACAGGGATAGCCGCGAGGTGAGCTTCTAACTCCTCCCCGGCAGGCACTGGAGTCTCAAAGTCTAAGGTTCCGCCCTCTCCACTGCCCAGCGCGTGCTCGGCGGCCACTGGTGTAGGTAACTTCTCCATCAAACACGTCGAAAGTGGTGAAATATGAGGCTGCGGGAGGGATCAAATGAGCCGCTAGAACATGGTAAGTCATATGGGATAGCTCACTTGGTTGGTTGTCACCGTGTGGTCTTCGCTGGGGCGGGTGGTGACGATGGGAAAGTCCTGTTCAATGGATAAATATGAGATATATGTAAGACCAACGGCGTGTTTTCTCTTACTTCGCTGTCCGACGGACCACTACGACTGTTCTTAGTTGTTTTTGATGGCTGTGGGAGAGGTAAGTATAAGTTTGAGCGGCTAAAGCGTGATGGCGAAGGCACTGACGGATGTCGTCTTTCCTGCGGGAGTGAGACCCTCCTTATCGGAATCTTCATAATCGAAGCTGGGCATGCCATATAGCCAGCTCGTTTGAGTGGCAGACCGGAATAAACTTCTCATTTTCGTGGGAGATAGGGATAGTTCGCTGCTTGAAAAAGAATATACGAGGGGCCGTGTTCTGAACGATGAAGTTGAGGTGTTGTTAGAGAAAAGCGATGAAGCGTGCACATTTGAGAAGTGTGGAGGTAAAAGAAGAGGGATTGGAAGTCTAGAGACTTTTAGAAGACATCCGTTCACTACCACACACCGCAAGGCGGCCGATGTTACACAAAGGCTTGGCATTGCTGTTCGCCTACACAGAATCTCTCACTTACCTACACATCCACAACTGCAATTCCTTCCGCTTTGGACCTTGAGCGTATTGCATCTGCATGGTTATAGGAAAGATGCCATTCAACGCGCGAGCGTTCTCACGAGCGCACCAGCGACTGGTCAATTCAGCACCTGACCGAAATGCCGAACCCAACAATGAGGAGCTCACTGAAAACGAACGTTCCGCTCACGAGAAGAGATTTCTCATACCGTTCACGTCAAAGATTCACAGCGGGAGAACGGTTTTCGACAAAGTGGTCACAACCCAGCATGATCATGCAAGTTCTACCACGAGGAGGAAAAGAAAGCGCTCCCACAAGGACGATTTCATCAAAAACTTACCCGACGACGATGAGCGAGAAGAAAGATGGAAGCTTCAGCCATTTGAGGAAGGTGACCTACCCCCGCGTCCTGGCCCAGGCCTCTTGACATATAAGGATGGGACCATGGTACTCGTTCATGAGTGGCTCGGCAAAGAGAGGGATGAAATGATAGTAAGTTTGTTGACAGGATTGAGCGGCTAATGACTGACGTACGATGTAGGAACTGCTCCACAACCCTGAACGCTGCCAAAAGATCGCGTCCCTGCCCCATCTGGACCCACACTGTAGGCTGCACCCATGGCAGCAGACAGGCGCATGGAAAAGCTTCGTCTCGTGTCAAGGGCCTATGAGAGGTGTCATGAACGTCAGTAAGATGGGCACTGGAAAGACTCGGGAGACATTGGTCATGCTTGAGTATGCAAGGACTGTCGCCAAAGTCCCTGGAAGCTTCGACCTTGTGCTCACGCCACGGAGCTGCATCGGTCAATGGGTGCAGGAAGTCGAGCAGACATTTGCTCCGGTAAGTGAGCTCCTATAGATGTATCCTTCATGTGTCTAACCGTAGTAGGGCAAACGGCCACGCGTTTTCGTCCTAAGGAACCCTCGAACCACCGCAGGTGACCTCCTTAGGTTCGACGCGGATATTGTCATCACAACCTACCATTTTCTGTTCAAGCAGGCGTGGAGATTGAAGAAATACCTCAATTACATACGCCTCATCCAGGAAGTAGGATCTGAAAAGGCCCTGCAATTGGCAAAGGAGAAGCGGTGGCCCGCTGAGCGGCCAATCCTCTCCCTGTATTCTGCTATTTTCAAAGGTAACCCTTTCCGCCACGTGGTCTGCGACGAAGCCCACATGGTCAAGAACTCACACGGTAAACATCACAAAGCTATACGTGCTCTTTTCTACAATGCTATCGTCCTTATTACTGGTACACCTTTTCCAAACAGGCTCTTTGACGGCTTCGCATATATCGACCTGCTACCTAATGAGCCCTTCCATGGAGTGGAAGATATCGAACGTATTTTTGGAAACGACGAATTCCACACCGGTCTTGGAACTCTGCAACCTACCCGACTGGCGCGGTTCACGAAGTTCTTTATGAGTTTCAGCTACGGCAACACCAATGAGCAGCTTAAACTTCCGCCGTGCAAGCAGGAACAGGTTCTCTTCACTCTAAACGAAGAAATTGAGGTTCGGGTTGCCTTCTACGTGCAGAGAATCGTAGATATGATCTCCCGTGCGGAACGAAGCCTTTCTAGCATTGGTCAGGAAGGCGAACACTCCGAGATCATGCAGATGATCTCCAAGGCCAGATCTCTCGCTTTCGTGGACAGCTTCGTAACGGAGGAGACCCCTGAAAGAATTGGAATGATGAAGCAGACGATGCAACGACTGCGCAAAATACACCGTGAACAGCTGAAAAAGACGCCTGAAGAGAGCTCAGAGGACCTGCCAGAGTGGGCGCACATAGGAAAGGAGCTCTTGCAACGCATGGAAGCTTCCGAACCAGTAAGCCATCATGAGCTCCTTGCCTTCACGGAGTCGTATATGGATTGGGCAAAAGACAAGGACGTGATCTCGGAAAGGAAACAGTTCGTAGAGGAATTGCAACGGAAGGGGATTGAAATTCCTAAAGTAGCACGAATGAAAAAAAAAAAGAACACCACCTCCTCGAGAAAGCGGCTCAATGCAAACACGGACGACGACGGGTCGGATGTCGAGGATGAAGCAGAGGAGGAAATCGCGCAGATGGATATGTCCGAGGTATTGCTGCGAGATGAAGTCAGGGACGAGCCAAAATCGGGAAAGAAGAGCAGCAAGGAAGCTGAAAAAAGAGCCACCTTCAAGAAGGAGCTAGCAGCAAGCGACCTCAACGACTTGGTATCGGAGCGAGTCGCAGCGGTCATCCAAAAGTTCAATGAGATTCGAGCCGCTCATCCCGAGGATAAAATCATTATCTGGTCGACCTCTGTGAAGTTCTTGGACGTTTTGGCGGAAGTGCTCTCGCGGGACGAATCTGGTAGGGCCGGAGTGAACTGCTACCAGTTTGATGGCAAGCTCGATGATATAGAACGGAGCGTGACCTTGAAAGACTTCAAGGAGGCACCACCAAGTCGACCGCTCCTCACATCTACTGGTGCCGGCGGCAATGGACTGAATCTCACTTGTGCGAACCAGGTGATACTGTGTGAGCCCCTTTGGAACGCACAGGACGAGCAACAGGTCATTGACCGTTGTCACCGGCAACCTCAAGCAAAGACGGTATACGTTTATCGAATTTTTGGGGCGAATTCGGCCATTGATATCATGACGGAGAAGGCGAAAAGGAGGAAATGGGCGCAGATCAAGCCGGTCATGGAGCAGCTCCGCAGGAGCGAGGGGGTGAAGTTGCGGATTCCAAAAATAGCTAAATGGTACTGTTCGTTGAGGGACCTAAGCCTGGATGAGTAGGGCCTAGTTCCGCCAGACACTTCTTCTCGAATGAGCGGCTTTACAGTTAGCGGAGGACAATGAAGGGGGAGTTATGCAAATGTTCTATCAAATCTTATCAACTTTCATTTCATCGGTAACAGCAATGTGAAGCTTCAAGATATGACGCATCGCCGCACTCGAAATACGCGGAAGCGTTCGTGAGTAAGCTGGTCAAGAACGTCGATGATACCTAAGTATAAAGAGTCGAAGACAGGACATTCACTACACCAAACATCGTACTCCAATGGAAAACATCACCTGAACAGGCAAGTATATATAGATGCACAGTATATTCTGTGATGTAATCAGAGCCAACATCAATTATGGAAATTCTAACTAGCTATCCACCCTGAAACCCCATGTATGAAGCTGATTAGCACGAGCAAATGCATCTAAATGCTGCCCAGCTATCCACCCTGCCCTTCCCACAAGGTAATTAGTGCGAACGGAAGTATGTATCTGTTAACGACTTATCCACCGCTCATGTCCTAATTCCATATAACGGCAAACATGATTGTGAAGCGCATCCTGTGTGTATTCTGGCGGGAGCTATAGGGGCTCAATCATCGTCGTTGTATGCGGAATTGAGCTCCTCAGGATGAGCTCGCTGAAGGTGTGGAATGACTTTACGCCTGTGGAACTTCTTGTTGCACACAAAACACTCAACCGAGGTTCCTGGCTGGGCCTTGAGAGCCCTTTGCAGCTGCGCGAGCCTTGTATGCGTGTTTCCTTTTAGGTGAGCGTCTAGTTTCCACATGGTGTAAGTTCGTGTTTTCTCTTCCACGGTCCTGGTAAGGTCGATCTGGCAGAGAAAGCAGGTTAAATTGCTGGTCTGGCTGGCAGCCTTAGACAACGCAACCTACAAGGTATGCATTAGTTTTGTTATTTGGCAGAGAAGGGGACGAGTCATACCTTGTTCATCAACCCCGCAACGAGGGCCCTTTGTCTCTCGGCCGGCGTCCCTTCCCTGGCCATTCCATCGTCCCTATCAAGCTCCATTTCTACTTGCTCAGGGAGCTCCTCCCACTCTTCCGGTTCAAGCCGTGAGCCTGCGAGGAGCTCATCCTCCTCAAGAAGATCGCTGTCATCACCATCGTTTTGCGCCTCCCTGCCATCTTCATCCTCTGCCTCTTCTCTGTCGGCGTCCCTCGCTAACTGAGCCACATTCTCCAGTATCTGTGCTTGTGCTGCCTGCAGGTTGTTCTGAGCCGCTTGGTGGTTCTCGTGGATTGATTTCGGCGGAGCCCCTTTCCCGTACGTAGCATTTGCTTTTGAGCCGCTTACTCTCAACTGAGAGTGTTGTTCTTGTTTGATTGATTCAAGTATAGATCGTCGAAGCCTTCTCCGTATCTCCCTCCGACCTTTCTTGCGCTCATAAACAGCTCGATTGAGCTGCTCTAGGAGCTCATTTTCCGAGTTCTCGATTAACACCGCCTTGAGAGTGCCGGTGTTCATGCCCCAGCCCCGGGCGTCGAGTGGGAGTGTATCCCTTATGCATCTCACAACATTCTGACATGTATTAGCATGGCAACACGAAGTCATTGAGCTGCTCGATACTTACCTCCACGGCTTCATCCAGTTTCCTCCACGCTTCGTCGGACATGGTAGCTTCTTCGACGCGAGCCTCCAGTGTTTCCTTCAGACCTGCCGCCGTGTCACCGTCGCCGAACCTTGATATGACAGCCTGACGGAACAGCGCAGCTACTTCTTCGGTCGTTAACCCTTGCTCCTGTAGGCGGAACGCAGTGATGTCTACGTCCGCAAATCCTCGATGCGCGTAGGCATAAAGGCTACTCCCGTCTGGTCTATGGTTGGCCAATTCTCGCGCTGACTCACTACCGACTCTCCGCTTCGTCTCAGAAATAGCGGCTCGTCTCAGAGAATACATTGTGTTGCGTTGAAAAAGACCAACGTCGATACACATGTCCCCAAGCTTGGGGTTCAGCGCGTTCTCCTTCATGGGGGTATCCAGAAGCAACCTCCTCCCTTGCACATCAACTGCAACAAAGACAGCTTGCTCGTCAACATCCGGATTCTTACGGAGATAGACGTGATCGTCATGCCATATCATATCCCACGGGTCCACGAACAAGCCTCGAAGGTATGCGAGACCAAGGAGTAGCGATGCAAGGTCTAAATGATTGCGGTTGCCGGTTGTTGGGATGAATGTAAAGTCTCGCGATCCTACAAAGAGTGTCAGATATTTTAAGCAGCTCAAACCAGACAGAACGACTGTAATACTAACCATACAACATGTTGCGGGTGTATGGATTCCGTTGGCCTTTAAGGAAGTGAAAAGTGACAGTGGCGCCGATTCCGCCTTCAAATCTCCTGAAGTGTATGTCTCGCCAGCGCAACGTCTCATCCTCTGGCCGTACCCCATCATATCCGACCTTGCTACCCTTAGAGTAACCGGGTGCAACGGTGAAAGATCCGGGCCGTGATCCGGTAATATAAGCTAGAATCCAGGCGACATAGTGCTGGTACCAGTTCAGAAAGCCTGGCTTCTGAGCCTTCTTATCCAACTCCTCCCAGAACAACGTCAACTCGCAGTCCGTGAGCTCAAACTTTAGTCGTTTAGCCGTATTGAGAGAGTTGTTGTGAGCGACCATGTGTATGTGAGCATGGAGCTCACGGTGCCATTGGTGATAGATTCTGCCAAAATCGGGCGTTCTGCGGACGGCGTGCCAATAAATGGCATCTTTAAAATGCCACAAGGACGACACAGTGGGGAGAGATCCTGACCTACCCTTTATGAGAAGCGGGAGGTAGCTGATATAGAGCTTGCAGTATTCAAGCAGCTTATCTGTGGCCCATACATCTGCAGGGTTATCGAGTCCTTCGGCCTGCGTAATCAGGTACTCAAAGTTCTTCTGAGCAACCTCTCGCCGTTTCCTTACTGCCGGCCCGCATGGATCGTAGAACTTGCTCCGTCGTCCTTCCTCTTTGAGCCGCTCAAGGAGCTCCTGATCATGCAACACCTTCTGCATGCTCGCCAGCATGCGAGAGTGAGGTAGCGCCACTTTCGGAGGCATGAGGAACGGTAATGATCACTGCTTTCGGGCGAAGAGGTGGCGATGAATGCGAGGCGTTGACGGACGTGAGAATGGAGGTGGAGGCCAGAGAATGGAGCCCTTTCCGGATGAGAGGAAAACGGAAGCGCTTCCCTTGCGCGTCTCTCAGGGTTGAGCCGCTCTCCTGATTGGTACGGGATTTCTGGGGGTCTTAAGAAACCAGTGTACTAGAGCTGCTTTTAAAAGAGCAGCTCTACTAGTGTCGTATGAGGGTAACGAACGGTAACGAGCAAGTGAGAGTAGTGCACGTGGGTTACAGAATATCGGATTGGCATTACAGCGCGATGCGGGATGAGACGACAGTACAACAAAGAGAGCGTGGAAGAGATGAAGGGAGTGTGGAAGAGAAGCATGAGCGAGGAAGGAGGGTTGCGGTGCCGCGTGCCCTGCTGTGTTGTTGAGGAAGGAGCGGTCTAGCGCCGTTCCGACCTCACGACCGTCCACCCGTCGGCGACTCGCACTCTTCATTAACAACCCCACAGCTGCTTTGCTCTGCCAATCGAAGCCGTCCAAAAGCTGGAGCCATCCACAAGGAAATCAAACGCGTCACTTTTTTCCTATCACCTTGAAGGAGCTCTATCATCGCACCTACCGACAGTGACATTGGAATATGAAGCTCACTGGTTTTGAGCAGCTCAGCAAGAAGGCTCAAGCGGCGGAGATAAAGAGGATCAGCAAGGAAAAGAGAATATCCGTCCCATGCTCGGGTACGAAAGCCGAACTGAAACAGAAGTACAAGGAACTGCTCGAGAAATATGAGGAGCTCAAGGTGAGGCGTTGAGGAAAAGGGTGTCTTGGGCACTGGTTCTAATTTTGAGCAGGACGAAGAACCAATTGTTGCCACCAGTGAGACCACAACCCTGTCCGAATCATGGACCCGCATATCCACTCGGAAAGGACATCCCGTATCCACGATTGCGTCTAAATGCTTAGAAGTTTTGGGGTGCCGCATCTACCACCCAGTCGCAGATGAGCCCGAAGACACAGAGGTGGAGGACGCTCGAACTGCTCACTTACAACCCATCCTGACCGCTATCACACGAATATGCAAATTCATCGAGTGCATGCCTCCCACCTCCGACGCTGCGCTAAACTTGACGGTATTGCGAAACGAAGTCACTGTGAACATCAACGAAGGCCAACTGGAGACAGGGGACGCGCCATTGAGCGGCTTGGACGAACTACTTAAAGCCATGGATTTCACAGGGGAGGGAGCAGAGCGGGTTCCTGGGCAAACGGAGGAGACGGTTCCCTCAGACGTACCTCTTCTGAAGTCTGATATGGATACAATCAGATGCTGTTTGAATGAGCGGCTCATGAACTGGGTCTCGTCCTTCCCAGCAGCGAGCGTGGAAGAAGCACAATGGCCGAAAGACTTTTCGGAGAAGGAAAAGGATGCAATCCGTGCCTACTGTAGGGAGAAGATGGATGAGTATCCGGGGCCGTGGGATGCATGGGACGCTGCACAACCAGAGGCGGAACTACTCGCCTTCATCAAAGCGATCATGGGGGATGAGGGATTTCCAGCGGCTGCAGAGCGGACGAGAAGCGTACTTACCCTCCGAAACATTATATCAAATCTGCGGCAAGAGTTCAAGTCACAGAGTGTCAAGCAATTGGCGGGCAAGAAAAGGGCGGGCAAGGCACAAGGTAAGAAGGGTAAGAAAAGGAAGAGTGATGAGGGGGTGGTTGGGAGCTCTGGCGGAGAAAGCGAGGCAGAATATGTTCTGGAAGACGAAAGCGATGAGGAGTAGTCAGGTTGCGAGCTACATGATTTATCTGTCCTGATACTACGCCAGACGGACTCAATGAAAGCACCTTCGCATATGATAATCGAGCAGCTCAATGGGTATGCATGATAGCATGTTCACCAAATCCTGTGCAGTGAACTGAGAGTGCACCTCCGTCAGCCCGACTCACGCATCACCATGATCCTCATCCATGACATCTTCTTCTCCGTCCGCATCACTGCCACCACTGTACTGCCTCTCCAACGCCTCAAGCTCCTCAACGTAGGAGGTGAGCTTCTTCTCAGCCCTGCTGTAATGATCCAGGAGCGCATGAGACATATAGCTCAGAGCATCGTTCATAAGCAAGATAACCTCGTCACGGTCGGTCGTGGCTACTAGCTTATCCATAATCTTGTCAAGATCCAACGAAGAACTGGGTGGCCCAGTGACAAACCGAAGGCGGTCAGAGTCGGCCTTAAGCTCCTCATTCAACGCTCTAATCTTGCGGAGATGCGTCGTAACGAACACATGGCAGAAGTCCCTGGTTTCATCGGCATCGAGGTCGTCTTCGGGGTAGGTTGCTTCACGAACCGGCGTGAAGATTATTGCCGCCGAGATTGCATCTTCCAAGATTCTGGCGAATTCCGTCTTGTCCATAGTGTCAATATTGGCCTCCGATCCATCACGCCCCCATCGTTTAAATTGACGGCACCAATCCAACAAGACAAACTTTAGGTGAGCATACTTGATCACTCTACCCGTGGCCCGAATAGTTTGTCCCAAATGGTTCATGGCCGGGAAGCTGAAGAGCGGCTCGCTAAAATTCTCCGGGAAGATACCCTCAGGTGGTTAGCCTTTGGATTCGTGTCTCTGTAGGGCTGCTTAACCTACCTGCAGTGCATTTTGAGCTCTGATCACCATGTCATTAGTCAGAGGCGTTTGAGGATCCAGGAATTCATCCATGTCGGCCCGGCGCGTACGGTACACCTCGCGGCACTCCATATCCCCATCCATTGTTTTCAGGATGGTGAGCAGCTCAGCGAGCTTCTCTACAGAGTATTCCACCCGGGACTCGTTGTACAACCTCCGAACCGTCCTCACATTGGAGATGAGCTTGTCGACGGGAATGACGTTCTTGTATGATTCGGGCCTGGACGTTTTCTCACGCGCCCTCTGAAGAGCGGTATCAACGGCCTCACTAATCCTCTCATGAGCCTTTTCTCGCCTCTTTTCCTTGTTGGTCAGCGTGTCGTCACGGTATTCGGGCGCGTAGAAGATCTCTTCAGTCGTGATAGTCGTCGCCTCGCACAACCCATTCTCGTCGGGGTTTTTGAGCACGTAATATCGACCGTCTCGTTGTTTTACGTTGATGACGACGCGCAGAGCCGCCTTGTTGTGCGGTTCAATGGTGAATTCCCCGGATTGGATGAGCTGCTCAACACTTCTTCCCTGGCGCTTGTTCTCCCTGCTTGGTGCCTGATCTCCCCTTGGCCTCCCTCCTACTGCCTTGGTGGCATAGTTCGCAGCGGTAGGGGTCCACATCCCCACCCACAGACCTATGTGCACGTCCTGCGCGCCAATGTGAGCTCCAAGTTCTGCTTCGTTGGGTGCCACTGGCGGGACTATCTTGGTGTCTGTTCCCTTGCTTCTGCTGCCCACAAAGTGCTTGACTCTCAAAAAGACGTGCCCTTGGGGCTTCTCCTTGCATTCGTATGCCACGAGGGCCAGGTTAAAGAACAGTTGACGATCGCTGGTGCGACGGGTATCGCCTTCACCCTCATTCTTCTCGCTCATATTTGCTGGTGTTGAAGTGAGCTCCTTGCCCTTGCCCTTATCCTTGGATGAGGATGCCATCACGAGTGCGGGAAGTTTCGAATCGTTGAACGAGCGGTGCAGGTGTTTAAGGCAGCGTAGACCTAGGCGGATGTAGGTGGTTGGGTGGTGAAATGGGACATGGGGGAGTGTGAAGTGAGAGTGGGAGGCGATTTACACGCGTGTAGTAGACTCACCTCACCGCCAACCCAACGCACTGACCTAGGAACCTCGAAGTTATGGATAAGTTTCTTTCTCGAATCACTCATCTTCTTTCTCATCTCTACCACTTCCAGCTACCAACATGCCTCCAAAACGGCGCAAAACCACGAAGTCCAAGCCCAAGAAGCCTGCACCTCCCCCGCCAGGCTCCTTTGAGGAGCTCATTTTCGATCTAGAGTACCAGCTCAGTCTTGTCAAAGGGTTAGAGACAAACGAAGACTTTGCTTTCAAAAAGCAGGAGAATGATGTGAAGACAAGAAAAGCGCTCAACGAATGGGCCCAAAAAACACTGTCGCTGACCGCGCCCGCTCCTGCACCTGAAACACACTCGAGCCGATCAGCTCTGGAGGGAGAAGGTCTTTTAACGCTGAGGAAGCTGTGTGCAGCAGCAGAAAGTGCACTGACAAAGCTAAGAGACTCTCTGGACCTGTCGGACCCTTCACTCATATCAACAGCCCTCAAAGCGGCATTCGACGCCATCGAGCCGCTCATAACGGCAGTTGAGAAGCAAATCGTGGAACCTCGATTACAGTTCCTCACAAAGCGCGAACAATGGAAGCCGCGACAGCACACCATCTTGGATAACAGGCTCCCGGGTATGTATTGCGGAGACTTTCCGTAACGTCAGCTAACATTCGCGCAGGGTTTGACTGGGACAGTGCCATAAACCGCCAGCTTAATGATGCGGCGTCCGACGCTCCGTTAAGCCCTCCTCCGCCACTGCCAGGCGACAGCGACACCGAATCCACCCATCACGGCATCAATAATTTCGAAGCCGAGCAAGATGGCGAACGTATGAATGCAGCAGTCGAAGGACTCAACGACTCTATCGAAGGAATTCAACCGTTGGAGAATGAGGGGATTGAGCCTATAGACACTGAACAGCCGGAGATTGAGCGGCTGGAGCCCATGGACACTGGAATGACGGGACGGGATATGGAAGCCAGAGGAGAAGCCTCAGCAGCCAAACACGCTACCGGAGGAACGGAAACATCAAACAATGAGCCGCTAAAACCCGTGAACACCGTCGTGGCGGAGCAGGACATGGCAGCCAAAGAAGAGGCCTTCAAAGAAAGAGAACGGAATCTCCAGGAACAGCTAGACAAGGAACGCCAGCGCCTAAGGAAAGAGTTTGAGGAACGCGAGGCGACAATACTTCAAGCGGCTCAGAAACGGGAAGAGGAGAGGCTGCAACAGGAAGAGGAGCGGCGTCGACAGGAAGAAGAGAAGCGCCAGGAACTAGAGGAGAAGGTTCGGAAACACGACGCGGATATGGAGGCGATGCGCCAACAGATGAGAGCCATGAGCGCCATGATGGAGCTGTTGGGGCAAAATCGAGGGGTTCAGGGACCCCAGTAGCTTCGATTGCAGAAATTATCACGTAGCATTCCAATCTGACCTCACTGCTCTAGCTGTGTCTCTATGCCCCCAAACGCTCTGAAGTTCGCCTAGGCTTGTCGCTTCCTGTGCTCTTGCTGTGGAAACACTGACTAACCGAACGTTTTTTCGGGAAAGATGTCGAAGATTGATTCGGCCTGCGAGGCTTGGGAGGGAACCAATGAGTGGATGCGCATTTGAATCTATGCGAGCATCAATCCAAGGACCATATTGAATGAGGGGCTCAAAAATCACAAGAAAACCTCACCGAAAGCATAACAACTACAATAGGGCAGAGATGATGCATTTTTGTATTCCCACATATAGTCGCTTACCAGGCGCATGTGGGGCCCATTTCAACGGAGAGAGGAGCAGCGGCCTCCATCCAAGCCAAATCAAACCACTGGGGACCCTCCACTCGCCCTATCTATCCCCCTAGCTTCCAAGATGGATGCACTGAGAGGACGACTCGAATCTGAGCAGAAGGGAAATTCCCACTGTCCAAAGCCGTATCACCCATACCCATGCTTCCCCACAAGTTGGGAGTGGCAAATGATGCGCATGGTCAAAGATGAGCGGCTCAGGATGTGATGATATCTTCTTGTTCACCGTGGCCTCCAATGGGACGCGAAACGACGTATCCGCGTTGCTGGAGCGCTTGGATGAGGCCGGGGATATCCTCGTCCTCCAGGTCCGTATTAGGGGTTTGCGCAACCTTGTCTTCCAGCGACCGCGCCCAGGCATGCGGATCCAGCGGCACAACTTCGATGGTCCCGAGCGAGCCGAGCAGCTCAGAGCTCTTGACGATGGCCCGGGTCGACGGAGTCCACTCTGGCATGTACGGGGACGGAATGAAGTAGAGTTGGACCCTGTCCGTCGCGAGCAGCTCATTATACAGTCCCGCGATCTCGGAAACCATGTATTGAAGTTTGTATTTCGCATGCTCGAGATGGACGGCGGAGGCATCACTGTATACGGGGATGGAAGCTGTCCGGAACATCTGGCCGATGCACGGGAGCATGACCACAATGGCGTTAGCTATCTTCTGAAACGGGTCATTGGTCTCCGAGAGCTCCTTGAAGTCGACGGTGACCCTCGTGCCGGGTCCTGTCGACGCTCGTTCGGCAGTGCTGTCAGCGTTGTTCACGTCTCCTTGGCCTTGGGAATTGGAGCGTTCATGGATGAGCTCCTCAGTGGAGGCAGCGCCGTTGCCCGATCCCGCGCTCGTGAAGGCTTGAAGAGGAAGGTGTTCGGTGCCGGGGACGGCGTTCTTGATTACCAGCGTGAGAATCTTGAAGACCGGGTCCGCGGGATCCAGCTGGCGAATCCAGTGGAGAATGCTATCCACGTCACTATTGGCTGAGCCGCTCATAATGTCGATGAAGCTGGGTAATGAGGTTCGGCTTGAGTGAAGAGAAGACGATTCGCCTGGAAGAAGAGGGAGCAAGGAAGGTTCAAGGTGAAGGTGAAGGCGGGAAGGGAGCTTGACGCTGTTTAGACCGCCGCACCGCCACATGCTATACCGCGCCACAGTCACTTGGCTTGCCATAGAAAACAAACACTACATGATGCTCCATGTATCTAACAAACAATGACGGAAGCGAGGAATCATTAGATTGTACCACAGAAAGCAGATAAGGGAGGAACTGACTAGAACCATAGCGAAAGACATCCTGTTCTCTTAAGCCTGTGATACCGAGCGGTCTTGTTCCACATGCAGCCGTGTTCTTGTTCTATCCGTGGCCACGCTGCGCTGAAGTGAGCGGCTCGTTCGCTCTTGACGGAAAGACTGAAAAGGGGTTGGAAGGTTCGTGGCGTGGCAGTGTGCCCCTGAACTCTCAGGTAAGCATCGGAAAACAGAGATGATTGGATGAACGATGTACAAGGGAATGCAAGAAGACGGAACGCACACATAAATCAGCTTAATAATCGTAGTCAAACGCCTTGCCATTGGGCCACGTGGCCGTTTCGATTTATAACTATGTTGAGCATTCAAATCTTATACACACATAAACCAGAGTGTGCATTCGCAAAAGCGCTGGGGGTGAGATAAGATGACCGGACCTGGAAGGAACGAGAAAGGAAAGTGGGGCCGCGCGGGACGCGCCCAACTCTACAGTATACTGAACCCTCTCAACATCTGACTGAACAACCCCTTGTACCGCTGCTCTAAGTTATATCACCTACTTCAAGTAATTCGATTAGGCACAGTCTGATTACGCTACTTAGTACTAGAGCATGGTGCTCTAAGGCTAATCTATGAGTACCTGGACGGAAGCGCTATAAGGCCAGTCACAATGTCAGCTACACGCCCTTACTTTTTAGTCGAACGTGAAAAGATGCAAGTATCTACCTCCAAAACTTAGTCGGGGCTTCCACATCAGACTGACCAAACAACGCTGCAACTCCTCTGTAGGTGGAATTCCCTCCTAGGACCAAGTCAATTGGCTCCGACCTAATAATACGACAGGTAGAGTTTACGTTTTGGAATATAGTATACGGAGAGGCGCGCTACGAAAGCTAATTGCAGGAACCTCGTATATTGCTGCGCCTGCTAGCTGGTTAATAGGATGTGGGAAATAGCAGGACAGAGGAAGTGCAGCGGGGAGGTTCAGTCAAGGTGTGCTATAGAAACCCTACACATTATCACTCGAATACCAACACAAGGAAGTGAAACCCGCACGTCGGCCATCCAAGAGCCCCGTCTGTCACTTCGCAACCTCCCAATAATAATCCAACTGCAGTGCTGCGCGGTTCATCCCATCCAAACAATGTACGATTCCTTGGCTACACGCTCTAAGCACTCGCAATCACAGAGGCACCTTTATTCTCAACTTTCCACAGCCCTCGTCAAAAGCATTACGGTAATTCCATCATTACGAAGGTGTGTTACAAGCACTCCTGCTAAAAGTGACGACGAGCTGCGCGACTCGACGACACCTTTCACAAACGAGAGTTCTCGAGAAACCTCAAAGAGGCGGCTAGGAATAGCCCTAAGATCGCTCATACGTCGCCAACCCAATAGCAAGCCCTGTACCGGTTCATAACACGTCATGCGATCAACCTCCAGTGCGACCAGAAAACCTTCGCACCTTTCCCCTTCGCCCCGACCAACTCCACGCTATGATGATGCCAAAAAGCAAAACCCAAAATGTCGTAACGCCGGCCCATGCAACTGAACGAAGGAATTGACGCAAGACCTACTTCGCGCTAATCATGAGAGCGCTCGCCTCTGCGTCTTCCGCGCTTTTCGACCCGATATCCCTGGCGGTCTTCAGAGTAGCGGGACCAGATGACAACTTCCGCGGTAGGTGCGAGAGGGCGTCACAGCCAAGCTGATCGTCCTCTCCGTCGTCCTCACTGGTAAGCTGAGTTGAAGGGGGTCCATCGGAATTGCAGCTGGCGGTCTCAGCCTCTGACGTTTCCGGCTCCTCCCCTTGGCGTAACTGCGAAGTAGTGGTGGTTCCAAGAGACACCTCGTCATCCGACCCCTTCGTCTCGCTTCCAGTGGACACGTCACCGCTCTGGAAATGTGGCTGGCGATCGGGAGAGGGCGTGGCGGCTTCGGCAGGCGTTGAGATATCTTCTAAATCATCTTCCGGAAGCGGTACCTCTGCGGCTGTGTCGTCAAATGCATCAGCCACAGAAACCACAAGAGTCTCAGGAGGTAAGGGTACATCTGCAACACCCAGCTTGCTCCTGCGATCACTCTTCCGCTTCCGTGGTGCATTCGGATCGAAGTGTTCGTAAAACAACATGAAGACATTCCCCTGGTCGAGCGCCTCCCTCTCCTCTACTGAATAGACGTTGTCATCGCTCAGGCGCCACCACTGCTCCTGTTCTTTACTTTCGTCATCCTCATCACTACTGTCACTCTCAATGTCCGTTGTGAAGGGATGCTGCCGGTAGCAGATATAATGCCCGTTGCCGTGGCTGCCGAAATGAGCGACTGCAGCTCGCAGTGTATATTGGAACGGTGAGTTGGTGTTATTTCTCTCGCCTCCGAGCATAGATTGTTGAGGGTCCCTGGGCCAGGCTTCCTCAATAGACTCGTCAGGTCGATGGTCGTTGGAGGGCCGGCTGCCCAAACACCAGTTGCCGAGGTCTAATATCTTCGGGTATATGACTCTAGCCAGGTTCTTGTACTGGTTCCCAGTCATCTCGTCAAAGATACTTCTGTTGATGTGTATGACAAGGGACTTCGGAGCCCGCGCAATCACCGATTGCCGGGACTTTGTGCTCTTCACCCAGTTCTTCTTAAGAACTCCCAACTTCTTAATCAGGACCTTATCTTCAAAATCCTCGTCTTCAAGTGCCTCTCGTACTGCGTCGAAGCGATTGGCAAGAATGCTTCCCGGTGTCAGCTTCTCCGATGGCATTGCACGGAGTGTACGCTCCATCTTGAGTAGTGTGCACTTCGCGCATTCAACGCCTTCGATGAACTCGAGGTGCGTATACTCGTCGAGACACTCTCCGATGTTGTAGGCCCGCCCGCGCCCTAGTGGTACGGTGAGGCAGTTGAATGGTATGAGGGATAACCCTTCTGTATATCCGCACTCTACGCAGCCAACGCGCTGAGCCAGAAGACCATCGAGCGGGTTGGGCTCAACCACAGGTTGTTCCGGTAATAGAGGGCTCTTAGGTTCGGTGTCAGAGATGACACGTTCAGATCCTGCTGCACTCGGCGACTCGCTGACAGTTTCCGCATCAACGGACAGAGAGACACTCGTCCGCCGCTTCTGGTTCGACGCCGCCTTGACTTCCTTATCCAACGCATCCAGTATCTTCGAGTAGTACTCCTGGGCATCCTGCTGCTGAAATGTGCTCATGGACTTCAACGATCCCTGGATCCAAAACTGCTTCCCGTGATTCGCCGGATTGTTGAGCTTCTCAATCATGTCGAAGAGGGCGCCGCTCGTGCTATCAGCGCTTAGCGCACTGTACTTGGACGTCATATTCGCAAGGTACTCCCGTAGCGACGGGAGCGACGCCATGCCCTGGATTACGCTATTCTGATAGCAAGAGTTGTCCCAGTTCCCTAACCCCGCAGGCACGTTTCTTCTGTAATTTTTGGATAAAGCACCGGTGACGCCCCTCATACCCTTCCCTATCAGGCCATCCGAGCTCAGATTGAACATGTTGCCAAACATGCTTGCGGAACGCCCGGCCATGTCTGCGGAACGGGCGCTGTTGTCGACTTCGGACTCGCTGTGATGGAGTGGAGGGACGTAGCGGATTAACTGGTTGGATGCTTCGGTCGCCATCTTCTCGAGACGATGGAGCCAAAGCCGGATTGACCACGGTAGAGGGAGCCGGAACGGATCTAAGCTTAGGTAGAGGATGTAGGTGACAAGAAGGCCCCCGAAGAGGTACGACGCTGAAAAGGTTGTAAACTCGAGATCCGGCGTGTGGAAGGGGCTGCTCATGTCGCTCGGCCAGCCCTAGATTTAGTGGGATGATATAGCGCCCGTGTGGACCGTCTTTAGGTGAAGAGGGTGACGCGGCAGGGTTCGGCCTTGCCGCTCACCGTTCCGGCCAGCGCAGTGACAATGACAAACGGCCTTTGGCTGGATTTTGAAACGACATGGAGGAAAGTGGGTAGGAATGTGTGGCGTTGGCGGGAAACGATGGTGAATTGGCGCTGGTCGGAGAAGAGTAGTACAGGCGAACACGGAGCGCGGAGCGCACGGAGCACGCGAGCTGCTTTGCGATTTATTTCCTTTCTTGGCACTGGAAATGTGGGGATCATAAACTTGACAACCAGGCGGACGTCCACAAGCACGTTGATAAAATCAAGTTCGGCGTTTCGAGCAAAGAAGCAAGCAACTTCAATTCCGCAGTCCCAAGTCCCGAGCTATCTCTATACCTAAAAGCTACAACATCTGCGCGACTCCGGACAAAAATGGCGAAAACGGCAAAAGTGAAGAAGCGGCGTACGGCAGCACCTCCGACATCTTCTCCAACCTTCCATGCTGATATATCAAGCAGAAGCCACCATACACTCACGTGCCGCCCGCCGCGCAGTCTCTCCCTCCATCGACCTTGACAAATCCATAAAGACCGCCACCCCAGACTCCCCCAAACAGAAGGCGGCGAAACCCCACGTCCTCGCCTCACAAAATGCCGGAGTGTCCAAGAAGACCAAATCTAAGCCTCTCAAGCGTCAGCAGAGGTTACGGCACTTGAAAGGTCTGGAACGTGCAGCAGATAACTTAGACAAGCTGGAGCTCAAGGTGCAGAAGAGTGTAGCAAGAGAGAAGAATGTGCGTGAGCGGCGGAAAGGATGGGAGGAGGTTAACGGTGAGAGGAGGGATAAGAAGCAGAGGAACCCATTCGAGGCTCTTGAAGAGGGCAATTTTGAAAGCTCGACCAGGGAGCGAGAGTGGGTCAGCGATGAAGAGATGCCCGAGGTTGCTGGTGCAGGAGCTGATGATGACGTTGTGCGGCCAACTGTTTCTGGGGAAGTAAAGAAGGTCGTCACGGGGAAGAGTATACCTATTTCCATGGCGAACCCCGAGGATAACGAGGTGCTGTAACGGTTTGCGTACCAAAGTTTTCGCTGCACGGGAGGGATGATTCTGCACCTGCGTTGGTCTTTCGAGATTTTCAGTTCACTTCACCTCTGCCATAGAAAGGGGTGTTTGGGAAAAGATCAACAAACGAACAGGCATTGAAGATTCGGAAAGAGGCGAGAAACGATTCCTGAATGATACCCATCTAACTATGGTAGCGATTCATATGCTGCCTAAGTTGCTATGACCGATATTTCTATGCATAATAGTGCTTTAGATCGATATCTGCAAATGCCAGCACTTGGTAAAACGTCATCCTTCCTGAGTCCCTCCTAGGCTTCCTCCAGTAATGGACGACCCCTCGATATCTTCTGTATTTGTCCCCAAGCCAGCCCAACTTTGCCCAGCCGTACGCATGACCAATTCCCGATTCAGATCCTTATCAAACCAGCGCTCCCTTCTCTTAGATCCTCGTGTGCCTCCCTCCAACGCCACCCGGCTCGCCCTTGTTGTCCTAGGACGTTTACTCCTTCCACCTTCGCAGAGGAGGTTACTTAAACGAAGCCTTTCAGCCTCAAGGCGCTGTTCGTGTGACACGATGCTGCGGACGTATGGTGCCAAGTCCTCAACGACAATGCTGAAATTACGATCGAAAGCAGATGCCGTCAGAGGGTAGAGCGAGGAGATGGATGGGGTACTTGAAGAGGGAGTAGCGAGGATGTCGAAGGCTGCAGAGAACTCCGGCCGGGCAATGTGATTCTGTGTCAACTTATTCGCGGTATCTTGTAGGATAATCTCAATAAGTTCATTATACCGATTGACACTGGTAACGCCAGGGGCAACGCCCGTTGCGCTGCTGCCGAAATGACGCTCCAGATCCAGATTGATTTGGACGAATATGTCGGTATCGAAGTCGCTGAAGTCTGATAAGTGGTCCACCTGCAAGACTGGAGCATCCGATGTGTAATTCAGTCGTTCCTTGTCCGGTATTGGCGGTAGCGTCGAGTCTGTCGGTTCCTGTTCATACCGATAATACGAGGGGAGTCCAACCCGAGAGTATAGATCGACACTGCTGAGGGCATCTAGAAAACGGTCTAAACCATGCAGCGCGTCTAGATTAGAGCCGGATGATGGGCCGGTATCCGAATGGACGCACTGTTTAGGCGGTTCTCGAGCATTGGGACGCAATCCCCAATCTTTCCATGCGTCTTTCAACAGAAGATGCTCTTTATCGAAACCGATGGTTTCTACAGCATTGACCGTATCCTGAGGTAGCATTCCCGTTCCAGATATGTAGGTCGCTTCACTCGCTACACGGATTGTCCGTCCATTCTGGTCGACATCTTTGCCGGGCGGCCATCGTTGGTATATCCATTCAAGGCCGCCTTTTTGATCTCCGATCGCCATTTGACACCAGAAGTTCAATTCAGTGATGCTCGCACGGAGGTCGAAACCGCGTGATTGATACAGTTGAGCAACGGCCTTGTTCTCGAGTATATGGCCTTCTTTCGCAGCCAAAGTGATCATGTAGTCCGTCGCCAAGGATATTGGCACGGGAGAAAGCCGAAGAATGGCAGCGACGGGTAGGTCCCAGGTGGGCACCAGGCCCTCGTTGTTGCATGTTATGATTATCGGTCGTTTGCTATGGTGTGCCAGCTTTGTGACATGTGCCCAGAACTGTTGGTCCTCTTGGAAAAGGATATCAGCTTCCTCAAAGAGTATCAAGGACTGCTTCTGAGCAGGCTGTAGCTTCGGCACGGCGGGGAGACTGGCCTGACTTTTATTTCCAGTCAGTTTCAACGCCTTCTTCTTAGCTTCCGCCGGCGGTTTTGTTTTTGCGGTAGTGGCCGCTTTCCGGGTGGATCTGGGAGCGGACTTGAAGAACGAAGTCATTGTGCCTTGTCGACCACTCTGGATGTCTCTTTGCAGCGCTTCAGACATAAGATCGTCTTGAGTGCTCTCCTCTTTGTTTGCCGAGTTATCCTTGTCGCTCGTTTCTCCACGTCCCTGGTTAACCAGATGGTTCTCAGACATGTCGCCGACCCTATCCAGAATATCCTTTCCGGAACGACGGCTGCCGGAATTGATCTCAAAGACCTCGTAACAGAGTTCCTTGGCCACCGCATAGACAGTAGCGCTCTTTCCGCATCCGTGCGGCCCGCTGATGATGACAACGTTCTTGTTTCTGGACATTCGTGACCTTTTCAAGGACCTTGCTCGATGTGGAACCAGATCAGAGGATCCATACTCCTCATTTTCGGAAATCTCCACCAATTCGTCATCCGCATCTTCATCACTCGATACGATGAAATCATCCTCCATCTTTTTCCTCTTCTTCCTAGGGGGTTTCTTGCTATCGCTGGCACCGCCCTCCAAAGTAGCATCCCTTTGCCCCTGGACACTCTTTACTGTCAAGTTCTGCAACCAATCACGAAGAACAGCAGCCTCTTTCCCGACCTGCAGGACTTGAGCAGCCATGGTAGGTCCATATTTGTGGACCCAAGACTGGCTTTCGCAAATTCCTTTGTCAAATGGTGTCAGGACGTGCTCAATATCCTCGAAATGGACCTGAACTGCTGCATGGGCTGGGGATGGATATGCGCTGATTTCCTTGCGAACTTTGCTTTGAATATCTATTCCTGTAGTTAAGAGACGGTGTGGCAGCCTGGAGCTCCCAGACTCGACCTTGGAGCCAAGATTCTGACCGTGAATATTTTGCTTAAGCTGTTGCGACAGCTGAACGAGCAGGTCTTGCTCCTGGGGGACGTTAACAATGTTGTACTTTTGTTTTCGAGGTCGAAAGTGTGTTGTTTCATGTATTGGATTCGGGGGAACATGCGCGAAATCATCTGAACCGATGTCTCGGACATGTAACGAGTCGCTGTTCGGCCAGGCGGCTTCGATAGCTCCTGCACTCCTCGGACCAGAGCCTCCTCCCCTTACGGAACCGAATAAAGGTACAGACGTCTGCTGGGAACCCTGGTGTCTCTGAGTCTCAGCTATCAACTTCCCCGGAGTCACAGCTGTCTTCCTCAGGGTTTTTGGAGCTGAAGGAGCATCGTCAAGGGCGGGTGCGGTAGCAACCTGGTATTCTGCTTTTGGAGGAGCTTTTCCTAGAAAGAAGGGATGCGTGGGTTTTGCAGGTAAAGGAGGGTGCGAGGGCGTTTTCTTTGGGGTTACTGGCCGGACAGTACCAACTCTGCCGTTCAAGATATCTTCAATTTTCTGGCCAATGCGCTGGCGGTCTTGGGCGTTTATGCCATATCTGATCACAACGTTGAAAGAAGGTCTTGACTTTTGACTCCTCTTACCTCGCTTCCTTTGTCCATTGGCAGACGCGCTTTTATCACTTTCCAAGGGGTCCGGCGAAGATAGAAGCTTGCCGTTCTTGCTGACCTTCACCATCCTTCTTTTCGGTGTCGCATCCGTCGATGCGTTCAGTATGATATTGCTTGATATTCCATGGACCACACCATCTTCTTCACCATCGTCGGCCCCATCTGTTTGCTTCCCAAGGGAAGATGCAACAGTACCTGAGCCCGGAAAGGAGTTGTATGATTCATCCGTATCCACAGTGGAGCTGGACGGGGCGTCCGTGACCTTCATTGCTTCTACCTGGAGCTGCTGTTGCCAGTCATTGTTTCCAGATTCGAGGGTATCGTTTCCATGACTAGCCGCGGGAGGCGATGTTTTCCTCCTCTTTCTGCGTGCTCGGTTCGCGATATCGGATCCTTCCAGTACGTCTGAAGTTACCAGCTCCGCAGAGAGAGGCGGCCCAGCGCCTTCTGCAGCGTTCTGAACGCGCCCGTTGACTCCGCATCCAAACTTCTGCAACGAAGCCTGTACTTTGCATGCAGTCTTGTCCTCGTCGCCTTCTTTCAGAGCTTTCCTGCTCCGCTTGCGACGTTTTGGAGCATCTGGGTCTGTTTGCTTCGAGTCCAGCTCATTGTCACCCTCGGCCTCACTACTCGCTTGGGTGACATTGCTCTCTTCCGGCGGTATCGTTCCTGCAGAACAATGAGTTTGGGTGCACGGGGAGGACCAAGTATCGTACTACTTGTAGGCTTGGCAAAGAAAGGATGGATGGCTTTCTTGTCTTCATGTCCCATTACTGTCTGTACCGCAGTGAGCGCCATTGACCAAGAAGAGGCAAGTTAATCCAGCATCCTGATGGACAGGACAGCATGGAGGTCAAAAATGCGGAAATGTGAGAGCTCGAGGTGAAGGTGAACCTTGGAAGTGAGGGACGCGATTCGAACGCAAGCGACGCGACGATCGCCCGGTGACGCACATCCGCCAGGCACGTGAGAAGCCAAGCAATTGGTGACCGGTGTGCTCTCACCGCCCGCTTGACCGCCAACCGCCAGATTGAGTCCTTGCAAAATTTCGACTTTTGTCAAAGGCAGACTTGCTATCCCGGCGCAACCGCCCGCGCGTGACGGCTCACGCAGACACCTCAAAGAACGCCTAGGTCCTGTCTGGCAAATCAATATGTCGTCCGAAACTCGCATCGGGGCCGCGTTTGTCCTTGCCTCACTGCCACGACCGGGAAGCTCATCCTCAGGACGGACCCAAGCGGCTTGCGTGTACAGCATTGGCGGCGCGAAGAAGAAGCAGCGGTCGGAAGTAGCTGTAGGAATAGATGGGGAGGGTATATCAGTCTATAGCGTATGTATATCATCTCGAGCAACATGACCTTTGCTGATAGTCTCGCAGTTGCAGAATCCCCAGCTTGTGACTTCCTACGCACTGCCACCCGAGACATCCTTTACAAGCCCACCACATTCTCTCTATCGCAAACAGGCCCACGAGCAACGAAGTGTTCGATCCACATATGCGGCTACCCGGATACCCTCTGGTGATGGACTTAACGTAGTCTGCTTTACCGAGGAAACCCACCGTGATGGAACGTCTGACACTGTGAAGACAAGCTACGTTGTTCGGAGATCAGGCGACGATATTTTAGCCATTGAATCCATTACCCAACACGGAAGTGCGGATACCAATGGATCTCATGATGTCTTAATTGTCTTCTCCAGCGGCCATCTCCTCTGCTTATCCTCGGACTTGGGAACGACTAGATGGGAGGCCGACCTTAGGCAATTGACCGACAAGCGAACATCAGGGTCCGCGTTCAAGATTGAATATGTCACAGTTGCCACAGCAAAAGCGGCTGTCAACGGCTTGCTCAGAGGCAGACAGGATATTGCTGCAATCCTGGATCCCTCTCTGGAAGGAAAATCAAAGATTCTCGCCCTAACGCCAGTCCTGTGCGCGATCTTTTCATTCGATGGTCAGCCACAAACTCTAGCTTTATTCCAATTACAGCCACGCTCTCCGGATCTTATCTCGACTCGGTTGTCCCCCGTGAAGCATTTGCACACTTGGATCCTCCCGTCCACCGAAACGACAGCTGCTGCCGAAACCGCGCATGGCTCCTACAATCTTGACACTCCTTCTGGAACTCTTTACCACTTCACCAAAGACCGTATCCTCTCGTATAACTTCTCTGGAACCGTGCCGGAGCTGGACTCGGATTTGCAGTTGCTTGGATCTGGCCTGTCTTCCTTTCTTCCCATCTCAACAGATTTAATCCTTGCGCCCACCGAGAATGCATTGGGATTATACGGATTGAAATATGGTTCAGTCCAGTCGATTCTCCCTTGGGAGAGAACAGAGGCCTCCAACGACTCGAAAAAGCGGAAGCTTGACGAAGGAGATGGTGTGCCATTTCCACAGACCGTTCCTTCCCTCGTCTGCTATTTCGCGGAAAGTGGCCTTGCTGTAGGCATTGCGAATCAGGAGCTAGTGGGTATTGAATTGGTAGAGTCACCTGCGAGAAAAAGAGTGAGAGCCAATGATGCATTTCTCGTTGGCGCAGTCGGAAAGGCTGTTCGATCTGGACCGATACCGACTAGCAGCGCGGATACATCAGACTGGGAGAAGAGGCTTCAAAAACTTGAGAAGTATTTCTCGAAAGGAAAAGTCGCGGATTTCGAACGACAATACGCAGCCCATCTTCACATTGAGTTTGCAGATACAGCATCCAGCACAGAAGGGGATGGTACTTCCAGCCATGCGCTTGTTCAAAATGGAACCTCCCCCCAAGTATCTACTGAGGATGGCACAGAAGAACTGAAAATTACCGAGTTACGGAAATGGGTTCTTCCCGAATCGATATCGGACTCTCAGAAAGACAGGTTCCGACATTGTGCAGCTTATGCTCTTCGCAAGATCTTTCGCTATGTCAAAAGGGAGTCATCTGGTGGGCTTCACACAGTGTCGCCTTTGAAAATCCAGTTCTTTCCGCCGAATTTGTTCCAGTGGCTCCTGCTCTCCGGATTTATTACAAAAGAATGCATTCATCACGCATTCACCAGCGACGGCGCGAATGAGCTTGGCACAATAGGCGCCATATCCGATGGAGATATCGTTACGGCCATCGTTGACTTTGACCCAGAACTGCATATTCTCTCGGCTGTTCTCAGTCAGCCGTCTGTCTTGCCGATTGGCGACGTTGTTCAAGCAATCAGAATACTGATGCAAAATCTCGATGACCGCCCGGTTGACCGTCGCCAGCCTGGCTTTCTTATCAATGGCACATCTTCGAAGGATGATGAGATGGATGTGGAGCTAGCTTCTGAATTCGATGCCGCGGCGCAGGATCTTGATCGTGCTATGTCTCTGTTAGATGAGGGCCTCTTGATCCGCAGTCACAACCTTCAACTAGCCCTAATGAGGCTTCATAGTTTCCCGGCATCCGACATCGTTTCTACATTGCGGTCAAAGGTTCCTCGTCGCGAACAGGAATCTTTGATACGCCTCCTTCATAGCGAGCTCCGGAATGGTGGATGGACTTCACAATACAATCTGGTCGATGCGGATACGCTCGGAGCAGATAGTTGGGTAGAGAATCCGGAAGACCAAGCTGTCGCCATCATCGCCTCCTTGCTTGGTTGCGCCCTTGATGCCATTGGTGCTGGCGCATGGCTTGGGTCTATTGGCGATTCAGGCTCTGAAGAGGCGACTGAAGATATGATCCAGGATCTTGTCCATGACACATCCGAGGCGTTGAATGGATTCTGGGAAGCAAGGTATATGAGGGGCCTGTTGAGCGAATTCCTACGTTATGCTTCCAACCTCTCGAAAAGCCAGAAGCCGACCAGCCAGACGCTGCAGAAGCAAGGCAAACCGTTCACTGAGGATGTCCCGACGGATGATGTGCTTCCTATGCTACCTCTTGGTTGTAAGGTTGACTTGGGAGTGGAGAAGACGAAGCCGGCCAAGGGAGGCAGGAGGAAGGAGAGGAGTGCCAGAGAGATTGGTCTGTTGATAAGCAAGCGGGTTCCCAAGTACAGCTTGGAAAGGATTGTTATATAATTGGGGATAGAGAGTAGAATCGCGCAATACCACTTGTCGACTTTCTGTGGATATTTATCTGCCGCATGTGTTGGATGTGATCCTCTTGATGCAAGTGCAGCCGAGCTTCCGTTGGGAAGCATGCGATGAATTAAAGGGAGAAATGAGAGCATGCTGGTTGTTCTGCCTCCTCACTCTGATTGGATTAGGTGCATACCGAGGACAAAATGCATTGCCGGAAAGTTTATAGCCTCACGTATTCATTGAACCTACGCTATTATTCTGCAATATTGGCGCGTTGCTCAATTCTAGCACTTTTTAGTTATCCCTTGCGTCTATAGACTGAATGGAAGGTTGGAGTTTCTGGTTATGCAAGCCTGTAAAACTGAATCCGTAGGTAATCTACATAAGGCCAAGAATTCACAAAAGCAGAAAGATAGCAAACAGTTGCTTCCAGGAAACGCCTGGGAGAGATTCGGAAACAAAATCAGGTCATACCCAGAGTGCTTCAATCATCCCATTCCAGCTTTGTCTTCCGCTCCAGACCTTCTTCGTGTGTCAGCGGCTGCTCTGGTGCTTTGCGATTTCCATGAGTGCAACATCGGGGCAGAGTGTGTTGGGCTTCCCGCTGCAGAGTCGTGGGCACTAGACTGATGGCGATGGTAATATTGCTCCTATGGTACATACCGCACCAAAGGACAGCTGATACTATTTCATATCTATGGCAGTTTGAGCGTCCGCGCTGGTTTACATTGTCCTGAAAATGACCCAGTTCCCATCGCGGCAGTGGTCAGTGTAGTCACGGCTATTCTAATTGCTACATACCCTAGGGTACGTAGATACAAACTTACGGTCCACACGATCGGCGTGGGGGACGCACAGTCAAATGGCCAACCGGTCTAGCCACTAGATAATGCCATCATCAGGAACGGATTCCTCCGCCCAGCTCTCCTCCCACTCTTTGTAAGAACTGCCTAGCTTACGCTTTAAAGCTTCCTCCACCGCTTCTCCGTAGAGGTGGACTTCTGGTGTAGTGAGGGGTGGGTCAGGATCTGGCGACAGGGTCCGTGGAATGGGCCTCGGTCCCCGGGGGCTCATCCAGAACATCTCCCTTCCGAACATGTCCCTCCTATCCGGGGGATCTCTTCGGTGGTCATTCCGATGAGAGAATTGGGTTACTGCTGCCCAAGCGATGATGCAGGCGGTATCTTCGACCAACCCCAGTCCTGTTCGCTTGACATCATAGATTCGGTAACACTCGAGTTTTTCCAGATCATACTTGGATTTAAAAGTAAGCGGGTTCAAATGCGATGTTGTCAACCTCTCCCACTCCAATGGATCAATCCGCCACAAAGCGGCTGACTGTCTTACAATCCGCATCCAATACGTGGTCGTCAGCGCAGATGGAGGCTCTGTACATGGTCGTCGACGCTTAAACTTTAGGGTTCTCGGTGACTCTCTTCTCAGTTCCACCCGCAACTTGTCATTTTCCGCCAGTGGAGGCCAAAGAGGGAAGTTGTCAATCCAGTGTCTCAGAAATAGCCATGTCAAATTGCGGATGGTGTCTTGGCTGTCCTCTGATTGTGGGAGCACTCTTACCATGGAAGTGGTCAGAGAACATCCAGTTATCTTCTTAAGAGTTCGACAGAATCGGTACAAAGGCCGGTAGCCGTAGTTTGTTACCGAAGCACAAAACTTGATGCCTACGGAGTCTTTTTGCAGAAAAAGTTGCCATGTATCTTCGAAGATATCCCTACAGACGAAGGTAAAAGGCGGTAGAGCGCTGACAAGATTACCCCGGATACTGATTTCATACTCTCCTTGAGTGCAAGTGAGGGGATCCGTTACCACTCTACAGGGCAAAGGGCCACCACTGGAGTAGTTAGGATGTGGCAACCCTTGTACCCTCACAAAAGGAGCCGGGCGCATATCACCGTACCCGCGCTTATCTTCCTGCCAGCGGATGCCATCCACATACTCATCGGCGTATATACTGCATTTCTCGAATACCGTCTTTTCGATTTCACCTCTTTCAAAAGGCTGACGTACAATGTCGCTGTACGCATCTTGCAGAATTTCAGTTCTGCGGGTGAACCGCTTCCATAACCAGGGTGCATAAACCTTCTCTTTTCTTTGTTTTTTCGGCTCTGGAAGCTTGTCATGATTCAAGGTGTAATGGACTTCGAAGTACATCGTGTAAATCATGAGCCGAATTTCTACCGGCAGGCCTAGAATACGGTCAAAAAGATTGGGGAGCTTCGAATGACGGTGCGGTATGGCCCTTTTGGGTGGTTCGTGACTCACTCTCATTTCTCCCCTGGACCTTTTCCGGAGTGCATACTTATGATGACTTCCACTGCCCTTCCCTGCGGGGGTTTCCTGATCTTCCCTTCTCTTTCTGCACTCCAGCAGCACCTGGTCCCACAGCTCGCGCCCTTTCTTAGCGGCCTCCTCTTCCAACTGCATCTTCCGTGTCTTTTCTACCTTGGCCGGCTCCCTCAGAATGGAGAGATATTGCCGCGCTGCTTCGGTTTCGCATTTTGCCTTCTTTCCATTGTCTGTCATCTTGCCCGGCTTCAAAGTCAGAATGAAGAGACTCTTGGGAAAAGGTCTTACGAGGCATCAATTGATGACCGCATCCAAGTTATATCTGCCTGCGGTCTGTTTGCTTTGTGCCGTATGACCGTCTTTATATACTGATCATCAACAAACCTCAGTGACTAGGTAATGCCACAAGGTTCTGGTATGCCACGTATCGGAGATGGAAGGTCACGGGAGTGCAAATTCCAATGAAAATAAGAAATATGTCATGCGTAGTCCTAAAGGATTGCGTAATTTAGGTAATGAATAAGGGAAACTGCTTCAACAGTAGGGTAGGATAACGTTGCTACCTTCGATGTTGCTTTGAACCCAAATGGTCGATAGAAAACTACAAATGACAGCGGCCAATCAATGATGAATGAACCGGTGACATTATACACCCGCAAATCTTGGTTCCGTTCAGGGATGCTTGCCTGTACCTAAGGGCAAATGAATGGTCGTAAGCATGGGGTAGGGTCGCGCGAGCTGCTCTCTTTCTTCTTGAAGTGGTCACGACCTGACGATCAAGGTGAAGAGCCGCGAGCCAACCGGCGCTGCCTCGCACAAAGAATCCTAGCTCTTGTGGTGCTCTGTCCGCAGCTATGTCACTGACTTTACCAACCCCTACCGGGTTTGGTTGTTTAGTTTCAGTTATTTCAGTAAAACGTGCAGTAAGCGCTTGCGAGAAGAACTGACAGGTTCTCTGCATCTAACAAACCTTATGTTGAAACCTTACAGGCATCAACACCCGCAGGGCCGTGACATATGCATGTCCATGTTGATTGCGGCACAGCAGCTCAGCCCCCACGAAGGTGCCCCTGCAGACACGAACTCAGAATACGCTCCATATACCTGAGCCTGTACTGGGAGGTGGGGTTGTGGAGGTCTATATTCACGTCCTGAGCAATGCACTGTGGGTTTAATGGCCTCGCGGTATTCAACTTGCCAACCACTAGGTAGGCCACTGTTCGGTGCCACCCCTGGTGAACACGCGGTCGCAATTGTACGGCGCGACCATCTTCTCAAGTTAGAGATGGCCAAGAAGGCAGCTGTATGAATCTGACACATACTCTCGACATGCAGGGGCACCTTCAGAACGGAGGTGACATGGGGTCCATCCCGTCCCAGCCTCCAAAATGGTTCCAATGGAGTCCTTTAACTGAAGGCTACGGCTTGGTCCTCAACACTCCCTTCATCATCGCCACCTTCTCTCTTTTTATCTGTCACACAATCTCTCGCTCAGCCAATTCTATTATCTCTCAGTCTATCGTATCCCTGTCAACAGGATGGCTCGCGGAAAATCCACAGACAAAGCCTCTACGGTCGCTACAAAGAGCCCTAGCAAGGAGGTGGTATTGAAGGAACCTCCCAGTTCCCATCAATATGGGCGTTCCAATTGCTCTGGCAAGACATCCGACAGCTTCGCTCGACAGGAGAGGCAGTCAGCGGAGAGAAAAGACCGGGCAGGATCCCGGGCTCAGACTCCGACGAAGCCACGAGGCACTCGCAACTCCAAAAAAACCTCTGCTCAAAATCCGGTACACGGGACCCTCTCGCCTGTGGCAGTCTCTCCCGCAGAAAGCCATACCTCATATGACTCCGCTGACAGTGATGGTTATCCGTGGTCCACTCCTGAGCGGTCTCATGGAAATTCCTCTTGGGGAGGGACGGCTAGTACACCCTTAACACCACCAACAACCGGAAGACATGCCGAAGAAAAAACCCCTATCCACCTGAAATCGCCACTGCCTCGGGCTAAAAACCTATCCAGGAAACAAGCCGGTGATGCAAGAGTGCCAGTTAGCAAAGAAGATTCTGAAAGCGGTCATGAAGACGAAGAATTTGGCAAGAACCCCAAACCATCCAGGAGGTTGTTCCAAAACATACCGGGATCCAAGCCGACGAACGAAAACAAGGATAATGGTGCAGGACCGGAAATTAAATCAGACGGCTTGCGTGAGTCTTCACTGCTCGGTTTCATTATCCCTTTCGATGTTCACAAGCGATATTCGGAAGCCCGCACAACATGTGTAGCTACTACAGTTAAGAAGCCATATAAAAGGTGCGAGAAACGTCGAGCTCCAAAAGAAGATGTATTACAGAATGCTTTTTTATCTCTCCGGAACTGTTTCACGTACTATCAGGAGAGGAGATACGATGAGTTCTGGAATATCCTTGAAAACTTCGTGACAACGGCACTCTGCCATTCGCATCGCAAGACGGCCATGAAAGAGCGCAAAATGGAGGCAGTGGAGGCATACATCAAGCGGCTGTCAAACGACAAAAAACACGCCACTCTTCCGGACGTCACTCCATGTTTCACCACCAGCGAGTTTGAGGCGTGGATAGAGGCTATTTCCGATTCAATCGGCGCGGACCCGGAAACTGGAGCCACCTCTACGATTAAGTCCAACGTCAATTTGAAGGATGCCGACCATAAGACTACGTTGTCCCCAACATTTGATAGGCCTCCGCCTCTTAGGACGGATTCTTATCCGCTCGAGATCATAGGTCTGTGGCAGCCGAAAAAGACTATAGGTATGCCCGTTAATGAAGCGATTTTCGAAGTCATCTGGCGAACGTGGCGTCCGAAGAAACAAGAGAACGGCTTTATATACGTTCTCGCACATCATAGTAGACCTGGTTATCGAAAGATAGGGTACAGCAAGGACTCTGGGACGCGCAGGGGGCGATGGGATGCGGATTGTGATCGTCACCATGCCGAAGTCTCCCTGCCCGAAAATGGATATGTACTCCATGCTGAACGAGTTGAAAAGCTTATCCATGCCGAGCTAAAAGATGTGCGAGTGAAAGTAAAGTGCGACAGATGCAACAGGGAACATACCGAATGGTTTAAGGTTACAGAAGAACATTTGAGAAAGGTCTTTGAAAAATGGAAGGAATGGATCCAGCAACACCCATACACGCAAGGCGTTGGGAAAATTTGGATGCTTAAAGCGGACATGATCGCACATCTAGAGAAGGATTGCGAACCAGTGAAACTCGAGAAGAGCATGGAGCGACGACTTGCCATGGCTAGGACCATCAAGGTGGAAGCCAGTACATGACCAAGACTGGAGCAGACGAAGAAAGAGCTGGAAGCCGGTCGTGGCTTTGGAGTCCCGGATCAACGTCCTTGCCATGCACGAAGAACAACAACCCTGGGAACTCCTGATATTGAGGGGTCAGATCTTCAAGCAGATGAACGATCAATGCCACTATTACCATCCGGGAGCAAGAAACTACCAATAACGCCGTCAATGATATCCAACTATGAAAAATTGTCCTCAGACATTTCCTCTAGATAGCAGAGAGCTACAATCGTTCGACCACCCGTGGACGCGATCAGGTATGCTGGCCTGTAAGAACAAAAGTTTGTAATCGTAAGCAGGAGAAAGGGCACGCGACCTGCTTCGATCCGTTGGCTTTTTGAATTTCCTCGAGATATCAGTGTAGGACTGTTTTATATTACTATGTATCATCGAGGCTGTGAGCAATGTTTATCTCTACAGATAGGCTTTAGGTACTCTCTAGGAATACGACACCTATGACTTTCTGCCATTGCGGGACAGACAAGAGGGGTGGTCACTGAATAACGCCTCTAAGCCGAACACTGAAGCGGAATCTCATCCGTCTCAGCGAGGAGACTATTTATGCAATCGCGGAAGTGTGTATCTATTGTTTGTCTTATTAGGTGATTATAAAAGGGTGTTGGCGACGGCATTGTGCGACATCCAAGACGATAGAGGAGGTCCATTCTCTTCAAATTATTACATGGATCTTAGAGTACGGATTATGCTCAGGTTAGCATCTTCCGCAACCCGCTACCACGAGGATCAGAGTCTAGTAACCAATACACTCAAGGAAGCGTCTTCAGATAACACCCTGGCCAGGCACAGACTCCTCCTCCCAACACCGTTCCCATTCTTCATAACGACTGCCAAGTTTTGCTCTCAGTGTTTTCTCTACATCTTCGGAGTACAGTTGCATCTCACCGCTAACTGACCAACGTCGCGCTCCACAGAGACACATTTGAGCATGCCTAGCTATCATACTGGCTGTCTCTTCGACTAAACCCAGTCCAGTCTTCCTCTTGAGATAGACTGGGGGCCCCCTTGTGGGGTCAGGTACGCGCCTAGGCCAGTCTTCCAGTTCGTTTAAGAGTTGCACGGTCAGAGTCTCCCATGTTGAGGGGTCTATACGCCATAGGGCTGCTGTTTGCCTGACGATGCGCATCCAATAGGCCAATCGAAACGGTGACTTTTGGTCTTCAGTGCGTGCCCCCTCTGCGTGTGGTCCCTTGTCCAGCGCTGGATAACGTCCCTCAGCCCATGTCGCATAGGGTCGTTCTCTCACCGGAGCCCATAGCGGAAAGCCTTCGAGCCAGTGTTTGAGGAACAATTGTTTTAGGTGGTCAGCTTGAATTCGGGTTCGTGGATAGGAAATGCCACATGAGACTTGAATCCATGAAGTGGTGAAGTTCTCTCCACATATGTTCCTCATCGTTCTGCAAAATCGAAAGAGAGGCCGGTAATTGTAGTCATTGACGTATGCATAGAGCTTCCTATGCTTCCCCAAGTAAAATCTCCACATCTCATAGAAAACTTGACTGCATACAAAGGCGAACTGTGGTAGGAGAGAATGTATATTACCACGCTCGTCTACAAAAATCCAACCTGGATTGTGCAAGCCTGTCCCATTCTGGCAGCGATTACGCTCGCAGTCGTGTGGCCGCAGAAGAGACGGATCCCCCAAACCGCGAGAACGAAGACTCTTGGGGACCTTATCATTCCAGAGGCTGGACACATATTCGTCGGCATATTTCCTGCATTCAAAATGAACATCTTTCTTTACTATTCCCATTTCATAGGGCTCTTCCACGAGCTCACTATAGATGTCTCGAAGAATTGTGATTCTGGCCTTATCTTCTCTCTGTCGAAGGGCTTTGGTATTGTTCGAGAAATTTCGACTTCGCAGGGTTTCCTGCGAGAATCGTTTGTAGCCGATCGGCCTGTGGCACACCAGTTCATAGATCATGCAGCGGATATCGAGTGGAAGATCAAGAAATCTAAAATGTAGGGTGGGTTGACTGCTTTCGGTTCCACCTCCTTGATCTGTTTGTGTGCGATCTCCTGTCTCGTCGCCGGTTCCGTCCAACTCGGATGGATCCAGTGCTAGGCGCCTGCTCGTTTCGGCTTCTACTTTTCTCTCTGCTTCTCTCCTCCTTCTGCACTCGAACAACACCTTTTCCCATAGCTCTCGTCCTTGTTTTGCAGCGTCCTCCTCTTCAACCATTCTCCACGTCTTTTGCGAACGTTCCACCCTCACCGGCTGCTTGAGAATTGAAAGGTACCGTTTCTCAGCTTTCAGCCTCTCTTTCCGCGCGCTGGCTTCCTCTGCCTTCTGGTCTTCTTTCTTTTCTCCTGTCACTTCTGAAATTTCGTTTTCACAATTCTTGCCTTTGGACTGTGCAGCGCACTCTCCCTCATCCACTGGGGGCTTCTTCGTATCTTGAGTTCTGCTCTTCATTTCCGCTAGCCTGGCAGACCTGCGTCGCGCCATGTCTTTGTTTTTGGCTTTTGCTACAGACTTGGGAATAATAGCGTAGATGAACGACGATTTACGTCTCGTTGGAGTCATGCGTGAACATTATATGCACAAATGGTGAAACTGTTTTCACATCGAAGAAGTAGGAAATCACACAGTGGACTGACAAACCACCCGTAAGTTAAAGCCCCAAACCGCGATCACTTCCCAGCACACATGCCCTTGCCAAACTGTCACATGTGTTTCATCCGCAATTGCCAATCACTCCAGTTCAGAAGCTACGAGAGACGCTTGCATATCAGTTTCTGTTAACTTTTGGGTTGAGACCTACTATTTACGGTTTGCAACCACCACAAGGACAACGGCTATCACAAAGTGTATAGGCCACTGTTCCGTACTATACTTCAAACCTCTCGTAGAGCGTGATTGCGCCGAGAGCAGCATCTTCAATGATTTTCTGCATGTGCTTGTGCGTAATGAGCAAGCTCTGGCGCTGTGACAATCGGCATATGACTGACGATTTGTCAGTGCATGAAGCCTTCCACGCTCTGAGCACATGCTGACCTGAAGACAAACATCATGAGAGGTATACAAAATCTCTACTTGTCGAGAGGAAAAGGACTTCCAATCTTTCCTTCACCAAGCTTTCCGTCCAAGTAGCTTTTGAACATGGCAGGAAACGGCGAATTACGCAGATCTTTGAGGTTGGCAGAAAAGAATAACAGGCATGAGGAGAGAAAGATCAAGAAAGAAGAGGTGAGCGGAGACGAGGCAGAGGAAGTGGTCCCAGAGATAGCGGGTGAAGATGAGGAAGGGCAAGCTGAGGAGATGGTAGTGAAGAAGGACGAAGAATCACCTGCCGAGACGCCTGCAGATGTATCGCACTCTGATCGAACAATGGGAGCAAAAATGGAAGAAAAACCAGAAAGGGCAGAGGAGATCGGAAAGGGAAACAAGCTGCCGAGAAGGGTGGCAACCAAGAAGCAAAAAGGCAGATTCGCAAAGAAGACTGAATCAACAGACGAAGATGACGTAGAAGCCGGGAAAAACTACCTTGCCATTCTCAAGGGGCCATTCAAGTTTGAGAAAACAGGGAGAATGAAGATGAAGGAAGAAGCGGTCAAACAAGGGCGAGACCTGTGGGAAAAGGTATTGTTGGAGTGCAAACTCAGGAAACAGATTGCAAAGGAGGCGGCGGCAAAAGCCAGGTCAAGGCAGAATCCGGCTACGCATGCTCACGACAAACTGCCAGGCGGAGCATCTCAATTTCATGGGTTTCTCAGCCTTCCAAGAGAGGTTCGGTATCTTATCTATGGATTCTACCTGGATGCTTGCGACGTTGGTGGGTGCTGCTCTTTTGGACAAATAGTACTGCAGCTACTGGATCGATATCGCAGAGATGGGGCTGGAAGCCCTGTGGGATCGTACCAAAAGTCGTACCGAAAGTCGACCAATATTGGGACTGAAGTGAAGTTGTCGGATAAGCGGGCATTCTTGATCCTCAAGGAGGTCTACATCAAGCTCGTGGAGGAGCCTCACGAGGCCCAACAATTGGAACAAGCTGTCTACGACGAATGCGCCGAATATGCGGACGATTATATGTACTTTATCAACTACAGACCGAATTGGGTCATGAGACCATTTCATCGAATCAATCAGCCCTGCCAAAATAACTTCCGAGTGACTGAGCGGGGTAACATCCTCAACGATCTCACACCGTTGTCCCTCGTTTGTCGCGAAATCCTGTGCGAAATGTGGGAGTTCTGTCAGTGGAATAAGGCGCCCATCATCGTGGATATACGCCAATGCGATTTTCGCCCCCTTTTTCGACTTTGCAGAACTCTGAAAAGACTATGCGGCTACAACATCACCTCCTCCATGGTCAAAATACGCTGGGAATGGCGTTCCTATACCTCCTCCTCTCCATCCGAGGGCCCTTTTCCTAAAGACTTTTACAACCTTGCGCAATTGTTTCTGATGCACTGGCTGGCGGGATTTCCTCTGTGGTACCTGCCAGCGCTAGGTAGTTGCCTTTTGGAAGAACATTGGCACTCTCCTTGTAGCGACGGGCTTGACAATGAAATCGACCCTTACAAGAGTGCCCGTGGCATAACTCAGGAGTATCCACCGAAGGTAGCCGTTGCGTATTGGATATGGGTTGTCAGACATGCTGCTGCTCTGTGGCGTATTGATCCAGCAATGTGGGATGTACTGACAGATCAGTACTTAAGGCATCTGAATTACGGTGCTCACCGAGACCATCATTGCATACGTCCGTTTTATCCACCTTGGAGACTTGGACTGGGCAAGATTGAGAATACGGTCGGCATTATTGCCACAGCTGCTCTAAGGCCTCTTCCTAGACTAGAAAAGCCGCCCCGCACCTTTCAAGCAGTAGCGGAAAATTTCGAGGTTAGGGACGGCCGTCTTCGATATTCGCCCGCAGTGCAATTTTATGGAAGAGCTGTGTACAAAGCTGTAAAAGCCAAGCCTGGAAGGTTTTACAGTGAATGGGAGAAGTGCTGGGACGAGGAATCCGTGCCTGACGAAGGTATCATTTAGGGAACTTGAACTTGTACGGATGTATTGGCTTATTTTATAATATTTGGCATGCGGAACTCGATCTTCCCGGTGAATACATAGAGAATGAAGATGAGTATGGTTACGGCTGAACGAGAGGAACTCGGGGCGTGCGAGGCGGATATGTGCACGAAAATATGGCTTTGCAATTCGTATTTTGCATCTGGTAGTCAGTGTCTACCCTGTTGTTGCTGGAATATAGATACCAGATGACCACTGACATACCGTGATTCCCAACCAACCCATTCATCAGTAAGTAACGGAGTACAATTAAGCTATTTGCTGTACTGTACGTAGGAGGGACAGTCTGCGTACACGGACGGTCCAAATTAGCCCACCCGCACAGTGCCAATACTTTTTAAGGGGTGCTTACCGTTTACAGAAAGCTATAGAGTAGGTAGAGTGAATTGGAGTGTAGATAGAGTAAACTGCAACTTCGGGGCTTCTAGAACTCCAGTTACTGCCTGGGAAGCTAAACTGCCTAGCCCTTCCGTAAACGGCTAGTAATTTGCCTTTCACGTACTGTACTCTACGTGGGAGAGGCCTCGTGCGTACTAACGGCGCCTCATACAAATACTGACAACACGTACGGTCGGGTGTACCTATCGATGAATGGGTTGACCCCAACGCAGGATTCCACAATCTGAATACCCAGACACGCTACTAACAACAAAGATCTGGTCACGCGAATACATCATCACCACAACTGAGCCGTTTAATCCTACCTTCTGAAACATACCTCCCAATTCTTCCCCACTGCAGCAATTCCTTCAGAGACAACGACTTCGACGTAGCATTCGCACCAATCCACACACAACAGTTCCATCGCCTTGAAGTAATACTATTAGTAGGCCTCTCTCTTGGAGAAAAGTAGCCTAAAACTCTCATTAACACATCCCTCAATTCGGAAACGCGACTCCAACAGCACGATCGCGGTGAGAGGCAGTATCTTAGACGACACAATGGACGACAATGTGCATTGCTTTGAAACCGGCAGTGACAATAATTTCGAACCACGTACGGGTCTTTCGGGTATGCAGCTGGTATTTGCGTAATAGCATTGCTCGATTGGTATACGCAGGTACATCACCTAGGTGCATCCTTAGGGCTCCCCTGAAACGGGCCTATACTTCCTCTCCTCTTATAGTGACCACCTTTACGTCATCACCAAGGACTCTGCCATCCATATACCGACAATCGATCTTCCAAACGCTCAATTCCGCAGCGATTCTATCTCTACTCTCATACTTGCGTTTCCACCTCCCTCAACAACGCCCACAGCCCCTCTCCATTCCTGTAGTCACTCCAAATCACATTCACCAACCACGAGTCCCTGCAAACATCTCCGAGAAGCTTATGAGACTGCGTCCGACTCGGATACACCCGCTGCCACTCGCGCCAAATCCCAAACGCCTCTTCAAGCCAACTCCTGAAGCTGACGGCCTCGATGATCGTCGGCGTCAAAATCTCCTTCCCCGCAAACGTACCCCACGTCACGGGGTTCACACTCGCCTCGTCGGACGATTCGAAGTCGCCGGCCTCGTTGCCGGCAAAGTACGTCACTTGGTCGTGTGCGTCGAGCTTTGGTTTGAGTTTCGCCCAATCCGCGGATGGGAGGAAAAACTCCACAAACGGTTTCTGAAAGACACGGCCATTCTTGGGTCCCCAGCCGAACACAGGGTCAGTCGATTTCACCCCGTCGACTGCTGGCTGAGACGCAACGGTCCACCACCCCTTTGCATTCAACTCTAGCAGCTCTTTTGTGATTGTGCTCGTCTCCGGGCTAAGCCCCTGTTCCGACCAAGGAATGGCTTCGAGTTCGCCTTGGATATGGCGCCTGAAAATGGTGGATATGTCGTCCTCCTCCACGGGATGACCCCAAAACTTCAAAGCCTGCGGCGTCGACACGTGAAGAGTGGGTCCATATCCATCAATCTCCCCGAACGCCGGACTCCGCGCATCACCCCAACGTCCGTTGGGGAAGTCGTCCCAGGTTGCTTCCCGGCCTAATGTGCCCTCGCCTTCGGATATGGCAAGTGCATTGGCACGGCTGTTGATCGGCCCTTGCGGAAAGCCAACCTCACTCTCCGACGCCTGAAACCCGGAATGACTGGAATGCGGATGAGACAAGATCGCGCGATTATGTGGAGAGGAGTCAAGAGAGGACAGACGACGCCGTATGTGGGTCAGAGCCCCATCCGGAGGTAACAAATCATGACCATTACTCAGTTCCAAGGCTTCCTCGTCTGCGTACGCCAGGGGTATTAGCCGGCAGTCTTCCAGAATATGCGATACAGCCTTCTCGAGGTTGAGAGTATAGAAGTGGAAACCGCGCTTTCCAACACTCGGTCTCTGCTTGATGTGTTCCACAATTTCCGATAGAATCTGCACACCAACCTTCTTCACCAGCTCGTCGTCGCCCTTCACGGCATCCAATCTCTCCAGCAAGCGCCGCGGTAGGCTAGCATGGCTCAGCTTCGTTGTCCGGCGGAGAATCTGGTAGCTCTGGATAGGCATCAAGCCAGGAATGATGGGTATTTTTTTGAACACTCCGCTCTCATCCTCCCGTAACATCGCTTCGAACCGGTCAAACGCCTCCACATCAAAGAACAACTGCGTAAGAATGAAGTCAGCACCCGCTTTCGTCTTCTCCACAAGGTACGGCAGGTCCAGTTTAGGATCCTGGTGCTCCGGGTGCGACTCGTCAGCATGGCCCTCCGGGTATGCGGCTACGCCAATGCAGAAGTAGTCTCCATACTGTTTCTTGATGTACCTCACAAGATCTACCGCATACTGGAAATCTCTGTTCGAGTCCTCCTCCACCGGCAACGTCTCATCGCGGTACTCCTCACTTCGGGGGGCATCACCGCGGAGGGCCAAGATGTTCCGGATGCCCAGCACCTTCGCTTGTTCGAGAGCCTCGTCGACGATGGAGCGCTTCATATTGGTACAGGTGAGGTGCAGACACGTCGTGAGGCCTAATTGGCGCTGGCATATCTCTGCGAGTTCGAGAGATTTGTTGGCAGTTGAGCCTCCCGCGCCCCAAGTTACAGTGACAAAGAGCGGTCGTAGGGCTTGGGACATGCGCTCCAGACGGACTTGGAGGTTCGCAAATCCCTACAGGGAGTTAGAGACCGCTCAAGGAGTATCTAGCTTGTAGAGAGGGGTTACCATGGGCGTTTTGGGGGGGAAGAACTCCAGAGAGAAGTAGTTTGCGCCATCTGGCAAGGCGTTGATCTTATCCGTGATCTTTTCCATAACGAGTGGCGGGCTCAGAGGAGCAATGTTTTGGGTATGGAAGGGGAAGAGTCAAGAGAGTCATAGCCAGGAGGTAGTGAAGGTTAGAAAGTGTGGGCCATAAAGACAGACGTGCGGCAGCGGATAGGGCAATCGTGTAGAAGGTGGGGCATCCAATCGACAATCCCGCTTGCCTGTTTGGACATAGCGTCTCAGCCACAGCGCCACACTTTCGGTAGTTAGTTTGAACGACATCCCACCTTGCACGGTGATACACAGTATGTAGAGCAGCCGGCTTCATCCCCTTGTCTGGGCAAGATCATGAACGAGAAAGAGAACAGGTGGAAAGATGGAATGGAGAGGGTTGGGAAGGCGGAGAACGCCTAAGTTGCAGGCAATGACCTTCGCTTGGAGCCTAACCGTTCTCTTTGCGTCGCTCTCGCATTTTCGCGTTAGCAATTCCGAAGCTGTGTCCTCTTCTTCCCCAGCAGACGCTCCGCGTTCTTCTCGTAAATCGCTTTCCTTTCTGACTCCGTGAACAAACACTCCAACCCATTCTGCATCCTCTCGGCAAAGGCTCTCACGGATGGCGGTCGCGTGAAAGGGTAATCGCTGCCATATAACAACCTCTCATGGCTAATTCCATAGCCGTGCACCAGAGCTTTCAACTGTCCAGAGCCCCCCTCGGGTCCATCGAACACCCATCCAGCTAGATCGAAATAAAACTGCTCATCCAGGCGCTCCCTCGCCCACTGTGGATCGATACGAGGCTCGCCCGGCACCACATGGCCCCATTGGACCATTCGTGTCCAAGTCGGCGGCAGGCATCCCCCTGCATGCGGCAAGATATAGGTGATATGGGGATACCTCTGCACCGTCCCACTCGAGAAGAGATCGATGACCGCTCTGGCGGTATCGAACAAGAACTCAAACTTTGGACTCGGATGGTGCTGCGCCAAGGGTGTGGCGGGCGTAGGAGGAACTCCTTGCACTGTACACGGTGTAGTCGGGTGGATGAAGACGGTAGCTCGCAAGTCGTCAAGTTCCCTGAATACGCGGTCGAACCGCGGGTGTCCGAGATACAAGCCGTGGTAGTTGGTTAACAGACAAAACCCGTCTGCAGAATCTTGACATTGCCGGATCTCGCGAATCGAGGACTCGATATTCGGAAGCGGCAGCGAGGCCCAGTAGCCGAACTTGTCAGGATATGTCTCTTTCAAGTGTGCAGCGTGCCGGTTTAGACTGGCTGTTAGCCCAATACTGTATGCGTATTGAGAGCTCAGCCAGGTCCCTGGAGAGGAGATGCTGAGGATTGATTTGGTTACATTATTCGCTGCCATCATTTGCAAATGTTCCTCAATAGACCAGGATGGGATGCCAGGCATGCCGTCTGGTTTTTGATGGCCTGTACTGCGGAGTGCCTCGTCGTAAAACTGGGGAATGAAGTGGGAGTGCACGTCGATGCGGGGCGGCAGAAGGCTGGTCGAGGATGAAGAAGCCATTGCTTTTAGCGAACCTATGCAGAGTGAAGATAACTGGAAAAACGAAGTCCGAGGAAGCAGATTGATAGTGTCGTGGCTGGAAAGACCGAGTCAAAGTGCAAATACTTCGGCTCCCCAATGGGTTTCCGATTGTTGTGGCACGCTACAATACGCTGCAATGCAGTTGCCAGAAGATGGATCGTCCCTGCCAACGCGAAAATGCGAGAGCGACGCAAAGAGAACGGTTAGGCTCCAAGCGAAGGTCATTGCCGCCCATCTAGTTCCGCCACCATCTGCGTTTCCAGGTGATACTCAGGTCCGGCGGACCAACCGCTAGTGCAAGTAGAGGGACAATAGGAAATTGTTAATAGTACGTGCGACTGTAGTAACAATAACATTGCAGATAGCTAGACAAGAGGAAGTTATTGTTCCCTACCTGCTTAGCAACGAGCTGCCTTAGCTATTGCGCCTGCTATTAATAATAGAGCCGAGCATAGTATGCCGCCTAACATTGACCCTAGAATTACGGTCGAGGAATGCACCTTCACCTAACAAGCGATCACTTATTACCAACAGCGCGAACGGTGGTACAAAGCTGTATTGATTGTCTACGCACTTATAAATACTTGTACGGGTTCATGATGCCCTTCTGCGATGTGTGTCAGTGCTTATTCCTGTCTGCATTGCATTGGCCTTACCGGGTCATAGAGGTCCTTGATCTGCTTCATGAGCTTCACCATAATCTCGCTTCGGCTATATCCAATGTAGGGCCTCTTCTGAAGACCAAGACCATGCTCGGCGCTGATGCTGCCGTTCTTTGATTGTACCCATTCGTAAACAAACGGTTCAAGCTCCTTCTCTACCCTCTTGTCGTAGGACCGGACAGGGACGTTCAAGTGAAGGTTGGAATCACCCATATGACCATAGCCTACAACGTCGACGACAGGGTAAGAGTCATCGTCGCCCACTAAACCGGCCTTGGTGAGACGATCACGAACATCGTTTACAAGGTCGTACATGGACGCAATAGGGATCGAGAGATCGTACTTGTAAACACCGCCCCAGTGGCCGAGGTGTTCCGGGATGCCCTCACGGCAAGACCAGAGCTCTTGGATTTGGGTCTGATCTTGTGCAAGAGTACCGTCTGACACAATTCCATTTTCCATGACGTCTTCAAGGAGCGAATTCAGTTTCTGCACTCTGTGAGTAAAGGCAAGCTTCCCCAAGGCAACACACTCACTTCGCTGTCATGGTCGGTGTTGGACCCGCTTGTTTCAATCAACGCGTAAAATGGATACTCCCCTTCCAACGGCAGCTTCTTGCCCGATGCCTGAACGAGCAACTTTTGCGTTCTTCCGTCCATCAACTCGAAGGCCGACAAGATTTCAGAAAGTTTTGATTTTGCTTGCCGAAACAGGTTCTGGACCTGTTCATAGCTTTCCAGCCCAAAATAGGCGACATTTATAGCTGGGGACCGCTGAGGACACAGGATAGAAATGGCTGTGACGATACCGATGGTGCCTTCGCCGCCGATGAATAGCTGCTTCAGGTCGTACCCAGTGTTGTTCTTGCGAAGTTTGGAAAGGTCGTCGACAATAGTACCATCAGGTAGGACAGCTTCGATTCCCAGGACATTGCCGTGGAGACTACCGTATCTTAGCAGGCGGAGCCCTCCTGCATTTGCTGCAACATTGCCTCCAATCTGGCACGAGCCTTTTGCGCCCAAGTCGAGAGGGAAAATGTGATTCTTCTCGGCCAAGAAATTGTCCGCAACCTCCAGAATGACACCGGCGTCGGCAACAAGGATGCCGGAAACTTCGTCGAATGATCGTATTTGGTTCATTCGTTGAAGGTTGATGACGATCTCGTCGAAGACAGGAACGGAGCCGCCCACTAGGCCGGTGTTACCACCCTGGGGAACAACAGCTAGCATATTGTCATTGCAGTACTTTAGGATCTTGCTGACTTCTTCCGTGGACTGCGGTTTAAGAACAAGTTTAGCGTGGCCACGGTACTTCCGCATCCAATCGCTGTTGTAAGGTTCTATGTCTTCCGAAGCATCTTTGGTGACTCCATCTATAACAGCAGACTCTGAGCCAAGAAGATTCTTGAAATATTCTACATGTTCCTTGGTAAGCTGTGAAAACTTTGAATGTCTTTGAATCTGGGGATAGCTTTAATTGGGTCAGCAAAGTGTGGGTTTGCTCGGTTCGACATCACGTACGTTTCTGAGGTAAACTTTACAGTCTTGGCAGGAGCAGTCTTGGTCGACCGCTTCTCTCCGGGCTGTTGAGGTTCAGTCGTCGCTCCTGATATCCACCGGACCTGCGTTACAGGCCGGACGCGCTGTATACATTGTGTACGGCTTGAAAGCTTGACACTGCGCAGAGATCTTGCAACCCGCGTCGATGTAGCCATTTTAATGAGTGAAGGATAAAAATGCGCCAAGATAACAAACGTTCAGCGAACAGTGATGAATATACAACAGAGAAATCAAGGGTTGGAGGTATCCCCAACTCCTCAAGAGTCGTGAGAGGACTTCCCCCATGCCGATACAGCTCCGAAGTGCTTAGTCACGATCAAATGGTCCGTGACATCCCTGTTCCTCTCCAGGCTGAACGACATACGCGGAGCTTCCCACAGCTTCATATAGCAATCTCATCAATCGCCTGCTCTCCATTACGCCTTTGCTGTTCCATTTTCCTCTTCTGCCGTCCTCCTCCCTCTTCTAAACTTGGCGAATTTGCTTCCACCTCAACAATATGGCCTCCGGCTACGATCGCGCTCTGTCAGGTATGGAAACTCGTCGCTGGGCTTGGTAAACAGCAAGCTAACATAGAGCTCACAACAGTTTTCAGTCCCGATGGTCACGTCTTCCAGGTTGAATATGCTTTGGAGGCTGTAAAGAGGGGTATGTCCAGGCTGGCTGCATATACTCCACTGACGCTAAGACAACACAGGTACATGCGCCGTAGGAGTAAAGGGAGCGGACATCGTCGTGCTGGGATGCGAGAAGCGGTCGGCAATGAAGCTTCAAGATACCCGTATTACTCCTTCGAAGATCTGCCTTGTCGATAATCACGTCGCCCTTGCATTCGCCGGACTCAACGCCGATGCCCGCATCCTTGTCGACAAGGCCCGCCTAGAAGCACAATCACATCGTTTGACGGTCGAGGATCCTGTGTCAATAGAGTACATTACAAAATATGTTGCAGGCGTCCAGCAGAGATACACACAGAGTGGTGGTGTCCGGCCGTTTGGCATCAGCACACTCATCGTTGGGTTTGATCCCAATGACAAGACACCCCGCTTGTACCAGACTGAGCCCTCGGGTATCTACTCTGCATGGTAGGATGTATTCATGGCAAATGTGTGAGGGCTTATCTGACGAGTTCCCAGGAAGGCGAACGCAATCGGCCGATCTAGCAAAACGGTTCGCGAGTTCCTCGAACGCAATCACAAGCCCGATATGGATCGGGAGGAGACAATCAAGCTGACTGTGAAGTCGCTGTTGGAGGTGGTGCAGACAGGCGCCAAGAACATTGAGATCGCGATCATGGCCCCAGGAAAGCCCATTGAGATGCTACCCGTTGAGGATATCGAGAAGTACGTTGAGAACATCAACACAGAGAAGCAGGAGGAGCAGCAGAACAAACCTGGCCGTAGGCCTGGTACAGGAACAGCAGCAATTCTCACGCGGCCAACTGGTGAGGGTTCGGGTCCAGGAGCATAGAGGAGGACGGATCAAACGACAGGCGCAAAGCATGCAGGATTGGAATCTTGTGGTATACGCCTTTCACAGGACCATATACAAAGATGATTGAGGGAGGTATGCAATATTCGGCGCAGCTTGCCCGCTTACTCCTGCATACTCCGTGCTATGGATAGATAGACAGCCGAGAACCCGAGGAACGCCAATAATGCCAAACATGATGCCAAATACTTTTATCCGAGCCTGTCTGCTGCATCCTTGACGTTGAATATAGACCTTTGCTCCTCCCCGCGGACTCGATCGTCCTTCAGCATTCTAGAACCGTCAGTATGTGCCCAGTAGAGGGGTCCCGCCGTAGTCTGAGCTTGTACCTTGCATCTTTGCGCACATCCTCGCCTTCAACTTGGAGCGATGCCTTGGGCGTGACAGCCTCCAGTACGAAATGGTTGTCGCAAAACGGGCAGTACTCGTCGCTGCATCTCCGGTCAACTCCGTGATCTATCTTGTGTTCCCCAGCGACTCCTCACCTCTCCTCAAACTCGCGAGCGTCCTTTCTGAAGCATTTCTTGCACTTCTTGCATGCGAATGTCATCTCGAAGCTTTGTAGGAGGGGGTGATCGGCGGTCTCGCTATGGCACTCGGCACAGTCGAACCATTTCCGGCCTGAACCAGCTGTGAGAATGGGTTTGAAGGAGGCACCGTGCTACGAACGTACAACATGGGGAGCGGATGGCGACTTGGGCGTTGAGGACGTGTTTGCTTTGCGGGGGTCAGCGGAGGTCTCGCGGGGTGGCACGCAGGAGTACGAGGTTCACTAACCACATGGCGGGCGCTCTTTGTCGTTGCGGACAGTTTGCCGGTTCTGCTGAAGAGGCACTGTCGTCTGGTTGGTATTTTTGCGATCCTTTTCTGTGACGGTTGCGTGAATGAATAGTAGGGAGGTAGTGGAATGCTAGGGGCTTCCGCTGGAGCTTGTATTCTTAGAGCACCGTCGCAGCAGCACAACCTTCAATCTTCAACCAAGATCCAGACACCACCGTCTACCCTTGCGGTACCTTCCGTCGCTCGCGCAAACCTCCTTTACCTAAATACTCGCACTCAGAGACGACGGTTCGCCGCCGACGCTCCCCGCGCTCTGAAACGCGCAAGCTGCGACGCCTAGCCATTCACGCCTCCAGCATTGCGACGACGCATTCTCCACCCCAGTCCGGTAAACCATCTGTCCAGCATTCCTAGCAGAACACACGCCGTAGGGAGCGGTTCCGATCGCTTCGCGCTCCCCCTGCACCGCTCTCTCGCTTTGCCTATTCTTCCTTAATCATTTTGCGACCTTCTCCTTGCCCCCCGCCCGTTTTCAGGAATCGCGGTGCGGGGAGGCCCTCACAAGTCCTGAAGAACCAGGTCTCGAACTGAAGGGTTCGGGTGGTGGCACCAGTGGGCCTACAAATACACGTCTGGATACGTTGGATTGCTAGGAAGACTTCAACATGGACGCCAATACTGATGGGAGCACCGATGCTTCTTCCATCGTAAGTTCACTCCCCCAAAGAGCAAAAGCAACTGGACTCTAATAGATCACTAGAAACCAGTGTCCTCCCTCCGGAGTCACTTTGAGAACATGCTTGGGTCTAATAACAAGCCGTCCGCCCCGCCTACACCAAGAGTTCCTACGCCTAAGACCCCCGAACGATTGGGTGTACCAGAAAACCCGAGAAGAGCTGATGGGAGAATATCGCTAGATATCCCAAGGGAGACCTCGGGAGCGGTGTCGACCTCGAATCTAACGGAAGGAGGTGCAAATGGTTCAACTACGCCGCGGGGACGAGCTGATTTACGCCCACCCTGGGTTACTCCCAAAGCAAGGCCTTCCTCGATGATGAGCTTCGGAGCAGCACGGTCGCAAACCAGGTCACCTCCCAAGTTGACGATACATTCGCCGCGCTCTCCGCCAAAGTCTGCTGAGCGGCCCATTCATTCCCCTCTACCCTCGCGGGCTTATTCGCATGCTGTCCTGGATTCTCCAGCTGTCCAAAGCCCCAGCATCATCCTGGGAAAGCCGTTCGTTCCTAGTAGAAACGGAACGCCTTCCTCTGAGTCGAGACAGGCTCCCCCCATACCAGTTGCTTCGAAGCCTTCACCGCATGGAGATCCGGACAAAAATACGACATCCGTTGCTCCCACATCACCCATACCTCCACCGGTAAATCGCGCAGGAAAGCCGAAGATATCGGGTACCACGAAAGTAAACCCACCGGACTCTCCTATCCGAAAATCGTTACCGCCAGACTCCCGTACCGAAGCCTCGGATATCGGCGTTTCGCCATTCGATACGCCTCCTAGCCGTGGAACAGGCAGCGTAAGGGGGAGTATGTCACCTCGAAACATAGCAGAGACCGAAATGGGCGCGACCCAGAGAATCAGCTCAAGAGATAGCTACCTTCCTCCTCGCCCAAACTCCCGTGCCGTTGCCGAGAGGACAATGGCTCTAGATTCTCGCCTCGGCTTCCAACCACAGAAAAGGTCACAAGTGACATTGAACAGAGGGCACAGCGACCTAGCGGAAGATAAGCCCGGCCTTCCTCCAAGAAGAGACGAGGGTTGGTTAAGGAAGAGTATGGTGTTGCCGAGAGCTGCTCCGATTGAGCCGCCCGTGAGACATTCGATGGATACCGTACGACCTCCGCTGTCAGTGTCAGAGACAAACAACCGATTCAAGCCACCTCCGAGGCGAACGCAAACTTTGGATTTGCCAGAGAGGACCAGCGCCCGCTCTCTGGAACCCCCGAGACCACCCCCGCCGCGTAACTCTGGAGAGATGAAACGACCGTCGCATTCGAATATCAAGGCTTCTCCACGTAGTTCCGGAGAATTTCCACGACCGACAACGAGGACTCCTCCACGAAGCTCCGGAGAGACGGGCAGCCAGAAGATTCAATCCGCACGTACCTCTGGAGATCTGAGGACCTATGATTCCGACGATGCAGACGTCCCTCTTGACAAGTCCGCACCAATATTGACCGATTACCCTGATTCATCTGAAGCAAACCGCAGACCACCAATCTTCAGGGAAGGCCCGCGAGAGATCCCCACCAAGTATGACACGAAACTTTTTGCCATTTGCGGAGAGTACATATGCACAAGTGGCTACGTGACCAGGGTATGGAGCCTTCTGAACGGAGAGATGCTGATGAGCCTAAGTCATGGGGATACCGTCAAAGCTACAGCAATATGTTTCAGACCCGCCACCGATGTCGAGAACGAAGGGAAACGACTATGGGTTGGCACAAATCTTGGCGAGATGCACGAAATCGATATTCCAACACAAAGCGTAGTATACACAAAATCCAAGGCGCACCGGTCGCCCCTTACCAAGATATTCCGGTATGCATCGGAGATGTGGTCACTGGATGAGGAGGGTGTGTTACATATCTGGCAACCCGACGAAAGCGGATCGCCAACTCTGCACCCAACTCCCTTCACGTATCGTGTGCCTAGGGGGCATTCGTTCTCGATGATTGCTGGGTCTCAGCTCTGGGTTGCTTACGGCAAGGAGATCCGAGTTTATCAACGCAGCAGTGATAATAGGTTCTTCCAAGAGGCGACGACAAATGCACTGTCGCAACCCAATGCTGGCGACGTCACGTCGGGGGCGATTCTCAGCAGCCAACCCGATCGCATATACTTTGGCCACGTTGACGGTAAGGTCTCGATTTATGCCAAGAGGGGGTTCGCATGCCTCGGTGTGGTTAATGTCAGTCTATACAAGATCAGCTCGTTGGTGGGCGTTGGAGACTACATCTGGGCTGGCTACATCACTGGAATGATATACGTATACGACACGAGGAGTACGCCTTGGAAAGTCATGAAAGACTGGAAGGGGCACGAGAATTCCATCGCAGGCATTCTAGCGGACCGGACCAGCATGTGGAAGCTGAACAGGCTGCAGGTTGCCTCGTTGGGCACAGACAATATGTTGTGCATATGGGATGGGATGTTGAGGGATGACTGGCTGGAGACGCAGATGCACCAGAAAGACGTCGAGTATTGTGATTTTAGGGAAATCTCGGCAACCGTCATGACGTGGAACGCCGGTGCAGCGAAACCAAAGGCACTAAGACACGATAACCAGGACGAGAACTTCTTCCGGGACTTGCTACAGCCTCAGGACCCTTCGGACGTCTTGGTTTTCGGTTTTCAAGAGCTTGTTGACCTGGAAGACAAGAAAGTCACTGCCAAGAGCTTCTTCAAGAAGAAGAAGAAGAACGCCACGAGTCCCCATGAGCACATGAGCCACCAGTATCGAGCATGGCGGGACTATCTCCAACGCATCATCTCAGAATACCTTCCCAGCGAGCGATATACCTTGCTGCACACGGCGGAGCTTGTTGGCCTCTTCACGTGCATCTTCGTCAAGGACTCGGAAATGTCCAGGATACGAGACGTCTCGGCCGCTCAAGTGAAACTGGGGATGGGCGGTCTGCATGGAAACAAGGGCGCCCTCATCGTGCGCTTTTTCATGGACGACTCGTCGGTTTGCTTCATCAACTGTCATCTGGCGGCAGGGCAAACGCAGACGATGCACCGGAACAACGACGTCGCCACAATCATGGAGGCATCTGCCTTACCTCCCAACCGCTCGCCTTCCGACTGTGCTGCCTTCTTCGTGGGCGGCGGAGATGGCTCGATGATCCTCGATCACGAAATCTGCATCCTGAACGGCGATCTGAACTACCGCATTGACGCCATGCCACGCAACACGGTCATCGACGCCGTCAACCAAGGGAACCTGAAGAAGCTGCTTGAACGGGATCAGCTGCTCGTGAGCAAGAAGCGGAATCCCGGGTTCCGACTTCGAGCCTTTCATGAGGCGCCCATCACCTTTGCGCCTACGTACAAATACGATGTGGGGACCGACACGTACGACACTTCGGAGAAGAAGCGCTCTCCTGCGTGGTGCGACCGCCTGCTGTACAGGGGCGTGGGTAGGATCAAACAAATCGATTACCGCAGGCACGATGGCGTGAGGGTTTCGGATCACAGGCCAGTCTCTGGCAGGTTCAAGATCAGGGTCAAGACTATTAATACGAAGAGGCAGATGGCGACGAGGGAGAGGTGTGAGGCCGAGTTTGAGCAGGTCAAGCAGAGGGTTGCGAAGGATATCAAGTGAGTCTTTCTCATCGGTTTGCTCAAAAGTCCCAGTACTGACTGTTGATAGGCATGACTACCTCTGCAATGTGTTCGGTCTGAGTCCTAAAGAAGCCGAACAGTTGCTCAAGAAGGGATAGGGGTGTGGCTACTGCAGTGGTTTTGGTGTAGGCCTTGAAGGGCGGAAATGCTATCCATGCGGCGATGGTGTGTAATTGTAATTGATAGAGTTGAAGATACCCCCCGAGGTAATGCAATGCGATATCCTTCACGTTGTACTCTGCACAGGTCTTAGTCATCCTGCGGTGATAGACATCGTGGTGGACGTCACCCCTGCCGCTAGCGGAGGAAGATCACGGTGACGTCACCTCACGTAGCCGTCTAAATACCAAATCGCAACAACAAAACATGCATTCCCACACGAAACCACCGTTCCCTTCTTTCCTCACAATTAAATGTCCCCCGCCCGAGTCATTACCCTCCAGCGACCTTTGGCCCAACTATCGCGTTCGTTAAACGCACCAATCACTTCGCAGTTCAGACCTCAGCTCGCTACATCCTCTGCTATCCTCGGTCTTCAACTCCGTACGAATACATCCAGCACCATGGATAAAGACCAAAGCCGTGGCACCGAAACCACGGGTCTGAGCGAGTGGAAGCAGCGCCCCCCATACCGCATACACGAGCCCAACGAGAACTTCAAAGCACTGTACGAGGCAAACTGCCACTGCGGCAGGGTCAAGTATCAAATCAGCAGAAAGGAGCCGCTGGACTCGAAGTTGTGCCACTGCACAACATGCCAGACGCAGCACGGTACGCAAATTCCCCTCTCGTTCTGCTTCCACTAGAATCACCTTGCTGACATGGTCTGGTTTTTACTATATAGCCGCACCCTTCCAATGGGCCGCCATCTTCCACAAGACCGACATCAACTTCGCCACGGGCCACCACGACCTCGAATGGTACGACCCGACGTCCAAGTCCATCGAGCACAAACTGCCATGTAAGGTGCGCTGCAAGTACTGCCATTCCCCCATCATGGATGAGGGGAGGAATATGATTTTGCTGTTTCCGAGTTTGATCCATTTGAAGGACGATGAAGCCAAGGCATTGTTCAAGCCGAGGTGAGTGCCGTCGTTGCCGGTGTGGGTTATGAGTTGGAGCTCACTGTGTGGGGCAGGTGTCACATGTTCTACGGTCAACGCGTCATGGATATACCGGATGGTCTGCCTAAGTGGTCTGGGTTGAGCGAGGAGAGCGATCTGATTGAGGATAGTCCGCCGGATCTGGTCAGGGAAAGGGAGAGGAAGAGGGAGGAGGAGCGGAAGAAGCGGTTCGAGAAGGGGGAGAATGAGTAGGTCCTGCGTAGGGAGACAACAGGACGAGGATATGAAGCATGCCGTTCAAGAGATCTGGACGATGCATAGATTATCTGTAGGATATATGCTGAGAGGTGAAATAGAAGGGCCTCATAAGCGGGAGACCTGCCGGGAAGGCATGGCGTATGTGAATGAAAGATGTTACATGAGAATTCGGGCCATGGGCGATTTCGAGTTGGCTCTTTCACCTGAAATATCCTTGTCTACCGGACACGAACCTCCGGCGCGTCCAGGTCTGGCCCCCGTAAGCATACGACGTTTCCTCTTCACCTCTTATTATTTCCTTCTTGCCCCCTATTTTACAGTCATACGGAGCCTTGGAAGGTGTCGGAAGTTTGAAAAGTACCAGTCTCAACGAAGTAATCTATGTTGCCCATTCCTGTCGAAGACGTATTTCAAAAAAGCTCATCAGATCTCGTTCTATAGAGAGATGTGTATCTGGGAACCATGTCATCTTTGGCCAAAATGCACGCACTTTGCCTCTTTCCCTATTTACTGCTTGCACTCGTATTTTCAAGTCGTTGGTCGACCATGGTCCCGGTTTCTGGACTCCATTTCCCTCATCTTCACTCTCACCGCAAGTCAAGTCTCCTCCGTTTGCAGCGCTAACTTGACTCATCTCCGCCTCTCCACCTGCCAACCTTACTTCATATTGTCCGTTTCTTTAAACCCTACCTGCTTTGACTCTCTACCTCGCCTCCAACGGGAGCTCGCCCTGCGTCCTCGACTTTCTCCCTCGCCTTCGCGCCGAAGGCCATGGATGACCCCTTCGCGCAGTGTGAACTCTGCGGATGCATCTTCTTCGTCGGCGGTGAGGTCGGTCTCTGCACGTCCTGCTCCTCCAAAGGCCACTGCTGCTGCCCGGCGTGCGAAGACGATGCAGATCGAAGCTTTCTCCCGGGAGACCCTACTGGACATGCACGCGTCTCCACGACTTCAGAGATCACCCAATCTGTGCGAGACGACCAGGTCCATCTACCGGAAGCCTCCTCTCTCGCACAATCCTGCTCTAACCTTAACCTTTCCGACGAAGCAGAAAACATAGTGGACGGGGAAACTACAACCAACGACACCGCGTCCTCCACCACCACCGACGGTGAAGACCTCGACATCGACATCGGCATCGACATCGGCATCGACATCCACACCATCCTACACAACCGGCCCCAGACGCTCGTCTACACCCTTCTCATAGACTCCTTCCGCCTCCGCCGGCACGACGACGCGCTATCCCACCTGCCTTCCTGGACAAACCTCGAGCTCGCCGGCCTTCTCACGCGTAAACCATGCCTCGCGCAGTTCCGACGTTTCCTGTACCTCGCCCAGACGCGCCCGGGTCTATTGCCGTATTGGTGGATCACTGAGAAGGACAAATCGATGAGTGTGTGCGTCGGACTTGGGATGCAGAAACCGGGGGTGTGGGCTTGTTTGAGGCAGGATGTTGATGAGGGGGATTTGAGGGAGTATTATGGAGGCAGGAAGATGGTGCGGGTGTTGAGGGGGTTGGCGGAGGTTGTTTATGGTGGGGTGGAGAGTTGGGTTGTTGGGGAAGTTTTGCGGGAGAGGGTTGCGAGGAAGAGGATGGAAGAAGGGGAAGGAGAGGGTGGGGAGGAAGGGGAAGATGGGGGACGAGAGGATGAGGGGGATGGGAGAGAGGATGAGAAGGAGTGAGGAGAGAACTGGGAGGATGGGGGACGAGAAGATCGGGGGCAGGGGGAGGGAGAGCATAGGGGAGAGAGTTAAGCGCGTGTATGCGATAGGGTTTGGGAAGCTGGACGTGAGATATACTCTAGCTGAGACCGAGAATTGAAAATGTGTAGATCTGACCCACCGCCTCAGTGATTGACGAGCGTGCCTGACGAGCGCGATTGAGACCGTGCTCAGTGAAAGTGAAAGACCCACGGCCAACCGCTCCTACTCCAATTGCAAACACAGCAATAATATTTTTGGTGCGCGCACTATCATTTATATGCACTATATAATCCACAAACATTCTACACTCACCATCACCTACCGTGAGATAGCCTAGCGGTTCAAGGTCCTGCGTCTGGATCAAAAGATGCGCTTCTGCGAACTTGCGGGCGATTCGAGCGGTGGGGGATATTTTTTTGGTCTGGGGTTCGAGTCACGGTGTTGGGTTTTTGTGTTTTTGTGTTTTTGGGTTTGGTGGTGGTTGCGTGAGGGAAGGAAGGTTTCCGGAGTTGGTGAAAGATGCCGACGCTGGGGTCCAGTGGGGATTGGTGAACAGGTACGCAGTTGGTCTTGGATTTGTCTAGAGAATTTCAGAAGTATTTTTGATCTGAACTTGGAATTACCTAGGGTGATGGATCTTTCTATTATGCTGCCAGTCCTTCCAGCTGTGTTGCACCTTTCCGTACGAGACATTCTTCCACGTTAGGTGGCTCCTTCGTTCCTCCGAATCAACAATATATCTGTCCTGCCTCTCCCCCCTCTTCCTTTTCTTCTCCCCCATATCTTCCTCACTACCAGACTTCCAGGGTTCTCTTTCGAGACCACTTCCTTTCACACCTGATATTCGGAGGCACACAGCAACAGCCATGACAGACACAGCTGCGGCTGCTCAGGCCCCTCTCGCCGAAACCTGCCGGGTCTGCAAGAAAACAGGCTCGGCCCTGAGACGCTGTGCCCAGTGTCACAGCGCCGCCTACTGTTCTCGTCGCTGCCAACGCCGTGACTGGAAGCAACACAAGGAGAACTGTCAACCTGCCTCAGAACCAGTAGGATGCGGCGACGTGTGTTTCAACTCCACCAACGAGCGGTCTTCCGATTCGACCCAAAATCCTTCCTCTAAGCCGAAACCGCTGGAGAAAACGCTCTTCAAGCCTTTCAACCGTCTTGACAACGGAACCTACCTCCATGACCGCCCCAAGCAAGACGTCTACAAACTTCTGATCGACACGTTCCGTCTGCGTGAGAATGACGACTACGAGTTCGAAGGGTACAAGCAAGTGGGAATCGTTTACAAAGGTGCCACGCACAGCCTCGAGCCTTTCCGCAGGTTCCTGCGTCTCGCAGAGAGCCGCACGGGATTGCTGCCGAGCTGGTGGAATGGGGATGCCAGGAAGGAGTGTGAAGAGCTGGGAATGCAAACAGAGCAGGGAAACTGGAGTAGTTTGAAGCATCGCGTGGCGAAGCGGGATATAATCAAGCGATATGAGGACGACTTGACCATGCCCATGCAGTTGAGGATGTTAGGTGGGTTGGTGTATAGAAGGGAAGTGATGGGAGCGGACGCGACCTCTATGCTGAGAATGATGGTGTCGAGGGAGAATGGACAAGTGCCGTACCTGTCGATGTTCTCTATGTAGCAAGGGACGGGGTATTGGTGCTGAATGGGTGGCTTCACCACTTCTGAGGAAGAGATGACTACGAAGGAGCAGATTGTCAGCAGAGTGCCTATACCTTAGTGCCAATAGCATACAATATAGTGCAGACATATCATCTTGAAGGACGGATATCTCAAACTGTCTTTACTGATGAATGGAAAACTTAGTCAATACAGATTATTAGAGCGAGCTGTGTCAACCAAATTTATCGAAAAGGTTAATGAAATCTCCGGAACAACGATTATTCGAATGATTCGTCTTCCTGCATTTGGTCCCTTCGGCCCGACCGTTCCGAATCCATTTCACCCACTCCTTATCACTTATCGCCGGAGGATTACCTGTAAGCATTTCTACGACACGCCACCCGTCACTCCACCTTCACATCTTGGTCGATTGACCATGGTCACGAGGGCTCGCGGTACAGCTTTCATTATGAGTTTCCCGACGCCCAGACCAACATTTGAGTGTGAGCTGAGAGGACACGGCAACCTGCCCCGATGGTTTCCAGGAGCTTCTTCGGACCCCGCACGCAATGACAACAATGAAGTCACATAAATGCACTTAACCCCCAGCACCTGATTTGCAGCATCACAGCATTCCTTGAGCGTCCACAGTATCATTTCTTTGAGCTATACTCCGTACACAGTACTCCGCTAACAACAACCCCCTATCTTCACCGCATCCAATCGCAGGCCTCAATCACCCTCCTCTCCATCTACAGTCCTTACCACCACCCACTCGATACATAGGCACCTCCAACCGAGCTTCAACAACCTCCAACCATGGAAGTCATCTCCCCCACCACCTCCAACACCAGCGAGACCCTCTCCCGCCGCCTCTCGCGCATCCCCCGCGAACTCGACATCCTCCCGCAACCCCTCGCCGTCTCCAGCCTCCCAGTCGGCCAACTCGTCTCCCCATCCGCCAAACTCAACACGTCCGTCCTCGCCGACCGCGACTTCATCGACGTCGGCGACCGCTTCTACAAGGACGTCGTCCTCATCGACGGCAAGACGGGCCGCTTCAAGGAGAGCCTGGGCGGCGTGCGCTTGATTGAGAAACCCGCTCCGGGTGACGAGGTGGGCGTCATCGAGGCTATGGAGGAGCGGATCCGGATGCTGAAGAACGACGCCGAGGCTTTTGCCAAGGTGTTAAGCAGGGATGAGCAGGCGAGGGGCTGGATCGAGAAGAGGATGGATAGTGGTGAGGAGGTGGGGTTTGTGACGTCCGTCAGGGAGATTACGGATCCGAGGTATAAGCATGCGATGGTGCAGGAGACGGCGACGGGGGGCATGTGGGAGATTGAGCTCGAGTCGCCGTTTTCGCAGGAGAAGGGCCCCAAGAAGAGGAGGGATAGTGGGTTGGATGTCGTGACGGGGAGTAATACCGATGTCGTGGGCGTTATTGTGAAGAAGGTGGTAAGGGAGGGGGGAGATCTGAGGTTGAGTGAGGAGGAGCTTGGGACACAGTATTGGGTTATGTAGAGTGCTGGGTTGAGGGCTCTAGGTTGTTCAGGGGCAATCACCATTAGGACTTGTCTGGGAAGACATGGAGTTTGGTGTCTTGGTAGGCCTGGATGGCTTGTATAATATAGATTTTTGTTCTCACTCTGGTGTATCCGTATATTTGTGCTATACTGTAACATGTTGCTTCTTCTCGCTCTGTCTTGCCATGTGTCCTTACATCGAGCCCTTATGTTACCTAGGTGAATGTCATAATCACGTGACAGACATCACCCACCTGGGCAAGTATACGTTCAGAATATCAACTGTCGATCGATTCATAAAGGTAGAAGTTACACTTACTCGTTACTTTAAATGCAGGCCTTGCTCGCTCTTGGCGGTTCCGTCAAATTGCAGATCTATTTTGGCAAAACCCGTCGCCCACGACTACGCGTCTAATTTACTCTTTCTCCGCCCGCTCAATAAGCGTGGCTCTGTCTCTAGGTACGTAAATTGCTACTTGCGTACAAACTTCGTTGACCCTTCCCTTGTAGCCTGACCTCAGGCCGCCCACTTGAGCCGCGTACAAACGACCAGCGCCGGTGGCTTGGATCTGCCTTGAATCTCTGCGAGCCCAAGAATAACAGCCGCGGCCACGTAGACTACTGATAGTGCAAAATTTGGGGATATAGAATCATTCCTACAGTGTTGAACTTAGTCTCGTGGTTCGGCTCCAATCTCTAAATACGGGTGGGTGATATAAGAACAAGTGAAGCGTCGGTTCTAGAGACTACCCTACGTGGGGGAAAGAAGTGTAGTGAAGACGTCTCGGAAGTGACGGTTGCGGAAAAGGTGATTGATGCAAAATACCTGCAAGGTCGTGGGATTACGATGCCCAATTACCCCAGGACATGAGATTTTTGTCAGCGTTAGCCATTGGGATTTGGAAATGCTGGGGGACTTGTTTGATGTGGACATTGAACAGGAGACCAAGCCCACCAGCTCGAATAATACTCAGGTGACAAAGCAAGCAGTTTCCCACCTACGCGTCAAGGAACACAATCGCATTTGTCCAAAACAAGTACGATCATATGCGTCATAGTTTTTCCAAACACTGGGCAATAAATATATCATGGGCTTGTTTCGCAACCGGAAATACTACCTTGATTGCATGAGGCTTTGATACGGTTGACCGAATATCCGTGTTCCTATTCGCTGTGTACGATGTCATCGACCCAAGACACGGAGGCCGAGAGTTATAGCGAAGAATTCAAAGCATTGCGACGGAAGCTCTTGGAATATCCTATAGGAGAAGACTATCCTAAATTTAAGGAACGCCAGAAGCATGCGGTAAACCCTGGGAAGGCACGAGAGCTGTGGAACACAGTCTTGTCAGAGTGTCGTACGCGAAAATCGAGGGAAGGTAATGGGTATCACCCACGGGCGATGGATCGTGGATGGAATAGAGTTGAGCGTCATTGGGTTCCGTATGATGGAGACTCACCGAAATTAATGGACGAGCCATGCCTGGCGATGGACATGTTTACAGACGGATCGAAGGCAAATCCGAGGACGATGAGCTTGACGAAGAACGATCGGAAGGAGAATCGGATATTGAAAATGATATGCACGAGGAGGATAAAACGACACATGAGCCGGATAGGAGCATTACACTGGAAGGCTCCGATCAAAGAAGTAAAAGCCAAGGAGAGGTACCTCGACGCCCTTCGACCGGGCGACTTGAAGCGATTGTCAGCATTAAGCGGCAACTGCAGCAGCCCCAGCCCATCTCTGGACTGTTGTCGCCGCTGGAACTTCGATTGCGCATTTACAAGCTTCATATGAAGAATGTGTATGCAGAGGTTCCTAGACTGGAACAAGCTGTCCGATCAAAGACTAAGCGTCCTCTTCTCCAAAAGTGCACTCCACGCCCGCCACCGCCACTCTCCTTCAAAGAAGGTCGTCAAATTCGGGAATGCAGAATATTGTTACAAGTGCACAAGGAATAGTCCGGCCCGCCTATCAGCATGGCGACTTGGAGAGGCCTGTATACCTTGCGTATGAGAGTTACAACAGGGATTATCTACGCGTGTGTGAGACGTATCGACCTCCGCATCACCTGGGTCCTGAGGCGTATCCCCGATGTCACTTCCACGGCCTTGACCATTATGAGTGCTCCGATTGCAAGACCCCAGGCGTAAACCCCCACAAACATACGCGACACTTGCTCAAATTCAGCAGTCACGGGAATTTAGACGCAAGCCTGCCCGCACTGTGCTGTGTAAACAGACACATTTTCAAAGATATGTGGTGGGAGTTCTTTGGCAAGCAACAACGCAGCGCTTGAGGGCACGATCGTCAACTTGAATTATCGTCCTTTATTCAGACTTTGTCGCATGCTTCAACGGACGACGCAGCAAGTTTACACGTTTGACAGAATCGGGATCCGTAATGTGAAGAACCTTTGGAGGCGTAATGGGGGCTTCTGCCCAAATATCACAACGTGTTGGCACAAAGGAGCGAGGATTGCGGGGGATTTCTGTAATCTCGGCAAAGCATTTGAGGACCACTGGCTGTACGGTTTTCCCTTGTGGCCTCCGTGGGAATTGTCAGAGGAAAATGAAGGGGAACTTATACATTATTGGATGGATCGTACAAGGAAGGCAGCTGCCCTATGCCGTTGGGATCGAAAAGCCTGGGAGCGCCTGACCCGTCCCTACGTTTTACAAACCAAATCCTCGTTTGAGGTTCTCACGCGCCAAAAGTCTCTCCGATACGAGAAAGGCTTTGGTTTAGTGGAGGGGTCGATATGGATGATCGCCATGGGAGCGTATTATCGTCTGGGATATTGCGGAGAGTGGGAGAATCTAGATGACTTTTCAAGTGTCGATTCAATACACTCGTATACGCACAAGAAGGCTGGAAATCGGGAGTACGGATTTGTGAAGACGGTCCTGGAGTATCTACATCAGGTCGAAAAAGTACTTGATGAGAAAGTTCAATTGTCCGAGGAGACTTGGAAGGCGCTCTGGTGGGGACAACCTGTACCGGATGTCGATGTCCTATGAGGATGACCCCTGGGCACATGCTACAGAATCGCGGGAATTGATTCAACGCTGCTTGCTATAGATTCTTTTGGTTTACAATGGATTATTCTTCAAGGCCTCACTGGTGCCCATCAGAGCGTTCCGACTCAGCGTTTCCTCCCTGACTGACTAGGGATTCAATTCACTTTCAGCAACCGAGAGGTAGCGCCATATCGTAGAAAGTAGAATGACGTTTGACGAAGATCTCTCATCTCCAGTCTTCGTAATAGAAGGGCGCGCATCTTTGAGTACAAATGAATCCACCTGTCACTCGGGGCAAGGAACTCAGCTAGTATTTGACACCAAACCGCATTAACACCATCCACAACCCTCAAGAGAGGGCTTTTGTTACACAGCCGTACGGAGTGACAAATGCTTTCATATTATGAGGTCCTTGTCACGATCGCATGGTACGCTCTTGTGGTGCCTGAAAATCCTGGTCTTACCCAAGCTATCTTCCTTGAAAAGCGCAAAAGAATCTCTGTCCATCCTCCACCTGCTTGTAGCTTCGCCCCACTTGCCCTCTGAAAGGGGGTTGAGCCAACTGGCATTCCTAAGCGGATATAGGACACAATTGCCGCCTTCTCACTAGATGTGCCGTGGGATGAATGTGAGGTGCACACATAGGCGGCCGAAGGCAATGGGTATAATGCAATTTGGATATTCATCCTAAGCATATCAAAATGTCAGCGTTGTGTACCACGACATGATATGAATGACGGGACTCTGACTTACTAGTTCAAATTTGAACCCTTTCCTCCACACTCATATCCTGCCAGTGAAGCGAAATTGATTGCTTACATTTCTCCTACTACGAGGGACGTTCTTCTGGCATATAGCGTGCTGACTTGCTTGGCCTTCACAGAAACTAAGAAAGAAGATCGGCGACATTCATCGGCATCTCGTCGATCTGAGTAGAGTAATACACTAATAACGGTTAGGTCTATAGTAATGCTGAGGAATGGCGAATACTTACACTCAATATCTCGGAGGATGCGCACATCTTCCTGTGTGACGAAGTTGATAGCCACGCCTCTGCGTCCAAAGCGGCCACTGCGACCGATCCTGTGGATATAGTTTTCACGATTGGACGGAAGATCATAGTTGATCACCAGTGACACCTGTTGCACATCGATTCCGCGAGCCCAGACGTCAGTGGAGATAAGAACGCGCGAGTTCGCCTGTCTGAAGTCTTGCATGATACTATCACGCTCTCGTTGCGGCATGTCTCCATGCATGGATGAAACGGTGAAGTTTGCTTCACGCATCTTGTCCGTCAACCAGTCAACCTTGCGGCGCGTATTGCAGAAGATGACCGCTTGCGTGATTGTCAGGGTGTCGTAGAGGTCACACAGTGTGTCGAACTTCCACTCTTCCTTCTCGATCGCAATGAAGTACTGCTTAAGGCCTTCCAGTGTCAACTCGTCGCGCTTAACGAGAATGCGAACAGGATCAGTCATAAACTTTGTGGTCATTTCAAGGACGTCATAAGGGAGGGTAGCCGAGACGACGACGACCTGAGTAGCGGGAGGGAGATAACGGTAAACATCGTAAATCTGCTCTCGAAAACCACGGTTGAGAAGTTCGTCTGCCTCATCCAAAACAAGCATCTTGATATTGCGTGTTCGAAGGTTCCGGCGGCGGATCATGTCGGCTACACGGCCAGGCGTCCCGGAAACAACGTGTTGTCCATAATCGAGCTTGCGGATGTCCTCGCCAACGTTCGTGCCTCCGATACACGCGTGGCACTGCACATTCATGTAGTCGCCGAGGCCCATTATGACGGACTGAATCTGAGTCGCGAGTTCGCGAGTGGGTGAGAGAACCAAAGCTGCACTACGTTAACATGGATCGGCAAAGTAAAGGAGTCCTACGAACCTTGTGTCTCCCGGACAGCCGTATCGATGACTTGGAGGATTGAGATAGAGAAGGTTGCTGTCTTTCCTGTGCCGGACTGAGCTTGTGCAATGGTATCGCGACCTTTACAAATCTGCACAATGGCGCGAGACTGCACTGCTGAGGGCGACTCGTAACCGTATGCATAGATGCCGCGCAATAGATTCTCTTTCAAGTGCATGGCCTCGAAGGTTGGCGCCACCGTCACCTCCTTCGAGGTGGAAAACTCCATCTTCTCGTCCGCCTGCCGATCGATTCCTTCAGCCATCGTGTAGGTATTTCGGTATTTAACTGGGTGTATAGATCGAAGTGGGTTGTGGCGATGGCCGTGTTTGGGGTTGTCCAAATCTTTGGCGTTCACTTGCCAAGGTCGGAACGGATTTACCTTTTTCCTGAACCGCAGTTTTGCCTCCGCGCGCCTGGGGACCAGCAACTCGACCACTGCGAAGAGATCATACAACTCTGCCGTACCCAACCGGGGGTAAAATCCTAATTATCCTGCACGACCCATATACCGGCGCCGTCATGCCTCTTCTTGAAGACCAGCGCCTGCTCCACGAGGATCTCGAACGACTCGAGGACGCCATCGCCGAGCGGCTTTTAGAAGACCCCAAGCATATACGAGAGCGCCTCGCCCGCGATCATGAGATCAACGAGTTTCTTTCACTTATTGAGCATCAATCCGATCGCCTGCTCAAGATATATGAGGATGTCGACGGCGAAAAGGATCGCGAACTTCGGGATATGAGCACGGGGGATACGATGGCCTCGTTCAACAGACAACTTGCCTCCATCCGAGAGCACTACCGCCGGTATCCGAACGAACCTGTGGAGAACCTCGAGAAGGCGTACAAAACTCGCACACCAGAAGATCAAGCTCGAGCAATTGCCAGGATAGAGTCTATGTTTACGGGTGAAGAAGGATTTGGTCGCTTCTTCGACTTGACGATGCTTCATGAGCAGTATCTCAATCTACCAATTCTCCAACTGACCCGTCGGTTGAGCTATCTCCAATATCTGGACACATTCGATAACTTCACGCAAGGTACCTTTAATAGGACACAGAAGCTTTCAGAGTCATATTTCCAGTATCTCAAGGCCCTCCAAGAATATCTGGAAAGCTTTATGCGTCGAACCAAGCCTCTGGAAAATCTGGATAAGCTGTTCGCCAGCTTTGATAAAGAGTTCGATGAGCTATGGGAGAAGGACGAGGTGCCTGGATGGGAGAAACAGGAGAAACGGGCGACGACAGTTGCAGCTTCGGAGGAATCCAGATCAACCGATGGCATCTGGTGCTCTGCCTGCAAGAAAGGCTTTGCATCGGAGGCTGTGTACGAAAACCATTTGACGGGAAAGAAACATAAGCGGGCGCAAGCCCTATTAGATGAAGGGTCAAGGAATGTAACTGACGTCAGCGTGCCCTTGAGCACCAGTGCACAGCGCTTGAAGGAGCGAGCAATCGCGGAAAAGGAGTTTCGAATTCGAAAGCTTGCGGGTGCCATGCAGACCGAGCGGAGCGATACACGGGCCAATGTTGAGAGGAAGCAGGGTATGACCGAAAGGGAACGTCAGCATGAACTTGAGATGTTGTACAACGACACGGTAGAGGGAGCTGGCGCGAAGGAGGAGGACGGCCACGAGTCGGAGGGCGAAGACAAGATATACAATCCGCTCAAGCTGCCCCTTGCCTGGGACGGCAAACCCATTCCTGTGTGGCTGTACCGGCTTCATGGTCTTGGAGTGGAGTTCCCCTGTGAGATTTGCGGCAACTTTGTCTACATGGGTCGACGCGCTTTCGACAAACACTTCAGCGAACCTCGACATGTGTACGGTCTCAAATGTCTCGGAATTACTGGCAACATCTCCCTCTTCCGTGAAATTACGAGTATTGAGGAAGCGACCAACTTGTGGAAGAAGTTCCAACAGGACAAGAAGAAGGAGAAGACAGAGGCCGACAACGTGGTGCAAATGGAGGACAGCGAAGGCAATGTTATGCCTGAGAAGATTTACAATGATTTGCTGGCACAGGGTATCCTTTGAGTGTCGTCCATGATGGTAAGCATAGGTTACTGGAGTTTTGGTTACAGGTTGACATCTTTTGGGAACACTTTAGGGCTATTATTTGCTCTTATGGGGAAGCCTACTGGCCATGACCAGGTATGGGGGTTATTGCTTCAGCGTTGGCGTTCGGACTTCTCAATAGGGCGGTTTCTCATTGATACCTCAGTGAGAGGCAGTTGCACATGGAATACGAGCTGTACAGGATTCCCCAGTCCTCCCTCCCTAATGCAGGTGTCTAATTATGTCAGGACCTCGCACTACCTCGGTATCACGCCCGCAGAAGGTCAGACTTTGACCTTCTTATGAGAACTGTACGTGGACGGCATGACGAAGGCTGTCTTGCACTCCGCTCATCCGTACACCGACCATTTGCTTGACCTTGCCAAGGAGACCAGCCCAACTTGCATTTTCCCGAGACCCCTTTTCCTCTCGGGGTTATTGAGATAACTCCCTGCCTCATGTGTTCTTTCTTCGCCATTCGCCTTCCATCCTGCCAAGTGATTCGCGAAATGTGCTGGCCTAGATTCAGGTAATTCTGCTCTGTTGTATATGGCAAAATCCGGAGGTGGAGCCGGAGCCCAATCCACCTTGATAGACTGGTCCTTGGACAGCTTTTGATTGTCGAACCACAGCTCGAAGCGGATGTCTGCCGGACCGATCAGGACTTTCACCTGATACTCAATCTTCAGGTAATGCTTCCCTACGTTCCAGAACCTCTTATTTTTCTCAATGAATTTTCTTTCGTCTGCACTGCTCAGATCACTCTGAATTTCGCAAAGAATTCGCGTTTCTATTCTCCAGTCAGCCTGAGCATAATGTCTCAACTTTTCCTTCCAATATTACCGTGGTTCATCTGATCCGGCAATCGCGCAGCATCCAGGTGGCTTTCGATCACACTGGTTGGAAATGCTTTCCGCGGATCCCCAGGAGCAATCTTTTTGATGAAATTGTGGACGATCGGTTTGTCCACGCTCACGGGTTCCCCTTTCTTCACAAACCAAGCGATGGCTTGCACGATATACAACTTGCCGTTTAGAGGGTCTCTGACTAGGTGCTTTCCCTGATGCTCCGGGTTCCTTTTGTCGTATAAGATTTTGCACATTGTTCCATACGAGGCCCTGCAGCATCGCCAGCCAAGGACACTGTGCGATGTGAGCAGCTTGCGAACACGGTCGGAAACCAACCCCTTCGCAACGGCGAGCTGAGGATCTGGGGAAACACGAACTCTGACCTCCCGTGCATTTGGCATCGCACTCTGGGCGTAGTAAGTTCTCAAGCGCGACTGTACATAGGGACTGTTTCCCAGGCCTCCGCTCAATACAAGATGGGCCACTTGTTCGCCAGGGAACTTCTGGTGTAGCGTCTGCAATTGCGTATCGATCAATTTGCATAGTTTGGCGATTTGCTTGTCGAAGAGCTGCTGCAGATCCTCACTCGCAAATGTCATCTCTCCCGCTCTGATTCTCACTTCTGGATCGGGGTTGTTGTACGTGTGCGGGACACGTGGGATCCCAATGGAAAAGATTGGAGTGCCATCTGGAGAGCCGTATTCGCATTTTACAGCCTGGAAATCGCGCGACTTCATCATCTCCCATGCTGCGTCCTCTGGGAGAATGGGAAGCGGAAGTTGATTATGGGATAGTGCAAGGCGATGCTGCACGAGCTTCTCGAAAGCATAATCTATTGCTGCGGAACCAATGGTTTCTCCAAAAACAACGTCGAGCTGTTGCAACGAGATGGATTGGTTGATCGTATTGTTGACGCGAAGCACAGAAAGGTCGGTCGTCCCTCCTCCAGCATCGCAGACGAGCAATATGTCCCCCTCTCGAAAGATCCCAGGCGCTTCCGTCGACACATGAACAGCCGCTGCTTCGGCCTCTGTCAATCCAATAGTAACAGAATGCTGGGGATGCGATCCAAAACCAGAGCGTCTGACAATACGCTTGAAGTTCTCCACTGTTGGATATGTAGGCCAAGTGGTAGGAACCGAAAAGATGAACTCTATACGGGCTGTTGTCCAGTCTGCCCCTGATATCTCAGACCCTAGTTTGAAGGCTAGGTATTCATACATTTTCTTCAAGTAATCCTCGTACCACTTTTCCACTTCCTCCAAGGACTTAGGGGCGCTGTCTGGATCCTCTCGTTGTTTTTGGGCCAATTTAGCAGGGTCGAGGCATGTTTTGAACCATTCTTTGTAATCTTTGTCCTCGGCAGTAGACTCTGCTACAGTCTCCGAGAGGAAGCCCCATGACGAAGGCTCGGAGGCGTGATTGGGATAGACAATGACAGTGGGGACTTTGTTCTCGTTGGCTTGGAATCTACCGGGCCATTTCTGGACCCAACGGACGGTTTCACTGCCAATTGAGAGGTTTGCATAGGATACGCCAGTACCTAGTGAATTCCGTTAGTCCTTCTTTACTTCTCTCAATGCCAGTCCTGCAACTTCATGGACTGTGAAAACTAGAGCACGTGACAGTGATTTGCCAAGCCTTTGTCAAAGAAGCTTAGCTCTTAACGGCCCGCTTCCCGAGGTCCGCGCTCATCAATCTCTATTCCCACGTCCTTCCGTGGTTTTTCAGCACTTACAAGTCATCCCCAAGTCCACTCCCACAATCATATGCGGTTTTTCTCTTTCGGACATTGTCATTGTCGACATCCTTTACTACCTCACCGAGCTGCGGACGCGCCGGCAAATCTATAAGACACCAAAATGCCACAGAGCACTCCGTCCCCGCCTCGTCACAGCCTTGCGGCACAGCAATACCCCCCGTGAACCACCCTGCCGCACCGCGTGTGGCACAGTCTTAACGCTGATCAGCACCGGGCGCTTACATTCTGCATGCTATGGGATGCCTAGCTAGTGTTTGCTGTTTGCTTTGCTGTGAATGTTTAATCTGTGGGCGGCGTAGTACATAGTACATGTGTGATTTATGCGCCCAGATGTTGGGGGTCACAGCTGTTAGCAGACCGTTTTATGGTGCAGGTTGAGAGGCTATGAGGTCCTGGTTGGGGGCGGATGGATGCTGGGGCGCGGAGACGCTGTTATTTGTGATGCCAATAAGAGGACAGCTTTGAGGATGTGGGTCACGCTATGAGGTGCTTATTGTCGTACGGTGCTGGACGGTCTGAGACTCAGAGCGACCACCCTGGCGATATTTGTGGGCTAGTGGGCGCGAAGCATGGTTCAGAAACTCCTTATTAGGCTTGAACCCATTCATATTGCGAGGTTCAGCTTCGGACGACTGCGGAGTCCCCATGGAGAGCTATTGTCCTTGCCTATGTCCGTAAGACCCCCTAAACTTCGCACCTCACGCTGGGACCTGGCTCAGTGAACATATTTTACGTGGGTAGGGATTGGTCTCCTGCACTGAGTGCGTAACTGATACGGCTCCAGAAAATCAATCTATACTTCAGCAAGACTTCGAGTCGTTGACCCGAATCATCTGAGTCTTCCTCTTTGAAAGATCAAAGACGGAAACCAACCACTGGCAACCTCAACATGGCAGCCACTATGGCGACGGCGCAGACTGGACAGCTCGCAAGTTCCGGAATTGCAATACCCACAAGTCAAATCACAGGCAATTCACAAGGAGGGGCCATACCGTCACCTCCTTGGCATACTATAGAACGCGTTAGCCCTCCCGTCAGTGTCTTTAAGGAGTCGGCATCAACCACGAATCTTCGCTTGATGGGAAATTCACTGCTGGCTGACTCGAACATCGGGCCTGGTGGCGTTGCCACTTACAACAACGTCACTCTAATATTTGGAACGGATCAGACCCTCACCTACTCTCTGGATGGCAAAGATGGCCAAAAGGAAACATTCGGGGTGGCTCTAACTGCCCCAGCGGGTGCGACTGCCACATCTTTGATCCAATCCGTTTCCCAATTAAACTCCATCGTTCTTACAAGCAGCTCCGCAACTTTGGCTTCGAGGCTTCCTCCGGGGTCCCACAACAGAACGAGCCCTGCCGGTAACTCCACGCACCCTCCAACAGAGACGCCTGAGGGAACAAGTATCTCGCCTGGCGCAGCTGCTGGCATTGCCATTGGTTGCTTGGTCGCCGGGGGAATTCTCGCCACAATCGTACTCTGGTTGTGGTTGGGACGGGCGAGGAGATTTCGAAGATACGCAAATACGGAATCAGGTACGGCAGCGTTGATGTTCCGTGGAGAGAAGGGGCCGACTCCTCATGTGTCGTCCCTGGGGAGTGGAAGTCCCATTCCCCAAGGTTTGGACAACATCTTACCCCAACCCTTGGAAGACAAAGCTATAACGGCTGGTATGTCTGGTCTGGGCCTTGCAATCAAGAACCACGTCCAAAGCTTTTATCAAACCGGCCGGGTAAGCCCAGGACTACTGGATTTGGAGGAGCTTCAGGCACTGGGAAGCGATGCACCAATCTCGACAGGTACCTTGAGCACGCTCCTCAGTAATTCTGGGACGAGGGAGGTCGCTCTAAGATTTTGTACTGCTTGGGTAGTGGTTTCTCGGATGCAGCTTTCTTCGGAGTTCGAGAAGACGCTTCTACCGCGGGAGTTCGCCCAGTGCTTCCAAGCGATGGCAATCGGTAACCGCACTTCACATGGTACGTGGTGGTTCACCAGACTCATAGTACTCCACTGATATCAATGCAGCTCAAGCCTTGTTATTCGCTCGGTGGCGTGCACTTTCCGCCGAATTGGCTCAGACAACCTACGTCCGAAATCCTTTCTCTCAGTCAGACCCTAGGCACCTTAACGTAGAGAAGACTATCCATGCTCTTGATGGGATCCTTCTTCCCTATAAAGATTCGCGAATGGACAATGCACAACGATTGCAGAACCTTCGGGAGATCCTCAGGCGTGCGGCAAACTTCGCTTTCACGCTCTTCTCACAACCAAGTACGTGGGATTTTGATTGGCAGGAACAGCACGGGGTGTTGTCCGGGAGTTTGTGTATCTTTCCCGCTTTGGTACAGGTCACAGACGAATTGGGGGAGCCCATCAAACCACCGCGAGTGTTTACTGAGGCCATTGTACGACGGCTAGACGGTTGAGCTGTCAGATAGACCTACAACAGAGAATTTGATGAGAATATCAATTCAAAACCTCTGATATCTCTTTCGCTATGGCAACACACTTGCTACACAATCTAATCACTTCTGAAGGGTTCTTTTGGCCCCCAATTATCTGATGGGTTTTCGGCGGTTGGTTGGGGTCGCGGTGATGGTCTGAGTGCGGCACAGCAAGGCGGATTTCACTATTGCGAGGGGCATTAGGGAGCTTTTTCCCAGCAAGCAGCGCCTCATCGTGGAGAAGCCACTGAACACATGCTGCAATGACCCTGGAAGGGGTCACTAGGGTTATGGTGCGACAGTGTGCTTTGCTTGACCGCAGCAACAGCGAAGGAAGAGGAAAGGAGGAAACCCGTTTTCCCACGCGCAACACAGACTTCCTTCTAGCCACTCAACTCCAACTCACTGCCATCATCTCACAGTACCGAAAGGCGTACCAATCCGTAGGAAACGTATCACCACTCGAAAATCGCTTGGTTTGTTGTCACTACTCTCGTCCTCAGGACTTTCCCCGCAGATGCTCCCGCGCCGCACGAGGCGTTGCGCCCGGTGATGTCTCACCTTACTTCTGCATTTCGCAACTCGAAAAGAGCTTCATCCTTCTTTAAGCATACTCATGATCAGTCGGAAGAGAAAGAGATGTTCCCGACAGTGGGCCTGTGCCTCCCCGGTACCGTTCATGGTAACATGCCATCACCATCTCGCGGTCGTCCTCAAAGCCAGCCTGGGCAGGAAAAACGGAGACTCTCAGCAAGACCGTCGTTTGACCGCGGATCGCTGACGAGAACGTCAGTGGAAGACCTGAGAGCTGGGTTTTCCTCCATATCGACTGCATTCCGCTTTGCCGACTTTGTCACTCCTCTCAGCGACCCTTCTTCGGAAATACACCTGCTCGTCAACGTCATCCAGCGCGTTCGCGATGATGTTGCAACGGCATCGCGATTGCGCTCCAGTGACCGTTTTCTCGAATATTCTAAATCGCATCACGAAGAGCGAGCTTGGGTTGACAGCATTCTGATGGACGTGCAATCCGCGCTCAACGATATTGGAATCTATGTTGAGAATATACGTGTGGCGGGAGATGAAGGAGGGCCAGCCAGGATGAGGCGCAAATTTGAATGGGTACTGAGACACCAGCACAAAGTAAGAGACAGACAAGCTGCTCTGGTCGTTTGCCATCAGAGTCTTTCAACAGCAATCAACTTCATGCAGATGGTCGAGATGGGCGATGAGTCACTATTGACATCTGAAGGCGCTATATCCATGATCTACGAAGCTCCTACTCAGCCGTGGATGCAAGCAGAGAGGGGAAGCCTGTTGAGAAGTCCATACATGAGGCAGAAGAACCGTCTTAGTCAAAGGAACCTATCCCTCCCTAGCATACGCGTGTCTGAGGCAGAAAACGACAAGCTAGAAGGTAGGAACTTGCTCTGTTCTTTCCTGACTTAACTAAGTTTTCAAAAGTGAGCTCGGTGAACTCCGATCCGGTTGAGCTACCCGGTAGTACACCGGAAGACCTTCCCGAGCCAGACGATTTGGATCTATATGCTTCCCCAGTAGAGCGGTGCATAGTTGCAGAGGTTTCACATACAGCTCCTCTGGGGGTGGATGCGACTGGAGTCCAAGTGAAAGAGGACGGCAATGAATTTACGGAAAGTGAAAACATATCGCCAGTCCAGGAGAACGAGGATGGATCACCACCAATAACACCTGTTCAAGATAACACCGTACCGATGACGGCGAGACGATACCGACCGTACAGGGGAAGAGCCAAACCTGTCCATGTCAGCCCGCGGCTCGCTGGTAGACACAGATCTCTCCCGATTCAGCTACCTGAGATCGCACAAACGTCCTCCCTGGTCGAGGATCTCGCTCGCTGGGTTATAGGGTATGATGCGCAAGGGACCGATATGTCTGTTCCCCTGGATACACCTTCAACCTCTGCGACCGTATCGCCGACGGTGCCGACCTCCGCTATGTCCTGCCCGGTCCGATTGCAGTCCTGTGGCTCGCATACAAGTGCTGCCTCCACGTCACAAAGCGAAGAATCGGAAGTTCGGTTGTCGAAACTCCCTGAGTCAGATGTGCTTTATGAAGACTCACCCACGCTCCCCCAGGAGCCATATTCTCCAAGGAGTGAGGATAAAAGCTCCATCGAGCAGAATCCGAGCAACAGTAAAGAAAGCGTTGTTCTCAATGCGCACGAGACAAAGGAGACGGAGACTGGAGGTGGGAAAACACCAAGTCAAGAGCCCTGCGTGGGTCCTGCAACGTCGGTGGAATCAAACACTCCTGAGCTGGGGTCAGGTACTGGAGAAAATAGCATGTCGCTAGAGAGGCCTGTTCCGCAGCGTGATATTGCTGATCAGGATGCACAAACTCCGCCACCTCTTCCCCCAAGGCCTACGAGGCCTGCTCTGTCGATTCCACCCACATTCCCAGCTAGCACAAGTCCTAGCGACGCAAAGCCAAAAACGTCTCAAGCGAAGAGAAGGATGGCTCACAGAAGGCGCATGCAGGCTGTGTATGGGTCGGAGTCTGAGTAGAATAATCTCGGTGTTGAAGGCACTGACGAAGTATTTCGGTAACAGACGAAGCAGTAATGGGTTTGCATCATTGGCGACCTTGCACTCATGACTGCTGATGGATATGGGAAGTTTGTCTTGCATGCGTTTGTATGCTTGACTTCCATTCACGGCACCCTTGATAATCCCTGCTGCTCTACACTATGCTCACACACATGGTTTGGGCAGTTATGTTGAATTCGAGGACATCAATTTTGGAATGTGGCGTTGAATACACGTCGTCACAGCGTGACTACTTCACACAACACATCACTCAACCCTTGACTACAGCATTCATGATTTTGTTACCTATTTAAAAAGCAACCCTCTCCCAAAGTATCTCCTTCTGCAAAAACAAAGCTGCATATTAAACAACTTGCTGCAATAAACGCGCATCCATACCCTTACAAGAATGGCCACCAACCTCAAACCCTCCCCGTCCCCAACACCGTCACCACATAGCACGCCTCCGCCTCAACATCGCTCCCAATCTCCCTCTCCATCCACGCCACCGCCAACCGAGTCTTTCTTAGAAATGTACCACTTCCACGAATCTATCGCCACCCTCCGAGAAGGCCTTCAAGCCATGTCCTGGGGCATCCGCAACGTGGAAGCCGGCATCGAGAATCTGCGCGTCATGTTCGACCGGTTCGAGGAGCTCTGTCGTACAGGAGAATATGAACGGGTGAGGTCTCTCCGAAGTGAGACTGGAAGTTAGGCAGACTCGCATGAGGGCGATCGTGATAGTTGTCCCGGATGCCGAAACGCGCAGTCTGAGGAGGGGCCCGTTTATCCTGTGTCGTTGATGTGATACGAGGGGCCGATGTTTGATGGTTGTCGTATTGTGGCCCTGGACAATTTCAAATGCGAGATCATTATGGGAGGTACATAGTCTCATAGGTCAGAATACGCAGGCTTCTCAGAGACCGACAGCGGATTTGTTACCCTTCAATGATAAATTGGAGTGTAATTAGTGCTCTTTCATTAGGGCAATGCGTGATTCAGAGTTCAAAGATACGCTTTTGTCAATATGCTTCTCAACTCCTGACCTTGAACAATCCATATCCTCTTTTAGCACTTGAATCCAATCATCTAGCCAGAGTCTGAGTCCACCAAATGATTCTCGTTTCCACAGAGTAGCCTCTGGCCACGTATTAATCTCCGTCAAGGTCGTTGTTGATGAACATGGTGCCCACATTTACGATGTACACCTCGATTGACCCCCTCACTGCCCCCAATTCTGTGAGTCGCTAGTCCGGGAGATTAGGTCCTTAATCTCGCATCTTTTTAATCTCTTTCTTTGTCTTCTTCCGTCCACTCTCCATGCTACTCGGCAAGTTTGGCTACGTTTTCCTCCGCCTCAAGCTCGAATCGTGCATCCTGGAGGACCTTGATCATCCGAGCTTTCATATCCCAGCTTCCTTCATCGTCTCTCGGAAGTTTGCCGTCGGGGAACACTGCACACCTCAAGGCAATGATGCAAGGCACTAGCGGTTTGTAGTACGGAGTAATTCTTCCCAGGAGTCTTGTATCATCGTCCTCAGGGATCATGCGCTTCCAAAAGCCTAGGGTTTCAGGGGGAAGCGCCTGGCACCATTTGTATATCCCGCCAGACGTTACCACTTCCTCTGACCCTTCGTAGTGGACACAAAGCCAGAAGAGGACCCAGAAGAAGGACTCTAGATCATGTCGAAAGGAATGATTCCCCTCTCCATCCCCGCAAAGCAACTCGGTCGACATAAAAATATGTGTGCCAATCATTTGACGCCCCTGGCAACTCTCTGTCCGGTCGCGGTCCGTGGCCATGTCCAAATCGGTCAGGAACCCCCAGCAGCAGTCTTCTGTAGGCTCCTCCCTGACTAGAAGGTTGCCTAATGAGATATCGCGGTGCACTATTTGAGCATGCTCCCAGAGAGTCCAATAACCCTCAATACAGTCTCCAAGGGCTTTAAGAAGGACTGGCAAGGATTTCGCGTGATACCCTAGGGTAGATTGGCCGGCCAAAGTCCCTCATCACGAGTCGGCGGTGCTCTCGATGCGATTTGGGGGGGATCGATGTCGTCCATAAGTTCGTGGGCAACCACCACTGTCTCGTGATGGTAATAACGGACGATGTTCTTCACACGGCCGTTTTCGCTGGCCTTTCTCAGCAGCTCACCTTCGACCGAATGCTGCGGACGGTGCCAGGAATCCTTCACAACAACAATAGTCTTTGGGTCATGGGCCAGACGTCCTTTGTAGCAGGTAGTGCAGCGACCGCAAATGCGGTGTGACCGCTGCAGTACCTTCTCCACAATGATCTGTTCAAGTTTCCCGTCTCGAGTAATCTCGATGTGCCCTACCTCCCAACAGAGCAGCGTGCTGATTCCAACAGTAGAGTCGAACCCGAGGCGGGGCGTATCCATGAAGAGGAACTGGAGAAATATCCAGACAAACATTTCTCCACCATCGTAGGTGTTGATATCGAACACATCCGAACTCCGGCACCCTGCTCGGTCATGCATCCACACCTGCAAGAGGGACCCGCAGAGACTGAAACCTAGCAGGTACCGGCGACTTGGCTGAATAAAAAAAAGCTCCTCCGCACATCTCGCCATCTTATCAGCGACGGCCTCGTAAGGGCGCTTCGGATCTGTCCTGACCTCCCCTACAACCAGCAAATCGCCATATTTTTTGCCAACGGCGTAGTCGCAGAAACCAACAGTTGGGTAGGGGCGACTTTCGACATCCGTGGGCGGCTTAAAGAGCTTCCGTCGGGGCTGGTCATCGAGTTCGGGGCAAACCTCCACAGCGAGACGGCGCAGATGGTTCATAATCTCGTCTAAGCACTGGATAACGTGTCTCTCTTTAGCTGGTTGAAGCGGCCAGTTTTTCCAGCCCTTGGAACCGAATAGAAGATTACCAGATTTGCATCTGTCGAACACCTCCGTCGCGATTGCCCTAAGGTCTGTGCCGAAGACCTTGTGACAAAAGCTAGGGATCTCGTAATAATCAGCGTCCCACCAGTTTGCCGGTATTGAAGCGTCACTTTCGGGAGCGAGGCTGGAGCAGACGCTTGATGTAGCTTGGCCTTCCAAAGTCGCGGCAGAAGAGATATTGTTGTCGTTCTCAGGTGCTGAGCACCGTCTGCCGCCCCAGCATTCAATTTCCGCACAAATTTTGTCAATATCATCCCCAAAACGATCTACTAGCCAGGAATACCCGATGCGGGTTAACCTAAAGAGGGTGTTGGCGGAAGGGCGGCGTCCTGGAAGCCGCAAAAGAGTATAGGCAAGTATCCTCGCGCTAATCACTTCTTCTAATGGAATGTTTCAGTCCGCGCTGAAATATAATATAGGCGAATATGCTTACCTTCCTTGGAAAATGGCTTTACCCGGCCCTGAGTATCTCGAACGTACTGCCGCCATGCTGCCAGGGGATCGCCTGTTGCTGGTTGCGCCATGGTTGGCAAAGGCGTCGCTCACAAGTGGTCAAGTATGCAACCTTTAGTCTTTCGATTCCATCAACGTTTAGTACGTTGACGGGAGGTTGGCAAGAGTAATCAGACTGGAAACAAACTCGCCCTTGCCCGTTTAGCGGGAAGGTCTATAGGCAAGGCTTTCACCGCTAACAAACGGCGCCTTTACCACTAGGCAACCAGAGCACGGACCGACCGGTACAAAAAATCTGATGCCTTTCATGCACGTGTAGTGCTCGGGTCTTGATAAAACACGTGAATTTTTTCGGAATTCACGGGGCTCGAGGCTCTCAAGGAACCAGCTAGACACTTCTACAGAATACAAGGACAAGAGTGGGCATACGCATCCTACCAGCAATACAACGCCTATCCCTCCTCAAGTGGGCAAGGGAGATCACACACTAGAGTCGCTCACCGCCTGGCGCACGTCCCTACCTGGCGCCCGCGAACACCATTTTTCATCCAAACTTCGAACCGTTCTATCTCATCCACCATGGCAGGTATCGAGGCAGCTCTTGAAGCTTTGAATTCGCTGGAACCTGGAGAATCTTTTAACTATTCAGATTATGCGAAATTGTATGGATGCAACTGGACAACGCTGTCACGGCGCCATCGAGGCGTACAAGGGACCTGTGCCTCCAAGGTACAGAATGACAGGCTACTCAACACCACACAGGAGAAGCAGCTTATAAAGTATATAAACAACCTTTGCGAACGTGGCCTTCCTCCTTCTCGACCTATGATATGAAATTTTGCATCTCAAATAGCCCAAAAACCATACGGCAAAACTGGGTTGATCGCTTTATTGCCCGACACAGCAGCGAGATTGTCTCACACTGGGCATCAGGCCTTGATCGCAATTGTTACAAAGCCGACTCTGCCTTTAAATATACGCTGTACTTCGAGCTTCTCAAGCACAAAATCGAGCAATATGATATCGACAGTCGACATATATACAATATGGATGAAAAAGGCTTCTTAATTGGACTGCTATCTAAAACCAAGCACGTGTTCACACGCAGCATGTACGAGTCAGGAAAGCTGAAGCATATCATACAGGATGGCAATCGGGAGTATTACTACTATAGCTTGCATCTGCGCTGATGGCTCTGCGCTTTCACCAGCGCTGATCTATCAAGCTATTAGCGGCAACATCCAGGATACATGGCTGCAGGATTTTGAGGCATCAAAACATCAGGCTTTCTTTACAGCCTCACCTACTGGATGGACGAGTAATAATATAGGGCTAGCATGGCTCAAGCAGGTGTTCGATCATGAGACAAAGACAAAGGCATGCTCATCATGGCGGCTCCTGATACTCGATGGCCACGGATCGCATGTTACAATGGATTTTATACAGTACTATGATGAGAACAAGATTCTCTTAGCTGTATATCCACCTCACAGTACTCATACGCTCCAGCCGCTTGACGTTGTTATGTTTTCTCCGCTTGTAGCTTCGTACAAAGCAGAGCTTGTGGCACTTATAGATAGAGGTCAGGGCCTCACATCTATCACGAAATGCGACTTCTTTATACTCTTCTATACTGCCTGGTCCTCCTCCTTTAACAATCCTATGCTTGTATGTAAAGCTTTCGAAACAACTGGCATCAGCCCACTCAACCCTAACGTGATACTCGAGCACTTTAAACCACCACCAGAGAGCGTATGGCCTAGTTCAAGCAGCTCCTCGTCATCAGTACTTAGCACTTCAGATTGGAGAAAGATTGAACGATTACTCCAGCAAGCAGTAGACAATTTGCAAGACTCTAACATAAAGAAGCTTAGCCGTACGATCCATACAATTTCAGTAAAGAACACGCTACTACAACATGAGATCAATCAACTCAGAGAGGCTCTAGTCAATGAGCAGAAGCGTAGGCAGCGTGGCAAGGCCCTGCTACTTGAGGCACCACCTGAATACAATGGTGGAGCAGTCTTCTGGTCGTCTCAAAAAGTGAGTGACGCGTGGCTTCATCAGGAGCAGAAGGACCGGGATAGTCAGCTTGTACAACACCAGAAAAGCATGGCCATTAGGCTTAGAGAAGAGAAGAAGGCTGCTAAAGCTCAGATGTTTGAAGAACGTCGTCTCAACAGAGCTATTGCAAAAGAGAAGCGTGAGTGTGAGGTAGCTGAAAAAGCTGCTGCTCACGAGGAGAAGCGTATAGCCCGGGAGCTCAAAACTCAACTCCAAAATGACCTCAAGGTGTCCCAAAGAGGTAAGAGAAAGAGCCTCCAGCCTTCTCTAGCAGCAGCTCCTCCGACAGCTGCTCAGGATCCTATCGAGGTAGAGAATGATGCTGTTCCTACGTCTCGCTCTGGTCATGCAATACGCCGCCCCAAATGCCTTGTCACATAATCTGAATAAGCCAAAACAATATAATAACTGTGCTTGTTATTACTCTAAAAAATCTTGTAATAATAGCTATTGCGCGTGGCTCAATAGCCTCAAAATGATTCTCGTGAACATGTTGATTTTCGGGCGCCAGGTGGGGACGTGCGCCAGGTGGTGGGCGACTCTAAGCTGCTGACACGCCGTCCTGAATACTTTGGTACAAGTTTGTTGCGGGTTTCAATATGCTGGCAACCGTTGAGACGATTGAACCCGACGATTAAAATTTGGAGAAACACAACGGCGCTGCCGTCAACCGTGCTAGACTATGAATTTATGGCGATTGACGTTTCAGTTCTTTCCAAGAGTTTGCTCTGACAGCAACCTCTTCGGCATCGAAAATCTCCCTTTAGACCCGAGCGCCACGTCCATTCGCAATCTTTGCAGCAGGCTCGCGACTACATGGTGATCCAGCAGAGAGTAGATATGCACCGACCTTGCATCCATGGGAAAAGCCATGGAGTGTCGCTTGGAGATAATGTCTGAACAACAGCAAAGTCTAGATACCCTAGGGTACGTATCAAAGTTCCTGCGTCACCCGTGCATCGGCGACTAGGCTTCCCGACTATACGGTGCTGACTGTATCTGTAGAGGCTGGACACCCCAAAGACATACATGTACATCGCTGTACCCCATTGGTCGGCTAAGTTGAAACAGCTTACTCCAAGACTCCCGCCTAGCGGTCCTCCTTACAGGCCTAAGGATAGAATCCTCTCTTAGCGCCGTGCTCTAGGAATTTGATTGGAGAGTATTATTGCCCGCCAGTCAGAGATGCTCGCTCTTCTGAACCTGCGGCAATGCACAGTAAGCTGGATTTGAAGTAGATCTTTTACTGTTCTGATTCTCTTTAGATATGGACCCCAAATAGAAGTTCATCTGCATATTTACGAGGTGAGTGCCATTGTGGCAGCTGAAGGCAGTCGACCTGGGTCGGAAAAGGGTGGCATCCGTTTAACTTCAGGAAAATAGGCTCAAAAATCCGGCCGGTCCGGGCAAGAGAGATCATATAACCCGGGCATCGTTTTTCTCGAATCTTTCGTGTCAGTCGAAAACCTCTACTTCACGACCAGCTTTCACATCTGCCTGGTCCTTGGTCATGGCACATCACGCCCCACAAAGATTCGGGAGAGCAGATACCTTCGAACTCGCCAGTCCGTCCTCACCAACCAAGAAGGTCGGCTTCGGCGTTTCCGAATCGCGACTCTCAACTCCAACAACATCGTTCGTTATCAGCGATGCTGCGTCTCAACGCAGTCATCAGGTCTCACGCGGTCAAAAGTTTCGGCGCTTTATGCAGAGTTTCAGAAAACCGTATGCGCGGAAGATTCTGATCGCAACAAGCATCATAGTCGTACCAATGATCGCATTCACCATTGCAATCATTTGGGCCGTCTTCGCAAAGAAATTGGACCGCGCAACTTGCCCGTACCCGGAAATCTGCCCTGGCCCCGAACTCTTGAACGTCACTTCGAATGCGAATTATTACGTCGACTTTGACGCTGGTCGACTCGCGTTCATTTCCTCATTATCGGCAACGATTAGCTTCGCACTTGTCAGTATATTGATGATGATCTATGCCTACTCTGCTGCATCCCAGCTCCTGCGCTCTAGCGACGATAGCGATCAACGTACAGCGCTCCCCAGCCCCTACCAGGTCAGCTTACTGCTGCGCGTTCTTAACGCTGAAATACTGGCATTGGGTGAACTGTGTTGGGAGAAGGTCAAGCGAGTATTCTGGAAAAGGGAGAAGGCAGAGAAATTGCCATCGGAAGAGCGGTCCTCTTATGCTCTGCAGCGCAGCATTGGGATATTGGCACTGTGCATAACTGCCAGGTAAAGACAAACGGTAAGACCACATCATTCGGGAAAGCTGATCAAAAGCGCAGTATCCTGATTCAAGTTGCCGACACCTATTTCCATATCGCCATCACATCCACTCCATTTGTCCAAGTCATATCGCGCGACGTCGCCGAGCATCATTACAGCCGCCACCTAGCACCGTGGTGCATCAATCGGCCCGGAGCCGGAGTCATGAATAACAAAAACTTCTGGAGCTGCAGCCTCAACCGTGCACCGGAAACTGGAGCTTTTTCGCTAGCCAACAACAGTCTCGTGAACGACTATGTTCTGGGGCCCATGCAAGACTACCATCTCAACTACACCGGCGAAGACGGCGCCCAATTCGGCATTGTCGGAGTTCCTCAAGCCCCTCAGGAAATGGACTGGAAAGCCACTTCATTCGCAGTGTCCACTCATTGCTCAGCCATGCCGAGATATTCCTGCGACCTTGGTGAGGAATTGAACATGCAGACCTTCAACTGCACGAAGGATCGCAGCGGCGTCGATCTGGACGGTAGGCTTACGGGTTACACGGCGCAAGAATATTACTTCGATGTCCACAAATACCTTAAGCACAAGGCGGCATTCTATGATACGGACCTGGTCGGCATTGAACATGTGAATACTACAGCCTACAACATCACCGACGAGGGTGCTGATGAGATTTTTGCAAATCCCTGGCACTGGATCACTGTCCTCTCCGTCACGTCCGACGACGAGAAACGACAGAAGACATTTTCAGAGGACAATCGGGTATGGCCCAAGTATACAGGTGGGCTGGACCATATGTGGCTTCTGTGCAACTCTACGGGTAAGTTGGTTCATACTTGGTATGTTTCACTAGTCTCACAGTCCACAGTGTGGGATGTCACATATACAGTCGTTGGCCATACGGTCACCTCCCTTAAGAAAAGGAAAAGCAACGGAACAATGGCCGGTATTGCCTCCATGTCATCCTTCCCCATCGCCTTCTTTGGAGCGGAGCTCAGCATGGCGGTTGTTGCGGCCGGTACCGCCAACGACCCTGACGGCTTCATCGAGACGTATGCGCGCGAAACCAGCAAGATATACACGCGCATGCTGGCCGCCATGACTGTTACTCAGCCGGCTAGCCTAGCTCAGCTCCGTGTCTCCAAAATCGTCACCAAGCTGCCCGTCAGTGCGCTATGGATTCTTGTCGTGGCGAATATGAGTTTCGTTGCCCTTGCGTTTGGATTAACGATTCTGGCGCTGATGTCGGCTTCTGAGGACGTTTATCAAGTGCACACACGCCTAAGTATCACGGGCTTGGCTGCTGCGTTGTTTGAGAATTCGCATGCGGAAAAGGCTGTAAAGAGCGATAGTGAGCTCTTTGAAGAGAGTTGTCCTGCCAAAGATAGGCCTTTGAGAAAGGTCGGTGTGAGAAGGACGGACACTGGCGGTTCGTCATTCCACGTTATGGAAGTATGAATAGATGTTGCATAGAGCGAAGTACGATAATGTAGATATTACGATATTTAAGTTAGAGAACTAGATTAATGGAATATTTCACAAGGAAATTTGCACCTATCTGAGGAAGTATCCTGTCAAATTAGATGAGGAGCTGTCGCAGTATATACTTTAATGAGTCATATCAATTCTACGTCCAGGTCATCCTACATTAAAGGAACCCTCTGCTACGGAATCCGGGCAGCGCACTCTGGACAGTTACATAAGAACCTGGTATTAGAATCTGGCCGGCTGCTTTCATGTTTTATGTATACCCTGTGGGGCGTTGAACGTTGTCTCTCTCCGCTGCTAACCATCCGCCCGACTCCGTGCACTGAAATCTTCCTTAAACCTCCTCCGACGCACCCTACCTAAGTCAGAAAACAAATTCAGCAGATCATCGGACTCATAAATGAGTTCGTCAACAATGGCGTAGCAAACGTCATCCGGGAATTCCCCTTTCTCCATGACATGTTCATGCCAGAACCTCATGAATACAACAGTTTCAAAGATCATGTCATTTCTCGTAGTAGACCGCTCGCAGTACTTCGAAGTTTCGGAGTACAGTACCTGCTCAATTGTTTCACAGATAGGATCGGGCAACCGGTGAGGAGAACGCAGCTCAAGAAGGCGGATCTCGACATTGGCAATCAAGCCGGCAACGTCGAGTACGGGAACCCGCTTGAGTTCACGCGGTGGGTTTGCGCTGCGCATATATTCGTCTTGCATCTGGCATGTTTTGCAATTCTTTAGGCGCAAGTGCCCTTTTTCAAGAACCGCGGGTTTCTCGCCAGACTCTGAAGCGATATGTGGTCTTGAACGCACATCCTTATCTGGTGCCCTCAAGATAGATGCATCTGGTGAGGTGGCTCTCTGAGGAGAGACATTTCCGCTAGGAGCAGGTTTGTTCTGCGCTCGACCCTTTTCACGACCTTTCGAGGGACTGGGCATTATTTCGAATACCAGAGGTTCTCCATCACGTAGTGGAACAATGTGCACTTTTGTGCAAACCTCCTCAGCCGAAAGCCCTGGAGTAACAGGGAGTGTTGCGCTTTGAGAAGGGTGATCTCCACTAGGAACAGCCAATGGAGGTGCGAGACTCGCATGTTTCAAAGAGCTCACGGATTCGTATTCTGATTCGGAAGAAAGTTCGGTACCCGTGTTTGGGGAACCAGTCTGCTTAACCGTTGGCGATGCCGAACCTCTCGTACCGCCATGGCATTTTTGAAGAACATTCGCCATATATCGAGCGATCTCCTCCACTTCCCCGCAACGTTCTGCGAGCACTTCATAAACTTTCGACAGTGTTAGAGTAACATCGTCAAACTTGTGAATCTCACCGCGCGCGCAATAGTGCGCATAATACTTGGCGCGATGTGCAATCAGGTACTGTGCAAAGTACTCCAAGTCCGTATACAGCATGCTGTTGAAACACTTCCAGGACATGGGAAAGGAAAAAGCAATCTCGTGCCCGCCTGGCAATAGGCAGATTTGGAAGGTAGGATCGTCGACGCCATCTTCCCATGATACGTCTTCTCGAAAGCCATTAATGATGCAGGGCTCATCTTGCTTATTCATTATTGGCGGCATATTGGCGGAGTGTTCAAGGCCTTGATATTTATGGTGAAACTTTGTCTGTCGCTGAGAACGATATGGTGTATCAAAATGATCGTTGTTGATGGCAAATGGTTTGGTGTCACGAATTTTTGGGGAGGGGCTGCTTTTTGTAGCTGATTCTTGCGCTTTATTCACAAACTCGGAAGCTGTACATATGGTTTGTTATATACAAATTGACAAGGGTGTTTTGGGCCTGGACAAGATATTTTGTGACGGATTTCAACCTTGTGATTTGCACACTTCTTCACGTATTGAACATGCGTAGCCCGGTTTCATGGGCACTTGCGCGGGGACTTCACGCCGCGGCCACCAATAAGGATTCCCTGGTACTGGTGGCTTTGAATTACCTCTCTAAGCTGGCACGTCGCACGTGGAGTAGGCTCGCAGGATTTGAGCCCAGAGGACTTCGGACCTGTGTTGTGCCGATGGGAGGAGTTCAGTGACGCCGTCTCCTGGGCAGAGAGCTCTTCGTGCCACGTGGTGTTCCTGCCCATCGACCGGACTCTCGTCCATGTGACGGGAGACTTTGCCAATGGCGGTCACGGATGCGTCCAATGTATGTCTCAAGAAGTAGGTCGAGCCGGTTGAGGTCGAGGCACCTTGTGAATCATGCTGTCAGACACGACATATCCACCACATTCCCAGTCCACATATCCGTCGCAAAGTGGATAGTCCGTCTCGACAAGACCCTTTGCTGCATCACCCAGCCTCGTGTGTTGGGCTTCGCCAGCATGACGTAGGCCTCAAAATCGCCATTGGCCTAGTTGGTGAAGTAAAAAGTAGTCCTCCTCCTGCTCATCACGCGAAGCAGGGTACGCGCACATGGACGGGCAGCTCATCCTCCTGCTCTTCCTCCTCTTCCTTCTCAAGAAACCCCGTCTTGCCATCCATGGTCCCCGTGGCCGCAATGTTCCAATACGCCTTCTTGTACACGTCGCCCATCCTAGCCATAAGGCATCATGCGTGGCTGAAGAAGGGGGACATTGTGCCGCGAGTTCCGGAGTCGAAGTTGTCCCGGTCGACGAGGGCGCTGCAGGGAGAAGAAGCTTCGACTGGGACGCGACGAACCGGCACAGCGCGCAAATACCAGCACCACTCGATTCTAGGACACGGGGAATGCATGCATAGCGTCGGGTTTTTTTGGGGGGGGGGGGTGTTGGGGGGGGGGGGTTTCCATTGTTCTGTGGTTGGTTAGTTCTACACTATCTAGGGTTTTGCGTTTGTTTATGTCGAGATTCCGCCTAACTTAGGTTAGTTTGAGAGAAGCCGTAGACTACGGGGGTATGAATAGTGGTAGAGGTGGGATAGATAGACAGACTTGACATTAAATACGATTTGCCTACTTACAGTCAATCTGTGGTTGAAAATGGCATTACCAGCCGCACCACGCCGAGCTGCAGATATGTACGGCCTTAGAGTAGTGAAAGAGATAAACACATCATATCACCCAACAAGTCCACTTACCCCAGCGAAGGTGCACGTTGCTCGAAACTCTACTCCATAGATAAGGGAACAAAGCAAGAAAAAGGAACAATCTCATGTAAATATCTCTCCTTTCGCACGCACTCCCCATGGATCCCATGCCAGTTGAGTCTACTCCTCCCCATCTGCGTCTAGTGTCGCGATTGGATCAAAACCAAGAACGGGAGAGCGAGCGAAGAGGCGTGCACGGGTGCAAGGACATCCAAGTGTGGTTGGAGATGGTTTGTCCGGCATGGTACATGGTCCACTCTCAATAAGGAATTTAGCGTGGTGAGTTACACATGAGTGAGGCGATGATTCATGAGTGAGAAATAATAACGAGATGATGAGTATATATGATGAATGGATAAGATAACGCCGCCCAATGCAAATCTTCATCTAGGTAAGGGTACACTATCAACCCCATGTTCCGCTTTCGCCAACAAGAAAGCGCATGCTGGTTGCTGCATGGAAAGCTCGCTTGCTACAACGCTCGCTCGTCGCCCAGGGTGGGAGGGATAATGATACAGTAGTACAATGATAATCTTACAAGTCGCAGAGGAAGCAAATGCCGGTATCACGTCTCCGTGCCCGGAGGGATAGCAGCGCCCCTAATGAGGTGAGACGGCCTTGCGGAGACTCCGGCGTCCATTACGAAGCCGCATCTTCTGCAGGAACGGAAAGGTACCGGTGATCGGGTTCGAGTGACTGAGGTGTTCTTGTTCGTGTTTCTAGGCAATCGGCCTACTGCGCTCGTCCTCGGGCATTCTCTGTTCCTCATAGTCAGCACACCGCTTCACTTCCATCTTCCCCTTCACAAAGAAAAAAGGTTTCACTCACCATATAAGCATCAATAGCCGCACTAAACGCCGCAAACCCCGCACACCCGACCGCCACGGCCTGCGGCCCGGCCTTCCTTGCCAGGATCCCGCCCGTGATACAACCTCCCGCGACGCCGTTCCAGATGTCGTTCTTGGCCCGCAGGCCCTCGATGGCGCACTCGGTGCCGCTGAAGACGGAGCCCACGACGGCGAAGTTGCGCCCGCTGGACAGCGAGGAGCGGTACATGTCGCGCAGGCCGTGCTTGAGTTGTTGGCGGAGAGGGAGGTCGGTGATGGGGATGGAGGTGGTGGCGGTGGGATGAGGGTGGGGGAGGGATGTGGTTGTTGGTTTTGCGGTTGGGGGGAGGGTGGAGGTGGTGGGTTTTGCTGCTGTTGCGGTGGCTGTTGAGGTGGAGGAGGGCGTCGAGGTGGGAGGGATGTTGGTCGTTGCGGTGCTGGGGGGAACGGCGTTGACGGGGAGAGGTTGCGACATGGGCGTGTCGTAGCGCATCTATACACACGCTTGTTAGCAGTATTCCTCACGTCTCTATCAGGATACAACATACCGACGCCATAAACAGCCCAAACATAGCACCAAGCCCACCCCCCATGACGCCCGCCATCACCGTCTTCCCTAGACACGACTCCATGCCCATCTGCATCTGTGACACTGTCAGTATATAATTCCTCTTCGACCCTCCCTTGGGAATCTATGTAGTCAACGCACATATTTCACCATCTGCCTCTCCTGCTCCGACATGCCCGCGTTCGGATCCATGCCGGGCGGCAGTCCTGGGTTCCCTGGAAACGCCATTTCTCTTGGTAAGCGTAGAAGAAAGGGGCAAGACGGTGTTGTGCCCGCGACGATGCTGTGGTGTCGTCTGAACTTTTTGCGGAGATGGGGCGGAGGACGGAAAGTCCCGGCCGATCACTCTTGGCAAAGCTTCACTCTTCAAGCGTCCAAACCATGGGGTGTTACATATGGCGGGAGCAAGCTAATCTGTAGACTGCGACGTACAGTGGATATGAATATCATTATCTCATCCTTTAGGAGTATGACAACGTCTGAATATTTTCACCATCCTACATACACCAGTAGAAACGATTCGAAGGGAAAGCCATCCTAATATCCAGCAACATTAGGATTAGCACCAAACCGCCTCTTATACAAATCCCCAAATCACACAATCGCGGTCATCTAGACGTCTAGTCTATATCGTGGTATCATAAGGCGGTACACAGTTATATAGCCAGCAGAGCAAACGTTCAAAATCTCATAAAAGTCATCAAGGCAGCTGTGCCGGCGAGGCGGATCGCCCAATGTAATCCCCGCTGGCGTGGCTGGCGTCGCGCGACTCGGGAGGCGGCGTCAGATTCTTCTCCCACTCCTTCATGAGGTGCGACGCCGTGCGCTTCAGATTGGAGGGCGACAGCTTGACCAGGTCCGGCCACGGAATGGAGTTGCGCTTACCGTCTCGAAGAGCAGCATCTTCCACAAGGCCGACCGAGCTGCTGGGAGTGTGAGTGGAGGCCTTGGAGTCGTGGCGCTGGGAGTGGTACCTGGTGCTGGTTCTGGAACTGGTCTGGCCGGAGACTGGCGACGAGGGCGCATCCGACTCGTCCGACTCTTGTGCCGCCTTGTCGTGGGATGGGTCGTTTGGTGTATCCCAATTGTCCCACTCATCGAAGTCCTCCGCTTTTGCTGGTTTTTGGGGGGTTCGGGGGTGCTTGACGGGGTGAGTCTTCTTTTGCGCGAGCGTGGTCTTAGGCTCACTTAGTCCGTGTGCAGTCCAAAAGTCTTCGCCAATGTCCTTTGACTGCTCTGAGGCGGCCTTCTTCGAGCTCGATGCTCTATTCAAGGGTGGTCGGCTGTTGGATGACTTTCGGGCACCATTTGCAGATGGACCCTGTGCGGTGGTCGAGGCTGATGGTTCGGCAGTGTTGGCAGCTTCCTCGCCAACGGTGGCCTGTCTGATATCTTCAATGAAGGTTAAGAGGCCATCCTTGAAATCGGCGGCAATCTGCTTTCCGGTGCGCAGCAGGGCGTCCCGTTGGATGCCGGACAGACCAGTCAGATCATAGCGCTCCTCCTTGGAAGCATGCGAGGACGGCGCTGGTCTGTCGGAAGAGGCCGAACTCCGGGTTGCAGCTGGTCGGGTGGTGTCGGTTGTCTCGCGAGAATCGCGAATATCGGGTGGCTGGGGGAATGAAGGTGCATGGGTTTTGTCTGGGGAGAGCAACGACAGCGTGCGAAGATGACGGGAACCGCTAAAGACCTTGCGCGTCGAGGTCCTTGTGCCATTGAGGAGGGATTTCCGGCGTTCCATCTCCTTCTGCATCCAGAGGGTCGAGCCATCTTCATCCTCCTGATCCGGACGGATGCCGGCGAGATCATTGCGGAGAGGCTGGAGTTGGGTGAGGCTGCGAAGCTCATTGCGCTGCCTGATGGTCTGGTGCGTGGCCCAGTATTTCTTGACCTGCTTGAGGTCCTCTTCGGCCTTGGCCAGCTCTTCTCTGAGCTCGAGCACATAGCGTTCCTGGGCGGCCAGGGTGGCGAGGAAGTTGGTTTCGGTGGGCGAGGGGAGGACTTCGGGGGAAGGGACAGGCGAAGGACTGACTATCCAAGACTGAGGGCGGGATCGGGGAGAGGGAGCAGGAGAATTGCTGCCGGCAGCAGGTTGGATGGGGAACTGCAGGGACAGGCGCTTGCCCTGCTTAACGACGTCGACATGCGACGCTGAGCGAGTGTGAGAAGGCATTGCCACAGCAGTAGCGGCAGAGACGGAGGCAGGCGGACGGGAAGGGAGGGTGGTTGCGGCGGCCGCCGAAGGGTCGGGCGCTGAGGTCAGTAATGGAGCGTCGCGCGGATGGGGAGGGAATTGGGGTGGGTGTGGGTGGTGAGAGTCTGGAGGCGGCGGTGTGAGGGCTATAGTTGGAGAGGGAATGCCGGCCCCTGATTTGCAAGATGGTCTGGCGGCCGCGTCTTTGTGCAGGGATGGCCGCGTCCGGCCTTGTCCAGGTCCAGGCTGCTGCAGGGGTTCCTGATTCGGTGGGCGCAGCGGGCGGTCCATGACGTCTGCGCCGCCCAGGAAAAAGAGCGTGTTCACAACAGCGCCGTCTTCTTCATGATTCTTCCTCTTGAACATGCGGACGAGGAGACGGTGCAGGCGCAGACGGCGTCGCAGGCGACCGAGGAGGAGGGCAGTGGTGGCGGTCGAGGTGCCGTGGAGCTCGAGATGCAGGGCCAGCAGCGCGCAGGGGAGGCTGAGCAGGCGAAAGAGGAGGGTGCCGCCTCTGAACCAGGTGAGGCACGTCTTCAGCAACCTGGGGCCAGCGCGGGATCCCATGAAGCGACCGGCAGAGTCATTGCTTTGCGCTGCGATGCGGGGGGAGGGAGAGGGAGGAGGACAAACGAGTGTGGTGGAGGAGTAGTGGTGGTGAGGAGGGATGGAGGAGATGCGGTGTGCGAAGGGCCTCAAGTGTGGCAGTCGCGAGAGGCTGCCCAGGTGTGCACTCCCAAACCCTCCGGGGCTTCTTACTAGCAGGGCTTGTGGACACGAGTGACCCGAACGCTGCTACGCAAGAAAAAGAAAGGTGCATTATTTTTGTAAATGATGGTCGTGAAGTTGTGCTCGCCCCTGGCCCAATGCGGCAATCCATTTCCATCCCATCTCCGATCACTATAATCTCGTGGCTCGGCGCCATCTGCGAACTAACGGTTAGCATTGGCTTCTGAGCATAGATCTGTGAATCTGAAATCCATCCCCTCATTGTTATTATTCTCTTTCTGCTGATGGCCGGGGAGGACCGTAGTCTACTGTTACTGCGAGGTGTAAATGATATGCTCCTGCCCGCCAAGCCATGTCGCCTTACCGGAAACGGCAGCTTGTTTACCGCCGCCTTCGTGTCCAATTGCGACGCTGCCTCGGCCCGCTAGCTCTCCGCTGACCATGTAGCTCGACATTCACCGCCCATTTTCAGGATTCCCTCCTCCGGACGACGAGTGACTACTGAAGCTATTAGTATTATTATTGCCTCAGCTGCAGAATTGTGTGACTGGGCGCATGACGCGTATGCAGGGCCTTCTGGTATTTACCAGGTAGCCTTCATCATCTGGAATGGAGCTTGCTGCAGGTACCGCCTCCAAATGCCAACTCTTGCCTAAACCCCATACCACATCGACATCACTCGCTCCTGAACATGCCTCGCCGAACTGAGAGACAGACTCGAAACCTTGCGACTCTCAACCCATAAACTATTCACATTGATCACACCGCTGTGCGCGAGTCACTACGGACGGTGCGAGGGACGTGCTCGTCGTTGGTCCAGCCCCCGGCTGTTGTCTGGGTGACGAGGGCGAGCTGCTCTCCAGCGACCATGCAGCCCAACTTCAATATCTCTCTCCGCTAGCATCTTCGCATCTCTACTCAATCTACTATTCCTACCCGCGCCCTGCACCTCTGCGACCGCAGTCCCTTTCTTTCGCCCAGGCTACCCCTACTCGAGAGGCCTCGCGCGCCTCCTGCACCTCGACACTCAGCTGCTATCCCCGGACAAAGCCGAGTCTCCATGGCCGAGGGTTATCAGGTCCTGGAAGAATTGGGCAGTGGGAGCTTTGGGAAGGTGTACAAGGCCATTGACAAGTCCACTGGTGACCTGGTCGCTATCAAGCAGGTCCGTAGCTGGAACCTTCAATTCACCCCCCGCCATCCTGACATACCCAGATTGACCTCGAAGAAACAACCGATGAGCTATCCGACATACAAGCCGAGATCGCCCTCCTAGGCACCTGCAACAGTCCTTATGTCGCCCAGTACATTACCAGTTTCGTAAAAGGGGTGAAGCTATGGATCGTCATGGAATACCTAGGAGGAGGCTCATGCTTGGATTTGGTATGTCCGACTCGAGTACCCAGACGTACTCGCGACTAATGGAACAAGCTGAAACCAGGTCCCTTCAGTGAAGCCCATATTGCCATCATCGTGCGCGAGCTGCTTCTAGGCCTCGACTATCTTCATTCGACCGGAAAGATACATCGCGACATCAAGGCCGCAAACACCTTGCTGAGCGATTCCGGCAAAGTCAAGTTGGCGGATTTTGGTGTGGCAGCCCAGCTCATCAACATCAAGTCGCAGCGCATGACGTTTGTTGGCACCCCATTCTGGATGGCCCCCGAGGTGATCCAAGAAGCCGGCTACGACTTCAAGGCAGATGTATGGTCCCTCGGCATTACTGCCCTAGAGATGGCCAACGGCGAGCCTCCCAATGCAGGCATCCACCCCATGAAGGTGCTCTTCAATATTCCCAAGGATCCTGCTCCACGGCTCGAGGGTGACAAATGGAGCAAAGATTTCAAGGACTTTGTAGCGCAGTGTCTGATCAAAGACCCAGATCGACGAGCGTCCGCCAGAGAACTGCTGCGACACAGATTTGTCCAACGTGCCGGGAAGGTGGAAGCGTTGCGGGAGCTGATTGAGCGGAAGCGCGCTTTCGATGCCCAGGAAGAGAATGTCTCTCATCCGAAATACTACGAGGAGACCATGTATGCCTGCTATCCGTGTACTCCCCATCCCATGTTGACAATTATAGGATTAACCTATCTCCACGGACCGATGAGGACGAATGGGTATTCGATACCGTCAAGCCCGACACCATTCCTCCCAAACCCGTCCCGAAACGCCGCAAGACTGCGCGCATACCCTCCACCGATGCGACGGGAGTCGCTTCTTCATTGCAGCGCATGGATTTGAATGCCGCCCCGCTCGGGTTACCTACCGATTCGCCTGCGCCCGAGACCCGTCGCCGAGTGTCGCGCAAGTCATCCTCTGCGACTGCCATTCGCGTCTCCTCTGGGTCCACACCGACCGCTCGCAGGGTCAGCACCAAGAAACCACTGGGTGTCGATCTGACCTTTGGGAACTCACCGTCTACCGTACGGCACTTCAAACGGGTCTCGTCGGGCGAGAAACGCGCCGCTCTCTGCTCCAACCCTCCTGTGAACTCCTTCCATCCGAACCCACAGGCGCGTACTTTCCGCCCTTCGCCGCCCAACTCAAATCATCCCATGGACATGGACGACGAGAACCAACCTCCAGCGGATTATCCGCCAGCACCGGTGACAAAAGACGCACTCTATGGGATCCGAGCATATAGCAAGGTCCTCGACTCGGTCTTCCAGGAAGCACATGCTGATTCCGCATCGCCTCACCAACGTGACGCTATCTCGAGGGTGGCACAAGCATGGGCGCATTTGGACCAGGTGGATCCGCATGGTGAATTCTTGCTCCTCAGATCCATGGTCGATCGACTCCGAGCGGATCCAAAGCTGGCTTCGGCGCTTGGCCTCACCCCTTCTCCGACCTCCGCACCTTTGAGGAATAATACCAAGACGAGCGACAACAGTTGCAGCGGTTCGACCGTTTACGGCACGGATACTATGCGCATCCGCTCCAACTCGACGACTACCGGTTCCTGTTACTCAGCGTCCAAGTCCTCCGCAGATGCAGCCAGTCCGGCTCCCGCTCTTGCTCCACAGCGTGGCCAAACACCCTCGTCACGACCCGCCTCGTCCGCCTCCTCGGCAGCATCACCATCCAAGGGCCCTAGGCTCGTGCTCGCGCAGAACAACCCCCATCTCAAGTCGCACAGACGGCGCCAGAGTGCCCTCGTCAATGGAGAGAAGATGTGGGGTGCCGACAAGTTTGGCGACATCGACGAGAGGAGACTGCCCGGGCATGTGGAGAAGGGGATGGAGCAGCAGGGGTTGCTGGCCGATATCCTGTACGGCCAGTGGATCAATGGGTTGAAGGGGAGGTGGCCCCTCTCTTAGCAAGGACGGACGCAGTAGAGCGGATGTTTTTCGATTCTTTGTACTCATATTTTGGTGAAGGTCAGGTAAGTACGGGAGTATTTGTAATGGTGTTGAGGGCGTGTATATTATTTGCTTTCTTGTGAGGGGGAATGAAGGGCCTCGTGGGATACCGATGAGGACCTGTGAGGGATGCATAGTCTTGGAGTCTCTGGAGTAAGAGGTGTAGATCGTTGGGCTTTCTAGGTATTCATAGCTCGTCTAATGTCGTCAATTATAATGTCCCTGAAGAACGATCCATTGCCAGTCTAGACAAGTCCTGTGTACTCCAGGGCTAGGTCTGATGTTGTCACCCTGCCAAGCCCAACTTTCAAACTAAACCTGATCCATACTAGCCTCTTTTCAACCCCAGCTCCATAAAATTCTTCCCGCTATCACCGGCCCTCCTTCCCTTTTCCCTTCCTCAACGCATCCAACAGACAGTTCAACCGCCCATTTTTCTCATGCGCACGTCTTGTGTGCCTGAGTCAACCCTTTCTTCAAAGGAAGAATTTCCCATTGGGCGGCTGTGATATAGTGATGCGGAGAGGAATGCCTGGAAGGGTTGACGCTCTATTAGAGCTGGCCGTGCGTTGAGTTTGCCTTTTTTCAAGGTGGATGGGTTGCGCGGGCGGTGTCATAGGGGCGGTACATTTCCCTTTCTTTCTTTTTTCTTAGGAAGGGGGAATAATCCAATACGTGTCTATGTGAGACGTATGACTTCAATATTCTGCGAGGACCTATATAATGGCGGCAGAGCGTGCAGAAGACGCAACGTTGAATGCAAAGTTGATGCTCTGGCGTCGCCAATGTGGATATCCCATGTCGCAGTCCCAAATCCCTCCACAGAAATCAAATCGTTCATCCGACGGAATTCCAGTCCTGCGAAGCTGTGCCTGCTGCATCGCTGCAGTTCCAACCCAATTGCCTGAAATTTCTCTTTCCGATAGCCCCTCTCCGATTGCCTGCAAATCGCCCGAATCACATTGCGCACCATTTCAACCACCTCAATCACCCAGTTGTGTCCTTTTCCGCACGCTCGCCCTATCTAATCCACATCCTACCTCTCGCCTTGGGGCACCCCGCTCCCCTACTCCAGCACAAACACCCCCCCCCCCCTTCCACCCATACCACACCTCCGAACCTTAGTCGAAGATCTTCATCATCCCAGCCTGAAAGTGGACAGTGTACCAGCTCGGTATGAGCGAATGTCGTTGGAGAATGTCGGCCTCGCGAGTGCAGAAATAGTAAGAACGTGCTGGGCAGCAGCAAGTCCTCTATGTTGACATGTGGAAGCAAGAATGGCAGAGAGTTGTTTCGCAGAGAAGTTAGATCTTGAACAAAACGTCCCCGTCGCCGACAATGACACTGATGGTGCAGAAGCAGACGCTTATCCAGCCCATGGGTCTTCGAAATATCCGGCCATGCGAGTGTTAGGACCTTTTCTCTGTCGCCATTGGACATGTCGAGCCAGCGTTGGCGGATCGTTTCTTCGTGGCGAATGACGAGGTCATGGAGTGCGGAGTAGTTAGACATCACCTCCTCCGACATCTTGACTGACCAGCGCCCGAAACTCTCCGGCGACGGGTAAGTAAGATCGTCCGGACGCAAGACATCCTTCAGCCGGTCATAGAACTCCTTCCCAGTGGCGAAATCATGGTCGATAGGGTAGCTTTGTCTGGCCGGGTGTCATCTTCCTCAGCTGCTGAGAGTTGAAAGAGGAATTTGTGCGTTGAAAGACGTTGCATGCGATGAGAGATTTAAGTCGCGTTGTTCTGTCGTGAAGAAGTGTTCGAAGATTTGAGCGGAGCCGTCTGGATCGATGGTGTTTGCTCAATCGCTAGGTGAAGCTAACATAAGAGACAAGCGGTGAAGCGGTGAAACCGATGATGTAAGCACGGACATGAAGTCATTGGCTGTGACGAAGAGAGAAGGTATGGAAAGGGATCAAGGTAAATATGGCCAGGAGGCCGTCATAGGCATCGCCTGTCATGATAAAGAAAATCGATATCCGGAACCTCATAAAGTTAAAAAGGGGCACAAATAAGAATTATTACGTGTAAATGTCGCTCCAAATGATTAGGCGCCTCCATCAAGTGACCTCTTGACTCCTACCTGAGGCTCCACCCACCCCCGTGGTGCACGAAGGATAACCTACCCGCTTATTTGCTGCGTTTGTAGATCTTCTTGAGGAAAGCTTCGAACACCTCCTTCTTCAAGCCTTCGGACTCGTCCACTTTATCAATTTTAGCTCTGATGTCGGCAACGCGCTCTTCTTCCCACTGTTCGTAGAATTCCGACAGCTTCAACTCGTGATACAGTGCTTTCACCTTCGCCTCTTTCTCAGAGTCCTTCTGGCCATAGTTCTCCTCTAGGATCTTGCGCTGCTCGGGAGTGACTTTCCGGAGGGCCTGGTTGACCAGCCATGAGCACTTGTTGTCCTGGATGTCGGTCCCAATCTTGCCAAGCACCTTCGGATCGGCAAAAGCGTCGAGGTAGTCATCTTGGGCTTGGAAGTATTCGCCCATCGGAATGAGGATGTCCAGACACGTCTGTAGGTTCTTGGGCGTAGCAGCGCCAATGTAATGCAGGGCGAGGGCAACGGGGAGATAGAACGAGTAGTAAGCGGTTTTGAAGATGACAATGAAGGAGAACTTGTCCAGGCTGAAGTTATCGAGGTCCACGTGGTCTTCAGGAGCAGTGAGCAGATCGCACAGCTGGCCAAGCTCGGTCTGGAGTGTGACTTCGTGGAAGAGCTCAACCATGTCAATGTAGCTCTTTTCTTGGCGGAAGTGCTTCTTGAGGAGAAGATAGATGGAAGATTCGAGCATAAATGCATCATTGATAGCGATCATGCCGACTTTGGGAACGAGATACCAGCAAGGCTGCCCACGGCGGGTCTTTGAAGAGTCCATGATGTCGTCTGACACAAGGAAGAATGCCTGAAGTAGCTCAATCATCCAGCCAAGCAGCGCCGCCTTGAAGTACTCCTCGGTGCCAGGCTCGAGTGTCCTATTCAAGAGGATGGAGGCAGTGTCCACCACAGACATTCCCCTGTTGCATTTTCCGCCTACAGTGTTGTAGTTCAATGACTGGACCTCTGGTAAGCTGCAGGTTTTGGACAATGAGACGGTCCATGTACATTGACAAACCAATCCAGGGACTGCTGAGGCAGCTTGTACTGTTTGCAATGCTCTTCGAGATCGGCCACAATGCGCGGCCAGACGCTCTCGAACTCTTTCAAAGTGGTAGGCATCTTGGGCTTCGAATTGACAAACGCACTTGGAGTCAATGGCTGCTGAACGAGGAGAAGTGGGCTCAGGAGGTGGGCATAGAGAGCACAAAGTTGTTCGGGGCCGGAGACACTATCCGCCGATTGGCGGCAGCTCAGCCCCGCCATTGTTTGTCTCGGCGCGTGGGAGCTCCGTCGACATCGCGTGTGTCCATGACTCGCGCTAATTCAACGACAACTGGATGAGGGAGTGAGGGAGATTTCTGGATTTCGGAAATCCGTTCTCCATGTCTTGACGCTCTTCAATAGGTGCTCCAAAATGGGTACCCTTTCCAAGGCCGATGAGGCCATCCTGAAAGCGCAACTGCAGGACGCCGTCATCTCCTGCAATGACCGTTGTCTCTATCAATCCGCGAAATGGTTCGACGCTTCGATGCGCTGTTGGTGTGTTGGACAGAGTATTAATGTTGGATTCTAGGGCTGCCGAACTGCTCAATTCTCTCCCCTCCGCTGATGACGACGGTTCTGCGACCGACATCGATTCGCCCATGTCTGATGAGCCTATACCCCCTCGTACGCCTGTCGGATCGGGACGGAATGACCCAGTCGAATCGAATCTTGAAGCACGCGAAGCGCACAAGTACCTGCTCGCGAAATCATACTTTGACTGCAGAGAATATGATCGCTGTGCCGCGGTTTTCCTTGCCGGCAATATACCAAGGGACTTTGAAATGCCCACGTCAACGCCTCTGGCAACAGCGAGACCATCAAGCAAAGGAAAAGCCAAAATGGGTACCCCTACAAAGGCAAAAGTGTCGTATGACCCCTTACGGCGTTTGAGCCAGAAGGCCCTCTTTTTAGCCTTGTATGCGAAGTATCTGGCCGGCGAGAAGAAGATGAACGAGCAAAGTGAGATGATACTGGGGCCAGCGGATGGAGCTGCTGCGCACAACAAGGAGTTGCCTGGAATATCAGCCATTCTTCAAGAATGGTTTGCCAACGTCCCATCTTCGGGAAGGGAGTCGCAGGGCTGGTTAGAATACCTTTACGGCATCATTCTTGCGAGAGGCAGGAATGACAAGCAAGCTTTGGAGTATTTCATCAAGAGCGTGCACCTATACCAGTACAATTGGGGTGCGTGGCAGGAGTTATGCAACTTGATAGGTACTCTAGAGGAGGTTGGTGCATCATCCTCACCTGGGCGAGCGAGTCTAACGTCCTGCAGCTCACAGCGGTCGTGCCACGCTTGCCTCGAAATCTCATGACCTTCATTTTTCACGTGTACGCCTCGCAGGAACTTTATCAAGCGACGGAGCAGATCCATGGACAACTCTCTCAGATTCTCAGTTGCTTCCCATCTTCAGCATTCCTCAAGACACAGCAAGCGTTGCTGCATTATCACGCCAAGAATTTCGATGAGGCGGAGCAGATATTTTCGGACCTCCTAGTTTCCGACCCTTACCGTATCGATGGCTTGGACTCCTACTCGAACATTTTGTACGTCATGGGCATGAGGCCAAAGCTAGCTTTCCTGGCCCAGGTCGCTACCGCAACCGACAAGTTCCGTCCGGAGACATGCTGCGTTGTAGGAAACTATTACTCTCTGAAGTTAGAACACGAAAAGGCCATAATGTATTTCCGGCGTGCTTTAACCCTTAATCGGAGCTTCCTCTCTGCTTGGACGCTCATGGGACACGAGTGGATAGAAAAACATAATACGCACGCCGCTATCGAGTCGTATCGACGAGCAGTGGACATCAACCGGAAAGACTACCGTGCATGGTACGGGCTGGGTCAGACGTACGAATATCTCGACTTGCACTCATACGCACTCTTTTACTACCAGCGAGCCGCTGCTCTTCGACCTTACGATCCTAAGCTCTGGATGGCTGTTGGCCAGTGCTTCGGCCGGGTTGGAAAATACGCAAACGGAATTCGCGCTTACAAACGTGCTTTAGTCGCCGGATCCTACGTTGACAATCCAGAGGCCAGCCTTGTCAGTGGAGAAGGATCAAGCCTTGGAGGAGGAGTCCTCGATCCCGAGGTCCTCTATCAGATAGCCCTGTTTTACGAGCGTCTTGAGGACATGCCCGAATGTGCTGCATACATGGAAATGGTGCTGGCACAAGAAGAAGGGCCAGAATATGAAGAGGGCAGCGGGGAGGCGAGCGGCGGTGTTGGTGTGACTGCAACAACCAGTAAGGCAAGACTATGGCTAGCGCGCTGGGAATTCATAAGAGGGATGTACCAGCGGTCAATGGAGCTAGCAAACGAGCTGTGCCAGGACGGTGTGGAGGTTGAAGAGGCTAAAGCTCTCGTGAGGGATATCAGGGCTCGGATAGAGAGCGAAAGGAATGAAGGGCGAACATGAAGATCTAGTTGATGTATTGGCACGAGGATAGAGAGGTCTTGTTTCGGCTTATTGCATCGGAGGCGCTTAGGTATGATACCCATCCAATTGATTGCTCCTTCAAATCACTACGGTGTTTCTTCACGTACAATGACCTGGTTGATAGAAGTTGTAGCGATGTCACCATGAGGGCTTGTCCATACAGGTTCGGGACCGTGGGCCCATTGAATCTTCTGCTGACTGTTGTATGTCATCGTTAAGTGTCCAGATGTCGTCAGTCTCAGTCCACTAATCTCAAGGACACGCAATGGACACAACAATCGACCACTCTTCACATCAATTACGACCACACCAATCTCTAACTAATAAATCTGCACTTTGTCGACTTGGCCCGTACATGAGCAAAGCCGAAGTCACAGAAACCGCTCATTTCCACACAGGTTTCTCAGTGCTGTCACCACTCTCAGCTCAGCCCTCCCATGGACAGGTGACGAAACACGAATCCGCTACCCTTCACGTCAAATCGCGACAGCGCCAGTTTCTAGCTTTATGAATTTGCGCTTCCGCGACTTCACCGCCGAATTCGCAAACCGGAGTAAAGAAAGCAGCCCATTGACTGATCGAAACTCTTCCACACCCTACCATCGAGTCTTCATGTGTCTGACGCATGACCTCAAGTACAGAGAAACGTTCAACTGAAACCCTCAATGGCAGCTACACTTATTGGAATGATATTTCCAGATTTTCACAACTGTAATTTGGCAAGTCCGCAAGGAGGCCAATTCTATTTTTGTCACTGGCGCACTCTACAAATTATTCCAATCTACTGCGATTCACAATAGGTACTGGCATGTTCAAGACGTCGAAGATCATTGATACCAGCAATTCCGTAAGTTGGAACGTGTGAATGATTTCAAGGCGCTTAAAGCAGGTGACCCCAGCCACGAAGTTATAAAATGCTGTAGCGGTAGCGGAGACAACCTCAACACATTTATTCCCGGAAATTACTAAATCAACTTTCAACACACCCATAACCGTGCCGCATACCCCAAGAACGACTCCAGCAACAATATACATGCCAGCAGCTGCGTCCTGGGCCGGCGATATTCCTATATACAACATACGGGATATACGCCGAATGCCGCACCCCCTCAAACCTGAGGATGTCAATCATCTATCTTTGCCAGTGCTTAGGGGCCTCGCGAAGAAGATACGTGAAATGCTCTCAATGGGGATAGGTTGGGACGAATTCAGCGCCCTGAAAAGCAGTTTCGAAACCATCAAACAGATCATCTCTGAACGGATGCGAACAGGAGCATTTCCTGCTGACCGGCCGCATCCAAGGCATCCAGGCCAGATGCCAGATACTTGGCCGGGAATGTCGGACGCGCCAGGTATGACACGGGGATCTCCTCCTAATATGAGTGACGGGTATACAAATGGGCCTGATATGCAAATGCCGGGTATGGGTAGTACCTCTCGTGGTTATGGAGGCGTACGACCTCCAATGGGCTACGGAGACCCACTCCGTACAGGCCGCAGGGAAGCTCCGAGAGGGCCGCAGACTTCATATACATCGCCTCGCCCCGACGCCAATAGATCCAGTCCCCATGGTTCTCCTCCCTTTTCAAGCAACCCCAACCCCAACACTTCCAGACCATCCCAACCGGCCGAGGCCCCACCTGGCAATACCGTGCATGTAGAATTGTATATCCTCCTTGGTCTTACACCTGAGGCTACACAAGAAGATATTGTGCGCGAAGGGAAAAGACTGAAGGCACACTGGCATCCAGATAGGAATAAAGCACCAAACGCTGAAGAAGAGTTTAAGAAAGTGAGTGAAGCAACGGAGGTGTTGAGCGATCCGCGCAGGAGGAAGTGCTATGATGCAACGGGGCAGAAGAGCGAGGCTGCTTGTATGCAGTGGGAAAGTGCAACTCGGGGAATGGGCGGTGGAATGGGCGGTAGAGGTGGTATGGGAAGGGGGTTCGGGGAAGGATATGGGGGACGATTTGGGGGGATGGGTGGGATGGGTGGCGGATATTGGGGAGGCTATGGTGGTATGAGTGGGATGGGCCCTGGACCTGGAGCATACGGAGGGTATCACAGCTTCTATGGCGGGTCTCGCCGTTGGTAGAATGCTGGCTCGTCATTTGCGTAAGGGAACAGGGAGAATATAACATTGATAGTTGCACTGGACTTGGGTTGGCAAGGCAGAGGCGTTTAGGAAGTGCTTAGTTGCGTTTAAAGCGGAATGGGCAGGCGAATGTGCTTCTTTCTTATGGCTTCTACTTTTGAAGTAGAAATGTCAGAGTTGTGCCTTACAAACTCTGTTAGGTTCTACAAAAATCGCAGTGTGTCTAGCGTTATCCTACAAAGGGCCGCGGTTGGTCTACTGTCATTATAATAACATACATCTATCCCTGTAGCTGTGTTCTACGGTTAGACCGCAATTTGTAGTGCTTTCTACATCTAAACGCTGAGAGTGGTAATCAATTATCTTGTACCCGATGGTTGAGTGAACAAAAATAAATGATTTAAGGCTGATAGCCCCAATAGCAAGTACAAATGTTGCTACTAAATAAACGCTCTGAGCAATTAAAGTATAGCATATTGCTGTCGCCTTATACGCGTGGTTGTAGGGAATTTTCCGCACGTAAGAGTTAATCGGGCCAGTTGTCCCGCTATGATCGCACGTTATTCTTTCACGTGAGAGTACAAGTAGCTGCTAATTCCGACTATATAGGATGAGTTCGTTTGCTATAGAGTACGTACGGTAGGCGACCTCACCTTCTCCAACGACAAGTTGCCCACGCTCCAGAACTGAATGCAAAAAATGCCGAGGTCTTCCGCTGCAGCAGGAATGTGTATGCCATTGTCAACTGAACCTATCAGACGCTACCCAATGTACTCACCGACAAAAAAAGCCCTCCGCTAGCACGCAGAGAAACCCGCCCACCCAGGCTTTGATCGCGGCGTGCGCGAGGAGCAGCCCTGACTCTGGTCGAACAGCACTCAGCCAACTCGGAACCACCGGTCCCGTTCTGCCTAACCACTCCTTGGCTGTTCGAAGAACCACCCTTCGCAGCGTAGAAGCTGGGCGTGTCGGCAATGAAGCGGAGCACGCCTGAGCCTCTGCGTGCAGAGCCTTGTGAAATTCGCAAGGATGGTGGACTGAAGCGAGCCAACAGGCAGAAAGGGTTTCGGTGATGCAGCAGTTCGCGAGCTAGTGTCAATGCTTGTCGTATAAAAAGACAAATGAGGGTGTAAAGATAGAGGAGAAATTACTCAGCTAACTCGGAACCACCGGTCCCGTCGTGCCTAACTACCCCTTAGCTGTTCGAAGAACCACCCTCCGCAGCGAGAAGCTGGGCGTGTCGGCAATGAAGCGGAGCACGCCTGAGCCTCCGCGCGCAGAGCCTTGTGAAATTCGCAAGGATGGTGGACTGAAGGGAGCCAACAGGCAGAAAGGCGCTCGGGGATGCAGCAGTTCGCGAGACGGCGTCGGTGTTTGTCGTGTCGTATGAAAAGACAAATGAGGGTGTAAAGATAGAGGAGAATGCAAATCAATAGAAGAGAGGGGGAGTATCAAGAAAAGAGAGGGTGAATATCAATAAAAGAGAGGGTGAGTATGAATAAAAGAGAGGTTGAGTATCAACAAAGGAGAGGTTGAGTGGAGTGGAGGTGATGATGGAGGCGGAGAAGTGGAGGTGAGGTTTATGAGCATCCATGCCAGAGAACTTGCAAGGCAACCACACGAAGGCTGGCACTAGCGCCTTGGCAGAGGACGTCGTCGCGTTGTTCGGGTGAACAATGTTCCGTTGGGTTGCTCAAAAGATGAAGACCTATGGTGTACTAAGCGTTTAAGTACTATTCTCACTTACTACTACGAAAAACACTACTTCTTGGAATTAACAATTCTTTGGGCTCGGCGCGGTTCGATGGTGCGGATGCTGTTCCGGGGGAAGTCAGTCTGCTTGTAGCGTATGAGAGGCTGCCGGAGATGAATTGGAGTAATGCACATAAGGACCAGATTGCGTTAGTCCTCAGGGTTGTTGATGGTGTTGATGATGAGCTCGAGCGGGATGCGCAAGACATGGACATGCGAGGTGTTGACGGTCCAGGGAGTACGGAGAAGAGAGACGTACCGACAAAATACAAAAGAACTGTGGTCGCAAACGTCAACAACCACAGCTTCTGTAGAGGCGTACCTTTCAGTAGTCTGGTTATGGTGTAGATGACCGGATGGATGTGCTGAGACGATGGTTGTAAATCAAGTGTTGGCTTCGACTCACCTTTGCCGAACTATCCAACTTTCCAGAATGATGTCGCTCTGAAATGGTGTTCCTATCAGGTCACTTTCCTTGCGAATGCCTTCTTCCCTGATCGCTGTTGCTAAACTCACCTCATCTAGATCACGCTCATTCTGTCAACACCAGGATACCTTAGGGACGCGGGTTGGTGGGTGAAAGATTAATAGCCACAAACCCAATGTGGGTGAGATTATCAACAGACTCATTTCCCCTCGCGTGTTCATTCTGTAATACTCCCAGACAAGAGAGACGGACATCCAAAGCTTCGACTAACAACCAATCGTGAAGTGGGCGGTGACTCGTGAGTTGAAAGCGTAACATATGCCTTGCTCGGACAGAGATGAATTGATGCCATGCATGCAACCGCGAAGAAAGCAAAAACGAAATCGAAGATCCAATCGAGCATTAAAACTCGAATATGCAGGAGCCAACGTATAGGGTAATACATGAAGCCTAGCCGTGATAAAAGGCTTGCGGATTGGGAGACCGTGTAGAGAACTCGGTGTCATCCATAAACCGAAAGGGGACCTTTAGCATCCAAACGGTCGAAGAAGTGTCAACATATATGTGAAAAGCAAAAGTTCGCAAGTTGGAAGCAGGAGGGGAAGGCCGACGGTGGTGCAGCGGGACGGTCCGCGCCTTGGCAGGGGTAGAAATCGTCCCCTTACGAGCATTATCTAGTCGAAATATTTCCCATAAAGTCCGTGTTCGTAGTCTTCGAGATCTTCCTCGGTAGACCCTCCGTGCAGATTCTCGGGACAGGTATATACTGTAACGACGACACCACGACGGTTTGTTCCTGAATGGATCAGCATGAATTGCGTTGGGATGTCTCGAGACATCGTACGAGGGTATCGGTATTGATGGACCTGCCACGCCCCTCCTGTGAAAACGAGAGGCAACACATTTGGAAGATATTCGGCTAGAGTGGAAAACGCAATCAGGGCTAGGAAAATGGGTAGTTCCCCCTTGATCCCTCCGTAATGTCGAGCTTGAGTACGAGTACTGGTGTGGTAAATATCAGGGAGGAGCAGCATCGGCCACTGCTGGTCGGGACGCTGAACACGCAGGATTTGCTGCTCTCCCGCATTTGTCAAAAAGGAGGAGTAGTCGTTTTCATCGTGGTCAAATTGGAGCGGTTGCCATGTCTCGTCGGGTCTGGGCTTCCTTGCATCTCCCCTCAACACCAAGAAGCCCTGTCCTCCAGCATAGTACATCGAGAACGTTTTATATTTCGCACATCCTTGAGGTAGCTGCGTAACCTCGTAGATTTGCTGTCCGTTGCAAAAATAGTACTTGCCCGATGCACCAACTTGGACTCGTACATGCGCCCCGGGGTCGCTGCATGGGATCCAGTGTCCTCGACTATCCGCGTGGGGGCGTATATCACTTCTCTCGCGGATCTCGTGAATTCTGAAAAAGTAAGGGGGCCGCAAGATCTGTTAGCTTCTTCATTTACGGTGAGAGAGGTTCACTAACCGACATGGGCAATTCGAAGGAGGACGATGCAGGAAGACGTAAACAGGAAGCCCAAACGGATGGTTTGCCGGAACTCGGACCTCTGCCTGATCCAGATCCCTCCCCTACACGTCAAATCCACCTGCCCTTTATCCTTGGACCCCAGCTATGCGGCTCTGCGAAGGTAGCCCGTTAGGGAGGTCGATTCTGCCGACAATCATCATGCGACCGCATAAGTCCATCAAGCAGGATGCGGGCGTGAATCTAAAGCAAGCCGCAGATAAGGAGCTCGCTGTCATAGGAAGCTTCGAGCGGCAGAATCCTGTAAAGGCTGCAGCTGCAGACCAAATCCCAGCCCGCCTTTGTCTACCCCGCGGCAGTAACACGTAACATATAGATCACCCGCGTGCGGGAGACTGCCGTCCAAGACGATGACACCATTCTGCGTTTTCCATGACAATGTATCGTTTGCTAGGAGGGCGCTCAGGACCTTAGGAGCCGTACCCGCAGCGGTAGGGGCGTGGTAATGGGTACGCTGTTTTTGGAATGCTTGTAGGCGTGGGCGTACGAGTCCAGGATGGCGATTCTGTCCAGCTGTGACAGCTGCCAGCTCGAATTAAGTAAAAGCAATACGGTATATCGGCCGAGAGACCCGCCGGCGGCTAGCGTTACAGTGTTGCATGTGGTCTCCGTTCGGGCCTGCCAACCAACAGACGCCCACCAGTTGCGCCCACAAATGAAGTGATCGGGTCGGAGGCTGCACCCCAAACCAGCAACGCGGAACGGATCTTCCGTGTGATCCTGAGCTTATTAGAGCGAGGAAGAAACAAGCCCATGACTTGCGTAGGAGGAGGAGGATTCGTGTTTGATCGACGCGTACAGACCGTCGCCAACATCCATTAAGCCAGGAAGTACCGCTACGGAGTGATCGGCGAGACATGGTCGACAAATATGGGGACTGAAAGATGCGGCTCTGCTTTATGATGTCGTTGGTGAAGCATAAAGAGGGGGCGATGGGCATTGCCGGTCGAACCATGGGGAGTCGAAAATTCTTGGCGTATATGAGTGCTCCAGATCCTTTGCGGCAGAGCGGCAGAGCAGGTGGCAGGGGCAAAGCCCGAGGTAGAGATGAGTAAGCCTTGTGTTCGGTCGGTGGAACAGCGCTGATATCCTGCTAAAGGTTATGAACAGGTGGGCCTCGAACGCTTTAAGTACAGCAGCGAAGCTCCGACCTGCTGTTGAAAAGGAGCCTGATGGCTTCGTTGTACAAGCGCTCAGATCTAGATTGAACGGGGTCCTGCAGGGTTGCCTCGTTGCCTTCTTAGATCCCGTCCTTTACGAGATCTATGAGCGCGGCCCAAGACCTTTGAACGAATAGGACCGCTTCCGCCAGCACAAGACCTTCAAACGCCATCATTGTGTTGGATGCAGCATCAAGTACCATACTGCTCAGCGAGTGCGACCGTTCCACGTCGGCAGCCAATGCGATCGAGTTTTGTATATCAGGACCAGCGTTCACCGGACGGATACGGCTTTAGCCCACTTCCGCATAGCGACCTTATTAACACCTTAGGGCGGAGGCTGACCGGTACGCTTCCGACCACCACACTGATCCCCCTAGAAATCATGCGGGCAGGGAACCTTGAGCGAGGATACGAAGGGAGCCCACATGCTCTCAGCTAGGCGAGCAGCGAGAGGAGCTCGGGAAGGATTGCCCCGTAAAGAGGTTTCCTACCTTAACAGAGAACGTCGCCTCGTTCTTAGTGCCGCTGACCAAAGGGGATAGCTATACGGCCCCGCACCGCGGCTGCTGGTAACCGCCCACGAACCCACGAGCCACCCATGCCGTCCAGCAGAGTATTGAATGCTGTACCGGCAACGTGGTAAGCCACGTCAACATCGGTGGACGGTCGTACATCTTCCGAATAGAACGAGAGTGGTGGCGCCGGCCAGGGGGTGGTGTGGTTTAAGATGGTGTAATATTACCGGATTCCAAGCAGTTTGTGCCATGGTTCTGAAAAGCGGACAGAGCGCTTACATGAAGATTGAAGACATGGGCGCCGTTGGAAGGACGTTTCGAGAAAAGACGATTGAGGAAGATGATAAAGAGCTGCGGTAGCATGAGAATGAACGTAACGCATCTTATAATGGGGCGACCAGTTGCACACAAGAATCCGAATAAGCTGGGAGACTTGGTTTCGGCGGGATTATGCCGTTTACTTGACTTACCTGTCTCCGAGTTACCACGAAAGCCAGAGACGTAGGGCGCAACCTACCTTGTGCGTGCTACAACGCAGAGTTACCATCTGATGCCTCCCGAGGTCGTCGCTGAGTCAAAGCCGAAGTGTCATCCGAAGCAGTACCCTCGTGGAGATTGTCGGCTGCTCCAACCTAGGGCCGCGGGCTCCAGCATGCCATGGAGATGGTATGCACGTCTACGAGGGGGCAACCATCGATTGGTCTTCCCAAATGTTGCTCACATTCAGGGTCGACAGGCGCTTGGTCCGATATGCTGAAGGCAAGGCCTCGTCAAGAGTTAGTATATGGAAATGGAGAGCCAGTGGCAATGCGAAGGCGGCAAGGAGGGCATTTATGTCTGAATAAACTCCTGGAAGGTGGTGATGGAAGGAATGTCGAGCGATAGCTGTGTCGTTGTCGTTATGGTAGTAAAATACGTGGTCAGCCAGCTGTTATAAACCGACATCCAATGATTGGTGTGTTTTTGTTTCAATGCTCTGCTGCTTGTTTAGCTCCCGCTAGCTCGTCGCCCGCACCTTCAACGCCACGATTGAGGAAAATCTCCAACAAGCTTCCGCACTGACTATACAAGCCCCATAACGTATGCTGGTCGTGGAGTTTGTCAAAACTCACAGGTAAAATTGCGTCTCGTTGGGAAAGCGCCCCGGCATATTAAGTTCGTTTTGAGAACATCCGCATATTTTTGTCTTCAACATGGCGACTCCCCCACAGAAGCAGATACACTCGCTGATTGTGGACACTGGACCCTTGATCCACAACACAATCTCCATCTCGACGATAATACAGTCCGCGGAGCACATATACACCACTCGGGACATCATTTCGGAGATACGAGATGCTGCGACCCGCTCTCGTGTGGAAACCACCTTGCTGCCGTTCCTGACATTGCGGAATCCCAGTCCAGCAAGTTATGAGTTTGTCACCCAATTCAGTAAAAAGACAGGCGATTATCCCGTGCTGAGCAGACAAGATTTGGGCATCTTGGCGCTTGCTTACGAGATTGATCAGGAAAGGAAGAAGGAAGAACAGGCGAAGGATGCGGCAACGGACGAGACGGAACCAGCTGTGGAAGCTTCAGAACCCGGAACAGCAAAAGACACAGTACTGGAAGAAGTGTCTGCTATCCCGAAAGATACCACAACGTCAACGGAAAATGCTTCTGCCGAAGCTCAACCAGCACAGTCCATCGAAGAAGGCATGTCCAACCTGCAGGTTTCGTCGGATCCTAAGGAACTGCCAAAGTCCCAGGATCAGCCAGAGGAGCAGAAGAAACATTACGAGGAAGCACAAGGCTCAGAAGAAGAAGATGATGATGACGACGGTGAATGGATCACGCCGGACAACCTCAAGCAGCACCAGGCCAAAGACAGCGGCGTCTCCGTCAAAGAGACCGAAACGAAGCAACTATCGTGCGCAACAATGACAACCGACTACGCCATGCAGAATGTACTTCTGCAGCTCCAACTCTCACTCATCTCCCCTTCCATGCAAAGGATCAAGACCTTGAGAACATATGTCCTCCGCTGCCACGCTTGCTTCTTCCTCACCAAGGAAATGACGAAGCAATTCTGCCCTCGCTGCGGGCAACCCACCTTGAATCGCGTGTCGTGCACGACCAACGCCAAGGGCGAGTTCAAGCTCCACCTGGCGAAGAACCACCAATGGAACAACCGCGGAAACAAGTACAGCGTGCCCAAACCCGTAGCGGGGACAGCGAGTGGAAAGGGAATCAAGGGTGGCGGCAAAGGCGGATGGGGCACCAATCTTATCCTCGCCGAGGACCAGAAGGAGTATCAGAGGGCAGTGGGAGAGCAGAGGCGAACCAAGACGAGGGACCTCATGGACGACGACTATCTCCCCGGTATACTTACCGGTGATAGAAGCGGGAGAGCAGGAGGAAGGACAAAAGTCGGTGCTGGGAAGAACGTAAACTCCAGGAAGAGATTTTAAGGTCGAAGAAAGGCTGCATTGCAAGATATATATGAGTCACGATTGCATAACATTGGCGTCTGGAAAGAGAAAATTGACTTGAGAACATGGGAGAATATGAGCATTGATGAATTACAGAAATGAGATTTGGGTATCTTAGTTCCATTACATCCCCCAAACCACAACATTGCCATCACCTCCAGCGCTGGCCCACTCCCTGCGGGTCTTGCAAAACACCACATCACTTACGACATCTCGCTTCCCCGCCATCGCGCGTCCAGCATTTGCTTTCGTCTCCCTCATCTGAGCATGTCTGAAACTGTGTATCAAGTTCCCTTCCAGGAGGTCCCAAGCAAACACCATTCCATCATCGCTGCCACTCAACACGACGCTATCATTCATTCCCAACGTGCTTCTCACCCTCAGCTCCGTATTCACAAATCCTTCATCTCGATAGGCCTTGAGCAACTGTCCATTTCCCCGATCCATCAAGCGAACCGTAGAATCCAAGCTACTAACCAGCAACTCCGTCCCCTTCTTCGAAACACTCAAACTCGTAACCGGGTGCCCAATAACATCGACCTGGCACATGCCCATGCGCAAGTCATAGCTCCGCACCCTCCCATCAACGCACCCGCTGATAATCTCGGCATCGAACACGCAGAGGTCCGTTATGCTGTCCTTGGCGTCATCGAGACTCATGATGGGCTTGTAATTGGTACTCTTCGTATCCCAGATCTTCACCGTCCCATCATAACTCCCAGTAACCACAACGCTGTCGCCATCGCCTGCGAAAATGCCCCTATTGACTCGGCCAGCATGCCCGGACCACCGCTTGATCGTCTGCGCCGTCTGTACGTCCCAGAAGAATACCGTCTTGTCGCCTCCGGTCGAGACAAACTTGCTGTTGTCGGCGCTTACGTCTATGGAGAGGACCTCGTAGCCGTGCGCAGAGTACTTGTTGATGAGGCCGGCGGACGGTGACGTTGAATTGGGAGGTGCTTTGGCGGGATTGAAGAGTCGGATCGAGCGGTCGGATGACCCGGTTAGAATGTATTGCTGTGATCCCGAAGAGTAGCAAACGGCGTGTACGATTCCGGCATGACCCGTTAGGCGTGCAATCGGAGTTGTCGGAAATGAGGGCATGTCTGTTGGAGTATTTAATCGGACGTTGTCAAGGCATCTTGAAGGAGAAGCGGTGCTACCCGGAAGCGGCTCCCCTATTCGAGAGTCGGGAATTGTGTGTACAATGCGACGTCGTATACAGAGTACATAGGTGAGAATAGGTCTTGGTCGAAAGGATTACTTGAGCTCGGGCCAATGACGACTTTCGGATCGGATTAACCTTTACTGTGTACCAGAATATCTGCTAGAGCACCAGCGAGCTGCTTCATACCCGACACAATTCCTGCAGTATACTTCGAGGCGAATAGCTGCCACAGTCTATATACAGTTTATTCTAAGAAGAATGGCTTTGCGGCATCTGGATAGCGCCCCGAAGGAGGAAGAATTCACCCCACTTCAGGAGCACCAGGAGCAGACACCGAGTACCTTCTTCGGCAGCAAGCCCGTTCTCTATGCGCATTATTCGAACTTGACGCTTGCGATATCCACGAGCGGTCTGCAATTGGATCCTGCCATAGCAAAGTTTGCCGCTTCCGCGGACGAGCAAGCAGCTGAGGGAGATTCGCTAATCCGCGACGTTGACATCTGGGTGAGCTCCAGGTAAGAGACGTTGGACTTTCGACTTTTGTTCACATAGCTGAGTCCATTGTAGGGATGTCACACTGTTCCAGCAGACTCCCGCAGCGACAGGCGTCTCAATAACGTACCCTCAAATCTCCCTCCACGCCACCATGAAATACAAGTCCCAGATCGAAGCTTTGTTGATGAAACTCTGCCTCACCGATATCGAAACCGTCAACAGCGAAGAAGAGATAGAAACCTTAGATATAGTTGTTCTTCCCCCGAATTTTGCCTCCGAGCCCGACACCACCTGTATCAAGGAGATCTTCACTGCCATGAACGCATGTGCAGACTTACATCCTGATCCCGATGATTCCGAAGAAGGCGACCAAGAAGATGAAACTGCGCCTGGCGCTACAGGGTGGATCACGGCGGACAATATGGGTGAATACTTGGACGAGGACGGCAACTTCAAAGGTCACATCTACGGGGATGCCGAGGAGAGCGAGCAGCTGGGTCCTGGTGCTGGTACGGTGAGGCCCAGGGAAGAGGAGGCGGATGAGCATACGAATGGAGTGAATGGAGAGGATGGAGAAACAAAGTGGCAGCGCACCGGTTAGGTGGCGGACATGCCAACGAGGCCGCGGTCGTTCTAGATATCAGTGCTGTGAGAAAGAGGGTTCGGAGGGCAGATTTTCTGGAGGTGGTCCCAGGCCCTGTGCCTTACCAAACTGAGCATCACATGCTTATACCATGCGTTTTGGAGGTGAGTTCGCTCCATGCGTGTCAGTTCAGTTTTTCGGTTAACATTTCATCAGAAGTGTCCGGCCTGGGAAAGGCCTTTGAATAGGAATATCTTACCGCGCTTCCTACGGAGTGTCCAAGCTGAAGCTGAAGAAAAATGGCGGACTCATAGAGAATTGGCTATTGAAGCTCACGTCATGCGAGTTCGTGCAATTCGTTCAAGCTCTGTGTCCCTCGTCCTCCACGCTCGTTTGCATTAGTTAGTGTACCTGCCTCTGCGTTCTCGCTTGCTCCGTGGATGACGTTCCACACGTGCGTATGATTAATCGTCTTTGCATCGAACTGGCGCTGCGTACAGAGTGCAGGTCAGGGCTCGTAAACCCGACTGTACGGCCGTATCCTGCACGGTGTTCTGGGTCCCAGTCCCAGAAAGCTGGGTGACTCTTTAACAAGTCGCGTTCATAGCATGCTACACCGCTTTGCTTGGGAAAAGACCGAGACGTTACACGATGCTTGGTTTCTCTGCATGCTTGGGCAGCTGTGAGGGCGGTAGGGAATGGTTCTGGTTCGCCAAAACCTCCATGTTCAATAAACAGCTGAGGTTTATCAGGTTTCGCCTTCGATCAGGTCGTATGGACTCGTCCTATTAGGGTACCTCTTGACTTGTGCTGGAACCATGCTGCTTGCCTCCACAGTGGGTACGGCATAGTGAGCAATGGAAGCTGGTTTTCCCCCAGTACACTGCGATTCGGCCTTTGCACACTTGACCGGTCATCGAGGCAGCGTGCTGAACGACCTCTTGCAGATCTCTGATTACGATGGTGAGATTACGGACGAAAGGATTAAAGCAGTCTCACTAGCAAGCGACCTTCTAGGAAATTATCCGAATACCAGGCCCAGGATTAGTAGGTGACACCAAATCAAAATCAACATCTATTTAATCGCCCGAAGTTAGGTCGTTTTCTGTGTCACTGACCCTCTGCAGAAGAACATGCAGCTCCTGTGTATGCGAATGCGAAACCGAATGCCACAGGAAAGCTGCTGGAGACACACGAGTAAGAATAAATTGTACAGAGGAGATGGCTCCGGGATGTATTCCAATCCGGTGGTTACATGTGAAGGTTTACGATGGGCATATTCCTTGCATAAACCTGCAGCCACAGGACCGACGTACTCCGACATCAAAGTTCTAAAAACGACTTTCCACGTATATCCGTGCTGTGCTCCAATACGAAGGCACAAAAATAGAGGGATGAATACGCCACCATCTAGGTCCAAAGGCCCTCTGACCTGGGAACTAGCAAATTCTGAGTAGACATGCACTACACTGCCCATACATCATCGACCGAGCATGCAATTAGTCCATCGGTCAATGATCCGCCGCAAACCCACAGGTCCACTCATTCGGTTTCGGCAGCGGCGCCGTATTCCAAATATTAGCACTCTCTCTGAACTCGGTAATCTTCCTCTCTCCGCCACCCACGTTCTCGACCACCGCAAACGCCGCGTCGGTAGCGTAGAATTCCTGTTTCGAACGGACGTGATATCCGCCTTCCCAACCAATCATGTAAACTGTGCCGCCGCAGTCTCCATTGTCGTTGGGGATGGCGAGCGTGTGGGTGAAGCCGTGTTTGAAGGGGGCGAAGTTTTGCCCTAGTGTGACGTTTATGCTGTGGTAGAGTTCTAGCCAGCCGGTATAGTTGTAGTGGTGGGTTGTATTGAATGTGGCTAGCAGGGAAGGTGAAAAGGTTTGCGCGAATACGGTGTCCCATGCACCGTTGGCGGGATATGGGAAGAAACCTTGTCAGGATGGTGAGTTTTAGTGTGCAAGAGAAAGTACGAGGTCAAGAGGTTCATTTAGGTGTGAAGGGGAATAGGATGGGGGGAAGAGGAGCTTCATGCTAACTGTGCGAGAGGCTACATACCGTTTACCCGACACTCCAACCAACTTGACAAACGAAGACTGCGATTTACAGCCAAGTCATCGGCTAGCAGACACGGATCTACTGATACATTTGCATGTTCGGATTCTCTTGCGGCGAGGCTACCCAGCATCTGATGCTCCGGCGGTACAAAACCCAGGATGACAGAGGCGAAGCCAATAACGGAAACTGCGCCATAGGATGTCAGCCTTACTGAGGCAAAGCATAATTTTTGCCCGCTGCGAGAATTGCGCAAGTGGACGTTTGGCCACCGCTGTTATGAGTCCAGTGAACTGGGGTATAAGAATCGTCTTACCGAAAGGCAATACCGAGCGCATGGTGTTTGACACTAGTATAGAAATAGAGACCCACGCGCCGAAGATTGAAGCAGGAGAAATGTAATTCTCACGGCGGTGAGCAGCCGACTATATAGGATCATGCGGAACATATGATTGAAGGGTTAACCAAGTTCGGAGTTCGAAATTGATCTCTTTCAGCTTTGAGCCAGCCACTTCTCTTTTTCGGACAATGGAGCAACGGGGCGATACGTGAGGACGTGTTGCCCTGCTCTCGCGCGACAAATTGCTAGATGGTGAATGCATTCGACAATAATACAGTATACGTGCAGTCTCGACGTCATAGCCAGTTCGTAGATGTTCCGCCTGCGCGGTTCCGATGATGCATATCGCCCAAAGCCATCCTGCATTTTCCGGCGACCCTTTACTCCATCTTTCTTACTTGTGCATACCCACGCACCGCTCCGCCGCGGGTTGTCCGATGTCAGCCCCAAACGACATTGCCGAAAGTGATCGTAACCGCGAGCGAGATCGTCAACAGCACTGACACCAGTCACATTTTCTAAGCAGCGACTAATCAGCCCATGGCTTCGAAGTAGCAATAACCGGTTGTAGGGTCTCTGAGCCGACATTGCGATTGGCGAGTGCAAAGCCTCTCCGGCCGGAAACAACTTTGCACTTCGTATCCCAGGAGCTGGCCACCGTCCCGATGGCTAGGGATTGTGTATATATCTCCAGTCATGTTTGCCTCGCTGGCGCAGCTGCGCGTGAAACGCCCCTTGAGCCTTGTTCGATAACTGCGTGCAACCCAACTTTCACGGCCGAGATCCCAACGGAACGGGGCAATTTGAATACATCCTGCTGAGGGCTGCGCCGCAGGAGACTGACATATAAAGCCACAAGTGGGAGAGAAAAGATTAGTATTCACAAATGCAGCGCGCAAATTCCAGGAACATGATTCAGCATTATCGCATGAGGCAGAGGCAATATCTGCAATGGAGGATGGAGAAGGAAGAAAACAGAGGGGAACATGAGCGTTATGTCTCGCCGCATTTGAGACAGCTGAGAACTGATTGGTTCGCAAAGCGGTATGAGAAGTACGGAAGTCAACATGGTTATCATCAAACAGCATCAGAGACAAAAAGTTGCGATGGAAAAACAGCGTCGTCATCGGGGAGCCACTCATATCGGTTCGGGGAGCAGAAGGATGCTGAAAATATTTGGATTTGGTTGCGGTATTGCGAGGAACATGATGCGATGGATTCAAAACTGGGACTGATCGTTGAATCTTACAAAGGTTGGAAGGGCTGCACCAAACATACTATCAACAAATGACTGATTATGCATAGGATGAACATTCGACGAACTGTGTCACACTGCCGCAGATTTGCGGAATGTGCAGATTCACCATCAGGACTCGTGTTGAGTTTAAGCACTTGAACTTGATACCCCACCGCAGCATCGGACGACGTGGCAGAATGTACCGCTGGCAAGCAAAAGCACTCAAACAAGAGAAAGAGAAGCTCTGGATTTTGGGTCGAAATACTATGATGGGAAAGAAACAGTGACGAGTTGGGAAAGTTCCAACCGTCGAATCCAATCCTCCACGCGCTGGACCCGGAAATGCTGAGTACAGTGCCGCTTCACGGAAGCAGCAATGCATATGAGAAGGAGACAATACTTTTTCAGTCTATGAGGTGAGACATCAATTCCAGACCCTGGAAAATCCTCCTCTCGTCCCAACCTCTCCTGCTTGACGCTGTTCCGTGAGCCCCATGCTCCGGCCTGCATTGATCAAGTCCCACTGTTGAGGAAGCGCTTTTTCAGCTGAACGACGAAATCGGCGACCCCGGCTTGCCGGTGAGCCACCGGCCAAAGGTACCCCGGCATTTTTCCAAATCATATTCTGATCAATCCAAACCTCTACAAAAGATGTTCGTCATGTATCTCGGCCGGGAGCTGCTTTGGAATAAGAATTTTTGCGTCCAACAATTTTCACAAATCAAATAGCCAGCCCGGTTAGCTCAATCGGTAGAGCGTGAGACTCTTAGCTTTCACGTTCCCTTAGAACGATTGATTCGGTAAATCTCAAGGTTGCGGGTTCGACCCCCGCATCGGGCTTTTTTGGTGCATTTCTTTTTATTGCAAAACCTTTTGTGGTGCTGGATATATCGGAGTTCGGTGTCGGGTAGGGGGAATTTTTCGATATCACGTGCGCTAGTTGCAAACCGGTGTTAGGACTAAGGTTACGCAAGCGTGACGGCAAATACGCAGCAACTCTTTTGCCCCACCAAGCACACTTCTCCGCCACCAAAGCACGCTTTGAAATCAGTCCAACCTTCACACCAATAATACAATGTCGCGCTCTGTGCTCTTCTCTCACAAACGCTCCCTCCCTGCTGCGCCAGACTGAGCCATCATTCACAATGGTCCATACCAACATAAAACACTTCGTCCTCGTCCTCTCCGGCAAAGGCGGCGTCGGCAAATCCAGCATCACAACCCAGCTCGCCCTGACCCTCTCCCTCCAAGGTCACACCGTCGGCGTCCTCGATATCGACCTCACCGGCCCTTCCATACCGCGCTTCTTCGGCATTGAAGAGTCCAAAGTACGCCAGGCCCCAGGTGGATGGATACCCGTGCCCGTCCACGACGCACAAACGCTCCCCACAGCGGACGGGGAAACACACATAGGAGCGCTGTCGTGCATGTCTCTTGGCTTCATCCTGGCCTCGAGGAAGGATGCCGTGATTTGGCGGGGGCCTAAGAAGACGGCGATGGTGAAGCAGTTCCTTACCGATGTGCTGTGGCCTCCGCTGGATTACTTGCTCATCGACACTCCGCCCGGAACCTCTGACGAACACATCTCCCTTATTGAGAACCTGCTCCGGCAGACGAATGAGCCGGGGGCGCCACCGAATCAACTCTCCGGTGCGGTGGTGGTGACGACGCCTCAGGCGATTGCGATATCGGATGTGAAGAAGGAGTTGAATTTCTGCAAGAAGACGGGTATACGGGTATTGGGGGTCGTGGAGAACATGGCTGGATTCGTGTGTCCGAATTGCAGCGAGTGCACGAATGTGTTTAGCAAGGGAGGAGGGGAGGTCATGGCGAATGAGTTTGGAGTGCCGTTCTTGGGGAGTGTTCCTATTGATCCTGCTTTTGTGCAGCTTATTGAAGAGGGTACGCGGCCGGTGTATCCTAGAGGGACTGTTGTGGGAGGGAAAGAATTAGGTGAAGGCGGACAAGCATCAGACACTTCGGGGCTGCTTGTGGACAAGTACCGGAGCTGTTCATTGTGCCCGTTATTTGATGGCATAGTGTCAAGGGTGGTCGCTGACATACAGAGTCGAGACGCCTGATATAATCCTATAGCTTCTGCTAACCAATTGAAGATACCCTATTGCCTAGCGTCCGCATATCCAACGCGGGCTGCTAGTATGAAAAACCACCACATATGACCACTCGCTTTCGCTCCTGCTTTACTTCTGCTTTTTTGCAACGCGTCCGCGCTTCACCTTGTTCAAGTCGGCCTTGCCCACCTTCTTCTCCTGAGCCTTCTTTCCCTTCTTGGCGTCGTCCGCTTTGCCCCTCCTCTTCTCCTGGCCCTTAGCCGCAGGCTTCGCCTTCGCAACCAGAGTGTTCTCAGCCGCCTTCGTACCGGTACCATCCTTCGCCCTCGGTCCCCTCTTCTTCCCCTTATCCGACCGCTCCTTTCTCTTGGGCTTCTCCTCCTCACCACCCCAGTTCTCCTTGATCCACCACAGAACGTCCAGTCCGACATCGCAAAACTCCTGGACCCCGCGAATAGTGTCATACTTCTTCCTCTCCATCGCCATGCCAGCCCGCCACTTGTCGATCGCCGCAAAGAAGACCTGGTCCGGGTCCGCATCTTTAGGGGCCACACCACCCATACCAGAAAGCACGCCACCTACTTCTCCCTGCTGGAAGTTGACGAACACAGCGACGAAGAGGTCGGCGATGACGCAAAAGTTCAGCAGGGAATATTTCGGCTCGGGGTCGCGGTTCGGTGGCGTCCAGGTGCGAGCGTGAGAGGGAAGGAATACTTCTTTGATGAGGCGGAACATCAAATCTGGGTAGTCAAGACTGAGAATAACGTGTTCACGAATTAAGCCAGGCAGAGACACTTTGGCGACGGGAGCGTCCGAGTTGGGCTCATTATCCATGATGATTTCGTACTATAGTGGAGTTAGTAAAGAATGCTAGAGGGGGAGGGAAGGTGGTCACCTCAGGAAGTTTCCAGGAAATCGTTGGAATTTCATCTTCTCCAGCTTCGTCTTCGTTGCTGTGGCTTGGACTGCGAGTGTTAATACCGATTGTACGTGTAGGCGGAGTGAACACTCGCTGAGCAGAACGAGAAGTGCCAGATATGCCAGAGAGGTTCGAGCGATGGCGAGCTGCTGGGGATTCGCGAGAGCGAGAGCGTTGGATAAGAGGCACATCATCCTCGGACTCGCATTCTGTCTTTACATCCAAGCCTTGCACTGGAGAAAGACTTTTCCTGGAGCTCGTGTCGGAAGCCTCCTGTTTCCGAGCTTTTCCCTTGTAGATGAAGACAGGAAGCGTGACCACAAGGCTGCGGTGCGCGTGGGCACGGCTTTGATCCGCAGCGGTTGTTGGCATCTGCTGCTGGGATTCCTCAGGTGTTTCGACTTTCACCAGGTCGCCACGAACCTCGTCTGCTGTTTCGTAAGCGGAACTCTCGCTCTCATCGTCGGCATCGCTGTTAGTGAGCCCAAAAGAGCCATCAGTAGTTTCCTCCGAGTCTTGATCTGAGTCTTCAGAGCGAATTTCGCGGCGCTTGTGATGCGGGTTGATACTGCTCAGTCTGCTCTTGTGAGTAGATGCATGCGAAGTCTTCCCGAGGTGCTGAACCGGAGCGGGACTTGAGTCCTCTTCTTGCTCATACGAGATGTCAGCACTGAGTGCGCTGCTCGGGTCATCGGTACAGGAGGCGTCTGCCACATTCTCATCCTGCTCCTCAACTTCATCATATTGCGGTCCCTCGCTTGTAAAACCATGTTCGGAGACGTCAGGCATTTCATGATCGTACTCTTGTCCAACGCCAGAACTGTCACTACTGCCGTGCTCTTCTTCAAGAAACTCTGCCGTTGGCTCAAGGAGGTCCGTGTTTGTAGTAGTATTTTGAGCCTGAGTTGCTGCTGGAGTCGCGGATCCGCAATAGCGCTCAGGAATCTTCCGATCGCCCACGGCTGCTTCTTCTGGCATATGTTCAGGAGACTCGGTTAAGTCTGTAGTATCCATCGGGTCGCATGTTGCAGTAGACTTTGCAACGTTCGCTCTGGCACGACTGTTGGTGCCCTCAAGGCCACTGACTGCCCCAGCGGCTGCTTTGTCCATATCGACAATGGAGCCACCGTGGGAGTGAGCTGGGGGGCCCAACCCAAGCTCCGGAGAGATTGGCACGGGCATAACGGATTGGACTAACTTGAAGATAACGCGGAGAGAGAAACCGGTAAATAGAGACTGTGCGAAGAGAGAGTGGAGATAATTAGACCGAAGGAGTAGAGGAGGAAAAGGTAGATAAGTAGGAGATATATGGCTTTATATATAGAAGGAAGAAGGTGAGGAAATAAACATAGGAGCGGTGGGCTCCGGGTTACAGGCGGCCACTCTTACCTCGAAGACAATTGACTCGATTTTACCCAACAGACTGTAGATGAGATTCGCGTGATACTGTCCTATCGATCTCATGAACCAGCCAATAAATAAGCGACATTCTGGAGAGTTGCGGTCGCAGAAGAGGCGGAAAGAAGCGGTGACCAGAGAAACCTTTCAGTGAATGTTTCGATAAGCATGGTGGGATGAGGTTGAGTTGCAAAGTCAACTGGGTGGAGATCAGGGCCGCAAGAAGAAGTGCCAATACCGGTGACCCTTGATTCAGATTTGAAGTCGGAGTATATGTGTCTTCCTACAGATGTTCGCTAGGAGGGTTGAGGTTGGCTTCGTTAACATCGAAAGTGGGGATGGGAGGCATGACGGGATGGATGGAAGTGCACGTGCCACTTCTTTATCCCGAACAGGAAGTCTTGGCATGCTATTCACATATCCCCAACGCGGATGTGTCAAGTCGAGATTCGACGTTTGATGTTTGATAACTCCGACTGGACCCTGGACTTCTGATTCCACTTCCTGTGCTCCGTCACGCTCTCCTCCAGCTTCCCGACAGTTTTCGGCCTTCGATATGAGATAGTGGCAGTGCTGAGCCTATTGCGATCCCTATGCCTCCGACTCCCGCCGCCTACCCTCCCCGTCCGCCTGCAGCATGTCTTCACCCCTTTCGAGGAGCCCGCGGAGGTCGACAGAGAGCCTTGACTTCCTCAGCTCCCCTCCACAGCAGCAGACGCAGTTTCCCTTCCCTCAACAGCATGATTGGTTCCGCCGCGCAAGCTCCGCCAGTGGTCGGCACCAACCACGCCGTGGATCGACGGCAAGCTCAATTCACTCCGTTGGAGGAGCATTGGACACATCCTACAAAGCTAGTATGGGGGCGGTGAGAGAACAAGGCCACAATGGTATGCCCCGAGGTCGTTATTGTGGCCAGCTTGGCCAGTTGCATTGCTAACGGCGATTAGCCATATCGACCCTATTACAACCCCCAATTGTTCGGACAGGAATGGTGCCTTTTACTGCCGGTTCTGTAGCATCTAATCATAGGCCGCCATCTACTAAGGACATTCCGCCGGTCACTCTTCCCAACATCCCACACGTCGAACCATCCGCATTTACTTCATACTTGTCACAAATTGGGAAAATCTACGATGCGTTTCAGCGGGCTAAAGCGGAGAGTGAAAATGAGGCTTCGCAATCGCTACGGAGAGATTCCAAGAAAGATGAGCTTACGGATACGCTTGAAAGAGGAATGCAAGCTAGCTCATCCTCGACTCCTAAGCTATCAGAAGGCGCTTTTCCTCCGGCGGCAACAGCGAGACCTAAGAGACGGATGAGTGGTCAGAAGCGTACAGCCGCGACGGTGACCCCCCTGTCAACGATACCCACTGTATACTTCGATGAGAATTTCCGACTCGAGAATCCTCGCACGTTCGACATCGTGAGCGAAAGGTCTGAGGTGGTGCGCCCGCCGCATGTAAAGAGCAGCGATGATATACAGGCTGGAAACGTCTTGCTGGAAGCTCCTCAACCTCCGGGGAGAAAGGCTCTTGCCACCAATGCCATACTCCAGGAAAAGTTATCCTGGTACATGGACACTGTAGAAGTTCACCTTATAAACTCCATCTCCACCGCATCCACGTCCTTTTTTGCAGCTCTTGGATCGCTGCGCGAACTGCAGTCGGAAGCATCAGACTCGGTAGCGAAGATAAAGTCCGTCAGGGAAGACCTTACAAGACTGGATAAGCAAATGGCGGTTGGCGGCCTGAAGATCGTGGAGATGAAGCGCCGTCGGCAGAACCTGAAACGGTTGGCCGATGCTACGGACCAGCTTCATGGGGTAGTTCTTGGTCTCTCACATTGCGACGAAATGGTGGATCAAGGTGATCTAGAGGTGGCCGCAGCACGGCTTGGCATCGTTGAGAGACTCATCTCCGGATCTATAGACCAAACAGAGATCACTGATACGTCTTGGATACCGGCGAGGCTACCTCCCACTATCGTCGACCTCCGCAGACTGAGAGCTCTAGAGGGAGTTGGGGAGGGCATCCAGCAACTGCGATACCGTATTGGAAAAGGTTTTGAGGCTAGGTTCCTGGAAACTCTCCTCGGCGATCTTCGTGAACATGTCAAAAGTGTGTCTGCTCAGGATACATTGACGAGGTGGGTTGCATCCTCCCAAAGGGGCCGTGGAGCGGAGGGAAAGATCAAGTCGACAACGCTACCGGCATATATGAATACGACTCAAAAGTTTCGCCATGAACTGCGGGCTACATTACTAGGTCTTAGCAGTTCTAGTTATACGAACCAAGCAAGCGCGGCCTTCAGAGACGCCATCGTTCGCGAAATGAAGGTGCTCATTCGACGTCATCTACCCAGCTCCACCGATGACGATGCGGAATCCATGACTTCGGTCTCCACAAGAAGCAGCCGCGTGTATTCTCAGCAAGACAAAAACTCGATACTGGCTCGAAACATCCGTGCCATGGATCCCACGGATGCCGAGGAGTTCTTCGTGAACATCTTCACTGACATCGGCGAAGCATTACGGAGGCTGAGCGTGCAAGTGAAGGTGCTTTTGGATGTTACCAGCGGTGTCACTACGCCTCCACCCTCCAGCGGAGGACTGCGCTCCCCTCGTCCTACTGTCGGGAGCATCGACGATTACCTGGGCAACGGACAATACAACGGAGACGCGAGGCCGCTTCAAGAAGAGCTCATGCAAGCCATGGATATGTCGAGCTTATTGGGACAGGCTGTCGATGCAGCTCAGACGCAAATCACAAAGTTGTTGAAGGTGCGATCGGAAGCGACTGCCAGCCTTCCTCTCGATCGATTCCTTCGATACTTCAACTTGTGCAGACTTTTTGCCGATGAATGTGAAGCGGTATCTGGTCGCTCAGGCACGGCCTTGAAAGGTGTGGTGAACATTCACATCACCGAATTCGTTGCCAAATTCGCCGATATAGAGAAGCAAACTCTAATCCAGGCCATGGATTCCGATCGCTGGGATCCTACCGATTTCAACGATGCGGATATGGCGGTTCTATCGCGCATTCTGGGCGGTATGACTAATGACCCGCCTGAATGGTCTCGAGTGGGTGCTCTTTTGGATGAGGAAGATAACAAGGTCAACGGAGTAGCGTCTGAAGTGGCCAACGGTAATGCTCCTGCCGAGAAGCCAAAGAGCTCAAAGCCGGCCGTCGTGGATGAGCAAAAGTACTTTGTACCGGGATCATGCACTGTCGCCATCCGAGGACTCGACCGTTTCGAGACACTCTTTTCTACTATCCCGAGCATGACGGCGGAAGTTTGCACCGGCTTGTGTGACTACCTGAAGCTCTGCAACTCACGGCTATGTCAGTTGATATTAGGAGCTGGGGCTAGACAGAGTGCTGGTCTCAAAAACATCACCACTAAACACCTTGCCATTGCATCTCAGACTCTGAGTTTCCTCTTAGCTATCTTACCCTATGTTCGGGAATGCGCACGTCGGCATTCTACTAGCACAAACGGAAAGGCATTCCTGGCTGAATTCGACAATGTTAAGCGCTTGCTTCATGACCAACAAGCCAACATCCACGAGAAATTGGTCGATCTCCTCAGCAACCGAGCCGCCATCTACGTTCGTAACCTCGAAATGATTCAATGGGATGAGGATACTGAGCGTGACGTGAGTCCCAATATGGAGACTTTAACGAAGGAGACCGTGACCTTGCACAAGGTCATCAGCAAATATCTCGCAGACGTCGCTGTGCGTATGATTATGGTTTCGGTTTTTGAGAGCTACAGGGAGCAGTTGGGGAAGGTTTTCAAGGATGCTGCTGTGAGGACTGCTCCCGGTAAATCAAGGTATGCATGTCTCTTCTAACCGTAGAGATCCTCATCTTACATGTACTCCAGACTGCTCCGCGACGCCGAACTATTCAAAACCCGTCTCAATCACATTGATGGCGTTGGCAATACAGGATCATACCTAATGCAACTTGTTGAGTCGAAGACGGTCGCTGTAAGCGCCCCCGAGAAAGAACAAGCCAACGTCGACGAGCCGCAGCCGGCGGCAGAGTCTGAGGCCGCAAACGCCGACGGTAACTCTTCCTGAATGTCTATTATGGTGTACGAGTTCTGGCCTGGACTGCCTTTTGGAACAATAATTCTTAGCTGTCGCATTTGCATGGGTTTGTACATATTTGGAGCGAGCAAGGTGTTTGGGAGTACTTGGCTAGACGTGTTTTAGCTTATAGCTAAGCGAAGAGATATCCAAGCCGGCTTATGCCTGTTTTCACAAGCCTACAGACTATTCGTGTTTTACCGTGCCAGTGAAAGGGTGATGCCTCATGTGCTAAGACTAATATGTGGTAAACCTTGAATCAAGTTCCGGAGTCTGGGCTAAATGCTTCTTCAAACCTGTTAAGCAAGATCGACGAGGGGATGAAAGGTCTAGTTGTATAAGAAAGTTGCATGTGGACGCCTCAGTGTCTCGAGCATGAGATTGGAAGAGTTATCTCGATGCAAGCCCTACCCTTCATATATCTCCTCCCTGCAGTGAGCAGAGGATATAACACTAAGAGATGACGGTACCATTTGAGGTCCGCGCATCTAGGGGGGATGTACAGCATAGTCCGTTGTCGACTCGAGAATGCTCCTCCACACTGGTCCATAACGAACATCTTGCTCGCCTCCCGCTTCCATAAAATATCGCTCATACAAAGTCAAAGAACAATTCTCTTGTTGCCGCTGTCTTCTCCGCAGATTTCACTATCCAAGACCGTTCTATTGGTCTGGATTGCTCCCGCTTCACCCGACGGCCGCGTCCCCGCTGTCCCATAACAAATTTATGCTCTATCGGCGAATTCATCGGGCGAGCTGCACAATGTACATATCATAAAAGAGACTGCGACTCTCGATTCATCCTCAGAATAGCCAGGGTTTCTTCCAACCGATTCCTCCCATAACTCGATACACGCGATTCCGCCCTCGTCGTCTACCAGAGCAGCTTCAGGGCTTGGTCGATTAAAATCTTCTCGCTATGAGTGGGCATACATTCCTCACCGACGACAACGAGTCGTGTTTCTCGATTCGTACGTCGCCATGCTCTACGTCTGTCTCTTCATACTCAGCTGAGCGCTACCCTTCGACTGTCCACGCGCAAAATGGCTACTCACTTCCTGGAACACAACGAATTCCAACTGGACTGCGCCAGATATCCCACCCTGTTCTGGAAGATGAGGAAGCAATGGTAGAGGGTACGGTCCAGCCAGGATCAGTTCCAGACTCAGATGAGACCATCTCCTGGGGCTCGTTCCAGGATGCCGAAGGGGGCTTTGATTCACAGCAAGCGGACACCATCCCCTGGGATTGGTTTCAAGATGAGACTTCGGCACGTGAGGTAGGTACTGGTCCCAGCCCCCTGACCGATGCCGGACTAGACACGGAATCGCATGGGACCATCCCTCGGGGTTCTTTCCAGCATGCTGGAATATCTCAACATGAGCTGGCCTCGGTTGAACTGGCTTTACGTTCAGGACATTTGGGATCCGAGGCGAGCAAACGCTCAGTGCTCAATCTCTCCATAGTCAAGAACAGTGCGAACGAGAGCGTCACTCACAACTACTGGGACCATGAAGCGGAATTGCTTCTCTTCCTGCGTGACGAGGCAGAAGCCTGGGATGAAGTAGCTCGTCATAGAGACTTCGATGCTGGACATCAGAGCCCCGTTGATGGCCTTTCCACCCCGTTGCAATCAACGGAGCCCCAACTTCCACCACACCAAGACAATCAGCAGCGCCGTTGCAGGATTATCTCGCCCATGCCAGTGCGCCCATTCCATTACCGAACCGCTGCACATCTTGCGTGGTTGCAGGATGACGGGGACGCAAACCTGCCCACCGGTGAAATCGGTGGGTGATGTAGTGCAGCCCTGGCAATCTTTGGTGGGCTTGTCGCTGCCAGCGGAATTGCTCTTCTTGCCTCCGTGACTTTTGCTGTTTGCTAGTATGCCGGATGTCTGCAACCGCGATCCGCGCACGGGGTGGTAGGTGTTCAGGCCCTGGCAGTGAGACACTGCCGATTTGCAACACGAACACGGCATGTGTGAGCTTGTCAAAACCGTCACACTCCCACTCAAGACGGCTTCAAGCCATCACGGCTGTTGTACGCCGTCCAAGCTCCAGAGGGTATCCGATCATGAGTGCATCGGTCTGCAACCGCCCGTAAACACAAGCAAACACTCAGCCGCCTAAAACCAAGCCATTCTACACGCTTTCTAGAAGCGCTTCATTTGTTTGCACTGCACCGCTTGTTGCATATCCCTACAGAGCCACATGAGTGCGCTCAGAGTAATTGTTTCCCAAAATGGGCAAACTTTTCCGTTTGATAGTACAATAATATTCCATGTCTTGACTCTTCCCGCTTGTCTAGTTGCCTAGCAATCAATAAAGTTGTGCATATGCGCTTAGAAGCCATGGGGTGATGTCTGAGTTTGAGTGCAACTAACAAACCGTGAGGACAGCTGCGTATCCGTGCGATTGTTGTCTTAGCAAGTGCCCAAACGCACTGCGAAATTGCGCACAATTGGTTAAGAAGGCTCTTGACTGGGTTCATGATATAAAGTGTTCCTCGCACCCGCATCCGAATCCTCACCTCTACCTTGCAATATCAGCATGCTCCCCTTGAATCATCTTTGACGTCCTTGTATATATGATAGATACCTTGCATTTGTTTTATATATTCCCTTCTTTCGCTGCAACTGCGCCAACCTTGCACCGTCTGGTGCCTCCTCTTCTCCACGGTATGCCTTAGCGGGGAACGCCAGTCAGATCACGCGAGCGGCTGATTCCAAGGTGGTTAGGTGCATTCTCATCCATCTTTACACCCTCATTTATCTTTTCATACGACAAGCATCGACGCCGGCTCGCGAACTGCCCCTACTCCGCGTCCCTTCTACCTGTTGGCTCCCTTCAGTCCACCATCCTTGCGAATTTCACAAGGCTCTGCACGCAGAATCTGCGGCGTCACTCCGCTTCACCGCCGACACGCTGAGTTTCTACGCTGCGGAACCGTCTTTAGTACGAAATATTCCCCGCGCTGCCCCTGGATCATCATCCCAAATTGGACTTCGCCACGAGAGCACCTACCTACCCCAGTATATACGATTATCTTGCGACAACTCCCTTCCCCATACTTGTCAATTCTACCAAGCACACAAAACGCTTCTTCGCTCTGTCCAATAGGTCACAGGTGCTCTTATCGGCCTTTTGGACACGCATATTCAGATTACATGTGCGCCTACGGAACGCACGTACGGCTCCTCTCGACCTACTAATATACCATCTTCCTGAAGATGACTGGTTGTCGATTACATGCGCGCCTACAGAACCACGTACGGCTTCCTGTCGACCTACGAGTATACCGTCTTCCTGAAGATTGATGACTCGGTCCAAGGACGGCAAAGCTGAATTGCATTTTTCCGAACTCATCGCCCATGGCGACTCGACGAATTGGACACTGAAGACGAAGGGGACGGCAACGCCATCACTGTCAGGCTAGCCATGTTATGGCTCCTGCTCCCTTCGATGATTCCGCGACTGCTCGGCCTTCCATTCCAGACAGAAAGACTTGACGGAAGGGAAAGGAGAAAATGACTTCGGACGCTTCTTGGCCAAGTTGTGGATTACATGCGCGCCGCCTACAGAAGTTCTCCACGTACGGCTTCCTCTCGACCTACGAATATCCCATCTTCCTGAAGATAAATGACTCGATCCAAAGACGGCAAAGCTGAATTGCAGCTTTTCTAAAACCTATCGTCCATCGAGACATCAAACCAGAGAACATTCACTCGTCGTCCATGGCGACGGAACTGAACGATGAAAACGAAGGGGACGACGACGCGACAACGCGACCACTGTCAGGCTAGCCATGTTATGGCTCCTGCACCAATGCATGCTTGGAAGACCCCGTTAACAAGGGATCTAAATGGCGGACGAACAAGAATTTGTCAGGCTGGGCTTGTGAAACACACTTGCGCTCCAGTGAAAGGAGATTCTTCTTCTGTGATCTTTTTCCCTTTGTAAATACAAAGGTACTACCTTCTTTCGGCGATAAACATCCCCCCGGCACCAACAAAGATCAATCCCAGCTTCCCAGCCAGTCGAACAGTGAAAAAGGAACCCGCCGAGGACCGTTCTGGCACTCCGACGGAAACGGTTGTTGGTACCCCAGGGTTGGGGGACATGAGATCTTGCTCAGGGAGAGTATGATGCAGCATTATATACCAAGGGCATTCCGAACCCAGCTCCCGGTCCGCACGTCATGCTCGTACTTCATGCGAAGCGTGCCGTGCAACTTGCCTCCCTTCCACAATGCCAACTGATCGAAAATGCAAACCCCACATGCGTTACCGGGACGCCCCCCCGCCCATGTTCCCTCAAGGCGGTTTAACTCTGATCCCCGGAGCCAACTCCGACCGAAGCGATATACTGCAAGACGCACCATGACATGATGGCGAGAGAATCCGACGAAGCGATATACTGCAAGAGGCACTATAACATAATAGCAAGAGAATCCCGACGAAGCGATATACCGCAAGACGCACCATGACATGATGGCGAGAAGAACTCGACGAAGACGATTGGAAGCCGTGAGGGAATCCGTGATAAATAGCTGTTCATTGTGTGGATGGATCATTTTCAATTCCCATCTCATCTGATCCATCACTTGCTGGATTCAATACGACGGGCTTATTTGACGCAGTCTCACAGCCATCCCAGGTACCCCGCGCAGACAAGCAGGTGGGCATGAAAGGAGAGGGAGATGTCTGTAGCCTGCGTCCATGAATTGATCCTATCCGTTGTCGTAGTGACACGGAGGAGCGAAAGCCAGAAGCATACAAAAGCGTTACATAGAAATCAATATAAACAACAATACAAAGCACATTACGAAAACCGTCATTCATCCCATATCCCCCAACACCCATCAATCAACCTCAACCGCCTCCTTCTGCTCGACCGCGCCCTCCTTACCATAAACACTCCCATTCCCATTCATCACATACACTCCCCTCCTCTGCTCCTCCTCAGCACGCGAGGAGCTTCCCCAAATCTTCCCACTCACCCTCCTCTTCGACAACTCCTCCCTCCACCCCTTCTCCGCAACCGTCTCCTCCTCCTCAAACCGCCACTCAAACTTCGCCGGCCTCTTCCACGATCCGAACGTCTCTCCTTCCTTGACCGGCTGCCCGGCCCACTTGTCTAGCTGCGGCCTCTTCTCCTTCCACATCTGCTTGTCGGCGAAGCGCCGATCGAGCGTGGCGAAGAGCTCCGCGTACTGTTGCGGTGCTTGATCGCCTCCTTGGCGCCTGTATGCCATCTTCAGGAGTTCGGTGTGCGTGGTGGCGATGCTGATGGCGTCTAAGCCCGGAGCAGATTGGCCGTCGCTGAGGCGGTAGAGGATATCTTCGTGCAGTTCGATGGCATCTTGGTAGCGCTTTTGCTGGGTGTACAGCTCGGAGAGGAGCACGGTGAACTCCAAGGTCGACTTGTCTAGCGTGCCGCGGATGTAGGCCAGGTTGTACCGGATGTGGTAGCAAAGGTGGATGGCGTCGGAGAATTTGTTGAGGCAGGCAAGCGTTTGGATGAGGGAGCGGCCGATGTAGAGGACGAGCGGGGACGAGGCGAGATTATTGCGGACTTTGCGGGATTCCCAGAGAGCTTGCAGGATGCGCTGTATTGGGGTTAGCTTACGGATCGTGATGTTCAAGGAGTGTTGGCTTACCTCGAGATCTTCGTATTTCTTTGCCACGCTCAATGTGCTGATCAGATCTGCAAGCAGCTGCTGAAGCTCGTCCAACTCAATATCAACTCTGTCAAGGCCCTTGAGAGATTCCTGCAGGACGATGCGTGAGAAGTCCAGCATGGCAGCGTACAGTTTCTGGTCGCCGCACTTGTTCGTTCCAACACCAACAAGGTACTTGGCGAGCGTGAAGCCGATACGTATGTAGCTTTCTGACTCGAAGCCACCATGAAGGTGAATGAACCGATCCATGAGCAGGGCAAGGTCGTACGCCTCCACAAACTTAGCGGACTTGGTATATGCGTGCACCTTGTCAAGTGCACGTTTGATGACTTCATGCTCGTAGCGGGTCTTGGTAACTTCTTCAATATAGAGCTGGAAGAATACATCGATGACAGATTGGTTGACGGTTCGCTTGAAATCGAGGTACCTGTAGAAGTACTCAACGAGCTCCTTCTTGATGTTGATGAACTCGGCGTGGTATTCGGACTTGTGCTGGAGATGGAAGTAGAGACCACGTCCTGCCTTGATGATCGAGCGGTAATCTGTCTTGGTCGAGGTCGCCTTGAAGTAGGACTGGTAAAGCAGAATCTCCTCGCGAATTTCAGACATGACAGTTGTGAACGAGGTAGACTCAGAGATGGCTTCCTGGAAGGAGGCCAGGAAGATGTAGGAGTTGTAATGTGATTCGGTCGTAGTGGTGGCTGTCGCCCTGACCTCTTCGACAAGCTTGCTTCTCATCTCAACAATGAGTGACTGCGCCTGTTCGGTGAAGCTGCACTCCTTGTAGGTCTTGGCAATACTTCTGGCGGAGGTTATGAGAGTTTCCGAACTGCTCTCCTGATGGAAGATCTCCAAGGCGCTAGTTTTGAGGGTGTGAGTAGCCCTGGTGATTGACTCAGTCGTGCTCTGCTTCTTGCACGTAGAGACATAACTATGAAGCGCAGTCAATGTTTCCGTCGATGTTCGACTGATCTTCTTGCTCATCTCAAACTCCTCATGATATATTTCCACGGCCTTGCTGATCTCCTTGGTGCTGAAAGAATACAGTCTGGCGACGCGTGTATTGCAGATATGAACGATCTTCCTCGAGAATTCGGTCTCGGTCGTCTTGCAGTACTTGAGTACCTCCTGATAGAGTGAGATGGCTAGTTCACGATGTTCCTCCTTGTGCTCACAAAACTGGGCGTATGCCAGCGCGGCTCGGATCGTAACCTCATGGTGATGCTTATACAAGCTCAGGCAATGGTGGTGATACTCCTTGGAAATCTCGATGAGCAGGCTGATGTCGACGAGTTCCTTGTGCTCCAAAATGAAGATGTATCGTTCGTAGATCTTCTGGATGACAGTTGCCTCTATCTTGTACTCTGCTCCGAAGTGAATGAAGGTTCTCCAGAGATAGCGATACACCTCATAGGCGAGATGCCACTTGCCCTGTATCTCATAAATCTCGGCCAGAAGGATAGCGGCATCAAACCCATCAATGCGCAGGCAACCTTCGGCGGTGTGGAAGCACGAGTACACATAGAAGCACGCCGTGGATGCCTCATCATATAGGCGCAGGCGGAAGCAGATACGCGCAAACTCGATGAGAATGCGAATTGTCTCGCGATGTGTCTTCCCGAAGCAGATCGGCATCCAGATGAACAGCTCTCGATAGATTTCAATGACCCGTTCATACTTGTAGGTCAACTCGAAGAATGCAATAATTGTCCGGATTCTTTCAAGGATGTACTGTTTGTTTTCGATATGGCGGACGCAGATCAGGGCGCGGAAGATGTTGAGATAAATTGCTTCGACAATCTCAAGGTGCAGCATCTTGAAATGGCATTCGGCGAGGCCGATGCATAGCTCCACAATCTCCACAGTGAGGCGTTCGCTCAGGATGGTAATATCCGTGGAGGATGTAATGATCCCGATGGAAGCCCAGACTTTGCTTATGACTCGCATGTAGATTTCGCATGCCTCTTCATAACGCTCTTCGTGGACGTAGCTAGAGCACAAGGCCTGACAGATTGCTATGGCCGTTGATGTGACTTCGGTCGATTCCAACGAGCTTTCGAAGATCTCCGTCAGCGTCTTCTTCTCTTCCTTGGAAATCACTGTGGTGGATGAGGTCGTGGTAGTTGAGGAAGACGAGGTTTCCTTGCTGTAAGAGAAAGACTTGGTGATCGTTTCTGCGAGATATCGCACAATCGTGATGCATTCGACGGAAGTGCGCTCCTCCCGGCTTTCGTAGTACTCGTAAATGCTCTGATAGATGGAGCGGGACATGGAGAAGATCTCCAACTTCGAGAAGTACTCCGCAATCTCCTGCACACGCTTGATCATCTTGGACTCGTACCTGTACTCATAGCTATAAGACTGGATCTCCGTCCAAAGCCCGCGAAGGACGACCTCGCATTCCTCCTTGCGCTCATACCGATGGAGGAATTCGGTATACCTGAGAGCAAACTCGACCTTCAGCTCAACGATACGCGCGGTCACTTGAGCGCTCGATACGCTCTTCCAAAAACGAACCAGGACCTGCTCCGCTTGGAACAACTCCTTGCGCTCCTCGTAGATGCTGATGATATGTAAGGTTGACTCGATGCGCCGGTGATCCGTGATGGCCAGCGTCTCTTCAAGGTACTCGTGATACTCCAGTGTGAGCGACAACACCTCATCGTAGTATGAGAGCTGCTTTAGGTAGGTGATTAGAAGCTGGAAGAGTGCATGTGTTTCGGAGTGCAAATGCCCATATGCATGGAGACGCAGCCTGTACAGCTTGCGGTAGATGACAACAGCCTGACGGATGTCTTTGATGTCGACGTATAGTTCCGCCAGGTATCCGAGATACGTAATCTGTTTAGACTCAATTTGTCCCCGTTCGTACACCTCAATGAGATAGTTCAACACCTCGATCTTCTTCTCGCGGAACTCTTTATGCTTCGAGATCTCCAGGCTAGCGGAGTACTTGATGAAGAACTCCGCCAGAGCTAATACGACGCTCTCAGCACAGACGTGCCGGCTGACCTTGAAGGCCTCGTATGAGTACTCGGACAGGACGTGAGCATCTTTGAATCCCTTTCCAATGCGCAGTTCCATCAACAAACTCTGCAAAACAGCAGCGGAACGCTCGCCAAGTAGCGTCCTGCGAATGGAAAAGGCGAGGTCTTGAAGAGTTTCTGCCTCTACGGCAATGTACTGGCGTCCTAGGCAGGACCCCTCATAGAGTGCGAGGCGTACTGTAGCCGCAAAGCAGATCTTGAATTGGGCAGAGAGGTTGAACTTTTTCGTGCTCTTGTCGTAGAGAGACGAAGAACGGAAGTGGAGGATCCAGTAACGCGCCGCATATTCGAACAAGGCATGGCGTCCGAAGCTCTCTGCCATTTCCTTTGTGTCGTAGAATTCAACCTGCGGATCTAGGTCATCATGCGGCAGGAGATTGATCTTGCAATATGTAAGTGAGCGAGTTGCCAATGATTTGTGGGCTTCCTTGAGGTCGATGACTAGACCCTTGCTGCCCGCGGATGTGGTCGCCAGGAGTCGTTCACGTATGCTAGGATGCCTTAGATAGGCTAGATTATCCTGGATGACAACAATTGAGCCACAGAGCTGACGAATTAATGCCTCTACGTCGCCCGAGTAGGGGCGAAAGGCACACTCGTCAGGGTTGACCTCAAGGAGAGCCTTGATTTCCTTCAAAGTTAATGGGCGTTCAGCCGCCAACACCCAGGAGAGGATATTCTTTGTCTCCATGCGTTTGGCATCTAAACGTGTTGCTGTCAGGTGATCAATGTACTCGTCCACAGTCTTAGGGGCCGTTTGACAAGCTTTCAAAATGGCCGCTGCCGAGTTTTCGTGTTCGATGGCTTGGAGCTGCAGCTCTGCCCAAAGGAATGAGCGATGCGAACTTTCAGCGAACTGCCGTACAATCTCAGACTTCTCGGATTCCGTCAGATTCCGCAGATTGGCGTTGTGTTGGATAAAGTCCTCAACGTAGTTGCGAATATCGTTGCTTGATTCTTGAAGGTCTTCCAGAACCAAGAATTCCTGGCAGTGCTTTCGGGCGGCCTCGCTGACGGGGCGACTGAGAATGATTGCCTTGACATTACGTCTCGATTTAGTAATCCTGTGGAGCGTCTCCAGTATCTGCGGGTTACCGATCCGGGAGCCAGCCAGTTGGTCAAGCCCATCGATAAGTATCAGCAGCTTCCTGTTGTCCAAAGACGCCTCAAGCGCAGACCAGAGAGTGGCTTCCACTTCAGAAGAAGGGCAGCCATTTTGAGCATGCTCCATCGCCTTGGCAATCCGGGCAAGCAGGCCTTCTCGGCCGATCCTCCGATCGAGGAGTTGGAGCACCAAGCTTTTGATGAGTGACAGTGGGCTGGTGGTGTACTTGACATTGGTATCGACGGCATATGCGACAAGCTCGTCTTCGACAAATTCCTGCTCTTGGATCCAACGCGAAAGGACCGTCTTACCGGTGCAGGCACCGCCAGTGATCAGTAAAATGTTCTTTCCACTTGTGTCCTTGGAAAACTTTCTCAGGCGTGGACCGAACCAGTCGCAGGTGTACTCGGCGCGCTTAGATTCGGAGTAGAGCTGGTTAGACATGATGGCTTTGACCACAGAGTCTTGAGGAGACAGGAACTCTCTGATCTCATGCAGGTTATAATGCGAGCTCCCCCACATCGAGATGGACACCGATTCCAGATGGCTGTAGAAGGACGCAGTTCCCAAGGAGATTACAGTGTCCAGATCTACGAAGCCGGCGATCTTGATCGGCACACCTTCAGTTCATTAGCTCAATCGTCCTGATTGATATAGGTCAGAATGTCATACCACGGCAAGCGAGAGTCAGATATTCTTTGACGTCAGACGTAAAGCGTGCCCATTTTTGGAAGGCATGAGCGAGCTCACGCCGAGCATCAGGAGTGGACTGGATAATATGGGTTTGACGAAGGAATGTGGACAGGGCGAAAGCCATTTTGTGGAAGACGCTGAAAGCCTTCAGGAGAACGTTGACATGCTTGTTGCCCAACTGTAGGGAGTTTAGTGAGATAGAAATTGGGTCCAGGGGAATGACGTACCCGAATGAGCGCAGTGCAGCTGTCGCATATGAGACGAGTAGCATCCTCACTATTCAGCATGAAGTCCTTGAGGACGTCATGGGAAAGGAGGACAATGCCTCCGATGTTGTCAGCCCATCTGAGTATTCTATCCCAGTAAGAGCCATCATGGGGCATGTGTCGTAGGCGCTCGTTCTTCAGAATGTTGAGAAAGTCATGAACGGAATTCTGGCCCTCGAATGCGACGCTCGTAGAGCGCCAAAAGCTAGGGCGTACAAGGGACTGCGATTTCAATAGTATCTCACGTGTCGTTCGGATTTTTGGACTGCTTAAAGCTGCGAAGGCGTCGAGAGAGGGAGACAGGAGACTATCCTCGCTCCCGCTCAGACTTTGTGATTTCTGTGAGCCATTGGCTTGCAGAGGAGAGGAGACTGCAGCTGATGACATGGTAGACTGTGTGCTAGGACGGTATCAGATGAGATAGATCTGAGCCGGGTCAGAGGACTGAGAAGAGAGAGCGGAGGCTGGAAGCCGTCACGTACCACTCCGTGAGTTTGGTCTTTCTTGAGCCCAAACGCAAGCAGCAAAAGAAAAGTTGGAAAGCTGGACTCGGGAGGAGAAGACAGAGGCTCATGGAAAGCTCCAGAGCGGAGGCTTCAGTGGATGTCTCTAAATATGCCTGCTCCGCACCCACAGCCGATCGGGATGAGCGTCATGGCTGAAATGGCATGCCGTCCCACAACGAAGGATACCCAACAACCAATCTAAATGGTGCATGTATCAATCCAGTTGGTCCACTGTTCGGCGAAGTAGAAGCTCATGTAGCAGTAGCAACGCAATGCAAGTGGATTCCGCATGCATCTCGGGCGAGCCGATATGCTCCCCAACCTGCTGGAGTGCCTTGGTTCCAGGCCACTGGAGACGTATCCGCATCGAAAGCATTCAACAATAGGGTGAGGCAATATTGATTGACGGCAGCCATTGCAGGGCCGTGCAAGCTGGAAACGATAGCCTACGATCGAGTCTAGTGATGGCGGTTGTCGAACGCATGGACAACGGGAACGGGTGGGCTGTCTTGGAGCAACTCTCCGTGCAGAGACTGTACCCCAAAATTTCCCGATTCAGCTCACCATTGACTTGATACGACTCCAGAGTCTTCCACTGCGTCTGCTCCCTTGGCTCGGAAACGGGAAGGCTCGCTCCCGTCACTGGCTCAGCCGTGATCTGCGGTGGCTCTCTCGCTTGCCCCCTCTGAAAAGGTGGGGAGAGTTTCATGATGGCTGGCTGTCGGCCTCCAAAGGGGATATGCTGGTGATGAAAAAGGAACTGTTGGGGTGACGTTCAGCTGGTTGCTGGAAGCGCCACCAGCGGGAAACTGCTTGGCACCCGTGCGGAGACATCAGATCTCCATTCCGAGAATCTGCATGAGAAGGAATCGGGATTCGATGGAAACCATTCCGTAACGAGTACAAATTCCTTGTCGACCCCAACTCTTCTCGTAAGCTTCGTGCATTTTGAACCCATGTGTTTGGACCAATTCATATGAACAGGCTATTTCTAAGCATGGCTCCTACTCAAAATGCATTCATTCGGGAGAAGAAAAGACGGGTTCGATTTCCGAGTTCGTCTATTGGGGTATAGATCTCGACTCCAAAGGGAAACCAATCGAATACATGACGCGTTGCATTGTAGCTGCAATGCAGGCTTACACAATGTTGCAGCTACGACTGAAGTAGCACGCGTCCTATACGCTACAGCAGGATATGGTCGCCGACCTCTTTGGCAATGCTATGCATAGATGGACCCTGCCGGTGCGGAGTAGTCGTACTGAACCCGGTACGCCGGATACTTTTCATGTCGTGTCGGCCTACGACGCGAACATGTAACTGATAGGACGGAGAATCTCGGGCCGGCTGCGATGCGACAAACGGATCCGTCCAGGCTGGTATCTAGAGGAGGGTGTGCGCATGTATAGCAATATGCGTGCAATATCGCCAAACGATGAGAAGTAGACCCAAGGAAACGTATAGGAGGACGGTTTTGGCGGTGGAGTTTACCCTACTGGGAGCAAGAGAGGAGGGGTACTGTACGAATATTAATGCGGAGAAGGGAAAAGAATGTGATAGTTGCGAGGGACTAGTAGCATCAGAGGCTTCGAAATGGTATCTAGCACCTAGATTCAGGCTCCTGACGAGAAAACCCCTCCAGGGCTCTTTCGTATGCTAGAAAGAGGGACTTATTCAAAGAGCTGGAGGCAGGCAGAACGCTGGTGACGCTATCCCCCAGTGCTTAAATACCTAATCCCCGTTCGATTCGATGCAAACACGTCAAACATCTCAACCTCCCACGCTTCCCCTCTCTCACACCTCGGCTTCCTGTCAAAGGCCCCCCTGCGGGAACTGCTTAGCCGCTCCCGGGCAACTCACGGAAATGTCGACGTCGTCGCATATCCTTTGGCAAAGGCTGGCTCCAAGGCGAGCTCGCCTGCCCTTGTACCCAGACTTTGACCTCGTACCGCGTTGACCATGGCCACGGTGCATCAACCTCCGCCGCTGAAAGGCCTTCGAGTGCTAGAGTTTGCCGGATTGGCCCCTGGTATGGCCTCCATGAGCTGCAGAACGGAGGATTGAATCCTGAACGCTTCATGTAGGGCCATTCGCGGGCATGCTCCTCGCAGACTACGGAGCTACGGTCCTCCGTCTCGACCGCGCTCCCGTCCAACCGTCCTCGGACCAGCTTACGCGCCGCAAGACGAGCATCTGCGTGGACATGAAAGCGCCAGCCGGCCTGGCTCTGATCAAGAAGCTGATTCCCCACGTCGATGTTGTCATAGATCCTTTCCGCCCTGGGGTGCTCGAGAAAGCGGGTCTGGGGCCTGAAGAGGTGCTGCTGAAGCTCAACCCTAGGCTCATTGTCGCACGCATGACGGGCTTCAGAAGAGATGGCAAATACAGCATGATGGCCGGACACGACATCAACTACATTGCCGTTTCCGGAGTGCTGAGCATCTTCGGCCGCAAGGGCGAGAAGCCGTATCCTCCTGGAAACGTCGTTGGCGATTTTGCCGGTGGAGGCGCAATGTGCTTCATAGGGATCCTTCTGGCACTCATTGCGAGAGAGAAGACCAACTTTGGTCAGGTGGTTGAAGCGAACATGGTGGACGGCAGCGCGATACTGGCCACCATGCCACGATTGGGTATGAAGACCGAGCTATGGCGCCGGGAGCGAGGCACGAACGTGCTGGACGGCGGCGCGCCCTTCTATGGCACCTACGAGACCAAGGACGGGAAATACATGGCACTGTACGTGGTTCTCGGTTTAGGTAGAAGCAATTCTAACGGAAGACACAGTGGCTGCATTGAGCCCCAGTTCTGGGCGGCGTTTCTCAAAGGCGCAGGCCTGAATCCTTCCGACCTCCCTGGCGACCGTGACAACAAGGACGACTGGCCCAAGCTGACCGCGTTCCTCACACAGCTTTTCAAGACCAAGAACCGGTCCGAGTGGGAGGCCATCTACGACGGCACAGACGCATGCTGCACTCCTGTGCTCACCCAGGCAGAGCTTGAGGCACAGGGGTTTGACCAGAGACCTGCCGTGACGCTCAAGTCAACCCCTGGCTATGCCATCCAGGAGGGCGAGGACGGCCGGCCCGCAGCCGTGGGTCAGGGCATCGGCTACGAGGGTAGTGGATGGAGTGAAAAGGGACTGAAGCCCGGATCTGGAGGAGAGGAGACTCTGAGCCAGTGGCTTGGCTGGACGAAGGGAAGGCAGTACCGTGTAGAGAACCAGGGACTGGTGCTCACGGAGAACGCGAAGCTATAGTCCTCTTCCAGCATATTAGCATATTCGAGCATCATGTCCTGTCAAATACCATCTTCGTTGATGTTCTACAGATAGTATACACTGCCGGTGCTTTACCGTGCCCTGGGCTTCCTCTTCGGCTTCGCCGCCTTTTGTGCATTGCGCAGTTTCCTCCTCTCCATGTTCAACGCTTTCCTAGCGGCCGCCTTCCGCCAGGCCGTGAACCTGTCTCCGGGGATGAACTTCTTGACCTTGTCCTTCATCTCGTCTCCCGCACGCCCAATCTCCCAATTCGTCTTCCGGAACGCATATCCCTTGCCCATCTTCAACCCATTCACCGTCGTCTCCACCTTCGCCGCAGGCAGACCCTCCACAACGACTTCAGCGGTAGCCTCAGCAGCAACAGTCTCCCTCTTCACAGGCACCATATTCAGCCTCCGTTTCCGCGCCGCATTGACCGGATACGGGAGCGTATCGTCTTTATCGAGCACGACACCTATGTACTGGCGATCCGGGTGCTTCAGCGGGTCCCGATAATACCGCACGTAGCCGGCCTGCGTGGCGAAGATGCAGTGGTCGCGGCCGAATTTGCAGTTCTCCCCGGGGAACCACATGGTGCCGCGTTGGCGGAAGATGATGTTGCCGGGGACGACGTACTCGCCTGGAAAGGTAGCGTTAGACGTGGTTAATGGAGGATGGGAGAGGGAAGGGATATATACCTCCTGCTTTCTTAGCACCGAGACGCTTTCCGGGCCCGTCTTTTGCGCCATTGGCTCGGCCTTGGGCTTGATGCGTTGCGTGTCTTACGAAGGAGAGGGATGGGGATGCGGGTGAGGGAGCGGCGGCGGCGGCGGTGCGCAGGGCGTCGAGGACGCGGGTCGAGGGGATGATGGCTGTCGCCGCGGCGCTGCTGGTGGAGTGCAGGAGTGCGCGGGCGGGCGCGAAGACTCGGGGGAGCAGCATGGCTGCGGGGGAGACGGGCGGAGATGGGTGCGGTGCCGTGGTGTTGATCTAGGTATGGGAAATGTTGGACGGTTGAAAGGCGCTTTTCCTTTTCGGGGTTGGTGGCTTGGCGGACGGATGCATTCGCAGTAGAGTACCAGCTAGACTTCAATTCCCAGTCCGTTACCATTTTTCAACTCTCTACTTGTTGGTTGCTGACCCTGCGCATGGATTGAATACTATTATTCCCTTGTAAACCATGGTGTCAAAAAATTTGAACACATAGCCTAAGGGAGTGAGGAATGGTCTATCCGTTGCGCAGTGCGAAGGAGCCTGTTCTCGTGGTTGTGAAACGCCTTCCAAGTTTGGAACGCTTGCTCACTCGCCGTACAGAAGCATGACCTTATAAAATAATATAAAATATCTACATTGGGAATTTGCTTGTGCTTCTGTAGCAGAAAATCATCGATGTGAATACAAGATGAACTGTATGCCTGATACGGCAGATGGTCCAAGCTCCCCCTACGCTTCTTCAAGGATAGATTCCAAGAATGACGCCGAAGCTCCACCACAAGAGCCCACCGAAGTTGTCCAACCATCTAGCTCTCCCACCATCACCCAGCAGGCCCGTTGCATGCTAGGTCTGCGACCGCGCCTTCGTGCCCGACCTTCCCTCCTCGATCTCGTCCGCAGACCGAACATCGATAACATCTCCCAGTCGCCCCGCCGCCTAGAGTCCCTCGACCCAGACGACCGTGCGAAGCTCATCCCGCTGCCGGCGAGCCCGCTCACAGGGCCCAAGCAAGAGCTTCTTGATAGTCCGCCGCCTATATCCATAGAGGGGGAAAAATCAGAAGAGGAGGTAAAGATGGCACCGGTATGGGACCTATGAGGGAGAGCACGCTGGGCTGGACATGGCTGACGTGCGTTCGAAGCAGGATCAGAAGAAGGCACAAGATGCTGAGGAGCATCATGGTATGCATCCGACCCTGAATATGGACATGTGCTCTCTGGATCTGACTAACACCTCTCAGGCACTGTCTTCTCAGTTTCTGGGTACGCTGGTTGCCTAAGGGATTTGGATCCTTCACTGACAATGTAGGCCTGTCATTATTGCAGAAAACATGATCGGATGTGCCATGTACGAGCTTGTCAGTTACCTACTCCGCCTATACTGGGCTCCCGTTGACATTTCTAGGTCCGTGTCGGACACGATCAATTGGTCGGTGAGGTCATTCGCATTGATGCAGACAAAGCCTCGATTCAGGTCTACGAAGAGACGGGTATGACGCCTGGGACCGTTTATATTGGCCACGCTGACAGTGTACAGCCGGCGTTACTGTCGGAGACCCTGTGTTCCGGACCGGGAAGCCTCTGTCCGTCGAGCTCGGCCCTGGCCTGCTGGAGACCATCTATGACGGTATCCAGCGTCCTCTCGAGAAGATCGCCGAAGCCGCCAACAGCATCTACATTCCGCGCGGTATCAACATTCCTGCGCTTGACCGCAAGAAGAAGTGGGAGTTCACGCCGGGCAAGTTCAAGGTCGGCGATCACATTACTGGAGGCGACGTGTTTGGAACCGTCTTCGAGAACAGTCTGTTCCCCCAACACAAGATTCTGCTCCCTCCTCGCGCCCGTGGTACCATCACGCGCCTGGCGGACAAGGGTAGCTACACCGTCGATGAAAAGATTCTGGAACTCGAGTTCAATGGAACCAGGACGGAGTACAGCATGATGCACCCATGGCCCGTCCGAGCCCCGCGCCCTGTTTCCGAGAAGCTCTCATCTGATAAACCTCTGATTGTTGGACAACGTGTCCTGGACGCTCTCTTCCCCACTGTGCAGGGAGGCACCGTGTGCATTCCTGGTGCTTTTGGATGTGGCAAGACAGTCATTAGCCAGTCGCTATCCAAGTTCTCCAACTCGGACGTGATTGTCTACGTTGGATGTAAGATACAACCAACCTGGAATGCCGGCCTCAACTGACAGCATGTAACAGGCGGCGAGCGCGGAAACGAGATGGCAGAGGTGTTGAAGGATTTCCCAGAGGTAGACTACTTCAATCGTGGTCGGTAATACCTATGCTAATGTGTGCAGCTATCCATCAACGTCGATGGCAAGGAGGAGCCCATCATGAAGCGGACGACGCTCATTGCCAATACCTCCAACATGCCCGTCGCCGCTCGTGAAGCCTCCATTTACACTGGAATTACTGTAGCTGAATATTTCCGCGACCAAGGCAAAAACGTAGCCATGATGGCAGACTCTTCTTCGCGATGGGCAGAGGCTCTGCGTGAACTCTCCGGTCGTCTCGGAGAAATGCCTGCTGATCAAGGCTTCCCCGCTTACCTCGGCGCTAAGCTGGCATCCTTCTACGAGCGCGCAGGTGCTGTGACTGCTCTGGGTAGCCCCGAGCGCCACGGCAGTGTCAGTATCGTCGGAGCCGTCAGCCCTCCTGGAGGTGACTTCTCGGACCCGGTCACGACGAGTACACTGGGTATTGTGCAAGTCTTTTGGGGTCTCGACAAGAAGCTTGCTCAGCGGAAACACTTCCCCTCGGTCAATACTTCTATGAGTTATACCAAGTATGCCGCTGTTCTAGAAAAGTACTACGCGGAGCACAACCCCGAGTTCCCACGGTTGCGAGACCGCATCAAGGAGCTGCTCTCCACATCCGAGGACCTGGACCAGGTCGTGCAGCTTGTGGGTAAATCTGCCTTGGGCGACCCTGACAAGATCACGCTGGATGTGGCGTCCATGATCAAGGAGGACTTCCTGCAACAGAACGGTTATTCCGACTACGACCAATTTTGCCCGCTATGGAAGACAGAGTGGATGATGAAGAACATGATGGCCTTCCACGACGAGGCACAGAAGGCGGTTGCGCAGGGTCACAGCTGGGGCAAGGTCCGAGACGCAACGTCAGAGATCCAGAGCGCTCTCCGCAGTATGAAGTTTGAGCTGCCCAGTGAAGGCGAGGAGAAGATTACCAAGAAGGTCAGTGAGCCCATGCTCGAGGTGTATGTTTTGCAGCTAACCCATGTCCAGTACGAGGAACTATATCAGAAGTTGACGGATAAGTTCGCGTCGGTGATGGATGACTAGAGGATTACGTCTGCATAGCGAGCGTGGTTTTGAACCTGCTTTGTATATTGAAATCAACTGTCGAATGTTTGTTGCGCAAATACTTCTGCCTTGTGGTGGTGACGACGCTTGAATGAAGGCAACCCCCTTGTGAGCCCTCTACACAGTAATAACCTGGCCGACCTGGACCGGCTTCGTCATCTGCTTGTGAAAGTGTGGCGTGTGGCGCAGTCTGTGCACGGGCCTATACGCATGCCACCGCTACCAATGTGACGGGGCTGCTCGATTCCCAAATCCATTCACTCGACAACACTCTTGCACTCGTTCCCGCACCCTTACATAGCGTTTCGACCCCGTTCGCTGCCTCCTAGACCAGGAAATTCCCTCTCTCGCGAGTATCCTCATCTTCTACGCCCGCCGGTCATGGCGACCACCAACCCCACGGCGTATGCCTCTCCCTATCCATGCAATGTTCGGAACAGGGACCGGAATGCTAACAGGATCGCCACAGCATCAACGTGAATGACCCTGGACTCATTACGCTGGTAAACAAACTCCAGGATGTCTTCACTACAGTCGGAGTAAGTTTGCAACCGCACTCCCCATATCCCCCAAGCCCCGCTTTGTACATGGACCCGGATGTTGATGCCTTACCTCAGGTCCAAAACCCCATAGATTTACCCCAGATCGCCGTCGTAGGTTCGCAATCGAGCGGGAAGAGTTCCGTGCTGGAGAACATTGTGGGGAGAGACTTGTGAGTGCCGCAGCGGGTTTTCATCATGAACACACTTTCTGATGCCTTGGGCACAGCCTACCACGAGGTACCGGTATCGTCACACGAAGACCGCTCATCCTCCAGCTTATCAACCGGCCGCCCGCAAATAACCAAGTAAACGGAACCAAGGATGTCAAGACATCGGACGCCGAGTCCAACGTGGACGAGTGGGGCGAGTTCCTGCATATCCCAGGGCAGAAGTTCTTCGATTTCAATAAGATCCGGGAAGAGATCATAAGGGAAACAGAGTCGAAGACGGGACGCAACGCCGGGATCTCCCCTGCCCCTATCAACCTGCGGATATACTCGCCGAATGTCCTTACCCTCACCCTGGTGGACTTGCCTGGCTTGACAAAGGTGCCTGTCGGAGACCAGCCGAGAGATATCGAAAGGCAGATCCGCGACATGGTACTGAAGTACATCAGCAAGCCTAATGCAATAATACTTGCTGTCACGGCTGCGAACACGGACTTGGCGAACTCTGATGGTCTCAAGTTGGCACGTGAAGTGGATCCCGAGGGACAGCGGACAATTGGTGTATTGACCAAGGTTGATCTCATGGACGAGGGAACCGATGTCGTGGATATTCTTGCCGGGCGCATCATCCCGTTACGGTTGGGATATGTGCCAGTTGTGAACCGAGGGCAGAGGGATATTGAGAACAAGAAGGCCATTTCCTACGCCCTCGAGCACGAGAGGCAGTTTTTCGAGAACCACAAGGCATACCGCAATAAGGCGGCCTATTGCGGAACTCCTTACCTCGCACGAAAGCTCAACCTGGTGAGTCCGCTCGTGTGGAGACGTTGTACAAGCGCTAACATCTTGTGTAGATTCTCATGATGCACATCAAGCAAACTCTCCCCGACATCAAAGCCCGTATTCAATCCTCATTGCAGAAGTATACCGCTGAGCTGGCGCAGCTGGGAGATTCCATGTTGGGCAACAGCTCGAATATCGTTTTGAACATGATCACAGAGTTTACCAATGACTACCGGGGTGTGCTGGAAGGAAAGAACCAGGAACTTACAGCGACCGAACTGTCTGGCGGTGCCCGTATCTCCTTCGTCTACCACGAACTGTATGCCAACGGTATCAAGGCCGTCGACCCCTTCGATCAGGTGAAGGATAACGACATCCGTACTGTTTTGGTCAACTCATCCGGTCCTTCCCCGTCGCTATTCGTCGGCACCGCTGCGTTCGAATTGATTGTGAAGAAGCAGATTAAGCGTCTAGAGGAACCCAGCTTGAAGTGTGTGAGCTTGGTGTACGACGAATTGGTCCGCATTCTGAGCCAGCTGCTTGCGACGCCCATGTTCAGACGATACCCTGCATTGAAGGAGAAGTTCCACGCTGTGGTTATAGCATTCTTCAAGAAGGCCATGGATCCTACGAACAAGCTGGTCCGCGATCTCGTAGCCATGGAGGCTTGCTACATCAACACTGGCCACCCTGACTTCATCAATGGCTCACGCGCTATGGCTATAGTGCACGAAAGGCATAACGCCAACAAGCCCGTGCAGGTGGATCCCAAGACTGGTAAGGCTCTTCCACCGGCTGTCCCACCGCGCTCGCAATCGCCGTCCCTTGACGGTAATGAGGGAAGTGGGTTCTTTGGATCGTTCTTCTCATCGAAGAATAAGAAGAAGATGGCTGCGATGGAGCCTCCGCCACCGACGCTGAAGGCGTCTGGGACGCTGTCTGAGAAGGAGGTGCAGGAGGTTGAAGTCATTAGTAAGTCACGATAGCTCACGTCAGCACTTTGATATACTGACAGACACAGAACTGCTCATCACATCCTATTTCAACATCGTCCGCCGCACAATGATCGACATGGTACCCAAGGCCATCATGTTGAACCTCGTCCAATGGACGAAAGAAGAGATGCAGCGCGAACTACTCGAGAACATGTACAAGACCGCGGAGCTCGATGACTTGCTCAAGGAGTCGGACTTCACCATCCGAAGACGGAAGGAGTGCCAGCAGATGGTGGAGAGTTTGACGCGTGCGAGCGAGATTGTTAATCAGGTACAGTAGGCTGGCAGCATGAGCGGTGGTGTTGAGGTGGTGTTCTTAATGACCATGGCTTGCGAATTGATGGTATAGAGGATGATGTAGTTCAGACACGGCGATAGACGCTACCTTTGCGGAGTGAGCTCTGTTTTGTCCTGCTTTTGGGAGGAGCATTTGCAGTGCGTTTATGTGGGGATTGAGGGGAGGGGTCGAGATGTATATCCATGTAGCTGAGTGGAATGAAGCTTTACGTTGATTGTTGTTCGGTCTCGTATGTGCTGGGTTATGTGATATATTGTGTTTATTGAGGGAGAGACTTTGATTAGTGAATTCCCTCAATCTTCTGGTCAGTAACCTCTCTTGCTCCCAGTGCTGCAGCTCACCTGCATAATACCAGCACCAGCATATTCTTGGCGAAACTTGGCACACGGAGCTCAACCTCAACCTCACCTCAACAGCACGCACTCCATCTCCAGTGCTCACCACTCACCCATACACCCCACAAACACCACCAACCATGCTTCCGCGCACCTTGCGCACCCGCGGCGCCCTCCGCCCCCTCACCTCCCCCCCCTTCATCCTCCGCGCCAGCGCCAGCGGCGCCACCGCAACCGCTCACTACTCGTCCACCACACCACCAACGTCCAACACGCCCAACCAAGTGCCCGCCAACGACCCCAAATCCCGACCCGCGCCGCCCAACGTGTCCGTCACGAACGCGACGCCCGTGTCGTCGGAGGGCCACCACGACGCGGCACTGGTGGAAGCCGTCGAGGTCGGGGAGGAGATGCGGCGGATGCAGGCGCCGAATCGGGAGGGGGTGTGGAGCCGGAGCCAGCAGCGACGGGAGGTTGCGATGAGTGGGCCTAGGTTTGAGCAGATGGTTTGGGGGGATCAGGTATGTTTTGTTTTTTTTTCTGGTTTGTTTAGTTGGGATGGGATTGGGGAGGGGTTTGTGAGGTTAAGAGGATGGAGAGGAAGGAGACGCCAATTGCGCCTCATGAGAGACCAATTGATTCCCCAGATCGCTAGATGGGATGATGCGATGTCAACGGAAAAAAAAAAAAAAAAAAAAACACAAAAACACAAAATGAATGCAAAGCTAACCTCAACACCTCCTTCCTTCCAGCCCCGACCCTACGCCGCCATCGAGCTCATCCACAAACAACCCGTCCGCTGGACCCACAAACGCATCGTCTCGTGCGACGGCGGCGGCGGTCCCCTCGGCCACCCGCGCATCTTCATCAACACGGATAAGCCGCAGATCTGCTGGTGCACGTATTGCGGCGTGCCGTTTGTATGTCCTGCCTTTGTTTCCCTCTCTCTCTCCCCTATATCAAAAACTGCATTAAGAGAAATGCATGGTGGACGAAACTTGACGTCGAATGAATGGTTAATGGATGGTTAACTGATTGTTGATATCATAGGCAAACGAGCATCACAGGAAGCACCTCGAGTCGCTGCCGCATACGTCGTACCCGCTCGAGCCGACGGGGGATAAATTCGAGGTGGGCGAGACGCAGCGCGTGAGCGATGATGTGCTCGGTCAGCGATAGAAAGATAGACTACTAACGAAGGGGGGGGGGATTGATCTGTAAAAGGGATTTGTATATATGATTAGCGCAGAGCGAATCAGGGAATGGGATAAATGAGGCCATTTTCTGATTTGTTTACTTGTTTACTTGTTTGTTTGTTTGTTGTTACAGCGCGAGAGCGCATGCGCAGCAGTGCATATTCACTCAACTCTGACCAGGGAAACAGGGACTTTCCTCGTCCTCTTCATTTTCTTCGTAGGCTCATCATCCCTCATTCCTCATGCTTTCATAGTCACCACCTCCTTCCTTCATATCTGAACACGATCCCTTGCAAAACAGATCATTCACATCTTCTCCCCCTGGATCGTCGCCACGACCTTGCGCGTGTGCCGCGCGGCGCGGAACTCGAGGTACCAGATGCCCTGCCATGTGCCCGTAGCAAGCCGGCCATTGGTGATGGGGATGGTGACGCTGGCGCCGATGAGGGCGGACTTGATGTGTGCCTGAAGAAGCAAATCATCAATCATCAGTCGTGAGCACTATTACTTACACACAAAATTCAGAGGTAAGAATAAAAGATACATACAGGCATATCATCGCTCCCCTCGGCACTATGCCTATACAACCCCTTCCTCGCGCCTTTATCCTCCTCGACAATGCGATCCAGCGCATCGCTCATATCGGCGCGGACATCCTCGTCCCAGTTCTCGTTCAGGCTCAGCGCCGCCGACGTGTGCTGCATGAAGAGGTGCAGGAGGCCCGTTTTGTACGTCTTGATTTCGGGGAGTTGGGAGACGATGGAGTCGGTGATGAGGTATGAGCCTCGTGAGGAGGGCGGGAGGGTGAGTGTTTTTTGGGTCCTTGGGGGGGGTGTGTTAGTTGGAGGGGATAGTGGAGGGTGGAGGGTAAAGGGAGTAGGAGAGGAAGGAGAATAATTGTACCAGGACATTTTTGCTGTGTAGGGTGTGTGTTGCTGCTGCGGTTGTGGTGGTGTACAGATACTCGGAGGTGTGCAGTGGACGCTGTCTGCGACTTTGGCTGCGGAATGCGTTGAAGAACGGAAAATCAGATGGTAAGGCGCCCAGACGATTGAGTGAAAGAGGGAGGGGAAGAGGCCAATGAGGAACAGGAAGATGAGGAAGACGGTTGTCAGAGGGGAAATTGTCGTGTTTTGCGTGGGCATTGGAGAGCTTCGACGGGTGTGCCTGGTGGGGCGGAGGGGTTGACGTCAAGGTTGACGTGGGGTGGAATCAGGCGAGCGGAACCAGAAGGGCAACTCTTGCCGGAAGATAGAAAACATATCGCGGTGGTGATCTGACCCAGGGACTCAAATAGGAGTGGCTCTCACTCGGTCTGCAAGCTATGCTGCCGCCATCACGATTTACTGGTACCAAGTAGGATCAGAGCACAGGAGTGAAACCATCTTCGTTGAACGCCATGATCCACCGTCCCAGAACCCGGTTATCCATCCAATGAGAGGAATTTCCCTAGCACCTCCCACAAGAGCAATAAGGTTCAATGGCCCATCGTGAGTGTTGGAGAAGCCGCCCAAAGTAATCCCAAAAGCAGTCCCCATCATTACCTCGATCGCCATGCTTGAATACAGGTCTAAGTGGGAAGATAACCAGTCCACCACGAATGAAGAATTTGTAAAGAAAAGATATAGGAAAAAAGTAAAGGGAATCGTAGGCGAGGTGGAATGGGGTTCGTCATAGAGGAGGCGACCGGCCTGGGGAGTCGGTATTCGTCAGTCGAATCCCAATCAATGACGTACGGTTACTTGCCAGGCTTGCAGCCATAGCAAGTTCCCCTCTCCCACAGACCATCGATCAAAGAGGAAGTATGTCTAAACACGCAGTGAGCCATCTCTCCGCCACTCCTCAACCGGACAGAACAAAACTCACAGCACAGCCCCTCCTATTCCCTATGAAACACCAAGAACCCATGCTCTGCATCCATCTTCCACCTTCCCGGATAGCACTCATTCTCAATCTGATAATACGGCCTGCAATGCCACTCTCCATCCTTCTCGCGACACCAGAACATATCGTCAGGAAGCGCATCCGCAGGCTTGATAGGGCGAGCTTTATAAGCTCCACGTTCGGTAGCGACACGTCGATTTTCGAGACGTATATCCTCGACCGTGGGAACAGCGGGAACAGCTTTGAGACGAGTGCTGTAGTTGGCAGTGTGGTAGGCTTCGGGGAGCCTGGTGGGCGTGGCCGCTGCATGGACATAGGCAACGTGTGCTGGAACCGTGGTGGTGGTGGTAGTAGTGGTGGCCGCTGCAACCGTGCCCTTTGTCTCCGTGGACGTGGCCGCTGCCGTCGCGACGTATGCTGTCGAAGCAGGGTAAGCGGCAAGAGCGAGAGGAGCACCAGGGACAGAGACACGACGGTACACTGTCGTCGCCTGCCAGGGAGAAGAACAATTAGCATAACCATACCATTTTGAAAAGTGAGCATGAGTAGTATATCCCGGCGCAGGATATTGAGTCGCAGGATAGTGACCGCCGTAGGAGGGGTACTGGGGGGTTTGGGTGTACGAACGATAACACGAAGAAGAGCAAGACGAGGAAGAGGAGGGATGGTATGCAGACGTGCGCACACCGTAAGAACCGCTACGTACTCCGCCAATTGCTGCGCCGTGGGGAGCCACAGCACCGTAGCCGTATCCGTAGCCAGCAGAGCCGTAGGCGCCGTAACCTTGGACAGCAGCAGTCATGTTGAGAGGACCGCTGTAGACCAGGACGCCCTTCTGACCTGGGAGCGGACGCGGATGGTACGTGTACTGATGGCGCGGCCGCGGCTGACCCCAGTCGGTCTGGTTGAACATGGTGAAGGTGGATTGTTGTATGCGGTGATGATGGATGGGATTCGACTCGAAGGACAGTGGAAGGGAGGCAGCAGCAGGCGGATGGTAGAGAGAGGAGAAGAGAGAGAAAGAGGAGATAGCAGAAGAAGAAGCAGAAGAGTAAGAAGATGGGGGAATTGGTGTGACGGTGGAGTGGAAGGCAGGAGAGGGCCGGGGCTTCTTATGGGCGCGTGCCCCCGGCTCGTTGTTGTCGAGCGGTCAAGAGCGGTGACGGTTTGACGCCCATTGGAAGAGGCAGCCAGTCATGTGCCGGGGTTTTATTTTCGAAGAAGAAAGAGACACTCTTACCATTCGTGAATCCACGTGCCGTGGCATCTCACTTCGGCCGTGGCAATGATACCTTCCCCCAGGGATGTGGCCATGGTCGTAACGATGGCTGCCGTGATATCGAGATGAAGATCGCTGCTCCTCATTCACCCTGTCCTTGACGAGCCATGTCCGTCGTGTCGTTTTGCTCTTGGGGAAGCACATCTTCGATATGCCGGAGAGTGGAGGATAGAAGAAGAAACGGAACGCAGGATGCAAGCCGAGGGATAGTGCTTAGCGGCAGCGTGTCGAAAACAAGCAGATTTCCTCCAATGAGTTGTCGACTTGATCGAGGATTGTAGTAGGTAACCGCCCACCATTACTCGAGAGCCCGGCGGTGAAGCCTATTTAACTGGGTCTTCGCTGCCTTGGAAGACAACCATCGTGTGTAAACGCCCTACTTGGGCAGGATATTGCCCTCTTCATCCACCCTTCCCATTCCCAACCATCTCCTTCGCCATCACTCCCCCCTCCCCTTCCCACCTCCCCTCCCCCTCCCCCTCATGAAAACCCTCCCAACCCACCTCTTAACCGGCACAACCGCCCACCCCGCAAACCAAGGCGTCGCCCACACACTCAGCACCACCCGCACAGGAAGCAGCGCCTTGACAATCGCATACGCCGTCGCGAACTCGACCACCAACCGAACGCCCCCCTCGCCAACATCCCACGCCCTATCCCTCCTCCTCCTCCACCTCTCCGTCATCCCCCTCCATCTCCCCATCCTCCCCTCTCCTCCCCTTTCAGACTCGACGACATGTTCGCCAATCTCCCTCTCCGCCTCCCCCCTCTCCTCCTCGCGAATCCACCCCTTCCTTTTAAAGTACAAGCCGAAGCGCTCCACGCCTTTTAGCACCCAGGCGCCCTCGGCGAACCACGAGGGAAGCCAGTGCGTGTAGTGGAAGGTAGCTGCGAGCCCGAGCAAGGGCACTATGGCGGTGATTTCGTGCAGGAGGAGGAAGGCCGTGATGTGCGTTAGCGGCGCAGATGACAGTGCCGAGGTGTATTTGTGCAGGAAGCGGGGGAGGCGGGCGTTGAGGCGGGAGATGCGTGATTGGGGCGAGGACGTTGACGAGGATGGAGGTGGTGGTTCTGGCGGAGAGGAGGCATAGCGGCGAGTTGGCGGCTTGCGGAGGAGCGATTGGGGAGCGCGGCGGGCGCGTAGGAGGGTACGACGAATCATTGTGCGAATATTTCCAATCATGTGGCGTTTTCAACGTGAAGATTCTATGTTGGAGACTCGGACGGGTTCATTGGGGCTGTTGTTTCATCTCAAGGGGACAGTTCCAGTGTTGACATGTCGTCCAGAAGACGGGATGACACCACGCCACTAACCGTATGTGGTAATTTATTTGAGCACCCTTACATACCGTGATCAGGCCTGGGAGGCTATTTTCCTGCATTCCGTGTTGATGGACAGGTATAAACATGCGCCAGTAAATCACGTCCTCGCTTCAAGACAGAGATAACGTCGAGAACCTTCTATGCAAGCTCGCTCTCTAGCCAGACCATCTAACCCAAGTGGATATCAGAGTCTATACACATTACAGGCAGATCCCGCCTCCTCAAACATCATCTATGCTCCGCGTATCAAAGCTTCGCCACGTCTTCCGCAAACTCGTTCAAATCCCTCACCGGCCTGACAGCCTGGCTCATAAGCAAGCCCGCCCTCCACGCATCCACATCCGTAATCAGCACCGGCTTCGGCACCTCCGTCTTCTTGTCTGCCTCAGATAGCTGCGGCTCGCCGACGGCTTCGGTTGCCACCTCGGTGGTAGTGGCGGGATGCTCCAGCTTCTTTTCCACCTTGGCTAAGCCAAGCGCTGCCCTTGCCTCGTCGAGAATCTTGCCCTTCTTCTCCTGCTCAACGGTTAGATCCTTCTCGATGTGTGTTTCCAGCGCAGAGATGAGGACGGCGGCCTCCTCAGTTGCTGAGCCCGCCTCGGTCGCCTCATTGACTCTTGCCGAGAGTTTGGCTGCATCAACTTCAACCCCCTCAGCGGATAGTATAGTCGAGAAGGAATCAATCGCCTGCTTCTTTTGCTCCTCCGTGGACGGCTCCTTTGGCTTGGCCTGGGCAATTAGATGCACAGACAGCTTGGCCCGGTGCGGAGAGTCGGGAGAAATGTGGTGTGCAAAGGTGTCGATCAGAGACTGCTTCGTCAGGGGCTCGATGTGCTTGGCATCTTCTTCGGCTACATGTGAGAGAGATTAGTATTCATCCACTTCAGAGAAGAGGTGAATGTAACCCACCAAGCAAGAAATCATATCGATCACTGAAGATATGATGCCAGAACCGATTTCCCTCTTCCGTGAGATTCTTCAGCTTCTCCAACCTCTTGTTGATGACCGCACGTTTATGCGATTCCAACTCCTCTTCGCTCATTTCTGCCAATGTCTTCTCGAACATGGAAAGGAAGTGCTCGATACGCCCCTCTAGATATCTGCAATCCTTCTCACTCTGAATCAGGATGCGATACCCTGCCCAGTTGTCGGAGATGACGGCGCCAGAGAAGACGACATAGCCCAGCTGCTCCTTTGTGCGGAGCTGATTGAACGCTGGTTCATCCGTCATCTGCGCAATGAGCAGAATCTTGGCTCGCAGGTCGCGGTCCGAAGCGTTGCCAAGATATAGACTGTACTCAATGCAGTGGTTCACGTTGGCCGGGTCCTTCAATTGTTTCTCGTAGATGTAGTTGCTTCCCGGCGGCAGGATCAGATTCCGTCGAGTGGGCCATTGGCTAAGCGCGAGACGCTTCGGCCTCATCGTCTTCTCCACCAAATCGGTAATCTGCAGCGCCTCCTCCTTGTACATGTTGCCGTGCACAAGAATCTCGGCATGGAACTGCGAGAGCACCAGCGGATAGAACTTCCGGACCTCATCAGCGGTGATACCTTCCAGCTCCTTGAGAAGTTCGTCCGTCATATATCGTTTCTCATACTTCAACCATCTCGAGTATGATCCAACCTGATGGAATGGCTGCGTGAACTCCCAGTTCCTGAGGCCGCGCAACGTTCGGTCCATGATGATCTTGAAGCGATCTTCCCGTACCTCCAGATCTCGTATCGACACCAGGACCTTTTCCAGCAGCACATGAAGCTTGTCATTGTATCCCTCCACGGATATGTTGAATCCGGTGGTGTGGTTACTGAACTCGTACACTAGTCCAGATATGTCCGCATCGTACGTGTACTCCTGCAGTGCATCCTGAACGAGATCCCTATAAAGCGCGGAAAGCACTGCTGTGCGGGTCGTGAGATGCACCAAGGGCGTACGGAAGTAGATGTGAACATTCGCTTTGGGCACCCAGAATTGATCGTCTTTCTTGTACCATGTCCTGAAGCCTTCGTCATTCCGAATGAGCTTGGGAGTCTTGAGTGGCTCTTCCACCTCCTTCCTCTCGACCTCCAGCCGCTGGGGAATGAATTCGTTCTTATGGGGAAAGTGCAGCTCCTTGGGCCTCTGAGGGCTCTCGAATGCTGCTCGTATTTCGGCAACGAAATCCTCGGGCAGCTTTCCCGTCCTGTACTCGGTGCCATACCATTTCTCCTTCTGGTCCCAGTCGCCAGGAAATTCTTGACTCACCACCTTGAGCCTAAAGTTATCCGGCCGAAGATAAGACAGAGCCTCGCTGATCGCCTCTGGGTCAAACTTCTTGATGACGCTGACGCCACTCAAGAGGTGCTTTCGATCCAAGGGTTTCTGCATCACACTCGCGACAGCACTCGTGGTCCTGCTGGGCGGAGCCTTCTGTTTAAACCGGAAGGACACCTCAGACATGCGCATCAGCTCATCGACCACCCATTGCTGCGGCGGCTGCTCACGCATCATCGCGATGTACTGGAAGACGATCTTGGTAACCTCTCTGTAGTTTTTCAGTCCCTCTTCGGTGAGTTTGATGCTGATGTTGAAGAGCCCAGATCCAGGACAGAGCGTTGATCCTCCCGCACCAAGCCCGGTCGCCCATCCCAACTCCTTGATGTAGGCCAGAATGCTGCCCGGTCCCTCGTGACCAATCAGGTGGCTGAGATATCGGCTTGGATGCGATTCGTACATCTCCTCCTCGTCGCGATATAGAAAGGAGAGTTCCAAGGAGCGGGATTCAAACACGGGTTTGGCGAACGTCTCGGTCAGCAGCTCCTTCTCCGTATACACAGGAACATCCCATCTCCTCTTCGGCAGATCCTTGTTAGGGACCTGAGAGAAGATCTCGTCCACCCACTGCTCCAATGTATCCAAGTCTTCGCGGCCGAGAACGACCAATTTCATGCGATTCGCGGAGTAGTGGGTTGAGTGGAACTTGATGAACTCGTCTCTTATCTTGACGCCTCGTGCAATGGGATCATCGTGGAGGGTCTTCCAGCTGCCAGTTGAGAAATGGTTGTACGGATGGTCGGGATTCGAAAGCGCCTTGCTAAGCTGATGCAGCCGCCAGGTGTCGTTTTGCAGGTTCTTCTTGTTCTCCGAATCCACCGCCTTGATTTCGCGGTCCACTGTATCCTCCAAGAACAGCGGGCAGATGAAGAACTGGCCGAACCTGTCGAGCGCACCCCAGAGCGGCGAATCCTCTTTATCTATGCGCAAAGACTCTTGCGTAGCGTTGGGCGAAGGCGCCTTGCTGTTCGGCGTTGCTCTATATGCGAGCTCGAAAAAGTAGTTTGTCGAGGTGGCGGCCGTGTACGCGTTGGAATAACCGCCATGAGAGTTCAGATACTGGTTGTACGCGTTCTCTTGGGGGTACTGGTTATTGGAGTCAGATCAACGAGACCCCTGGGGCGCGAGACAGCTCCTACTAACCTTCTCTGTTCCCATAAACAAGAGATGCTCGACAGCGTGAGCTATTCCTGGCATATCCTCGGCGTCGCTAAAGCTTCCCACATTGACATCCAGTGCAGCACTTGCTTTATCGGTATCTGGATCGTGTATCAGGAGCGCCTCCAGCTTGTTCGGTAGTGTAATGATCCGGTATTGGCGATTATCGAGCTCTGGTCGCTCCAGGTCCTCTATCCGCGGCCGCGACGCGGCTCTCTCTAGCTGCTCGCTCATATCTGTCGAAATGGCTCGAAATCTAGTAGTAATTGTAGAAAAGAGGCGGGTAGATCTCTGTGGTGCTCGGATGGCAGGCCGGTTATGTAGAGCGGCAAGTTGCGGGGAAGCAGTGGCGTTTGCAACTCTGCTTGGGCGAACGGTCGCAATGTACGATACCGCACGGTACAGCACAGCAGGTAAGGAAGGTCCTGTACAAGACAGGCGGGGAAATGAGGTTGTACAGTGCCCACGCTGTGAGATCCCCAGATGGTGTAACGTGCGGACGTGCATCCACGTGCGATGTGCGAACGAGATGCGCTCAGCTCGACGGGTGACGAGCTGTTTGAAACAAGAGCTGTCCGCCGTACAGCTAGGCTGTTGTTTGAAAGAATGAAGAAAAGAGGGGAGGTTGCGGTTGGGGGAGTATAACGAAGCGGGGGTTTGTGGTGAGTCGTGATGCGGCTCAGGCTCAAGCATGCATGTCGCCGGTCCCACGGTTGGATTGCCGAGCAGCTGTGCCACAAGCCAAACCGTTCCTGCCCTAGCGGCCTCGGTAAGAGTTACCAACGCCACTGAGCTTGAAGACCATGATGGCCAATGCAATCAGGACGGTGTCCATCAGGGTGCCTAACTCCTCGTACATACATTCACACAATGGTTGTTAACCACCATTAGATAGTCCGCGCATAACGAAAACAGAGCAGCAGTACTTGAAATTAAGGGCACGACTTGAAGGCTATTGCAAAGGCTTAGATCCTCTGATGGATACGTAAAACACGCTACTAATGTTAATGACAGTGATTACATAGAAGATGCCGAAGAACTACCATAGCGTGTTCTTGTCTAGTGTAGTCCGTCAAGCGACTAGATTTTGTAGGAATCGGAGCAGTCGACTCGGTAACGGACTACTCGGCACCTAGATGATTATTAGGGGACTATCTGCCTAAGTTAAAGCAACTACTCAAGGTAGGTCGGTCTAATGGTGTCTAGACCAACGAGCTAAAGCAGTGAGTCTGTATGATAGTGTACCCTAGCCTATCCTAAGTCTTGGAGCCCTGAGGTCAGCCAAGTCCTTCTTCCTCAATATTATTTGATGTTTTATCAGAGTGCATCGTCCCGTTGAGCAGACTGCACAGTTCTCCAGTTGTTCATCAAAATCCACGCCCTTCGAGATCGCGGCATATGAGACTTCAACAGCCTGTCGTCAGCCATGCCACCCCGACGGGATATGACGGGAGGGGCATGTTGCAAGGCATGTATGGACAATCTCTGTAAGGGCCACAGCCTTGTGATCTGGTTCAAGGAATTCTTTGCTGCTGTAGTCGGTGTTGGTACTTTAGGCGGTGGCTTCACTTTTTCCGTACTATTTTCCTCCTTTGATACACGCGGCGAGACAGTCGACACGAATACAATCCGTCACTGGCTTATCATTGCCTGGTTATTGTTTGTGTTAGCAGTCGGCATTGGGTTTACGTCATCTGGACTGTTTCAGTTCTGGAGCGGGTACCTGATTGAGAGTTTCAATGACGATTCCAAGATCCTGGCACATGTCGTGGCAAGCCTTCTGTCTTTAGTCTTGCAAGGGCTTATCGTTGGAGCGTTTCTTATGTCTGCAGTAGCGCTGTGGGAGTATGACGAATCTACCGGATTGGCTGCTGTTGTTCTGGTCAGTGTAATAGGTGGTATATTGCTTTTTTTATGGGAGCTTCAGGAACTGTAAGACGAATGCGAGAGACTGTAGCACGGACTAATTGAAGAACAGGCTCTTTTGGATGGACTATGAGAACAGTCAAACGAGCCATGCTTCTACGTCCACCGAATCCGCCGCAGAAGTCGACGGAAATGGTGCGCCCACCGGGAACAGAGCCTCAAGCCTAGGGACTGGACGCAGTGTAGCCCCCGAGGGCGGTCGCCCAGAGGTTAACTCGCCGCACGAGGCGACATGAAAGCCATACCTCCTAGTTACGAGTGCTGAATAGTTCTTCAGGGCACCCTCGCTGTTGAGAGTGGCCACTGAGGCAGATTTTGCGGCAAAGATGTAGGGTACTTCAGGGTATATCCACATCCCCGCGCAAACCTCATTTTAAGAAAGGGAATCAGCGGGTCCGAAGAGGCGGTCGTTATTTGGAATACCAATGGTGACAAATGTCTTCTCTTCGTCTTTCTTCACCCCTTTTTTCTGTTCGCTGGATTCTTTTATTTTTTGTTCTTACTATTTTCCGTTGGGAAGATGAACTACAATCGAACTGCATACGTTAGCTAAGTAGTAATAATCAACCACTCTAGTTTTTAAACTCTTCGCTTAGCTATACAACGTTGGATTTGTTCCTTATAAAGAGCTAGATATAGCTATTTACGCATTAAGAAGAGACCTAAATTCTATCTAGCATCGCGGTCTGTTAATCTACAACAGTTCTAGAAGCACCCTTTAAACGGGTTATGCTAGAGCACCTTGCAGACGCCATCCTTAAGCGCAAATCGCCAAGGTATACAGTGAGCAAAAGAACGCAATCATACGAGCCGACGGAAATAGCGCGCGCTTACTGTGAACAGACGGGAAGATTCAACCCTTAGGATGAGAAGCAGTGTAGCCTCCGAGGGCAGCCGCCAAGGGGATAACTCTCGAGCCGACATAAATGCCACGTCTCCTAGGTACGAGAGCCGGATAGTCCTGCAGGGCAGCTGCTGAGAGTACCTAGGGTAGCCACTGAGGCAGATTCTGCGGAGAAGATATATTCAGTTACCCGCCCAAATCTCATTCAAGAAAAGAAAAAGCGAGTCCAAGAATGCGGTGATTGTTCGCAATACCAATGGTAACATTTATACTTTCTGCTTCTTGCTCATTTCCGTTGATACGATAGACCACAACCGACTGCGTACTTAGCTAGGTAGTAATAATTAACGCTCTCGTTGTCAAAATCTCCGCTCAGCCAGACAATGTTGGAGTCTTCCTCCAGAAAAGTGATATTATAGCTATTCCGGCAACCTTGCAGATGCCATCCTAAGCCCAAACCACTAAGGCTTACGGTGAGCGAAAAGGAAGCAATCATACGAGACAAAAGAATGCCTAATGTGCGAGGCTTTGAACCAGCGTTACACGCTAAAGTGGCTAACCTGGGTTCGGAAATCCAATTGCAATGACCGACATGCCCTACAGTGCTTGCTTGGTCCTGATAACTAGTTCAGCGTCACAGCCTCATCAGCTGAGGCTTGCGATACAGTTCTAGTTCCTGCAGACTTTGACTACACCCGAGCAGGGCATAGGTGTCCTTGATGTCGCTCAAGGGCAGGGTGGGTCTCTTTCCGAGACAACGAGCCTGAGTGCGGTGGGACGCCCATATAAGGGACAGAGAACCACGAAAGTGGCCGGGTCCATATTCAGGCAGCCAGGACCTTCCTACGGAGAGGAAGGTCAAACGCGGATTGCATACTGGTTCCCTTTGCAGGCATGAAACGTGCGCCATCCGTGATCATCGCTATCAGAATCGCCTCGCGGCACTCCTCCCTCTCGCGCCAGATACCCTCCGTTGTGCATTCGGGCAATCCCTCTTCGTATGCCCTTTCTCTCCACAGCCAAAACATGTTATATTACTCGCACCCTTTCTCCCTCCGCTACTAAGCCCTCCCGGTCGGCCTCCAGACAGGGATGTCAAGCCACCGAGGTCTACATCTTCATCCACTAGCGCTGGGCGGCGGGGGGTCTCTTTTGCAGCCTGTTCATAATGCTTTTGCCTTCTCTTTGCTTCCTTTTTCTCTTCTCGGGCTTTTGCAGCGGCGTCCCGCTTCGCTTCGCGTATTAGTTCCGCTGTAGGATCATCTGAATCGTAGTCGCTATCATCCTCGTCCGACGCATCTTCTGAATCACTGCTACTATCGTCACTCGATTCACGCTTCGCCTGATCGAGTTCAGCCTTTCAATACCCTTGAAAACCAACAGAAAACTCACCTTCTCCACCTTCTTCCCCTTCACCCCACCACCAAACTGCATCCTCGCCGGCCTCCCCTCCTCCCCTTCTTCCTCCTCTTCCTCCCCACTTTCCAAACTATCCTCCTGATCAATCATCGCAAACCCCGCATGCACAACCCTCAGCCCTTGACCCTCTTTCTCCCTCTCCCCCCGCGTCTCCTGCACACTCAACACCCACTTTGTCTCTCCCGTCTGCGCCGCCGCCTTCGCAAGCGCCTCCTCCCTCTTCCTTTCCTCAGCAGCGAGCGCCGTCTGTAGGACCTCTTGCTCCGAGGGCGTGTGCGGTGTGCTGGGCAAAGAGCGTCCATTCGAGAGGCGCATGCGCTTGGAAGGGGGACCGTTGGGTGTGGACGGTTCGGAGGGGGGACCGGAGGCGGTTTTGGCAGCGGAGCGCTGCATGAACTACAGACAGTGTAAGCCATTATGCAATTCATGGGAACGACTTCTTTCGAGAAAAGGGTGGTCAGCTTTACCTTCATTGTCATGAGCCGGCTTGACATCGTTTTCGGGCCGTTGGATGCCATGGCGGTGCGTGTTTTGTGACGTTCTACACTTCAACGCGAGGGGAAAAGCTAGTGTATTGGAACTTTCTTTCTTTCTAAAGAGCTGGCAATGCAGCTTGGCGGATTGAGTTTTCACTGGGGCAGCTGTTGTTCAATGTTGAACATAAGTGCAGTTGGGGAAAATGTTGCGCACGGTCCGACATATCAATCTAGCTAATCTACGCACCAGCCACATTTATCAGCCACATTCAGCTATTCCCTTCATCGGGAATTATGTAGAGCACCAAAAACTCCGCATTATTTCAAGATAGCTGCGTGATCCATGCAGCAGCGGTATGCAAGTTCCAAAGTGAAGGACACGCATACATGGGAGAGATAGTAAGAAATATAGTACATTAAAAATGTGGAAATCTCTATCAATGACATACAAACTGCCTGAAGAACGTGACATGGACGTAATAATAAATACCCAATCCGTCTCAAACACCGAAATAAAACACTCGAGAAAGTTTAAGAAATCTTGAACGTGCAATGGACCATGGAACGAAGATGAAGGCAAAGAGGAAAAAGAAACTAGAGATTGGTCAGTAACAGGGTCCTCGATGATGCATAGACCGGCAAGGTGACCTTTTTACGAAGCACTCCAACCCATTTTCCAAGCCCTTTCTTCCAGTGCGCCTTTAAGAAGAAACCGGTCGAACAAAGTAGAGGTCGTTGGGTTCGTCATTCCCGAATGTCATGAATGATAGGTGATGCGCCATGCAGGTCGTAAGGAGGTGACGGAGACCTTAGGGGCGATGATGGTATACTCTCACAGCACCGATCGATATTTGGCTTAATTCGATTATCGCGGAACTCATCGACTGCGGTATTGAAATCGGGTTTTTAGCCGCAGCTGGAGCTGGAGGATGGCGTGCTTGACGAACAAGTATGATTGTCTGAGAGAGGGCCTCCACATTTCGGACACCTGGGTGGCGGAGGGAAGGAGCTCTGAGTGATGCCCATATTGTTGGTCCGTATTCAAACGGGAGTTGAAGACTGTGGAGAGGAACCGGCTGGTGTTTGCGAGCCTGACAGAACGGTATTGCGCTGCAGTTTCTTTGATGAAAAGGTGTTAGTTAGGTCTGGTCTGTTCTTCTGAGATTGCGACGGCTAGATATATATCAGATGCTAGAGTGATGAAGGATGAAGAAGCCAAAGAAGCCAAAACACCGACTCCAACCCGGCCCCATAACAAACTTTTGAGGCTAGCGGGAGCAAAACCCCTTGGGAACCCCAAGATGAAGCCATAGCGACTATTTCTCGGAAAGTGGCCGTTTTGCAAGTTGGATGTCGGTACCTCGTCCTGGCTCATGACGATCGACGACTGCCAGATACGACCCCAATTACCAATCGATCCCAAGGGTTGGAGCGTCTGTGAGCGTCCAGCGCTGTCAAGTCAGACGTAGAAAGGATAAGGCAGCCTCAAGGCAGCCTTGCCACGAGCGTTGACCCGAAAGGGCATTTCGAGCTAGTTGGGGTCCTAAAATGCGACCTTATACCCTTTGTGCGCATGGTGGGAACGATGGGAGCCCCCATGAGGCTACGGGCACCTGTCCGGGCGCTTGTGGGTACAGGTAAACGCGGGTTAGCGTAGGATGCCGGGATGTCACTGCAGGTGAGTTGGTGACGAGGTGATGGGTTGACGGTCTGGGAGAAGAGTCCCAAATATAGAGCAGCAGACCTGTCCAACGGTTACGGTCCGAGATTTTGCACGATTCAGGCGCGAGAGAAGCTTTCCAGAAGAAGTTGGCTGAGTCAGCTGTGGCTGATGTTGGTCACGTGCACGGGTGTGGCGGCTTCCATTCGATGACGTACGGATCCGACCCGACTCTTGAGCTCGTCCGATGCAACAACACCAACCTCGCGCACGATCGCGTCTCGCGATGAAACACCATCACAATGCCCTCGATACTTGGCGTTATCACCGCCATCAGCTCAGTTGCGCTACGAATCAGCCTTTGGATATTCTTGCGATGGGTGGGCATCTCTCCTTGCGCGATTGTGTACCGTTATACGCTCCGATTTACTAACTTTTGTGCGACCAGATTCCGACCAGTGTCAGTTGCTGACTCCCGTTTGTTGATTTGATAGGGAAAGCTTACAAGCACCGCCAGCTTGGTCCCCCGGTTGCAACCATCTTGACTCTCATCTATATCCCGTCGTTCCTTCTCACGATCCAGGATACCGCGCATTTCAAGCTCATATCAGATGAGCTTGACATTGTGGTCAAAGAGACATTGACTCAAGGTGACACCCCCGACTCAGAAGAGGCGGAGCTGCTCGAAGGGGCGGAGGATGCCTCCCTGCAGGAGCTGGACGTCCAGGAGACTGTTGTGTACGAGGAACGAGAGCCGAAGATCTTGCGTACTCTACTCACGGGGATGCCAAGCCCAGCCTCCGCCTTCTGGAGTTGGGTCACTTTCGGCATCAATATGGCTCTAGTAGCCATGGCGCTGGACGTAGTCTACCGCGCCCCTCTGCTGCACTCGTGCCATGATGCCTCATTCGCGCGGGCTGGATATGTCTCCCATGACCGTGCTAAGATCCTGGTTAGGGAGACGTATGCCTTTGACATCAAAGTCCTTTATCGGCCACTCGATACACCGCGGAGCCACTGGAAGCAGAAAGTCGTACTAGCGAGCCAACCCGAGTATTGGTTGACGAATGACACAGACTTCACTTTGCCCATTCAGATCGACTCCTTGCACTCTGACACGCCGTATGAGTATGTCGTTGAGACGTCCAAAGGAAATGTGACGGGAACATTTACAACGGCGCCCCGCCCAGGCCATATATCTGCACACAGCGCCCGGCAGAATAAGTATACCTTTGTCCATTCCAGCTGTATCAAGGCCCGCGTCCCCTATACGCCCTTTCAGCATCCGCTCGAGTTCCCTGGCTTGAAGCACCTCGCCCAGTGGATACCAGAGTTGAAACCCTATTTCATGCTTTTTCTAGGCGATTTCATCTACATCGATGTTCCTCGGAGATTTGGGACGGAAGCTGAGCACTATCGTCGTGAGTATAGACAGGTGTACTCGTCGCCCTCCTGGCCTGCCGTCAGTCACAATCTGCCGTGGATTCATGTGATCGACGACCACGAGATCCAGAACGATTGGAGCGGGAACACAACTGGGGTCTTCAACGCGGCGTATGACGCGTTCACACATTATCATGTCAGCGTGAATCCTCCAAGACACAGAGAAGGGCATACCTACTTTTCGTTTGTCCATGGGCCGGCCGAGTTCTTCCTCATGGATACTCGGCGCTACCGGAGCCCAGCGAGCCGCAACGCCACCGACGAAAGGAAGACCATGCTTGGAGAGCAACAGTTGGCTGACCTGCTAGCATGGATTCGTCGAAAACCCATGCAAGGGGTACGTTGGAAGATCCTCGTCACAGGGATCCCCTTCACGAAGAACTGGCGTTTCGGTAATCCCCGCCCTTCCCGAGATCGCATATGTAGCAAGTTTGGGGCTAACACATCTGGTCTAGGTATCGAAGATACCTGGGCCGGTTATCTGGTCGAACGACGCAAGATCCTTGAAGAAGCGTGGGAATTCAGCTCCCACCACGGTGTCGGCGTCGTGGTCCTGAGCGGCGATCGCCACGAATTCGCAGCCACGTCCTTCCCGCCACCACGAGACTCCAAGTGGCCCGTCAGCGCCACAGTGCATGAGTTCAGCACCAGTCCCTTGTCCATGTTCTATCTGCCCACGCGAACCTACACTGAGGTCGATGAAGAGGATGTCTGTATGAAGTATCTACCCGACGGCAACTCGAAGTTTGGGGCCGTTGAGATCACCGCGCCGGAACATAGCGATCAGAGCTTCCTCAATTACCGACTGTTCATTGATGGGAAGGAGGCTTGGACTCATACCATCTCTACGCCGCCTACCCAAGGAAGTGGGAGAGTCAGAGATGCGGTTTGGGGTTAAGACAGTTGGGGGGCCCGTGGCTGACCAAGGATGGTGTTAGAATATGTTGGTGCGAAATCCGCAAGGCGCATTTGGATAGGTACTGTAGAATGGACTCAGTTTGGTATACCACTGGAGGGACTGGGTTAGGCACATCTGGACTAGGGTCACCCAAACTTCGAAATTACGGCAACATAGGGAGAATAGGCGCTCTGGTTTTGATTGGTCGCTTGTCTGTACTTACAGAGTATCACTGTACCACAGTACTGTGTACATAGGTCCATCCTACTGCGCAGGTAGGAACCGGGGTCGTCATGGGAGGCTCAAGAAGGACAAGTGTACTGTGTATGAACATGCGGCCAAAGCGATGACCACAGGACCGGCACGATAAGACTGATGGGTTGAGATGCTGCAAGCTTAATCCAACGTTAGGCCTAGCCAACTGCTGTGCGGACAGGCATACATGGATCTTGCTCGACAAATTGCTGTATAGAGGTAAACTGTGGCTAGTAATGGTTTACGCCACATTACGGGTCACATCTGATAAGCCCCTAAGCCTCCGCAGAGGCATTCCCCAACGGTCGTCGGGTGGGTTCCGGATCCTCTCATCCTTCCCGCCGGCGTGGATCTCAACTCCTTGGGTCAGATGCATGTAATCTCGACGGCCAATCAATAGGCGCCGGTTCCGAGGCTGTTAGTATCCACAACATCCTGGTGGCAGTCCAACTCCTTGACCCGAGACCGTTGGAAACTGGCGCAAGATCTGAATAATAATCCCCTACTCCTGAATACGCGTTTGTTGTTAGACACGACGGGTGCGTGACGTTACATCGACACGCGCGATCTTCTCATGTCCACGTCCGGGCCGCTGCCTTTGCTTCATCCTCCCTGCTCCACTCCCGCGGCAAGACAGCGAAGACAAGGTAAGATGTATGTGTCTTCAACTCGGGTTCCGTCCTGTGCACCAGCCGGCCTTCCTTGAACAGCTCTCTCTTCTCCAACTCCCGCTTCGCCCGTTCCAGTCGGTCGTGCTTCGACGGCGGCACCCTTTCAATATCAGATACCTTGGTCTTGGTCTTTGCTGCCTCCCGCTCTTCCTTGAGCGAAGGCACTTTCTCTCCCCGCTTCTTCGCCTCGGCTCTCCGCATCACTTCCTCTTGCTTCTCCTTCTGCAGCCCGTGGAAAATCTTGGCCCGGCCTTCGACGTCTCGTAGGCGTTGAACGGCCTCTTGCACGGTGGCGGCGTTGGGATTGGCCCCACGGAGCCCTTCTTCCTGGAGGCCAACGCGCTCGCGGCGAACTTCGAGACGCTTCGCTTGGATTTCTGCCATGCCGATTTCGAGCCAGCCCAAGGCGCGCATGGCGGAAACGGTTTTCGTGACTTGTTCTATGCACGGGGAGAAGGTGCATATGCGAACGGCTTTTTGAGGATTGAGGGGTGAGCGAAAAGGCTTCTGGGGGTTATGCTGCTCCGTAGTATCTGCTGCTGGCGTGTTGGATTCCGAGGCTACAGACTTGATCACTGCCTGCGAAGGAGGGGAGCGGGTAAGGTGTTTCAGGGCGAGCCATGGAGCTGGAAGGTCGAGGAATATCGCATCGGCGTCAGGTTCCGTGGCGTTCTCTAAGCAGAACCCGTCCTGGTAGACGTCGCGATTTGTCACCGTGACCAACTGGCTGAGACCGTGCTCTTCTAGCTCATCCCGGAGTTGCTTCGCCCTCGGGGCGTGAAACTCGAAGCTGTAGACATGGCCATTGCGCTTCCGCCTCTTTCTAGCGGCCGCACCAGCAGCATTTCCGTCGGAAGTCTCCTCTTGTTCAACGTATCCATTGAACACTGCTCTTACTGCCGCATGTGTAAAGCTTCCACTTCCTGCACCAGCCTCAATGATGTGGTCCCCCGGTCGAATCCGCAATCGCTGTAGTATATAGCTGTAGTCCGGCGTGTAGACAACCTGCGTCCTATGCGGCAGACACAACGTCCACGTCTCCGGGCTCGGCGGTATCAAGTGCGCGAACCCACTGCTTGCCGTAGCTGCCCTCACCAAACCACCGCTTCCCTCCTCCTTCGGAGTTCCCGCTTCCTCATCACCCACATCTCCGGCTTCGCGCTTCCGCTTCTTGGACCTTGAGCTCCGGGATCCGGTGTCGATGACGGAGGCGAGGATTTGCGTGCCCCACGGTTTATGGAGAAGAGTGCTGTGCGGGAACGAGCCGAAGCGCGTGTTCTCTACTTTGCCTTCGGCGTAGTCGGAGTCTGCGGATGTCGAGAGGATGGCGGGAATGAGGTGGTCGCGCCGCAATTGGAGGATTCCGAGACTGTTGGGCGCGGAGACGGGACCTGGGTCTAGGAAGGGCGACGGCTGCGGAGCCATGAGGTATAGGGCTATACGCGTTATATGGTTACTGAATGGTCTTCATCTACGGTGTTGAAATTGTATTTTTTTGGTCGGCGGGGACAGTGCCAAGACCTCCGCTGACAAGGGCCTCCGCCATTCACAATGCTGTCGGTCCTTGCGATGTGACACGACACCATCGGCTCTCTATAGATTGACTCATCTGGGGACCTCTCGTCTCTCATATACCTTTCCCGTCACTCCTTGTCGCTGGTTTTGAGCATCGCTTGATGGTGCTTTCCTTTCACACTGTGACTCGGCGCATTTTCCTTCAGCATTCCAGCACATCAACCACCACGCCGCAGCTGTATCTGAGAAAGAAGTTCTTGAAAACGACTATTCGAATCTTTCCCATAGCCACTATGGCGACTCGCACGCAGCCGCCATGGAAGGAGCCGACTTCTTCTGTTCCGCCAAAGTTCAAGGTGTGTTATCATCCTCTCTCTTGGCCCATTTGGGATATTCCAATTTATGCTAATTGAAGTATGTATCAGGTGTACAATTCACTCACCAGGACTAAGAATCCCTTCATCCCGCTTGACCCTGAAGGAAAGGTGGTCACGTGGTACTCCTGCGGACCTACAGTATACGACGACGCACACCTCGGACATGCGAGAAATTATGTAACAATAGACATTCTCAGGTTTGTAATGCTTGTCTGTCTTTGTATTGTCCCGTTGGCTGAGATTTATAGACGCATCGTACGCGACTATTTTGAGTACAAAATAAAGTTTGTGCAGAATGTCACCGATGTGGACGACAAGATCATTCTCAGAGGCCGGCAACAGCATCTCCTTGCGGGTTTCAAGCAGAAAAATCCGGAGGTGACAAAAGAGGTAGTAGAGGTTGCCACCAAGGCATTTGACGCATATGTGACCAAGAACCTGCCCCTTCTGAGCCCCAACTTACGACCAGAGGATTTCAACAAAGAGAGCGCTGAGAAATATGGCGCTGTCATCGCTGGCAAGGCGCTTGATGGAGAGTCATCACCAGGCGACAATGAAGCCAAGATTAAGATGCACTTGAAGACCGCAGGCGCAGCAGCGACAGCATTACTTGCCCCTACATATGCCGCGGATGACTTCTATATGGGTATGGAGGATGTCCTGCTTCCATACCTGGATTCGCTATACGCGTCGTCAATAGATGCCAACGACCACAGCGTCTTTACGAAACTCACTCAGAAATATGAAGCACGGTTCAACGAGGATATGCGGAATCTAAATGTCATGGATCCCGATGTTGTTACAAGAGTAACAGAGTACGGGCCCCAGATAGTGGAGTTTGTGCAAAGGATCATCGACAACGGCTACGCATATGCGACTTCGGATGGCTCAGTCTACTTCGATATCCAGAGCTTCGAGAAGACAGAGGGAAACCACTACGCCCGTCTGGAACCGTGGAACCGCAGCAACCAGGCTTTGCAGGCCGAGGGAGAAGGAGCATTGATCAAAAAAACTTCGGAAAAGCGCAGCGATGCTGATTTTGCTCTTTGGAAATCTGCAAAGGCTGGAGAGCCGGCATGGGATTCGCCATGGGGTCCCGGCAGGCCTGGGTGGCATATCGAATGCAGCGCTATGGCAAGCGACGTCCTTGGAGGGCAGATAGATATCCACTCTGGTGGCATAGATCTCTGCTTCCCTCACCATGACAGTATGTTTTCCTCTTTCCTTGACATCGGAAGTTTGCCGCCGCTTTGGGAACATTGTTAGCACATAAGCATAAATCTAACCTCTCCACAGACGAACTGGCCCAGAGCGAAGCCTACTGGAATCAGCCAGGAAAAGCCCAGTGGATTCAGTACTTCTTACACATGGGCCACCTGAGTATCTCGGGGAGGTAAGCGAAGCGTTATGAGTTACCGCATAGAGATGAGAAAGCAATCGCTGACAGGTATCAGCAAAATGAGCAAGAGTCTGAAGAACTTCATCACAATTCGCGATGCATTGGCCCGTGGGGACTGGACGGCACGGAGTCTGAGGATAATTTTCCTCCTCGGCGGGTGGCATGACGGTGTTGAGGTAACAGATGACCTGTCTAAGGCTGGTTCGTCCTGGGAGAGCTACGTTTCGAACTTCTTTTACAAAATTCGGGACCTCGAAATCCATCCCAACACCGGCTCAAACGGGACCGAAGACGAGAAGCTTCTGCAGTCATTCGAGGCCGCAAAGGAGAAGCTCCACAACGCACTTGCAGACTCTTTTGATACCCCTACGGCAATGCGCGCTATCTCGGATATTATCACAAGTTACAACTCCGCAGATAAGTCTGGTCTTTCCGACAAAGTCTCTTTCGAAATCGCACGTTGGGTCACACGCATGGTTCGCATATTCGGTCTTGACGGCTCTGCGGATCCTCACGACGGCGGCATTGGATGGGCTGGCACTGATATACCCGCCGAAGCAAAAGATTTCGTCTACGCCGCCTCCCGCGAGCGAGACGAGGTCCGACACCACGCTATTGCTGGCGATCTATCACCGGAACTTCTGACTTCTATCATTTCCAAAGACAAGCCGGCTGCACAGCAGGAGGGTGCAGCTGCTCCTTATGCTAAGGTTTTGTCTACCTTCCAAGAGGATCTCAAAAGCCTGGCAGAGAAGAAAGCTCCCGCGAAGGACTTCCTCGCTCTCTGCGGTAAGTTTGCACCTGCTTCGTCACGGGTCAAAGGCCAAGATGACTGACTACGGGAGACCGGTTACGTGACCTGGACCTATGGGACCTGGGCATTTACCTTGAAGACCGCGAAAACGCGCCCGCTATGGTACGCCCCGTTGACGCCGAGTTACGCACTGCTCGTGAGCAGAAAGAGGCGCTAGCGAAGCAAAAGCGCGAAGCGCGGGAAAAGCGGGAACGCGAAGAGGCGGAGAAGAAGGCAAAGTTGGCCGAGCAAGCAAAGATCAGTCCTCAGGAGATGTTCAAGACTGCGGAGTTTAGCGCATGGGATGCTGATGGCCTGCCTACGAAGGACAAGGACGGTGCGGATGTGCCGAAGTCGAAGATGAAGAAGCTCAAGAAGGAGTGGGAGAAGCAGAAGAAGTTGCATGAGGAGCATCTCAAGAGCGTTGGGTCGTCGGCGTAGACTATGGGGGTGTGAAGTGGTACACCACAGACTCAGGAGGCATGTGTCGGTGTATTGCCATTAGAACTTCGTACATCATGTGATATCAAACTCTTGAGCCAATGACTTGGCCACAATCTAGCGGCGATCTACATCACCATATGGTTCTGTAGCATCTCCTTCCACACCCGCGATGAGCGGGTTACCGGAATCATTCATCGCACACATTATACGTGATCCATTTAATCAACCGATCATGACCATCAAATCCCACCAGATTCACCCCGGTGTCAGAATCCATCGTCAAACGCAGGTTGCGACATCGCCAGTAAAGTTCCCGCTTCTCGTCAGACATGCTCGTCTCGACCTGCTGAAACAAGCGAACAACCTGAAACACGTCCGCACTTCTCCGCACCCACATCACCATCCACCAAGATCAAAGTGCAGAAATTCAAATTCCCCCGGGGATGGCGCCTTAGAATCGCCTTAAGATGCTTTCTGGCGAACATGTGTTTGGGGCTTAGACGGAGGACGGAGATGTGCAGGGCGAGGCATTTTCCCGTCAAAGAGGGAAAGATGTTTCAAAAGAGTGTGCTTGATCTCATCGAACGCCACTGGAGGACGTTATAACACCGTGAATGCTCGCGCAGAGAAGTCGAATCCCCACACAGCTCTCTTCGGCGTACAGCGATCGCGGCATTTCATACTCATCACCTTCACAATAACCTCGATTCTACCACAGAGTTCGAATCTGATATCGCTCCTATACCGAAACCCTACCATCCACAATTTTTTTCCATACACTCCCTAAACCCACCACCATGTTGACCAACCGACGATCAATGATGGCGCCCTCCAACCCAACCTCCCACCGCGCCTCCACCTTCTCCCACCGCACCACCTTCACGGAACCCATCCACGAAACCACCACCGCCCCGCAAAGCAAGACACCCTCCATCCTGACATCCACCACCCCCACACTCCCAGGCCACATTATAAACCGCGTCCTCGGCACCGTCCACGGCATCACCACCTGCGCGCGCAAAGACACAAAGTCGTTTCTCAAATCCGTGGGTGTCGGCAACGAAGCGAAGAGCCTGACGCACATGCTGTATCAGGCGCGGGACCAGGCGATTGAGCGGATGGTGAGGGATTGCGTGGCGCGGGGTGGGAATGCGGTTGTGGGGGTTGGGTTTAATGAGAGTGAGGTGCTTGGGTTTGTGCAGGTGAGCTGTTATGGGACGGCGGTGTTTGTGGAGAAGGAGGAGGGTGGTTTTGGGTATAAGTGAGAGGTATGGAGAAGGTGGTGCAAGGAAGCGATTTTTTGAAGAGACGCAAGAGTCCAATGGGGCAAGAAGGCCTGCTCGTCTGGCAATGAGCAGTTGAAGAGGGTTGTTGGCACGTGAGCTGGTGTTCACAAGCTCTGCTGTGGCCACATCCCAAGCATTCGATCAGTGCATCGGTTACCAACTTGCCCTTTTGGATGGAGAGATCGGTTGGTCAAGAGCGGAAAGGGTCGCGAGCATTCTCGCCGGAAGGATCCGCATGTGAGACCGCCAGCACCCAGAGTGCAGAACACTGCAGTATTCACGCAATCCGCTTTCTCTTTCTTATGTAATGTAGCGTTTCGATTTTGCATTCTTTCCAGTGAACAGCACTGGCTGTTTTTCCTGAAATATAACTCTACGATATTCCATTGACACCAAACAGCACTTTGGTTTCGCCCTTTTCGTGTCGGAGCTTCTGGGCCATCATATTCTACTTCACCAAGTCCGGAAGGGAGGCTTGCATGAATTATGTTTGGGAGTAGAATCTGGCATTATGAGGGCAATGCGAACGATTGCCAACGCCATCGCGTACCAATGTTTGTGGTACGATGTGTATGAAGTAATACGTTTCGGTGCCATGTAGCTTGATATCTATGTTTGCATTGAGGCCTAGCTTCCTGGGAAGTCATCTGCGTCGCCCGAGCCTAGTTCTCACGGTCTCAAAATCGAAGCAATATCTTGTAAGTGCCATACTTCCCCAGCCAACTGGCTTCGTTAAACAGTGTCCTACTTGAGCCGAATGAGCTGCAGGGCCAGACGTTCACGGATTGAATACTAATATGGTAATCTGGGAGTGGAATAGTCCTGCGGATGATCCTTTTCCGGACCAGCAACCCCTTTCAGACTGCGAAAACCTGCTTCCCCCCGAACCATGTCTGCCGCACCTTCGCATGCAGCAAATCTTCAGCCTCGAAACTCATATCCACCACGACGAAATCAGCTTCTTTCCCGACCTCCAAGGACCCGAGCCTCTCCTCCTCAAAGCAACTCCAAGCAGTGCCCCTTGTCGCGGCACTGAGAGCTTGCGCAACCCCAAGCCTGAAGTTCTCGTTCACTGGCAGATCCCCGGCATCTGGCTGTCTTGCAGATTTCCTCGTTGTAGCCACATACAAATTGGACATCGGGGCATGCGGAGCGGTGGGACAATCCGACCCTATAGCAAGGACAGCCCCATTGTCGGCAAACTCCTTGTACGCGAAGGCGCGCTTCAATCTCTCGGGCCCTAACAGTTTTGGCCAGGCCCGTAGGATTGCCGGGTCCGCATGTACCGGCTGAACTGAAGCAGTGATACCGAGCTTCCCTAGGCGTGCCGCATCCTGCGGAGATGTGAGCTCCAGATGCTCGATTCGGTGGCGCTGACCTGGTTTTCCGTATGCTTCGAGAGCATTGATCGCATTGTGTACAGCTTGGTCGCCAATAGCGTGCAGGGCACATTGCAATTTGGCTTCACAGGCCTTCTTTACGACGGGGGCTAGCATGTCAGGCGTCCAGATAGGATCCGGGGATTCTCCGTTGTGACTATGCGGTTCAGTCAGCGCGGCGGTGCACGCGTCGATGACACCGTCACAGATGATCTTTATGCCAACGATGCGCAGATCTGGTGAGGTTTCCTTATTGAACTGGTGGAAGAGCTCAACAGCTCGAGTGACCTGTTCCAGCCGGTGTGCCTCGCCTTCGCCAGGAAGTACGATCCAGTGCGCCGCTATCCTCAAAGGCAAATGGCCACCCAGCTCCTCCCGTAACGCCAGTATGGCCTCCCATGCGTTCTCGTCCATCGCCATATCTATACAGCCAGTAACGCCCACCTGGTGATAAGCTGCGACGGCGGCTCGAAGCGCCCCTTTCTTCTCCTCCATTGTCGCTACCTTCGCCAAATGGGGCCACACAATCAAGATCGCGGCTGCTTCGCTCAGTAGACCAGAAGGGTTCCCAATTTCATCTCTTTCGATGCTGCCTCCCGCAGGGTCAGCCATATTCTGCACGCCCATCTCAGCCAACGCAGCACTGTTGCACCAAGCCGAGTGCAAGTCCTTGGAGTCAATGAAGATGGGTCGGGGATCCAGGTCATCCAGCATGCTAGCTTTAGCCTCGCCGTTGGTCATGGAGTGCATCCAACCCGAACACAAGATTCTCTCCTTTTCCGGGTTTTCGAACGCGTACGTCTTGATTCGCTGGCGGATCTCGGATAGGTCGTTACACCCGTCGAGCTTGACTTTGTGAAGGGCTTGTCCGAGGAGCAGGAAGTGGCAATGGCCATCTAGGAATCCTGGTAGAATAAAGGAGTTTCTTAGGTCTTGTGTCACTGCGGTGTTTTTGTACATTTGTATTTCTGGAGAGTCGGATGGTCCTATATATGCGATTTTGCCGTCCTTGACCACCATGGCGGTAGAGAATGAGGCTGCCGAGTCTGCGCCGTTGAAGAATCGTCCATTTATAAACAATAGCGTGTTTTCGGTGTCAACCATGGTGATGGATTTGTTTGTATGGGTTGTGTAGTGCAAGACCGTGTATTCGGTGTTGGGGGAAGTATTTATCAAATTCCCGTTCCGGGCCGAGGTCGGAGTGCCGATGCTATCCTTTCATTCTGTCCATCTAGGTACATGAACGAGCCCCGTCCATTATCAAAGTATTCATAAACGCAGGGGTAGTTGGATTGGCTGATATATGGGAGAGGCCAGTGAAGCATGAGGAGAGGTGGGGTGGTGTGTCAATGCATCCTCCCTAGAAGGGTAATCAGGAACACTACGTCGGTTCTATAAATCGACAGGACACCATTTACGTCAACTGCATCTAATCTTAAGGTGATTCTTTTGGAATAATACCGATGGTTTAGCCGCGAAATAGTTCGTAAATCTCAATCACATGATATCCACGTGACATGGTACTTTCACCAACGGTTTAGAGTTGTGAGCTCTTTTTAAAATATTACCATTCAAGATGAGACCGGGGATGAACGGGGTAACGAGGCCCTCAGGATTCTCAGATGTTGGCTCAAGCCCTTTGGCATACTCATACACCCCAGACCTTCTTACACTTCTTCGATCTGCTATTCTATGGAAGATCTTCTCCTGCAATGCCTCGAACGTGTCCCAAGGGCCTGTTATTTGTACAAGGAATACAATCCATTGGCGGGCGCAGACCGCATGGCGTCAAAGCTACACACATGTGCCCCCTCATAATCATCTCGCATCTCTTGCACAAACAAAACGCATTAGAAAAACAATTCGGGACCCTTTCAATTGGGAATAGTTTGTAACACCATCAGCCACGCATTCTGATCAAGTGAGGGAATATATGCATCACTAAAATCTAAACCCTCGCCCTTTCCCACCCTAGGGTACAGTACTCCTACAACACGCTACATGTACAACGACGACCCAAAAACCGAACGTCTTAACAATCATAACCTCGTAAACATAAATGAAGTCTACCTTCCAAGGTCAACCTCTCGAACGGCAACGAAGGACTTCACTGGTTTCTGCATGTAACCTCGTGTATCTGTTGGCCCGTAAGTCTCCGCGAAGGTCGGAACGGGTTTGAACTTTGGACTCGTCTGGCGATTACGATGTCTGATAAAGAATCTGTTTGGTCTTAGCACCGACAAATGACATGTACGAAATGCGCAACTTACGATATACCCGCCAGCAGAGCGATGAGGAAAGGTGCACCAAGTCCCACACTCAATCCAATTATAAGCTTGTTACTAACTCCTCCCGTCTTTCCCTCAATTGTCTCAGGTATATTGCTTTGCGACTCTCCATCGTTGTCACTGTCTTCTTCATCTTGCGCGGTCTCCTTAGGCGGGGGTGGCACATAAGAGACTGGGCTACCACTTGTTTTTGGAACACTAACAGCGTTGGATCCAAAATCGACCGATTTTGTCACAACATTCTGCGCTGTAGCAGGTACTGTGAAGTCCGCGCCGGAAGGTATTGCGGTCGTGATTGTTCTTGTCTCCACTGATTGTGTGGTACTCTGTGCTGACGCAGGACAGTTCACTAAACCGGGTGTCATGCAACTAACACCAGTATACGTCACCTTAGTGGTGACTGTGGTAGTTGTCAAGTCCTGTCGTGGTCTCACTGCTGGCGTAGGAGTGATCGTTGGCGTCGCAGACGCCGTTTTCTGCGCAGCACATAGCTCCCCAATTTCCGTGTAGAATATGGGAACGGAGGTTGTAGCCATCGGTCCCCAGGTATTGTCACCGATAGCTATTGTAGCTCCAGCTGCGGCACCCAACGCGAGTTGATATGACTGGACTACCTGCAATTTGCAGTCTTCTTCCGGCGCGAACGTCACGTTCGTAATGAACTCTGCCACATTCGCGAAGACGCCGACTTCTATCCCACCGCCAACCGAGTCCAAAGCGACCGTCCGATCGAAAAGCGTGAACTCGGGTATTGACGGGGAGACAAGCTGAAAGCCGGCGTGAACTCCCACGCGCAATGTTGCAGAGAAGACCACTCCTGCACTCTGGACGGTGACAGGGAGAAACTCGAAACGAGCACCGTTGAAGACGATGTCCGAAATGTCGTCCGCAAACAGCTTGATATCAATGGCGGCGCCGTCTTCTAGCTTGATATGAAAGCCGCTACTAATATCGACCTCGCCTTCCACGCTCAGGATAAGGTCGACCGCGAAGATGATGCCAACTTCCAGATCCTTGGTGATGGAAATACCAAGTGGGGTGTTTGATCGGTACAAGCTCAGTTCATAGATAGAACCCAGACTCAGAATCGTGTTCATATTCATGTATAGCTCCATACCATCGAACTGAAAACGAAGGTTGCATTCCGGAATAGCTGGAATATCCAGGTCAAAACTGGCGTTAAATGTCGGAAAGGCAAAGTCAGCGATATCGATGCCGTCGTCAAAGTTGTCCGCGACACCTTTGACATAGTTGAAAAAGTAGTCATCAAGCGACTCGGTAAAGTTCTCTACGTTTCCGCGCACTTGATCCAGTGTCTCAGAAAGAACCTGGCTGGCATTGAAATTGTCATCGATGGTAAGTTCTACCGTAGCCGTGCCCTTGATATAGCATTGGGTGCAGACAATTTCGATGCCAGCAGTGGCGGACAGTGACGATCTGTTATTTTGCGATAATTGTTGTTCGTGCTCGCTGATACTGTGTCAGTTTGATGATTTATCTCCATTTAAGGCCAGGAATAGGCTGGGCACTCACAACTTCAATAGCACCGCGTCATCCCAACTGCGATCCAGACTTGTGCTGTTCTTCAACTCGACTTCTCTCTTTTGGACAGCAACCTCAGAGAACGCACGTCGCACGGCTTGATATGTATCCCATGTCGATGCTCCCGGTGCATTGCGAACTCTATATGCAGGGGCAATGGCAGCGCTAGTAAGAATACTAAATGATAGATATAGACAAATGCTGTAGATAAGACTGAAGGGCGACATGATCAAACTAGGATCATCAGTAACCGCACCCTATTGCCAATTTGAAAGGAACGGGCTTTGAGGCAAGAGAAAACAAACGGACATGTGGCTCCATATCTAGACTTTGAGCGGTACGACGTGCCTCAGTTGTTTTTCTTGAGTAGGCAGTGCCCAAGAGCTACGCCGCAGTACCACAGCCTACAGGAAACAGTTAGTGTTACGTTCCTGCAGGGTCCGGAACAGGATCTGCACGTTGCCGTGTACCGCACACATGCGGTCAGCATAGGAGTGATAAGGGAATTGGCTGTGGCTGCGACACAGCTGGACACCTGATGATGATGGTCTTTCATTCAAAATAAAAGGGTGGAATTTCCCGGAACTGGAATATAGATTTTCGAATGTTTTGAGGTATGCGACAAGGAACTTGCCTCAATCGCAGCTCAGTTGAGAAAGTCTCGCGGCTCCTACCAATAATATGTACCCCGTAGTTCGTGTCGGACAGGCCTTGGTCAGTGACGGGGTTGGTGTTTCGTCTTACGGACATGCAACCAACCAACCTGGGGCTGCAACAGCCTTGCACAGCCTACCAGGAAAGCTGTTGTTTCACATTTGCAGACTACAACATTCGCATAGCCTCGCGCAGCTCGCGCAATTTCAATTGAGGTGCCAAAAGGGGCAGTACTGTAGTTACACGAGATAGATACGTGACCAATCGAGAGAATGTTTCCGTTTACAGGGTTGCGAGATGTGACTGTGGCTACCTTTCAAACGTTTGCACATAAACTCCTACTTATACTTCGGACTTTGTAATCATTCAAAAGCACCAAAAAGGTGTCATACCCGGTTTGTGCAGCTAACTATCCCTTTACTCTAGCCTCTAGGGCTAATAGCCTGCTCTTGTGTCCAGGCGGGGTCCATTGGCAGCCAATCAGAATGTCGCGCTCTTGATGTATCTGCCAACCACGGTCGTGCTCGTCAGCCTCCAGGTCTGGCTGAAGTGACTGACTGAACTGCTTGACTGACCGACGCTCGCTGATAGCGTTCCCAGCATAGGGAACCGAAGGAGACCTACTGACCCGACCGTAGGTATACGTAGGTAGGGTGACCCCCTAGCCGGATTGGTGCTCCAGAGAAGCAGGGTCATACTGCCTTCCCAAGGGTTGTCAGCGGCTGGCTCAACGTCCACATTGGAACGGTTCGCCTGCCATCTCTTACTGGCGTGCTTGCCCTGCTTGCTCGGCCGCCTGGTTGGAAAGGATTTTCCCTTCGCCGATCTGTTCGAGGGTCCCAGCAAAAGCCGATTGTGCTTGCTGCACCGCCCCAGGGCTGTCAGAGATACATACTCCAGCACTGAACTTTATCTATCCAGTAGCTAAGGTTTTCTCGCTCTAGTTGCTAAGGTTTCCTCCCTTAACTGGCAATTACACTCTGGAGTCCAAGGCACGTTTGATTTAAGAGTTGCAGGACAAGCAGGCTTACTGAGCCGCTTCTTGACGTTGCGACCCACTTGTCCGGTTGACGGCTGCTTGCGCAGATGCTTGCTAAGGTCCTGTGGGGCATATAAAGAATGGATTGAGTTGGTTAGGTTCTTCACTCATCCGCAGGTTGAACCAGTGTATTAGAGGAGAAAAGGCGACTAGAGCCGCCTAAAACCTTGGTAATCTTTTCTTGACCTGCGGACTAGATGGCAGGCAACATCGCCCCCTTCCTTAACAACTCGTCGCCATACCCTTGGGACTATACGCGTCTGAATCTGCAAGTGTTGAAGGAAACTTCACCTGATTCCTACACGACACTCTTCTATTTGTTTTACACTGTTTACTGTTTTATTCGCCTCTCTAGCACATGCTGTTTTGGACTGTTTACTAACTCTCTATTTTCCATCTTGTGTAGCAATTGCAATATTCTTGTATTCAACGTAGGAAGAAGTGTTTATAGGAATGCATCCGCTTTCCTCACTCAGAAGCAAGAAGGCGCTTGATAGATACGCGATTTGATGCGAAAACTATGTTGGACGGAGCCTAGAAATTTGGACCTTGGTGGTGAAGGACGGGTCAATTAAGTTACTACGTGAGGCATTCATTATCTCGATCCTTCTCCACTCTCAGCTCTCTTCATCCGAACTTGAGTCTGCATGCGCACATTGTGAGGCTTGTAGAAGCATTGTATAGCATGGAACCTTCCATTGGGACGTCCAATGTAGTTTATCTTTTTTCAATCACGCTGGTTTTACTGAAATCATTCAGAGCGAAGTTCGGTGAAAATTGAAATCAGTTCGAGAGTGCTCCCAGGCTAGGCCACAATCGCTGATAAATGTTCACTCCTGTACTACGTACTAGAATAGATTAGAGGGGTTAATGCGCTTAGTTATTTGTGGGCACTCACAGCATTCAGCTTTTCTGCCCAGCGCTCATAAGAGCAGTCCTTGGAGGGAGGTATAACTTCGAACGTTTCGCTCCCTCCACGGACAACCCGGGTCCACATGCCAGCTTCAGTCAATTTCTGAGCAAGCGGCCGGTAGCCCAGTACGGCGCTTATCGTCTGCTCTGAGAGAGCGCCACCATCAGGGAACCCTAGATGTAAACTGATTGTCGCTCCTGGCTTCAATATCATGAGACATTTCTCTAATTGAGCGGCGGACTCGGGCTCTCGACCCAAGTCCGCCCACATGCCGAATCCAGTTGAGTGACCATGTCGCAGATGGGAAGCTTAAGCCCCCGCCAGTCCGTTCCTTTGATGAATCCTTCCGATATATCGAACCGAGAGTCCCTGTCGTAAGCAACCACATCTGTGAAGATAGTGGTCCGATAGTAGTTCTCGACCAACTCTTTTAACATTTCTTCACCGACGAAATACTCGCCCCAACAGTGATTCCGTTCCTCTTGTCCGTGATTCGTGCGCTCCATTACTCGACGGGACTCAGCAGGCCACATCCCACCAGATTCGACATGCCAGCATCCAAAACACATCTCGGTCTTATTCCTCGTGGAAATGTGCCTGTATATCATGTCCCGTATCTCTCGCGGCAGTCGTGTCATGATGGCCTCGCACAACTTCCGACAGGAATTTTGCAGCATGATATTTGATCACAGTGTCAACCCGTATGAGCCGGTGTTCCCTCTCGCGCTTTGCAAGAAGACACTGTTTTTTTAGTGTGTGGGCCACATTTTTGGCCGCATGATATTCCGCCAGTGACCTGGCAAGAATGGTGAGCTTACACTGAGACCATCAACACTGAGGTTTTACATACTCTTGAATCTCGACGCGGGCTTCTTCATTATCCATCAGAAACTGATTGAGAGGGCTGATCTTGACTGCGCCTGCTGATGACGTGCCTTGGGCCTGAGATAGGCGCAAGTCTTGTAACATCGTTGTTGCCGCGGTCACATCGTCATTCTTGTTCGTAGAAGACAAACTCGCTTCATCCATCTTGCGAGCTGTTGCGACCGTGGTCTTTGCGGTCGACGTGAGGTTGCTCCCGTGGAGAGTGTAGTGGAGAATGCAGGATGTGTTTTGACAGAGGAAGGAGGAACTAAACCTAGCGCCAAGACCTGGCGGTCAAACGACAGTTACAAAGCTCGAAACCTGGGGTCGTGACTGTGATAGTGTCCCGTGAAAGCTTTAATTTTTGCATAAGAAGAGTAAGCCCGAACACAACAGGCAACGAGCAAAAGTGGCGGGTCTGCGAGGGTGATTGGTTCCTCTTGAGAAATCACGTGGCCGGAGCCAGGCATGCATCAAACGCGCAAACTGCATTAGACAGAAGTTCAAAACTTAAACCACAAGTTCCAACCGAATGCTTGTTGGCAATGTGCTCAGCTCCAGCGAGTTTGGCGCGGGAGAGAGTCTCCTCTGTTTCTTTAAGGACTGCTAGAAGCGCGGATACAAGATCACTGTTTCCAGACCAGTCAGCGCTGTTGTTTTTTTATCACTTGATCGAACCTCTATAAAAACACGCAACTCTTAGTTCCAGCACGCCGATCCACGCAGCTGCCATTCTTCACAACCCGTCCTATGCCATAGAAGGCTACTTAAGCACGAGCCTAATATTGCCCCTTGGAGGTCCATGTATTTCGCTATTTTCTGTAACTGCAAATAATAAGAAATATCTTAGAGTATGTAGCAAAGCAGCCAACGCTTTAGCGGTTATTTTGAGAAGATATTAAGACAATATCAATGCCAAAAAGTCCAGTGTGGAGGTGCAAGATGAATCACGCGAACCGAGGAATACACTGAAACCGGACCGAGATGCCATTCATGATCCTGGTCCTTTGCAAGTTTAAACAAATACAAAAGTTTATGAAGTATCATATAGGACTTGACTATCATCCAAGTTACATCAAGCTAGATCAATACACACATGGGCACCTAGGACCCCTGAGCAGCCCTTCTCGCAGGATAGTGTTGTAGGTCAACTGTTGCTTCCAGTATGTTAGTAAAATTAACGACTCCAAAACTGTTGCACTATAGCACTAGTACGAGTGGCTGCATATCAAGAACTCCCAACAAACAGTTAGAACTCGGTTTCGCTGTTGGACATTTGGCACCCGATACGCTAAACTCGGGGCTAAAAGGTCTGGAAACATTGACGCGGGATACTTATACTCCACTGGTTCCGCTATCCACTCAAGAAACCCTATGGACAACCCTCCCACCCCAACCATCCTGGTAGAAATTGTCTTTCACTCAGATTGTGAGCCCACGCCAGATCAGCCGGCACGAGTAAGGGTAACACTACACCCAACGTCCTTCAACCATCTGGCAGTAGGGAGCTTACTCATAGTTACTGCTATGTTCGGGGGCTGAGAGAAAGCACGATCTACAGAGCCGGACGAAGTTTACCATTATGTACCAAAATGCACCGTCGAAAGAATAGCTAAAATATATTCATGGAAGGCTCTATATACACCTCCGCCCGGTATATGATGGTTGTTCGGTCACAATGTTTCAGTTTCTTATTTGTTTACGTCAAGTTATCTCCCACGTTTCCAGTGTGACGAGGTTTGTGTGTTAGCAACTAGTCTGTTGAGAAGCACTAAGGGCAACCCGATTGCTTCGCATCACACTACTCAAGAGGTCATCTGCATAGGTGGTTCTTACTTAAATACCGACTTATAATCATTGTTGCATTTTGTACAATAGCGGATCACTCCGGAAGTCGAGCAAAGTCGACCTGCCCGAGATTTGATCCACTGAGCTGCCTTGCGGGAGTGAAAGCATCAGGTGGTACATGTCTTGATGTTTTGGCAGATCACTCCAGAACTCGACCAGAGTCGACCTCCTCGAGACTCAATCCACTGAGCTGCCTTGAGGGAGTGAAGGCACGAGGCAGTTCATGTCTTCATGTTTCGGCGGATCTCGTCTTCACCGCTTGCACTTATCTGCGCTGACGGCATTTTCACAAGTTCAGGTTCGGCTGTGAAAGGTTGCTCGGACAGGGCATTCCGGCATGAAAGCTTGGTTCCAGATTGGAACGTATATAAACAATTCAAACAAGTCGGAAGAGCGCGTATATATTTTCTTCACAACCTCCACTCTAGTTTGTATTGAACGAACTGCACTTCGTGTCACAACCCAACAACGGCAACTATCATGAACGGTGGTATGACCACTTTGCTACGGCGCAAGCGCGAGCTAGAAGCAAGGGCTAGACCCCGTGCACAGGAGTATACAAGGTACCGCTGCCTACACGCGCATTGACTCCAGATTATACGGTTTGTTAACATGTTCCCAGGATCATGGACCAGCGTCGACCTCTTCTTCGCGAACTTGAGCAGATGACCATGACCTATACGCAAGAGAGCCCAAGGTACAGTAATCCTCATATTCAATAACATGTACGTCATAGTATGTTGACAGTGTAATTTCGTAGTGTTCCCGAACAGCAGGAGGACCTTTTCCGTCGGATCGCCTCGTTGGACCGCCATGTTACAGCGATACTTGTGGAACACCAGGTGGACGTCACAGAGTACGCGCAGGTTACTTGCCGAATTATCTGCGAAAGAATGCAGCAGAGGCTTCCAGTAGAAATCCGGTTCATGATTTACGGCTACATGTCCACAAAGTCGAAAATCGGCATTCTATCTTACGCGACCGAATCCGAGGCAGTGTCCGACGCTGAGGAGGAATCGTCCGACGAAGAGCCACTCCCTCTCGACTTTGATCCCGTTACATTTGAAGAGGTGCATTGCTGGGATCCCCAGTTCGTTGGTGAGCAGACTTTGAAGGAACTCGCGGCGAATTTCTTCGACTTATCGCATTTCGTCGTGGAACTCAGCAATAGGGCGCAACCCCTTCGAGAGTTCTTGCTGACGGACCCAAACCACTTCGATTTCCTAGCCTGGACCTACGTCTCGAACATCTCCATCACCTTTGAGGAGGGGGAGTACGATGCGCAGAATCCAGCTCGGAAGATTCTCGCAGAGGCTCTGTTTACGCTCAAGCCGCAGGCTAGAATTAACCTGGACCTGCGTTGCGAGGACTTCCCCAGAACTTGGGTGGAGTCCCAGAAAAGAATCGCCCTGACCTACTTGCCGCTTGCATCTCGACTGCGAGCCGCGGGCTACATAGTGACTGTCACGATTTGGAAGTCCCGCTGGGGTGATAAAATCATTGACCCCGATGACGAATGTTCTGCTGAGGCTTGGAGCAAGAAAATTGACGCGGTATGGGGAGTGTGGAAGAGGCAAGGGAGTTAGACGTGTCTCGAATGCCGATTAGTAGGTTATTATCGAAGTTTATGTGTTGTACTGAAATCTAACTATAGAGACGCCGAAATTAAGATCAATGAATGGTAGAGCAACTGTCTTGCAGATCTGCCAACGATGTCAGGGACCATCAAAGTGTTCCTTCTTGGTTTGGATGGAACTGAAACAGCAGGCTGATTCGGGTGCGAGTAGCCCCAGGCAAGCAATGAGTTACCGTGCTCCTTGTTGTGCTACCCTACCTGCGGCTGTGTACTAAGTTGGAAATTCATCAAGCAAGCCAGTACATGATGGTGTGTCAATACCTGCATACTCCAATTCGTGAGCCGCGGAAAAAAAAAAAAAAAAATTCTAAAACCAGCCCTACGATGTTCTGGTGGATGGTAGGATAGCTCTTATCTGTCCCTTGAATGTTCGTACACTCCAATTCCGGGACAGATCCCACAACGAGGCTTTTTGCTGTATTGTGTCTTAGGCGTAGAAGCGTATCAGCACTCTGACGAAGAAAATAACGCCAAAACAGCATGCCAAAGTCCTGCTTACGGTGCCATACGAAGCTAGCAGGATTGAAGTGTTTCGTACGCAGAGGAATCACCCATTCCGACGCAAGCACACACCAACGGTCCCGAAACCCCGTTAACCTTAACCCGCCAAGAGCCACTAAAGAGCTTATTTTAACCCACTCTCTTTGACGGCCTGCGCGCCCTTCGACGACATTACATAGTAAAAGAAGTAGATAAATACTCCATACGGAAACGGAAACAGGTATAGTAACGAGGCCGCGAGGCCGCTGCCGCTTCCGCTTCTTTCGCCGACCCTACTGATCTCCCCAGCTACATGTATATATGCATACAAACTGAGTCGCAGAAGAATATGCATCCGCGCGCAATAGCCATCTGTAAACATAAACCAGTGCTTCGATCCCCTCCTCTATTGATGCAGCCGCCTTCCGAAGCAGAAATGTGAGCAGAGTATACACATATGTACAGGATATCAGAAACAACAAAGCAAGCATATCATACTAACCACCCTGGAATTTTGCCCTCCTCTGCCACCTTCAAACATTCTTCGAGAAAGCACTTCTTCCATCGCTCTTAAAACTCCCCACCTCCACCACCCAAAGCAGCAGCACCCCAAACGCCCACCAGCCCCCAAAAACCCACTCTCCACCCCCTCCAAAGCCCATGCACACCCTGCCCCCTCCGCACGCGCGTCCTCGATGAGTATCCCGCAGGCGTTCGTGACCCAGGCTGAGGCTGCTGCTGCTGAGCCGCCATCTTGGCTGCACCCGGGCCGACAATCTGCACGCCTTCTTCCCGGACGATAAACCACATCGTGCCAAAGATGCCGCGGTACGGTCCGGGCTCCACTATGGTCTTGAAAGTGCGCGATGCGGAATCCTCTTTCTCCATGTATCCTGATACTCTACTTGAGGATCGGCTGACCTCGGGGCCGGTGGGTAGGCTACGATAAGCCTCTGATAGGCGCCGGTTTTCTTGTTCTTGGAGAACAGCAACCTGGCCACGGCGGAGAACGGTTTCGACAGGAAGGCGGACGAAGAGCTCGAGGGTAGAGGAGATGAAGGTTGCAAAGGAATAGGCCGTGGGGGTGATCACGGGGTCGACAGAAAAGGTGGAGCGGAGGACGAGAGGACTCGAGGAGGAGATCAAGGTTGGGAGTGTAGCGTGGAGGAGGGTGACGGGCAGTATGTCGGTTGGAATGGAGAGGGAGGGCAAAAGGGATAGCGAGGGCCAAATTGTGCGAGGGGGAAGAGAAGTTGGAGTGACTATGAGCCTGGTACGAACGAGATCCAGCGGTGCCAGTGCCACGGCGGCAAGGGCAGAGGCGGCCACCGCGACTGAGAGAGAAAGGAGAGGGCTATGGCTGTCTATGATGTCCAGGCCTCCGATACCGCTAGCGGAGCCGCCCATAAAGCCTGGATCTGGAACGTTCAGAAGCGCGGATAAGAAACTACGGGTCCAGCTCTCTGTCGTCTTCAGCAGAAAGTTGTAGACGAATGTGACGTTGGTTCCTTTCCAGACACCCCAAGCCGACTCTTTCTGCCACAGCTGACCAATCACCTCCAGAAGAGCATCTGACTTTCGGAGATCGAGTTTGCGATGTGGAATAGGGGGTGGTTGGGTGGGTGTTGATGTGTTGGATCGGCTGGGTGCTCGACGCCGTGGCCGTCTTTCCGGGGAACGAGAATATGATCGCTCCGAGAGGGAGAATGGTTCGGGAACACGCGGTGCGGTGGTTGTGAAGTAGCCTGGCGAATCCTCGTCCGATTCTTCGTCAGATGGATACTATGAGAATCAACATGGCGCTTTTTGTTGATGGGAGTTGTGCACACCCACATCCTCGTACTTGCCACTAGCGAAGGAATTGGGCCTACTCCGGTACTCCTCCCCATTCAGCATCAGCCCCGGAGGTGCCTGCCCTGCCGCCTGGTGTATCTGCAAGATGGTCTTCGCAACCTCGAATGGTTGTGCTAGTAGCACGGAGGTGTAACTCCACAAAGCTCGATCCACGAATCGACGCGCATGCTCGGCCAGACTGGGCGAGCTGTCCGCAAAATACGAATCATAGTCGAGATCAGAAAGGATATCGCGTGCCTGGCTGCCAAAGCTGGGCTTGGGAGAGCGGTGGCCGTGTGAGAGGGCAGAGGTGGAATTTGGAGGCAGATCGGGCGGCGGCCCAATTGAGGGAGGAATATAATAAGGCCGCAGAGGATTCGGTGCGTCGCGGGAGGTCGCCATGACGGCAGGCGTGGAAGAATGAAACGGGTCTGGGAGGACGCTGTCCGCAAGATCGTCTCGCATGAGTGTAATCAATTGTTCTGTTGGTGACGACGATGATGATGAGGGAGTGCAGGGGTCGCGGCGCGGCACCAGCTTCCCGTTTCTTAAAAGTACAGTTCGCGCCCCGGCAAACTGTGGTAACTTTTCAGAGAGCTGGACCGTGTCACCTGCCTTTAGTGGGAAAGTACTTGTTGTTTCCAGCTTAGGGTCGGCTCGTTCAAGAAGGCGTAACAAAACGCTGCTGTTTTATACAGTAGATGTGCCCGAAACTCTGTAAACCCGCATCAATCGGAGTATTCTGCTGTGGTAGTACACACCAGGCGCCTCTCTTTTATTTTATTTTATTTTTGATATTCATTCATCTACACCTCCGCGCTTTGACCGGACCGACGCACCATGACCGGCGCCAATCCCTCACAGCGGCTTCTTGCCAGCGCAATCTCTCGAGCTTCCGCCGCTCCCTTAACTCCACCACATGCTCTTGTTTCACGGGTTCGACGATTTCACTGCGCCCGAGCAAACCAGGCGATACGTATAAGGAAGGGCCTTGCGGAGATGCCGTTCAGACTCTCTCGAACCTCGTCCATAACGACAGAAACTCCCTTCGGCCCATCAATTCTGCAGCGTAGCCGAAGAAGGTTCTCCTCCACTCCCATCTCTCGCCATGGGCACCTCGAACCACCCAAGCCGGGTGAGGAGTACGTTACACGGTCGAAATCTCGCACCTTCAATACTGACAGGATTGTAGGCTCACGGTGACCTTCATCGATAAAGAAGGCGAAAAACACGAATTCAAGGTCAAGGAGGGCGACAATCTCCTTGACATCGCACAAGCAAACGACCTGGAGATGGAGGGCGCATGTGGAGGCTCATGTTCCTGCTCTACCTGCCACGTAATCGTCGTTTCGGACCACTACGACCAGATGGAGCCGGCCGACGAGGAAGAGAACGATATGCTGGACCTAGCGTTTGGCCTAACGGAGACGAGTAGATTGGGCTGCCAAGTGAAGATGTCCAAGGACCTGGATGGGTTGGTGGTGCAGTTGCCGGCAATGACGAGAAATCTGTCACCAAATGACTTTAAGTAAGCATGTATTCCCGGGAGAGCGACGGATGGCGTTTGAGAGCATCATGGACCGCATCATGGGACGAAAGTGTTGTACATTATTATAAGATCAGCAGGGGCTGGCAATCACGTATTTTCAGTGCGCATAGAACGTAGTCAACCCGGACGGAGGAATCGTGGTATCATTAGATTTTCAGGAAGCGAGCCCAGCTCAGCTGTAATATCATGCCCCCACGCTACCCTCCTTTTTCTTTGCTCCCCCTGTGATCATATCCAGAAAGCCCTGCTTGCTCATCTCACTGACCTTCTCTTCCCTCTTTGCCAGGCCGACGACCCCGGCTGCTTTTGCTTCCTTCTCTGCCTGTTCGGCCTTGATCTGAGCAGCCCGCACCGCGTTAAACAGCTTGATAACACCCTTTTGCGCTGTCCGGCGCAACCGCTTCTCCTCCGCGACAATGTCTGCAGTGCTCACATCCGTCTTCTGCAATCCCAACACATCCTTCTCGCGACCCTTCTCTTGCGCCGCCTTCTTCTCAGCGAGCACCTGCCGATGCGCCTTGAGTGTCAATTTGTGATCCGTCAGCGCCTTATTCGCTTCTTGTGCTGATTTGGATCGTGAAAGGATTGGCTCCGAGCGTTTTTGTGAGGTCAACTTTGTGCCCAGGATCTTGGATATGGACGTCGCAAATGCGTCAGGGTCGTTTCGCTTCTTCACTCTGCGCGCATTGTTGGTGGATGTCTCTGAAATTTCTGAGCCGTCTGAGGCATCTGACGCATCACTATCGCCATCCTCGTACTCATCGACTTCGATATTGTCGTCCTCTTCGTCGTCCTGTTCGTCTGCGCTTGACGCAACATCATCCTCATTGGGGGAAGCTTCTTTCGGTACTTTCTTCGTGGTTGGAACAGTCGCCTTGAACTTGGGTAACGGTTTTTCACGTTTTGGTTGCTCCTCTTGCACCTCCTCGTCACTACTCTCTTGTTCTACGGGAGCATCTCTGGCGCCTCCCTCGTCTTCACTTGAGCTGTGATAGAAACGCTGTTTTTTGACCTTCTTTCTTAGCTTGGGCGCCTTCCCGCGCATACGATCCTCGGTCCGTCTTCGTTTCAGGGTCGTTGAAGGCATTGTGCATAAGAGTTCGCTGTGTCGGTGCTACAATTATCCTTACCAGAAAAAGTTCTGGGTCGGCATTGCAATTCGCCGACGCCAAGATTTCGGCCCCGCGCTAGCGCCTTCCCCACAAGAGTGCCACAACGATTCCAGCACGAGCATCATAGATCGACCCCGACAACATCTCGGAACTCCTTACTACTCTTTTTTCTTCACACATCGCCGCCACCATGGTTCTCCAGGATCTTGGGCGGCGCATCACCAGCGCCCTGTCGGATGTGACGCGGTCGCAAAACTTGGACGAGAAGGTACGTACAACCCGTCATCTAGAAGGCAGGAGTCGACTAACGTTCATAGGCTTTCGACGCCATGCTCAAGGAAATCTCGAATGCCCTCGTCGAAGCTGATGTCAATGTCAAACTTGTTATGAACCTGCGGAATTCGATAAAACGAGCCGTCGACTTCAAGCACCTCGCCCCGAATGTGAACAAGAAGAAAGTGATCCAGAAGGCCGTCTTCGATGAATTGGTGAAGCTCGTTGACCCGCACGCCGAGCCATTCAAACCGCGGAAGAACAAGTCTAATGTCATCATGTTTGTGGGTCTACAAGGTTCTGGTAAAACGACATCATGTACAAAGCTCGCTCGCTGGTATGCTGCTCGCGGATTCAAGGCTTGCTTGGTTTGCGCGGATACGTTCCGTGCTGGAGCATTCGACCAGCTCAAGCAGAATGCGACAAAGGCGAAGATCCCCTACTATGGTAGTCACATACAAACCGACCCGGTCATCGTGGCGAGTGAAGGTGTAGAGAAGTTCAAAAAGGAGAGGTTTGAAATCATCATAGTGGATACCTCCGGAAGACACAGGCAAGAGAAGGATCTCTTCGACGAGATGGTGCAAATTCAAAATGCCGTCAAACCAGATCAAACGATCATGGTTCTAGACGCAACGATTGGCCAGGCAGCAGAAGCGCAATCGCGCGCCTTCAAAGAAGCCGCAGATTTCGGAGCAATCATAATTACTAAGACGGACGGCGCTGCTGCAGGCGGCGGTGCCATTTCCGCCGTTGCCGCAACCCACACTCCCATCGTCTTCATCGGAACCGGCGAGCACATGCTCGATCTCGAGCGCTTCAGCCCACAACCCTTCGTCTCTAAACTCCTTGGCATGGGAGACTTCCAAGGCCTGGTTGAGCATGTCCAGTCGCTCAAGGTCGACCACAAGGAAACAATGAAGCACATCGCCCAAGGCGTTTTCACCATCAAAGATCTCCGGGATCAGCTCTCCAACATCATGAAGATGGGCCCCTTATCGAAAATGGCCGGTATGATCCCAGGACTCAGCAACATGATGAGCGGCATGGACGACGAAGAGGGCAGCCAGAAACTGAAACGTATGATCTACATCTGCGACAGCATGACCGAGAAGGAACTCGAGTCCGATGGCAAGATGTTCGTTGACCAACCTACGCGCATGACACGTGTGGCTCGTGGCTCGGGCACATCGGTTCGCGAAGTGGAGGAGCTGCTCACGCAACACAGGATGATGGCTGGTATGGCGAAGAAGATGAAGGGTGGCATGGCGAACATGCAGAAGGCACAGGGGGCGATGGGCGGAGGAAATAAACAGCAGCAGCTTGCGGCGATGCAGAAACGGATGCAGAGTATGGGCGGCGCAAATGCGCTTGGAGGAGGCATGCCGGATCTTGGTGCGATGATGAAGATGCTGGGTGGTGGCAGGGGTGGCGGTGGGATGCCAGACCTCTCTGCTCTTGGAGGTATGGGCGGAATGGATATGGCGAGTATGATGAAGATGATGGGCGGAGGTATGCCAGGCCAGGGAGGCGGTAGGCGGAGGTAGGACTACTAAGAATTCTTTCGTCAGAGATTGGGAGTGTCTGTATCATCGGGAGATGGATATCTCGGGTTTGCATCGCAAGGGCGTTTTGGGTTGATATATCCAATGTCCATACCAAAAGGGGCTTAGAGTGCAAACGGGCCCATTGGAATGGAGGAAGCATCAAAGTTTCCGGTTGCTAGGTATTGCAAAAGCAGATATAATGTACAGTACGCTGGCTCCAGCCGCATACCAACACCAACATCGACGCCCAGATGATGTGGGCAGGACGTCTCGCCATCTCAATCCGTAATCGCAGTCCTCGAACACCTCGTGCTTCCTGGCAAATATGTAGGCATCTACATGTGCAATGGAAGTCCATTCCTCCAGCACCTCGAACGCTGGGCCATGCCATGCTCACTCTTAGCGCGCCGCGACCGCACAGTCTCCTCCAACTCCCACGAGTATTCATGAATGATTTCCGAATTTCGCCCTGTTGTGGAAAAGGTCGCCATCCAGTGACTTCTCCGGAATCGCGCCCGCCGAAACCAAGAATTTGATCACATCCCGGACTTCCTCGGCATTGAGGCTATTGACGTGTTGCTGGAACTCAACCGTCTTCAGCCACTCGCGTGCATCCGCTTCCGAGTAGTCCATCTTTGTGCTGATGTACTCCACTGCTTCTTCCTGATTCTTTTGGAAGTACTTGATGCCTTCGTCGACCTTCTGCAATGTATCCAGCACGGTCTCATGCCCCGTACTGCCCACCGGTTGTGCTAACTGGCTCGAAGCAACAATCATCCAGCTCGGCCACGGCGTATACACATCCCCGATGTGCTTCAACTCGCCATTATCGTAATACCGCTTCGTCGTGAAGTACTCCCACATGAAGAAATCCGCCGTCTTGTCATTCACCCCTTCCCTCAACCTCCCAAATGTATTCAACTCTTCCACCTGAAATGGCGAATGTTCCCCCGCCATAGGCTTTACCCAGCCTTGCTGCATGGCAAGCATATAACTCATGACATAGCTCCCGCTTCCCATCCTCGACACCCCCACGACCCCACCCTTCAAATCCGCAATACCCTTGATGTCGTCCCTGCCCGCTCCAGTCGATATCGCCCACCGCAGCGGACTCCGCACATACGTTCCCACAAGCTTGAACCCGGGGTTCTTCCGCGCGACCTCCGCCTTGCAGATTGCGGAGATCCAGCCTTCGGTCAGACCTACGGCCATGTCGAGCTCCCCTGCTTGGAGAGAGGTGACCATGTGTCCGGTGCCGGAGGGGAAGGGGATGAGGGAGCAGTCGAGGTTGAAGTGTTTTTTGGCGAAGACGAGCGGGGCCGAGAAGTGCTCTACAGCTACGTTAGCTTTGGGTCCAGTGAACCAGCTGCAGTGAGAAGGTGGAGAGGCAGACCAGGCACGAAGCCTATCCGCAGCGGCTTTTCTATCTTGGAAGACATGGAGCGTATGTGTTGCGACTGAAATACGCGGAATGCTGGCGCGCCCAATGCGGACGGCCGTGGCACGAGCGTGCGGAGCATAATGGTTGGGATGGGAGTAGCTATCAGTACTTCTGTACAGCCCTCCAATGGGTGGGGTATGACGAAGTGTGGTTGACCTAGCCGCGCGCTAAGCGCGTTTATTTACCCCAACATCAACATCGGACGACATCGGCTCCGCAGACCACCACTCACCCATGCAGCGTTCCGTCCAGCGTTTTCTCTTCAGTAGTCATTCTTTTTATTCTGTGATACCTTTTGCATTTTCTTTCGCTGAAGATGGTCCTGCTCAGAGCCCGCACAGTCGCTATCGTAGGCGCCGGCCCCTCTGGACTTGTCGCTGCAAAATACTTTCGTGCAGAAAAGGCGTTCGATAAGATTGTTATCTTTGAGCAGAGGGGTCGTATAGGCGGTATTTGGAATTATACCCCGGATCAACGGGATGAAGATCTCTTTACTGTTCCCCAGACGGATCCGGCTGGCAGAAATCAGGAACCGACTTGGCGGGAGGTAGATTCTCAAGATGGCGAAGAGCAGGAGCAAAATGGCGTGAAGAAGGAGGCTTCGTTTTTGTCGCCGCTGTATGAGAGGCTGGAAACGAATATTCCGCGAGGTTTGATGGGATTCCAGGATCTCGATTGGCCGCAGGATAGTCAGCTGTTTCCCAAGCATGAGACGGTTCTAGAGTACATTGAGGAGTATGGGAGAGATGTAAAGCATATGGTGTTGTTCGAAACCCAAGTCGTGGATGTAAGAGCCGCGGATCAAGAGTACGGCGGACGCTGGCGCGTGAAGAGCCGAAACCTCCGATCAGGGAACGAGGACGAAGAAATATATGACGCCGTCATCGTCGCAAACGGCCATTTCGTCGTACCCCATGTTCCGGACATACCGGGAATCAAGGAATGGAACGCAAATTATCCCGGCGCTATCAGCCATTCCAAGTATTTTAGGAAACCAGAGGACTTTGCAGGGAAGAAGGTTGTCGTCGTAGGCAACTCTGCATCTGGCATTGACATTAGCAACCAAGTAGCAGCAGTTTGCCAGAAACCCCTCCTCTGGTCGAGCAGGTCCGTCTCCTTTTTCAACCCCAGCAAAGTTATCGACCCTCGCAAACGCGAGCATCGACCCATTGCTCGCTTCCTACCGGAGAGCAGAGGCGTGGAGTTTGAAGACGGTGCGATAGAGCACGATGTCGATGCTGTGCTTTTTGCAACTGGCTATTATTACTCTCTCCCTTTTCTGAAACATGTGGAGCCTGCCCTCATCACCGACGGATCCCACGTTCACCATACCTACCAGCATCTCTTCTACGCGCCTCGCCCCACCATATCCTTCCTCGTCCTCAACCAGCGCGTCATCCCCTTCCCAATGGCCGAAGTCCAATCCGCGGTCCTCGCCCGCGCCTACTCTGGTCGTCTTCCCCTTCCACCTCTCGCTGAAATGCAGCAATGGGAAGAAAACGCCATTGCCGAAAACGGCAACGGCAAGAACTTCCACCTTCTGCCTTTCCCAAGAGATGGACAGTATCTCAACAAAATGTCGGACTGGGCGATGATGGTGCCACCAAGAGAAGGCTTGGAGAACGATGGGAAGGGGAGGATTCCGCCCAGGTGGGGCAAGTGGGAGTTCTGGTGTAGGGACAATTTCGCTGCTATTCGAGGGGCGTTTGGGGCCAGAGGGGAGGAAAGACACAAGGTGAGAAGTATTGAGGAGCTGGGGTTTGTTCAGGGGAAGGAGAGGGAACATCAAGGAGAGGAAAATCGGATTATCTGAACGCAGACCGCGGCGGGATTGCTCTCTTTCCAAGAGGATTCGCTAAAACTCCGTCGTCCCCGCTCTATCAGCCAACATAGTCTCGATGCACTATCCGCTATACGGTACTCTCGTGCCCATTGAGCCCACCTCGAGCCCGATACCTCCAGCAACCGAGAATCTCACTGACCAACTTCTGTCTTTGAAGCGCCACATACATTCTGCAGGTTTCAGCAAGTCGTTTGTCTTCAGCATCCATAGCACTTCTGACGAACCTTGACGGCCATATACTGCACCCCAGCTTTGGCGTCATTTTTCCACATCTTGCTGAGCATAGACGGTTTTATAGACAGCAGTCCAGCATATATTGGCCGAATACAATGTTATTAGGTGTGTTAGCTGCATTGATGCGGTGGATCGGAGCCATCACATGCTATGGAACTGCTCTCAACTCCTGGACGCGAAAGGCGCATCCATTAAACAGATCCATGGATATGGTCAATGAATCTGCGCCATCCGGTCCTAGTACAGGGTTACAAGCGGCTTATATATAACGGTATGGCTCGCAGCCCGGCATACTCACGACAACGCGCGGCCTGACGTATTGGCCGGAGACTACATTCTCGCCGTTCTTAAGAGTAGGGCGGACTTCGTCACTGTCCCCCTATCTCCGGGCTGAGAATGTGTACAAGGTCTAGTATTCCGAGATTGCCAAGAATCAATTTAACCAAAACATGGTATTCGGCGTTACTTGCATAGAGCCACGTTGAGGCCAAAGGCTTCTTACAACTGAACTCCATCTTGCCCTCTTGCCCTCTTGCCCACCCTTATTCCATCTCACTAACATTGCATATCGAGATCCCCCAACACGCAGGACAACCTCTCGGAATCTCCAACACCAATAAAGATGAGGTCAGGACCCGAGGTCGAGGGAATGCAACCAGAAGGAGGTTTGGTACTCCGTTTCATTATCGTGGGCGGTGGATTAGCGGGATTGGCAACCGCCATAGCACTTGCCCAGCAGAATCATCTCGTTTCGATTCTGGAAGCGCAGGAGTCCTTCAGTCAAGTCGACGACTTCCACCCATCTTGCCTCCAGATGGCTGACTATATCAGATTGGTGCTGGCATCCAGCTTCCACCAAACTGCTGCAAGATATTGAAACATCTCGGTATCTTAGAATCCGTACGCCAGCTATCCACGATTCCCCAAGAGATCGATTTCTTGTCTTACCGGAATGGCGAACTCCTCTGCCGAACGGCTCTAGCTCCGGATACGGAAACTGACTATGGCGCGCCGCATCTTGTTGTCCATCGTGGGCGACTTCTCGGGGTTCTTTTGCAGAAGGCAGAAGAACTGGGTGTAAATCTCCACACCAACTGCGCCGTAACGCGTATTGACTTCGATTCGCCCGCCGTATTCACAAACGACGGCCGTAAATTTACCGCTGATGTCGTGATTGGTGCAGACGGAAGCCGGAGCTCCTGTCTTGCAGCCTTGGACGGCACGAGTATTTCCCAGCGTCGTCCCAGAAAGATGGTCTACCGCCTGACACTACCGTCACACGTTCTCAAAATGCATGAAGACACTGTGCATCTCGTGTCGCCTGCGAAAATAACATACTGGATGGGTCCCGCTGCCCATGTTGTGTGCTACGATCTCACGCACGACGGCGTCTGCAACATGGTTCTTATCAAGAACATGCCTGAACCGACTTCAGCGCAGCGTGGTCCTGGATTCGATGCGATCACAGAGTTGGAGGAGACGTTTCGTGATTGGGATCCTGTTCTCTCACATGTAATTAAACTTGCGGATACAGTTAGGTTCTGGCCTCTCCAACAAGCCCGTATAGCGGAGAAATGGACACACGAGGGCGGAAAGTTTGTTCTTATTGGCGATGCGAGCCATACCATGGCAACATACCTGTAGGTCCTGCCCCGACACCACTTCCTTGTGTATCTGACATGTTGACGATATCGAACAGTGCTCAAAGTGCCGCTCAAGCCTTTGAGGATGCAGCGCTTCTGGGAGAGCTCTTTGCAAGGATCCAAAGTATTCACCAGGTAGGCGATGCACTGCGGATCTTCGAATTGGTCCGCAAGGAGCGAGTAGCAAGTATCGCTCGCGTGTCGGAGATCATTGGGGAGATTGGGGAACTCGAGGACGGCGCTCTGCAACAGGAGCGGGATCGGCAATTGAAGGAAATGACGCCATCTGCTGGCTATGCTAATCCTTATTCTGATCCGTCTGTCCGAAAGATCCTGTACGAGTACGATCTTATTGCCGATGTTGACTTGGCTTGGAAGCGCTATGAAAGGGGAGGGTAAATTGGCACCGTCAGTTCTGGTTTGTCCGATGTGGAGTTCCGGAAAGAAGAAGTGTAGGGTCTTGAAATGGTCAATGGGCATTCCCTTTCCAGAAGAAGAAAGGAAGTTGATTGCAAGAGGGATTCCCGGAACGGCGCGGGACGCACGCTCATTGATGAGATACATGCGGTTGTGGTCCAGTTAGAGGCTCGTTTCTACACGCTCGGATGAAGACGTGTCTGCCTTACGTTCTCCGCTAATATCGCTGCTCCCACGTGGCTTAGAATGACTTTGTCCCTAATTGCTCTGTCTCCAGCTATCTTCACTTGGGCTGGCATCCACATTTTTCTGGTTCAGGTAGCTGAGCCCGTAGCCGGTGTCCCGCTGCCTCTTTACCATCTCCTGGTCGGTACAGCGGCCTAAGCATAGGCATTGATCCGCAAACTATAAACAGTACAATCTCAACACTGGGAAATATCAGCAGAGACTCCGTGTGAGCGTAGTGGATTGATCGATATCATCACGACTAGAAGCTCGTAGGTTTTTTAAGTCAAGTCCGAGCAGGACACGAGCGCAACAAATTTGCTTGTCATTAAAACTTGAACCCATGCCCGCCTGAATCTAAAAATACCGAGTTTTTCCCCAGCGCTGCATACCAATACATCAAAATTCGAACGACCGCTGGGTTCTCTGTTATCCCGCCTCCTCTCGAAGGAGTTCGTGAAGAACCGCTTCCCCCCCGCTCGTTCAGGTAAGGGTACTTGCTAAGGGCGTAGAAGTCCAACCAGAACTCGCGACCCGATTCATATGAAGGCATGTACTTCGTTAATAATGTTTTCCACTCATAATCCTCTTGGTCCAAGCCAATTCTCGCACAAGTGTACTGCCACCAAACAGGGAAATATCCACTGGCCTCCCAGTCGAGAATACCTGTAACGTTTCCGTTCATGACCATGATGTTCACGTTGGCCAAGTTCCCGTGAGTGAAAGTATATGGAGCCGCAGGAGGCAAGCGTTTTCGTAGCTGTTGACGAGCTTTCTCGGGTACATTTTTCAATGCAATCTCCATTTCCGCCCAAAGTTCGTCACCCGACCGGAGGGGACCATGAGGAATACCGTAGCCGTCTGGAAACAGGAATGCCGAATAAAGGGGTTGTCCATCGACGCTCTGCAGGCGAGAGGATTGGAGTTGTCCAAGCTGGAACAGATACCCCGCTGTTTGCTTTGCAATATTCTCTCTTTCAACTGCTGACATTGTTGCCCAAACCGCGCTAAGGGGGTCGCCAGGAATGCGTCTCATGATCGAGAAGTTTTGGCCGTTCGGTTCATCCCAATCCTCGACAACGGCAGGGACTGGAATCGTAGTATGTTCTTTTAGGAATCGTAGGTTTTTGGCTTCAAAGTTATGTGGTTGGTTGGATCGTTCTTTCAGGATGAACTTTGAGCCGAGCGACCACACACCGCGGTCGGCCAGTCCGTAGAAAAGCTTAACGTGACTGTCGTAGCGGCAAGCATTCTGAAGCTCAGAGGTCCAGCCGCATGCTGCACAAGGTATTTCTGCTGACATATTTGGTGGGGTTAAGGGCAGGAGGGAACATGGAAGTGGAGGATGGCAGATAGAAGGACGAAGAACTAGGGAAGGCCCAGGTCATGGCGCAACAGTGGATCAGTGCGAGGTTGACATATGCGGCCCTTTTGCAATGCTGGCAGCTTCCTCCGGCGTTGGTCAAGCCGCCAGAGCAGGAGCCAACCGGAATGCAGGCAAGGCCCACCCGATGATGCCACAACAGAATGTAGGCTGTGTGGAGTGTAGATAAAGTCTCGTTACAGACGCTTGAGAATTACTGACCTGATTTCGTAGGACATACCTAAGGTTGTTTCCAGTATCAATGCAGAGTGTTAGGGCCATCTTCGCTTCGAGGGTACATGGGTAATGCCATATGACGATGACAACTATATACGGAGTATGAGTGTGCTGGCTGCGGACAAAAAGTCTATAACAGTATGTAGTAAAGAATTACCAAGCTGTATTTATGGAACATGTATGGGACTGTTTTCATAATCGCTGCAAATTGATGGGCCTCTTCCTTGCTTCGAGGATAGCGAGTTTCTTCTCGCCACGACAAAATCATAAGGGTATGCAGGAGAAAATGCACTTAGCTTCTTGAAGCATTGAAAATGAGCTTAGCACGCCGAGATTCATTTTATTCTACCGCCAGCGAAGATGTGCGGGCAGTGTAGCGCTATATGGACCCGATGGAGAAGAATCCTTGTGAATCCAGGGAAGTAATACATGCTGGCCAAATGTGCAGATGATGATTGACATTGCAATACCACTTATCGATAGTTCCGCTTCTTTCTCTAACGCCAAAGACGTTCTTGCAGGTAATGATCCCTCCAAATTCCTTACCAGAAAAACGAATACAAACGCATGTATAGATACACCACGGACTCATACTTGAACTTGATCCGAGTATCCTGGACTCGGTGAGCCGACTCTCAGTACCGCCACAATGGAGACTGATTAGCCATACCGCTCGTTCCTTCCAGTCCAGCATCAGTTAACCACACACGGTAACGACCCATCCCAACACTGCTCTTTACACTGTAGCCGCTATCAGTACACTTCTAACGGCCTTGAAGATGATCAAGAGTCACCATCTCAGCCTTCTGCTTCCAGCTCTCCCAAGAGAAGTCCTCATCAGGTTGGAACAGCACGGTCGCCTGCGTTCCGTTGAGAGGCCACTTTGCAAGTGAGACAGTGACCTTGTAACCGGACTTCTTGAACTTCGCAGCAAGCGCGTGGTAGCTAAGGACGATGTCTCTGAAGGTATCCATTCCACCATGGAGGAGCCAGCTGTGAGGAGTAGGCACCCAAGCCGTAAGAACCAAAGTTATCTTGGCTCCGGTTTTGAGCGACAGCAAGCTTTTGAGCGGCGCCGTGTTGACCTTGGACGCCCGTTGGAGAGTACCTGGAGTGAAAACATAAGTCACCTCGGAGATAAAGGTTAACGGTTGCAGGCCCGGAACCCTGGGATCGTTGGCAAGCGGCTCATGGATTCCATCGTAGCGTGGAGCTGAACCAGGAAGCAGGGGCAGGATTGTGACCGGAGAGGTACTGTAGTAGTTGGCGACGAGTTCCCTCTGTGTTGCGACTCCAACAAAGCTAGCATCCCAGTAGTGGGCTCGTTCCTGAGGCGGCTTTCCATTGCGAATGACAATGTTGTCTCGTGTCGAGATATGACGGTAGATCATATCACGCAGCTCACGGGGCAGCCGCTTCTGGAGCATGTTGCATAGCCGTTTGCATGAGGCCTGGGCGTAGAGGTTGAAACATCCTTCGACTTCACGATTGGCATCCTTGAGAGGTTCTTCGGACTTGTGGAACGGATGTTTAGGGCCGGGTACGGTTCCATTGCGGGAAAGTTCCAACTGCAGGAACAGTAAGCGGCGATACTGCCGTATGGACCTGGGATGAATTAGCATCTGAGGGAACCCAATTTCTGGCAACTCGACGTACTCGTGCAACTTCGATAGGAGCTCCTGCTCCGAGGGATCTGGACCCGAGTCCATGTTAGGTGACGAAGATGGACCTCGGATGTTGAGCGGAGTTGGGTATGGTCCGTGATATTGGTTGGTACCCAGAGGGCGAGGGTGGTTGTAGAGAGAAATACAACCATGAGTTAAATATGACGGCGGAACAAATGGGTAGTGCACAATTTGCTCGCACATAGTATGAACTGGCTCGTGCGTCGGTGAAAGTGAATGAACGTCGGCCCACCGCAACCATTCCGAGTTCTTCCGTGTGGCCTTTTCACTGACGTCCGATACGTATGTTGATGCTCAAGTTTTCACATACCCTATGATTCTCCAGTCATTCAGTGCGTCGTCTCTTTATCCTGCCCGCTCGGCCGGAGAACAAGTCGGCCTTGTCATTGACAACAATGGGTTCCAGAGGCAGTGAACATAATAGGAGGGTCTGAAAGTCCCTCATGCAATACTATCTCTTCGTTTCTTTGTGTTCGCCTCCTCCAGCGAGGCACGGACTTCGAGATTCGACAGCCGTGAAGCTTGGCAAATTATGCATCATAAGTTAGCTTTCCCCGACTGATTTCAACCCACCATTAATCTTCCAAGTTCACCGTAACGCTCTTTAGTGTTGACGCAGAGCAGAAGGGTGACACTGTGAGGGCTAACGGCTCAGTCAAAATCGGCCTTCTTGAGATCCCTTCCCCGCGAAATATGAATGTTGTTGTCGTCTAATCGCATTCCGATGTCGACGGCTGCGGAAGAGCGGTTACAGTTGGTCCTACATTAATGATGTTTGGTAGCAATTGCAACGGCCGTCGGAGGTTTACCGGTTCGTACTCGTCCGCTGGAATGGGCGATTTCGATTCACCCAGTCCCTATCTCTAGGACGAAGCCTGTGAGTGTGCGCCGTGAGCGTTTTCAAACGCGAGTTGGAACGGCAGCCACAAGCGGTTCCGGTAGACGGTATGGTTGCGTTCTCACTTCGATCCGCGGCGACCTCTCCACCAGCCAGATTCGTAACAAAGACTAATGGCGAAAATATCTGGACGACTCCTAAGCGTACTGTGTAGTCCCCGATTGAGGTTGAGCTTCGACCATCCGAGTGGGTCTATCGCTTCGTAATACCTAGTTTCGGGCCAAGAGTGCTATCCTTATAAGGCGCGGCATAGGAATTTTTGTGTCTCACCGAGGCATAGGCCGATGGTTTGCAACTTAACGAGAATTCCAGCACTGTTATCAATATGTATCATCACTTTAAAAGTATAAGCGTTCCGGCCTGGAGTTTCGTCTGAAACTCTACAGACATTAACCGCCACTGTGCCCCGGCTGCCTCTTGGAAGCAGCATGAAAGAAAATCGATTCGGACGAATTGCAGTACAATGGCGCGGATTCTCGCCACATAGTGTACGCCCCAGTTGGTGGACGGGAGAACGCGAGATATGATTGGCAGATTGATGCATAGGTAGACGTATTTTAATGAGATGATGATAGAAATGCTTTCATTTGACTCACCCACGACTATAACCAGCGTAAGTCTAGAGTTAGAAGGCGGACTACCTGTGATATAATCAGGTCGAGGTTCGCAGAAGTATATGAGTGGGAGGTGAAGTGAAATGGCTTGGCGCGAATTTGACGCTAATCCCGAAATGAAAATACGCGCCAAGAAGATCTGCGGAACCATGACGGCAAGTGCCGCGGAGCTCACTTCATCGCGACCTCGACCGTGGATTGTCTACCAACGCGAACATGGCGAATTCATGACTATCGACTCCAAACCCATGAGATCCTCGGAGGGATGGACCATCTACCCATTGCCGAAGTCACGCCAGAGCTTTCGGATCTCGAGACAAAGCAGATCCAGGCTATCGTGACTCTGATATGGCCGTTCTCTTCTTCCACCCGTCAATGCGCCATACTGCTGGCGGAACCTGATTTTCGTCTACGACACCGGAAAGGACAGGTTCGAGTCCGGTTCACGGGGCCGAGTGCAAAGGCTATTGCGGAGACAGGAGTCGGCATTGGTGATGAAGTCTCCTTGGGCTTGAGAGGGGCGCGATTCATGGAGGAGGATGTCGGCATCGTAACTCCTGGGAGAAGCATAGAATGGGAACTTTCCTATTCTCGGACAATTGTAGCGGAAGTTAGCAATATCCACACCGTCCAATGATCCCTGAGCTGACGGTCATGTAGATTCGGCGGAAGGGCTCCTCCATCGCAAAACTTGACATTCTCGATGCTGCTCCAACACCGACGCCTGGCACACCTGTCCGTCCTGAGCCTATGATGACACCGTTGCGCGCGACTATCGCACTACCGGATATGAATCAGCGATGGAGTTCACCCGCATTCGTCAAACGTGCAAGACTTTCAGGCGGCTTGTCATTCGAAGCTGGATTCGACCCGCTGCGCCGTGACCTCGAAGATGGTCCCGAGAAAAAGAGACGAAGAAAGTCTTACAGAGACTGGAGCGTCTGGCAGTATGTACCCAGGACCCCATCGCCTGAGAAGGAGGAGTACAATGCCGAAGATGATCTGTCGAGAGAGGAATCCCCGTCGCGGTCACCACAGGTCTTAGAGACACCGACATCCATTAGGAGTCCTGAGCATGTTGAGTCGAACACGTTGCCAGAGATCGATCTAGGAAGTTCTAGTGCGACAGATCACGGAAGCGAGCCCGTACCTGGTGTTCGGGAAGATCACTTCATTGATGCTTTCCCATCGAAAGAGGCCCGTGAAGAATCTGCTAAAGTGGATTCTCGGAATGCTGATTACTATGATTTGTATGCTGGACCAGACGAGATTCCACCCGATCGATATGCTTACGGCGGTGACACGGAGTCCGATACCGAAAAAGACGAGTCTGATCATGAACATGGACATCCTACACATGTAGATATTGGCGCAATTGGAAGTGTTAATCCGAAGGGAGACATTTCCCTCTCGACTGACCATCGTTCAACCATGAGCCGTCCCTTGGTCAATCAAAAAATACGACATGAAGATGTTCCTCTTATTGAAGAACCGGAAGATCTACCTAAACCTCAAGACGAGTCCACCGCAGATGGAGGCGCTCCAGACCATGTCATGCCTCCTCCGAAGCTCGCACCCCTGCACACGAGTTTCCAAACACCCTCCGAGACACAGTTGCTAACGCCTGTTGGGCAGCAACCTCGAAGCCCTGTCATCATGCCTCAAGATTCATCTACACTGCCGATGCCCTCCCCGTTTCCCGGTGATCGGGAGGGGCATAGCCTGCCCTCATACTTCGACACCTCATCCGCTAGTCATTTGCCAAATCAAGAACCTGCGTCAGCTGACCTGGGGATTAAGAATGCTCAAGAAGCACCGCGTGAAGGAGAATCAATAGTGGAATCGAGCTTCTGGAGCTCTGTGAATACAAACTCCAACAAAACCCACGAGTCTGACTTCACCGATGTGAGGTTTCCGTTCGGAGTAGATGGTGCCGCCTTTTCACACCAGAAGGAACCATCTCCTTTCCCCGAACCAGAAGAGCATGAGATCACGGCCTCGCCGAAGAGCCCTGAAGTCGGTGATAAGCCTGAACACCGGGAAGAATTGGCGGAGGAGGTTGCAGAACAAATCGCAGAAGATGTTATCGAGGAATTGCGCGAGGAGCTGCAGGAAGATCTTACAGAGAATGAGAATGAAGAGCTCGAACATGAGCTGCGGGAGGAGTTTAGAGAGGAGTTCGTGGATGATTTTGCGGAAGATCTGGAAGAACATTGGCCACAGTCCGTTCAAGGGGCCCAATCACCTCTACGGGACGTATCGGGGAAGGAATCCGAATTTCCAGAGGCTCATACCAAAGAGATGTCCATGGTTGGGGAGCAGGATGAGCCGCATCAGCGAGGCGCAGATTCCCGAACAGACGTGATCATGATTTCGTCAGATACCGGCCCAGGGGTTACTGACGATGCGTCGCAGGACGAATCGGGCAAGGACCACCGAATTGCAGATGCAGGCGAGCAGTCTATGGCTCGGTTGGATACACCTGGCGAACCAGAGAGGCATTCCAGGCCAGATGAGCAGCGCGAAACGGTAACGGGCGTCGTAGGCCGATTTTCACCCTCACGGCCAACAACAGAAATTGTGGACCTCGGTTCCCCATCCGAAAGCGAAACCAGCGACGAAGAAGATGTACGAATCGACAGAGGTAGCGCCATGATCAAGCCCAGTGAGCCCATAAGTAGACACTCGCTTCAAGTTGAACGTTTTGCGAGCGATTCAACCACTATGCGCGAAGTCTCCCACACGGATATGCAGCAGGCTTTTGAGACCTTGACTCCAGGGGTAGGGGAAGAAGCTGACGGGCCATCTTCCGAAGCTGAGCCACCATCGACCGTGGACATGCGAATTCCTCAGGATCAAAATACGCAAACCTCCCAGACACCTACGCAAGAGTCGTATCCATTACACCCAGACATCAAAATGGAATCCGTCGAAGAAGAAACCGCGGTCCATTTCCCTGATTCTGCCTCATTGTATGAAGATGCGCAGTCCGTTTCTAGTGCCTCGGAGCAATTGCTGATTGCTGTGCCAGAAGGACATAAGATGGGTGAATTGCAGTACAAGTCGGTTGCTGCCTCTGGTCCGGCGCGAAACACTCGATCGAGAACAAAACAGTCCACGTCTTCTGTGAAAGGAGATGTACCCTCCATTCAATCCGACTCCCGCTCTAGAAGATCACGGACGTCTAATGTCTCCAGTAACCTGAAGCGAGACTCGCGATCGACCGCTTCGCCTGCGCGAGAAACGAAATCAACCTCTCCGTACCAAACGCGGTCACAGTCGAAAATGCTATCCCCGGCTAAGCCCCGTCCAGAGGAAAGAAAGAGCCCACGGAAAAAGACTGGCTATACAAGCGAGTCCTTCCGTTATTCTTCCCCTGCGAATGAGGGTGCGTCTCAGCTTGAGTCATTCCATTACGAGTATTCTGAATTCCCGGATTCCATCTTCGAGCCTTCGCAGGAGCTTGGCACTCTTCAGGGCAGATTCCGTAACGTACGGTCGGTTAAGGATTCCGAAGAGGGGAGTCTGCACTCGGAGAACTCACTCACCACGATGCCCATGTCGGACGATAATGGGGGTTACGGGGTGCCAGCGTATTTCAACTACAGCGACCCCGTTCAACCAACATCGCCTTTGGGACCTCCTTCTGGGCAGCGGGACCTCGACGATACTACGCCTAAGGCGGGTGAAGGTGTGCACATTTCCACCTTGCCGCCGAGCTCATCAGCCTCTCCTCGACTCGAGGGGAACAAGGTTTCAGAGTCTGTTCTACAGAAATCGCTTCTGAGTAGCACAATGCCCATCACACCAGACGGGACTCAAGGTGCTCTGTCTCAGTCACAGGGCGTTCTAGGACAGTTGGAGCATACACTGCCACTGAGCCCTCAGCTCACGCAAAAGACATCTGCCGTGTCGTTTGGGGATGTACCGGTCATTACGAAACATAAGATCACGACTCACGAAGAATCACAAACGTTTGAAAGCCAGCCCGCCCTAGTGTCGCAGGTTAGCACTCCGAGCATCCACTCAGAAGACTTGTCCGACTCCGAATACGAAACGGAAACCCTGCTTGTTGGCTCTCTTGGACCACCTTCCATCGGCCTGTCGACCCCAATCTCCTACTACACCCCGCTCCGAGACCTCACGTACTTTCTCAACCGCTCCTCGCAATTCCACACCTCGTCCGACCCGGACATCCTCGCGCTCGTCACCTCAGCGACCACTCCGGCCAAGCGCGCTCACAAACCCCCCAAACACTACGGGACCACCCTGCACATCACCGACCTCAGCATTTTCCCCGATTCCACGAGTGTCCAGATCTTCCGGCCTTTCAGCTCCGCACTGCCTATAGCTCAAGAAGGCGACATTATCCTCCTGCGGTCCTTCCAGGTCAAGAGCTTGAATCGCAAGTGCATGCTTGTGAGCGGCGAGGAGAGCGCGTGGTGTGTGTGGCGGTGGGGCAAACCGGTTTGGGGGGTCAAGAAGACGCAGGCTTTTGGGGAGGTGCGGGCGAGGGAGGAGGTTAGGGGACCGGCGGTGGAGATGGGCGAGGGAGAGTGGAGGGAGGTGGAGAGGTTAAGGGGGTGGTGGGTTGGGGATGTTAGAGGGAGCGTTGGGGAGGGTAAGGAGGGCAAAGAGAAGCGGGTTGTTGAGAATACGAAGACTGAAGAGGGGAGGGAACGTGTTGCGATTAATGATGCGGACCGCAATTAGCGGATTGATCGAATTGGGCATATGGACTTCTGGGGGACACGCAATGTGGATTCTGGATGTATGAAGTAATGTTGAATAAGGGTTTGGACGGATATACAGGGCGTTTGTATACCCTATCCTGGACATGATCAGTGGAAGAAGAGCAGAGCCTCCTGTCTTGCGTTTATGAGACACGACGAAACATTCAAAAGCCATCAATGGTCATATTTCGATCATGCTCATTTCATTGCTTATTTGACATCACGCTCATAGACTTTTGTTCGAGACGCATCAAATCAGCCTGGACATTGGAAGCCAGAAAGATTTATGCCTTCTCGTAGATCCAGTCGAACTGGGCCTGCTTCCAGCTCTGGATCTCGCCCTCCTTGAACCACAGAGCAATCTCCTTCTTTGCGTTCTCGACGCTGTCGGAGCCGTGGCAGACGTTGCGGCCGACATCCTAGAGTTATATGTTAGAAATCCCAGAGCCAGGAACGCCCATTTGGCTGAAGGGAAAATGGCGTACGATAGCGTAGTCACCACGGATGGTGCCGGGAAGGGAGTCCTTGGGGTTGGTGGCACCGAGGATGGCACGGCCCGTCTTGACGGCATCGCGGCCCTCCCAGACCATGGCGCAGACGGGGCCGGATCCCATATCTGTAGTGTCGAATCATTGTCAGTTTCTGTAATTGTTCGATCGTGGAGGGCGGAGGGGGTTTATAAGGGGTGGGTGGTGGTCGTACAGGCAATGAGGCCCGGGAAGAAGGGCTTGCCGGCCAGGTCGGCGTAGTGCTGCTCGAGATGCTCCTTGGTAGGGGTGACGAGCTTGATGGCGGCGAGCTTGAAGCCACGGTTCTCGAAGCGGGAGATTATGGGGCCGATGAGGCCGCGCTGGGAGGGGTGAGCTGATGTTTCATTGAGAGTTGTAGCGGGTGGGGGAGTAGGTACCTGGACGCCATCGGGCTTGATGGCAATGAAGCTGGTATACAATGTCAGTTCTTCAATTGTCGTTCCGATGTCCCTCATTCTGGCTATTCGTCGTCGAGAGGAAGCCAGATGGGGAGGGGTATTGTGACGTACGTCTGCTCGGTGGTCATGGTGTCTTGAAGGACGTGGGTTTGGATGTTGTGTCTAATACGAGCTCTGTCTTTGGGGCCGAGGCGGGAGAGAATGTCAATGTGTGGATGGGAGGAAGAAGAAGAAGAATCGGACGTGGACATGGAACAGAACAGGGGGACCATCCAAAATAATCGTGTTATGGTGGGGTAGCATCGCTGGCAGTAGTGGGGGCACACCGCTTGCACAAGTCCTCTGCGCACAATTGGCTGCACAAGTTGTGCAGAGGGGGGTCAAGGTGCTCGGAAGAACGGTCGGGCCGGGGGAAGCTGTGACGGACGTGGGTTATCTGGCCGTTTTGGTGTTGACGGAGGGTTGATTGTAAACTCCAGCTGTCTTCCGCACCAATTCAAGAGTTAGGTAGACAGCTGTGGTGGACATGATGACACCGAGCAAGGCGTGGTCCGCCCCCCGGTGGACGACCGTGGTTGTAGTTCTGTTGGCAACTCTGTGTTGTCTGTTTGTTCCCGCATGTAAGCTCTGCTCTTAGCGTAGTTTGGACCCGGATTCGCTTCCTCAACGCCCTTCTAGACATTCATATCATGTACTAATGCTGGGACCTAGTGGGCGTGAAGCACGAGAATTTCAAGAAATGCGACCAATCCGGATTTTGTAAACGCAATCGTCAGTTCGCCGACAAGGCTGCAGCAACTACTTCGTGGACGTCCCCTTACGCACTCGATCCTACGTCTCTTTCCTTCAGCGATGGCATTCTCTCGGCCGTGGTTCTCAAAACCGTCAAGGATGGCCAAGAGAAGGTCCGGCTACCGCTCAAGGTGACCTTCCTCGAGTCGGGTGTGGCTCGTGTAACTCTGGACGAGGAGAAGAGGCAGAAGGGCGATATCGTGCTCAGACACGACAGCAAAGCACGGAAGGAGAGGTACAATGAAGCTGGCGCCTGGGCGCTTGTCGGTGGATTGGAGACCTCCAAGGGAGCCGCGCTAAGTGACAAGGTCGAGGAGGGTTTCACCAAGGTCTTCTACGGCAAAGGAGGCAAACACCAGGCCATCATTCGGCATGCGCCCTTTGAAATCGACTTCCAGAGAGATGGCGAGACACATGTCAAGTTCAATCAGAGGGGCTTGCTGAACATCGAGCACTGGAGACAAAAGGTGGAAAAGCCGCAGGAGGAGAAAAAGGAAGGAGAGGAAGCGAAGGAAGAGGAGAAAAAGGAAGAGGCCCAAGGCGAGGACGAGAGTACCTGGTGGGAGGAGTCCTTCGGTGGAAACACTGACAGCAAACCCAGAGGGCCTGAAGCTGTTGCATTGGATATCACGTTCCCTGGCTACGAACATGTATTTGGCATTCCGGAACACGCCACTCGGCTCTCATTGAAGACGACCAGGTAATACTCTTTTAACGGGAGGACTCTGGACATGCTGACAATCCTAGGGGCGGCGATGGAAACTACAAGGAACCGTACAGGCTGTACAATGCCGACGTTTTCGAGTACGAACTTGACAGCCCCATGACATTGTACGGTGCCATTCCTTTCATGCAGGCTCACCGCAAGGGCTCCACCGTCGGTGTTTTCTGGTTGAACGCTGCCGAGACCTGGATCGACGTCGTGAAGCCCAAGTCGATTCCCAACCCCCTCAGCCTTGGCGTTCTGCGTCACACTGATACTCAGACTCACTGGATCTCTGAGAGCGGACTGCTGGATGTTTTTGTGTTCCTAGGCCCTACGCCTCAGGATCTCACCCGACAATATGGCGAACTTACCGGCTTCACTGCGATGCCTCAGTCCTTCGCCATTGCCTATCACCAATGCCGCTGGAACTATGTCACCGACGAGGACGTCAAGGATGTCGATCGCCGCTTCGACAAGTTCAAGATCCCGTACGATGTCATCTGGCTCGATATTGAATACACGCAGGAGAAGAAGTACTTCACATGGGATCCGCTGACATTTGTCAACCCCACAAAGATGCACAAGCAGTTGGATAAGTCCGAGAGAAAATTGGTTGCCATCATTGATCCTCATATCAAGAACACGGACAACTATCCGGTCATTGACGAGCTGAAGAAGAAGGATCTGGCGGTGAAGAACAAGGAGGGCAACCTGTACGAGGGTTGGTGCTGGCCCGGTTCCTCCATGTGGATCGACTGCTTCAATCCCGCTGCCATCAACTGGTGGAAGGGTCTGTTCAAGTATGACAGCTTCAAAGGAACTGCCCCCAACACGTTCATTTGGAACGATATGAACGAGCCGTCTGTTTTCAACGGCCCGGAGACGACTATGCCCAAGGACAATCTCCACTTTGGCAACTGGGAGCATCGTGATGTACATAACCTCTACGGATTGACGTTCCACAATGCCACCTATCAAGCACTTCTTGAGCGCAAGAAGGGCACGATCCGCCGCCCATTCGCCCTCACTCGTGCGTTCTACGCTGGCAGCCAGCGCATCGGTGCTATGTGGACTGGCGACAACCTTGCCGAGTGGTCCCATCTTGAGGCTTCCATCCCCATGATTCTCAATCAGGGTATCTCGGGTTTCCCGTTCGCAGGCGCTGATGTTGGTGGCTTCTTCGGCAACCCGAGCAAGGAGCTTCTCACTCGCTGGTACCAGGCTGGCATTTACTATCCCTTCTTCCGTGGCCATGCACATATCGATACTCGCCGCCGCGAACCTTACCTTGCCGGCGCGCCATATACCGAGATCATTACTCAGGCACTGAGACTCCGATACCAGCTCCTCCCAGCTTGGTACACTGCTTTCCATGAAGCTGCCACGACCGGTGCACCCATTGTCCGACCCAACTTCTATGTCCACCCAGACGACGAAAAGGGTTTCGCTGTCGATGATCAACTGTATATCGGTTCTTACGGGCTCCTGGCTAAACCAGTCACCAAAGAGGGTCAAAGCAGCGTGGACGTCTACCTTGCGGACGATCAGCCTTATTATGATTACTTTGACTATACCGTCTACCAAGGCCATGGCCACCACAATATCCCTGCTCCTCTGGAAAAGATCCCACTCCTCATGCAGGGCGGCCACATCATCCCTCGCCGCGACCGTCCCCGTCGCAGCTCCGGCCTCATGAAGTACGACCCCTTCACCCTGGTCGTCGTCCTGGACAAGGACGGCAACGCCCAAGGAACCCTCTACCTCGACGACGGCGAGACGTTCGAATACGAACAGGGCGCCTACATCCACCGCCGCTTCTCCTTTGATGGCAAGCGCAATAGTCTTAGTTCCTCGAACCTGGTCGACCGCGTAACTGTCAAGGGGGAGAATTACCTCAAGACCATGGCCAAGGTGCGTGTCGAGAAGGTGATTATCGTCGGTGCGCCGAAGAGCTGGAGGAATAAGAAGGAGGTTGTTGTCATGGAGGAGGGGAAGAAGGAGAGTGCGAGGAAGAAGACGGTGGAGATGGAGTGGTTTGAGGGGGGCAAGGGGAGGGCGGATTGGGCGGTTGTGAGGGATCCGAAGGTGGGCGTTGGGCGGGGGTGGAGGATTGATTTTGATTGATTGGTTGTTTGTTTGTTGAGCGGAAGCAAGTGGCATCGAAAAAGGGATTCGATTTGTGTCATGCAGTCAGCAGCGGCCTAGAGTCGTCGATTTGGCGTTTGAAGAGGAGTACCATAGTTTGGCATCGTGCATGTGGCAATTTAGCGCTGTTTCTCGTTACAATCCGCATCTTTGGCTGTGCCATTTCTTCGCTGGTAGAATGTGAGTGTATTCAGGAGAGCGGCGCTCTCAAACGGAGCAGTCACAACGAAGCAAGGCTCGTACGCATTGAACGGAAACCAAAATCTTCTCTATATACAGCAATAGAAGCAGGTAGTATGATCACATACCCACTCATCTAGCTCGCCCCCTTTTCCGCATTCCCCAGCACGCACTGGACAACCACCGTCCCTCTATCCGAACGCACGCCCACTGTAACAGGAAAAAAAAGAGCAAAGAAAGAAGGTGCCACAGTAGTGATACAGCATCTTGACGCATTCCCTAAGCCCATCCATCTCCTCCCAAAAAACACGCGCCGTCTACAGTGTGAAATTCGAAATTGGGCGAGAAAACATGTACAATGCTGGCGAGAGCTCATCCGGCGCACATGTTTAGGTTTTTCTTATCGACCGGTTCATTAAATGCTGATGGGCGCGCTTTGAGTGGAGGGGACGGTCGAGGATGCGTAGTTCATGCTCCGTTTAGCTCTGTTCCGGGTACATGGTCTCCTTTAGGGGGATGCCGAGTTCTTCGCGGATGGGCTCGAGTTCCTGGAGATACTCCTCGTACTGCCCCTTGTTCTCGACCTTGTACTTGATGCCTGGAAAAAAAAATCCCTCATTAGTATCGAAAGTTCTCCGCAGAAGGACGTGGAATCTGGCGCACCCTCGAAAACCCGCACAGCGGAGGGGAAGTCGTTGACGCGTCGAGCGGCGCGCAGGGCGGCGATGATGACGGAGGGGGAGGGGACGAGGTCGTAGGCGAAGCAGTTGTTCAGGTTGCGCTGTGTAATGTTAGTTTTTAAGTTCCTCTACATCTACGTCTACGGTTGTCGCTATCATCCCATGGTGGGAAATCGGACCAAGCCGAAAGCGGCGCAATGAAATAACGTACCTGAAGCTCGAAAACATCATTGACCTTCTCAAACTCCTTCTCATACCTGTATTCACGCACGAATGTCAGCAACTCGACTTCCTGAGCGTTCCATGGCGCCCAATGGCTTATCCCATCCGAGGGCTCCCCTCGGGTACTACGAATGCGGAATCCATTTCCAACACGACCCCTCCTCCCCCTCAATCGAAGGCAGCATACCTGGCAGTGAACTCCTCAAACGACTCCTCAGCGTGCGGGTCGTCGCACCTCACCGCCGACGCGGAGAAAGCTCGCTGGGCGGACCAAACAAGGGGCCTGGCGGGCGTCCGGAGAGCGACCCGGTTGACCTTGGAGAAGGCGCGCACGAAGGACATTGGGCGAGTCAATGGACCGATGGCGAGCTGCGGCGGCGGATGCAGGAGCGTGTGGTCGGGCGGACACGGGGGCAAGGGGTGGGTGGAATGAGCGGGTGTTGCGAAAGTTGATGGAGATGTGACGACGTTGGGTCGAGGTCCCAGAGCTCGGTTTGCTTGGTTTTGCTGCTGGCGTGAGATGGGGTTGCTCACGTGATTGGTGGGTCTTTGGCTGTGCAGATTCAGATCTTTGAAGGTTGACGTCGAAGCAGTATTGCAGTGACTGATTGGAAATATCTGGGATCATGTCTGTACATATCTAAAAAGGGTCGAATCACAATTCTCGTATCTCATTCTTGCAGCCTACAAATATGCCCATTTACCTTTCTGGTCTTTATTTTAGTTTTGGGCAAACACTTCTATAACATCTTAAATAGTATTGTTACAATCCTATTTTGCGGTTGCTCTGACAATAGGGAAATGGGTAAGGTTTGAAAATCTCCCAACAAGATTGATTCTGTTAACATGGTGTTCACACAGGAGTTGCATGTACGAGTACTGTATGCATGTGCCACGTTTTCGCTTAACCCAGACTAACCGCGCTGGTAACGGATTAATTCATTCCTCCGACCTCCCACCGGCTCCAATGTGGAGCTTTCATCTCATGCTCTTCAAGGCGTTCCCGATCGTACCAACGGATTACTATTCCATGATGTACGTCAACTGGATGTGAATGCCGTCATCCGCTGCAGTTTAATCTGCGTCTCTCGACAACCACAAGAGCGGGAGAGGAGAGAAGGAGACCAGAAACAACATCTGAACTCGAATCAGGCGAAATGCAACCCGTCACCGTCTTCTGAAGCGAGCATTCTCTCGAAAACCAAAGCGCTGCAACCGTCTTGACCCAACTATCCTGGAAAACACCACGCAACTCATATCTCCCGTACGTAATGTCCAGGCACAGTGAGAGAACAAAATGAGACACCCGGCTGCTCCCACTATCATAGCTGTTCTTCTCGGATTCCTTGTCGCAGTCGTCTTGTTTCATCTGCTGGTTGACTTTGGACATCATGAGGGGAACCCTGGGGTGGAAGATGTGCCACGGGGATCGGGAGACGACGGCAAAATCGCAGAAAGCAGCGAAGAGGATCAAGCTGTGGAGCACTCAAAGGAAACAGATACTCTACGTATGAGGAGTAGAGAAAGAACAACCTGATGGTTTGATGTGATCGATCATGACGTGGACGACTGAGTATGAAGAGAAGACGAGGATAACAGAGGGCTGATCGCCTGTCTATTACGGGTGATAACAGTTTCTTCATCTTTCAGAAGGTGCTGCTAGACACCTTCATGTACCAATGACTCTAAATGAGACGCACCCGATCCGCCCGCAACGTTTCGTGCTCTATTCCTGTTTGCGCATACCGATAAATATGTAGAGTCATGACAGTATATCCATTCCCTGATGCTCTTGTTATTACTCCCCGTATACAAACCCGTCCTTAGCAAGTCCATTCGCAGCACATTCAGCTTTTCCCCGCTCATCGCATTCGTACGCAGACAATTCGTCCCAGCCAACGATTTTCGGGGTATGTGTGAGCTGCTTCTCATCGCGTACCAAGGGAAAATACCTCTTGTCCTTGTGAAACCGTTTCCATAACCACTCGTTCGCCTCGTCTCCATCGTGATTGAGCCACCCTGCCGCAATAAAGCCTCCCAACCCTCCCCAAAAGTACGTGATGGGCGAGAACATCTTGTTGGGAAACCTGGCGCGCATCTTGCATGTCGTCCGGTAGGAGTAGTTGCGGTACATATCCAGCCGCTGGACACTGGCGATGTTGAAATCAATGAACTTGATAAAGAAATCCAACTTCGCCCAGTCGTTGCCAATGACAAGGATGTTCCGGGGGTGTATGTCATTGTGACTAACACCAGCGTTGTCAAGAAGCATTGCAGCTTCTAGCACCCTGACGAGCATATGTCTTCGAAGCTTGCTCGTCAGCACCCGTGGTTTAATATTAGCCATCTTTTTCCCTTTTAGATATTCGATTAAAATGAGTCTGACTTCTCGGAAACGCGTCTGGGTATGTTGACCGCCAATTGGTCCTAGAGGAGTCTCAACTGTTATTGTCCAGGACCCATAGTACTTTGGAGTATGCTGACGCGCTTGCGGTGATTCTTGGACTTCGGCGTATGCGGCAGTTTCGCGACTATAGTCTCCGTCGGCGAGCGAGACAACATCCTCTAGATACCCTTCATTTCTTAAGTCTCTGTAGTATAGGGGATCAAAGATTTTTGCCACCATGTTGCTATTAACGACCACCACTTGAGCTCCGCAGTCGCTGCCCGTACGGAGTTCTAAACAGATCTCGAGTTCAAGGGTATCCTCATAATGCGTAGTCCCTGGCAAAGGCCGGTGTAACAGGCAGTATTCGGTCTGAGTCAGTTGTTCCTGATTCTGCTGGACTGGTGGCAGAGGTGTGTCATACTCTCTACCAAAAGGCGCCGGTGGAGTATGCCTGAGAGCTGTAAATGTACGTCCCTCCACGTACGGATGTGGAGGCTTTTCCTGCAGCCATGCATCGTCTTCCTCGGAATCACTGAAATCAGCTCCCGATGAGGACGTCGTTTGGCTTCCCTTATCATTGTCCTGTTGGCTATATAGAAGACGATGCTCCGTTTGACTTTGCGGATGAAAAACGGATGCCATTTGTGTTGGGGTCAAATGCGAGGTGAGAGCGCTGTTAGGTGACGGAGGGGTAGCTGTTGCCGATACTGTAGCCATCGCTCGAGTCATCGGTCTACGGGTATGGTTCAGCGAAGAGGGACAGGTTATTTCCTGGGTTGGTCGGCAATGCAAGAGGTAATCGTGTGTTTTTGGCGGGCGCCTAAGAGAAGTCGCTTAGCGTAGCGAGGTAGTGAAAGTGAGAGAGCACCGTACCTAGACAAGCGCTTTGCGCCTTCTTTAAAACCCGTGACTAATACGTGCTTTCAGGGCGAATTGGAAGCGACTTGTCACTGGAGTGATTCCTGTACCTACTACAGCTTTTCACGTCCGACTGAACAACCCCCTGCACTTCCTCTGTACTGCAGGTTTCTGTATCTAATTTAAACAGCTAGCAGAGCAGCAATATAGGAGGTCCTGCAATTAGTTTTATAGCGTGCCTCTACGTATAGTAGTATGTTTAAGAAGAAAATTTCACCTGTCGCATTATTAAGTCGTAGCTAGTTAACTTCTGCTAGGTAGGTAATTCCAACTACAGAGGAATTGCAGCTGGATGTTCAGTCGGACGTGGAAAGCCGCAGTATACCTCCCACCAAAGTAAACCATCATCGGGATCTCCTACTTAGTGCACGAGCTTCATCCTTCACCAACGCCACAAAAAAATCCGCCATCCTCCAAAGACACCATCATCTCTTCGACGTTCTCGACCACTTATGCCTCATCGCTCGCCCGGTAACCCAATTCCTTCGCCTCAGCAATCCGCATCACTTCACAGTTCCCGCGGTTATAGAACACCCACCCAAAGAGACGTTCCTTCTGCCTGCTGGCCTCAGTCTCACGCACCGCCATCGCGCCATCGGCACCACCCAGTAGGCCCGCCACACCCCTGAACCTCAGAATCTTAATACGGCTATCGACTAGCTGGAAGTGCGTCAAGGCCCTCCACAACCAATAGGTCGTGCTTGAGTCCGATATGTGCGTGTTCTGATAGCGGACTTCCACGTCGTGCGCGCGGCAGTGCGCCATTACGTCGTAGAGCATGTCCTTCGTTGGGGCGAAGTTCCAGGTCTTGACGCTAACGGTGCGGGCGAGACTTTGCAGGCGGGAGAGATAGATCTCTGTGGTATCACCTTGGAGGGTGACGGTTGAGATTCCTCCCTCGACGGTCTGGGTCGTGCTGGGAGGCGAACGGTAGAGCAGCGCCGAGACGAGTTGGTACCGCAGATCGAAAGACGCCGCGTGGGGCCCTTGGCGCTGTGAATAAGACACATTGTCCGTGAGGATGATGGTCAACTTTGTGAGGGGCAGCTGCGTCAAGAGGAATGGGTTGTTGGGACCGCAATTGATCTTCTCGATGGGCATGGTGATGGTGATGTACCGGAGATGGAGCTGGAGAGGGCCAAGGTGCCTGAGTCCATTGCGATAACTCAACGACTTCGATGCCGGACATGTGAGCTGGAAGTTCGTGTTCTGCAGAGCTAGGTGGATCGCCTCGAAGTTGATGAGCCGGCAAGTTGCAAGGAGGGCGAGCTGCTCCGAGGAGAGACGATTGGTATCCTGATCATCATACTCGAACACGTATTGCCAGATCATCTGACGGACTTCGGAGGGCAGAGAGAGAAGAGGGCAGTCGGGCTGGGGCATGATAGCCCTGGTGAACATCGCCTTTCGTGAAAGCAGAGAACCTGCCATGGAGGACAGAAACCGCATATTCTCAATTAGCGATCGTGTCTGTTGAAATTGGGGAAGGACTTTGAGTTTGGGGCACCGGTTGGGGTTGCGTGGTCGGGGTATGGGTTTGGGTTATGGTCCACGTTATAGGTGCGCCGTATGGGTTCAGAGTGTGGGTTGTGTAGCGGATTAAGGTTGACGCGAGGAGGAGAAGTTCGAGGTATTCATACGGGTGCCAGAGCGCCTCCAGGATTTTAAAGCATCTGATATATATTCATCAACCTTGGCTTTTCACCAGTGTTCCAGTGCTACACAATGAAAGTCTGACTGTAAGCACACAATGTACGGGTGAGCAACGCGCCGCATCCCAGTACGCCCCCTGACAGTTTTCATAGTAATATGGTGATCTGGGACTCCCGAGTCGAAGAGTGAACGGTAACTGATTGTTAAAGAACATGCTCTAACACTCGTGAGAGCCTTGGGGGCAGTCGTGTTGCACTTCCACATTGTTAACGTTAGGTCTCAAAGACGCGTGGCTCGAGCTTACCTACTTCCCATTGTTCACAGTTTTCCTCCACTGCTCATACGCAAGTCTATATGCAGGTTGCCATGCCATCGAATCCTCGTGATAGAGACCCAGAACGCCAAACCGGTACGCCATCTCAGGTATCCTTAGACTGCCTCTCCAAACACTTATCATACACAGAGTCATGAAACAGTGCCGTCGCCACCCACAAAGCTAATATGCGGCAGTGAAAGAGATGTGCCCCTAGAAGTCGAAAATGAATGATGAAGACACAAATATTGCACGTTTGCGTGCTCATGACGCAATGGATCAATCCATGCCGACGTATTTGAACCATAGTGGACGGCAGTCCTCGCGGTTGAGCCACTTCTCTCCATCGGTGAAGCGACCGGTGACGCAGCCGGAGCATTTTGGATTGTTTGGGCAGTTGAAGAAGGGGATATGCTGGTAGCCAATGTCCCGGAACCTGGGGGTTGTCAGAAGATTCCGTCACAGATGAAATCGGTTAGGTGTTCCAGGGAAATGGAGAAAAGCACACACCAGTGGATCTTCTCCTTGTCCTCGAAGAGCCCCAACGCGATGCTATGGACTGGTGCATCGCCCCATCTTTCATAGAAGAACCCGCCCGCACGATCGAGGTGATTAAAGTAATCGCGATACTTCTTGCTCCTCCAGAAACCTAGATCGCCGATTTCAAAGTTGGACCAGAAATGGCATGTCGAGTAGCCATTTGCCTTTTGATTATTCTCCGGCCGTCTCTCTTTATCCTCCAACCACGCTCGCGCATTGTTTGGATGTACATAGTTTGGGTGATCAGCCAGGAACTTACGTGTCTCCGGCCACAGCGTAGCCACACTTTCCGGAGAGTCGTAAATGTTGATGTTGAAGCCGTAAGTCTTGTTGTGGTCCTGCATCCAGCGGAAGACATCGTAATCAATATCGCAGAAGAAGTGCACGTTGGGCTCGACACGCCAGTAGTATTGATAGGACGCAAGGGCAGGGTGCTCGGAGAAGAAACCCGAGTTCCAGCGACACATCTGGTGGTAGGAGAGTTTTTCCATGTACTGCACTCCTTGCGCCACAAGAACGGAAACGGACTCATCGTAGAGGTCGCGGTTGATCCAGCTGGGGACTTCCCAGTGCTCCTTTGGAACAAGTTCTGCACAGAGTTGTTACCAGCGGCGCGCTTTGACAAGCCGGGTAGAACCCGGAGCTCCAAGGGAATCTCACATACCATACCGTACCTCGGCCTTGGTAGCTGCCCTCGTCTTCTTCTTGAACTCCTCTGAGAACGGCTCGTCGTTGAAGAAGGTCCACGGGTAATTGAACTTGGAGTTCCATGTCCTCTCCAAATCCTGCATGCTCCGCACCATGTCGTCGACTTCTGAGTTGCGTACTAAGCTCAGGATCGTTGCATTTATACGGGCACTGTTCGGATTGTTGGGCGCATAGTTGTTCCCTTCGACTCGGCGCAACGGTCCTGGTGGTTCTCCAGAGGCTGTTTACACTGTTAGTCGGTGTCCTTCAAGGTAATGAGCATACATACGATCTAACTGGGGGTCATGATTCCACTTCTTCGTTTCTGGGTCCCAACCCCGAACCCTTGCGGAGGTTGAAGTCCCCTTCGCCGGAAGCTGCAGCTCAACGGGCGCGCGGAAGATGAGCGTTACCATATAAATGAGCAGACACAGAGTAACGGCTGCGAGCAGCCGCATGCTCTTGGGGAGCGCCATAGCGGAGAGAACATGGGTGGTTTTTGAAGGACGGCCAGCCAGTCGACGTTTGACAACTTGGTGAGATGTTTCCAATATGAAATCCTGTGCACGGACCCCCGCCGCTTCCTCCGCAATCACGTCGTTGAATGAGCTACCCCTTTGGGTTTAGCGCCCAAGTCGTTACAAGCGCGTCGCTCAGGCGCGATGTGAACAAGTCGGATTTCGGCAACCTCCAGAGAACCGGAAAAGCGGCTCCGTGCGGCTCCAGAGGCCTTAATTTGTGGCGGGATGGCTCAGAATGTAAGGATTGCGGCCCTCACCGATGAGTTGATCCAGGCGATTGTGGGATTCAATCCGGAGACGAACAAACGCGCCTACAAACATGCAAGAGATATCGCCGCGAAGGGTCTCAGGGCTCACCAATATAATCGGACGAATCAATTCGAGGTCCAACGCGCCTTCGAAGGCTTGGATGAGAAGTTCAGAGTGCAGAATAGAGACGATCTCGCAAATGCCTTGCGAAGCCGCTTAAACGAACTAAAAGGCGTTCGAAACAAATGGATTCCCGAATACTTGTCTCTATTGCTCCAGCTTGCCGACCGCCCAACGGAGAACTCGGAGGTGGCGGCTCTGGAACTGCTCAGGCCACCTACACCACCTCCGCCGTTGACCTGGGAGGAGATTCTTCGTGATGACTCTTACAGTGATGAGGAGATATGGAGAGATATCGATTATGCGGCCGAATCTTCCGAAGAGGAGGGCATCATCAAGAGGGTTGAGAAGAAGAAGAGGAAGGAGTCTCCTCCATCTAGCATAGACGAGGGGGATGCCTATTCGCTCGATTCTTATGTCATTCCCATTGATCGACAGTTACTGGACGATATCACGAAAGCCCAGTATTGGAAAGCACAACCGCATGCGGAGACTGGAGAAATTGAAATAACAGAGCTTCAAGCTATTCGGGAGACTCTTTTCATGCTCGCTGGACTCCGGACTTCCTTATATGTCTCTGACACCTCACATGGGAATGTCCGCGTCAACCAGCGATACACCTTCAGCCATGCGATACCAAAGACAATAAATCATTTACTGGCCCAATTTGCGACTATTGGACGCGACCTGAACCGTCTACGGCAGTGGACAAGGCGTCCGTCCTCTCTACCTCTGGTACAGACCTTTGAAGCAGCAGTGAGGAGGCGGCTTACGGACTACGACCGGTCTCTAGCGTCGCTACAGCAAGAATATCTTACGCCCAAGGAATCAAAAGCAGTGAGCCTGCTTGCTCTGCATACATCCATACAAGAGCTATCTGCCCCTCTCTTGCGGTTGTCCCAACTGGTTTCGGATGTAGAACCTCAACTGCTCGTTAACCCCTTTGCACACTTGGAGACGCTTTTCCAGCAAATTTCGCTGGCGCAGACGACGCTGGAAATCAACATATTTGACTACTTCTCTGATCTGTTCTTCGAGTGCCTACAAACCTACCTCAAGCCCATCCGGAAGTGGATGGAAGCTGGAGAGCTAGGCTCCAATGACGAGACCTTCTTCGTATTCGAAAATGACTCTGGCAGCGAGTCTAGCTCCCTCTGGCACGACCGGTATGTGCTTCGAAGAGGGAAGGGAAACGCTTTACGGTCGCCCGCATTCCTGGAACCCGCCGCGATGAAGATCTTCAACAGCGGGAAGAGTGTCGTGTTTCTCAAGGAGCTGGGAATCTACGACGACATGACGCGTTCTGGGGAAGCAGAGCCTCGCTTAGATCGCGTCACTGTATGTAGAACTGCCGGCCTGCCGTTATCGCCGTTTTCGGAGCTGTTCCAAGCGGCATTTGACGGGTGGATTAACAGCAAGTATTCGCTGGCATCGACGGTCCTACGCTCGTACCTGTTCGAACAGTGCGGGCTGCTACGTGTGCTGGAGAACTTTCACATCATCTACCTCGGCGTGAATGGTGCTGTCTTCCAGGATCTCGCCAATGCCATCTTCGAGCGAATGGACTCGAAGAGGCGGGGCTGGAACGACCGGTTCCTCTTAACGGAAATGGCACGCGGTGTTTTTGGGAGTGTGCTAGGCAGGGCAGCTACGGATGGGATCATCGTTCGCTCGGTGCGTACGAGGACGCAGACACGGTCTGTCAAGGGGCTGGCCACGTTGTCAATTGACTATGCCGTAAGTTGCTTTCAAACGACTCCTATCTTCTATGCCAATCCAGCTGACTTCCCACAGCTCCCCTGGTCCATCGCAAACATCATCCAACGCTCCTCCCTCCCCATCTACCAACAAATCCTAACCCTTCTCCTCCAAACGTACCGAGCCAAGTACCTCCTCCAAGCCCTCGACACCCGCGCCATGGATAATCTCGACCCGAAACACAGAAACAAGAGCTTCCGCCTCCGCAACCAACTCCTCGTCTTCACCGACCTCTTGCGCTCCTACCTCACCGAAACCATCATCGCCCGGGGTCACGCGGAAATGCTCGCCGCCATGTCCAAAGCCGCGGATATCGACGAGATGGCGGGGATTCACGTCAAATTCCTCGCAAGGCTGCAGGAGCAGGCGCTGCTGTCGGAGAATCTCAAGATGATTCACGGAGCGGTGATTTCGGTGCTGGATCTCGCTGTGCTGTTTCACGATGCACATGAGAGAAGGACACGTGAGGGGGGGTTGGCGCTTAAGCAGAGTCAAGTACATAATGGGAAGAAGACGGTGAAAACGAAAACGAAACCGAAGCTGAAGAAGCGGAAAAGTATCATTCCCGCCCTCGTCGAAACGCTGGATGACGACTCGCCGACGGAGGCTGAAGAGGTTGAAGAATCGGAAGATAGGCCCAGCAATCCTATGCCGTCGAAGCCGCCGAGCTTCGAAGGGGATCTATGCACGGTAGATAAGGAGCTAGGGCGTCTTTTGCCCTTCCTGAGAGACGGGCTGCGGAATATTGGACGTGTGGGTGGGGAACCGGCGTGGGAGATGTTGGCGGAGCGGTTGGAGTGGGGGAATGGGAAGGCGGGAGAGGGGGCATTGCCGTAGGCTAGTGGAGTGGAATGTGCTTGTACTCAGGTTCTCGATTGAGATACTAGAGATGCAGTTACGATACCCCCGAGCGGCGAGTGAATACAGTATACATGGGTGAAAGTGTGGCGTTAACTTGTGGCGCAGCCTGGCTGCCAGCGGTTGCCCTTTTGGGGGCTGACCGCACACGGCACGTTCATTCTCACGTAACCTCCTTTTCTTCACTCCGAGTCTCGATACGCTGTCGATTTCCATCCCTTTCCGTCACGGCTATTGCTGTGCATGTGCTCGCTACAACTGCTCTGATGAGATACGTCATCACGTACGTAAACAGGGGCACATGTTCTGTTGCTGGTTCGTTGGAACGGTTCCGTGAGCATGACATGTCTTCCGATGCATACGGGTACACCCGCAGCCACTCCGCCCAAACCACAGTTATGCAAGGCAGTCATGGATCGTCACGGCTCAGCACGCCCAGCACTTCCATCTTCGAGCCAAAGTCTAATTGAAGGGTATCACAATCGATCTCATTTTCTCAATTCAAACCATCTTGCCGCTCCCGATAACGACGGATGCTGCGCTGAAAGAAAGCCATCTAATTCTACACAGTGCACAACGGTGCCGCGGTTTTCAAAATATGAGACTCCCAGACGCCAATCCACCCAGATAAACTGTGTAGCCCTGAAAAGAGATGTTTAGAAGTGGGGTGCGTTGAGGGCCATGGCGCACAGCAGGCCCGAGATGAGACCGGCAGCAGGGAGCGTGGCGACCCAGCCAAAGAAGATGTACAGCAGCTGCTTCCAATTAACAGCGCCGAGATCATAGTTCATGAGGGCGACACCCATGGCGGAACCGACCAGGCACTGGGTGGTGGAGACGGGGAGACCCAAGCGCGAGGCGAGGAGAACGGTCACGGCGGCACCGAGCTCGATGGAGAAGCCACGGGTGGGCGACATCTGGGTGATTTTGTTGCCGAGCGAGCGGACGATGTGGTAGCCGTAGAACCAGAAACCGAGGCCGAGGAGCAGACCTGCAACAACGAGGAACCAGACGGGCGTGGACGACTTTGTGGCGACCTTGCCTTGCCTGTACGTCTCGTAGACGGCGGCCCAGGGACCGACGGCGTTGGCAACATCGTTGGAACCGTGGGCGATGCTCATCATCATGGCGGAGATGACTTGGCAGTAGGTCCACAGATGCTCGACGCGGTCGTCGTAGCGGTTGGCCCTGGCGTGGATGGCGCGGAGGCGTTCGGAATCGTGGGTGATGCAATCACGGGTGACACCCTGGAGAAGACCGAACTTGATGTATCCCCACCACCTCTGAGGATTGCCCCAGGAGAGATGGAGGACGGGACCAATGAAGCGCTCGTAGGGTTCCGATTGCCGCTTGCGCTTGAGCTGGGGACCGGAGGGAGTGTCGTCGGCAGCGCTCTTCTCGGTATCCTCGGGAAGGTCGGATGGCTTCTTGAGATCGGACGGCGGGCCTGGGAGTTCCTGGGCGTCGCCGTTGCCCTGATGGTGCTTCTCGTCGCGTTTGGTGCCAGCGACGACTTCGCCGTAGGCATCCTGGTAGTAGTTGGTGACGTACTCCTCCCCTTTACCGGGGAAGTAGAGGTGGGTGTTCTCCTTGAGCAGGAGGGGCCCGAGGGGAACGTGCCAGATGCGGATGCGGGGATCCTTCATGATGAGCTTGCGCTTGAAGAAGGGGACGAAGAAGATGTAGCAGATGGCGATGCAGCCGAAGAAGACACCGAGGATGATGCCGACGGCCTTGCCGGCGCCGAACTCCTCGAGCGAAGGGGCGGTGGGCGCTTCGACGACGATGAAGAGGGCGAGGATGGCGCCGGTCAAGCCGAAGTAGAAGGGAATGAGGCGCATGGCCCACTTGAAGGAATCCTTGCGCTCGAGGACCGAGTACTTGACGACGCCGAAGACGAGGGCGGAGAAGGCGGCGGCGAGGGCGGGCGCGACACCCCAGGAGGCGGCGACCTGGGATACGGAGCCCGACTGCCAGGCCCACTTGATGGAAGCTCCGGAGGCGAAACCGACACCGATGAGGGCGCCGACAACAGTCTGGGTGGTGGAGACGGGCCAGCCCATGCCGGTGGCGAGCATCAACCAGGTAGCACTACCAATCTCGGCGCAGCCCATGGCCAGCATCAGCGTTCCGGGGTTGCCTCCGTTCTCGCGGAAACGGTCGATGTTGATGATGCCGTTCTTGATGGTGGAGGTGACGCGAGCCCCGAGGGCGACGGCGCCGATGAATTCAGTTGCCATGGAGAGGACACCGGCCTGGGCCATGGTCAAGGTGTGGGCAGCCACGGACGCTGGAATTGAATGTTAGAGAGGGGATCAAGGACGAAAGAGGCAGTCAAAGAAACATACTGGCATAAGAGTTGGCGACATCGTTGGCACCATTACCAAAGGCGGAGAAGACGAAGGCAATGGTGGTGATGGCAAGGATCCAGTCGTACTTTGCCGTGATGGCGGGGATGGCCATGGCGGACGACGATGAAGAAAAAAGAAAAAGAAGAAGAGGGGAGGATGGAGGGAGAGGGTGGTGAATTGGGGGAGAATCCAGCAACCTGGTTGCGTCCGACGCGGAATACTTTATATACCACCCAGTATGCCTAGTAGGGCGCTGGATGGAGGCTTACAACTACGGACTTGGACACCAACAAAGTAGGATGGTGAGGGTCTGGTGCGTGGCGGCCCCGCCAAGTCGTGTAGGAGCGACACTTTCACGCCGTCGGAAGGCCAAGGGTAGGCCAAGCACAGGAACCTTTTTTTCGACTTTTTCTCGGGGTGGATCCTCCATTCACCAGTCCGGATTGCAGGCAGTTTGAGGAACGGCAGGCTTGGGAGACTTGGCCGTCTCTTGGCCGCAACAAATCTCCGCCCTTCTCTCGCCGGGCGCCGGTCGCGGCCCTGTACCTGGGCGGAAATGCCCAGAGATGGCCAAGTCGCGGTATTGGCCACTCAGAACGGTTCCTGGCGCACGTTTCTGAATCGATTGTATCGATTGGAACGCGTTTGTAGCTTGATTACGAGCCTTCCGCCTTTGCCGTTTGCTTGGCCTTGGCATCCCTCCGTTTGCCTTTGCGCCCTCTCCCGCCGGTGGATTTCCCATGGAGCGACTTGAGAGCACGTTGCTGAAGTCTCCCTTCTGAGTGGACGAGTCCCTAGGTGCCCGAACACCAAAACCACCAGACCACCAAAAGTACCAAGACCCCAACAGCTTGCTGCGTGTTGGATGGGGCCCCCCCATCTCCTTTTAACATTTTCCATATGTCGAAACTCGCGGGATGCATTCGCCAGCATGCAATTCTCTCACGTCATCATCTCCGCTTGGATCTGGTGGGATCTCCCATGATAATGATCCGAATTTCCTCCTGCTCGTTCCAAGTACTTGTAGATGGTGAGTCCTGTACCCGGAACCTTAGAAGAGACATGCTGCTATCATCACCTCCGTCCAGTACTAACTGTATGTACTAATGTCGAGGTAGATTCACGGCGTACCAATCCATGTACTACGCAGAATGGTACTACTAGACCGCTAGCCAATCAGGAGCGTTGCAATACTCCGACTACTCAGTAGTCTGCATACCCAGGTACTCTACACCCGCGGGCAGTATACCTACCTGGATAGGTACCAGTACAAACCCCTCCTCACGTGATCCTACCCTACCTTTCAACTCCTAGAGTCCTACGCAGTCCCTCCAGTCCGACCTACTACGCCCTCCTCGTTGACCAACGCAATCGTCAGCTGTATGCAATACAAACATTACGAGTGTTACATCTTACCTCATGGTAATCTGCCAGTCGCTCTTTCGCAATGCCGAGTCCGACATTCCAAATCCTCTTTGCCCCATCCCTCTCGCCATCTTCAGATGACCCTCGATTCTTGTTCGATCACCGTTTCAGCTCCTTCTCGGAGCACTTCTCGGTTGTTTTGGCTTCTTCCTCGTTGTTTTGGCTTCTTCCTCGCGCATGTTTTGACTGACTAGATAAAGGTCGGATTTGTATGCCCACACCCGGTGCGTTGGTACGGGCAAGGTAAACTTACTTGAGGCGCGTGTGAGACGACGTCTTGGTTCACTTGAACAGGCGCGGTTTGCGTAAACTCCCAATCGATTATAGCAAGGAAGTTGTAATATTCGTCGACAAGAATATTCTCGGTCCCCAGGGAATCTCATGTCCATGATTGGCCGCTGGGTGGCTTCAACGTTACACATGCGGTTTATATATGAAATCAGCACATGAACAAGCACATACGACCATAGCACACGGAAAATTGGGCCTCTCGTCCGATCGACCATACACAAGCCGTGTAGCGCCCGTTGAGTAGTACCGTGGGTGACCAGGTGCGAATAGCGCGGTGTTGTATGTTTTTTGAGTCTTTTACCCTCACAATCATTTTTTTTTTTTTTTTTAGACAGGAAAGTATCTGCTTTCCGCGATGCGCATGATCATTTCTCCCAATTTTGCCGAGACGGTTTCCTCAGCTGGCGAGCGATTGTCCGGACTCGATCGTCTCAGCACATACATCTTGACTGATTTCTTGTAGCTCTTTCTTACCAACCTTTTCGTTGCTGAGAAGACCCGTGGACCGCGTCCACCTCGGCGGGGGGTGCATCTGCTACAACTTCTGGCAGAGTACACAAGGCTGTGACGCGCACCAGTAGTGTCTGATACCTACCAAATATTTCTGCCGCGTCACGACTATCTTCACAATGGATCGCGTAGTCAACCTTCACGTTCATATCCCTGTCGGCTACCCAGTCTCCGAATAGGGTAGTCTCAACTTGCCCTTCTAGTCCTTGAGCTTGTTCTCTACGTGTTCCAAGGCATTTTCACAACTCGATGGGGGGATCTAGCCATATGCTAGTGTCTTGCACGCGTCTTGACATCTTTTACCTTTGGCTATCTTGTACAGTCCGGACATGGTGAACTGGACTGCCTGCTTCAAGTACCCTGTTGTCTGGGGCACAAGTCTTCCAAAGGCTATAGCACTAACCGCTTCCCACCAACACCCAACGACCTCTTGAATCCGTGCCATTTCGGATCCCTCCCCCATCGAGCCCTTATGCGAAACTCCGTAGTGCGGCCAAGCAGACGTCCACTTGGACGATGGGGAGTCGTCGCAGATAGTCTAATGCGTCCTGATACTCGCTGACGGGGACGTCCTTGATTGCTTTGGCCCCTCCGGAGAGCCTGTAGGACCTTTTGATGATACGGACACTGATTTGATAGACTCAGGTATATCCTCTGCACGTGCAAAGGGACGCAGTCCATGGTGGTAGTGGTGGTTGTTGGAATTCCTGACCTGATGTTGGTGAGGTCGCTAGATGAGAAATTGCTGTGGTATGGTGTTGTATTGCAAAAGGTTTCTACTGTGTACAGTGCTACCTCGAGGTTTTCTATATATGGTGAAAGTCTGGGAAGTCTAGATGGATGGATGCATGGATCTATAGGGTACACGCTAGGGATACGGGTTAGGCGTAGCTCGTTCAGCCGCATGGCTGGCGTGAATTGATATTATCAGATGAGGCTCTCCATAGAAATGTCACGTCACTATGTAGTTGTTGCTGTTTGTTGTTGTTGTCGCTCTTCGATAGTCACAGATGCTGCGATGAGTACGAGTACTGTGTAACACACATGGATTAGGAAATACTTCCCTTTGTCAAGCTTGGGTACGGAGTATCATCTCTATCACCTCTACGGCGAATGGTTCATTCGGAGAAAAGGATAGGGATTTTGACCCGACTTATATTGTATAACTGGGCCTTATCATTTACACAGCAGCATTAGAACAGTATAAGCTTCATTATCGTCGATGAGAATCTCAACGTCAAGCAGATATACGCTGCCATTGGTATCATCTAACGCCGCCTCCCAGTCCGCCTCGAGACAGTTTTCTCCTGCCCATCGATTTCCATGTCGTCGGAGTCACCTTCGCTATCCCCATCCTCGTCCTCCTCATCCTCGTCGTCATGCTCCTCTTCCTCCTCGTCCTCCTTCTCGTCTTCCTCTTCGTCCTCAGCGTCCTCGCCCTCGTCCTCGTCCTCCGAGTCGTCTAGTTCTCCTTCCTCGCTTCCGGGTGCGAACTGCGGCACTTTCTCCCTTTCTTCCTGCGCGATTGCTTCTTCATCCCGCTCTTCTCCTGAATCTTCGGGAACGTCCACCTCGCCCTCCTCATCTGTCTCCTCCTCCTCCTCTACTTCCTCCTGCATCTCCTCGCTCCCGCGAGCATCCTCGGCTTGCATGGTTTCCTGCATGCGATCAAACGCATACCTCGGGTTCTTGGCCGCCCACCGGACGGCATTAAGAAGTCGGTGCTCCTCCAGCCTCTCCCTGTGCAGCTCCTTGTCGAACATTTCGTCCCTGTACGTCTCGTACACTTCCCTATCGTCGAAGCGATCGGACCAGGTGAGGATGCGCTCGTAGAGCCATGGTTTGAGCTCCTTGCCGGCAATGATGCGGTTGCTGAGTCAATTTAGCATCGAATCGAAACCAAAGAATCGATGCATGAACCTACATCTTGTCCTTGAGAATCACAGTCGCCTTGGCCCATGTCTGGACGTGGTACCAGCCCGTAAAGGTGGGCGAACACGTCTCCCGGATATCATCCGTGTCTAGGATCTTCCGGATGACGGGGTCCTTGATATCGCAGAACTGGAAGAGATTCCCCGTGCTCCCGACCGTCTCGCCGTCAAAGATGTGCTCCCTCTCCAGCTGCTTGGGATTCTTCTTGGTCATCTCTGACATATGCCTGTTGACCTCGCTTTGCGTCTTGGCCATGCTGCCTCCCCTCCGGAACGACATGTACGACACCGTCTGGTAGCGTCGGTAGTAAGGGTCCTTGCGCGGATCCAACCCCCAGCGGATGAGGCACTCGCGCCACGGACCGGACGAGAAGAAGTAGCCGCAGTAGACGGCGGCCTCGCGGATCTTGTCGCGTTGGTCCCATCCGAGTCTGTTAAACAGGAGCAGGCGAGTGATGACGGGCCGTTCGTCTAGCTGCTTCCGGATGGCGGCAATCAGTCCCCGCATGTATGCGGTCAGGGTGGATTCCTTGGGAAGGCTGGATTTCGGGCGCCTAGGCACCTTGTCGGCATCGACGTCGACGAAGATGTATCCCTCGACCGTGGTGCGTTTCTGGACATTGATTTCTGTTCGCGCGTCGCCCGTGTACTTGACGTAGGGATTCTGCTGGAATCTGATTTGGGGTCAGCTGGGGCACTGAATAGGTGACTCGTCATGCTTACTTGTAATCGTATTGCACTGGGATTTGCAGGAATTCGGGCGTGAGAGGGACATGCTGGGAACGGTCCGCGCCGGGTTCGGTGTTGAAGTTGTAGTCGCGAATCTGGGGCCCTGCCAAGCAAAGGGTCAGCGGCGTTCATGAGTCTGAGGAGGCATGTACGTACACTTGAGCGTCTTGAAAGTGTTTCCAAGGTCTTTGATGAGGCGATTTCCTTGGGTAGCCACCTGTATATCCGGGAGCACTGAGTTGAGATTGTTAGCCGAGGATAGAAAGAGACTTAAGCATGCTGGAAACCTACTTCGAAAACGATGGGCTTCATCTATAACTCCCACGGGAGTCACAGAGTAGCTGTCTGCATTGTCTTGCAGGCTGCGATACACAGTTTGAGCCTTCACATAGGCACTGTTGCCGGTACTATGCGTCTCGCCATGGGCAAGGAAAGGGTCCGAAGACCCTCGCTTCCGCTTCCTGCCTGTTCGTTTGGGAACCGTGACTTTGAGCAGCACGTTGTCGATGGTGACGGGGGTGGCGAGCAATCGCCGGGCATATGGATCCTCTGGTCGCAGGGACACTGATATCAACGGAGGCGATTCCTGAGGACCCTCTGTCGATTGCGGCGCAGACTCTCCCTTGGCCCGCAAGCTCTGTATTTTCGTGTCAGCACATATGCTGGTCACCGGCGGTGCAGCTACAGACCTCGGTGAGCTTCAAGGGTCCTCCGAGCGAGGTGATGGCTTTGTCTGGGTTCTTCACGATGCAGGGGTGCTCTACCACGGAGATGGAGCGGGCTGGGATGGCCAGCCAGGGTGCCAGGTGGCTCTCCTCATCCGCATGCTCGGAGTTGTTCATGGTGGAGTGGCGTTGGTCGAGTAGTGATGTTGGGATTCTACTTCCAGAATGCTGGATAGCAAAGTCACGTTACCGGCGTTGTCTGGTGGGAGACATCTGGATATGTTTAGATCTCTTTCAAATGTTTGCGGCTGGCTGCTACAACTATCTTTTACGGCAAGGTCGCAAGCTGTCCACCGTTGGTCTTCACGTCTCCCCTCCTCGCAGGGTATGTTGCCTTGGACAGGCCTTCAAACAGGTCATTTGTCACCTGACCGAGCAATTCACCGTTCAACAATGAATGTTCTGAGAAGCCCCAGAAAAAGCTCTCCCACAAACTGACCCACCCCGCAGAAAGTTAGCCACAGAAGCACGGACGGCTTGGCGACCGTCTAGCGAGACTGTGTGGACGACGACGGCCAACTACGACAACCACACCTCTTCAGCCAGCATATCGCAGCTCCATCACCACGCCTCCCATTGCGCTCCCTACCTCTTCTACTCTTGTGCGCGCCTTCTCTTGCAGCCTAGCCGTCCCTGTACCCCCCCTCTACTACGCCCATTATCTGGTGTGTTGTCGTTCCAGGACGAGGCTCTCGCAACGCCGTCCCCTGACCCCTCACCCTCTCCCCGAACTCCGACTTCCGGCGTCTTCAACACGGTTACATCCTCTGTTCTCGATGCCCAATCTGTAGGCTAGGATTCTTTGTACACGACACTAGACGCAACGGCTTCGCCTTCGGCACTAGCTCCACGAGGCCCGTCCTCGCTCGGCCTACACCAAGCCTTGCCGTCCCCGCTACTACTCGTTCGAATCTTCGACACGGAGCTTCTGACCGCCTGGGCGAAACACGTATCATAAAATGGACAAGTTCCGCCGGCGTGTGGTGAGATGGGTTGATTTCCGCGCCTGTTCAGCAGATTGCTAACGCGTCCAGCACGAACAGCTTTCGCGTGCAAAGGACGGCAAGTCGTCCAAGAAGAAGGACTCCAGCTCCGGCACTTCTTCTCCCTCCCACGGCGCTACTCAATCGCCCTCCAGCTCCGCGCACGCGACCCCGACCTCGTCACAGACACAGCTCGTAGATTCCCGCAACAGACCCTTGCCTTCAGGGGAGAATTCGTCGGTCGCGGGAAATGCGCTACAACCAGGGCAGTCAGCCCTGTCAGGCTCATCAAGTGGTAACTCTCATTTCGGAGGACAACAAAGCTTTGGCGCTGGCAATGCAGGCCCCTCCGGTCCAGGGACGGCCCAAAGGCTGGGTCAACCCCTCGCACCAAGCGTAATAATCAGCCCCAGCGCTCCGGTAGGCTCAGCACATTGTCTCTTGAGGTGCTCTTCTGGCTGCTAACCTATGTCCTCAGCATGTTCCCCAGCCTGGTGCAACCGAGACTATGCCAGGCGATCTCCTACCCCCCAAGCCCGGACAGAAGTCACTGATCTTCGGTGGACTGCAGGCGCTGCCCAAAGATAACGTGGAAGGCATTCGGACGCCGAAGCGACAGCATTCGTCACGTTTCGACATATCAGACCAGCGCCAACGTGACTTGGAGAAACTACCGGGCTTCCACGAGGTGCCGCCGAACAAACGCGAGGAGCTGTTTATGCAGAAGATTGACCAGTGCAATATCATCTTCGACTTTAATGATGCGAGTGGAGACATGAAATCCAAGGAGATCAAGCGCCTCGCACTACATGAGCTTCTCGACTATGTCGCAAATAATCGGCAGGTTATCACCGAGAAGATGTACCCCCGGGTTGTCGAGATGTTTGCGAAAAATCTGTTCCGCCCTATTCCTCCCCCTATGAACCCCCAGGGCGAGGCATTCGACCCAGAAGAGGATGAGCCTGTCCTCGAAGTAGCCTGGCCGCATATCCAGGTCGTGTACGAGTTCTTTTTGAGGTTCATTGAGAGCCAAGATTTCAACACGAACATCGCCAAGGCATACATTGATCACAGCTTTGTATTGAACGTGAGTTTCGAGGCCGCAAATATGCACCACGCGTGCGTGTACTGATGCATCTACAGCTTCTGGAACTGTTTGACTCGGAAGACCCTCGGGAACGTGATTTCTTGAAGACCACCCTTCACCGTATCTACGGCAAATTTCTCAATCTGCGTTCTTACATTCGAAGATCGATAAACAACGTCTTTTTCCAGTTCATCTACGAAACCGAGCGCTTCAACGGAATTGCTGAACTGCTTGAGATTTTGGGATCCATTATCAACGGCTTTGCCTTGCCACTGAAGGAGGAGCACAAGCTTTTCCTCACTCGGGTGCTGATACCCATGCACAAAGCCAAGAGCCTCAGCATGTACCACCCGCAGCTGGCGTATTGTATCGTCCAGTTTTTGGAGAAAGATGCCGCATTAACCGAAGAGGTATTTGATGGTTTGGTATATGTTTATCTTCCCATCTAACGTAATCAGGTTGTCCTTGGCCTGCTGCGATATTGGCCCAAAGTAAACAGTACAAAGGAGGTCATGTTCCTGAATGAGGTGGAGGACATTTTCGAGGTGATGGACCCGGCGGAATTCGCCAAGGTCCAGGAACCCCTTTTCAACCAATTAGCGAAATCGGTTGCGAGCCCGCATTTCCAGGTAAGCTCAGCGGATCCCATGTTGAGTAGTAGACCCTAATGTTTTGTTAGGTGGCTGAACGGGCCCTGTATTTCTGGAACAACGAATACTTCTGCAACCTCGTCAGTGACAATGTCGAGGTCATTCTGCCCATCATGTTTCCATCACTGTATGAGAACTCAAAAGGACACTGGAATAGGTATGGAGATGTATGACGGCTGCAAAGCTGCAGTATGCTCACGCAGTCTAGGACGATCCACGGCATGGTGTATAACGCAATGAAGCTTTTTATGGAGGTGAATCCTCAGCTTTTTGATGACTGCTCCCATGACTACGCCGAACATCAGAATCTGGCGGGAGAAAGACAAAAGAGCCGGGAAAGCCGATGGGAGAAGCTCGCCAAACTAGCAGAGGCGCGCAAAAATGGGACAGCCGAAACAAAGGCGCTACCACCGTCGACGAATAAAGTGGGATCTCCCATGCGGGTGGACGACAGCGATCCGCTGAGCCAAGATAGCCAGCGGAGGTTGGAAGCGCTGCGACTGCAAGATGACGGGCTGAACAGCCGACGGCCCAAGGAGCTCGAGCGGCAGAGCAGCCAGACTTCGGTACGTTGATTCTTCCGTCCTACGAGGTCGACAGGGCAGTGCAGTTTTCGTGGCCGGATTGGTGTACTTTTAGTCTTCATTTCTAGATTTCTGGGTCGTCTCGCATTGTCATGAAGCTCATTGGATTGGGTCATGAGATCTGACTTGTTTGTGCTTGCTTCCTGCAGCGCCGGCACCGTACATCGCAAGAGGAGCAGACGCAGGCACGGCGGGCTACTGGACGGCCGCGCAGCAATAGTCGGCCCAACTCTGCTGGCAGCTCGGGCGCTCGACCGGGCGCGACGAATGGCTCTGTACGGACGGGTTCGACAATCACTAGGGTTGTCTGACCGACGCGGATGGCGTGTCTCTTCGCAACAGACAGAACATTTCCCCCCAGGCAACACGGCAGCTCTTCTTGTCTTTGATGGTTCGAGTGAGAGACTGTTGGTTTTTTCCTCCTCGCCTTCCTCATTCTTCCCGTTTTCTCAGCGGCGTGGCATACAGCATTTGGATTTGATAGGAAGCCTGTCGCTCTCCGCGGTTGAATCCCCCGAGCCCGTACCCCTTTTATATTTTGTTCTTCTCTCTACAGTTTCTTCCCGTTTGATAGGGTATGGCACAGGAAGACTGGGTTGGGGGTCGGCCTTCCTCCCGCAATGAATAGACTTGAACGGCTGAAATCTCGTCTCCTTTTTTGCTTACATGATGGGTGATACACATACCTAGGTGGGTTGCTGTTAGCTTGGGATGTTTGAAAGCTCGCTTCTCAGTACTCGGAATCACTTCTTTTCCTTTCGCCTGTCCGACGGGGGCAATTGGCACATGCTAATCCGAGGCTTCTCATTGCCTGCCCCTTACCAATGTGCCCTTCAATCTATCACATGATTGAGCATGATGTTTATTTATTAGTCAGGGCTGCCTTATTACTGTAATTCTCTCGGTTATTGAATACATCTAGCGGCATAGAGGTAGCCAATAGATGGGCAGAACCTGTACCTCGGCGGCGTAATTCACTTGTCTGCCGTAAGCTCGTAAGCAGTGCCATATTGGGACTAGTCTAGGGCTGGCTGGACTAGGCGCGGCAGGCAAGGAAGCAATTTCCCGCGCGGCCCCTTTCCCAAAGCGCGGCGCCTCTCATCCAACAAACATCCTCTCACTCTCACTCCTCCTTCTCACGCTTCTCCCTCCTTGCCGGGCCTCCGCTCTTCCTCCTCCTCTTCTTCTCCTTTTCATTCCCCCTTTCACCTTCATCCAGGCCGACCGGCGCCCTTCTGCGCTTCAAATTCCTGCCCTTCTCTTCCCTTCTTCTAAGCCTCTTCGCGTCTCTGATCCTTTCTAGGAGCGTCAACTTTTCTTCTTCGTGACACCCCATCGCTCTTCCCGATCCGCTATGGCGACCCCGGACTGGATACAATACGGCGTCCCGACGCTCGATCGCCCCTTTGGCCTCGCCCTATGGCCCATCTTCAGCAAGGCCTTCGAGAAGGTCGTGGGCTATCCCGCCGAGAAGTTTGAATTCGTTCCCGGAGAGACACCCATCTCGGAGCTCAAGACCTGCTCCATCATTCTCATCACATACTACATTGTAATCTTTGGAGGCCGGGAGCTCATGCGCGATCGTGCGCCGTTCAAGCTGAGCTTTCTCTTCAAACTGCACAACTTCTACTTGACCGCCATCAGCGGCATCCTCCTGGCTCTGTTCGCCGAGCAGCTCATTCCCACCCTTGTGAGGCATGGCCTCTTCTATGCCATTTGCGACCACGACGGTGGCTGGACCCAGAAGCTGGTGGTTCTCTATTATGTGGGTTCAATGTCAACGGCGCGCCCGACCGTCTCCGCTTACTGACTCGGCTTAGCTGAATTACCTGACCAAGTTCGTCGAACTGATTGATACCTGCTTCCTGTTCTTGAAGAAGAAGCCCCTCAGTATGTTCTACTTGTACCGCTAGATGGGTATGAGCCCTGACCGCTGTCATAGCCTTCCTCCACACGTACCACCATGGCGCGACTGCTCTGCTGTGCTACACTCAGCTCATCGGCCACACGTCCGTCTCCTGGCCCGTCATCACCCTTAACCTCATGGTCCACGTCGTCATGTACTGGTACTACTTCCAGAGCGCCCGGGGCATCCGCATCTGGTGGAAGAAGTACATCACCATTATGCAGATTGTGCAGTTCGTCCTCGACTTGGGTACGCCTGGTTCACGCCTCGGTTGTGCTTATAAGCTAATCCTTGCGCAGGCTTCATCTACTTCGCGTCGTGGACCTACTTCACCAGCACCTACTGGCCGTGGCTCCCCAACGCTGGCAAATGCGCCGGCGAGGAGTTCGCTGCCGTCTCGGGCATCCTCATCATATCGTCGTACCTCTTCCTCTTCATCGGCTTCTACATCGCTACCTACAAGAAGCCCGTGCCCAAGGGCCGCCGTAGGGCTACTTCTGCGCTTGTGGAGATGAAGGATGAGAAGGTCCCGACGGTTGGTGAGGCTAAGCGACGCCTTAGCCAGGGTGCGCATGCGCTTGCTAATGGTCATGCCAGCGCCACAGGTTCCAGTACTCCCAATGGACGTGCCACTCGCAGCCGCAAGGCGTAATTGCGTTCCGTCGGACGACAGTCTCTAGCGGGTACCATTTTGAGGGAAACACGCTTGATCGCACCGCGGCTCACCTAGGACATGTCTCCCTGATAACCATTCGCGAACGCACGATCAATAGACGCTTCCAGCTTCCCATGTCTTACCGAACGGGCGTGTAATACCTCGCCGTCAAAGTCAGAAGGACGGGTGGTCAATGGAGCTACACTGTCTTCCGTTTGCGCAGTGTACTCTTACCCTTCTCTTCCACTTCTTTACCTTCTTTTTGTTCACGAAACCCAAAAGAAAGCATCTACGCACTTGTAATCACTTTGAGCATCCTATGTCCTATCTTCGTCCACCACGAGGGCAGGACGTAGTGGGCTTATGTAAGATCATAGGGGGTGATGGCCACGAGGCGATAGACGGCGTGTGTGGTTGTTTTCGGCATATGGTGGTGTGGGATGCGTTTGGCCGCAACCACACGCATGTGGGATTTTGTCTTCTTGCTCTTGTCTTTGTATGTAAGGGGTTTTTTTGCGTTTGTGTATGTACAGGTGCTGGGATGAATGAATGGATGGACGGCAGATCTCGGGTCCGGTGCTAGACTAGACGAGAAAGGATGACTTGGGTATTCCGTATAGGTAATGCTAATTGTTGGGTCGCTTCTACCGCGTGGCAGCTGAGGTGGGTGCGGCATATGAGTGATAGATGCCCCTTGAAGCAGGCTGCTGTGCTCTTCTCAACCCATCTTCTTCCTCTCCTTCCTCCTCACCCAAACCGTCTTCTGGCCCTCGTCCTCCTCCCTCACCTGGACCTCGTACAGCGGCAACCGGTACCTGCCCCGGTCCGCCTCGCCCGTGTGCAGATCCCAGGTCCAGCCATGCCTAGGGCACGTGATTCCGGCACTGAGGATGACGCCAAAGTCCTCGATGTCGGAGAGGCTGGCGTGGGTTAGGGGGTAGGATTGGTGCGGGCAGAGGTAAGGGGTTGCGTAGAGTTTGGAGCGGTACTGGAAGAGGAGGAGGGAGGATTCGGTGGCTTTGTCGGGGGTTTGCGAGGGTAGGGTGGGTGGGGTAGGTGAGGGTGGTGATGATGAGGGGGAGGAGGAGGAGGAGGGGGAGGTGGTGGTGGTGGATGGGGAGAAGACTCTGCAGGTGGGTTGCGTTTGTTGAGGGGGCGCGGTCGGATCTGTGTCCGAAGGTGTGCTCTTCTCATTCTCATTGGAGATTCCTGGTTCGAGCAACGGGCATAGTTGAACTTGATTTTCTCCCGGGGCGGGAATGATGTTGGGGAATGAGGAGAGGGGTCCCGCGCAGAGCCATGGGTTGTTGGGGTCGTTTTTGTTGGGAGCGGTGTGGGTGGTGGATGGCCAGGGCCAGAGAGGAGGCATTGTTTATTGGATCTGGGATGATTGGAGGCGGTGGTGGTTCGAGTGGGCGGGCGTTATATCATCTCTTTTTTTCTTTGGTGGGTTAGGCGCAATGGTAGGGACGGGGGAGAGAGGAGTGTTGTTAATGAATGGGGGAAGTTGGAGACGGGGGTGATGCCGCGCTTCAAATATCGGGCCAATTGACTAATCGGATAGTGACCAATAGGTATAGGATGGTGGAAGTTTTAATAACTACAACTTACCTAGGTAGTCGCATCTATTGTTACATTCTTTTCTTTTTCCTCTCCTTTTTTTGCCTTTTCACTTTTTCCCCAGGTTAAGGGTCGATTGCGGGTTTTAGACGTCGGTTTCCCACGCTGCAATGCCTTATGTTCAAGATATGCATGTGCACGATTTGACCATGCCGCAAGCAAAGGATTCAAGACCCAAAAGTCTACGATGCAGACATTTGATGCCAGATTCGCAGAAGATATGGACCGAGGGCAACTTGTATTGAATTACTAAGCCTTAGGAGGCGGCCAGCGAAGTACCAAACCATTTGCTGCTGTATAATGTAGTAGGGTAGGGTGTGGTGCGAAGTTGCCGGTCAGCTCGATGCTCGCACCCCAGCAACGATATCGACTACCTGGACTACTCCGCAGGATTGTGGATACATGGGTGGCGAACAAAATACTTGCGGCGACTTTAGAAAATATTCTGTCTTTGCTGCAAGTACGTACGAAATGATGAAGATATACTGCCACGGTGACTTGTATCATCTGTGCTTATTGTACAATAGGTCTATGAAGCTGTCTCCGCTGTACACCGTTATTTACAACAGAAAAAGACAGAGGGATTCAATGTAGAATATATAATATATCGCGCTTTTTTCAACGCCGGACTGAACACGCTTCCTCCAAAGGGTTGGATTGATTTCTTGCTCCATGCAGCTCTACTGGCTACTGACTTCGGTGGGGCCATGGGCAAGTCGTGTTTTGAGACATGCTCTGTCTGGACAAAGGCGCTGTGAAGCGGATTGGGAGGTCCATCGTAGCCCTAAGACTCATCGCTGGTCAGTCGGACGTGAGGAATCGCACTACGAGTGAACCGGAGGGATAACAGAGCGGACTTTGTTGAGCAAGTCGGTGGAGGTTTTGGAGGTGTGAACAAATATATTCCGGTTTGGGCTTAGCGTCCAGCGCGACGCCTGCCCCTCCAGAAATTTTGGGCCCCACCAGTGCAAGTCACCGCGCCCACCACGCCCGCACCCTTCGTCGAGTGCCACTGCTCCCCGACGGCACACCATGACTTCGCCGGGCGAGCAACCGTACCTCGTCCTTCCAGGCTCGCTGGCCTTCTCCGACTTTCGCCTCAAGTCGCTTGCCCGAGCCATTGGCGCCTCGGAGGTGCGAGCCGTCTGGCTGCACTTTGTCAATCCGCTGAAAGAGCTGGATCAGAGAGAGTTCAAGGTACTGGAGCAGCTATTGCACTATGGAGAGACTCCAGACAGTCAGGATCGCCTCTCCCAGATCCTCATTGACGCATTGAACCGCAGTGGCGCTCCGCGCGACGACAACACGGCCCTCTTCTATGTCAGTCCGCGTCCCGGCACCATTTCGCCATGGAGCTCCCTGGCCACCATGATTGCGCGCACCTGCACCCTCGAGAACGCCGTCAAGCGCATCGAGCGTGGCATGGTCATCGCCGCCACCTTTGACAAGCCCCTCGACGCAGACTCCATCCCGAATCCCGACTCTCTCCACGACCGAATGACGCAGACCATAAGCAGGCATGCACCCGACCTGAACCTCCTCTTCGGCGAGCACGAGCCCGCTCAAGCGACCACTATCAGTTTCGAGGAATACGAGAGCCCCAGGGCGGCGTTGGAACACGCCAATCGCGAACTGGGACTGGCCATGGACAGTTCTGAGATCGAATACCTGGTCGACGCATACACGCACGAATTGAAGCGCGGCCCTGTTGACGTTGAACTCTTCATGTTCGCGCAGGTCAATTCCGAGCACTGCCGCCACAAGCAGTTCAACGCAGACTTCACAATTGACGGCATTCACAAGTCCCACTCACTTTTCGGCATGATTAGGAACACCCACCAAAAGCATCCCGAACACGTCGTCAGTGCATACAGTGATAATGCCGCCGTCCTTCAGGGCGAGCATGCGAGCTTCTGGGCGCCAAACCATATCAGCGGAGAGTGGCAGGGAACGAAAGAGACGGTACATATTCTGTGCAAAGTGGAAACACATAATCATCCTACTGCCGTGTCGCCCTTCCCAGGTGCTGCCACCGGGTCTGGCGGCGAGATCCGAGATGAGGGCGCAGTGGGTCGTGGATCGAAACCCAAGGCTGGTCTGGCAGGTTTTACGGTCTCAGACTTGCTCATTCCCGGCTTCGAGCGGCCTTGGGAGATGCGTGATGTGGGTAGGCCTGCCCACATTGCTAGCAGTTTGGACATCATGCTGGAAGCGCCCATCGGAAGTGCCGCTTTCAACAACGAGTTTGGCAGGCCCTGTACCACGGGATACTTCAGGACACTCCTCGTCAGAGCCTTTACCAACGAAAACGAGACGGAGATTCGGGGCTATCATAAACCCATTATGATTGCGGGTGGTGTGGGCACTGTTAGGCCTCAGCATGCTCTGAAGAATCCCGACATCGTACCCCCTGGGTCGCATCTCCTGGTGATTGGAGGACCTGCCATGCTCATCGGTCTTGGAGGTGGTGCTGCGTCTAGCGTCCAATCTGGCGAGGGCAATGTCGACCTGGACTTTGCCAGTGTGCAACGAGGCAACCCCGAGGTTCAGAGGAGAGCGCAGGAGGTCATTGATGCCTGCAGAAGCATGGGTGACAAGAACCCAATTCTGTTTATCCACGATGTTGGAGCTGGTGGCTTATCCAATGCCCTTCCGGAGCTGGTGCATGATTCGGGGCTTGGAGCCGTGTTTGAGCTCCGTGAGATTGACAGTGCAGACAAAGGGATGAGTCCATTGCAGATATGGTGCAACGAGGCTCAGGAGCGCTATGTTCTGGCGGTTGGTCCAGACGATTTGGAGCTCTTCAAGCGCATCTGCAGGCGAGAACGGTGCGGTTTCTCGGTTGTCGGTACTGCCCGACAGGAGCAACGGCTGGTTCTCACAGACCGGGATTCCAGAGACCACCCCACCCCTATCGACCTTCCCATGCCTATCCTGTTCGGAAAGCCGCCCAAGATGTCCCGCATAGTCGAGTCACGAAAGCTCCGTTTGCCTGCCTTCGATAGCAGCTTATCAGTATACATTCCAGACACACCCAAGGATGGCCTTCTTAAGGAAGCTGTCGACCGGGTCCTCACGCTCCCCGCTGTTGGATCAAAATCATTCCTCATCACCATCGGAGATCGTACTGTTGGGGGTCTCACCGTGCGAGACCAAATGGTCGGAAAGTGGCAGGTTCCGGTGTCCGACGTCTCTGTTACCGCCACTTCTCTCATGTCAGGCGTGCGGACAGGCGAGGCGATGGCCATGGGAGAGAAGCCGATGCTGGCACTCATTTCACCAGCAGCATCCGCTCGTATGGCTGTGGCAGAATCACTCATGAACCTTGCCGCTGCTAGCCTGTTCGATCGTATGTCGAGGGTTCGACTTTCTGCCAACTGGATGTCGGCCAGCAGTCACCCTGGCGAAGCGGCAGCCTTGTATGAGGCTGTTGAAGCCATCGGACTTGGCCTGTGCCCTCAACTGGGCATATCCATCCCCGTTGGGAAAGACTCCATGAGCATGAAGATGAAGTGGTCTGACCCGGAGACGAAGACCTCCAAAGAAGTGACGGCGCCCATGTCGCTGGTCATCACCGCTTTTGCTCCCGTTGATCGTATTGATCGCACATGGACCCCGGCCCTGGAACGACTTGAGGATGAGGGAGAAACCATCTTATTGTTTGTCGACCTTGCCGAAGGCAAGAAGCACATGGGTGGCTCCGCAATTGCCCAGACGTTTGGGCAGGTGGGAGACGAAGCGCCAGACGTCTACGATGCAGATATCCTGAAGGACTATTACGATGCTGTCGAACAATTACACGAATCCGGTATCGTGTTGGCATATCATGATCGGTCTGATGGAGGTCTCTTCACCACCTTGGTGGAGATGATGTTTGCGGGCCGGTGCGGGTTGGACGTCATGCTTGACGGCATCTGCCCGTCGAGTAACCCCAAGGACCTCATCGAGACGCTCTTCAACGAGGAACTTGGAGCCGTTTTCCAAGTACGCAAGAAGGATGAAGTGGAATTCAACCGTTGCTTCGCTACGTGCGGTCCGCCCCCAGGGATGATCAAGAAGATCGGGCGCGTGCCCTCATCATCCAAGCAGGAACTCACACTCACCCACGGATCCACCGTTGTCTATCGCAACAGCCGACAGGCGCTGCAACAGACATGGTCATCGACTTCGTACCAACTCCAGAAGCTGCGCGACAACCCGCAGTGCGCGGATGTGGAATTCGGCAACATTCTCGACGATAAGGACCCAGGTCTGTCTTACAAACTTACCTTCAACCCGAAGGATAACATTCTGCCCCTCAAAGCTACCATCTCGTCTGCCTTCACGGCCAAACCCCGGGTGGCCATTCTTCGGGAAGAAGGCGTAAACGGCCACGCCGAAATGGCTTTCGCGTTCCACATGGCCGGTTTCTCAGCAATCGACGTACACATGACGGATATCATCTCCGGGCGCGTCTCGCTAGAAGGCTTCGTGGGTCTTGCAGCTTGCGGTGGCTTCTCCTATGGTGATGTCCTTGGCGCCGGGCAGGGTTGGGCCAAGTCGGTGCTGTTCCATGAGAAGACGCGCAAGGAGTTCCAGCAGTTCTTTGAGCGGCCAGATACCTTCTCGCTCGGTGTCTGCAATGGGTGCCAGTTCCTGTCGAAGCTCAAGGAACTCATCCCTGGCGCGAGCCTTTGGCCAAGCTTCGAGCGCAACGCGAGCGAACAGTACGAGGCGCGTGTGTGCATGGTTGAAGTGATAGACCCTGTAAAACCCGGGCAGGAGCCGTCCGTCTTCTTGCATGGCATGCATGGCTCTAAGCTTCCCATTGTCACGGCCCACGGCGAGGGTCGCGCCTCTTTCCCGTCGTCGTACTCCTCGTCCTCCACCCCTGAGACGCTGCAGAATGAAGGCTTGGTCAGCTTGCGTTACGTTGACAACTACGGCATCACGACGGAGAAATACCCCTTCAACCCTAACGGCAGCCCACAAGGCATTACCGGCGTTCGCAGCAAGGATGGAAGGGTGCTCGCTCTCATGCCTCATCCAGAGCGGACTATACTGCGCGAGGTGGGAAGCTATATCCCCAGAGGCAAGATGGAGGAGTGGGGAGAGCATGGGCCTTGGAACAGGCTGTTCAGGAGCGCCCGTAGATGGGTTGGGTAGTTTTTTTGGAGTTGGTTTTGCCATAATTGCTGAGACCTGAACGGGCGTTTGGAAGAATATCTGTAAATGCATATCGTTTAGAGGAGGAATACCATCATTCTGCATAAGGAGCCTGCGTTGATGTTAATATGTCATGACAGTGAAGATTCAAACGATGTTCATGTCTGGTGAGAGTCGGAGACGTGTGGTTAAGGTTGCTGGCTCGTCGATTTGGCATTGACGCTAGCCAAGTTTAGTCTAGGCTTTTTCTTGGCATCACGTGACGTCTAGTTTTCCGGGTCCTGGCCATGCCCCCCATGCCTCTGCGTTCCGAAGCTCTCACTACTTCCCACGGTCAACGCGCTCCCACAACAACGCTTCCACAACACTACACCCTCCCTTTCACTCCGCCCACCGGCGTCTGGGCCACAACCTCCGACCCACTGACATGCTGGCAATAACACCATAGGCTACTGCCTCAATCCTCTTAATTTCGGGTGGACCAGCTCCACGAACGGAGCCGCAGCAAACCTCTCGGCGCAATCCATACTGCGAAGCTCGCCGACCGAATGCGCACGAACCCTACGATTTGCTCCGACAGAAGTGAGGAAGCGCTGGGGTGCTGGACAGGATAGATAAGGTTGCAGAGCAGCCTTGGGCTGCAGCAGCTTCAACCATGGCAACGCATAATGTGGAAGCCATGGCCTCGAAGCTGGAGGATCCCGCGACAGGTAACTTTTTCCTCTACTACGTGTCGCTGGTGCGCTTCTTGGAGCATTGTCGACTGACGGTTTCCACTTAGATATCCGGATAAAGGCCAATGTGGCCATCGATATACGGGACAACATCGAGAGCTACTGCCAGGGCCCGCAGTACGGCACATTCTTGAACCACCTGATACCCGCTTTCCTCGCTGTGCTCGATGGAAATCCCGTCTTCGTTTCCACCTCCGCAGAGCAGGTGAGTGTGCTTGTGAGCCGGGCTGGCGTCAACTGACAGTCTTCCAGCGACTGCGCAATTGCATCCTTGAGATCCTTCACCGTCTCCCCATGACCCCGATCGAAGCCGTCGAGCCGCATGCGACCAAAGTAGTGGACAAGCTCATGGGCTTAGTAAAGACCGAAAACGAGGATAACGCAGTCCTGTGCATCAAGATCATAATGGATTTCTTGCGACACCAGACGAAGGCGCTCGCAGATCGGGTCCAGCCTTTCCTCGACCTTATTCAAGAGATGTTTGAGTCCATGGAACAGGTGGTGCAGGACACCTTTGACAACCCCTCCGCGGCGCCGGCAGCTCCAGTCGTCCCTTCTACGCCTTCGAATCAACAGTACTCCCAATCTCCTCGTCCAGGTTCGCCAGCAACGTCACTAACAGCTGGCTCCTCGGGAGACATCGGATCCGAACAACAACAGTCCGTTATGCTGTTAAAGGGCATGCAGTCTTTCAAGGTTCTTGCCGAGTGTCCCATTATCGTCGTATCGCTTTTCCAGGCATATAGAAGCTGTGTCACTAAGAATGTCAAAGCTTTTGTGCCTCTCATCAAGAGCGTTCTCCTTCTGCAAGCGAAGCCGCAGGAAAAAGCACACTTGGAAGCGAAGGCGCAGGGGAAGATATTTACCGGAGTCAGCAAAGATATAAAGAACCGTGCTGCTTTTGGAGACTTCATCACCGCTCAGGTCAAGACAATGAGCTTTTTGGCATATCTTCTCCGCGTCTATGCGCAGTACTTGCAAGACTTCCTACCCACGCTGCCGGACATAGTGGTTCGACTGTTACAGGACTGCCCTCGGGAGAAGTCAGGGGCACGTAAGGAGTTGCTCGTCGCTATCCGGCATATTGTCAATTTCAATTTTAGGAAGATTTTTCTTAAGAACATCGATCTCCTCCTTGATGAGCGCACCCTGATCGGCGATGGGTTGACGGTGTACGATACCATGAGGCCACTGGCGTATAGCATGCTCGCCGACCTCATCCATCACTTGCGCGATCATTTGACCAAGGAGCAGATACGACGCACAGTGGAAGTCTACACGAACAACCTCCACGACTCTTACCCGGGCACGAGCTTCCAGACCATGAGCGCGAAACTCCTCCTTAACATGGCAGAGTGCATTGCCAAGCTGGAACCCAAGGAAGACGCGCGCTACTTTTTGGTCATGATCCTGAACGCCATCGGTGATAAGTTCGCCGCCATGAACCGCCAGTATCATAACGCCGTTAAGTTATCGGAGCAGTATAAGCCGCCGTCCATTGATGCCGTCCCCGAGAACCATATGGCCCAGAAGGACCAACCGCCAGACTGGGATGAAATAGATATCTACTCTGCGACTCCTATCAAGTCCCAGAATCCTCGTGATAAGAGTTCTGATCCTATTGCGGACAATAAGTTCCTATTCCGGAATCTGCTTCACGGTCTTAAGAACATGTTCTATCAGCTCCGGGCTTGCAACCCGTCCAAGATCAAGGAAGAAATCGATACTGCCAACGCCTCTGCGAACTGGCATGAGGTCTCGTTTGGCTACAATGCTGAAGAGGTGGCTGTTCTCATCAAACTCTTCAGAGAGGGCGCGAGGGTTTTCCGATATTACGGTACTGATAAACCAGGAGCGGACATGCAGGGACAGACTCCGGTCGATGCCATGGCCATCCAACAGACTATGCAGAGCGGAAAGGAGGAGAAGGAATTGCTCGAGACCTTCGCAACCGTCTTCCACCACATTGACCCGGCCACCTTCCACGAAATCTTTTCGTCAGAGATCCCTCATTTGTATGACATGATGTTCGATCACTCGGCACTGGTTGCTGTTCCTCAATTCTTGCTCGCTAGCGAGGCCACCTCGCCTAGTTTTGCAGGCATGCTTTTGCAATTCCTCATGGACCGAATCGAGGAGGTGGGGACTGCGGACATAAAAAAGTCGTCAATATTGTTGCGGCTTTTCAAGCTATCCTTCATGGCTGTCACGCTGTTCGCGTCTCAAAACGAGCAAGTCCTTCTACCCCACGTGCGAGCGATCATCATCAAATCAATCCAACTCTCCACCACCGCCGAGGAACCTACGAACTATTTCCTCTTGCTCCGCTCACTCTTCCGCAGTATCGGCGGAGGACGCTTTGAGCATCTATACAAGGAGATTCTTCCGCTGCTTGAAATGCTGCTTGATGTGTTGAACAACCTCCTCGTCAATGCGCGCAAGCCTTCCGAACGAGACCTGTTTGTAGAACTCTCCTTGACGGTACCAGCCCGTTTGAGCAACCTGTTACCTCACCTATCGTATCTGATGAGGCCCTTGGTTGTAGCCCTGCGTGCTGGCTCGGATCTCGTCGGTCAAGGGCTGCGTACGTTGGAGCTTTGCGTCGACAATCTGACAGCCGACTATCTAGATCCCATTATGGCGCCCGTCATTGACGAACTCATGGCGGCCTTGTGGGACCACCTCAAGCCGGCCCCTTATAGCCATTTCCACTCACATACCACGATGCGCATACTGGGAAAGCTCGGGGGCCGGAATCGGAAATTCATCACTGGCCCCCCAAACCTCGAATGGAAGCCATATTCTGATGACGCGTCGTCCATTGACATTCGACTCATTGGATCTACGAAAGATAGAGCTTTTCCTGCGGCCATTGGAATCGACACTGCTATAGCCAAACTGCATGAAGTCGCAAATCCCAAACAACCAGCTGCGCAGAAGTCCGATCCATTTACAAAGCAACAGGCGTTTCGACTTGTCATGTCACACACCAAACTTTTGGTGGGATTTGAGAGTCTCCCCGACGACTTTGCGCAATTGGTGCGGCTTCAAGCCACTGATCTGTTGGCAAGAAAAGTTGATGATGGGGTGGACATCTTTGCGACCTCTGATCGCGGACGGTCCGTCAGCAAAAAGAATGTCGAGCAACACACTCTCAAAAAGCTGCTCAAGGCTTGCTTATTCGCGACGTCTTTGCCGGACTTGGAAGCCGATGCAACAGCCATGGTGACAAGCCTCGCTCAACACTTCACCCTCCTGGAAGTAGGGAACCAATTCGCCACGCTCAAGCACAAGGCCAAACCGTTCGATGTCAATTCCGGGGAGGGCCCTGTTCACATAGATACCGATGTCTTTGTCGATGCTCTTGTGGAGTCTCTGTCATCGGACCATGCTATAGTGCGGGATGCCGCAGAGCGTGCCATCCTCACCATGCGCGATTCGGCAAGGGTCATATTCGGCTCAGAAGACAACCTGAACAAGTTTCCATACTTTGACGAGATCGCGAAAAGCTTTTGCCACTGCTGCCATGCCGAAGATTGGTTTATGAAGTCCGGAGGGACTCGGGGGATCTCCATCCTCATTCACAAGCTCGGCCTTAGCAGGGAGTGGAAGATCAGATGGCAATCTCAACTCATCCAGGCACTGAATTTCGTCATGAAGGACATGCCAGCCGACCTGAATGCGAGAACGCGAGTGCAGGCTGAGGGGCTGATCCTGGACCTGATCCGCTCGTGTCATCAGACCACATCCAAGGAGGACCTGGAGAAAAAGGACAGCCATCTCCTCAAACTTTGCAAACAGCTGGTGGGTGACTTGGCACATATGAACAAGCATGTGAGAGATGCCACACAGAAGGCGTTCCACGTCCTCGCTGAAGTCACCGGCCTTGGGGTTCACGAGCTGATACTGCCCGTGAAAGACACACTCTTTATGCCCATCTGGACAAAGCCTCTCCGCGCACTACCTTTCAGCATACAGATTGCATACATTGACACCATTAATTTTGGGCTCAAGTTGCGCCACAACATCCTCGAATTCGACGATAAACTGAATCGGTTACTCATGGAATCACTAGCCCTAGCCGATGCTGATGACGAGGGATTAGCGAGTAAGCCTTATGAGCAGCGGAATGCTGAGCATATTATCAACCTCAGAGTTGCGTGCATTCGCCTCCTCTCAACGGCTCAGAGTTATCCTGAGTACAATACGACCCCTCCGAACCAGACATTCTTACGCATCATTTCCGTGTTCTTCAAATGTCTTTACTCGAAATCCCCCGAAGTCGTGGATGCGGCAAATGCTGGCTTGTCTGGCGTCATCTCCGCCACCAACAAGTTGCCGAAGGATGTTCTGCAGACTGGACTCCGTCCTATCCTTGTAAATCTTCAGGATCCACGGAAGCTTACAATCGAGAATCTGGATGGCCTAGCGCGGCTGCTGAAGCTGTTGACCAACTATTTCAAGGTGGAAATCGGTACCCGTTTGCTGGACCATATGAAGAACATTGCCGATCCGACCAGCCTGCAGAAAATCTCCTTCACCATGATTGAGCAGAACCCGAGGATGAAACTTGTTACAGGCATCTTCAACATCTTTCATCTCCTTCCTCCGGCCGCGGTGTCTTTCCTGCCCCAGGTAACAGAGCGCGTGATTGAGTTGGAAACGGCACTGCGTCGCACCCACTATAGCCCTTTCCGGAAACCGCTGGTCCAGTTTCTGTGCCTTTATGCTAAGGATGCGTGGGACTATTTTGCCCCTCATCTTCGCGATCAGGCGCGTGGCCGGTTCTTTGCGCAGTTGCTCGAGATGCAGTCCAGCGGCGCGCTGCGCCAGAAGGTCGCTGAAGATGTGCCCAAGTTCATGGAGGCTTTCCAGTTCGAGGGACCGGAGAAAGAAAAGTGCCGAGCGCAGCTCAATGCTATCCACATTGCCTATGCTATGACTCAGTTCGACGAGACCAGCAATTGGCTCGTCTCTAAGGAGGGCCTGAGGAAGGTGCTCTTTGATGTCGCAAAGTCCCTCGAGAAGAAGCTCCGTGACAACACACTGGAGCCGGAGCTCCGGCTCGCCGCAGAACAGGCAGGCCACCAGGCTTTGGCCATCTTCACAACATACCTCAAACATGAACCCCAGGACATCGACTTCTTCTTTGAGCTCATAGGTGCTGCCACCGCTTGCCAACTGAAGCAGGGGCCGCACCTCTTTGATTTCATCTACACGCAGATCATCTCGAGCGGATCGGTTGAATACTGGAGGACCGTCGTACACAAGTGCTTCGATCTGTATACTGCGCGTACCACGACACCGATGACCAAGGCGTTCATGTTCAGGTATATCGTCAACCCCATCTTTGCGATGGACATCAAACGCAATTGGGACAGCCTGTTTGGCGCCACGAAGGGAACCAAGCTCATGGACCGTGCCATGGTAGACTTGATTCTCAGCCGACTCTGGAAGCCCCAAGCCGTAACTGACCTCGCTGAAGACACTGCTCAGTTTGGTGTCGACCACTCGCGCATGGAAGAGTTCCAATTCACCACACTGCTTCTGAAACACCATTCTGGAATGCTTGGAGAAGTGCGTCGAGATGTTATCAGGTTTGGCTGGCACTACATCAAGCTCGAGGACATTGTCAACAAGTATGCGGCTTATGTCCTCATCGCCTTCTTCATCGTCGTCTACGATACACCAGCCAAGATCGCACACCAGGTCTACCAAGCGCTTTTGAAAGCCCATCAAAACGAGGGGAGAGCACTTGTGATGCAATCGTTAGAACTCTTAGCGCCAGTTCTGACCAAGCGCATGGCGACACCTCCTGGCAAGCAGAAAGCTTCGCTTCCACAATGGGCTCAGGCTCCCCGTCGCATCTTGGCTGAAGAGAGTTCCAATCTTCAGGGCCTAATGAGTATATTCCAGTTCTTAGTGCGGCATCCGGATCTCTTTTATGAGGCTCGCGAGCATCTCTCGAGCATAATGATTACCTCCCTCTCCAAGATCGCTGCTCCGCCGAATAACCCATCAACGGAAGGGAAGAAGTTGGTGCTCAACATTTTGAGTCTCATCAAAACGTGGGAGGAACGCACGGTGAACGGATCGGGGTCCGCCTTGTCTCCTGAAGCGTCGGTGGGATCTCCTGAACAGCGCAAGAGGAGAGCCGACGGAACACTTGTGGCTCCCGGACCGCTTCCACCTGGATTCGTTGCAAGTCAGAGCATCCGCATGATCCTGATCAAGTATCTGATTCAATTCATCGCCTATCTTCCTGAACGCTACCCTGTCGCAACACCAAAACCCAAAGAGGGCCCCGCCCATTCCCCGGAGGCTTGCAAGAAGGCCGTGCATCTCCTGCGGGACCTTGTTCGGTTGTACAGCGATCTGGATCTGGACATCCTCCTCACCAAAAAGATTGAGGAGATTCTGCTAACTGAAATGACCCAAGACAAGGAGAAGATGGAGGCGTTCTATACTCGCATGATCAATACGCTGCAGATTTGCAAGGTCATTGTCAACATCAAATCCGACGAGTGGGTACTCGAGCGCATGAAACTGTGGGAAAAGATACTGGACAAGGCGGTCCGCTCAGAGCATGCCGATGTGCAAGCCAGCCTTCATGCTGCGGACGATACCCCCGAGATGAAGTTGCAACCTACCATCAAGCGGATACTGGAAGTGATGCCAGAGCCGGTTACGGACGAGGAGGGCAATTTTGAAGAATCTCCGTCTACAGAGTTTGTCAATTTCTTGGGCACCGTGGCTACGGAGGCACTCTCCAACTCCTCCTATATCTGTGCTGTGAACATCCTTTGGACACTGTCCCAGAAACGACCGGAGGAGATCGATCAACACATTGCACAGATCATGAAGGCGTTCCAAGGCAAGATGGCTAAAGATCATCTGGCAGCCACCATGCCGCCACAGGCAGGAGTTGGCCCACCACCAGCGAACCTCGACCCTCGCGAGACGGAGATCCAGACGCGGTTGATACTGCAAGTCATCGACATTCTTGCTTCCCGCATGAATGAGCTTGGAGAGCACCGCCGGCCCTACCTCAGTGTCCTCGCCTCTTTGGTGGAGAGATCGCAGAGCGAGGAGGTGTGCAATAAGATATTGGACTTGGTAGAGACCTGGATCTTCCACTCGAGCGAGCCAGTCCCCACGTTGAAAGAGAAGACAGCGGTCCTAAGCAAGATGCAATCGTTTGAGCAGCGCCAAGATCCAACCCTCTTAAATCGCTTCTTGGATCTTGTCATCCGCATTTATGAAGATCCCAAGATTACACGGTCAGAGCTCACGGTTCGCATGGAACATGCCTTCCTTATCGGTACCAGAGCGGTTGATGTGAAGATGCGGAATCGGTACATGGCCATCTTCGATAAGAGCATAAGCCGGACGGCGTCCAGTCGCCTCAGCTATGTCCTTGCATCTCAGAATTGGGAGGTCCTTCGCGACAGCTTTTGGCTCAGCCAAGTTATTCATCTCATGTTTGGCTCCGTCGAACTGAACATGCCAGCTCAGCTGCACGCGGAAGACTTCAAGCTCTTGCAGCCCAGCACTCTTTTTGGCACGTACAAGCAGGATGCGCGAATCGCAGATGTCATGGTGGACGATGAGCTTGAAACGCTTGTCAATAACCAGCGTCGTTTCTGTAACCAACTTGCCGATGTGAAAGTCCGCGATATCTTTGAGCCTTTGGGACATCTGCAGCATGCAGATCATGGTCTTGCTCACGACATCTGGGTGGCTCTCTTTCCCCTGGCTTGGACCGCCCTCACGAAAGACGACCAAAATGATCTGGAAAAAGGCATGGTCACGCTGCTCACCAAGGACTACCATTCGTCACAGATCGACAAGCGGCCAAACTGTGTTGCCACTATGCTTGAAGCCATCGTCCACGCCCGGCCTCGTATCAAGTTCCCTTCGCACATTATCAAGTATCTTGCGAGAACGTACAATGCATGGTACACAGCAGCCGTATACATGGAAGAATCTGCCATCAGTCCCATAGTTGACACAGCGGAGGTTCGGGAGAGCAACCTGGACGCGTTGCTAGAGATATATGCTGGTTTACAAGAAGACGACCTCTTCTACGGCACCTGGCGTAGGCGCTGTCAGTTCTTAGAGACGAATGCTGCGCTTTCATACGAGCAGTGTGGCATCTGGGATAAGGCGCGCGAGATGTATGAACAGGCTCAAACCAAGGCACGAACATCTGTGCTGCCTTTCTCGAGGGGCGAGTACATGCTCTGGGAAGACCATTGGGTCATCTGCGCTCAGAAGCTGCAGCAGTGGGAGGTCCTGAGCGATTTCGCCAAACACGAGAACTTCAATGATCTCTACCTGGAGGCAACATGGCGCAGCTTTGACATGTGGCAGAATCCCGAACAGCGCGAGCAACTCGATAGCATCATCAAAGCCGTCAGCGATGCCCCGACTCCTCGTCGTGTCTTCTTCCAAACCTTCATGGCCCTCCTCAAACTGCACAACAAGATCGAGAGCCAATCGGAGTTCAACCGCCTCTGCGACGAGTCGATCCAACTGTCCATCCGCAAATGGCATCAGCTGCCGCGGCGTATCACCAATGCGCACATCCCCATACTGCAGCATTTCCAGCAGATGGTCGAGCTCCACGACGCCAGTCTGATTTGCCAAAGCTTAGCTGCGACTACTCAGGCCAATCTGGACCACAAGTCTCAGGAGCTGAAACTCCATCTCAGCACCTGGCGTGACCGCCTACCAAATTTCTGGGACGACATCAATGCGTGGCAGGACCTTGTCACATGGCGCCAGCACATCTTCCAACTGATCAATGGTGTCTATCTGCAGCTGCTGCCGGCGAATCAGAGTAATGCGACCGGAAACTCGTATGCGTACCGTGGCTACCACGAGACAGCCTGGATCATCAATAGATTCGCCCACGTCGCCCGTAAGCATAATCTCCCTGAAGTGTGTATTGCACAGCTCAGCCGTATATACACGCTGCCCAACATCGAAATCCAGGAAGCTTTCCTCAAGCTGAGGGAGCAGGCTAAGTGCCATTACCAGAATCGGGCAGAGTTGACTAATGGCCTTGATGTGATCAACAACACAAACCTGAATTACTTCGGCAACCAGCAAAAGGCCGAGTTCTATACACTGAAGGGAATGTTCCTTGCTCGTCTCGGCCAGAAGGTAGATGCGAATGAGGCATTTGGTAGTGCCCTTTTCTTCGACCTCAAGCTCCCCAAGGCCTGGGCCGAATGGGGCCGTTACAACGATATGCTTTTCAAGGAAGATCCAGCGGATCTAGAAAAGGCAGAGGCCGCGCTTTCCTGCTATCTGGAGGCTGCAAGTCTGTTCAAGAATGCTAAGTCGAGGAAGCTGCTGGGCCGCGTGCTTTGGTTGCTCAGCTTGGACAATGCGCAGAGGCGGCTTGCAACGAAGTTCGAGGAGTTCAAAGGAGATACCCCTGCATGGTACTGGATCACGTATATCCCGCAGCTTATTCAGAGCCTGTCTCGTCCAGAGGCACCCATTGCGAGACAGATTCTCGCGAAACTGGCAAAGACCTATCCCCAGGCTCTCTACTGTCATCTGCGAACCGCAAGAGAGGACATGGCAGCGCTTAGGAAGCAGCATGAGATAAAGGAGAGGCAGAAGCAGGCGCTCGCACACCAGCAACAGCAACAGCAGGCGCAGAGCTCACCAGCTCCAAAACCATCACCAGATCGACCCGCATCCGCCGCCGGCCCTGGCGCTCAACCCACCCCCGGCGACACAACAAAACCCACGCCCAACGGCACTCCTAGCGTCAAGGTTGAGAATGCGACCGACGGTCCTGCACCCGCATCGGCATCTGCGCCTGCAGCTACTGGTGCAGAAGCCACTCCAGCGCCGCCGCCGCCGCCGCCGAAGAGGCCATGGGACCACGTCGAAGAAATCGCCCAGATTCTCAAGACGGCCTTTCCACTGCTTGCGTTATCGATCGAAACCATGCTTGACCAGGTTCAACGGAACTTCAAGTGTCAACCGGACGAGGATGCCTACCGCCTCATCGTTGCCTTGCTCAATGATGGTCTCTCCTATGTCGGTCGCCAGCCAGCCTCGTACACCCCTGAAGTACGGCTTCCCCCTTCGACTGAGGCCAACATCACACGATTTGCGGAGTCCGTTCTGCCAACACACATCCGAAAGTCGTTTGAGATGGATTTTGTTGTGCACAAACCTACCATGTACGAGTACATACAGAAGCTGCGCGTCTGGAGGAACCGTTTCGAGGAGAGACTGGACCGCAGGAAGCTCTCCGTGCCGCTGGAGACCTTCACACACCAGCTAAATGAGTTCCGCTTCCTCAAGTTTGACGACATTGAAGTGCCCGGGCAGTATCTACAGCACCGCGACAAGAACTCCGATTTCGTGCGCATTGACCGCTTCTTGCCTGATGTCGACTTGGTTAGGGGCATTGGCGTTTGCCACCGCCGTCTCAAGATCCGTGGCCACGATGGAAGTATCCATCCCTTTGCTATCCAGTATCCTGCAGCTAGAAACTCCAGGAGGGAAGAACGGATCTTGCAACTCTTCCGCATCTTCAATGTCATATTATCCAAACGAAAAGAGAGCCGTAGGCGTAATCTTCAATTTCACCTGCCGCTCATCGTACCCATTTCGCCTAGCATGCGTATGGTACAAGATGATGCCTCCTATATGAATATGCAGGGCATTTACGAGGATTATTGCCGACTCAACGGCATCAACAAGGATGAGCCGGTGTTATTCACTATGGAGAAACTTCGTGCTCTTCAGCCTGTAAGTATTGCTGCTCCATCAACACTCAACGACAACTAACATTACGAAGCAAAAGAACGTGGATCATGCGAACAACATACGCGTGGAGACATTTGCGGCAATCCAGGAGAAGTACGTGCCGCCGACGATCATGCTTGACTATTTCCGCTCGACCTATCCATCCTTTGACGAGTATTGGCTGTTCCGCCGCACATTTTCGTACCAGTTTGCGGCACTCACCTTCATGACCTACGTCATGCACATGAACGCACGTCTCCCGCACAAGATCAACATATCGCGCGGCTCTGGTCGGGTGTGGGGCACTGAGGCAATTCCTAGTATGGCGGGTCTGAAGCCGATACTGCATAACAACGAGTCCGTGCCATTCCGCCTCTCGCCCAACCTGCAAACCCTCATGGGTCCTCTCAACATCGAGGGCATCTTTGCACCAGCCATCATGAGCGTTGCGCGCTCTCTCATCGAGCCCGAGGGTGAGCTCGAGATGCAATTGGCTGTCTTCATGCGCGACGAGGTGACGCATTGGTACGCGAGCCAGCGGAAGGAACTTGGGCCGGATCTGCTGCGCGACGGCGTGTCGAATAATTCGGACCTTATTGTCAAGCGGGCGACGAGTCTGGGAAGCTTGCCTACTAGCGGCAATCTGCCGGCGAACCAGACGGTGGTGGACCTCATCAGTCAGGCGGTTCATCCGGTCAAGTTGGCCATGACGGACCCGTTGTGGATGGCATATTATTAGAGGGGCGGAGGGAAAAGAAGGATAGGATGATTTTTGGTCTTTGAGGAGTATAGTCGGGTTCAGGAGTTTGGCGTCCCTGTGTTGGCGGATTCTATAGGGAAAGAGTACCCCCCGGGATGTTTTGCATGGTGTTTGGCGTCCCTCTCTGTGGATACCAAATACTGCTGGAGTTCTAGTTCGTCACGATGTATTATCTATGGCGATGGTTAGCTGGGGATGGCCAGCCAGCACGCCGTTCGAAGATGGAAAGGCGTGCCTGAGGCTGCTATCCTTTTGGCATGATTGATGTATTTGAAGGCTTGCATGGATTGGTGTTTTTCTATGTGAGTAATATGGGGGTTTCGAACGCCGTAGTGTTTTAATAGATGGCGCTTTTGTGTTCAGTAGTTTGATTTGGCCTCAAGCATGCATGGTGTGTAGTGGGAGGAATCTTCACTGTATGTTCGTGAAATGGAGGGCCGTTAGATTTGGTAAGTTGGCGGCGGTACGTCGAGGTCCAGGTAGGTTTGTTCGCCTGAAGCACCGGAAGCAAAGAGGGCACAATTGTTGCGCGATGAGGGGAAGCGTAGGCGCGAGCAAGAGTGCGCGGACTGTTTGGGAACATGGTGCGTATGACGATCTTGAATGTTTCCCTCGAGGTAGCCAGTTGAAGTCTGCACTTGGCGTGGAAAGCCCAGGGGTGAAACCGTTACGTATCTTTCATAGTGACTTATGACTGAAATAGCTTGCTTGGATGGTTGGGTAGCTAGGCAGTTAATTCTGCCGTGTTCGTGGGATCTCACAGCGGAGTCAGTGAAGATGACGACGTCCGTAAAACGAGCGCCGGACTTCCCGAACGACGTATCATGATGACTTTGAACTGCCATAGAGCGTTGAAAATACTAGTGGAGTAACACAAGGCCAGCCAAAGTAACGGGCTATGGTTGAAGTATGATTAATCTGGTGCGTCACTTCAATAATACCTGCGCCTTTGGGTTCGAGAACTGCCGGTGAGAAATCTTGTTGATCCCTTCACTCAAGCTCTGGCACATAGAATTCAGGAGAAGCCACTCAAGTAAAAAAAATAGTAAATTTGGCGTCTGCCGACCTTCACGCCGTAGTCCTATATTAGCATATACGAGAGCTATACCATCTAAGACCGACGACCACTCTGCCCAACTTATTCCGAAGCGTTGGGCGAATTATCGTTTCTATCCAAATTGCCATCTCTGCAGCAGAGATGCGCCACGGTACCATCCCAGACCAAATCATCATCATTTTTCAGCCGATGTCTACTGCAATGCAGAGAAACGCCCAAGTTACTGGAAGCCTCCGACCCCTCAATGCCATATACATCACCCCAGCTGCCCTTACCCATTCAAAAATTGGCCTTGGAAGTCTTGGGGGAGGTTTGTCTTTACCAGCTCCAACTCTTTGGATAAGTTCAGTCGAACGTCCGTACTAGGATCAAGGAAGCCGAGGGCAAAGGAAGGCGGCTTTGGGCCGGCAGTCGCTGCCATGTCGAAGTGGACGATCGTGGATGTGAGCTGTGTCTGGACGGCGAACGAGGGACTTGGTAAGGCAACGCCGTCCAGAAAGTGAAGCTCATGGAAACCTTTTGCAGCGAATGTTCAATAGTTGCAGAGCATCAGTTCCTCTGAAACACAGATTATTCTTATTCCATTCATCGTACGTCTTCGTTACACATAGAACGGTGGATTGAAGAGTTGAGACAAAGTGTTTGTAACATACAGCTTACATAATGTGGAGGATGGCATCAGAACGCTTTTCTAAGAAGACTTCAAATGAAATTTTCAAGCCTATCAACCACTGAGAATGCACAAATATGCGTAGGCTGGAGTATCAATATAATTGTATTGTTTGAGAACTCGATAAGGAGCAGTTGACATCTAGTCACTGCAAAGAATTGAAGATTGAACCAGTTTTGAAAAGCCACCGCCCTACAGATCTTGCATTGTACGTTTAGTTGCCATCCCAAACCTTGGGGCCAGGCATGACGTAGGAGCGCGGGTTGTTCCACTTGTTGAAAGCGATTCCGGGGTCGCTGGCCTTGTAGACACCGGGAATCTTGACCTTAGGCTGCGGGTTGCCTCCGCCCGGGCCCTCAATCTTGAGCTGGTCTTAGGAAGGGTTAGTGAGACTTCATGACAGAAGCAAACGGGGCAGACATACAGCATTCAATGTAGAACTGGGCCTTTCCAACATGGCCCTCGTGAAGACCGATGTGCTCGACACGGACGAGGTACTCTCCAGGGGGGATCTTCTGCTGAATGGTCCACTCAAGGCGATCCTTCTGCCAGCTGCACCAGCTGTTGTCGTTTCCGGGGCTGCTCGGGTTGCAGAGACCGTTCTCCATGACCTTGACCCAATCACCTGAGCCATCGTAGTCCTTGACCGCACCAGGTGCCTTGGAGATGTAGACAAAGCCGGGGCCGGGGTGCTCAATGAACTCGTTGTTGAAGAGCTTGAAGCCAATCTTGTCACCGGCCTTGACAGTGTAAGTAGGCGTGTTGCCAGGCCTGGCGCCCTTGTTGCAGCGAAGGTCCGGGCTGTTCATGAGCTCGCTGGGGAAGGATGGGTTGTAGGAGTTGCTGTTCTTGCGCACGTAGGCATATTCGCCGCCGATGCTTTGACCATTGACAATGAGCCTGTTGAAGATGTAGTGCGCTTCGGTGAGCGGCGCCAGCAAGGCGGCGAGAAGGACGGCCTTCATGTTTGGAAAGAAGAGAAGAGAGGGAAGCGGAGTGCTACGGTCCTGCAAAAGTGAACACCGACGCTTCTTCACCGTGGCTTTTATACATATATGCTCGAAACATGCCTTTCCTCTCTGGGGCTAAAGGTGTTTCGATTGGAGGAAATATTCCCAAGTCGCTTTCTACGGGTTGTTAAATCCTGTTCCATCCACTAATTCTTCTATGTACGCTCTAGGGTTTTTCCCGTCGGCCTGCAATCTGTTTCATATTGCAAAGGATGGTGGAGTGGTAGCCAAGTCTATGCGCCAAGTTCCGGATATGTTCGGGTGAAGGTTCAACCCAACCATGGCATTTGCATCCGCGTTTCCCATGTTTGCCAAGATCGGGGGAACATATTGGACCGTCTAGAAACGACGGAGCCGAATGCCGGTATTTGATATGCAGGCAAATGACCTCAGAGCCGGATTATGTAGGCGTTGCCTTGGGTGTAAATGCAGCCCTGTTTTCGGGGAATTCTCGTATTCGGGGAGAGGCGAGGCTGTCTGCGTGACCAGTTTGGGAAGAACGGTAAACTGGACGAATAACTCCTATTGCACCGGTCATCAGGCTTGCAGAAGGCCAAGGACTTGTACAAGACGTGAATAATATCTGCCATCGGTAGGGGTATGGACTCGCGATCTAATGATCGACACAATTCGCCCTACAAGGACCGCTTCGTCACAGACTATGGGATGGTATTATTAGTACGGAGTACCAGTGGATTCTCGCGCCGAGCTCACCATGTTTCCCGATGTTTCAGGTTCCGTGTCTCCTACTCGCTTGTTGTTTGTTGGACCACGAAACAGTCCAGTGGATCTGGACAATTATAGCGCATTCCGATATTCCATTTCAGGGTGCCGGAGAGTACGGGCTTTATGTAGAATAAGGCTGAACGCCCAGAATAATAAGATCCTTCTAGGTTCCAACATTGCGATGACAGAGGAGTGCCCCAGTAATTGTTGATCGACATCCCTCATAAACAATGCGTCCCTGATTGCAACTTTGCCAACCCGAGCCACCGAGCCTCACTGGCCTTGTATATGTGGAAGGGAAGAAAGACCCCGGCAGTGGAATGAGGATTGCGTACTCCGTACTGAAAGGCGTCATTCCAGAACGGGGTGATTTCAAAATAATTGTCCACGAGCAACGGTTCGTCAGCGCTCTTCAAGATGAATGTTCAATAGATCGTGGTCGACACGCACCGCGGAAAAACCGGAAGGGAATGAAGGGAAGATAGGCACACCGGAAAAGCAGTGCAAATGCACTCCCGCATGGATTGCTTGTAGCTCACCGGGTACGACTCTCAGTTGTGGAGACGTGAATGCTGACTAGAACAACGTTTCCTGAAGCATGTACGCAATTGGGTTGAATGTTTCAGGCACCGGAGTCACTACACGGTGAAGGACCCAGTGCAAAATCGTGAGCTGAAAATCGCTGTCAAAGCGTCCTCATTGCCTTTAGCAAATACCGCTGCTTGGAATTCCCGTTGTGGATATTTATAGTCAGAATATCCCGCTTCCGCGGGTAACGGCCTCATGAAGGTATAGCGTTGCGTCTACCTGAAGCACCCAGCTGTAGGAAGGTGTTTCAAGTTGTTGGAAGCTTTCGAAGGGAACATCTACCGCACCAGCGATGGGAATAGTGTACCACTAGACCCCTTTTCTTTTGGAAATGAACAGTTGGACGAGGGTTCGAGGTTAATGAAGTGTCTTCTTGAAGGCGGAAGAGTGAATGTCTAGGAAGAATAATTACATAAGCGCTTACAAAGCGTGTTTTCCGATTTGCTCTGTTTGCACTGCCCCACCATAGAACCCCACCATCCCGAAGACTTCAAGCAACGAAATTTATCTCATCCCCTTGGACACACGCAACAAAACAACAACAATGGAGGCGCAAATCGAGGAGTGGCAGCAACGTGCCGAGGCCCTGAAGCCTCTTAACCTTAAGCAGCTCGAAGGCCCTCTAGCCGAACTGGACGCCCATCTTACCTTGCGCACACACATCGTGGGATACACCATCACCGATGCTGATACCACTGTCTGGAGGACCTTGCGCGAGAACCGCGTGGCACATGCCTACATTAAGCAGAACTTGATGACGAATCTGTGCCGGTGGTTCAGGTACATTGAAGAGGCATATCCCCAACAAGCTGCGCTCCCAGAGCGACCGGCGAAGTCCAAGGACGACAAAGGCAAGGAGAAGAAGAATGACGAGGGTGCCAATTACGACATTGGCTTGCAAGATGTTGGTGATGGGACTGGGATCGTGACTAGGTTCCCTCCGGAGCCCTCAGGATATCTCCATGTCGGACACGCCAAAGCTGCGCTGCTCAACGACTACTTCGCACACGAGAAGTACAAGGGCACCCTCATCCTCCGATTCGACGATACGAACCCTATCAAGGAGAAGCAGGAGTTCCAGGATGCTATTGTAGAGGATCTGGCACTCATGGGCATCAAGCCGGATAAGGTCACCTACACGAGCGACTACTTCCAACAGCTTTACGAGTACTGCGTTCAGATGATCAAGGAGGGAAATGCTTACGCTGATGATACCTTGCAAGAGAAGATGAGGGAGGAGCGCATGAACGGTATTCCTAGCGAGCGTCGCGACTCTAGTGTTGAGGATAACCTGGCGCGCTTTGAAGAGATGAAGAAAGGGACAGAGGAGGGCATCCGATGGTGTATAAGGGCCAAAATCTCGGTAGACGACCCGAACAAGGCCATGCGTGATCCCGTCATTTACCGTTGCAGCCCGGAGGTGCACCATCGCACTGGTGACAAGTGGAAGATCTACCCGACATATGATTTCTGCTGCCCTATTGTTGACTCCTACGAAGGCGTTACCCACGCTCTGCGTACGACCGAGTACAATGATCGCGACGCCCAATACCAGTGGATTCTGAAGGCTTTGAAGCTTCGTCACGTCTACAACTGGGGTTTCTCTCGCCTCAACTTTGTAAGAACGCTTCTTTCTAAGCGCAAGCTCACTAAGATCGTGGACACTGGGTTTGTTGATGGTTGGGATGATCCGCGTATGCCAACCGTCCGCGGCGTCCGCCGTAGGGGTGTCACCATTCCCGCTCTTCGCGAGTTCATCCTCAAGCAAGGCCCCTCCAAGAACATCGTGAACCTGGACTGGTACAGTTTCTGGGCAACCAACAAGAAACACATCGATCCTATTGCTGGGCGCTACACGGCTATTGCCGACGCTGCCAAGGTTCCTGTCAAGGTTGTTGGAGCTCGTGAGGGCGTCACGACCGAGGAGAAAGACAAGCACGCGAAGTTTGACCTAGGCAAGAAGAAGGTGGTCTACAGCTCGTCCATCCTGCTCGAGCAAGCCGACGCCGCGTCTTTTGCTCAGGATGAGGAAATCACCCTTATGAACTGGGGCAATGCCTTTGTGCGCAAGATCTCGCACTCCAGCGACCCTGCCGCCTCGCCGGGCCAGAAAACCGTTACTGGTCTCGAGCTCGAACTCCACCTGCAAGGCGATGTTAAGAAGACCTCCAAGAAGGTGACCTGGCTGTCCACCGACCAGAATCTGGTTCCTGTCCAGCTGCACGAGTTTGATTACCTCATCACGAAGGATAAGCTCGAGGAGGGGGATGAGCTGGAGAAGTTCCTTAACCCAAATACGCGCACAATCACGCACGCACTCGCGGACTGCAATGTAGCTGAGCTGAGGGAGGATGATATTATTCAGTTTGACAGGAAGGGATATTTCAGGATTGACAAGGGCTTCAAGCCTGGTGAGGATGTGGTGGCTTTCCTGATCCCCACGGGCAAGAGCAAGTAAGCGATGTGTTGCTATATGCAGTATACGACATATAGAAAAGGGAATGCTAAGGATAATGCCCAAATTCTTCAACCGAACTGTTTCCCAAGGTTATCGCTGTACACAGGCAATACCAGTCGAACACCTTGAAGCTTATACAAAACATTCAATACCAACCAGAAATGCTGCCATGACCCATGCCGCCCCGCAGGTCAATTCAGTAACATATGAATGCGTGGAGCCTTCCCAGACCTATGCTCATGCAGAAACAAATGAGATCCTAATCCTTATTGTACACGTAGCGTTGAACTTCATTCAAGAGCGACGAACTGCAGTCATGACAATGCTACTGAACTATCCAATGGCCCAGACGTTACACAGACCTGGCAGTTTTCTTTATCATTGTGGAGACCCGATTGAAGAGAAGAGGGGCATAAAAGATCTTCGGGCGGTATAAGTAGGCGTATCAATGGATTGGCCATCGAAGAGATATATATTGCCTCAACTGTAAGGTCAGCAGCGAACATCCATGCGCATTTCAGAAACCAGTGGATGGCATGGCGGGAGCTACATCTGAATATTCCAGTGTCCGTCTGGCAATTCCGTCACAATGTCTTCCACTTTCTGGACCCGTCCTTTAACCGCTATTAAATTTGGCTTCGTGGAACTGGCAACAGGTGTGCGAGAGCTTGCTTACCGCATATAGGTCATATTGACGGTTTCAGCGATCGTCGTAGCAGGCTCACGGTGAAGCATCTCCTATAAGGCCAAAGGACCAGCACGTCTGAGCATATACGCAATCTAACCTTTCACCAGGGGCCGAAGTAGACGTGTTCAGATTGTCCGTATGGTATGGTTGGAATAGGCGCAACGCTTGTCGATTGTATAATGTGTCAATGCTAACCGTGTGATGTGGAGAACTTTGAATGCTTCAGTATGAGCACATTGTTCAACTACACTGCACGGGAGAAGAGCTAGTTGTTACTGCTGACTGCTGTTTCCTTGCGCTCATTGTCCTCTCACATTGGTCTGGACAATGTCATATGGCGCGCCAGAGGCGGTTTATATACTCCTACTGGCTTGCCTGAAGCTACCTGGTTCCCAACTTGTATCGAGAAAGGAATACAACCCGGAGATCAACCACACACTTTCGACTCGTATTATCAAACTCCGCCATCAGAGCATCATGCCCTTTCGCCGACTTCCCCGCCTCAATTCCGCCGCTATGACCGATCATTCGGACAACATGAGCGACCATTCCGTCGACATGAACGAGGGATATTTCCGTGAGACCATGAATCTGATATTCCCAGGCATCGATCCAGCCTGGGACCCAGATCTTGAAGAGCTCATTGGGTTCCTCTTGCAAAGTGGCGACACTGCTCGGATCGGGAGTTACCCTGTCGACCTCGAGGAAATTGCCACTGAATTACGGTCAGAGGACGAGTCTGAGTGGACGCTCGACGAGCGGGTGGTAATCTACGTTGTCGATAACCTGAAGCATATCAAGAGACTGCTACAGGCGAGGTTAGATCGGGTTTCGCTTGATTACGATGATATCATCTCGGACTCGAATTTGACGGACAGCATCATCAGCATTCGAGCTCAAGTGCTCGAAGAGCTGCTCGTTGCTGCGGCATGCTGTGCTCGACATGGCGCGATGGGTGATCGTAGAGTTGCTCGGGATGAATATGCGCAGCACGCCTCGAGTGCCGCAAGTCTCAAGGAGCGGATAGATGAGAATATCGAGGCCTTGGAGGAGCGTCTCTTCTACAGGGAGTTTTCTCCTGAAGAGGTCTATGAGGATCCAACCGAGCTAGTGAATGCGGGTTCAGACATCCAGGTCACCGATATCTCAACCAGGGTGTCGTCGGCAGAGGCCAAAGATCAATCCTGCCCTGTTTGCCAAGGGGATTTTGAGGATGCGTCGGAAGTTCCGGTTCGTCTTCGCTGCGGCCACGTCATGGGCGCCGAATGTCTGAATCTCTGGGTTAACAGCACGCAGGTCAACCATAACACTTGCACGCTTTGCCGGGCAGAGTTGTGCCATCCGCGGCCCGGTCAGCGCCGCTATGAACAGATGCGACCGCAGCTTGTCCGTTCGTTCTGGCGAGTCCACGCTTACAAGCCGGAAGACACGTATGTTGATATCCCCCACGAGAAGGCCATTCTCCGATACATGATCACAATCCTGGCGGCGTTCTCGAAACAGCTTGCTGGGGTTCTCGCACAATTGGCCCCCTGATGGTAAGGTAACATCCAGTGATTCTCACGGGCATCAAGATAGCCCACGAGTGGCTCACGCGAGAGCGGTGAGCTCTAGAAACTGCTGTAAGCCGAGCTGATGATAGGCAACTCAAGCAAGAGAACGTTCTTCTGTAAATTCCAATAGCTACCTTCGTCGCTGCAGATATATGATTATCTGGCGAGATGCAATAGACACTTTTCCTTCACCGATGACCATAATCTCTTGCTGCGAGTGTAACGATGTGATTGCCTACCGGATTGAAAGCAGCCTGCGGGAATGTAAAACGTCCGCATGGCTCTTTGAAATCTGTTTGCGATTAGCCCTTCAGATGCAGAGATTCACGAACAGTGATATGAAGTGCATGGGGCATACTTGTCCGGAGCCTGCATTGTACAAGTGACTGGCCTTGTTTGACGACAATGACATTATCACCATTCTTTATGGCTTGAGCAGAGGATGATGCTTCCATGCCTTGCACAATGATGTTCAGTGACCTGTATCTACATAGTATACCAGGTGAGACTGGTTGCAAGTCCCCAGCAACGAGGTCGCACAGCACGTCCCAGGTCGCACAGGCGATGTTGCACCACTGCAGCAAAGGAGCTGAGGGAAATGCCGGAGTGAGAACTCTCAACAGGTAGGTACTGAACCTTTCAAAGGGAATTCGATCTTGACTTTGTGGTGACGAGATGACGGGAGAGGAGGCCGAGGAAGTACAATGCTCGTCCCCATTATTGATTATTGATCGCGGGGGACAGTGATGATGTCGTCATAGCTGTGGATAGAGAGATCGAGGGGCAATAAAACCTGATTTTATTATTTCAATTTTTCATGGTATGATCGAAGCAGGGGAAAGGGTTGGAATTGGTGTACTGAATGCGGTCGTGCTCGGGCTTGGCGGAGGTGGTTGTACGGGCAACAACAAACACCGAGCCAGGATCCAAACCTACACAAACATCGTGACCATCGACCGCTCCACCCCTCCACCCCTCCACCCCTCCACCGCTCGCTCCGTCGCTCGGCCCGCCCGCGGTGCTAAAGAGGCTCGACCGCATATACCTTTTGGATCCCATTATTCTGTCGCCGTAGTGCCAGGTTCAGGCACTCTCCTCCCATCGATATCCATCTACATCTCTCTACACACTCACGCAGACACTCAGACACGTCGGCCCACCCCGCACGCGTTCGCTCAATCCCCTCCGCAATCGCCATTATTTCCCTTATTATAGTCCTTCGCTTTGCACAGAGACTGCCTCTGCTGTTTGCTCTTATCCTCGATTGATACCGTCTGAATGCCCTACTACAACGCGCACGCATACAACTACCGATAATCTCTTTGGCCATGGCGCCGGCCGCCCAACCACTACCCACCCGCTTTCCCTGCTGGTGCAAGGCAATCTATTCCTGGGGAGGCGAGGTGAGTGAGCTTCTTCTGTGTCGGTGCGAGGCTCGCCTAACAACGCCTCTAGACGAAACGCGACTTGGGCTTCATCGAGGGCGACCTCATCGAATGTCTCAATGCAGGTGACGGGTCCTGGTGGATGGGCCGTCTGAAGCGCGACCGGCGCATGGTCGGCCTGTTCCCCTCCAACTTCGTCGAACTACTCCACGAGGATTTCCAGCCATGGAGCCGGAATGCGAGTCCACTCACCCACAACCGAGGAAGCATATCCCGGCAGAACAGTGCCCAACAGCAACCACAGAAACAAACTCCACAGAAGACCAAGAGCATGTTCAGGAAGCCCTTCACCGCCTATGCCGCGGCGGGCTCGCCCAATCCTGCAGCCGCTGCGCGAGAAGTCCAGAAGGCCGGAGGCAGCACCCATGGAAGCCTCAAGGTTACCCACAAGCCCTACTCGTCCATGAAAAGGCTATCCACCGAAAGCCGTGACTCGAACTCGCCGGCCCCGCGGCCGCCTTCCAACCTCAGAGCGGTTTCCCCTCGTCCGTCGTCAAAGCGTTCCATCGCCCCGCGTGCCGTGTCTCCTGCACCACAGTCCAACTTTGACGCCTACTCCAGGGCAGCATCTCCAGCTCCACCTGCACCTTTCCAGCCGACCTCCCGCGGACCATCCCCCATCCCCCGGCACGACTACAGACCGCACTCGCCCAGCCTATCCCCAGCCGCTTCCTTCCAGTACCAGGCATATTCACGGGGACCCTCCCCAGCACCACAGGAAGATTACCGGCCCTTATCTCGCGCAGCTTCGCCTGCTCCATCGTTCCAGTATCAGGCATATTCTCGAGGCCCATCGCCTGCCCCATTTGAAGATTATGGGTCACCTCCCCCACCCCCACCGCCTCCGCATCGTGTTCCCTACAATTCCCATGGAACGCCCTCCCCTGCGCCATCTCCCAGAGCCTATCCTAGCCCAACCACTCAATCTCCCGCCCCACACACTCCGGAGCCTCGACACCGTAACTCTGGGAACTTTACCCCCTCTCCATTGACCAATGCCATGAACGACATTATGTCCTCGTTGCAAGACATGACCATGTCACGCAGTGCGCATACGCCTGACGAGCCCCCAACACCAGCTAATCCATGGTCACCCGAGGCATTTGATCAGATCTATCAAGCGTCCGCGAAAAAGGTCCGCGCACAAACAGCACTGGAAATGGGAAGCCAGCCTGCATATGCACATGAAGAAGGTTTCAGGCACCGGAATAAGAGCTGGGACGATGGGCCCCCTCAGGTGCAGAACTACGTGCAAACGATGGAGAGCAGGTTGAGGCAACTGCAAGCACAGGAGTCTCAGGGTCGTCCGGACGATGAGTTATTCATCCCTCCCGATTCGATTGGGCCTCCCCCTGCTGTTCCCCCCAAGAACCCGTCGTATCAGGCAGCAAGGCCAACGTCTTCCAGCGAAGATGCCCAGCAGGAGGACATGGTGCGGAAGCGCAGCTCACGATTGCTTCGACACCGCAAGTCTGCGTACGAGATAGGACGTAACGTGCTGAACCGAACCTTCACTACAAAGACCAACTCCACAAGTACCACACACACGAGCCAAAGTACGAATCGAAGTTTAATGTCCGGCTACTCCGCAACCAACATGAGTGCCACCAGTGCGGGCAGCTACTATCGTAAGAAGCTGTCAAAGGATCGTCCTCTCAGTGCCATGGAAGATGTCGATGCGACCCCTAAGGCGTACGGCTTTGACAGTGGGCGGCCCGAGACGCCATTTACGGGAGTGACCTACCATTCAAGTCATGCCTCTCAGCCTCGGCCTGAGACGCTCCATCAACAGAGCAACAGCTGGTCTGGGGAAGTGAAGGAGGGGCAGGACCCCCTCGGTGGGCTTACGGCGCCTAAACCGAAGAAGAGTGGCTTTTTCCGCAAGATGATAGACACAGCAAAGACCTCTGCCGCCAACGCCCGAAGCACCATTGCTGCTGGCTCATTAAGCAGGCCCGGTTCGCGCGCCGCTAGTCGAGCGGCCAGTCGTGCTGCGAGCCGCGCCGCTGGTCGCATCGATGACGGAACTCCAACCGCTATCGCCGGTGGTACTGCTGTTCAGTCAAATGCAGCTCGAGATATGGGATTGGGTGGTTCCATTGACTGGGTTCAGGTTCGTCGCGATGTGAATCGCTCCAACTCCCTCAGCAGAAATGAACGGCGAGAACGAGCAGATCGCTGCACCATGCTCGACATTCCCGTCATAAATCCCGTCGATATTCTGTACGAGTCAGCCGAAGGAGACGAAGGCCTAGACGGATTGCCCATTACAGAGCCGACGGACTTCACAATGTCAAACCTTGCATTAGTCGACAAGAGTACAAGATTCGTGAACAGCATTCCTCTTGGTACCACACCCGCTTCTCTTGCTCAGGGTTATGTCTGTCGGCCATATAGGAGCGATGTTCAACGTCTGCGAGCCATATTCACTTGGACTAGTGAGCGGATTCGCTGGGAAGAGGACTTCGAGGGCGAAATTGACACCCGGCTGGTGTTGCAAAATAAACGAGGCTGCTCTCAAGAGATTGCAATCCTAGTCGCAGAAATGTGCACTGCTGTCGGTCTTCACGCAGAGGTGGTTCGCGGTTATCTCAAGACTCCAGGGGAAACACTTGACCTCGAGAGCGCGGCCCGACCAAACCATTTTTGGAACGCCGTCATCGTCGAGGGGGAATGGCGCATCATGGACTGTTCCCTTGCAGGGCCAACCAATCCCAAACGTGCGCTCTACTCTGACGTTGGCTCCCAGACCGCAGATCCGTGGTACTTCCTCGCTCGCCCGATGGAGATTTGCTATACCCATGTGCCTCTACTCCCAGAACAGCAACATATATGTCCGCCGCAACCGCATGAGGTGTTAATGGCTCTGCCGTGCGCCAGCCCGACATACTTCAAGCATCGATTGCACATGGTCGACTTCGACACGAGTTTGCTAAATCTTGACAATCTGGAAGTGGCGCATATCTACATCAACGTGCCTGAAGATGTAGAATGTGTGGCAGAGGTAGAAGCAAAAGCCGTTACGCAAGACGCTGATGGCGATTATTTCGAGAGCGGCGACATTGTGGAGAAGCCTGCGTTGGCACAAGCAGAGTGGATAGCTGGTCAGAAGCGCTATACTGTTAAAGCGTTGCTTCCAGGAGATGAGGGTCATGGCGTACTGAAAGTATATGCCGGACCTCGTGGCCTCATGGTAAGTTCTTGTCCTTCCTTTTGACATTGCGTTACTAATTAGCACCAGCACTCCAACAAGCACAACCCCCATTCCCTCGCCCTCGCACTGCCCATCAATCATACGGGCACCAACCCGCCATATTCTTTTGTCACCCTGCACCCCACTCCTCACGCCCAGCGACACGACCTCTATATCGCACAGCCCCAATGCGCTAACCTGGCCCTGAATAATACCTACGTCTTCACCGTCCGCCAACATCCATCTTCTACTAAAACGCGCTCCAACTCCCACGACAGCACTGCAAACAGTGGAGGTGGCCGCATCAGCCCCGCGCCCTTCGGAATCACGCGTCCTACATCTGCGATGAGCGTCCATTCCATTTCCGCCTCTGGCTCCAATTATTCCTCCAACCCGTCCACGTCCTCGTCTGGCGCGAACCTACCTGGGACACACGCGCTCAAACCAGCAAAACTGGCCATACAAACGCCATCAGGGAAAATTATCCGGTTGACGCGCAAAGCAGAGCATATGACTGGAACCGGTGGAAAGAGTGAAGATGGCACTCCTGACCTGACATCGACATGGGAGACGGTGATCAAGATTGGGGAACGAGGGGTTTGGCGCGCACTTGTACTGGCGGATCGGAGTGCGAGGTGGTGCGTTTTCGCGCAGTGGACAGGGCAATAGAAAACGATTGCACGCTTTCGCCATTCGATGTTTCAAGAGCATGGCCATGACTGCAGTTGGTCTTTATTGATGAAGTTTGACGCCACGTGTACGATAACGATAAAGATTAGATCTTGGTTCTTTCGTGTACCGTGTATCTGCATGTCTGGGTCTAGTGGCGCGAGAAACCTATAATGACATACGGAAGAAGTGTTAGGGCTGAGCGAAGGAGTAGGTGGGAGTAATGCAGACGAGCTCGGGATGCGTGCTTTGGATGTTTCCAGGCTCACGATTAGCGTTTGTTAGGAGTGTCTAGACTGGCACGGACAGCCCGTAGTAGCTCGACTATGTCAAAAACGCCGAAACAATGCAGGGAATTCGTACTTGTAACCAATCTGAATGAATATGCAAAGAAGGCTTGACTACGGCAACTATCCGGGTGATGGATCCGCATCAGTCCGTGGAGGCGGGACATGAGACGCCGTTTTCTCAAAGTACCGAAAGAGGCGTCAAGACTTCCTTACCGAAGATCTGGCGGTCAGAACAGCATTGTGCGATAAAACCTGTTAGTTACAAGCTGCGGAAGATGTTAAATCACTGGCGCACTGTGCCGGCAATTCACTGCACTTCAGTCCTCTTAAGCTTGAAAACGTCCCATAGTGTCATTCCATTCCATGATAGTAGCTAGAGCTACGGACCCATAACCCATCTCAAACCGCTGGAATGTTCCATATCCATGTGCTACCCTCCATCGGCTTCACCGCGAATAGATCCTGATTGGTGTGGCAAAGCCAATACATTGTTTGGATCGCCGTGCTTTCGAGAAAAGTTAGCTTGCGTCTGCTCGAGATCCCAGCACGGAGCTTCATACCGCAGCCACTTTCAGGTGGTCGTGTCCAACGACTCATGGACCTCATCGCCGGAGGTGTCGTTCTTGTTGTTTCCATCCTCGGTGATGGTGCTGTTGGCGATGCCCTCGTAGCCCTGATCGGCAGCTCCCTTGTGCATATACCAGCAAGTGTAGTGCGTGACGCCTCCAATGCCTCCGGGGCCAACGGCGAGGTCCGTGGTGGGGCCCCAGGGACCCAAGATATGGAGACGGAAGGAGTTCTGCGGACAGCCCGGCGCACTGCGAGAGTGAGCAACGAAAACACACTTGTGATTCGAGTGAATGGAGAGATTTCTTGACCTACCCGTAGAAGCGGCATTGAGCACCAGGACGAACATAAAGCCAGTACGTAGGCCATCTGGCTTCGTTGCAGCCGAGATCATCGTAGAGAGCGTCGCGCAAGATGTGGTCGTCCGGAGGTTTGGCACTGTACCAACCGGCCATGCGTCGTGCTTGGGACTCGGAGGCGCCGGCGGTAAGGCCCAGGGCGGTCGTGATGAGCAGAGTGAGTTGCATTGTTGTGGAGAGTGCTTGGAAGACTAGTAAAGTTTGTTGAAAGAAGTTGTGGTTGAAGGGAAAGAGTGAAGGAGCAATGTTGGGACTCGGGAGGTTTTATATAATATGTCCTGGACTCGTGGGCCGTGAGGGCGGTGTGGGCAAATCACTTGGGTTGAATCGATGGCGGTGAAAGAACGTATGCTAAGGTAAGAGACTCTCCTATAAAAGGTAATAGACTTTCTCATGACGTAGTTGCGCCCTTTCACTTCATTAATACTAGTGCTTGTGTGCACATGGCCGGAGAGCCAGTGAAACATCTCAGAGCCTTCCTTGATCTGTGCCTGCTTTCGAACCGCTGGGAAGGTTTACTAGCAAAATACGGTTGGTCCACCTAGACAAATTGCAATGAACTCCTTCCTAGATCTGAATATTTTCCGCAGTGGTAGTACGGGGTGTGCGGGAGCGTACAGAATCGACCCGCCTCTAGAAGGCGTAGCATTGTAAAGTACTATCTCAGTGCTTAAAGTGCTCATTCGTATCTAGGCAGTGCAGTTCGTATTTACAGCCACGCAAGCGAGGAGATTTATAGCAGGCATTGATGTTGTACGTATCAGACTATCACAAGTAGGTACTGCAGGAGACGTAAAATCAAATATCTGCCCAAACAGCATTAGGTAAACAAGATTATTCTCAAGTGTTGCAGAGAGATAATAAGTCCGCTGCTCCTAGTACTAGTTCAACAGCCCTCGGTTCACGTGGGCTACCCGTGGAGGGGCTTTGTACAGTGCATTATCAGAATGTATTTAAAGGGGCCTATGGGAACATTCATGAACTTCAAAAATCTAGGGACGGAAATGTAATAACCTTACTAGTTCTAGGAGCACTTCTGCTTACGTCTTTCGCTGGCCTCCTACCTAGGGTAGTTCTAGCGAGCCTTGCGTTTATGATGGAACTTAAAAGACGACCTTCTTTGCAACCCGAATCGGAGACGGTATGCAGGCTGCGAGTACTACAGTATACCTAAAGACTTTGCAACTACTAGAATTCTATTGACTATATAATGGCCTGCCAACCCTGTATGATTTAGACTTAATCGGGAATTATTGCCTAGTGTTGGCGGGGGCTGGGGATCCTTCGGAGTTTATTTATCACCGACGCGCTTCTACTCCACAAGTACACAGTAGATTTTATTAGATATCTAATCCTTGCTCGTCTGAGACAGCCCTAGGATGTCATTAACGCAGGCCTGAATTCACTCGCGGAAAGAAAACTAGAAGACAGGGAGCTGCCGGATAGGTGCAACAAACATTGCCGACGAGACGGGCCAAATATGAAATCCCAGCGGCGAGGCAAACGCCAATGCAGACTTGAGTACCTACAACAAACCCGAACAAGGAGCGGGAAGTTTACTTCGTATATGTACTCGCACTAAGAGATTAGGCCCCCATAAGTTGCCCGGCCGTGCTCCGCCCGTCATCCAACAAAGTAAGCCGATGACAAACTGAAGAGTTGCCCCAGACTTTGTCCCTCCAGATACTCATAACCGACAAGTTTCCCTCTGTCAGTGTAATAGTCCCAATACCTACGCGGAATCCGGCAAATGATGTTCAAACTCGCCTTCGCCATCTTCGCCGTAACCCTCCTCACATTGCCGGCTCAAGCCACGAATGCATTCGAACGTCTCCATGACGCGCTCCACCCGAAAAGGACGGCTGCAGATCCTTCACAGACGCCTCTCATCTTCGCCAGTGTTCCACATATCTCACACCTAGAGAAAGTCGCTGCGGTCGCTTTAGAGCTCGCTTCGATAGGCTACCCAATAAAGTTTTTAACCGGTCGTGCCTTCGAAAACCTGATCTCCAACCTCCATCCAAACATCGAGTTTGCCCCATTTCTCGGTTTAGACGGGCTGATGACGGAGGAAGATATGAAGACGCTCATGTCCCTACCCCCGAAAGAGAAGGAGCTCTTCGCAACTAAGAAGGCCTTCGTCGATGGCATGAAGGACCACCACAATAGTATACAGCGGGAAGCGGCAGCGTTTCGGCAGAAACACGGAGACACCAAGCCATTGGTCATTCTATTTGATATGTCCCTGACTGGGCATTATCCCGTCTTGCTAGGTGCCCCAGGCATACGACCAGATGCAAGCATTGCCATAAGCACCGCTGCATTGGTATTGGACTCCAACGATACATTCCCATTCAAGGTCGGGAAAGTGCCCGACACGAGTGAAAATGCCAGAGACGTGCACTGGGCCGCATGTCAGGAATACTTTGAAACCCCCTTCTACAAAGAGCTTCACAAACACTGGGAGGCGAAACTGCGCGAACTCGGAGCCACAAAAGAACCATTTCCTGGAGTATACGACGCTATGAATACCGTTTCGGATTATTTGGCGACCCAAGGAATCCCGGAGTTTGAGTTTCCACGGTCAGATATCCGGACGGATATCAGGTACTTTGGAGCCTTGAAGAATCTGAAGAAGACTGGTGGTGAAGCCGCTGAACTGCCGACATGGTGGGACGACATCCGGAAGGCAAAGGCAGAGGGGAAGAAAATCGTTGCTGTGAGCCAAGGTACGGTCGAAGTGAACCCACAGGAACTCATCCTGCCAACTATATCGGCTTTAAAAGACCGCGAGGATGTGCTAGTGATCGCAACACTTGTGGCTTTCGAGCCTTCAGAAGTTCTTGGGGAAGAGGTGCCGGAAAATGCGCGAGTAGCGAAATTTGTGCCGCATGACATGCTGTTGCCGCTTGTAAGTCGTGAAATCGTCATGATAGGCTCCGATGACTGACGTAGAGCCCAGGTGGATGTCTTCATCTCAAACGGTGGCTTTGGTGCAATCCAACATGCCCTTCAAGCCGGGGTTCCCCTGATTATTGCCGGTAACTCCCAGGATAAAGCGAACAACGCGGCGCTTGTGCAATGGTCTGGAGTAGGTATCAACCTTCAGACACGGCGCCCAGCTGTGGAACAAATTGCTGCAGCTGTAAAGTCCATCCTTGAAGATAGCGCGTTCAAGAGGAAAGCGACTAGCCTTAGCGAGAAGTTTGAGAGGTACAATGTTGGCCAAGTCTTCGACGAGGTCATTCAAGAGGCTGTCCTTGCTTGGAAGAAGAAGAAAGAGGCAAAAGATGTCAAGGACGAGCTGTGAACTCGGAAAACATCGGAGGCGTTTAGCAAAGCGCAGTGATCTTTGAACTGCAGAGATTTTTCAGATGGAAAAGATTTTATACTCCATGAACAATGATATGGAACGAGCTGCTGGACGATGAGTCGCAACAGTTGATGTGAATACTCTACCATATTTATTGAGAAGAACGATGCACCTCGGTGATGTCGAAGTGTCCGAGAAACCGCGCCATGTCCCAGACCATCTATTCAGCCCTGCTGCCACAGCTTGGTTGTGTGCCCTTCAAAGCTAACCGCGTCAAGCTGTTCAATCTCCTCCTTAGAAAGCCGCCAACCCAACGTCTGACAGTTGCTTACAGCCTGTTCCAGCTTTCGAACACCCACGACCGGAGTGATTCCCTTGCATAAATTATAGTTGAGAGCGACTGCGCTGACACTGGTTTGCCGCTTGTCCGCGATGTGTTTGAGCACACTGACCAAGGGTTCAAAGTCTTCCATGGCGTACGACGAGAACCGGTACTCCTTGGGTGGGGGGTTATCCTTGGAGTATTTCCCTGTAAGCCGTCCTTGGGCAAGAGAACTGTAGGATTGGAAGACGACGCCGCGATCCTTGCACGCCTTCAGAAGGCCCGATGTTTCAGGCCGGCGTCGCGCAAGCGAGAATTCGCACTGGTTGAGAGCCAGCGGAACACCGTACTTGGTCAGTTCTTCCTGCATCTTAATCATGTCGCCTGTGTCGTAGTTGGCAACCCCGATACATTTGGCGAGGCCTTTGTCGACACACTCTGCCATTCCCTTGGCAATGCGCTCGATTGACTGGATGTGGATAGGGCCGTGGACCAGGTAAATGTCGACATAATCCAATCCGAGGTTCTTAAGACTTGTCTCCAGCTTCTTCAGGGGTGCATGCGTCGGATGGAGTACGTCTTTCCTCTGAGGGACTACGTAGTATTTTGTCTGAACAACAAAGCTGTCTCGATCCATATTCTTGAAGAAGCGTCCGCAAATGGCTTCACTCTCTCCCGTGCCGTACGCCTGGGCAGTGTCGATGAAGTTGACACCTTTGCTCACACAGTACCTCCATGCTTCTTCGGCGGCGGGTTCGTCCTCCGGGTTCCAGTGCCAGGTTGCTTTGTCGCCCCACGACCAGGCGCCGATGCATAGGGTTGGGGCGTGGACATCTCCATTCTTCCCTTTGTAAGTAACGCGGGTTGCGCCAGTAGGTATCCAGTCTTCTGGCATGACGGAGGCAAGACCATTGAAATTTTCAGGCACCAAGGTTGGCTTCGAATGTTTTCCCGAATGGATGCCGGATACGGCCGACATGCCGGAAGAGAGCCCGCCTGAAGAACGTGCTGCATGATGGAAGTCTTCTTATGCTAGATAGTGGATAAGCTGACGGTAAGATGGACGAGATGGCTTCAGGAGGACGAGGAGGCGGTCAATAAAAGGTTACAATGTGGACAGGTAGAGTTGTACCTGGCCCCCCTTATACAGGGTTGACACGGTATGGCCAGGGCAAGCGGGGTATTAATCCAGGTTTCGGAAGCATTTTTCGTTTCATGAATAATGACGACTTGCTTGGAATCTACCGTACACAGTACACAGTAGATTGCCTTTGGCTTGGGTGTTGTTCTCAAGGTGAGACTTGCCCTGGATGTGATGGAAGGATGATGTCATGGGTTGCTCCACCAAAAGGGGACAGGTAATTTTAGCCATGGTTTGTGTGTATCTCAACTTCAACAGCGCTCCATGTAAACTTTCAAGGTGCAGCATTTTCCAGTATAGCCCCGATGACCAGCCCAACTGCGACTGTGTCTTTTGTTGCCGCGTGTGGATTCGGGAACCGCTGCGAAAAAAAAGAGCATGCATCGATCCATCTTCCACACGGATACGAGTGGACTAGGGACTGCACGTCGAGACTAGCTGAAACCCACAGGGATGGCCGGTGTGCACTTACAGTCGACGAGCCAAAGACGCTGAAAAAGGAGAGGAAGGGAAAGACTATATGTTCACAGGCTCATCCACTAAAAGGGTCATCAGCTTGGGGAGTTGTTATGGCGCATATATACCTGTGTACATGACTTTCACACTACCAATTGACGAGTGCCGTCATTGAACTCGTCCGAGATTGCGTTTCCTCAAAACGAGGCGGCCCACGGTTGATAGTCGTCCCGCTGGAAAATCTTCTCCAGCTGCCTCCTCCGGACGCCGACATTGCCTCCATCGAAAAGCGGCATGCACACTGCATCTTCTAGCAACCGTGAGAAAACTTTATCCTTCGTATACGACTGCACTCCAACAACACTCATCGCCTCAATCACGGCCTTTGGTGCTGCATCGCTGGACCACACTTTGGCTTCCAATGCCGCCTCGAGTCGTTGCTCCCACGTGAGATCTTCTTCTTTGCTCTCGATCAAACCAAACGCCCTCCATGTCATGGCTCTTGCCGCGTCCACTCTGAGCTTGATATCGATGAGGCGCTCGCCCACCCCTTGCCTTTCAATGATCTTGACGGTGCCGCCGCGGCTGTCCTCCTTGCTGAATTTCAGAGCAGCCTCAAAGGCGGCGCGCATGATGCCCACCCCCATGGCACCCACAATAGCAGCCGATGTCCCGAACGTCTGCTCCACAATCTGCGCACCTTGACCAGGCTTGCTGAGCAGGTTCGCTGCTGGAACTCGAAAGCCAGAGAAGCGGGTATGGGGACCACTGGTGGACCTGTGACCCGCAAGTTCCGGTTCAGACTCGATCCTGTAAGCAGAGTCTGGATTGTTCGAAATGTCTTCTCGGGTGACGATGAGAATCAGGATATGGTCAGCTGGATTGGACGACGGGTCCTGCGCCGTGTTGGGTCTGCCCTGCCGGCAGACGACACATTGAACATCTGCGCCACGTTGGTCCCATCCTCCGCTATTCGTTGTCCACAGCTGGAGTCTGATTAGATTAAGACGATGAGAGCATTTCGTTTCTCGAAGACCTGGAAAGACAACCAAAATACATCCTTGAACAATGAGAGATCACTCCATGACTGAGCTTGCGCGCACCTTTTCACCGTCGATAACCCAGTCATCCCCTTCTCGATACGCCGTAGTCTGAAGACCCGGAGCGCCCTTCTCAAGCCAGTTCGCCGTACCGGTTGGCTCGCTATGCATGAAGCTGGCGAGCCGCTGTCCACTCTGCTCGAGAAAGGGCGTCAAGAACTTTTCATGTTGCTGCTTACTTCCAGCAATTATAAGCGGGGTCAGTCCCAGTCCAGTACCCAGAATCGTAATGGCAGCTCCTGGTTCAACGGCGTAGAACTCTTCGACGACGATCGCGGCGTCGATGAGCGAATTGGCATTCCCACCCAACGCGGCGGGGATTTGACCCTTGATCAAACCGGCCTTGACTGCGGCCTGATAGATTGGAAGCGTAGCTTGGAATCTTTCCCTCTGAGTCGGAAGGTGTGAGTACAATCCCGGCGCTGTGGATAGTACCTGTTGAGCGAAAGCCTGGACGTTTGCGCGGAGCGCTTTCTGCTGGGGCGATAATGTGAAGTTAACCATTAGATCGACCTTGATGATGGGAAATGTTGAACAGATAACTTGGGTGCGGTTGCTATTCGGATCTTCTAAGCAACAGTGGGGTTATCCTTTCTTATATAGCTCTTTAGGTGGCTTAGTATCATTATTAGGGACGCTAATCATGCACCGTCAGCACGACGTTTTTCCCAGTTACGGATGCAGAGTTGGTTCTGATTTGTAACCGGAGCGATGTCGGTCTCTTCCGCGATTCGCGAATCCTCTGCCAGAGCTGGCTTATATGTGCGCTGCTGTAACATCTCGAACCTTGGAACGCGTCGCGACGACAATCGGCCTTGAGTGCCTTGTTTCTCATTCGCTGTTGTTGCACACTCGGCTCATTGCTGGGATAGTCATCAGAGCTATTTGTACTCGAGGTGTACAGGTTCTCCCAAGGACTATATTTTCCCTCCCATAGGTGGGGTCATGGGCTTCACATGAGACGACGAAGCTTCCTGCCATACATCCGATACCAATTAACAAACCTACCGAGAAAGAGAGTGGTCAAGACAGGCCGAGCATTCTAGGCGCAGTAGTGAAGTTGTGTTATAAGGTGCTGCAGGAAAACCCAGTAAATATAATATAGTAATGTGTCGGTGTAACGTCTAACCACCAATTGCATGCGCGGGATGTTCATGAATTTCTTCCATTGGCTGAAGACAGGAAAGCCATACACCACTCAGGTACACGAAATGCATTGCCGTTATTGCACTCATCAGAATCCCAATATCTTTATGGAGTAGAGTTGGGAGAGCCAAGCGAACCGTTTGCGTGCGGCCTATTTCTATCAGCTTGCTCTTCGCTGGCAAGATTGATCAAGGGGATTCCACTCTCGACCTTCGACAAAATGGTCTCACGTTTACTTGCACTCGCACCATTGCTCTCTCCGGTGGCATTGGGTCAGCGGTCTGAACTGGGCGCTACAGACTTCATCCGCTTTGGTTGCTCCCAGCTTGTGATCGAACGGGCGGACCCACTTGTTTCTCCTGGGCTGAACCCATCTCCGCATACCCACCAAATCGTGGGAGGCAATGCATTCAACATCACTGTAAGCTCTGTTGTGTCGTTAGCTCCCCTCCTAACTAACTATGATAAAGATGGATCCCGCGCACCTTGACCCAGCCCAAACTGCGACGTGTACCTCGTGCATCTACACGGAAGACAACAGCAACTACTGGACTGCATCTCTGTACTTCCGATCTCCCGAAAACGGGACGTTCAAGCGCGTCCCACAGATGGCCAATGGTCGCTTGAACGGCACCTTGCTCGAGCAGGAGGGTGGCCTCACTGTATACTACATGCGCCCCTTCAGTGGTACGAACAAAAAGACCGTAGCTTTCAAGCCCGTAAGCGTAACCTCCTGCTTTGAGGATTTTTCCACTAATGACTCAAGGGATTCCGCATGTTTGCTGGTGATCCTGCCTTGCGCACCAAAGCTGGCACGTACCCAGGCATTTGCCATCGCTGCCTGTCAGCTGCCGAGCGTATAACGGGCGGTAGCGGTGCACCATGCGACCGAAACGACACGCCTGAGCTGCCAAACAAGCCCTGCCCGGGCGGGATCCGTGCAACTGTCATCTTCCCGTCTTGCTGGGATGGTGTAAACTTGGACAGCCCCGACCATCGAAGCCATGTAGCGTATGCGCCCACAAGCCCGGCGCTTGCGGGGGACAAGTGTCCGGCATCCCACCCAGTTCGAATTCCGCAGGTTATGTACGAGATCATGTTCAATACAACTCAGTTTAATAACCCTGAGTACTGGAAAGATGGCAAGCAGCCTCTCGTGTATAGCTTTGGGGATCCGTAAGTTCACGCCATGTCTCGTCCCAATCAACGCTAAGTGAGCACTTAGGACTGGTTATGGAGCGCACGGTGACTACCTGTTCGGATGGAAAGGTGACGCTCTTCAGCGGGGAATGGACGCACTCGGCAAGGATTGTGGAAGTGAAGATTGTACGAGGGTGCTGAAGATTCAGTCTGGAAAGGATGCTATTGCCTGCACCAAGCCGCAGCAAGCAAAGGAGGACGTTGGCACCGGTACTTGTAAGTAGGCTGGGATTCACATTGCAGTCACGCTCTGACAAATCCAGGGCTGAAGGAGCTTCCCGGCGGCATGCCAATTACTTACAGCTGAGTTCCAGTACGAGAAAGTTAAGGACAGAAAAGAGTGGGTGAGGAACGCGAATACGAGCTTCGTCGATTGGAAATGGGGCCGACAACTGTGACAGCCTGCTGACACGTGTTTGGGGGATGACATAGATTCTGTAGCAAAAGGCTTGTAGTGAGGCACAGCCTTGCAGTCTCGATGCCTGCTGGTGTAAACTCAACCTCTTGTTCGCTACGCGTTACTGTATATGGATGTTCTGTTCTCCGTGGCCTTGTTCTAAGCGCCCGTGGCATGCCTGCCTGGAGGTCTCGAACACATTCCAGCAGATTGTAGTTAAGTGTGCATTACGTTTTCGTGTGTTGGTAGTATAAGGTGAACCAATTGCTGAGGTACGCCGTGCAATGACGGTCCCTATATCGACCCATCTTTGTCGCGTACTTCATGTGGTTAAGCTGACCTGACTAGGTTGTGCATGCACAGAGGAGATCTCAGGGCCGTTTGGTTGATCCGACGGTTGTGGCGCCCTCTTTGATCTGCCATAGGCTGCTAGGTCGCTTACTGACATTGGACGATCTCAGAGGAGGTAGTACACGATGGGTTTCTCGTGTCAGGTCCATTATGCCTCTCAACACGTTGCTCACATTAGAATACGCCGTCGATTGAGCGGCTCTGGAGACTAATGGAAATTCCAGATAAACAACAAATCCAATAGTGGTAGATAGTCAAGGGACGAATTCTTGATTGGTAGCGTTTTCCGCGTAGTTGCGAGAAGTCGTCTCTGTCTCATGGATTGGCAAGGTCAGAATGGCAGCCGTGAAACCATAGGCATTCTAGCCTACAACCGTGGTAAGCTGTACACAGTCAAAAACTGTCTATAACAGCCCTATCAAAGTTTAGGTTCGCTGCGGACACACAGCGTTGTCGGGTAGGGTGTTTCGGCTTAGCGCCGAACCCCTTCTTCTCTACCAATCCGGCTACTCGTAATACAGAATGCGTCTTCGACAAAGCCGTGGGAGAGTCGGCAATGGGTAACGCAGTGTGACGCCGCTCCTTCTAGCCACGGCGGTAGAAGCTATCGGTTGGATTACATCGTGTCGTGGCTACAATCGGTGGATGCGTGGCTTCGATTAAAACTTCCTATTCCGTAGGAACTTTGCTGCAGCATTGCAATAATGGCCTTCCAGCTATAGGCCACACACACAGCCTCATAGTTGGCGAACTGCGGTTGAAACTCTGGTACAGGATCGAGGAATACCTTGGTGAGCCTGCAGATTTCTGCACGGGCACTACTGGGGACCGGATCAAGTTCATCTTAAGGAACTTGACACAGACCCAGTTCCGTCAGCAGAGCTATCTCGTTACGTATGACAGGAAATATGCTCGACCACGGCGAAATACTCATGTTTCAAGTTTGCCGTGACGGACTGATGGGAGGCGTAATGACATATGGGGATTGGTGATTGCAGCCTGACGGTAGATTGATAGGAACACTTCTGATGTGCGGGCTGATGGAGCCTGGGAACGGCTTATCATTGGCCATGATCCAATCACTGTATTTTAGAGAACTTCAGCTTACAGTTTGACTATGCATGTACACCGTGAGAGTCACCCGGAGACGAGCACGCATCTGAGAATGCATTGGCTAAGCCTAAACGCTGCGCAATCCCCAGCTTGAGGCTTGGATGAACCCGATCCATCCATGCCACTAGATGGCACCTATCGCTCCTGTACCCTTAGTTGACGTCGGCAGTACCGTCTTTAGCACTGCCACCACCCGCAACAAGGGGCCAAGGCGTATGACTCTTTTTTCGTGAAGCAAGTGAGGGACTCGCAGCTTGTATAAAACCCTGCTGCTGTTCTCTCTCCAACGTCAAAGCAGGAAGCACCTTCAAGTAACAACAACCAATCCTACGAGCACTTATAAGCCAACTATCATCAACTGCGCTGTTATCTTGTCCATAATACCTCAACATGTCACACACGATCTTCTCCCCGACCGAGACCATATGGGATGTAGCAGCAGTTCTCGAGATTGTTGAAGACGGGACCTGTGTCGGTGAAGCAAACTGCCATGGGGGAAGTTGCGGCTGGAACCTCGACTGCACCGCGCTTGAAGATAGCGCCAGAATCCTAGATTTCCTGGATTCGAGACGCCCGGATCCCGTACGCCTTCGCCGTTATTTGCTCGTTCTTGCCGACCATAACTTGTGCCAGTGGCATAAGAAGCAAAGAAAGGATACCCTCGAAAAGTGGTGCCGGAAGGTTAGACGCTATGTCAATGCCAACGAGCTTCCGGACCCTATTCCCTCGAATGCAGCACCCCGACCTTCCGCTTCCTCTACGCGGCCATCCACAACTCAAGCACATACTGCTCAAAACCTGGAGGATCTCCTGGCCAGGGTGAGCCAAATGAGCATTGGCAGCGGTGTGTCGCGTAATACAGGTATTGCTGTTGCGACTCCAGTCGCAGGGTCCGGGAGCAGCGTTCCTTCTGAGACTGAACCCGGCCCGGTATCTTATGCTACAGCGCCTAGCACTTTAAGGAATGAGGCCGACGCGGGATCAAACTCGGGGCTTCGCCAGAACCACAGACTGGACCTTTCTTCATCTTCCCAAGATGGCACTGGGGAAGGTGAAATCCCCACAACGACCACTCACCAGGTTTCTCGCAGGTAAGCACATCCCAGCTGTCGTGTCGCATCCCCTTGAATGCTGTAGCTAATGGCCATAGCTCACCCAGCAGTTCTCCCATTGGGGCAGCCCAATGCTCTCCACGTCCTATGAGGCCAATCGGGCGCCCTGTTCCGTTCGAGTCCACAGTATTCACTGCGCACAGGCAGTACGAGTCCGACGCCCGTCGCGATTCATGTAGAACATAGGTAATCCAACTTCTGCTGTGGATTGAGCCAAGGGGAAGGCGACCGACGGGGCTGGGCCGAGACTCCTATAACTTCAAATGTTGCTGCGCACATAACACAGTGCTTCTAAGAAGAGTTACACCGTTAGGAATAGTCATTTCTGCAGGGCGGGCGCAGGTAGGACTAGGTTTTCTCTTACTAAGAATAGATTAAGAAGATCGATACTTGACAGCATATAGCTAAATACAGATATTTCTAGGTTTAGCGGTCTATTTAGTTATATTAGCGTGTACACAGATTCTAAGTTGTTTAAAGTTAAAGTACCTCTTATTTCTCGACGTAGGGTGTTTCTCGACTCTTTCGCTACGAATATACATCTATGTAATAATAAGCATATGTTGAAAAGCGCTTTGCGTGCGCTATAGATGTATAACCTCTAGTTGCGCTAGTAGCTAGCTAAACCCTAAAACCAAAAAAGTACTAACTATGGTAGAGTAAGGTGTTACTATTACGATCCGAAACCCTACCACGGTAGGGATATAACCAGGCGCCTCACTCTATTTCATGGCGCCCATCGCCCGTGACACTCTAATTTCTTTTTCAAAATGGTGGATGAAACGAAGAAGACATGCCAATTGCTAATAATCTCCCTTCTTCTAATATATTGGCAGCCTTGCATCTGCATACGAGGTGGCTGGCTGAAGTGCTAGCAGGCTATGTATCTCAACTCCGCTACTCCAGAACAGCCCCAGCTCCCAACCTATTGACAGTGCGGTCACCGTAGACAATTGTTCGAAATGGATCCTCTTCACACCAGCGAGCGAGATTCACGCAAAAGAGTGTGGGACAACCTCGTGCAAATAGACGCCGAAGCGTGGCTCCGCCCTCGACGAGATCCGACGCCAGAACAGCTCCGGCCATTATCTATCGTCAAGGCAGTAAAAGACGGGGAGAGCGATTTTAGCGAGCTTCTTGAACTCTCTTATCCGTAATGCGCCCTTTCCATTCCCACAACTCTGTCTTACATGGCGTAGCTACGACAGAGAGCATCTATGCTCCTGTGGAACCAACGTCGAAGAGCACACCTGGTCCACCTTGGACCTTTCAGAAAACGGCGTTATCATCCCTCGATGGACCCCCCCACATGCACGCTACACATCCTCCTCGACCAAATAGCAAAGGACTTTTTCCGAGGACGTAAAATGCACATGCGAAAGTTCTGCTCCGTTTTCGACGAGTACGACGACCAGTCCACCTTCATGTCCAGCACATCCATCTCAACGCTCAAAGAGCCCGCTCCAGATGGCAGTTTCCTAACCACAATCTATGAGCCAGACTACAACGATTATCCCAAGCACATCGCCTTCCCCGCCTTGAAGATCGACGAGCAGCTCGATGTTGTGAAATTCTGGCTCGACATCTGCGAGGTCGTGGATCCGTCGCACGAGCACGGCGAATGCCAACAAGGCGACGATATCGTCATCCCCCCGAAGAGGGTGCTCGATCTGCAGGACGCTGCGACGGGCGTTGTGCGCATTGTTGAAACGACCGGCCGCGAAGGTCGATATGCAGCGCTTTCGCACTGCTGGGGGGATCCGAGCAGACACCCGCTGATGACAGTGCATGCAACGCTGGAAAAGCACTTGTCCGGCATCGCACTATCTGATCTCCCCCAGTCGTTCCACGATGCGATCCGCGTGTGTCGCCATCTCGACATCCAATACATCTGGATAGACTGTCTGTGCATCTGCCAGGACGACAGGTACCATCATCTCTACTCCTCCACACCATACCCACTCTAACCCCCACCATCACAGCGCAGAATGGCTCTCCGAAGCCGAAAAAATGGCCGCCATCTACTCCCAATCCTACCTTACCATCGCCGCGTCACGCGCCCAAAACTCGCAGCACGGCTTCCTCTTCGACTTCCCCTCCGACACACACACCTACAACATCGCCGCCGAGCAGCCCTGGAACACGACCGACGCATCCCAAAACAAATCGTTCCACCTCACGCTCCAGATCAACCACAAAGCCTCCAAGAAAGCGTCCACCCCACTCGACACGCGCGCCTGGTGCCTGCAAGAATAGTACCTCCCCAAACGGCTCGTCGAGTTCTACGCGCACGACGTCCGCCTCCTCTGTCTGCGCAACGTGCGCACGCGCTTCGGCCTCACAAATGACAAGCACACGTGGACGCGCACCATCGGCCGTGGATTCGCCCTGCGCGAAGAACACAACTGGCGCACGGTGTGGGAGAACGTGCGGGCCGACTTCTTCGGGCGCAGGATCACGCGCGCGTCCGACAGGCTGCCTGCTATGGCGGGCCTGGCGCAGATGCTCGAGGGCCGGCTGCTCGGCGAAAACGTCCGCCACAGGTACCTCGCTGGGCTCTGGAGTTCGCGGTTCGCCGAGGATTTGAGCTGCACGACGGTAGATTTTGAGCCGGGGGCGGAGAGCATGGCAGGTGTGCCGTCGTGGAGTTGGGCGAGTACGACGGCGGCGAACGATTACATTTACGGCCGCCCTTCGGATACGTATGTAGAGCTTGTAGACGCCAAGTGTAAGGGGTATGCGATGCCGAAGAGTCCGGAGCTGAAGGTCAAGGGGTTTATCGTGCCACTGTTCATGAGAGTCGATCCGAAGAGCAAGGACTATGAAGGGCGTCCTCATCGCACATTCTGGATGAATGGGGGTGCGGCATTGAAAGCGACGACGGAGGGGATTGAAGCGAAGCGGGACAAGGAAAGGGAAAAGGGCGCGCGCACGACGCATTTTTTGGTGCTGGATATGCCGGTTTGCCCGGTGAAGAGTAGCGGGAAAGCTGCCGCGTTGCCAGACGGTTTCGTTTCGCGCAGGGTGGATTCAATTGCTCGCGCCCAGTCGTCTGATGGTGATAACGACTCTGAGGAGAGCTACGTCGCCCAAGTACAGCTTCTCCTCCTTACCAAAACGGATGTTGCGTATACAGCGCTTGTTCTAGCACCTATCCGGCAACAACCAGGGAAGGTGGAGGGCACTCAAGGGCAAGATGTCGTGTACCAGCGGCTAGGGTTGGTAGAGATGGATTGCATCCCAGGACGATCGACGGGTTATATGGAGACGGCGGATGGACTGAAAGAGCCGGTAAAGAAGCTGTGGAGGGCGAAGAATCTTAACGCTGCAGCGAACCAATCAGCAATAGCTGCAGAGACCCATCAGGGGCACGATAATAAGATTGGAGGTCGCCAGCAGCTGTGCCAGCAAAGTGGTCTCTGTGTATGCAGCGAGACCATCTCATCTCATCCATCGTGGACCGGACCTTGCAGCGCGGGCAGGATGCACAGCGCTCCGAACTGCCACACGGGAACATGATAACCCCAAGGGTATGCTCTGCCAACTGTGGACATCATCGGGCGCTAGGAGATCGATTTGCTCTGGCTGATTTCCTTTTGCGTCAGCACCACTACTACCACTGCCCAAGTTCGAAGATGATAATGCCACGGCCCCTGCAGGAGACAACACCGTGTTTCAAACGTTCTCCACACCCTTTTCGCCAAACCCGCGCTCTCATTCGTCCATTATTCCCCCTTCACCCACGTTCACTTCCGACTGCCGCCACGTTGAGTAAATTTGTAGGGATGCCACGGGTAGGAAGCCTCGGACTCCCCTAGCTAATCTTAGTCCGCGTCCTGTCTACGATAGGATGCTGCAAGCTCTCGTGCATCCAGCAGTTGGCTTTCTCTCGCTAGGACATACGGTTCCAGAAGTTTGATTTTGCGCCCGGCCCACTCTGAGGCGCTCACTCTGCCGCCCCACGTGGGCACTGCAGCGGCTGGGAATACAAATACCACGCGTACTTCCATCTCTCTTGCATCCCCACAGTCTCACCTCGTTCTTTTGTGTTGCGGTACAGGTATACCTTCATTGTTTCCTCCATACACTCATTTCAGAGTCTGAGACTCATCCATTCATTGATTTTTCGACTGCCTCCTAGACCCCATCCCCAAGATAGTTGCATTTCTTCAGTCAGGTACCTCGGACACGATGCTCACCAACACTCTTCTCTTCACGGCTACTCTAGCTGCCACTGCTGCTGGGTTCGACTGCCATGGCCCTTATTTCAGCTTCTACAACCGCCATGGCCCTGCCATGAGTACTCAGAGATTGGACCCTGCTCTTTTCCCCGGCCAGGGCAGCCCCCACATGCACGACTTCGATGGTGGAAACGGCTTGGCTGTGGATACTACCTTCGCGGGCCTCCAGTCCTCCGAGTGCACCACTGCTCGTATCAAACCAGACAACAGTCTCTACTGGCGCCCCGCACTGTACTGGAACGGCAATGGCACGGGCTTCTACCCCGTGCCTAACATGTTCGCCAAAGTCTACTACAAGTTCGGCAACGGTGATGGTACCAAGGCCAAGAACATCTCCGAATTTCCCGAGGATTTTGAAATGATTGCTGGCGACCCATTCAGGAGATCAGATGATGGTAACAACCAGGCTGGAGTTAGCTGGGCTTGCATTGACGCCAAATACGGAAGAATCGAAGCACAGGGTTTCCCTAAGGGTTTCACCTCCTGCTCGAACGGATTGGCAACCCAGCTTACGTTCCCTGCTTGCTGGAACGGCAAGAAGATGGACCCGAAGAACCCCAACGCACACATGGCTTACCCTTCCAACGCTGGCCAGGGTATCGAATCTTGCCCTACCGGTTTCCAGGTCGCCCGCTTCCCTAGCATTTTCATCGAATTCTGGTATGATGTCTCTCAGTTTGATGGGCAATATAGTGCCAATGACATCCCCTGGGTTCTCGCCCAAGGTGACCCTACTGGCTACGGATTCCACGCCGATTTCAAGAACGGTTGGAAGAAGGGTGTCTTGGCCAAGGCTACTGCTGACGATGGATACTGCAACTGTGGCTGTGGCTGTGGTGAGGACGAGATGAAGCAATGCTTCGGCGCGGAGAATGTCAACGACGATAACGACGCTGCTTTCACGCAGTGCTCCGCAAAGCCAGCTTTGGCAGACGAGCGTGGTGTTGTTCAGAAGCTACCTGGCTGCAACCCTATCCAGAAAGGCCCAGCTGAGGCTACCGCGGTCACTGGTGCTGGCTGCGTTGCTGGTGCTACCGGAGGCAGTGGTGACTCCGCTTCTGCTGCTCCTACAAGCGCCGCCACGGGAGCGTCATCACCCGCTTCTGCCGCCACCTCTGCCCCTGCGACGACCCTCTCTGCAGTCATCTCCACGGGCTCCGCTCCAAGCTCCGCTCCAAGCTCTGCCCCTGCGTCCTCTGCGCCAGTTGCTTCTGCTGAGGACGCTGGCGGCTACTCCGCCGCCCCTGTGTCTTCTCTCTCTGCGCCCTCCCAACCCTCTGCGGCAAGCAGCGATTGCTCCAGTGCAGCTACCGTTACTGTCACTCCCACAGTCTACGTAACTGCTGCTGCCGACGCCAACTCCACCTGCGCAAGCACCATCTATGAGACCTACACCCAGGTGGCCACCGTCACTGTCCCAGCTGGCTACAAGCACAGGAAGCACGGCTCGTACCACCGCCACTAAACGTTTCCTTCATGATGATTGCATTGCATGCATGAAAATTGAGGGGCGCTTGGGAGTGTCGCTGTTAGATTGAATTTTGCATCTTCGACTTGGATGATGAAGGTACCACCGCCATCACCATTCACGCAACGCTTGGCGTTGTCACTTTAGGGCTCTATCGGTAGACTTCTCTTATTGATGTATGTATATTTTTACCTGGATTTGTTGGAACTTGGCCAACAACCACTCCCATATGGAACCAACATCTTCGTTTGCTACGAATGTTCAAAAATTCTTCTTGCATGCATATTCTTCTGTGCCATTTGTTTCATGTCAGGGGCTTTGCATAAGCCTACGCACTTCGTACCATGACGTTGGTCCGTGGAACATGGGTATGCGTTTCTCACTTTCGGAGCTCCGCCACACGCCGTGCGCCTTTTTTTCGCATCCGGAGAATATGAGATGAGCAACACGTCATCAAGGGGGCACGCAACACTCTAGCAGTTGTCCCAAACAGTGAACTCGTTCTGTTCGTGGCAATCGCTTCGAGGTGTGCATTTTACGCCGTCGCGCAGAACAGAGAGTCTTTGGAGAAAAAATTAGGGAATGGAAGCGAATGTACATGGCTCCTACATGCGTATGAGGCAGTTAGACGCAGCGGCTTCCATGTCGAGGAAGGATGCCGATAGCTTGTGCGGCACAGCGGCTCGCACACACGCGCGACAAATAAGATCAACAGCTAAAGTAGGTTTCGATTCAGGGATTTAGCAGCATACAGGGGGATTATATTAACGCGTATACTACTATCTAATAACGCTTATACTCTAGTAAGCACTCTGGGTATAGTACTAACGGCGGCGCCTTTAGCTACCCTACTAGCAAGTTATGCAAAATATATAGGCGTTTAGCTATAATTAAAATAGCTCTATAATTAGCTTAGCAAGTTATAAAATTACTTATAAAGCCTAGATAGATATTTAGCTAAATATAAGGCTATTTAAATATATAAAGATACCTAAAATAAGTAGTTTCCTAGTATTATAGTTATAATTAGAGAGCATAAAGCTATTTAGATATATAAAGATAGCCTAAATAAGTAAATTTATAGTAGAGTATATTTAAAATAGCTACTATAAAGGCTATAGAGTACTATATATAATTAAATAACTAGAGTAGCTATATACTTAAAAGTAGACTATTAGTAGAAAGTAACTATAGCTATACTACTAGCTATATATCTATTAGATAGAAAAGCTATTTAAAAAACAAGTATAACATATTTCCCATGCGAGCTGGCACCCCCAAACGAGCTGGCACCCCAACCAACTTTTTGAACCTGACAATTTCTAACCACAATGCCTCAACAATGCAATGCGCAAAAGCGCTATAACGAGGCTGACTTACAGCTTGCTCTATTAGCAATTAAGAATAATGAGATTGAAAGTGAAAAACGTGCTGCCGCCATCTATAATATTCCTCGAAGCACTATTCAAGCCTGACGCGCTGGAGCACTCTCACGACGCGACCGCGAGCCCAATTCAAAGAGGTTGACCAAGCTAGAAGAGGAGTCTATTGTCGCATACAAACTTGATCTAGATCTAAGAGGAATTGGGGCCACGAGGACTATAGTTCAAGATATGGCCAACGATCTACTTACAGAGCGAGGCCAACCACCTGTAGGCCACCACTGGGTTGACAACTTCAACAAGCGTACACCTGGGATCATGAAGGTCAAATCTGCGGGAAGGGTTAGGAAATTTTAAGGAAAAATTTTGTAATTTTAAGGTATAACAATGTAGAGAAAGAGGGCATGAATCGAATGTACTCTTCCGATATATTACTAAGGTTGTAGTTGTGGAGTTATTCACGCTGAAAGTGGTATTGTTATGGGTGTGAGCCCAACTTGGTTTAGCGTACATCAAGACCGAAATTCATATACGTTAAACCACATTGAATTTTGGTCTTACACTAACCACAGCTATACTGAAAGCCCCCTAATCAACCTAGAGCATTGTATCCTTAGATACCATGCCTCGAGGTCGCCCAAAGAAGCACATTACCAATGAGGAGATAGCTGAGGCTCGACGAGAGCGCAATCGCCAGTATTACATCCGTAAGCGCAAGGCTCAGGCTCCACCAGAGGTCATCTCCTACGTGCCTGCACTTCCAGGTGCTCCAACTACTACATACCTAGACCTTGGTCTTCGAATCAGTGCCGACATTCCTGTCCCTCGAGATCCCTTCATCCAGCCACACGAGTCACCAGAGGACGAAAATGCATACCGTCTACGATCCCCTCTCGCATCGCTAGCAGTAGACGATCCCACGACTACAGCACTTGTTAATCAGCTCCAAGCAAGTGAGCAAGAACAGATAAGCGGGTGCGATGAGTACGAAAGGCGTATACTGGAACGGATAAATGAGACAGATTTAAGAACAGCAGAGATTCTAATGGAGATGCAGATGGGTATTGGACACACAAGGGCAAGCGCAGACGAAACAGCAGAGCACTCAGGGGATGAAAACAGGCCGGTGGAACCAGATAGCGTACCCACAGATAGCATAGCCGGCCAGAGCTATGCTGTAAGGAGCAGCCTGCTACGTTTGTCTGTTGCGCCTGTTGCTAAGGAAGCAACTGCTGCAGAGGAAGTAAATGTTGCGAACACTCATAGTGTTAGCTACACATTCACACCTACTCTAGCAAAAGCTGCTAATGCTTCTGCAGGGGCTCTAAACAGCCCACAAATACCTAACCAGCGGAGCTCTGTTTCCTCCACTCGGTCCAGCACAAGGGATGGCCGGCGCAAGGCCTTTCCAGCCCAAAGCAACACACTACTGTCCTGGGTTAAGCATGTACCTAGACAACCATCTACGAGTAGCAACACACTGCAGCTACTACTACCATCTCCTGGCTACAGCACACCTCTGCCGCCACCCCTATCATCTCACTGTAGTATCCCTCGCCTGCTACAACTATTTAACAGCAACAGGACTCCTCAGCCAGCTACGCAAAGAACACCAGCAGCTGCGTCACCCTCACCCGTCACCCACTCTGGTAACCTGCCTAGGCCAGGCGCCGCCCAAGCAGCGTCGGCGGTGCAATCGACAGCTAGAGGAGACAGTCTACCTACCGAGCGAACTGCATACAAACTCGCTAAGCACCTACGGAGCTTCCAAGGCTGTACTCACGAGGAGCATGCAGAGGCGGACAGACGACATCAGGAGCACCACCAGCGCGCTGACGTACACTCTGCATGTTCGTCATTGGAGGAGATTACGTGCCTGATCAACGGAGTGCACAATGGGGGAACACCTCTTCCAGATATCCTAAGCAATCCAAAGCTGATGAAGTCCTCTTCTCTGCCTGAAGGGCTCGACCTAAAGGCTGCGTTTGAGGGCACGAGCCCCTCCGCTTTCCCTGAAGATGTTGGCACCCCTAACGAGAAGCTGCCTCGCAACCTGTGCCTACAACAGCATCACCACAGCAGTAACAAAGGACGTGCTGCTAAGGTCCGGTTTGATATCGACAGTGTCTGCTACTTTCCCAGCAGCCTAGGGTTTGCGCGGAACGGCATCGACTGGCATCCCAGGGTGCATCCTATCCTAAACCTAGATGCGGACATCCATTTTAGTCTTACCGTGTCTGCATACAGCCGTCGCGGCGACCTAGCGATGAGGAACCTACCACTGCACAAGATCCCTCACTACTGCTTTGGGTCTGTTGCAGGCAGCACCAAGTCGCTGCTACTCTTTATCTTCTTCCCCGAGCTCCACCTCGAAAGCCAGTATCAGCACAGTACCTATCTAAGCAAGCAGGACCAGCAGCTCTGGCTCGATGCTGTGCTGCTTCCTGCCATCAGCAAAACAGTGGATGACTCAACCCTAGCGTCATATCTTCCAGCCTCGGAGGACAACGCGAGCAGAGCCGTCACTGCAGTATCGGCAGAGACATTCAAGCGGAAAGAGAGCACACGTGAGCAGCTCTTGGAGTACAGATTATAGCACCAATACCTGGATCCACTATGGACCACCATCCTCGAACGTATTGCTGGAAACCCAGGGCTAGATCGCTTTTGCAGCCCTACCCTCTTTGTGCATGCAAAGAACACGAAGCTTGCGCACATGGCTGATGACTTGAGTGTTGCGTACCAGCGCTGGGAGGAGGCCTGGACAGAAGCTGCCGATCCGCAGTTCTATAGCAAAGATCGTACCTATGTAGACATTGCGAAGACCATCACGTCAGAGGACTACGCCTACCCGTACGACTCGGTTCCAGAGCAGTTTGAGGCTGAGACCTTTCTCTGGAAGCGTTGCTGTCTGGAGTCGTATGCACGCACGTGTGTGAAGCTGCTGGAAGATGGCAAGCGGGCTCAAGGCAGTCCTCAGGTGGCTACCTACCCCTGGGCCACGATGAGAGACTCGATGGGTCAGACGCTATCCACTGTGCCGCGTGGACAGGAGAACATGGACGGACTGGTGTACTCGCAGTTCTACGCCAACATCAAGACACCGTTCGATGATTCCAAGGTATACGTATTTGACAACGAGGCAATAGAGAATCTAGCCCTGGATCCAGGCTATGTCCGCTCACTCCAGCAGCAAGGCGGCAGCGCTACGTTCTCTGAGAGCGTGTGCAAGGCTTCCTATCTCCACAGCAAAAGGCGTGCGTTCTCCAACCTTAGAGACAATCAGCGGCGGTCGTACGGGATCCGGGAAGAGCATCGTGTCTCTCTCACGATGTTGGAGGAGATCTGCGAGCAGTGGCATGAATGGGATCTGTACGATGACAGCATCGACCACCTTCGGCCGCCACTCCCCTACTTCATCATCCCTTCCCAGGCACTCTTTGGCTTCCTGAGCGCACAGATCAACAAGTACTGTCTCCTGTTCGAGCACACGCTCGTGCATACGGCCAGGACCTACTCGCTGCCAGAGACCATGGTGATGGTCATCGCGCTGCGAGCGCTCCGGTTCTGCTATGGTAGCACTATGCTGGTCCGAGAGTCACTGCTATACAAGGATCGCTGGGAGCAGAGGCGTGGGCAGGAGATGGTCGTGAAGGAAGGGCTTGGGATGCAGGAGACCATGGGGAGGTGCGGCCTAGGCTGGTTCCTGCCCAAGTTTCGCTGGGCGATGCAGCGGCTTACGCAACCCCACGGCGACAACATGCTCGTTGGCAACCTACTGATGCATGCCGAGTACAAGCGCAGGTAGAGAGCAGTCAAGGACCTGCGGGATGTCTTTGTCCGGTTCCACCAGGCAACAGGCTGGTACCAGCAGTACAGTATCCAGCAGCACCCTCGGCTGCTCCGAACATGGCTGGAGTATCTACATGCACTCAACTTGGAGCAGTTCGACACCGACGTATGGTCATCGATGCTGGCAGCCCACAAGAGACGTCGAGAGCTATCGCCAGGTGCGCTCAAGCTGGACGGCAACGTGAGGTTCTGCTACCATGGCATGAAACGCATGTTTCTTGAGGAGGGCATAGTTGCGCCACGGTATATTGTTACGGGGAACAAGATGCGCTTCTCTACGGTGGACAAGCTGCTAGACTTTCTCTTCCTCTGGGACGATGGCCAAGAGCATGCAGGATGGGGAGGCACACCCTATCGTCTCATCCTGCAGAAGAGCTTCGAGTTTGTAGAAAGCCAGCTAGGCTACCAGCAGGCGAGCAGGTGGCTGGATGAGTTCTTCTACCTGGTCCGCCTGACACATTGGATCCTGCCCTACCCATCGAACAAAGCATTGATCACGTCCACGAAAGAAAGCTGCACGCAAAACTTGATAGGGTGAATGATGTGGTTTTCAGCAGTTTTTGCAGATCCTAGCATGGTTGCATTGCCGTTTGAAGAAGCACCTAGGACGCTTTTCGATCTCATCTACCAAGCGCACCGGTGCTCTGGTCGAGACGGTGGACATGATCAAGCCTGGGAGGCACCAGCGCTCATCCAGGCCTGCAGAAAGCAGGGCTACTCATGCTAGGCTGGGATCAGACGGAGGAGCACTGGATTGATGGCCGGACAAGTGCTAGCACAAAGGGGTTCATCCCTGTATGGGAGCGAGGGATACCTCCTACCCTATCGATGCAGGAGAGAATCCGAGGCTTAAGTCTAGACGAGCTGGATGGGATGATGGTAGCGTTTACACAAGAGCAAGGAGCTGAAGGAGGAGAGATTCCTGTAGAGGCTATCCTAGCAGCAAGTGGAGCACCTTCGAGTAGGTCAGGTCACACCTACGTTTTCCAGCGGACAGGAGAGGGCAGTGGGAGCGGTAGTGTGTTTGTGCTATCTGAGTAGATTGAGTTTGGCATATACTTCGTATGTATTTGTAAAGGTTCCATGGATAATGGTATGTCCTCTAGGAATCTTGGTTGGTTCTCGGGAATGAACAATAGGGTTCCTTGCACGGGGGTGATACCAGGGGTAACGGGGGTGACACCGGGGGTAACGGGTATTTGAAAACCAAGTGTACTAAGGAGTACTTGACTTGAATTGAACACGATGAGCCATAGGGGCTCATCGTCTACTGTTATATACATGAGGTGCTCAGTACGCTCGGTGCTGAGACTGCTGAGCAACCCGAGCATGATGCTCAGTATGCTTGGTGCCAAGACCACTGAGCAACCCGAGCAACTATCGTGATCACGTGACCTTGCCCCGCATACTGTGCCTCATATGCATCCTGCTCTATGCCTCGCACTTCTGTTATCGTTGTTTGGTTCCTGGCTCTTGATCAACACGCCTGTTCGTAACAGTATTGAGTTGAGGTATCCTCGCCAGTGGAGTCCAGTCCAGGCATGGCTGGCGTGGCAGGCACGCAAACACTCTAAGCGGTCGGATACTGGTGAGGCAGTTGTCGGGCAGGGCAGCTGCCAAATGGCTCACTTACCTACCCGAGAGGATGCCGCGAACGAGGCCGGATTCGTGCCCGATCTGGCTAGCGACCCCTGAAGCGACACCTGATCTGGCCGATGCAGGGATCCGATTCGCGCAACCCCAACCACCCGATTCACCTTTCGACGAGCCCTGCAGAGGGGAAGTTGCCCATACGAAAATCGATCCTTCGCCTCCTCTGCACCTGCCTAGAGCATCGCATAGCAGTTCGGATGCTGCTGGTGATGGCATTAGGGTTAGGGTTGTTCCAGAGGGCGATGGAGTTCTGCTGGGATGCATGGCCACCGCTAGGGTCAGCAACCTCAACCTCAACCTCAACTTCAACATCAACCCCAACCTCAGCCTCAAGCTACCCAACAACAGCAACGTGCATTTCTGAAAGGGCCCCACTGTCACTTGACATGATTGAGGAGTGCTTCTACTACCTTGCTCCCTATGGCATCCTCATCTGCAAGGAACATGCGACAGCGATTGAGAACATCGACAGGCACCTGCTCAAACAGCATGGCATAGGGTGGAGAGAGAGGAGGGAGGTGGTCGAGTACTGCCATCTTCATTTCCCGACCGTGGCACCCTGGGATGTGAAGCTGCTACCATCGCTGGAACCATCTATCAAGGAGCTAGGAGATCCTCTGCCGGGCTTTCAGTGCAGAGCAGGTGACTACTGTAGCTTTATTACCATTAGCACTGCTAAGCTGCGGATGCATGTTAAGGGGGAGCATGGGCAAGCGTGGAAAGGTGACACTGCTAGGCTGTACCACAAGGTCAATGTGCAGACCTTTTTCCGTGCTGGCGGGCTGCAGCGGTACTTCATTGTTCGCTCAGGAGAGAGCAGTACGCTTTCCGCCCCTCGAGAGGCAGCAGACATCGTTCAGGAGCGGCTAGCTGAGTGGGAGGTGACAAAACGTAGGCAGGAAGAGAAGGATCAGGTGCTTGAGGTGCAGGTGGCGAAGACGGACAAGACGGGCTGGTTCAAGCGGACAGGCTGGCTGGAGCATCTTGCGGAATGGAATCTAGCCCATCTAGCCCATCAGATCCGGCTGCCCGATCGGGAGGAGGTGAGGCTACAGCGGGCTGCAGAGCTGGTCGAGCTGCTCATAGAGAGGAGTGTTCAGGGGCTGTCGACGCTAGGGTGGGAGACGAGGCGGTGGCTACGGAGCGCGAGGCAGGAGGAGGTCGATGTGTGGCCGATGGCTCGACTACAGAACCCAGAGAGTCAGGCTCGCTATGCTGGCTACATGGTGAAGTTCGTCTGCTATCTTCTACGCATCATCGCCGATAGGGAGGTGAGGGTGGCAATGCAGGACAGTAGCAATGAAGAAGACATCTCCAACAGTGACAGTTCCGAGTCCGAGAGCATGGAAAACAGCCATGACAGAGGCAGCAGCAGCAGCCGCAGCAGCAGCAGGAAAGAGAAGGACTGGATGAAGGATGCGTGTGAGCTGTTTTGCTGGACTCCGAGGCAGCGGGTGCTAGCGGTAGTGCTGTGGGAGATGTTAGATATGGACAATCATGCCGAGCGGCACGAGGCTCAGCTCGAGGCGCTGCTCGATGTGCTTACCTCCTTCATCTTTGCTTCCACTGGCGACAACCCATTCAGCAGTGGGCTGGTTCACTTTCTTGCTGTGCTCGGCATCGACGCAGAGATGACTCGCTTGCGTACAGCGAAGAACTACTCGTATATGCTCGCTGGTGTCGTGTACTGTATACGAGTGCTGAGTGCGGAGAGGCTGCTTCCAGCTGCTTGCCGCAAAGAGCAGATGGACGAGGACCGTGAACGTTTCTTGCAGTACAGAAAGAGATATCTCGCAGATGGCTCGTACAGTCCGATGAGCGAGGTGCTCAGCTTGCTTGCATATGGCAAACATATCGCACTTGAGGCTGGCAACTCGGGAAATGCATACTGGTCGAAGGACAAGAAGATCTTCTACTTGAATGGCCGGCCAATCTACATTATCTGCTTCCGCAAGATGGCACAGGACATAGTTGCAGAGGCAGAGCAGATGCTGTGGGAGGAGCTCATGTGGGTGGCCGGGGTAGAGGATCGGTTTACCGTTCAGCTCGAACAGCTCATTGATGATGTGACATTTACACAGCGAGGCATGTCTTTTATGCAGCAGCAGGACAACGGACTGAAAGACAAGCTCGAGTGGATGCTTACCCGGGTGGAGCACACAGAGCAGGGCCGTAGGCTGCAGACGCGTGAGGGCAGATGGAACCGGAGGCAGGTCAAGCGGTACTTGCACTGTGTGGACCGCTTTCTTGATGCTGCTGCTTGTTTGTGTGCACATGACATCAGGGCAGCCAGGTAGAGGATCGGAGATTACAACCATGCGGTATCAGAACGGGCTGCTGCAGGACCGCAATATCTTCATCATGGACGGGCAGGTAATGATAGTGATGCGCTATCATAAGTCGCAGTCGCAGTGGGACAAGCCGAAGGTAGTGCCACGGTTTCTGCCGGCACAGCTAGGGCAGGTTATGGTCGTGTATCTAGCATACTTGCGGCCATTTCAAGAGTATCTCACGGTGCAGGTGCTTGGCGGCAGCTTCAGTGACTATGTGTGGGCGGATGAGCAGGGCCCATGGAGGACAGACCGACTGACGTGAGCACTCCGGCGGGAGACAGGCAAGAGGCTGGGAGTGGAGCTGCATACACTGGACTACCGACATGCAGCAGTTAGCATCGGGCGGGTAGTAGTAGGGGAGTCATTCAGCAAAGGCTATCAAGATGAGGTTGGAGAGATTGAGGAGGCTGAGGTAGATGATGAAGGCGAGAGCGCGCTAGAGCT